CTTCTGAACCCTTACGATACTGAATTTCCAGGTCATATTCCTGAAATTCGGCGACCCAACGAGCTAAGCGTTTGCTATAGGTCGTGGTCGTTTGCAAGTATTGAAGACTTGCATGATCCGTGACAATAGTTGTTTTGGTGCCGTTCTCGATATAACGGTCCCATATGCGCAGAGCTTCCTTAATGGCTAGTAGTTCTTTCTCGTGAACTGGGTAGTTTAGCTCCGCACCTTGCAGCTTCCTTCCATCGAAAGCCACAGGGTGAAAGCGGTTATTCGTGTCCGCTTGGAGCAAAACCATACCGATAGCCCACTCTGACGCGTCTGTTTCGATCCGAAAAGGCTTATCGCGGTCCGGTTGTGACAGGACGGGCGAGTTCGTCAAAGCCTCTTTCAGTCTCGTAAAGGCACTTTCGCAACTGATTGTCCATCGAATGGGTCGGAATTTGTTTTGTCGGATAGATGCGTCCAACTCCTTCAGTAAACTATGGAGTGGTACGCATATTGCAGCAAATCCTTCGATAAAGCGACGGTAATAGGTAGCTAAACCTAAGAACTGGCGGACTTCATGGACGTTTCGCGGTCGTGGCCATTCGCGTACGACCGTGACCTTCTCCGGTAAAGGCCGAAGCTGTCCATTTCCAATGATATGTCCGCAGAACTCAAGTTCGTTGGTCGCAAATTGACACTTCTGGGGCTGAGCGTATAGCTTATGCGAGTCCAGCAACAATAACACCTGATCGACATGATCATAGTGATCTTCCGAGCTATGAGAAAATATCAAGATGTCATCAAGATATACGACTACACACTTGCCCAAAAGTGGACGAAGGGTATCGTTCATAGTCGATTGGAAGGTTGCGGGTGCATTGCATAGTCCGAACGGCATCGCAAGCCATTCGTACTTACCCCATGTGGTGTTAAATGCGGTTTTCTGGATTGAATCCTCAGCCATCCGTACCTGCCAGTACCCGGATGTGAGGTCAATCTTCGATACCACCTTTGCGGTCCCGACCGTATCCAAAAGCTCTTGGATTCGCGGTAATGGGTAACCGTTCTTTACCGAAAGTCTGTTGAGGGCCCGATAATCGATACACATACGCCATGAACCGTTATGTTTCTTCACGAATATCACCGGGAATCCCCAAGGGCTACTTGACGGACGGATTAATCCACGATTGATCAAATCCTCTACCTGTCGGGCCTGTTCGTTCAGTTTCTCGGCCGATAGGGAGTACGCATTAATATTGATCGCGTGGGCATCTCCAGTGTCAATCTCGTGCGCGACTGGTCGTTCTGGGGGGAGTGCTTCGGGCAATTCCGCACGGAATACCTTGTTATATCTTGACAAGATCTCCTGCATCCGCGGATCCGAATGTGTTGGTGCCCCGAAAGCCTCCTTTCGCTCTAGATCGGGCGTCTCCCGAATAGCGAAGAATACCCCTTGCGACTGTCGCTTTCGCATCGCACGAGAACACTGCTTTGCGGAGATAAGGTTCAACCGTACTCTCGCGTTTCCTTCAAAACAGGGGACCTCAGCGGGCTGAATAACGTGCGTCTGCTGATGGTCCCGAATGGTCATTTTTCCGTTGACCCAATCGATCACAGGGTTAACATTTTGTAAGAAGTCTCTTCCAAGAATGAAGTCAAAATCTGGGAAGTCCAATATCCACATTTTTAAGACTCCACGCCACGGTCCGATCCGGACCGGAACCTTTAGTTTCGCACGCGTACGAAGCTCTTCTCCATTCGGGAGCTTAACGGTGATAGGATTCGTAAGGTTCGGTGGTGGTAGATTCTCCTTCAGACGGGTCACAACGTCTAATGATATAAACGTATGCGACGCGCCACTATCGAGTAGAGCGGTCACGGTCGGAGGCGTTGAAGCGTTTCCGAGCGCGATTGTGTAGTAAAGCAATGAATCACCCAAGACATTTAGTGATATATCTAGGCGTTCTTCACCAAGATCCCTTTCGGCCGGATCTAAACGATCAAGACTGGAGAAATTTGGTGTGTGGGAAGCCTTACGGATGCGAGCGGCCAAGGCTTCGTAAGTAGTCGCCCGCATTAGTTTTTTGACTGGCCTTTCCCACTGTTGCTTTCCTTTTTCGGAGCCGGACAATTACGTTTGTAATGTCCCTTTTGGTCACAATTATAACACTTAATTGTCGAAAGGTCTTTCGAACGGGACCGTAGGGCAGTCAGCTCCATATCGTCCGGGTTCGTTCGGTTAATATAACCAGCGACCATTGCTCCTCGCTCAAACTCAATAAATCGTTGAATAACGTCTTGCAGAATGGTCGGGCGATCTTGTTCTCGATCCTCAGCCCAACGCTTCTGTAAGTTCACGTTCGCACCCATTCGCAGGTATTGGATCAGGACTTGTTCCGGAATATCGATTTCGCAATCGTACGCAGCTTGCTGTAGATTGATCGCATACTCATGGAATGACGATTGTCCTTGCCTTAAGTTCGCGAAGCGATCCCATCGTTTTTCGGGTCCGAGGTGCTCCGAAAACTCGCGATTGATCCAATCCTTATAGGCTTGCCAGGTAGTGATTTCTTCACCATATCTACCGGCAACTTGATCCGTGTACGCACGCCAGGTTTCGGCAGCGCGCTTTAGCAATCGTCCACTTGCATGAATAATTTTGGTACTATCGTCTGGTTCAGCGCCAGCGTACGAAGATATCTCGCGGAAGTAGCGTTCGCAGTCGCGTAGATACTTCCGTGCAGCATCAGACTTCACCGCGCCCTGGTAGTTCTCGATAGGACGGATGTTCTTTAACACTGCCTTTCGTACGGCCTTCTGTGCACTACCGTCCCGAGAGAACGTAGAGCGAGTGGTTTCAGAAGTGTCTGGCGTACCTTCGACCGGGCCAGTTTGCATACGTCTGAGGGTTTCCGCTAACTGTTGGATTGGGTCCTCTTGGGCACGAGCATGCTCGTTCTCCATACGTTGCCGTTCGGCTTCTCGGAGGCGGGTGTTCTCGGCTAGAATACTAGCCGACTGCTTGATCAGCATTGACTGAATCGGCAAACTTTCTTCGGGAATAGTTGCCCAAGCACGATAGAATACTTCCGCGCTATCCGGTGGCAACGAACGTAGGGCATGCTCCGTGTCCGGAGACATAGAACGTAGGAACTGGGGGCCTTCGGTGATGTTATCGGACATGATTGCGTGTAATCGGGTGTGAACGAATAAGAACGTAAATGTTCGAAGTAGTTTCTTTGAAAATGTTAATTCCACTGGGTCTTTTACTTCCTCTCTTAAGATGGGTCTTCTTTCAGAGCCAGGAAGGACACGTAATCATCTGTTTACCACCTCCTGATGATCGTATACGAATGTGATATGTATCAACATGAGTATCTCTGACCAATCTCTGCCGTTCATAGCCCTAGTCGGCGGGTCGTCGAGGTGCCGATCACTTCAGCACGTAACTTCCTCACACCGCTAGTTTCCGGGCGTACACTTTCGTGTTCAGATGAATGGCGACCAGAAAGGATCAGGAAAGACTCGAATACTCTTCAACATCGCGTACGCAAGCGATCTCGATCATTCGCTTCGGGTGATCGTTTGTAGGAAAGGAGGCATATCCAACGTCAATGCTTCCGTTCCCGGCCGACCGTGGCAGGTCGACCAGTCAAGGACATGCTACCAGATGAGATTCTGGAGGTGGAAAGGTGTGTATTGCTAAGTAAGTGTACGAAAGGATAGAAATATGCCTTAAGGGCGGTGCCGTATGGCAGAAAAAGTAGGGTAACGTGACCGTTCGTATCCCCATACAAGGCCGTGTTATCACACTAGGTAGAAGAATCAGACCTTTCACTCTCTTCAAATATTTTACTATCCTTTCTATCTGCTTAGAAAGACCTTCTTCTTAGTCCTTTGTTTGAGGATTGTGGATTGTGCTCATTTAGAGTGCATAAGCCCTTTGCACTCTATCTTATTCTTTTCTTTCTTTATCCGATCAAGCCTTCCTTGGTCGGATAGACCTACGGTCCGTGGTGGGGAAGCATCTACAAAAGCGTACCCCGCGCCACGAAAAGCTTCGTGGTATCCGCCTCCCTTCACGGCCGACAATAGGTAAAGACGCTATGTTAAATGGAGGGTGGTGAAAGAGAAGAGATTACATCGATATCGAGATTTAGGCGGAGGACTGAAGCGGTGAAGTAAGCGGTGAGTGGAATTACTAAACTAAGCCTATTTAGGATAAAATGCCTTATAGTTCAGGTTAAGGGTGGTGGGAGGAGCGAAGGGGGTGGTGGGAGTATCAATTCCCTTTATTAAATATATATATCCTCGCAATAAAATATAGCTAAGAGACCTAATACCTAATACTGGCTAAATACCTACGATTAATACACTAAAAATAAAGGAATATTATATTACTTCTACTTTTAATTTTATATATAAGTGAATTACCCTATATTTCATAGCTTTATAGTCAAAAAATATAATTAAGTAGTGTTGAGACCAAAACATAGTTTAATAACAGTAATCTAAAAGTATGAATCAGCAAATTTATGTATGCCAAGACCTTAATTTTATGCAAAAATGGTTTTTGTTGGGGCCCCAATGGGGAACCGCAATGGTTTGTGGTTTGGTTTGGTTTTCGCGGTTTCAAACCGCAACCATTGCGGTTTGGTTTATGGGGGCAAACCTTGCCCCCAATTGCGGTTTTTGGCGCACTCTAGAACCTCTCATCTATATATTTAGTAGGTATTAGCTAGAACTTTTCCTAATAAAGAATAAAAGTAGAATACTAAAAAATACCTATAGATTCTATATTTATCCTATTCATTGGACCGTAGGACCGGACCGGACCGGACAGCCTTAGTGCGGTCTTTAAAAAGTTAGGACCGGGCCCTACATAGTGCGGTCTGGTCCGGTCCCTTGCGGTCCTTGCCGATGTCTAGCGTTGCCCACGAGAGTCGACTGTAATTAATCCTACTAGCTTAATGGTAGGTTTGGCCTAAATATTTTCAATTCAAATCTTCTACTTACAGCCGGCCCAATGGCTCAGCCTCCCATGCAATAATCTTCTCTAACACAATGACCTCCTTGTCTAACCCATCAGGGTTGAGCGCAATTTCCCACCCCCATCGAGCAAGGTCCCCCACTATGAGTGTATGTGAAATTTCAAGTCCACCCGATCGGTAGTAGTTCAGTAAGGCGGGAGCCTTAGACTGAATGGTGGCCAGTATGCGCGTTCTAAATTGGTTTGATCGATGTCCAGATAGGCGCAGAGGCTGAGCGTGTTGTCGCTTTTGGAATAAATCTTTATCCTCGCTTACAGCTGCTCGCTCGCAAGCAAAGTATGCCTCACGTAAAATGCCACCTTGCCGGTGTAGAGGAGAAACAAAGGAGGCTGCTAGGTACCAGGACGATTCTTGACAGTCTGTTGCGTTGTCATGGTAAGGTTGGTGGTGACAGCGCGGTCCATAGAGATTTGAAATCAATACCCACTCACTCTCCCATACGGGGAGAGCACGGTGGTCATCTGTTCGAATAACGCCGACCACCACCCTATAGGCGGGCTCGCAGAGCAGTGAAATCCATTCTGCTTTGGAGATGCGGGCTTCCTTTTCATGCGATGATGAGAAGCTTGCAGGGGCTGCTTTGAGAGCGTCCAGGCGGAACTCGATGAATTTTGGAGCCCATTGCCGAACGCTGTGGTCGTCATGGGGTAATATGGCGAAGTTATATTGTATCCCGGACATGATGAGAATAATGGAATTGGTGTTATCTCTCAATCAAGGGTCAAATTTTGGGGGCAAAGCAGAGCTATTTATTTCCATTTATATTGTACAATATACATTGAAACGCAATACGCTTAATGTCTGACATTTTTGTTAGAGTTTAAGTACTGAATACCTATGGAGTGGATAGTAAAATATTGGATTTCAGCAGGATACTGAACTATTTAGGTTAGCACTGTTAGTCCAGGTAACAATATTCAAGTTCATTCTACCTAGAAAATGGCTATTAATAGAATAAAAAAACAACTATGCAGATCGGGACACGACTTTCGAAGTGGACCTCCGTATAATGTATTTCCCAACCGGCTCGCCACCCCCTAGATCACATACAAACTACTTTTCTAAAGCTCCACAACCATACAGTATTTTAACTCTAAAATTTGCCTATTTCTATTTATTGCCACTCTGAGCAATCCCTACCTTCTTAGAGTGATCTAGTAGAAAGCAAAGCGTATTACGAAAATTACACTAGCTTTGGCGATCGAACTAAATGTTAAGCGAGTGACACTTTATATTCTCAATTGACCTGATGTATACCTAAAATAAATATAGACAAGCCTTTAACTATATTTTATTCTTTGAATAACATATTGTTGTCAGAATTCGAATTTGTAACTTACCGCATTTACTATGTGTTTTAGGCGTGACGACCCGCTTGGGGTGGGGACCCGCTTAGGAAATACGTTATCTCCTATATTATAGATTGTACTAAATAAGTAAAACTGTGCAGTAACTTTAATCAACTCAGCTGAACCTCATTTTTAGCGCTGGTGGGGCAAGTGGATTAAGTGGAGAGCGACATCACAGATCCATGATCAGCATTTAGATTGTAGAGTCTAGAGTCTCAGTAGGCTGTCACTGATCATCTAGGAGTATCCCGAAACAGGGATTAAAAGTCTCTAAGCTATCTTTTCTCTTCTTATATTCCTTATTCCGCCGTAGAAACTACACTATTGTTTTTCAGCCAGCTCGGGTAACCCGTAGTGGATCGTCCTGCAGTAGATACAACGCTATTGAATTTCAGCCCTCCGTCAAACTTAGTTGTTGAACTATTGATTACCACCAGATTCTCCTGGATGTGACAGACGATAATTGAGGATCGTTCAGCCGATAATACAAGCTTATAAGTCTCCTGTTTCTCGTGAGAATTCAAGACATTTAGTAATATACCAAATTAGACAATTATTTCCATTGACCCATCTATACCTTTCCTTTCACTGTCTATCTGTCAATTCTAAACAATGGATAGAAACTGCTTGTCGGCGGAGGCCTGCGATGAAAAAGGAAAAGCGCCAACCACTCATTTAATTACACTTCTCGATCAAGTCGCCTACCGATTCCCAGATCATGATGCCATCATATCTCACCATCAGACGGACACTTTGAATGCGACACGGCCCTTGCACTGGAGCTTTGCTCAATTGCAGCAGATGAGCATTCAACTGGCAGCCCGCTTATCTTCCAAAGGCGTTGGTCATGGAAGTCGGATCGTTACCCTGATGTTTAACCAGGCCCAGTGGGCCCTTCTTTTCTGTGCATCTGCCCGCCTGGGCTGTCAGTTTGTGCCACTGGATCCCCGGGTGCTCGATCGTGATGACCATGATATTTTATCTCTCCTGAACCAGCTAGAACCAGCGGCGATGTTCGTATCGACCGAGGCCATGTCGAACCGAATTGACCAGATCAAGTTCTGTCAAAAGCATCGGTCTTTGGTTCAGTGTGTTGTCGCCGATGAAGAGACTACTATGTCGGCCGGGTGGACGACACTGACTAAAATCATGTCGGAACCCTTGAATGGCACTCCTATTTTGCCTGGGCCCGGGAAGCCAGATGATACAGCGCTTATTTTGTTTACAAGTGGCACCACTGCACTTCCCAAAGGTTGTCCACATACGTCCATCTCCATTGGTGCTCAAGCGCTGGGACTTATGGACCATTTGGACGTAGGACCTGGCGCAAATCTTTGCCAACATCTGCCCAACTTTCATGTCTTCAATGTTACTTTGACTCTTGCATTCTGGCTGGCTGGTGCTACTGTCAGCTTTCCAAGCCCTTCTTTCAACACACAGAGCAGTGTGCAACTGATCAGATCCTACCCAGGAGTCTCAGTTCCCTGTGTCCCGGCGATGGTACATGCTTTATCGAACTGTGTATCTCCTGAGCACAGCTCCCGCCTTTCATTTCAAATGTTTCTAGGTGGTGCTCCAGTGACATTGGACGTTGTGAAACGCAGCAGGGATCTGGGGGCGACGAGGGTTGTGGTAGGATATGGCATGACCGAAGGCATAGCCATTCTCAATACCTCCATCGACACAACGTCCTTGGACCTGATCAATCGTGATATTTCTGTTGGGAAGATATTCTCCGGTGGGCGAGTCCGGATCTGTGCTTTGGGAAGCCGCACCCCCATCCACAAAGAAGAGATTGGCGAGGTGCACCTCGGTGGTCTTCCGGTATTTGGCGGCTATATAGGCAGCAGCAGTGTCTCGTGTTATCGTGAAAATGGGGTGAGTTGGATAGCCACAGGGGATCAAGGGTATATGGATGGCGATGGCTACCTTTACCTCCTCGGCAGGTATAAGGATCTCATCATCCGCGGTGGTGAGAATATATCCCCATTGAAAATAGAACGGTGCTTGGGCGAGGTTTCCGAGATAACGGTGAGTCGGTCCAGCCCTAGTCTTGTAAAACGCGATCTTGACGCAACTGGCACTGATTGTATGTGATAGGAAGCTTGTGTTATTGGAATCCCAGATGCTACTGCTGGTGAAGTCCCTGTTGCTGTGATCCGAAAGGATCCTTCAACCCAAGCCCCGAAACAAAAAACTATTCAGATGATGATTTTGAATAAATTGGGGGCATCCTTTGCTCCAGCACGCGTTCTTGATCTTCTGGAAGATCTTCGAAAGGATACCTACCCAACTACAACCTCTGGCAAAATCCAGAAAGCAATGCTTCGTGAATGGGTCATAGATCATCTGAATCAGGTCGCTGTCGAGAACCCAGTCTCTTTCAATGATCTTACATCGGAGTTAACCAAATTCTGGTCTGCCATAACGGGTCTGGCGGTTGGAGATATCGATCCCGATGTGTCTATACGAACCTTCGCCGACAGTATGATGCAAATCCAGTTTTGCCACCTGATAGGCCAAAAGCTGCAACTGGTAATTAGGCAGAGTGATTTAATCAAGTTCAACACGATTCAACAACAGGCCAAACTGCTGAAAGAAAGAATGCAACTTCACGCCAAAGACTCTCGCTGCCATGACAGTGCCCATGGCCATCCAATACAGCTCGACATGGAGCGGGCGAAACTCGTAGCCTCTTCCAAGTTGGACCCGCTTGGATTTGGATGGGATGATATCCAAGAAGTCATTCCAATTTCTGACTGTCTGAAGCGATCACACTGTGGATTCAGGCCCAACTCGTGGAACATCCGGGTGTCATGGATTTTGAACTCATCAATTACCATCGCAGATGTTCAGGCAGCCTTCCATACATGGCTCCAGCGTCATCCATTGCTACGGTGCACGCCTGTTACATACGATGATGAACTAGATCTATACCTGGCCATGCATCCCAGTGCAGACTGGATGAGACTACAAGTCATTAATGGCGGGACAGTTGAAGACGTGAAATGCGTTGCAACATACAAGCTGAATGACCCCGAGTATGACTACATCGATACAAATGGGCCGTTGTTCAGGGCTACAACTCTTAGTGTGAACAATCCGTCGGTTGTCGGATTGGTTATGCACTTACACCATCTGATGTTTGATGCGCACATCTTGTCTCGATGGTTTGAAGACCTCAGGGATCTTCTGAACCATAAAGAGGAGCTTCTTAATTTCCATCCATACCGTGATTATATCACAGATTACCATAGTCACCGAACTGGTGCCACATCGCAGAAAGCTGTCGACTTCCATGTCGACAGGATTCGGGGAGTGTCGTCTGCGACAGATGCTTTATGGCCACCGCAGATTGCGCCACACTGGCTGAAAGGTGATAATCAGGGCTGGGTCCACAGTGACAACACCCCTGGTTGTTCCAGCGAGCGACCTCTTCTCGATGGAGACAAAAGCTGTGGAACCAAAGGTATCAGTCGTGCCGTGCTTGTGCCTAAAATCCTGGAATTGCAATACAAGTTTGCAATAACACCCCCAATTATTGCCAAATGCGCCTGCGCATTACTGAATGTACGCATGACTGGAGCCAAGGAGGCAATATTTGGAGTGATTGAATCAGGCAGGACCTGGCCATCTGCGGATGAGAGTCAACCAGATGACAAGGAAATGGAGATATTGGAAGTTGATGGGCCTACAATCACTCACATCCTCAATCGCACCAGAATTACACCAGAGGAAACGGCAATCCAGCTTCTGGCCAGGATGACCAAGGACCAAGATAATGTTGTTTCTCATATCTACGCTCCGATTAATGAAATATGTCGAAAGCTGGATGATTCAGATGAGAAGTCTTTTATTGACATCGTTCATCGACAAAGCTTCAACTGGATTATGGGAGGGTATAAGGAACACGCCTCAGATCCAATCAAGCGCATTGAAGCCATTGCTCGACCCGACCTCGGTCTCTCCTGGCTGCCGGCTCTTTTAGAGGGCAACATGTTGAGGCTGACTGTCTCATACGATGATGCGCAGTTGCGGGCATCCGAGGTACACAATATTATGACGGAGTTCCTGTGCGCTGTGGCCTGGCTTTCTGATCCTGCTAATATGGATAAGAATGTGGCTCAGTGCGAGTTCCAAGGTCAGGATATCGTGGATCTTGATCGCGAGGGTCCAGGTCGCTATCATAAGTGATGTGGAGGAAAGAAACCCTTATTGGGTTTTCAGGGTTGATCGTCCGAGGAAGATTGCTATCTTTCAATGTAACATTTATCCGTTTTTCTATCTATCTTTTTTTCTTGTCTTTTTCATTATTTTTTGGGGTCTCCAGGTTTCTAAACACATAGCTATACAGCCCCTGAATATGACCATATGTACAAGAATCCGGCAGAATCACATGGAAGCCTATATATACATACTTGGTATTCTGAAGCGGCGAGGACCGTCTTCCCTGAAAGATCTGCCAGTTGACAAATTTTACAAAATAATTTTTGCTGTAAGCAAAATAAAAATACAACATCTTCTCTCATCTCTTCTACATTGCTTCTGAAGGGGAATTGGAAATTAGGAAGTAGTCTTGCGGAAACCCCGGAAACCGGACTACTCGTTCTCCGGGGCTAGACTGCGCCAAAAACCGCAAAATCGCAATGGTTCTTGGGGCCCCAAGTGGGGAAATTTAAAGTGGGGAAAATTAAACACGTGTATCACCTTTTATTGGTGATGCTACTTATATAAGGCACTTTTTATAGTTACTTGTAGAATTTTATGCGATTTTATGCGATTTTATGCAAAAATGGGTTTTATTCGGGCCCGAATGTGGAACCGCAGTGGTTTGTGGTTTGGTTGCGGTCCAATACGTCACATTATCCTTTGTCTAGTCTAACCTATCCTTAAAAGTTCTAATCCTTTTCCCTTTAACTATCTAAAGGAAAGATAGTAAGTACTATCGAGACGCCTCCATATAGAAGTCGATTAGACTACGCCAAAAACCGAAATTGGGGGCAAGGTTTGCCCCCAAAACCCAAACTGACGACTGATATATGCAGTATGGACCTGGATCGGGGAGCCTGACTAACCCGATTGGGACTAGCGAGCAATTGTTCGCTGAAGTCGCAGCGCTCAACACTTAGTGCCTTCCTCAGTTTCGTACCTTCGTTGAATACTACGTGCTTCCATGCATTTTGGGTTTGTTCGCAGTGAGTGGGATTCTGCCCCCCTTTACCGCATCCCTTGCCTCAGCCTCCAAAATAGATCTAGTTCCATAGCTTCCATCTCTAAAATCCACATCTCTCTCTTTTCCTCCTTCCTCCTTCATAGAACTGATTGATTGATTAAGGAAACTCAGGAGACGGCTGTTGAGAGGAGTCCCCTTGCCCTTACGGGTGGGCTTGGCGGTCCGTACGGGATTGTCAGTCCGTACGACCGATGATCGGCGGTTACCACGCTGGAGTCCATGAGTAAGCAGAATTACGTACAGAGACATAATGAATGTGATCTTCAATGTGACCACTTGTTAGCGGCAAGTTCTCACTCCATGGGTTGACTGACAAGTTTGTAGTTAACGTGAAACTCCTATGGACTTAACACCTTCCAGGCCCCCCAACCCCGAATCCCAGCTCCGAATAGGTCGTATAGACTCAGCTTTGTCCTTAGTTCCTTGCTAAGGGAATGTATTCGAAGTCTCAACACCAATCAAGAAGGAAGTTATAGCAGCTCCTTGCGCAGGGCTGAGAAGCCCCAGCAAGCTCCTTGTTGGCATTCATATCGTCTATAAAAGTTAAGCACAATGCATATTCAGAGCCCCTCAACGCGCTCAATCATTCATAAATACTCCTAACTATTCCACCTGAAACTCACAATGCCATACTTCAAGAGCCTTCTGCTTATAGCCCTCTCCCTCGCGGCCACCACAATGGCAGCCTCTTGCCCCCAGAGCTGGAGCGAATGGGACGGCCAATGCTGCTATGGTAGTTTGGCGGCTTTGGGCCCCACCAAATATTGCTGCGTTCAGGGCACGAACTCCAATTTGAAAGTCAGAAATGTTTTACCAAGGAGGATGACAAGCGGGGGTAATTCCGATGGTTGCTTCACCCAGATTCCTTTCACCGCGAGCGATTATTCAGAACAGGTCTCTTCGGCATCATCGCAGCTTGCAGCAGGTGCTACCACAACTCCTGCTACCAACGAGGCGACTCCTACAAGCTCGGGTTCTGCAGCTGCCACCACCAATGCAGCCATGCCGATTGCCATAGCTCAAGAAATAGTCCTGGGCGGTGCCGCAGTCATTGCCGGTCTTTTCGTGCTGTGATTATTTTTACTCTCTTCTCTTCTTTCTTGAACTCTATTTTGAAACACACTAGTCCATATTAGATTTAGTCTGTTACAAGGTCTTGAATTGTTTTGTAACAATATATTCACAGTCGGTGGGGTTATTACTTTTCATAAACATGGATACGAGCGTTACAATACAGTTAGCAGTCAACCTCACGGTTCATCACATTGATTAAAGCGTTTCTTTCCATAAGAGCTTCGAAAATATGGCAAGGAGATACATTTACGCATCTACTCCAGACCAGGGAAAAGTGAAAATAAATACTCTCTAGGCGAAATGGGTTACGAAACCAAGATGTTTGGCTCCTTCTATGTCTAGATGGATTACCTCCATAGCCTCTCATTTTTCCAACTATGGCTCTTTAGGTGGCCTTACAGAGCATAGGGTATTCTTATTGCATTGAAGGTTTAAATAATAATAGTAGAACCTTAGCCCTGAGAGAGAGAGTGTGTATGTGTATGGGTGTGACCAGTGCTGAGACTGTGCCTGACGTGATCCGTGTGTCGCACGGCCATTACGACTACGATTTTGCCGAAATTTCAGAGCAGTGGCCTGAAATGGGATTTGCACTTTTCGGATTTATTTTGGGAATCAAGTCATGAGAATATTGAGGTAAAAATGATTTCAAAAACTACTGAAAGCAGGCTGCGACGACCACTCCATCGATTGGATTATGCGGAAGCCTACTTGGGCTACGCTGATCGCACTACCTCTCTGAGGACAAAAATCAGAATCACCTCAAGACACCAATAGTATTCATTCTTCTGAACGAAAGAGCTTTGCAAAAATTTACCAAAAGAAGCCGCTAGTATGCTAATGCAGCGTAAATCTAACCAGCTCCATAAAGAGTAAAGGACAAGTAAATCACAATTTCAGCCCCGCCGCAATTCCAACTAAATACTCACACCTTTCAATTTGGTCTACCGGCACACACTCCATCCTCGTCTGATTCGTCCGAATGTGAATCCGATTGTAGTAATCTTCTATACCCTATTGCTTTCACTCTGGACTGCCCAAATACCGCCCTGGATCTGGATCGAGATGCTTTATGAAACTAGTCCAGTATCCCTGCATAACAGGGACGATGGCTGCATTGATGGTTGTATAGGATGCGGATCCAGGGACGTACTGCGGTCCCTAAATGGCGCTTAACTCGCTTATATATGGGACTCCGAAACCAGAGGCCTCTTCCATGGGGTCTCCGACATCGTAGTGGTAATTCCAGCTGTTTACGCCCGAGGAGGCGTAGATAGAGGACATAAAGATTCCGGAGCAGACGTACCGCATTTCGCCAAAAGCATTGCTGGCGGGACGCTAGTAGGGCCTGCAGTCTGGAACGACCATTGTGTCGTTCGGTTTAAGGTACTAGTCATTAATCTTGATGAAGTCCATGGTTTGGATGTTAGGGAATTGGGCCTACAACCACATTTTGGCTTCGCCGACGGAGGAGGAGTTCTAGGGAACGAATGGAGTTCCTTCGTTTGTGTCGTCGCGGAACAGAACGGGGACTTTGATAAAGTGACCCTGCTTGAAGAGGCGGTATGTATAGTCTGGGACGAGGTCATTGTCGACGACGGGCCGATACATGTACATCGGCGCAATTTGGGCAAAGAGAAAGGGAGTGTTGAAGCTTTGAAGTTAAAGGGTTCCGGCGTCGAGGTTTCGGAGGCAGTTAAGGGTATTAGTGCTTCTGGCGCAGCCGGTGCGTATGACGAGGTTGTCGTAGGCGAATTGGCTTTGGTTGATAGTGTTCGTGGCAGCGAAGCTTTGGGATCCGGCGGCTGTGGCATGGAATAGGCCATCATTGCGGCCGCCGTAGGCAGTGAGGAGGAGGGTGATGAAGCCTGCGCCGGCATTACTGCCTCCAACGACTACGTGGTTGGGGTCACCGCCAAACTGGGCGCGATTAGCTTTGCATATAAGAACAAAGAGGAATAACGAACTAACCTTCCTGATATGTTATTGCACCCATTCCAGGACCTTGATCGAATCTTTTGTGCCATTATTCGGATTCCGTCCTCCACCACCTCTGCACTAGCCAAGAACCCATACGGCCTAACTCGATAGTTGAACGTCACTAACACAATTCCCATATTTGACGCTTGAATCAAACCAGTCCCATTATAATTGGCATCACCATTTTCATTATATCCCCCGCCTAGGATACAAACGAAGACTAGTAATGGCTTGGAGGCACTGTATGCCTGAGTCGGGCTATACATGTCTAGGAAGAGGTAGTCTTCCGATGTGCCGTCGGGAATAGGGTATTCATCGGTAGGAATACATAGAGGGCTGTGCTACTCTCTAATTGTCAGTGTGTGATCGTGTACTAGCATACATAGAAAGAGATGTTTTGTTTCTCGATGGCGGAGCGTACCTCATTCGCATCCTGAATCCCGCCTATTACGTGCGGATCTTGTGGAGCAGAGAACCGCAATTTCCCTAGAGACGCAGCGGCAAATCACAATCCTAGCTATTGGACGATGCTATTTAATTAGAGTTAGCTTTTATAGCTAGTGTATCCAAGATTGACCACTCTCTGGGCAGATGTGGGAGCTATGGAAAGGTATATGAGGAGAAATGTCAAGAGGTTGGGCAATTCCATTTTTATCAGTGTAAGACAGGCGTTGACAGATGGGACCCGAGACTTGACATGCACTAAACGGGCTGTAGTTCAATTTCAAAAACTTAAGAGGGTGCTCCATAATTTTATAAATAATACCACAGTATAGAAATTGAACAAGCCCATGGTAACCCCGCAAAATATTAATTAATGTTGAATACCCCGAGGGGAGACAGATTTAACGCCGAGACTTTCTTTTGTAGTAGGCTATACCATACACAGTAATGAATAATGCCATCGGTGGTGCCGTCACGCCGGATAAGACGTGGGCGATCAATAAACATTGGCGATTGGAAAGAAAATATAATTAAAGTGGGGAACAACCGGTAGACGGTGAAAGGGGCAAAGCTTAGCAGCTAAGCGGCCTGAACCGTCCATTTCGGAGTTCATTTCTGCCTCCGATTATATTGCGATCATCTTCTCGCTCCTTTTTTCTGTTTTATTTCTTCATTTTGGCTTAACACAGCCGGAAGGGAGAATGGCTAGTCTCAGGCTCGCTCTAGGCGCCACCGAAAAAGAAGAGGATGACCACATATCCATAGGAACCACAGCAAAGAGAAGCTGCTGCCCAAAAGTAGCGCCGATAGCAACATCCCCGCTTACCGAAGCTGACCCCTACCCCCACCCCTACAACAAAAACCATAAAAAACCAAGTCCTACTGAAAGTTGGGCACATGCTTACCACCTCTCCTTGTGATGGAACAGAAGGCCCGAACGCTGTAACCTCGGATAGTATACCTCCCGGATTCTGAATGCCTGGAAAATACCAATTTAGTTTTGCATATGATTATAGCAAATTAATCTTGTGCAAACATGGTACCGAACCCCCAAATTACCTTAATAAACAGATAAAGGAATTTCAAATGGTGACGCTTTAACTGTATTGCCTACAGAGAATATAGTCACGATGAGGACTAAGATTGCTGATACAGTGGGGCCATCCGTATTACCAGCGAAGTCAAAAGATCAATCCCGGCAACAATACAAATATCTCCCTCTGAAGGACTGTCTGATTCTGCATCCACAGATGAGTTTCAATGAATCAAAGGCTACATGATCATGTGGCCAATCGGTGCAAGTCTTTCTTGCTTCTGCCATAAAAGGAAACCGGAGATGACAGGTCTGAGAAGATATGGCTTACAACTATATGACAATTTCTGCGAGATGATCTGGGTATATTCAAAGTGATCTAAGGTCGAGAGGTATCCTTAGGAAATGACCATCGTTTTGTATCATAAATTGACATAAGTCAAGTTCATAGCACATAACGGAAGTAAGGATTCTATTAGCTGGTCAGCATTTGCGTCAAAAACCTCTCAAAAGCCTCTTACCTCAAAGTCAGTCAAATCAGCTAACTCATAATCATCCTGGGGAGAATCAATCTTATTCACATTACTTGCGGCCTCATCTCTCCGCTTGTTTCTGCGTATCAAAAGCAACCGCAGGCAAATAGCCAGAGCTGCCTAGAAACACGAACAAACCAATATGAGTTTGCACCCGGTCTGGTAGATTGACGCTTCCTTAGCCAGGAAGGCATGTGGTCCAATGATATTTCCCGCGTAGTATGCCAAAAACACCAGAGCAACACTGGTAGTCCGCTTCGTGTATCCTCTTAAATTGGTAGCAGGCATTTGCAGTGCCAACACCAGGGAACAAACGTAGGCGCCAACGATATAATAGCCGAAAAGGACCCTGATTTTATGTGTCTCGTGGGAGAGCTTCCACATTAGAGATGTTGCAATGATCGTTGGGAACAAATACACAGTCATAACGATGATACGGCAGTTTTGGAAGCGAAATGCCAAAAATGTTCCCGATAGAATAAAGAAGATCTTAAAAGCGCCGTACGGGATTCCTAAGGCAACCGAACTTAGGGCATTGTGGGTCAGGCCTTTGATGATCAGTCTGCTAAAGTTTGCGATGCCACCGTTAACTACTTCATTCAGAAGTGTAAAGAAGAACAGTATCTAAACTTAAGGATCAACTAGAGCCTCGCGAATCTGGTACCATTTGATCTGGTGATTGATGATACCTATCCGGCCGAGTCGACCGCGACTGATGATAAGAGCCTTGTCCTCCAGACTGAAGCGCTTAGCGGAAATGATATCGTCGGGAAGAAATAAGAACATTATGATGCCCCAGCACACGGTGATACCGCCGAGAATAAGATAAATTGCCCTCCACACAGCGATGGTGTCGATCTGTCCCATGCCGTAGGTCAGCACTCCTCCGAGCACTGCACCAAGTCCATTACAACTGTAAAATATGCCAGCACAGAATGGTTGCTGAGCACGTGTATACTACATTGACACAATCAGCATAAAGCACGGTGTAATAGGAGCCTCAAAAATGCCCAAGAGGAAGCGACAGATAGCCATTCCGGTGAAGGATGAGCAGGCAGCAGTAATCATAAGCATCGCACCCCAGGCGACGACGTTCCCAGAGACCACTTTGGCGAGTCTGGTTTTCTGTGCCAGAATATTCCATGGATATTCCGCGACCAGGTAAGCAAAGTAGAAGATGCTCGCGAGCCAGCCGTACTGGTTATTGGACATATTGGTCGATGACAAGAGATCAAAGACTGCCGAGTATGCTAGGGCAGATTTGTCGATATACTGAAGAGTATATGTTCCCGCCAGCAGGGGCACTAAGATGAGATCTATCTTACGCACGATGGTCTTATTGCGCGCCGGATTGTTCAGTAGTTCTTCGACAGTCTCCCTTGTGAAGCCGTGGTGGCGAAGGAATACCTCTCCGTCATCAAGATCTGTGACCGTGCCGATCTGTGTACTCTTTTCATCGCTGGTACTGAAAGGTGGCTTCTTTGCGTCCGTTTCATAGTTTCGAGTTGGAGAGGAAGTATGATAGCCCAGAAAGTGGAAAACACCCTGGCATTTAAGCGAAGGGCCGGCCACTATGTTCTGCTATCTCTAGAATGGAGCCGAGATAATGAGACCTATCGCTATTCGGCAGCTTTCCGACGACGTTAGCCTGACAGGAGGCCCGCTCTCCACAAGCGATAAACGAGATTCCCCACTTATCTCCCTACACGGGGACACTTCTGGTGGCCGAGAGAGCGATTAATTCCTTCGCCCTCCAATTTTTTTAATGTGTTCTGAATTTCTCCAATCCCGGTTATTCGACATGGCTGTACAGTCTACACGTCCCTCTGTCACCCTCGCCTAGGGGCATGTGATAGGAACTCGACTTGAGAACTCCTTCCCTCAAGCTGTTGACGCATTCCTGGGAGTTCCGTATGCCCTTCCACCTCTTGGAGAGCGACGATTCAAGTCAGCCACCAAAGTCCCTAGCTCCACCGAGATAATTGATGCCTCGAGGTATGGCCCTGCCGCCCCCGGCAAGGCACTACTTCCTGGTGGTCCGAAACTCGAGTAGAGTGAGGACTGCCTGATAGCAAACATCTTTCGACCTTCAGATGTCACAGATACCCAGAGACTTCCTGTGGCCATTTATCTTCACGGGGGTGCCTTCAATCGGGGAGCAGCTGCGATGCATAACTCTGCCTCTATGGTTGCTTGGTCAGAAGCCTCTTTTATAGCCGTGAACTTTGGATATCGTGTGGGAGCCCTTGGCTTTTTGCCTTCCAGTCTGTCAAAGAAGGAGGATGTGCTCAACCTTGAACTGCGGGACCAAGTGTTTTTGTTCCAATAGGTGTAAGAAAACATTAAAAAAATTTGGTGGCGATCCGAGCAATATGACCCTCTTTAGTCTCTCCGCTGGAGCGCATTCCGTCAGTCCACGGTATTTGACCATTGGTTCGATTTTGGTTTCTAACCAGAACACATATTAGTCACCACCTATTCAGCTATGGTGAGAACTCTCCGGTCTTGTTCCATCGTGTTATTTTGGAATCTGGAGCACTAACCTCCTAAGCCGTTCGTCCGTATAATGCGAAAGTCCATGAATAACAATTTAAGGACTTCCTTCACGAGGCGGGATGTCTATCGGATCTACCAGAATCGGAAATCTTCCCCTTCCTGCGCTCCCTGACGAGTTCAGCCGTGACGAACGCGCAAACGACAGTATTCGATAAATACAACCCCTCTCTACGATTAGACATTGACATGGCCCATGGGCTGGCTTATTCTGTCCATGGACGGGCCGGCCTATGGGCCTCTTGGCGGCCCACGATACTAAGAGACATAGTTTATGAAATTAATACAGTATTTTAGGTATTTGAGCGATAAGATTCTAGATAATAAAGTCTTTAATGAAGCTTGAAAGATAAGATAAAAAAGAGCCAAAAGAATATATTATTTACTAATTTCGAACCTATCATAGATCTTTGGTACCTTCCTTGCCCTTCTAGAGTGACGTGTTTGACTTATTAAGGGTATACCACTATTATCTTCACTTTCTTTACTCTTATAATTAGTTAAAACACTATTTCGTCTCTTCCCTACCCGTATAGATACCCTCGCTTCCCCGTCTGTTAGACCACGCAGTAGTCTCTAGGTCAGGATGAGTAAGCGAGGTAGACACCTTCATATGCGTGTAATACAATGTAGTGGATTGTAAGATAAACTGAACGCTGGCCCTTCTAAGGTCCAGCGGGGCTTCACTTAAATACAGACTGGCCCGGCTACGGGCGGTGAAGCCCAACAACATGATACTGCCATGGCATCCAAGTATGCCTCAGGCCGTAGTTGGTATCGTCAGTTAGTGGTCCTGACACCGTTCTTCCTCTATACGAGTACGTTCTCTAAGACAAAGAACGTAACTATCCACTAAGTTTTAAAGCTCTATAATAAGCTATTCAAATATCTTAAAGCGTCAATCAATTAATTAAAGAAAAAGAGGGTATGTTATCACTTTCCACTTTCCTTTTAGAGATAGTTTTTCGGCCAAAAAATAATCTCTCTCACTTTATCCTCACTTTACCCTCACTTTAATTTTCCCTATATACTAATATAAATTATAGATTAAATAGAAACAAGAGATACTTATAGCTCTCGAAGCGGGCTTACAGAAGCTTCGAGAGTATTATGCAAAGACAGACCAGCCTAAAGCCGGCAATATCTATGCACATAGTACTGTCCTTGCACCAAATTCGAAATTGCAATACTTTAACCGCAAGGAATGGTCTGGTGGGCCAGGGGACTCTTAAGGTCAAATATGGGCTAAATTTTATTATAATACCCTTGAAAACCCTATTAAAACCTATCGTTTCGAAGAAGATTATACCCTTGTATCGAAAGCTTTTCTATAAGGGTCAGAGCTTGATCGGATGCTTGATGGTGAGGGTGAAGCAGACCAAGATCAGGATAAACTTACAAGATATATTTAAGCCAGTAAGCCTCTTCTTTAACCTTATAACCCTCTTATAAGGCTGCTTAGCTCCCTAATAAAGTCATTTCTAAATTATTACTCTCTCTAGGTATTATTCAGACTACCCTATAGGCCTTCTGGAAGACGAATTATTCTGAATACCCTACCCTTATAAGGGTAGCCCGTGATATCTTCTCTATTCCTGCAACTGGCGCAGGGGTAAAAAACTATTTAATTTAGCAAGGGATATCTGTCACTACCGCATGTTAAGGATAGGTTGGACTAGGTAAGGGAGAAGATGATGAAGCACGACAACACCAATCGTATAATAGAATAGAACTGAACTAATCCTTGCCGAAGCAAGATTAACTAGATATATCTATCTCCCTTTTGTATGTTTGTGGGATCACGTGGCACTCGCTTCCATGTAGGTTATCTGCAGGTTATCGGGGGGTTTCTCTTCATGTCCCGATGCGGATGTTGGATACCTTCATATTGTAGGTCATACCGTAACACCGCAGAGGCCGTCTAAACGCAACAACAATCCAGGATATCATAATGTATTCATGCCTTACCCAATTTAAGATAGAAGATAAATAGCTTGAACTAGCCCCGATCCTTGAGGTCCCTGAAGAGGGTGAAAATGAGCAGATTTCGGCTAGTATAGAAGGTATTGATCCTATTAGTGACACTGAGGAAGGTAACGGGGAAGCGAGGGTATCTATACGGGTAGGGAAGAGACGAAATAGTGTTTTAACTGATCATAAGAGTGAAGAAAGTGAAGATAATAGTAGTATACCCTTAATAAGCCAAACACGTCACTCTGGAAGGGCAAGGAAGGTACCAAAGATCTATGATGGGTTCGAAATTAGTAAATAATATATTCTTTTGGCTCTTTTTTATCTTATCTTTCAAGCTTCATTAAAGACTTTATTATCTAGAATCTTATCGCTCAAATACCTAAAATATTGTATAAATTTCATAAACTATGTCTCTTAGTATCGTGGGCCGCCAAGAGGCCCATGGGCCGGCCCGTCCATGGACAAAAGTTCCGGCCCATGGGCCATGTCAATGTCTAGGGCAGACCCCCATGGGATAGGCGAACGCTAAGAGGTGGCAGAGGAAATCTGGTACGTAGGTAACGCAAAGAAAATCGATCCTCACATTGCTATATTGTGCATTAGACGTACATGGACTAGAAAAACTGCCCCTTCACAAGCCAGCTCACTGCGCCAAACACCATTCCACCCAGAACAAGCCAGGAGATTGCACCCCGAGCATATAGAATTCGTGTGATCATTCGAACCTCAGCAGCATCATTACGGTGAGGGAAAGGCTCGTCTTCTGGTCTCTCCTTGCCAATAAAAGTGCACAAAGACTCCCATCCGTCTCGAGGCTCAAATTCCAAAACCTTCCGCACGCGTTTAGCTGCTTCAGCGCGAATCCACGCATTATGCGCATCATAATGCTTTGCCGTCCATACTTCGTATGTAGTCAGACCTAACTTTCTCTGACAGAGCTCCGTAATACTGTGCCACATCGCACACAGATTTCGATCTGTCTTCCATAAGAAACAGAGAGCAGAATACACCGGTGAACGTGCAAAGAGGAGCACCTTGATTGACTGCTCCCGTTGGTGGCCGCCGCCAGGCCGCTTGTTTAGTATGATCTTGGCGTCCGGGTACATGTCCATAAGATCATCCATGAGCATAGAGCCGGGGAAATCGGTCGTTGCCTGGAAACCACCGAACAGTTTGTGGAGTAGCTTGTGACGTCGGGCTGTATCATTCTCTCGTGATGCAGCTAGGAGGATGTCCCCGCGGTTGGCGTGTGGTGCAATGTATGCAAAGTGCATACAGGGATTCAGGCGGATGTGTTGGGACTCAAGTGCAGTTTGCAGAGAGCTTGTTGCGCAACGAGGGAGACCGGCGCTGAGAACTTGTACAGGCATTGGTTCGGTCCGGTCGACGACAACGCTGTCGCTAAGGAAGCGCATTACTTGTAATGATTGACTTTATAAGATTGAAAATAAGTCGATGGTTTCCAAGAGCACAGTTCCGGAAGGAATGAGGTCATGAAGTTATAGCGATAAAGTGGCTTCTCGAGGTTAAGCTTTTTTTTTCTCGTGCGCTGTCAGCGTCAGCGCTAACATTTGAAATTGCCTAGGTGATGTCCGAGGGCTGCGTTTCTCGTATCCACGGTCTTTGCAATGACAATGGATAACCACGGCATCGGATTCGTGTCCCTGCACTTTTTCACAAGTTCAAAGCGAGCCGAGCACCGAGTATCGCTAAGGTTCCGATGTACATGTGAAAACCATGGACTGATACAATGTTGCACCTGCATATGGTCTATGGCAATTCTACACAGGCCTATGACGATAGATTGCACTTGGGCCTCGGTTTTGAGGTGAACGGCAAAAAATCCATTTCTAGATTAATAGCCGACTTCAGCCAGAGAATCGTAATAAGCTCACTCAAGATTTGGATTCTCGGCAGTCAGTATCAATTGGGTGAGCCGAAAGTGCGGCACAGCAGTACATTGCACATCGAAATTGCTGTCCGTCACCCAGCACCCCATTAGACCCATATAGCGAGTTGCTGTAGTTCTGTCCGAGTTGCCCAATGTGTGTCCCTGGAATCCGCGAATTTGTTTTCCAGTGTGTTGAAGGTTAAGGTAACCTCCAGTTCTTGAGTTTATTGTTGACCCATATCTGCCTTTTCGTAGAGCTGGCGTCTAGATTGGCAGATGACCCATGTCGAAAAACAGCCTTCTTCTTTACAGGTTTACAATCAAGTCCTTTGTTCTCACATAGCATGCAAACCGGCTGTCTCTTATCACCTACGCGTGGCTAATCAGTGAATGCAGTAAAGTTTTTTAAATGGTCTGAGTGCTCCGTTACATCTCTGATAACTGGCTGTTTTTGTTTGCGTTGGCAATGTGCTTTCCAAATGTGGGGAAGATTGTTTACCTCAGCAGTTTGAACAGGGAGTTTTGGCCAATGGCGGACTGGGTGACGTACTGAATCAAGGATCCGTGTAGGGTACGATACAGCTCTTGAAGGGATTGTAGAGAAAATTTGGCCATTTCGAAGTTACAACGTGCATATCTAGACACTTTTTATTTCTTTATCGCTCAAGTACCCGGGATTATAAATAGGAAGAGAAAGATTTCCAATCCATAATAATAAAGAATGCGTTCCACTATTATTATCTAGCCTCTCCAGGTAGAAAATGAACGCTATACACTGAACCCCGTTTCATAGTATCCTTCCCTCAAAATGCTCAAGTCGCATCTCTTATATTTTTATTTTAACAGAAACTTATTTAGTTCAGTCGCTCCCCTTTCCAGTTGAATCTAAGTACATCTCCAGTGAGAAGAGCATGATGTAGGCCCTGACCAAGTTTCATTACGAAAATTCCAGTTTCCAACTTCTCTGGGAGCTCTTTGTCCTTGAGAACAACTTCCACGAATTCATTTACCTTCAGTGTAAATGCGTCCTGGAAGCGCTACTAGTACCCGGGCTGGATCTCATACCGTATTCCGAGCTTGTAAGGACTACCAGATTATTTAGTTGTGGAACCACAGTAACCATCAATTTTCCTTCTGTGCCAGTGATCTCGGTGCACACATCAGGTCCATGTGCTTCCACATCGGACAGGGACTTAAGTTCAGGATGTTGCTGAAGGGTTCCTGCAGCCCAACAAGACTTGGGAACAGGTTTTCCCAGGTACAAGAGAGACAGGTCGATATCGCGGATACCACAATCGACAGATATTCCACCGCTGCGAGCTGCATAGCGAACAAAGAAGCCAGGCTCATCACGTAGATCGCAAGTTTTGGAGCGAACCATGAACGGGGATCCAATTGCATGCTTCTAGTAGATCTTACTCGCGTCCCGGTATGAGGCATCAAATCACCAAGAGAAGCCAGCCATGACTTTTACAAAGGCTTACTCATCGTAGCGTCAACGGCGGACTGCGCCTAGAATATTCCCGTCACCTTTTCATCTTTAGAGAAATTACTTTTGTTCGCAGTGAATGGGGGTTCTGCCTATCTTCACCGCATCCCTTGCCTCAGCCTGCATGATAGATCTAGATCCATAGCTTCCATCTCTAGAATCCACATCTCTCTCTTTTCCTCCTTCTTTTTTCATAACTTTGATAGTGTATACCTCTGCAATGTCGGTACTAAGCCACTTCTCGCAAAACACGTGGACGCCCTTCGCAACGGCAGCGAGAGACTGACTGGTGTGAACATCGGTGCTGGTATAAATCCAGACAGCTTGAAGACCAGGGTGGGCCAGTATCTCTTCATAGTTGTTGTAGACATGAATACCAAGTTCCTGACATTCTTCATTGTCTTTCGCCCATTAGGGGTTATTGTTCATCAGGAAGGGGCCAGTTCAATTGATCTTACCATACGCCCAAGGCCGACAACAGTGATCTGAAGAAGTTGCATAAGGACTTATGGATTGACATCAAACTTTAAAAAATTTTTAGTCTAGATAGCGTACTTCTTTCATAACACTAATTCATCACTCTTACACATATCTCCGTATTCAGTCATCCCTCTCTGATTAGAATATTCAAAGAAGCTTGATATTTTGAGAATTCGAGAGATGTTTGCGAACATTTTAAATCCTGAAGTTGTAAACCTGAGTCTTTTTGTGTACCAAAGGCATTGTCGCTTCCTGCCTAATTGGGTAATGAATTATCGAGCGGGATTTCCCATGACTGGTCAATTTTGTCAACTTATGTAGGTTCTGTTTCTCCTTGCCAAGAAGCAGTACCAGCATCAAAATCATGAGCCTAGCAACTCGAAAGAAAAATTGCACACCGGGTCCTCATGGGGTGCTAGTGCGAAGCACAATAAAACTACCATTCGATTGTGGAGGCAGTGATCTATCGGACCGCAACAAAAACTACATTAATAAATTTACTGGTGTCACAACATCGGCCAGGGTTCAAGAAGAGGAGCTCCCTACCATGTATGGGTGAAGGGCTCTCAATCGAAAATATGATGTTTGCAACGTATTTCGTGCACTACTGCCTTTTAAAAGATGTTTATCGTAAGTCGTAGTGAGTTCCACCACTTTCTATATCCAACTAATGGCAAACGCTTATAGAATTTGATTTATAAAGAAGCTTTCCTTTTCCAGCATAACTAATCCAGAAAGCCATTTTCGTATACGTGTGGAGTTTCACTCTAGTAGAGATCATTCTTTGTTATTTGCGTAAAATTTGGCCGAAATCTGGTTGACAAAATGAAACTTACAAGTGGATTCATTTTGCTGAGACGGCTGGGTGAGGCGATGTTTACTCATCAAAATGGCAGCCTAGGAACAAGCCTAAGTTAGAGCTGATTCCCTGCTAAGTACGAGGGAAGGTCACCCCAACATATTGAATTATGGTCTGTATTTCAATCATGTGTCAGGACGACTATAGGTATTGGACCTCACTTTCGTATTTTACAAAGCTATTAGGTTCGTGTTCACACTTCCCAATAATCGCATAGTTATTGTTTGTAGCCTAGATAGCCTACTTCTCTCATAGCACTAATTCATAACTCTTACACATATCTCCGTATTCAGTCATCCCTCTCTGACAGTTATAAAACATGAAGCCCTTTTTAGCTATCTCGGAAGAAGAGTACTAGTTCTATGTACAATTTTACTTCTATCGTATTGAGCAAACTGTTCTTTCAAATCGGGGACTCATGCACGTATAGGACATGGGCAGTGAGCCACTGCTTTGAGTCTGTCTATGGGCGGTCCATGCTTGGGCCCAACTATGAGTCATTTTGGGAACTTATCAAGGAGACTGTGGCGTGACGAAGTACCTGGCAAGAGTGCTAGAAGAACGGTTTACCGAGGGCTAAAAATGTTGATACAAGCTAACCACTTTTCGGCGACCCGCCGAGCAAAACATTCTTGTCGACGTTGTTTACTCATCGAACGCTAAAACTTTAACTCACCGGTAAGAAACGAGAACTTAATTAGGAAATTCCCAATTCGTCAACAAGTTCCGTTTGCCTCGGCTGAGGATTAGTCAACCCTTGGGAGACCGAACCGCGGATCAATCTATCTCCTCGTTCTCCGCTAACGGTGGAAGTATAAAATGCAAGCAACATAGTTATCTTACTGTTTGCTTAATTCATAGATGATTTTTCTCCTTGGCGGAACCATTACGCTATGGTATCTTTCAACTTGGATGAATTGCTTTCAGAAGAATGGGCTCAGGTAAACCAACAACAACGGATGTTTACAAGCATATTCTAAGAAATTCCAGATAGAACAGAAGATTGGGGCCAGGCCCCAGCTCACTGGCGATGCATTATCCATGCGAGGGCAATATAGAGCCCTAGCAGAGCAGATGAATGCATCAAGCCCGGCGACACCAAACGTGAGTGTGGGTAAGTTGTCCTTGTATCTTTCTTGGCGATGAGTGCTCAAAAATATGGACAGTGGATGAGCGTATTACTGAGCATGTTACGGTGAGGATATACAAGCCAGTGGATAACAAAAACGCCCTGCCGGTGGGAGTTTATTTCCACGGCGGCGGATTTTGTTGCGGTGACCTTGACTCTGAGGACCCCTTTTGCCGTATCCTGGTTGAACGCCACCAGTTTGTAATTGTTTCCGTTGATTATCGGCTGGCTCCAGAGCACAAGGCTCCAGCACAAACGGAGGATGCGATGGCGGCGTGGAGTTGGGTATGCACTGCCTTTCTATTTCTGGTCGTCCTGCTCTTGAGTCTCATGCTGATAATGTTTCTTGATAGAGCATACGGAATGCATCTCTTTTCGATGGTGATCGCTCACGCTATTTTACTATTGGCCAAAGTGCTGGAGGTAATCTGGCTTTGGCAACCGCACATCTATTGATTGATCAGGGCCGACGGTCAGAAATCAAGGGTGTGGCGGCATTAGTCCCACTAGCAGTCCACCCGAAGAACATCCCTTCGCATCATGAGAGCAGCCATCGATCGTATCAAGAGTGTGCAAATGGACCGGTCAACACAGCAAATGCGATGGCTACTTTCTTGGGTAAGACTTTTCCAACCAGAAAATACCAGGGCCAGCGAAAGATACTGAGATTTTCAGAATCGGTAGAAGCCAAGGAGGATGACCCGGGTGTTTTTGTCCTCCTCAGTCGTCACTTAGATCGGTTTCCGCCGACTTATATTGCTGTCTGTGAGGTGGACCCTCTGCGGGATGACGGTATTATCATGGGTCACATCTTGCAAGAGGCCGGGTAGGTCACTTCGAAGAACACTTCTTTGCCCCCTTCGAAAAGAGATAAACTGATAAATCTGGATTAAGTGTTCCTGTGAAGCTCGACCATTATCGAGGCCTGCCCCATGTTTTTTGGGCATTTGGATGTCAACCCCCCAGTGGTGACTTTATAGGTGATGTATTAACCGGTATTCGCTTTGTTCTGAATTCATAAGTATCTGGTGATCCGGGGGGCTCTTCCTTTTTGTTTCTTTTGGCGTCCCGAATGCTAGGCCGGATGGCATGATCGAAGCCGGAATCCCCTGTAACTGTTGGTAAACCTGATATAATTCTACGGGACAGGTCAACTCTCTTATATACCATGGTTAAGAAAGGTCGGTCGATTTTGCAACGCGAATTTGATAATTTGGTTAGTAAATATAAGATAAAGCTATCGGTTAAGTCCTAAAGACATAAGAATTTGAGCTCTTGCATCAAACTCCACGAAACCTTCGCTCTAATAAAAGTTCACTGGTCAACCATTCCATGGAAGATTTTCATCTTTAGTTTCCCAAGAGTCTGCTTGATGCAGGACGGCTTGTCCGTCCATTTTCACAAATGGGTGCTAGTGCTCGCTTGGAGAACGTCGATAAACGCACTCCCGGCACAATGTACAGATCCTTTGTGTAGCAGGAAGTCAATAAGATACGGATTGTACCAGATTTGCTTGCCCTAGGCCATACGAAACGTCATTAAAAGTCGGAAACGTGCTTGCCCATGCGAAAATCTGAACGTGGCGGTGACGTCAAAGTTAAATGCCCGCTTGCCGAGGTTACCCTTGATGAACTAATCAGCAACTAACAATATGAGCCGGATGCCTCATCAAGGCCCTCGGCTTTGATTGCCCTTAATATTGAGAGCCAAGTCAGTCTAGCATATAAACAATCATATCTTTGGACTTGAAGAAGGTTACTAGCAAAGACTTGTCTCTTCATTCAAAACCTTACCTTACAGCTTGTTACGTCTGTTCAACATCATGGGCCTCAATTTCAAAGTCTTTTTCAGCAAACGACCTGGCGTGAATCGCTCTACACCTCCGGGACACGACGACCTCAAATGGGTCCCAACGACCTCCACCTTGATATACGGTGCAACAGATGCAGTCCTTGTCGATACACAGCTCACAATCGAGGCTGGAGATGCTTTGGCAGATTGGGTTGCCGCGAGTGGCAAGAACCTTACTAAAATTTACGTCACTCACGGGCACGGCGATCACTTCTTTGGCAATTCTATCTTGTTGAAACGCTTCCCTAATGCTAAGGTCGTGTCCACCCCGGAGGTGGTTTCGCGAATGCGAACCGAGTCATCTCCAGACAGGTTGGAGAGCTTTTGGAATAAATTGTTTCCAAAACAGATCCCGGAGCATTTTGTTTTTGCCGAGCCACTCCAGCAAGATGAGATTGGGCTTGAAGGCGAGAGATTGGTAGTGATCCGAATCGGCCATACCGATTGCGACAATACCACCGCACTGTGGGTGCCGTCTATCGGTCTCGTGGTGGCCGGTGATTCCGTCTATGGCAATACTCATCCGTATCTCGGCGAGTCTGCCACCAAGGAAGCGCGTTTGGCGTGGATCGCTGCCCTGGATACGATCGCCGCTCTTCAGCCCAAATTTGTCATCGGAGGCCACAGTGACCCCCAAAACGGCTTTGCGCCAGCTGCCATCAACGAGACAAAAAGATATCTGGAAGATTTTGAACGTGTCGCACAGCAATTCACTACAGCTGAGGAAATATACACTCATATGCTGCAGTTACACCCAGGCCGGCTTAACCCGGGCTCTCTATGGGGAGGTGCAACACAGGCCGTGAAACGTTGAGCAAGGCCAAATTCAAGCTATCTGAATATATATTCATTCTCTAACTATCTTTACTGCAAGTACCAGCGTAGCCTGCCTGGCCTGGGGTTTTCTAAGCACAGAGATCCCGATGCATGCTCACCCTGCACTTTTTTCAGGACTTGAGCTTTGTATTGTGTCTGGATCATTGCGATGCAGTAATTATTGTTTTTAGGGTTAGGCTTAATCAAAATGCTTTGGTTACAGCTAATGAACATCTTTTAACAAGCAAGAAAGTAAGAGGAGCGCTGGAATGCACCAAAGTCTTAGCAAAGAACTCTATGGGTTCGTTGTTAGGGTGATCTCCATCACCCGAATTCCATTATTGGCCTGTAGGAGACATTAACTCTCAGTCGAATTCTCTAAGGCCAGTCAGGGTTTGATGCCATCGCAGATACGGCTGATGAGCACAGATTACACAAATATGGAGATGAACTGTCGGGAAAGTTGCGAGAGCTACATCCACGAATGATTCAACCCACAGTACTTAATATAGAAAAGAAAAAAATGTCTCACATTTGGTCGGGACATAAATGCATTCTGGCTATACGACTGAAGCATCCCCCTTCTCCAGGATATTCTTTGCTTGGAAGGCCACGGCATCTTGCGGCAGAAAAGGTGCAAGCAAAGCTGTGTCCCAATAGAGCCAGACCTCTTTATATTGTAGGCCATTGGCGGTACCCATCTCATCGGCAGGGCCGATTCGGCAGATCCAGCTCATTGGGATACTAACAGAGGGCTGGTCGGTCTCGTTATCTAGCATCCAAATGTTGCGTACATTTTGCGAGATAAGCTGCATGGTACCGTCGTCATTTTCGATCTCGAAGACATTAATGAAGTCGTGCTTCATCTTGCGGAACCGACCAAACAGTTGCTTCATGAACGCCCACATCTCATCTCCTCCGTTGTATTGTGCGTTGTTCTGATTATGGAAAATGGCGTCTTTAGCATAGAATCGCGTACCAGAGCCGCTATTGAAGCCGTTTGCGTCCACCGTCTCGACGTAATTCTTGAAAAACTGTTGGGTTGGGGATTTTGGGCCAATTGCAGCCCAATCCGCACCAGAGACGTGGTGTACAAGTCGAGGCATTCTAGCAGGAATACTTTCAGAATGGAAACGTGCGAAATAAAGTCCTCTGCATGTTAATGTTTAGTTCTGCGAAGGACAATAAATAATTGGCAGGGTTTTGCATACCGTTGACTGAGAATCCCGGACGACTTTGCTCAAGTTGCGCGACGGTACTCAATATTATTTTGTTTGAAATTTATTTTAGCAGATTTTATACCTATAAGATGACTATATTTCCTAGTATCGTCCCCTCTCCGCCTGGAGGAAGCTGGTTTTCGTCCCGCTTATTTTTCGGGCCTCTTATGGCAGGATGCGTTATCCCGGCTTACCGAGGCTCCATGATCGCTCATCAATTTCGAAGCCTAAGCTCCAACATTAGCTTCCTAGTATCGTCCCCTCTCCGCCCGGAGGAAGCTGATTTTCATCCCGCTTATTTTTCGGGCCTCTTATGGCAGGATGCGTTATCCCGGCTTACCGAGGCTCCATGATCGCTCATCAATCCCGAAGCCTGAGCTCCAACACTAGCTTCCAAAATCGTCTGGTTTCCACTTGGATGGAACTGGCTATCAACCCGCTTTTTTTTTCGGGCCTCCAATGGCATGATGCGTTATCCCGGCCTACCGAGGCTCCATGATCGCTCATCAATTTCGAAGCCTAAGCTCCAACATTAGCTTCCAAAATCGTCTGATTTCCACTTGGAGGGAATTGGCTATCATGCCGAGGCTCACTGATTGCTTCTTATTTACCGAAATTCCTCAGCTTCGGTATACCCTAGTGGCGCTCTATATTCCCTGCACCATCTGGGTCAACTAACTCGATCGGCTAGAGCATTTAAAGTCACCCATGTCGGGTTTTTCATCTTTGATCTGTACCAAGTTCACACAACTGCGTTTCATACCTACAAAATGGCTCTTCCTCGTCAAGATATCGAATTTCGTGCCTGCGATGGGACAACTTTACGTGGCTGGCATTACCCAACCAGGGTCAAAAGCCCCTGTATTATAATGACACATGGGGTAAGTTGTTAGCCATATCTCAATCGCATTAAAATCTGATGAGAGTAGCTTGCTGGGATCCGTCATTTCTTACTTCCTCCTTTCGCTGCTCGATTCCATGAAGCCGGCTTTGCGGTTCTATTGTACGACAACCGAAACTGGGGCGACAGCGACGGCGAGCCTCGACAGGAATCGAATCCTGCACTTCAGCAAACAGATCTCTACGATGCATTCAACTATGCCGTCAATCTCCCCGGTGTAGATCCAGAGCGGATTGCGTACTGGGGTACAAGCTTCTCGGGTGGCAATACTATTTATGCCGCCGCTATAGACAAGCGCATCAAAGCCGCTGTGGTGCAGGCTCCGGCTGTGTCCGGGGAGGCGCGCTCCCTCGCCTTCAAGGACCGGATTCCTGCCCTTTTCCAAGATCGTGCGCATGTTGTCGCTGGCGGAGAACGAGGAAGGGTGCCTTGTATTGCCCATAGTCAGGAAGAAGCAAAGTTAGGCTCTGCATCTGTTCTATTTCCTGATCTTCATGCCTATGAGTCCTTTGACGGTGTTTACGAATGTGGGGGCCGCTGGGAGAATTGGGTCACCAAGCAAACACAACTTCACATGCTAGAGTTTGAGGCACAAGCAATGATCCATCGCGTATCGCCCACGCCACTGCTTATGGTAATTCCAGGAAATGATTTTACTGTACGAACATCGTCCCAACTACAGGCATTTGGCAAGGCTAGGGAACCAAAGCAAATGCTGTTTCTCGACGGTGCTGGTCATTTTGATATTTATCGCGGGGATTACTTTGAAAAAAACATTGCGGTTCAGATTGAGTTTCTTCGGAAGTATCTTCATGACTCTCCTGCAGCGTGATTGTTTTGATCCAGTCTTTTCACGTTTTCAGACATGAAAATTATTGCTTTAAATCTATCAAGAAAATTTGTTTATGCTTGCTAGTCGCCTCATGAGAAGGTATATATCAACAACGACGAATCTGGCTCGCGACGGGAAAGATGACAGCAAAAGTAACAATCGTTCCATCTCGACTTTGGGCAATTCTATGCCAGCGGGGAATCGCCTAGACATCGCAGGGCTAAATATCGACCCATATTATGACCTTAGAAACCACATGGTGATGACTTGTCCATCCGTAAACAACCGATTTACTTCAGAGCCCCTTTACTTCAAAAACGAATTGCTGATTCATACTTTCGACTGGCAACCCGAGCCATTCAAGTGCGGGTCGCTGATTAGTAAATGCTTTAATCTACATTGGGATTACTATTTTGCCGAGAATGAATCTCCCGGCTCTATGAAATATCCATTAGAGGCGAGAAGTAGATGAAAAGCCTTTGGAGCTTAGATTTACCCATAATTAACTCCAATAAAACCCCATCTCCCCCCCCCCCGGCCCCCTTTTTTTTTTTTTTTCTCTCGCCTATTTCTGTTATATCGAGGTGAATTTTAAGCAAAAGAGTTGTAATATTTGACCACAAACCAATAAGGGACCCATTTGTTAGGTGTCAACTAACAAAGATAAGCAATGTAAAGAAATGCCTCCAGCAACATAGATTGTAGTATATTCTCAAACTGCGAAGCAATAAAACCAAGATCACGGCGTAAGCTATGGCGTATTAATCCGTTGGTGGCCTAGCATCTCATACCCTAAAGCGGATATTGGACGGTGTGTGTTGTGTTCCTTCGTGGACATCTGCCAAATTGGTGAATGGACTCTGTATTTATCGAGAGCAACGGACGTATGCTCCAGCGATGTTTGATGATCAGGTTTCTTGTCTGCTTTTTCGATTTCCGTCAAAAGCCGGATTGTTGTAGTTTGTAGTCGCTCTATAGCGGTAGAGCGACCGTCCATATTCTGTAGGGCTGCAACCTCGCCCTTGAGTTGCTCGGTGATGGACTTCAAGGATGATAGAGCACGTTTTAATTCACAATTTCTTTCTTGCAACGAGGCGATCGTCGCATCTTTCCTAAATCGATATTTTCTCTGTGCTTGACGCATCTGCGTTCGGCGGCGCTGCAGCGAACAACATTTAGAGCTTGTCCGGTGAGAAAATGCCCCCAATATTTAGCATACCTCCGTGAGAACATGAAAATTCTTCTTCTCTCTTTCACCGCCATTGTTTCTAGGTTCTTCATCGAAACGACTAGACTCTTCAGTCGAGTAATGTCTGGCCGACGAGGTCCCAGAATCTTGACGGCTACTAAGCCTTTTCATTGGATGGGGCAAGCTCATTGGTCAAGAACTTTTGAATTCACTGAAACGAGTTCAAATTGCCGTGTGGTAGTGCAGCAGCTAGTAACGCAAGCAATGGAGATGGCGGCGGAATGAGTCGCCACTGACGGGAGAATTTCAATTAATCAGCAATTTCCTCGCACTGCTCTTAAAATTAATACGGAAGACGACAGAGACGTTCGAGTCAAAACTCGAATTTTATTGGCAATGATAGGGCGGTATGCTTGACATAGTAATTTGTCAATACGAATACCGCGGTGGACCGGAGATACAATTATCCTTCATATTTATTACTTATGTAATCTAGAATCCCCCTAACGTAACGTGGTCGGTAAGCGAGCTGCGCATGTAAGCCAGCTGCGCACCCCAAAACACATAGTAAAAGTGATAAATTACATCAGAATATCTCAACAACGACAGATTATTTCAAAGCCGTATTGAAGTCTGAAGTTCTTTACAGTATATCTAGTAAGTTGATAAGGCTAAGAATTATTTATCCATAGCGTAATTGGGAGATATTGTTCTTGGTTGCTTTGTTTAGTGTATTTTTTGGTAATAAGATAAACTAACCTGTTTATTATACTTAGACTAATAGATGTTTCTTGTTTCACTATTAAAAATTAGTGTACCAATAATTAAGTAAGAATAACTCGTGCTTGTTGTTATAGCATCTAGCATTTACTGTGTGTTTTGGGGTGCGCAGCTGGCTTACATGCGCAGCTCGCTTACCGACCACGTTAACTTAACGTGGTCGGTAAGCGAGCTGCGCATGTAAGCGAGCTGCGCACCCGCCCACTTTTTCGTATCTCCGCGCGTCCCTTTATCTTCTATCAAGCACCATGCCTCCAATTCGCGTCGGATTAAGCCAGGACTCCATCGAGCGAGAAGGCCGTATATCACTTGCTATACAGGCTATTCAAAACAAAGAAATCACGTCTATACGCGAGACCGCACGTCGCTTTAATGTGCCCGAATCTACACTACGTACGCGACTCCGCGGTACCACAAATCGCGCTGAAACTCGCCCAAACAATCATAAATTGACACAGATCGAAGAGGATATACTCCAGCAACGGATATTATCGCTAGATCTACGCGGTGCAGCCCCTACGCAAGCTCACGTACGAGAAATAGCGAATATTCTGCTTGCGAAGCGCGGTTCTACCCCTATCTAGACCGTCAGCGAAAAATGGGTATATAACTTCACCTAGCGCCGTCCAGAGCTTAAAGCTCGCTTTTCTCGACGATATAATTACTAGCGGGCAGAACAAGAGGACCCAAAGATCATTCGAGCGTGGTTTAACCTCGTACAAGCTACAATTAAGCAATACGGTATCCTACCGGACGATATCTATAACTTTGATGAGACTGGCTTCGCGATGGGCCTCTGTACGGCCCAAAAAGTAATTACTAGATCAGAATGCTACGGTCGGAGATCAGTTTTACAACTAGGAAACCGCGAATGGGTAACTGCGATTGAGTTAATTAACGCTTCGGGGTGGGCGCTTCCGCCGACGCTTATTTTTAAAGGCAAACTATACAATTAAGCATAGTTTAAAGACCTTCCACCCGACTAGCGCTTCGAAGTTAGTGCAAATAGATAGACAACTAACGAGATAGGCCTTCGCTGGCTTCAAAAGCAATTTATTCCATCAACGAATCATCGTACGCGTGGAAGATATCGACTTCTTGTCCTTAACGGATACGGAAGTCATCTAACACCAGAGTTCGACCAAATCTACGCGGATCATGAGATTATCCCAATCTGTATGCTACCGCATTCCTCGTATCTACTTCAGCCACTTGATATTGGATATTTTGCCGTTTTAAAGCGTTTGTATGGCGGTCTAATCGACCAAAAGATACGGCTCGGGATCAACCATATTGACAAACTTGATTTCCTTTTTATATACCCACAAGCTCGCGTTAACGTATATAAAATAAATACGATACAAAATAGCTTCCGAGCAGTAGGATTAGTACTAATTGATCCTCAACAAGTGCTATTAAAGCTAAATATTTAGCTTCGGACGCCGACACCTCCCGCAAGCCGCGGTAGTCAATCAAGCGCTTTTTACCCATATACGCCCGCAAATATTGACGAGCTTTTAAAGCAAGCATCCTCAATCAAAGCTTTCTTAAAGCGACGCTCAAAAAGTCCGCCATCACCTTCGCAAATCGCGTTAAACCAGCTTATCAAAGGCTATCAGATCGTAATACAAAACGGTATCCTTCTCGAGCAAGAAAACAGGCAGCTACGTGCCGCAAACGCTACGTAAAAGCAAAAGCGTGCTCGTAAGACTAGATAGATAGCACACGATAACGGTCTATCCGTACGAGAAGCATTAGAGCTCGAGGAAGCTCATGAGGAGCCCTCTCAGGCAATTCTAGCTCCACCAAGCCTACTACCGCAGGACACACCAGCACCGAAGACGCGGCGTCCACCCCAATGCACCAATTGCGGACAGATCGGATATAAAAGAATGCTTATAAAGCTAGAGATTAATCAATTTAAAGGCGTTATGGTTGATAAAAGTGTCGAAGTATAAAGAATAGATAGGCGGGTGCGCAGCTCGCTTACATGCGCAGCTCGCTTACCGACCACGTTAAATTGTCGATTCAGGGATTATATAATAGCAGAGTTCTTAATGCCTAAGTTATGATTGGGTGACCATTTTCGTGATTTCAATAGTGTTGGAATATCGACCAATATATATAAGTGGATCTACCCTCGTATTATTCAACATAAAAGAGGACAAAACTAGGTTTAGGCTAGGAAACCCTAAACCCTAGTTGGACATTCATTATATATCCTGGCGCGAGGAAGACGGTCGACAATCACGTGACCAAATAGACCTTAGCCCTAGAAGAGTAGGGGGGACCAGTCTCCTGGGGGGTGGATGGCCCTTCTTTAGGGGTAAATGGCACTCGCGCTAGGGGGTGTGTATAGGCGGTCAATACCGCCTAGATTCTTGACTCTTTTCTATGCTGTTCTATCTGCTTCTACCCCGCTTGATCTGCGTTTACTATGCCTTGTCTATGACATCATTGTCTATGATCTGTATGCTTCCATTCAGTTCTATCACTTCTCTTTGAGGTATTTCCTTTGGTCCGAAGCATGTGATACCGAGGTATATTTGTGTGGGACAATAAGGGCGGTAATACCACGAGGCCGTTCGTGGCGCCAACTAGGCTTTGCGTACCCCCTTAGTGTCTTATATCGCTTTATCCAACTGGTCGGTCCAAGTTGGACAAAGGAAGACTCTTAGGATAGACTACACACTGATGTAGCCTAAACGAGAACAATTCACGCTTTAACTCGTAGAGGAATGATCACACTGACTAAGGGTTGCTTTTACCCTTTTGTATGCAAGACAAGCAAGAAAGGAACTTAGGCAGTTTCCAAAGAGAGTGAAAAGTCTGATTCTTCTACCTGGTAATCCATCGCGTATTTATAGACAAATATACCTCGGTATCACATGCTTCGGACCAAAGGAAATACCTCAAAGAGAAGTGATAGAACTGAATGGAAGCATACAGATCATAGACAATGATGTCATAGACAAGGCATAGTAAACGCAGATCAAGCGGGGTAGAAGCAGATAGAACAGCATAGAAAAGAGTCAAGAATCTAGGCGGTATTGACCGCCTATACACACCCCCTAGCGCGAGTGCCATTTACCCCTAAAGAAGGGCCATCCACCCCCCAGGAGACTGGTCCCCCCTACTCTTCTAGGGCTAAGGTCTATTTGGTCACGTGATTGTCGACCGTCTTCCTCGCGCCAGGATATATAATGAATGTCCAACTAGGGTTTAGGGTTTCCTAGCCTAAACCTAGTTTTGTCCTCTTTTATGTTGAATAATACGAGGGTAGATCCACTTATATATATTGGTCGATATTCCAACACTATTGAAATCACGAAAATGGTCACCCAATCATAACTTAGGCATTAAGAACTCTGCTATTATATAATCCCTGAATCGACAATTTAACGTGGTCGGTAAGCGAGTGACGCACCCCAAAACACCATAGTAAATGCAACAATTTATCTCAACAACTACAAGCTCATTCTTCTCAATATATAAAATCCCACTTTATTAGTGCATTGGAGTTCTGGTAAAGAAAGTCTAGGCCAATTTAATCCTAATTTGACAACTTTTACCAAAAATACACTGTAATTTTAGTTGTTAAGCGTCAAGGACATGTTATCTAATCACCACTCCCTATGACCCTTTGAAACTTTCGAAAAACATTAGACTCAACATAAATAACATACGCTTATAAACAAGTCTTACAAGAAGCTATGGTTGTTGAGATATAACGTTGTAATTTATCGTATTCACTATGGTGTTTTGGGGAGCGCATGTAAGCGAGTGACGCACCACAAAAAAGCCATGGTAAATGCGATAGATTACAATATTGAATCGCAACAAGACGCTAATATATTATCATCCTAAAGCACTAAACTTCTTATAGCTTATTGAGCCTATGGGTAAAACCTAGATACATAATACGACATCGTGATGTATATATTTGGTGTTCAAATAAGAAAAATACATGGTATTTTATGGCATTTAATGGTAATGTAATAAAATCAATCATCAGATTGCTTAAGTTCATATACAGCATTTCTGGTACTTAATAATAGTACTATACATAATATAAAGGGAAGATAATGCTTCGGTGTTGAGGTATAAGTATTTAAAATATCGCATTTACCATGGTACTTTGGGATGCGCAGCTCGCTTAAATGCGCAGCTGGCTTACTGACAACGTTATAACTTAACTAGTTAGGAAGTAAACATGCAACCTGCACAAAAATATAAAAGAATAACAATTTTCCACCTCCATGGGGGATTCGACAATAACCATTGACCCGGCTAGAATATCCAATCGGGTTAGACCGAGGAATCCTCAAGTCTGGATTTTAGTTTACATACTAAATTTGACAGATAGTGCTCGAAATGGGCCAGTTTTAGTATGTAAACCAGAATTCTGGATATGGAGATGATTTGGTGCATCCCGGAGGCTGTAGTCGGCCTAACCTACCCAATTTTGTGGCCATGTGATGCTCAGAAACCACGGTTTTGTGCTAGAAATTATGATTGGTAGATCATCGGTTCTGAGGTTTTGACCCAAACCTCCTTACCGACTTCCGTGATCCACTTCTCTATGTTCCGTCGGGAAAAAAAACATTGACGCGTGCAGGAAGTTTCCCCTTCATCTCACTTCGTTCGTTTCAGGCGCATGGAATAGCAGGCTTTATTTTGCGAATGCGCGCGCGACCATGTTGACTATTATCCCTTTATCTCACTACGTTCGTTCCACGGAATTATACTTTACATGACGTTGGTAAGACTTTTCATGATGTATTTACATGAACCGGCTGTACACGTGCTATCTTCACCCCCACTTCCCTGTTACCCGCCTTCCTGATCCCGCGCAGCACCCATCTTCACCTATACACTTTGAGCGTCATCTCGGATTGGACTGCGCAAAATGCGCCAAGGCTTCTCCCCTCGAAATTAAGCTAACCTGAAAATTGGCCGTAGCGTGGGCAATGCCGCCAGGCACCACTATTGTCATGTTTAATACTCCTTCACTGTTAAAAGCTCAATAATACATTTCCAAGTGAATTTTTCCCCATGTAGGCTTGAAGCAAACAAGATCCTCAAATCAGAATGCACTCAATGGATTCAAAAGAAGTTTCAAAGGACAACCAAAAAGACGGAGATGAATGCTACTAGGAAGATAATCTGGGGAAAAGGGTAGACGGCATCTTTCTTGGGGACCATTGAGACTGTCGCCAAAAGTTCAGACATAATATAACACCTCATCAGTGTCGATATCACCCTCGCGGTCCTGGTGGGTATTGGGTTTCCCACTTGGGCTCCTTCCAAGGAAACCCGTTCGCTCGCATTTCCCTGTATTCAGAATATTCTCCCGCAATCCCAGCCTTCGAGAAAGGAGCAAGACTAAGCACAACATCAGCAACAACCATCAACTCGGTCCGCAGCCGAGAGAACTCAATCGCCGACTCTCCGAAAGATGGCGCCCAGAGACTCCACGGTCCGGAAATAATCGACGTCGTGGGAATCAGATAGTCATGGTATGTTGTTCCGATCCCGCCCTGAGAAGCATAGTACGGGATCTGGGAAGTGTTTTTGGGTGGGTTACCAGGCGTTACAATGAAGCCGTCCAGATTGCGCTCTTTGATAGCTGCACTGACTAGATCTACGACTGCATTTGTAGGCCCAACGCTCCAGAGGGTGGACTCGCTTCTGCCGGTGAAGTTCAAGACACGCCCATATTGGCCCTTTGGAGCTGGTGAGGGCAGAATCTCCCGAGCTCCCATATGCTCAAGAACGATGACCAACGAATTATCCCCGTTATCGTATTCTTCATCGAGCTTCTTGGCGTAAGGGATGGAACCATCTCTGCTGTAGGTCAGATGCCCTGACGTGAAGGCGAATTTTAGAGTCTTGGCTCGATCAGGGGATGACATCGGCTGGGCTGCAAAGTATTTCGCAAGGGCGAGCAATCCAGCAACCCCATTTTCCTGGACCCATGTAGCACCATCCGTGTGGGAATCGATAATAATTGTTTCTTTGGATCTCCCTGGCAGGGTGGCGAACAGCTCACGGGTGTATTTCTGACCTGTGTCTGCAGATATCTTGATGGAAGCCGTCTTGTGGAACTGAGAGGCATTTCGGACTAAGTAGTATTCCTCGGAGCCGAGGTAAACTCCTGGAACATAATAATGTTGACCGAAATGAGGGTCGTAGTAGCCTTCCATGGTCTTTCGAGGGGTGTCAAATGCGTTTATGAGGCCATAAGCTCCACCTTGACCGGGTCAATGAGGTCGACAGCTGGTGTAGAGAGGTATGGCCTTTCATAGGTGCCGTTAAGTTGGGCGGCAAGATCTGGGGAGATGTACTATCAATCAATGTTAGTGACTCATTTCGTAATTCACGCAAATGGTAGAGCAAACTCACATAGGCATCCTTAAATAGATACGCATTAGGCACGGGTAATGGAGCATATTCTCTCAATATTATCTTGCCCCGAACATCCACAGACGATATACTCTGATTTGGTGGGATATAGATCAGAGGACCAGTGAGAGAGGAGCCATTTGTGGGAAGGGTATAGGGGATAGCCCCAACAATAGGAATATTGTGACATTTGCCCTTCAGCTCGATACAAAGTGAACCGCTTTCACTCAGATTTTTACCTACTTTTGGTTCCCAAGTAATGAGATCGTATCGAGACTCTTGTACTTCAACTCCTTGGATTTTATGCAGACTGTGGCTAATCCAGTTAACAAGCTCATTGTGAACCTGACTACCCGGTAGTCGCAATCCAACACTCCCAACCCGATGAACCAAATGGCGAAGTTCATTAACTGGAGAGAACAGTGTCTCGTTGACATTTAGGGCTGTTGAGCCCATAACCATGCCACTGGCTAGGAAAAAGAATGACAATGGGGTCTGAAGCAACATATCGAAAGAAATACTTCTTGAGCATTCCAACCCTAGATCCTTTAAATTTATGACATTTTCAAATTTTACTATTGCCTTGAATTGTTCTTGATATTGCGTATAGATCCACACCCAAATGGAGTGCCAAGCGTGAACCCAGCTCTACCTCCTGCATAGCCCACTCTTCCCCTAACTCCGCGAACTCCGCGACCTCCGCGTTCAACCGAGGCATTAATATGCTAACATAATACTTGGAATAAATGTAACTGAGACAGCTACGCATTCCTGATAAATAATGTAGAAAGCCCGATTTAATGTGGAGAACTGCTAGGAACCCCATCTCTTTAATGCTCCATAACATCCCAAAGGTCTTTATTCAGAGAACAATATATTCAAAAGACATCTCAAGAGCTAGACTGAACGCTGCTTCTATACGCATAGTGCCAATCATGTCGCCCCATATCTTGCCGAACCTTATAGACTGACTCGGCATCATCCAAAATCCTCATATCCAAGTCAATGATTTTCATTGTCTCCTCACAAGTCTCCGCCCTCCCAATACAACCCAAGAAAGGGACCGTGACCTGCGACAACCCCGCAAAGTCTTCTTCTGCCGGACCACCTGCGTTACAAAAGACGACCGCGCAGGTATTCTCGCATGCCCGACTGATAAGCGCCGCATCGAGAAAAACTTTCTCTGCATAACGATTGTGCACTAGTCCCAGGGGAGCGCAGTCAGTGAGCTTCCAAAAGGATGGCACGATGATCAGTTTCGCGCCTTGGCTTATCAGCTCGCGGAATGCTTCCGGGAACGCCACATCCCAGCAGATCAGCATTCCGACCTTCCCTAGTGGTGTGTCAAAGGCAATGTGCGGATCTTGTTGTGATCCCTTCACATGGGGCCGCTCCGGGTGCCATAGATTCTTCTTTTCGTATCGGCCAGCGATAGCGCCGGTGTTGTCGATGAAGTATACCACGTTGAAGATGGTCTCCTCTCCCGTATTCTCATCGCGGTACAGCTCTGCTGCGGAGCCAGGTACAATGCAGATGTTGCATTCTTTTGCCAGGTCACAGTATACATCCAAGTACTGTTTCCAGTTGGCGCATTGGTCGCGAAATTTGGGATCTTCGGGGAAGAAGTCGCCCATATGGTACTCGGGGAGTACTGCAAGGTTCGCACCGGTGCGAGCTGCTTCTCGAATGAAGGCAATCCCGCGGGCTTGGTTGGACTCTGTTTGGTGAGGCTGGCGTGAGAGGTGAGCTAGATGTAGAGGGTGATACACAGAATCGAAGAGCTCAAACGCACTTGGGGATGTAGCTGGATGATAGCAACTTTAATGGTAGACATGATTGCGTTTTGGGTGAACTGCGAAAAATCGAAGACTAGAGACTTTGGATATAACAGAGTCTAATTTTCAATGCATCCAGTAGTCATGTCTTATCTTCTATCGGTGAAATCTCGGGTTCATATAGCTACTAAAGTGATATCTGGGTAAAGCCACTACGGAGCCCGCGGAGCCCGTCTATCCTCACTAACGACTAAAAGGGCAAGTCCTGGCGGACAAGTTATTCACTTAAATGCATCTGGGCTGGGCATGGGCCCTTTCTGCTCGCCGAGCAACGTTATCTCTTCGGCTGCAGTATGATTATGGGGACATTGATTCGTAAACAGTACCGAGACATCGATAAACGATAAAATTGTTCGAAAGCATTGGCTGAATCACCGGCACGCTCTTCTCCAACCGCCCCAGTAAGGTTTGACGCCTGCATAGACCTGCTAGAGCACAGAATTCATTGCCTAGGTAGACGAGCTCGGCTAATTTAAGCCAAGTTTGCTTATCTTTAACAATTGATGGAGCGTACTTTCATAGTATTTTCAGAGATACGGTAGCCTTCGTGATTTCCCCGCATCTATACGAAGCTCCACCTCACTTATAAGGGGCTCTACAGCGTCTGGGCATGACTTGAGCTGTCAACGGTGTTATTTTTGCAAAAATTTCACACCCAGAAGAGCATATCACGCGAGCCGACATTTCAATTACAATTATGGCGGAGATTACAGATCTTGAAACGGCCGGAGAGCATCAACTGACCAAGGACATCACGTTCGATGCCCCAGGAACTGCATATCTAGAAGCTTCTGGTAAGTTGGCTCAAGTAATTGATTGGGAGCTACGGTGAATCAATCCATTCCAATATTTACTATCTGAATAGTTGGAACAGGCTCTTTGCATGGTACAACTATTTTACAACCACGGCCTACCTCAGACCCCAATGACCCGTTGGTGAGTCACGTGGATAGGAAAGTCATGAGAAAAGCTCATGTTGACTCTCGATATACAGAATTGGTCGTTCTCCCGAAAGTCCTTGAACTTTGCCATTGCCTCGTTCTTCACGATGTTGGTCTTTGCTCTGTGGGTTTTCCTTTTTCTTTTTTCTTCTCCGGGTGTATACACGTTCTGACCTGTACAGGATTGACATTGGCCCGGTGATTTGGCAAGACTTTGAGGATCTTCTTCATATTCCATACCCCCAGCTCAACAACCAATATGCTGTGAACTGTGTCTCTCTTGGCCTGGGATCAATTATACTCGTGCCCTTGGCCCTGAAATTCGGGCGTCGGCCTGTATATCTCTTGACCGCTGTGGTGGTTTTACTTACCACGATCTGGCAGGCTGTGCTCAGGGACCTGGCAAATATGATGGCTGCACAAGTATTCAATGGAATAGCTTGTGCTGTTGGATGGACACTGGTTCCTATTACAGTGAGGATTTTTGATGCCATATGCTTTGGCCCATGGGTAAGCTAACACAGTACACAGATCACAGATTTGTTCTATATCCACCAACGAGGACGGGCAAACTCAGTTTATCAATTGTTGAGCAGTACTGGTGTAAACGGAAACTACTGCCCATAAAATGGAATTTCCACTGATAAGATTTCTGTAATAGGTTTTCCTCGCTCCAGTCGCCGCCGGATACATTGCTGATGGTCAAGGTTGGCCTTGGATATATTGGTGGTCAGCTATTTTTGTCGCCGTGAACTTGCTTCTATTTATCTTCGCTTTTGAGGAAACAAAATTCTCAATTCCCACCATTGCGGGGTCGGGAATGAGAACTTTAGCAACAGCTCGAAACACCGAGACCGTTAACGCGAGTGATGTTTTGAAGAGGATAAAACCAGCAAGCTCTGGTCAGCCTACACCTGCGCAGGAGACTTTTATTGAGCCATCTGGAGCAGATTTTGGAATCTCCTATTCTATCCCTCTGAAAACCTATCGTCAGCGAATGGCACTATTCACGACGACCGCTGGACCCCCGGGACAGTTTATGCAAAACATATACCGACCACTTCAGATCCTTGTGACCATCCCAGCCGTAGCTTATGTTACGGTGCAGTATAGCTCTGCTTTGGTGTGGTTCGCGGTAGTGGCCACGACACAATCGGAATATCTCGCCTTGCCCCCATATAACTTCGGAACGACTGGCATCGGTCTTTTGAACTTGCCGCCGTTCATTGGATCTGTTCTTGGGTGCGTATGGGGCGGTCCTGTGAGTGATTGGTCGATAAAGTTCTTTGCCCGTCGAAATGAAGGTGTCTACGAGCCTGAGATGCGGCTTTATATTTCCCTTGTCCCTGGTTTAATCGGTCCCGCGGGTCTGTTCCTGTACGGGTACAGTGTATCAGAGGTATTTATTTCAATCTATTATGCAGGATCCGAGGCTGTAATTAATATTGACTATATGAATATAGGGCCTGCCATGGATATTTCCCTGTCTCGGGTCTGGGCTATATGGGTTTAGCATGGCTGCACTTATTCCAATCGCTCTGACATATTTGACCGACTCATACCACAAGGTGAGTACTTATGCCCAAAATGACTGAGTCACAGAGATATTTATGCGGCTACTGACTCTATGTGAAGATTCTTGGAACCGCATTGATTGGGGTGAGCTTTGTTCAATATATGTGCGCCACAATTATCGTGTTCGCGCTTGATCCGTGGATTAGCAGTATGGGATTGTACAGCACCTTCACCGCAATTGGATGTTTGGCCCTTGGATGCAACTTGTTATGTTTTCCAATGATTATCTTCGGCAAGAAGTGGCGGATCTCTTGCAAGGAGCAATACAAGAAAATGTCAAGTACTCAACTCGATGAAAGAGGGGTTTGATATTCCGTGCAACTGAGAGTGCTTGGCGTCATGGCCTGCTCTGCATCATCCGACCAGTGCAGGGTCTTGACTGAACTTATCGCGAGAAATCAAATGAATAACTTGAGGTCTCAACAGTCTCGAGCCGACGACTGTACTTTTAGGAAATACCCACGGTCGGGGTTCTCGGACAGTCCGGGGACTAGAGGAGTCAAAAGCTTCAACGTCGATGAAGCCATTGCCGGCGCCTGTAAAGGAATTTTGTTTTTTATATTATTCTGATCGGACATGACCGATCTGCGCTCAGTAAGGGAGAACAAGAGAACTAGAGAAAATTGCAGGAAAGGTATCATAGTTATAGGAGAGAGATCATTAGACTTGGCTGTAGCACTAGAGTGAGATTAAAAATGTATTTAGTAAGAATTTATCAATAATAGAGCAAAAGAGCAAAAGAGCGAGCGAGGAAAAGGAAAAAGAAGTAGATATAACATAATTCTAGATAATGCATTCTCTCCACCAGCCACGTTAATGGTGGAAGCATGCGCTGTTTCGACACTCCGAAGCGCCAACGCGGCGGGCGTCGCGTCTAACGCTAGAAAAATATGGTTATTTAATCGTCTTCCACCGCGTTTCAACATTCATTTTATCAAAGAAAAGCTGAAGGAGCGAAGAAGAATGAAATTGGAAGATACAGGCTATTGTATAGTTTAGTAGGAGCGGCTAGAGATATAGATCCAGAGTAACAAGTTGCGACCGAAGGATCTGAAACCGGCGTAGTCTGTGATGTGCTTCTGATAGCTAGGTTGAGCTAAACTAAAAAGACGACGGATCTTAGCTTGAACTGCTAACGATAACATCAATGCTAGAGCGTATTGCCCCCGAAGGTCTTTAAAATTGGAAATTACTGAGTCGTGAGGTACTGATGACGTGTGTGGCTGGCGGGCCCGCGGAGCTTGCGGAAGACCGAGAAGACGACTGTTAGTATCTGTCTGCGGAGTTCGCGGAAACTGCCTCGTACTTCATCCTCTCGGTATCGAAATGAATTCGCAGGCCCGTGAGCTTCCCTCAGCCGACCTTCCCACGCGCAAGAGAAAGCGCACCGCATGCCAGCCATGCAGGGATCGTCGCGTGAAGTGCGATAATGGCCGCCCGAACTGCCAGGCGTGCTGCACATTAAAACAAGCTTGCGTATACCCCGACGAGAGCGCCTCTAAGAGCACAAGGTATATACATTGATCCTCAATCACAAAGAAGCTATAACTAACTTTCGAAACTAGCTACGACCCTGGCTCGGTTGAGATTTTACACCAATTGGAAGGCATTAGAGCCATTTTGGACCAAGTTGCCCGAGCGCAACATGATTCTGGCACGGCATCTTTATTCAAGTCGCACTCAATTCCTGAGTCGGTCGCCAAGTCCAACGACAGTTATTCAACCCCAGCTGGCTACAGCCCAAGGGGTCAGGACCGCGGAAGGGAGCATGGCATGAGTGGCACAAATGGCCGGTCGGCATTAAATGTGCCTAGTGTTAATGCCGAGAGTCTCCTTCACTGGCCCAAGGTCATAGAGGTCCTCGGCACACCAGTTGTGGAGAGATCATTTCTACTCGAATGTACTTTGGATATGACTCCAGCCTCGGCACCGGAATCCCAGCCATCCTCATCCCAGTATGGAATGCGCGAAGACGACTATCTTCCACTTTGCCAACGCTTTCTAGATGAGGTGCATGTACGCAACCCTATTCTTGAACCGAACGACCTTAAACGGTACGCCAAGGAAGTGACCGAAAATGGGTTGAAATGGGATAACAAGTCGTGTCTTGTGGTATGCTATCTTAGATTTGCTATTTTCTACTAGCTCAAGATGCTGACCATTCAATTCAGCTTCTGGCATGTGCTCTTAGCTGTTTTGCAGTCCAATCACCCAAAGAAAAAGCAGAAAGATCGGATACAACGAATGACACAGAAAATGGCTTGAGAAAGGAGGGAAGCTCTTATGCTCAAGCAAAGGTATACTATCAAACAGCGCAGAAGCGTATCGGGTATCTTGGCACTAGTTTGCTGGACATTCAATGCCTTTATCTAGCAGGGATATATGAGAAGCATACTCTAGGGGTTCTCCAAGCCTGGTTCTGGATTGAACAAGCCTGTTCTCGACTACATGCATACATATTATGCAAAGGAAGACCAACAGGAGTGTATGAAGAAAATGAGCGCCGCCTTGAACAACGCCTGTACTGCTCCTGCGTCAAAGCTGAGGGGTAAGCAAGTAATTGAACTATTCACTTGTCAAAATTCTAATACTTGACCCAGGGAGTTCTCGAGTGAAATACCGCTTGCTCGAAGCGCTCTTGTGTCGCTTGACTATCCAGACCCATTCCCCTCGCCACCCACACTGCCCGCAGTTTCCAGCGAAAGCCCTGACATTGACACTCAGGATATTTTGTTCAGCAAAAGCCAAGAACAGAGCTGGCTATACTATCTGGCCGAGATTGCGCTACGAAGAACACTAGACCGTGCATTGCCAATAGTGTATTTACCCGAAGGCCCATCAGTTTGGATGGAGAGTATCGAACATATCCTTCAACTATCTAACCAAATTGATGGACAATTGTCTGCCTGGTACGATCACCTACCACCCGCAATACGCCCATCTGTAAACCCACAGATTCAACCGAGTCACCAGCTTTCCTTTTTCATACAAGGCCGGTTCTTAGGTGCTCGAGAGAGTATCCTTCGGCCGTTCCTCTACTATGCTTTGCACAATGAATCCCGTCCAATGAACCAAGTCATTTTTTCGCGTGCCAATGAATATTTAAATCTGATAAGAGGCTTAATTATACACCTGAGCAAGCACGAACGCCACGGAGCACTTTGGTTTGTGCTCCGCGGAATCTGGTCTCTGTCTATTGTTATCTTGACAACTGTGCATGCTCAAATTGACGGCCTACACACACCAACCGATTGGCCTGAGTTAGTGAGGATCTCTTCTGAAATGTTGCGTGCTTGGAGCTCAGAAGCGGCTGATATTCGGCTGATGTATGAGACCCTGGTCCGTGCTCACCTGGCTATCTGTCGTGAGGTTGGGATATCCGCGGAGGTCGCGGATTAGCCTCGTTAGCAGTATTCTCTGTTACTTTAACGCACCAGGAGAGACACTAAGGAGATGTGCAAATCTGTGACAATATTTGAGAAATGAAAATCTCTGTATCATCAGTTCCATCGATTGCGATTAATAGATACCAAATCATGTTGGTGCTCTTATTCTTTTATAAATAGCCGGTAATTATCTCGTTTCCGAAGTCGCCTCTGCCAACTTGTTGATTTCTATCCCATGGTATTAGGCGATGCTAATTGGCAACTGTGAGCTGATCTGGTATCTGGTATACCTACCACGGTCGTACCTTCAAGCAGTACTCGCAACCGTACCGCATCCTAGTCAGCTGGGCTTCATACGGACCCGGGTCTGTAAAGTAGTCTTGTACATGTGTTCCAGGTAGAGCACCAATAAGGTCAGATCACTGAGGAGCTGGCCTGATTGTAGGATGGGTTCAGCAAGTCCAATAATGAAGTTCCTGTCGTAAAATAGATTCTAAGTAACAATGTAGGATTGATTGCGAAGAACTAAACTAGATACAAAAAATGAGTGCCCTTATATGTCCTCCGTCATCCTACCTATGGGTAGGATCTGTTCTATCCGCTGATGTGATCAGGTCTTAACCTGGATAAGACCCAATCCTAACGTATCCTAGGATAGGTTCTGTCGTACGATAGAACTAGTCATGTGTTGTCGTGGGATAGGCTTTGTCGTAGGGCTCAGTCAACTCTGTGGGAATTGTGGCCGTTCCTAGGGCGAGGCGCGTCCTAGGATACGGCTTGTCCTAGGATGTGGTTTTATCACGTGTACTGTGGATTGTCCTACGGCGACCGTTATCCTAGGATAAAGCTCGTCGCGGGACACAGTGAAAACCATAGCTCCTCCATTTCGGTGCTATAGTTATGGTATATCGGGGGGTACTGTGAAATGGCACGGCAGAGGGTGGCCCTTTACACGTGACCTTTGGTTGATTGGCTCTCGTTGGCCTATCGGTGTGTGTCAGCCCCTCAAACAGTTGGTGGCTCCAAGGGTCGTAACACATTAGTAAGATTAGGGGATAGAGGGCTTAGGCGCGATATGAAGGTACTAGTGCAGTATCGTGCGGGGGAAATTATTGCGATAGAAAGCGGCTATAGTTCTCCGATCGAGCCTTTCTTTTAATTTCCTTTTACTCTATTTATTTGTTTTGTTTGTTTATGTGGAAGTTGGGGAAGCCCTACCGGATTTAGAACTTCAACACTCTGATTCCTCAACTCCGTACGTAATTCTGCAGTTCAGCTGCAGAATTATATTATAGATATATCTTTAGTTATATAACCAAAGAATATAGAGAATATAGATAAAATTATTAAAAAGTACTCTTTTAAAGTTTAATTTACTGGAAAGGGTTTCTCTATCACAGCGGCAGTAGGGAAAGTCATTTTCTTCCGCTTCAGGCTTAGTTCAGAGCACCCTGCATAGAAACATGGTATTTAAAGCGAGCTTTACCGGGTTAAAAGTTTCTACTACTTATATCATAATTGTACCAAAAAATTTAGACAAATTTTTCCGGGTGAATATGGCCTTTCAGATCGGTATAATAGTAGAATCGGGCACACATCCCATAGTAGCTACTTATACAATTTTTGTGTCTTTTCAGTCGTAGCCCTTCACCTTCAAGATCTTCCTTATCTAGTGGTCGAGGAATACTCAGTTGTAAGTGTCTTCAAATAAACTAACGGAAATCCAACTTCCGTATTTGGGTCAATACTTTCCAGGTCATCTGGTCACATTTGAGATGTGCAAATTCTGGAAGCGTGTCAAAATTCCAAGGACTGCAAGGCCGCAAACACACTCTTTTACTCTCGTACTCATTTGCGGATCATTACACCCTTTGGGAACGGAATATCGCAACCCAGGGATATGATTGGCGCATTATTCAAGCGAGGCATTCCTATGTTACCCTGTAAGAATGGACAGCCTAAGGTAAAGAACCACGTCTAAATGAAGCTTAGTATCGTGGAAGAAATAACAACCCTGAAACTGAATAATTAAGGTCTGTCTCTTCTTTAGATTTATTTCAATCCAACTCCCGCCTGCACGTTCTCGATCTCAGCCGTACCATCCTCCAATTTCTGCCGCACAGATATTGGCACCTCAACCTTCTCGCGCATATCCCAATATTTATTCCACTTTTTCTCACAAGTCACGTCCCCACCACAGCCCGCAAAGTGAACAATATGGTCGCCAGGCTGCCAATGTTCTCCAATCATGTTAGAATCCGGATATGCATTCATCGAGCGCTGAGTCGTAATCGCCGCATGGTCTCGCACAATGCCGTGGTACTCCCACATATGCGTCCAAGCATCGTTCTCTGGGAACACCCAGTTCTGCGAGATGTAAAGCGGCTCGACCCAGAGATCAAGTAACCACTTGCTCCACTCACCCCTGCGTATCAAAAAGTTGCCCACATTCATACCCCATGAGTCCAGAGAGATCACGAAATTGATATCGTTGTGCTTGTAGGTGGCTGGCGTACTAAAGCCGCTTTTACCACCGCCAGCGCCAGTCATCTCGCGATCGAGAAGAATATTATGAGCCAGCCCTTCCTTTGACAAGATATGGTCGTAGATATTGAGTGTGGTGTTCATAATGATGATGTCCATATCCATCCACCAGACCCATTCAGCGTCGGGGTGACGCTCAAAAGCCTCCTTCAAAATAGGAATCTTATTCCAGTAGATCGCTGCCCCGTTTGGCAAATTGTAGCTCGTCATGTTGGCCCACATGAATTTGAAACCGTGTTTCTCGGCGTAGGTCTTTCGATTCTCGTAGATCATCTCTTTGATATGTGGCATCCCGAGCATGCGGTTTGTGCCTGAACTACCAGTCACCATGACAACTTTCTTCTTTGAGAGGGAGTCGGGGAGAATATTCTCCACCCCGGTTCCTGCCGCAACACTTGCAATTCTGTGGAGGCTGCCTTCCATTACTTTATGTGCGAAGTTGCTGTCGGACTCTCCATCCTGGACGTTCTTTGGTCCGGTCTCCCAGGATGGCCATTGGGGTCGGTATTGAAAGAAGGATATCCACGCCCACTAAACAATTTAGCATTAGTAAGGTTGAGGGAGTTTCGAATCCAATAATTTCCACTCACAAAGCAGCCGATTAAAACGGCTGCAACAATGACGGTGTGAAGTATTCTGAAACGCATGAGAGACCTTCTGCTAACGTGGTTAGTAAGCACAATCATTGAGAGAATTGTCCATGTGGTGTGTACCTTATCATGGTTATTTAGGCTGATCTTAGGTGACTTGATGACTTCAAAATCACCGGTTCTATCCCAAAGATGAGACTATAAGTTTGTCACGGTGAGGTATGCCGCGGACGTGTTTGGGATCTTGAGGCTGCTATTGAAGTACAATAGCGGTAGGTGAAATTTTATATTCCAGAGGAGAACGAGGCTAAGAGGAAGAAGAAAAGAAGCAATATCTGGCTGAAATAGTGTCTAATACGAACGATCAAGTGATGTTTCACGGTGCAAAATCAACCCGCATGCGGAGTCTTGGCAAATACATCTGAGCGAGACTCAGTTTCTGGGTACAACTCGAACTTTAAGTTCTTGATAGTCCTAAAATTTATCCTCGAAATCTGCGGAATTTTGTAGACAGCCTTTGTATAGGTTGTGTTTGCTCTACTGAGCTGAGTTAGAAGTTGGGAACTCTCATCCTGGGACACCAGGCGGGGCCGCTTCCGGCTGATCGAGGGACTCGGCCTCAACACTGGTATCCCGAAGATGAACATCTCAAAGACGTTAAAGTGAGCCCCTATGCATTTGCGTTGTCCCCGTGATGACTATGTCATCTTTATTACCATGTTTACGACGCATACTGCGGAGGATTTATGCCGGGAGGGAACCTGGAAGCCGGGTGCCGCGGTGAATAATGACAATGCTGATATAAGCAGATTCTTAGGTCACCGCTTTCGTGTCCGCCTAATGACGCCTGGACTTTCAGGCTGAAACTTTGTGTCGGAATGTTTTATATGCAACCAATCAACGATATCAAAAGCTCTGTTCTTGTATTACCCCTGATTCTGCCAATTTATAGGGGGATTCTAGATTACATAAGTAATAAACATGAAGGATAATTATATCTCCGGTCCACCGCGGTATTCGTATTGACACTTTGGGTCAAAATTTTGATCACTAGACTAAAAATGCCAATGACACTTTTTTGTGCTAGATCCGTCATGTTTTCATGCCGACACACCCCCTCAGGATGCGCCCTATCATAGAGGGTATCCTGCTGTATGCAGGAAAACCTCAGACTTTTTCATCTGTGGTATGTTCGGCTCTTCTGAGGGCAATAGTCTTCTTTTTCTGTCTTTCGCCTAGGGTAAATCTGTCCGGATCTTCTCTGCCGGGCCCTAGGGACTAAAAGAGACTGACTCTACGGGTATTCGCGGGTAAGGATAGCGTATGGCTCACTTACACCCAACCGTTTTATATTTTAATGCTCCTCTTGTGGCTCGAACCTCTGACCACAAAGTCCAGGATAAATGCGAACCGGGCTCATAACTGTCGAAAAGACTTTGTATACAACCAATCAACGATATCAAAAGCTCTTTTTTTGTATTACCCCTGAGTCTGGCAATTTATAACGTAGTCGGTAAGCGAGTGAGCCATGTAAGCGAGTGAGCCACCCAACCACTTTTTCGCGTCCCACCGCAACAATCTATCTTCTATTAACCACCATACCTCCAAAACATATCAGATCAAGCCAAGATTGTATCGAGCAAGAAGGTCGCCTCTTGCTTGCTATATAGGCTATTAAAAATAAAGAAATTAGCACTATTCGGAAGGCTACAGATCGATTTCAAGTTAATCGTTATACGCTCACGCGTCGGCTTCGCGGTACCATAAATCGCGCTGAATCTCGCGTAAATAGTCATAAATTGACCTAAATCGAAGAGGATATACTTCAGTAACGGATATTGTTGGACAATAAGGACGGTGATACCACGAGGCCGTTCGTGGCGCCAACTAGGCTTTGCGTACCCCCTTAGTGTCTTATATCGCTTTATCCAACTGGTCGGTCCAAGTTGGACAAAGGAAGACTCTTAGGATAGACTACACACTGATGTAGCCTAAACGAGAACAATTCACGCTTTAACTCATAGAGGAATGATCACACTGACTAAGGGTTGCTTTTACCCTTTTGTATGCAAGACAAGCAAGAAAGGAACTTAGGCAGTTTCCAAAGAGAGTGAAAAGTCTGATTCTTCTACCTGGTAATCCATCGCGTATTTATAGACAAATATACCTCGGTATCACATGCTTCGGACCAAAGGAAATACCTCAAAGAGAAGTGATAGAACTGAATGGAAGCATACAGATCATAGACAATGATATCATAGACAAGGCATAGTAAACGCAGATCAAGCGGGGTAGAAGCAGATAGAACAGCATAGAAAAGAGTCAAGAATCTAGGCGGTATTGACCGCCTATACACACCCCCTAGCGCGAGTGCCATTTACCCCTAAAGAAGGGCCATCCACCCCCCAGGAGACTGGTCCCCCCTACTCTTCTAGGGCTAAGGTCTATTTGGTCACGTGATTGTCGACCGTCTTCCTCGCGCCAGGATATATAATGAATGTCCAACTAGGGTTTAGGGTTTCCTAGCCTAAACCTAGTTTTGTCCTCTTTTATGTTGAATAATAAGAGGGTAGATCCACTTATATGTATTGGTCGATATTCCAACAGATATTATCGCTAGATCTACGCGGTGTAGCCCCTACGTAAGCTCACGTACGAGAAATAGCGAATATTCTACTTACGAAGCGCGGTTCTACCCCTATCTAGACCGTCGGCGAAAAATGGGTATATAACTTCACCTAGCGCTATCCAGAGCTTAAAGCTCGCTTTTCTCGACGATATAATTATTAGCGGGCCGAATAGGAGGATCCAAAGATTATTTAAGCGTGGTTTAACCTCGTATAAGCTATAATTCAATAATATAGTGTTGGACAATAAGGGCGGTAATACCACGAGGCCGTTCGTGGCGCCAACTAGGCTTTGCGTACCCCCTTAGTGTCTTATATCGCTTTATCCAACTGGTCGGTCCAAGTTGGACAAAGGAAGACTCTTAGGATAGACTACACACTGATGTAGCCTAAACGAGAACAATTCACGCTTTAACTCGTAGAGGAATGATCACACTGACTAAGGGTTGCTTTTACCCTTTTGTATGCAAGACAAGCAAGAAAGGAACTTAGGCAGTTTCCAAAGAGAGTGAAAAGTCTGATTCTTCTACCTGGTAATTCATCGCGTATTTATAGACAAATTGTTGGAATTTGGACCAATGCTACATTAGGTGAAGGTATCCTCTTATTCAACATAAGAAGAAGAAGAAGAAGAAGAAGAAAAGAAAGAGATGCGAACATGATTTACCCCTCCAAACCACTTACCCCTCTTTACCCCACCAGATCGATGACATATCCCTCATTACGCCATCAGTTCTATCACATTTCCTTCCCTGATTCTATTCTGTTTATCTGATATAAAGCATGTGACTTTGACCACTTTTTGTCTATAAATACGCGCGAGACACCAAGTAGAAATGAGAGACCTTTCACTCTCTTCAAATATTTTACTTATCCTTTCTATCTGCTTAGAAAGACCTTCTGCTTAGTCCTTTGTTTGAGGATTGTGGATTGTACTCATTTAGAGTGCATAAGCCCTTTGCACTCTATCTTATTCTTATTATTCTTTTCCATCTTTATCCGATCAAGCCTTCCTTGGTCGGGTAGTCAACGGTCCGTGGTGGGGAAGCATCTACAAAAGCGTACCCCGCGCCACGAAAAGCTTCGTGGTATCCGCCTCCCTACACGGCCGAAAGTTATGAGCCCGGCAGTTCTCTAAGCCCTTTGAGAATTATTGATCTTATTATTCTTTACCCTTACCTTATTACTTCACTTTATCCTTACATTATCCTCACTTTGCCTTCACTTTATCTTTACCTCTGCCTTACATCTATCATACGAAATGATGTCTACCTCTATTGAATCAACTAAGATTGGTACCACTTTGTCAGATTCGTCAGACTGGCATCTATGGATTAACCAGATTAGATCCTATGCTATAGCCAAAGGCGTATGGACCTATATCGACCCAGACAATCAAACAAAAAGGGAAATCCCTAGCCATCCTATCCGTCCAAGGGTATCCGATATCAATCCTAATATGGTCACTGACGACCAGTTTGACCAGAACGAACGCGAGAGGTGGAGGGACCGACGAAGGGACTATAAGCTAGATCTTCGCGAATATGACCGTACAGCAGGGTCTATTTCGCAAATCTATCTATTGATCCAATCATCGATCTCTCATTCTAGCAAGCTTATTACCCAGCACCTATCATCCGTCTATGAGACTTTGCAGGTCTTGCAACGACGCTACGCTCCAACAACAGAGAGCAGAAAGCGGTCGATCATTACGAAATACCATAAGATGCGGCAAATGCCTCAGTCTATCACTATAGACGCATAGATTTCACAGTGGGAAAATGTCTATATTGAAGCCGTCTAACTAGGCATAGGCGAAGTGCAAACGAAAACAAGACCACTTCTAGACTTTCTGGATTCTGTTTCAAATATGTCACCATTCTTCACCGAATACTGGCATAATGAAATTACCAAGCTTGAATCCATAGGTTCTGAAGAGTCTATTGACTTCTTTATCCTCACGAAGAGGTATAGGGATTCAATCAAGCTCTTACCACCAAAGAGAACGCCTATTACAAACGCCACCTTTCAAGGACAATCAGACCAGAACGACCAAGATAAGCCTAGTCAAGGCAAACAGATAAAGAAAACAAAGAACTCATGTCCTTGCGAAAGCGGTGCCAATAAAGGCTATCATTCATTCAGCGAATGCCTATATGTCAACCCATCTATCAGGCCTAAAGGATGGAAGCCTGATCAGGCTATCCTAGGCCGTTTCAACCAGGCATACACTCACGAAGGCTTTAAGTATGCGTACGAAAACGCTATAAAAAAGCATCAGCCTGAGCAGGGCCAGTCGGGTAATCACCTAGGTATGGTCACATGCCTAGCCACTAGACATGATCGATCCAATATGTGGGCATACGATTCAGCTGCGGACACCCACGTCTGCAATGATCGGTCTCAATTCGTCACCTTTTCGTCTCACCAAGGCGACCTTTTAGTGGGTGACACTAAATCCTCTATAGAAGGCATCGGTCTCGTCTATCTATCCTTTGGTGATACCACTTTCGACCTCTACGAAACCCTTTATGTTCCACGCTTCCATTTGAACATTTTATCTGCAAAACGGGCTAGAAAGGGTGGTGTTTACCACAATCAAAGACTAAATCAACTTAAAAGAGAAGATGGAACACCCATCTGCAGCACATCAGACGAAACAGGCATTACCCTTATTCAAAGGGAACAAAGCATGCCTACGACCCTTCCACTTTACCCACAGAAGTCATTCAATACCACTTCTATTCAGCAACAGCAGGACAAATCAATCGTCCTATTATCATCCACGAAGCCATCTAGCACAAAAGGGACAGATAACCTATGGCATCAGCGCCTAGGCCACCCTAGCCTAGATACGGTCAAGCACCTAGAAAGTGCCTCAACTGGTGTGGTAGTAGATCACTTTTCGGCCGAAAAGATCACTTGCGAACCATGCCTACTATCAAAGGCCAAACGACAGATTTCTAGGCGACCAATCCACATTGGAGATCAAGCGTTCGAAACCTTGCATTGGGATCTTATTCATTTAAGTCCTGGAATCAACAAAATCCACTATGCAAGCCATGCCTATTGTCCGGTGACTAAATACCACCTATTGACCAATATTGGACGAAAGAACCAGATCCAATTATCACTACAGCAAATGATCGATTTCACCCGAATCCAGTTCAACATACGGATCAAACGGATCCACCTAGACGGGGATAGAAGCATTGATGCAGATAAGCTTCGAAACCAAGGGATTGAGGTGATTGTATCACCACCCTACCAACCAGAACAGAACCCATTCGCAGAGAGGTCTGGAGGCATCATCGTCTCTAGGGCTAGGGCTATGATCATTCAAGCCGCATTGCCAGAACATCTATGGCCTGAGGCAGTTCAAACCGCAGTTTACTTGATCAATCGGACACCGAACAAGCAACTAGACTGGAAATCACCATATCAAGCCCTATACGATAGCCTAGACCAAAAGCCAGGCTATATGTAGCAGAAGCCTGATTTATCCAATCTACGAGTCTATGGATGCAAAGTTTTTGTCCGGATTACCATCATTCCACGCCTGGCAAAGATGAAGCCCAGGGCTATGATAGGCTACCTTGTTGGCTTCAAAGCATCCAATATCTGGAGGATCTAGGTGCCTAGGGCTGGACGAATCATAAATGCAAGAGACTGCATATTTGACGAAACAAGCTTCTATCAGCCGAATTCACCATACGATCTAGTCAATGACCAATCAGGGGCACCTATGGAGCCCTTGATAGCATCAGAGTTCAATCTAGTCATCACAGAGACTAGTATTGAAGAAAATATTGATGATCCATTGACTATACCATGCGAACCACCTTTGAACGAAACATCAGATAGCGAAGAAGAGGATATAGGCGAAGACCATATCCTCGGTGACCAGCCACTTTCCCCGATTGAACCAGAAAGTGATCTAGAAGTGAGCCAAGACCAAAGTGAAAGTGAGGATGCGCCGACTCTAAAAGGTGCCCAGAACACACCTTATTCGGGCGAGTCTAGAGGAGAAAGCCCATCACTTCGTCCTCACCTACCAGTTGAAAATGACTCACTTCTCTTTGAGCAAGAAGACCCTTCCCTTCTATCCCAGATCACTATTCCAGCAGAAGACCTTACCCCAGACGCACGTGTGCCAGACCATACGCCAGACTTTATGGTTTTAATTGACAATTCCTCATACGACCAAGAGATGCTGAATCAATATGATCATCCTAAGCGGGATAGATCTCCCTCACCTGATTCATCTAACAAACGACAATCCTATGCTTCATTCTATAATGCATTCTCTACCGCATTGATCAAGAACCAGCCCAAGAAGGTGCATCAAGATGATCTTCCACCACCGCCTGAAAGATGGGACGATATGCTCTCCCACCTATATAAGGCTGATTTCCTACAAGCTGCAGACGTTGAATTTAGAAAGCTTGAAGCAATGCATGCATGGACTTCTACTAGACGAAAGTCTATAGAAGACGACCACCAGGCTAAATGCAAGGCTATTAAGCCTCAACGATGCCCTTCGCATCAGATCCTTCCACTAAGATGGGTGTTTACCTATAAAGTGGACGACAAAGGCTACCTATCTAAATTCAAGGCAAGAGTCTATGTCCGTGGCGACCTTCAGATTAAAAGAGATGATAACACGAGGGCTACCACCCTCGCAGCACGAACCCTTCGGACACTTCTAGCAATCACCGCAGCATTCGACCTTGAAATGATGCAATTGGATGCAGTAAATGCCTTCCTAAACAGCAAACTAGATGACCCAGTCTATGTCTCTTACCCACAAGGATACGGCCAGAAAAACCATGTGTTGCGGCTTAATCAAGCCCTCTACGGTTTAAGGGTCGCGCCTATCCTATGGCAGCAAGAGATCGGACGAAAACTGGCCCAGTTCGGTCTTGAACCGGTTCCTGAAGATCTATGCCTATTCATACACGAAAAGATCGTTTTAATGATCTTCGTGGACGATATCCTGATCATTTACCACCGCAATCACCAAGAGGAAGCCTATACCCTTAAACGAAGGCTTATGTAAGCCTACGAATTAAAGGATCTAGGCGAGGCAACTAGATTTATAGGCATACGAATCACTCGCGAAAGAGCCAAAAAGAAGCTATGGATCACTCAAGATGCCTATATCGAAAAAATAGCGCATCGCTTTCATCTTACCTCTTCGAAACCAGTGAAAATACCTATTTCGGCCGAAAAATCATCTCATCCACCGGCCGAATATCAAGCACCAGCGTCTATGATCCATCTGTATCAACAGAAGATTGGATCTATCCTTTACGCCACGATTATCACGCGGCCCGATGCGGCAAAAGCTTCACAAATGCTATCAGAACACCTCACGAACCCTACTGATCAGCATATGCAAGCCGCAGACAAAGCCATTGTCTACCTTTACCACACTCGATATAAAGCTATTAAGTACTCACCTACATTACCTACATATCCTACCTTCGTCTGTGCAAGTGATGCATCCTATGCAGATAATATCGGACGAAAGTCATCAGAAGGCTATATTGCATACCTTTTTAATGGTCCGATAGACTGGATTGCTAGGAAACAGAAAACAGTCACCACATCCACCACTGAGGCCGAACTACTTTCAATATCATCAGCAAGCAAACACGTCATGTGGTGGAAACGACTATTTAGGTCCATCAGCCTAGACCTAGACCAGACGATAAGTGTCCTCTGTGACAATAAACAGACCGTTGACCTTCTTACCAAGGTCAATTCCTTATATCGGACAAAGCTTAGGCATATCGATATCCACCACCACTGGCTCCGCCAAGAAATAGTGGTAGGTAATATCGATATAGCCTGGATCGAAACGAATTCAATACCTGCAGACGGCTTAACGAAGCCACTGCCCAATCAGAAGCATCAGCGCTTCATCCATGACCTGAATATGGTCGATATTGAAGAAAAGATCAATCAGTCCGATTAGATTCACCGATTATGCAAGCATAGGCAAAATTCTTATCCAATTCAGCTTATAGAAGACTATAAAGCTGAAGGGGGTGTGTTGGAATTTGGACCAATGCTACATTAGGTGATGTCGGCCGTGTAGGGAGGCGGATACCACGAAGCTTTTCGTGGCGCGGGGTACGCTTTTGTAGATGCTTCCCCACCACGGACCGTTGACTACCCGACCAAGGAAGGCTTGATCGGATAAAGATGGAAAAGAATAATAAGAATAAGATAGAGTGCAAAGGGCTTATGCACTCTAAATGAGTACAATCCACAATCCTCAAACAAAGGACTAAGCAGAAGGTCTTTCTAAGCAGATAGAAAGGATAAGTAAAATATTTGAAGAGAGTGAAAGGTCTCTCATTTCTACTTGGTGTCTCGCGCGTATTTATAGACAAAAAGTGGTCAAAGTCACATGCTTTATATCAGATAAACAGAATAGAATCAGGGAAGGAAATGTGATAGAACTGATGGCGTAATGAGGGATATGTCATCGATCTGGTGGGGTAAAGAGGGGTAAGCGGTTTTGGAGGGGTAAATCATGTTCGCATCTCTTTCTTTTCTTCTTCTTCTTCTTATGTTGAATAAGAGGATACCTTCACCTAATGTAGCATTGGTCCAAATTCCAACATAAAGTGATTACCTAAGTAGAATACTACGGTCGGAGATCTGTTCTATAGTAAGGAGATCGTGAGTGGGTAACCGTAATCGAGTTAATTAACGCTTCTAGGTGGGCGCTTCCATTAACACTTATCTTTAAAGGTAAGCTATATAACCAGGCGTAGTTTAAAGACCTTCCGTAGGACTGGCGCTTCGAGGTTAGTCAAAATAGGTAGATAAGCGACGAGATAGGCCTTCAGTGGCTTCAAAAGTAATTTATTCCGTTAACAAATTATCGTACGCGTGGAATATATCAATTTCTAGTCCTTAACGGCCACGGGAGTTATCTTACATTAGAATTTGACCAAATCTACACAGAATATAAGATTATACCGGTCTATATACTAGTATATTCCTCGTATCTTCTATAGCCCCTCGATATCGGATGCTTTACGGTGTTAAAGCGCTTATATAGCAATTTAAACACCTAAAAGATGCGGCTCGGTATCAACTATATCGATAATGAGATTCTGGAGGTGGAAAGGTGTGTATTGCTAAGTAAGTGTACGAAAGGATAGAAATATGCCTTAAGGGCGGTGCCGTATGGCAGAAAAAGTAGGGTAACGTGACCGTTCGTATCCCCATACAAGGCCGTGTTATCACAATAAGCTTAACTTCCTCGTAGCTTATCCATAAGCTCGTAGCGACATATTCAAAGTAGACATAATTATTAATAGCTTTAAAGCAGTAGGATTAGTACTACTTAATCCCGAATCAGTGCTATTAAAGCTTAATATTCAGCTTCGAACACCTACACCTCCCGGAAGTCATAGTAGTCAAGTAAGCGCTTTTAACCCATATACGCTAGCAAACGTTCACAATCTTTATAAACAAGCATCCACAATCAAAGCTTTCCTTAAGTAACGCTCAAAAAGCCTACCATCGCCCTCACACGCTACGTTAAACCAGCTTATTAAAGGCTATCAAATGGCGATGGAACGAGGTATCTTCCTTAAGGATAAAAACCACAAACTACGAGCCGCAAACCTCATACAAAGACAAGCGTGCTCGTGTGTGTCGATGGATAGCCTATGATAATGGCCTATCTGTACGAGAAGCATAAGAGCTTAAGGAAGCCCATAATACGTCGACACAAGCGACACAAGCACTACAAGTGCTTTATGCGTAGGATACACAAGCACCGAGTACGCGACGCCCACCAAGGTGTTCTAAATGCTGGCAGATCGGACATAAGAGGAATACATGTAAAGCTTCATATTAAATGAATAACATAGTGTTGTGGTTAATAAATTCAATAAACAGTGTAAAATAAGTGGGTTGGGTGGCCGCTCGCTTACACTGGCCGCTCGCTTACCGACTACGTTACAAAATCCTGCTTATATCAATCAGCATTGTCATCCCATGGCGCTATTCACCGCGGGGTTCCTCTTCGGCTCCCTGCAGGGTCGAGTCTCATCTGGTCATACATTGCCCTGTCTTCATTTACCCAACTTTTTGCATGAGGGGTGACAGCTTTCAAATCTGTGTCAATGTCGGCCCTCCATGCTCCTCTCGAGCTTACGACGAACTCCGTGGATCTATTATGGTCTACCGACACTTTCAACTGTTACCCTCCTAGCGAGGCATGCAGAAGAAATGGGGAAACTGTTAGACTCATTGTCTATGACAATAGAGGATGCACCGGTAACACTGTTACGAGCCTTAATGGTGGCTCTGTGACTTGCTTTGTATTCTAAAAAGCGGGTGGTTACAAGGTGATCACAAGAGATACCAAATGCTAGAAAAGAGGTGGCCGAGTTTCACTGCATGGTGTATGATCAAATTGAATCAAAATGTTGTTGGTAGGCCTTTTGATTTATATCGTCTTTTGGCTATATGGGAGGGACCAAGGGTAAATGACGTTCGCCTTGAATTTTCTTTTGTTCATTGTGTTTAAATATCTGCGTTTCCCTTGTCTTGCTCTTTTCTTTTTCTGTTCGTGTCAAAAATTGGCCATATATCATTGGATTTAAGCTCTATGGATGCTGTATTCTATGACGCCATACGCTCAGGGCGACGTTGCAGTTCCTTGACCATATCTATCCCAACTTGGGTGAACTTATCCAGGCTCTCCTCCGGCAACCCAAGCAGCTCATTCTGTGCCTTGACCGAGCAATTACTCGGATCATCCGGGTAAAATGCCCTCGCGTAGAGAAGCTTGCTAAAACCAGCCATGTTACCACCTTTAACTAGCGCCAGGCCATCTTCGTATCGCTTCTTGGTAGCCTCACGGGTAACCGTCCAGTCAGCGTCACTAGTGCCCGTGACGCGCTTGACGCTCTCAAATATCTCGTTTTGGCTGACCACAAAGCTCTTAATGTACACGCCCTTGTTGAGGAAAGTCGACAGAGTAAGGCTCTTGTCGTTTTCGTCCTCATGAAGCTCATTGAGGCTCAGGACCTTGGCCACGGCGCGCCCAACCTGCGATAAGGTCGACATCGAGTTCTTGGTGTTGCCATCGTCATATATTGTCAGGCAACGCTTGTCAAAGTCGAATCCAAAGCGCGCATCACCACCTGCCAAGCTGTACTCGTACCAGAACCCACAGCAAATTGTGATCCACTGCATGCCGAGCCTCTCAATCTCGTCCCTGTTAGCCTTGGCTACGGGCCCCAGCATTGTGTCTTCGCCGAGTTCAATGTTTTCAATGTCGCCTCCGTATCCGTTAGGCATGACGTAGCGAATTCCGGCCTTGGCAGCCGCCTGGACAAGCTTGCTGTGGGTGTCCCGTGGTGCGGTAGGGGCCATGGTTATGATCAAAAATTGCTGGCCCTTAAGGGCGGCAACAATGGTGGCCTCATCATCGTAGTCGACTGAGGCGATTAATATGCCCTCAGGAAGTTTGTTACCACTGTTTTTGCGGGTAAGGGCCGTGACTGTGTGTCTTCCGGTCTCTAGAAAGGCGTTGACGATGTGCGATCCAATGGTACCTCCAGCCTAAGTATTTTTGTTAGTTTTGTTTTATGCGTGGTGTTGTTGAGGGGTTTACTTACGCCGACAATGGCGACTCTTTTGATGGCGTTTTTGAAGCCGACGGAATGGTTTTTGGCGTACTTGGGCATTATGATTTGGTTGATTGCTGGAATGTATTAGGTATTGGTTAACTATTGTCGAGCGAGGCGTTCGAGATGTTTAAGCTTTTGAAAGAGTGGTAGGCGTCTGGTTATCCCTCTCTGGTGCAGGGAATGCCCGTCTACTTATACATTTCAGACCCAGTCTCGAGTGCTATAGTTCTCTGAGCTTTTCTCCCCGTACTCGAAAATCTCGGACCAGAAATCTCCACCTTTCTAGAGTATATCCGAGGTAATTAGGTCAGAACTTCAAAACTTGATTCGCTCGGAGATAATAGCGCTGGGAGCGAAGGAGCTATAGCGGACAAAGGCAGCCAGATTAAAGACGGCGATGGTGGGAGCCTGATAAACCCGCGCTTCTTCGCCGCAGCAGCCGCACGCTGGGGTCCGCTAGCATTGTCTGATAGGTTGTTGCGGCGGCAGGGAACTAACTCCGCAATAGCCGCACATAAAGCCGCACATAAAGCCGCACAAGGCGCATGTCATTGATGATTTACCTACGGGCCGACGGACTGATAGAGCTCCGAGCATGAATTCAACTTCCAGAATGATAAGGATAAAAATTCCGACAAAAAGCATAAATTTACGTATACTCTATTACGCTTCGCGAGTAGGGGTCATTAGGTTTACACGCGCTCTATCCAAGACTCCCGGTAGATACTCTCCGGGGGTGTCCAAGAACATGGCACAGGAAATAAACCAAATAAAGTAGGATTACTTTTCCAAGTTTAGATATGTATTATATTATCATAGGTACAAAGCTGAACTTCATTGAACCATGAAAGAATACCACACCATAGTTTGATAATACACATATTGAATCACGGTTGACTGGAGTGATTCAATATTCAACGACACCTGCGTTACTATAACTGGACGTCAGGACCGAGAACGGACAAATATGGCTCGATGAAGAATTGATCCCAGTTCACCTCCCAATCCATGTCTGGCACCACGATGTTGGCCTCGGATGCCGGCGGTGTCTGAAAGAATTCATAGCCCGCCTCGACAGCTTCCAACTGAGCAAGTTCCTTTCGCTTCTTTGCCATATTAAGGCTGAGTAAATGCCGCGCCATTGACAAGGCTTCACGCGTCAATCTTGTATCGGCAGCCTTGACAAGATTCTCCAAGCCCTTGAATGCGGCACCGATGTGAGCGTAGGCCGCCGGCGTGTCGATGGCCAACAGGATGTAGGTATATTGGAAGACGCTGCCGATGACGTTCCAAAACAGATGACCCTGGCTAGCTTGCTGCTCGGCCGCCTCAACTGCGGTATTGCCACTATCGATGACGAGCTTAATGATATCGTCCGGTATGTGGATCTTGAGCCGGTAAAGGCGCCGATAGAAGCAAAACGCAAGATCCGCCTTTGTCACTACCAGGAACGGATGGGTAAATTTGAGCTCATCCAGCGCCTTGAGACGCTGAAATAGCTCCTCACTCGGAGTTGGAGACTGCAATTCGTGCTGGAACGGAGAATTGGGCGATGGAATGATTTGGATCATTTGTACGAACTGATCGGCAACGGACCCTGGAATCGAGATAATAGGCTGGCAAGTCACGGCCCGAAATCCTACAGGCGAGTGATCGTACTCATAGGACAGCATGTTATGCCCGGCCCACGAGATCCAGAAAATTCTCCTCAGCCGATCCGCATCATGTCCAAGGACAGCGGCGCTAGCGATAGACGCTATTTTCTTGATGTTCTCTTCCTCGTGTAGCCCTATCGCTTCACAGAGGTGCATTTGCGTGCACGAAGCGATCCAAGCATTGCTAGGCCGGGTTGTGGCCCGTAGGTAAAGTACTCGCATGCCCCACGCGACGATGTGGTCGATGCCATGCAAACGCATGGAGGACGGATCATCGAGGATGGCTTTGGTGTACTGCACCAGGTCAGACTCTCGCGGGTGACTTTTGGGAGATAGGAATGACCCGAGAGCAGCGACGCCAGCGGCCACGGCGGCAAAGGTGACCGCGTTGCTGCCGGAACTATGGTAATAATTCCGACATCGCTGAGCGTAGATTCTTGGGTCCATCACATCGCCGATGGGGCCCAATACCGAGAAGTACACACCCGAGAAGAAGCCAAGGTCTTCCTCCGAGATGAGATTTCCCAGAAAGGAGTGAGCGCTAGATGTCTCCTCGGGGCGAATGCCAAAGTTGTAAGCGAACGACCGTATCTTTGGAGGGCTGTCGGAACCGAGAGCCACACCCAGGATGTGCGGGAATGCCATGGCCGCTGATGCCCCGGAGTATCTGAACTTCTGCTCGTCGAATATGCCCGGGGACGCGCTGGCCACAACGGTGGGGCTCTTCGTCGACGAGCTGTTGGCTTCGCGGCGGTCTCGCTCGATATGAGATCGGCTGGTCGGACTGCGGTTTGTGGCGGCCCGACTCGTCACACGACTTTCACCGTCGAGGCTTACGCGCTTGGCTGGAGACGGAATAGATACGCCGCCGCCCATAACACCAGTGGTGTTATCGTCGGTGTACCTGCAGTTGTATCCGTAGGTGGTGCACATGCCACAAGGATACACGGTGTCGCATTTTCGCTTGCGCTGATGGCAAGGGACGCATGCCTTCCTCGCACGCTTGCGCTTGGTAATTTTCGTCGACATGACTGGCAAGAATTTATGAGCTTCAAAGCCCACTGCTGTGGAAATAGAGTTGTAGTACAGTTGATCCTCTGGCTAGCATTTCGGGGGGGGGGGGGGGGGGGGGTTTGACGCGATTATTTTCTGCCAGCCAGCGATTGTGTGCATATATTGCTGAGCATGGGTCGTGGTGTATTAGCTACCGCTCACGCATAAAGCGGCCTCGATGGGTCACGATTCTTATAAGATAGCGGCATTTCAGTATTGGAGGCTGGTGGGCTTTGGGGCGGGAGAGGAAAAGAGAGAGATGTAGATTCTAGAGATAGAAGCTATGGAACTAGATCTATCATGGAGGCTGAGGCAAGGGATGCGGTGAAGAGGGGCAGAATCCCATTCACTGCGAACAGTCCTTAAGACTGTAACGTAATTCCCACCAAGCCCGCCACCCATTTAATTTTCGCGTCTCCGTGTATCCCCCATCTGTTTAAACCACCCACCATGCCACCAATTCGTTCTAAAAAGAAGCAAGATTCTATCCAAAGAGAAGGTAGGATCGAACTTGCAGTTCAGGCTATTCAGAAAAAAGTCATTACCTCTATTTCTGCTGCTACGCGCGTCTATAGCATACCGCGATCCACGCTACGCGACCGTATCAAGGGCCGCAATTTAATAGCGACCACACGCGCCTATACCTATAAAATGTCCCTTTTAGATGAGGATACGCTTACCCAGTGGATCCTATCTATAGACGATCGCGGTGTAGCCCCTAGGCATGCTATGGTACGTAAGATGGCTAATATTCTGCTTGCGACGGCTAATACGGAGAAGCCGACCACGGTCGGTAAGAATTAGGTTAGAAACTATATCAAACGTACACTAGCTATCCAGACACGTTTCTCGCGTTAATATAATTATTCGCGCGTAGAGTAAGAGGATCCGCGGGTATTGAATAATTAGTTTTAGCTAGTCGGGGAGACTATTACGCGCTATAATATATTACCTAATAATATCTATAATTTTGATGAAATAGGCTTCGTTATAGGCCTAGTTTCTACCGCAAGGGTAGTCACTAGAGCTAAATATTATGGCCGTCGATCTGTCTTATAGCTAGGTAATCGTGAATAGGTGACTGCAGTAAAAATAGTTAATACTATAGGCTAGGCTTTACCGCTATTAATTATATTTAAAGGCAAATTGTCGGCCGTGAAGGGAGGCGGATACCACGAAGCTTTTCGTGGCGCGGGGTACGCTTTTGTAGATGCTTCCCCACCACGGACCGTTGACTACCCGACCAAGGAAGGCTTGATCGGATAAAGATAGAAAAGAATAAGATAGATCCCTCTGTATACTTTCTGGTGGCAGTTTCACGCGACCTGTTGAGGGTGGAATCTAGGGCGATAAGCCCAACTGCTTATGAGTTGAATGTCTCTGTCGGCCGCACGGGCGGGGTGCGGGGACGGCCGACTAAGAGAGGCCGCGTGTCACGCCAGGGCCAATATAACCGAAAAGGACTAGCGCGCACGTCCTTCTGCACTTAACTAATACGGCACTAGGTCTGATACTGATGAAAGCATCCAGGAAGATAAGATGATAAGCCGGATAATTCCAAGTCTCATTTTCAATGAAGGGCCGTTGGGCGGAGAGACCAATCAACCCTGACAGTATTTGTGAGTGATCCTTCTTGTCATAAGCGACTAAAAACTTGTCAAATGCGACGAGCTCATTGAGCTTTGAACACTGTCCTTGATAGACACTTCCTTTGCTGAGGTTTTGTTTCACTGTAGCGATGCATAGAAGAACTTTAGAATTATGTGGGCCCACATCTTGTTCAATGTAGTGGTTGCACTTGAAGTCTACTGTTTGGCACCGGTTCCCAAGGTAACAAGTCTAGAGGCAGTGCCTGAAAAGCCCGTGTCTCTAGGTGGAAGATATACATTCCATATTGATGGATTTTTCTGTTTTTTCTACCCGCCGACGCTATCATATCGGTAGCTGAAGAGAAATATTGGTAGAGATATCTTCCTTTTCACTGTACCATTCCCCCTTTTTCCTTTCATGTTTTATTTGCTTCTTCACACTCTCTTGACGCTTTCACTTACTCTCATCTTGTACTCACATAGAGCCTTAATGGAGCATTTGTGCGTTCGAGTCGATTCTTTGAGAAGACAGAATTCAATTGCCATTTTACTGAGCAGACATTTCTCAATAGAAACCTGTAATTGTTTCTGATGGCGTCAAAATGATCTCGGGGCTCTTTAATTATTTCAGTTACTTGAGAGGTTCAGAGATGTACGGTACTATGCAATCTTGGTTTTGCGTTGGTAGATGATATTGAGTCTTATCTTCCGAAAGGTTCTCATCTTCAGCTACCAAGGTCCTTGACAACGTCAACAAAAATCGCAAATTTGCAAAAGTCTCGTAACACACGGTCTTATTTCGCTTTTAAAATGCAGCATTTGTCTGATACTCCCCCGTTGGATGTACGGGATGCCAAAATATGCAATTTGCAAACTGAATTACAGTTACGCAGGATGTGAGTGAAATGCTATGAAAGAGGCACTGGCGCGGTGCTTTGCATGCGACTTTAAACACAAGTCGCGACCACGCAGACAAAAAACTACTGACACTTGAGAAGAGCAGATTGGCATGTTCTTCCATTGCTTTTGGTTGGTTTTGCCACCTATCAATTAGATCGAACCAATATCTCTAGCGCATTGACAGGGGGGTTAGCCACCGCGATATCTGTCAATCAGAACACGATCAATCTCGGCAACCAACTCATGTTCCTGGGTGTTATCGTGCTGGAGATACCTTCTAACATCTTTTTACACAAGGTGAATGTTCTCGATATGTTCCTATTTGCGGTTTTACTGATTACCTCAGATTGGCGCTCGTCGTTGGATTGGTAGCCAGGTCTTCATTTTTGGCTTAGTGGCTGCTCTACAGGTCCTGGTTCGAGGAAAAGTCGGCTTTCTTCTGACGAGAAGTATTTTGGGTCTCTCAGAGGCGGGCTACATCCCAGGTGCTATGTTCACTTTGTCGACCTGGTACACGAAAGAGGAAATCACTAAACGTATTGCAATTCTTTTTTTCGGAATGTTTGGTGGCACAGCCATCTCGCCATTGCTCGGCGCAGGACTGCTGAGACTGAATGGCAAAGGTGGACTATCCGGGTGGCAATGGATTTTTCTAGGTAAAGATACCCTTGGTGATTAATTGACGGAAGGAACTGAAGGCTAATTTCCAATCTGCAGTTGAGGGTGTCTGGTCCATTGCAGTCTCTCTAATGTTGATTTTTCTCCTCCCAGAGAGAGAATCAGTCACGCCGACCTTGGAGACTGACGAGATCTTGCAAAGCAATTCTTGGGCCAGCGCAGCACCAGCTCAGAAGATCCCCCTTGATAATGTGTGGAAAACACTAATCAATATACGCAAATGGCCACATTTCCTCGCAACGGCTTGCGTCTTTTCGACATGGAGTCCCCTGACAACTTATACACCCAGCATTTTCATATCCTTGGGGTTTTCGCGGGTTCAATCCAACGCTCTGGCTTCAGTTGGAACCTTGATGACTTTACCAATTGTTTTCTTCTTTGCTTGGCTGAGTGACAAAACTCAAAAGCGCGGGCTGACAGTCATGATTGCTATCACAGCTTACTTGATATCACTCGTTGCTCTGAGGACAATTGAACCACATGTAGGCAAGTGGTCTAAATTTGGACTCTGGACAACAGTCAATGGCCTCGCCGTGGGATACCATCCCATTCATAATGTGTGGATACAAATGAATAGCTCAGACCCTGAGGAACGCAGCATCCATATAGTGTGGGTTATCCTTCTTTTAATAATAGACGTACACAGGCTGATCAAATACTCTCTAGAATGTGTACGTGGCTTTCTTGCGTGTGACGAGATTTTCAATACTGACTTGCTGCAAGTTGTCATGACGGCTACTGCTGGTCTGATGGGAGGGACACAGATTTTCCGCCAAGATGAGTCTGCAGAGCTATATCCTGTAGGGTTGCTCGCTATGATTATCCTGGTCCTTGGAGGGCTGCTCTTAACAGCACTGCAAGAAGTCATTTACATCGTGCAAAATCTTCGCATAAAGAGAACATCCGGCCTCGAAAAATTGAACATACTCTGAGCATTAATCTCAAAGATATCTAACTAACCTACTAGATGTATGTCTCTAACTGTGCTGGACGTTCTTATGCTGGGGCTGGGATCTATGCGTGAGTTCAGAGCGGGGCGGAGTGGAAAAGAACAGCAACTTTTGAGAAGACACGAGTTTGGTTCCTCCTTAATTTTTGGTAGAATCTTGCAGGTGCTTACATATCCAAAAAATCAATTTCATGATTCATGCCCATCATTTGGTACTTAGAAACACGCATCCAGTACGTTTGGAAAGAATTCAGTCGTCCAACTATCTCGTCTTTACTGAAGATCTCATCACGCTATCGATCAACATACCATGTTGATAATCTAGCCCCGAAGGTCCCACATCATCAACCAATAATCCGATCCGAGCCGCACAAGCCTATTACATGAGGCTGTTGCGCTGGCGCTCATGATTGTGCCATGGTGTCTGGAATATCATGTTTACTCGTGGAAGACATGATTAGTATGAAGCAAACCATCGTATGAAGTATATTGCCTCGGGATGAGCTCCTTGAAAAGAGTTTGCCTACAACTTGGTGCATGAGAAGAGGGAAGAAAAACTTCCTACCAAAGTCTTAAGGCTGGAAGTTACTAAAATCAACCTTGAAATATCAATGCCCAAGATACGATGTCAAAGGAGTGCTAAAAAAAATGATCGGTAGTATATTATTACAAGAACGGTATATACGAATCAGGCTATCTCAGACCTGTGCGTCCTTTCGTTGCTATAAACATTAGTATTATTGAAACTGAAGATTGGAGCAATAGACGTGTGATCCAACCTTTCAGATGCATTCTCCCAATGTTGATCAAGAGAAACCATTTTGATAATCGTGTCGGTATTTTCGCCGGCAGGTAATCCCGACTGCTCGTGACTGGCTATGAGTCTGGCTGAATCTGTTGAAGCCCGACGAGCGGAGGTATTTACTTCGCTTCGGGAGAGGTGGTACTGAGGATCTCCTGGTCGGGAGCCGTCAAAAATGTGACTCGATGACTTCTGTTGCTTTTTGTAGCGGCTGAAAGGACTTTTGGAAGAAGCCGAGTGTTGCTGGGTGTATGTTGTGAGCGCATTCAGAGCAGGAAGGCAAGCACAAATGATCCCTAGTCCCACTTCCGCGTTTCTGCAAATTCAATATTAGACTCTAATCAAAAAAGGAAAAAAAGAGTATGTAAGCCTTGAAACATACGCAGTCAGTATTGACCTCATGAATATCCTTGTATCATGAGGGAAAGCCGTTTCATGGATACCAATCACAAGTCGGAACAGGCTGAAAGCGACTGCTATGCCTCCAAGGCCAAGAAGAAATACCACTTTAACCTTTTTCCAAAAAGGCATCTGTAACGACCAAGTCATTGCGACTGGAAAGGCAAAGATGGCGATATCAGTCAGAAAGCTGATAACAGAGTCGGCGATAATCACTCCGGGCTGCCTGAGGCACGTTTCGTGAGCTCTCTCGGACATTTTCCAATAGGCAGAGACTGGATTGCAGATGAAGATTTTGATGAAGGTGATGATGATGTAATAACCAACAACCACAGCCAGAAGACAGTACAGGGACACCACCGCCCTGAACCAAGGTTGAAAAACTCTTATCAGAATATACACGAGACTGCTTTTGACAAAAAGAGCTGTCGGTGCGTATAGTGCAGTGGCAACATAAGATAACTGCAATCAGATTAGCACAAGCAGGGATTGTGCGAAGAAGGATTTTGGCCTTGCCTTGATACAATTTTCGTATTGATCTTGGTTTAATTCATCGCGAGATTTGGTGCATCCTGAGAATCCATCTTAAACAGATGGTGTCAGAGAACGAGTAATAGAAGGGTTCGGATATTGCAGAATATTACAGATCATGCCAGTCGCGCAGTATCCCATAAACAGAACCTAGCGTCGAAGGTGGTATTAGTGAATTAAACCAAAAGATTGCGCCAGTAGAATGTCTTACCCATCCAATGAAGCAAAAGGCTATAGAAATCAGCAATGTGTCGTGGTCGATAGGTTGCGCGCACATACCATCATCGATACCGAGCGCGCGATTCACTTTCCATCGAACAAAGATTCGAAGGAAAACGAAAGGCGTGGTCAAAATGAAACAGAGAATTTGTGTGGCATAATTCACACGGAACAAGAAGTTACCATCGTGAATGGTAACTGACATAGAGAACGGCTCACAGAGGGTTGAGATAGCTCGGTAATCATGATTTTCGTGAGTCCTCGAGGCAACCTATGCCATCAGCTTAGTCAGGTCGGCAAATTGCTTGCCACTTTTGACGTCAACGCGAACCACGCGCCGTGGCATTCGTCTTAACTTAATCCTCTCGGGTTGTTCCTGTTTTGGCGTTAGACTTTCACGATTCTGCAGGGACCTCTAGGCCCAGCCGTGCCCAGCCGAAAGATGGCATGCTCAGGTTTTGCGCCAATTTAGCAGGGTGGAAAACGAAACCTATTTTTGGCAATTAGAATATTTGTGCATATTTTATTGCATTACTTCTTTCCTATGGGCCACTAGCGACCAGTAACTGTCCAAGAGGGCTAATTTGGAGATTTCAATGACACGGAGAAGCGGGATCATCTTCGCGCCAACTTCAAAGGAAGATTCTTCTGCCGCAAAGACGGTCCACACGCGGCCGTCGATGCGATTACGGTAATTATTAGCGTCCATCATGTTGACAGGGTCCCAATGTCAAAGGTCGATCTGGCTAGTCGATTAAAATTACGCTTCTCATCAAATAAGACCAAGAGTCAGCTTCCTTGCACTCGATGTTGATGAGGCCCTACTACACGCGAGCATTTAATGAGACAGATCCATCCATATAGTAGTACCTGACAGCGAGGTATAATGAAGCCCACAAATAATGATATGGCTATATCTTATAAAAAAGCTTAGAAGTAAGTCACGATACAGTTTACATACCCGGCAAGACTTCTGTACGCCAGGGTCAGCCCCAAAATACACTTAGGTAGTGCAACAGATAAGAGCCTCTTTTTGAACGCGATTGCTCTTTAATTTTCGTTTCTATCAAATCTTGCCTCGCTGCCTCATGCAAGCCTTGACAGGGTTGGGTGTATCCCGAGAAATTGCTCACTGGCGAAAACCAAGAATGGCTCCCGGCGTCCCGGAAGAAATCCGGGGCGAAAAAGCTTAAATCCTTCCCGGGCAAGCACCCTGCTATCTTATCTGTTTGACTCGCTTTCTAAATCTTCAGAGGTGATTCCCCAAGAATCTTCTTCTTTACTTATCGCTCTATCACAATGTTGCGATAATTCTTCTGTTTGGGAGAGGTCGTGACTATGAAGCACTAAGGCGGGTGGGGCTCATGCAAGGGACAACAGTCCTACATACGATCCTCCAAGAATGGTAGCCAAGAAACCAAGAATGTTATTAAAGCAACCTGACAGGGAAAGAGCGCTAATAGCGGCCAGGTCCTCCAGGCGATTGGCAATGAAACTCCCGAGAGGAGCTTAGTTCTTTGGAACTAGATGCCCGTGCATCTTGAAGAGTTGTATATTCGCAGGGTTTATAATCACCCATACGAGTCAAATACCTAGTTCACGGGAATTTGGAAATCATGAGAGGATGCTTTCCCCCCATATAATATATACTGCATGTTTGCTGTCCAACTCCAGTATGGGGCGAATGGTGGAGAAATGCGGAGATACAGCGAATACCCCACATTTCGTCAATCTTCAGACAGATCGGAGTGTTGATCGACCGACGCCAAGCGAATTAGAACTCACCACTCTCCGGGGAGACTTCGGTAATACTGATCTCTCCACCGTCGGGGTTGATTTGACCCGAGATCGTGGGGTGGAGGTCCTGATTACTATTCAGCATGACGGCATGTTCGGCAATGGCGATGGCAGAGCTATCCCAGTATAAAGCAAGCTGCAAAGCCATGATTTTTCAAGCTCAGACTGAGAGTCGGACCAGGTTTGTAAGGCTTCGCTTCCCATCCAATGCATTTGATCACCTTATTGCTGGCACCGTTGGCCGCAGCCGCGGCTCGAGTGCCGTACAAAAACTACATTTTGGCACCTGCTTCGCGTGATCTGGTCCCCGCATCAGTCTATCAGGTCAATGGTTCGGTCACAAATGCAAAGGCGCTGACACGGTCCTCGGGTGGAAATGTCACTTTTCACGGAGTGTCGTCCGTCACCTACGATTTCGGGAAGAATGTGGAAGGTCTCGTCTCTCTTGAAGTTGGCTCGGCCTCCTCCTCGTCGGCCTTTTTGGGCGTGACTTTCACAGAATCAAGTCTGTGGATCAGTAGTGTGGCGTGCGATGCCACTGCTGATGCCGGTCGCGATGCTCCGCTGTGGTTCCCTGTGGGCCAGGGTGCTGGAAAGTATACGCCCGAAGCGAAGTATCTCCGAGGCGCTTTTCGCTATCTTACAGTCGTGAGTAACACCAGCGCGACCGTCCCCCTTCATTCTCTGCACGTCAACTTTACTGCCGCGCCTATGCAAAATCTCCGAGACTACGGTGGATGGTTCCACTCGGACGATGAATTGATCAATAAGATCTGGTATGCCGGGGCCTACACGAATCAGCTATGCACCATCGACCCGGCACATGGTGATGCTCTGATCCATTTGGGGACCATTTCATCTACCGACAACATCAGCTTGCCTCGTACTGATACTTGGTGGAGCAACTATACCATTACCAACGGGAGTAGCACCATCACAGACGGCGCCAAACGAGACCGACTTGTATGGCCGGGCGACATGTCGATCGCTCTTGAGAGTATCGCAGTAAGCACTGGAGATCTTTACAGTATTCAGATGGCGCTGGACTCTTTGCTGGTACTGCAGAAGCCCGATGGCCAGCTTCCCTATGCCGGAAAGCCCTTCTACGATACCGTAAGCTATACATATCACCTCCACAGTCTGATCGGGATGTCATATCTGTATCGTTTCTCCGGTGATCAATCTTGGATGTTGAGCCACTGGAATCAATATGTGCGAGGCCTTCAGTGGGCTCTGTCGAGTGTCGACAGCACCGGACTGGCCAATATTACCGCCAGCTCGGACTGGCTGCGCTTTGGCATGGGAGGTCATGTAAGTTCTTGGTCATGGTTTCTTTCGCAAGTGGATAGCTAATTAACACGGTGCAGAACATCGAAGCGAATTCAATTCTCTACTTCGTGCTCCAGGAGGCCCAGCAGTTGGCCCAGACCCTCAACCACACGTCATCCGTGGCGCAGTGGAGCCGCATCGCGCAGGGTATCAAATCTGCCGCCAACGAGCTGCTTTGGGATGATAAAGCCGAACTTTACCGTGACAATCAGACAACCACGCTACATCCACAGGATGGGAACGCGTGGGCCGTGAAGGCCAACCTGACTCTATCCGATGATCAGAGTCTCGCTATCTCCAAGGCTCTGCGTTCCCGCTGGGGAACCTATGGAGCCCCAGCTCCCGAGGCCGGAGCAACAGTATCGCCATTCATCGGCGGGTTTGAATTGCAGGCACACTACATGGCTGATCAACCTGCGGCGGCTCTTGATCTGATGCGACTTCAGTGGGGCTTTATGCTGCAGGACCCTCGAATGACTCAGTCCACATTCATCGAAGGCTATTCGACAGACGGATCCCTTCATTATGCACCATACACGAACGATCCGCGCGTTTCCCATGCCCACGGCTGGTCCACAGGCCCAACTTCTGCTCTTACCACCTACGCAGCCGGGATCCAGCTCAGCGAAGCCGCAGGGGCCACATGGCTGATTGCTCCTCAGCCCGGAAACTTGACTGTGGTAGAAGCTGGGCTGACCACTTCCAAGGGAGTCTTTTCGGTCTCGTTCGAGCACAGTGGTGGCTATAGTCATTTCGCGTTCCAAACCCCCAAATCCACGACCGGAATGGTACTTTTGCCGGGGGCTACGGGCACGCTAGTGTCCAAGACCGGGCAGCGCAAAGCTCTCGTAAACGGGGCTGCACGTGGCTTGGTTGGGGGTAGTTGGGAGCTCCATTGAGGCTGTGATGAAAAAAGCTTGGATGAGAAGTTCCCAAGCGTTACAAATACTAGCGTCCATTGGTAGATACTCAAATGAACGTGATCTAGGCACCAGTCAGATTGTACAGCATAGTGAGGCTAGTGAGGCTGGTGAGGCTATGGTGAACATGGGGTGCTTGGTCATATGGCCCACGCTGTTAAAGCTAGCATATAAAGCGAAAAGAGAAAAGGTGTGCTTGACGACAAAGACCGGGCATAGTGAACACTATACTACTATGCCCGGTCTATACCCGGTCTCATCTAGAAACCAAATGGCCAAACACCTCGCCAACAGGACCAAGAGGACCAACATGGAAGACCCCAGCCCAACACCCGGTGTGACCGACAAATAAGGCGGAGCCGCAGCTCAAGTGGAATTGACGCGAAAGCCAGCGCAAGAGGTGCGTGGGGCTCCATGATTGGGTTGCTTCATCTTGTTCACCTGCAGGCTGCAGCTGTTGCTGCGCGTTCTTGGGTTGAAATGCTGCCCGTCTCACCCACAACTTGCCTTCTTTCTGATTTTCTGTCTAGAATATCTTCTCCTTCAACGCCAACGCCAACCCCAAAGCTAACTTGAGCTCGAAGAACTTCACCTTCAGCTTCCCCAGCTTGCCCGTCTCCAGCTCTCCACTTTGGCCCCCCACTTGAGCTCTCAGCTCCAGCTCTAGCTTCAGCTCCACCTCCACCATGGCAGATCCCTTTGAGGACAGTAAACTCGAGGTTGAACCGGAGAATAATGCAAATGGGCCGGCTCAACCTGCCCCGGAGGTCTCTGTTAAAGATGCTGCGACCACCACCGCAGTCCCTGATAATCCCAAAGTCTGCAAAAAACACTCCAAATGGGATAAAAAGAAGCGGAGTCAGAAGAAGCAGGATGCCTCCGAGAGCTCGTCCGACTCGGAGTCGACCGATTCGTCCAGCGGGTCCGACTCGGCCAATGCCGATTCGGAATCCATCGCCAGTGAATCCGAGTCCGACAAGCGTAGGCGTCACCGTCTGAAGACCAAGACTCGGACCAAGCGTGCCCAGAAGGACAAGAAACGACGCAAGAGGAGAAAGGTGCGGTCGCGCAAGTCAACTTCAACAGATTCCGACACCGACTCCTCCAATGACTCTGACACCGATTCCGAATCTTGGCGCGATTCTGACTCGTCGCTGGATGAAAAGGCCCTGCGCAAGTTGGTGACCCGGTTGAAGCTCAAGAAGCGGGCTAGGCGCCTGCGAGATGAAACCAACGATGATCTGGGCACAAGTGACCCTCTGGGGGAAAGTCGTCGGGATAAGCGATCGAAGAAAAAGAAGCCGGCCTCCAAGGTCGCTTACAAGCGTGTGGATCAACGTACCCGACCCCCTCATCTCTTCCTATGTGGTAGTTGAAACTAACAATTTTGGGGGTAACAGTCTGGGATAGTACGATCCACAAATACAAGCTCTCCGAAACCGTGGATGACCCCGACGCCGACGAATGGGACCAGTACATTTTCACAGTGCGCCGCAAGTTCAACTGGGAGAACAAGTATTTAGAAACCGTGGTGGACATCAAAAGTAAATACCTACGTGATGCCCTCGCCAAGGTCATGGACGGTGTCAAGGGCGTCAGTCTGGTACAGGAGCCCGCTGTCGTTGACCCCAACATGCTATTCTTGTATCTAGAAGAGACTCGACAGTGGATGAAAGACCTTAAACGCCAGTCGCGCACCGAAAAAAAAAAGAAAGCGAGGAAAAGTGCTGCGGTCAAGGCGGCGCATCTTAGGGTACTCATCAAATACCTCGACGCCGACTACGCCGACATCAAAAAGACTCTTTATCCCCTCCTTGAAGTCAATACCATCACCTTCGACCTACTTTGGGCGTTGTTCAAGCCCAACACCATTGCCTATACACCAACCTACGGGAACAGCGACGAGCCTCGGGCCTTCAAAATTGAATATGCCATCAAGGAGTCCTCCTTCATGAAGGGCCAGTGGTACAGTGTGGAAGGGCGGTACTTGGAGTACGACGGCAAGGACTTTGGGTTCGGAACCATGTCTGCTGAGGTAGAATCCTTTAAAGGAGCACGAAAGATCACCAGCCTGGCATGCTATCCTCTGCAGTATCACCGCGACTCGGAGGCTCTTCGCGCACGACTGGTCGAGCGTGGCAAACGGTTCGTCGCTCTGCGCGGCATGAATTACCGTTTCCACAAGGGCATGGCCTTTTTCAAGAAAAAGCGTTCCTTTGTGGTCAAGGTCAATATCAACGGACGAGTCATGATCGACCCTTCCATTCACCGACGCATCAATCCAAACTATCCAATCAGCACCGTCCGGCCTAAGGATCCGGATCTGCTTGATCCCTCGGAAGCAGGATTCAGCGAGTCCGATAACGATGGTAGCGAGGGCTGTTGCTGCGGAGGGTCTGACTCTGACTCTGATCGCGGTTGCTCATCCGACACTCCACGGACTGTCTACAAGGTCATCGAAGGCGACGACGGCAATCCCCGAGTCGTGGAGGTGGAAGTCGACGAGAGCGGGAATGAGATTCACAAGGAGAAGATGGACCGCATTGAAGATGATGCAGCTGATACCAAAGAACGGGAGTTTACAGAGGAAGAATTGCTTGTTGCCAGCCCTGTGGTTCTTGGTTTCGCCTTCAGCGAAAAGTTGTGGCTTGAGTTCACCATCTCCGGTATCAGCGATATCGAGTGGAATGCCGATGCTTTCGGCTCGCTGGTGCTTCCCAATAACCAGAAGTCGATCGTCAAGGCTCTAGTTGAATCGCACACCTTCCACGCCGCCGAGAACATCGACGATGTGATTCAGGGCAAGGGCAAGGGTCTCGTCGCCGTTCTGCATGGTCCTCCGGGAACTGGAAAGACTCTCACGGCTGAAGGCATCGCAGAACTCCTGCAACGACCACTATACATGGTCAGTGCCGGCGAGCTTGGGACAGACTCGCGCACTCTGGAAGCAGAGTTGAACAAGATCCTGGACATTGCGCACTCGTGGGGAGCAGTTCTGCTTCTGGACGAAGCCGATGTCTTCCTCGAGAAGCGCACGATCCACGATATCCACCGTAACGCTCTCGTCAGCATCTTCCTTCGGCTGCTCGAATACTTCCAGGGCATTCTATTCCTGACCACCAACCGAGTTGAGACCTTCGACGAGGCCTTCCAATCTCGTATCCACGTTGCACTGCGGTACGGCGATCTCACAACCAAGGCCAAACGCAGCATTTGGAAGATGTTCCTGGAGCGAGTACGCGCCATCGAAGGAGTCCACACGGGCTCTTTCTCTGAGGAAGACTACGATGTGCTTTCTCGACACACCTTGAACGGCCGTCAGGTATGTTATCTTTCTCCCTTTCATGAAACGAGGTCACTGCTAACAAGTTCATATAGATCAAAAACTCGGTCCGCACGGCACAGGCCCTGGCAGTCAACGAGAGCTCGCCTCTATCAATGGATCACATCAAACGAGTTCTGGACGTCGCAGAGACATTTGATCAGGATCTACGGGGGGGGACTGGTTATCTAGATGCGATGCGTAGCTACACTTAGGTCTTGGGGAGTTGGAGCACAATGACTTTGCGGAACTGGAAAGAGGTCATGGCGAGATTCACAGAAGATTGCTTTCATTTCCTTTCGGTTCTTACTCATCTCTCATGTCAACTCGTGAGTAAGCTCGGCTATTAGTAGTTCTGGCAACCCAAATTCACAATTTACTGTTGCAAATAAAAGATGACTACGCGGTGCAAGTATAGTGACAGCCGATCAGACCGATATTAAATTATGACATGGATATCGATCTAGTAATACAGATGCCGACGGGACTCTGGACAAGCCCGGACCCAATAAATGTTATACAAGAGGTTTTGTTTACGGGTTGGCCTTGACGAAGGCAACACCCTTCTCGATGTTCTTCTTGAGGTCAACGAGGCAGGCATCGAGGAGCTTCTGCTCGTACTCGTTGATGGGGCCAACCTCGTGGATCTTCTCGGCACCGTTGGGGCCGAGCTCGACGCGGGAAGCGAAGAAGTCGATGCCCTGGTCCTTGAAGAGAGGGGAGTCAACAAAGGTAGGCTCGATGATGCCCTTCTCGCCCTGAGCAGCGCGCAGGAGAGACTCGGCGAAGCGAGCACCGGCCATGGCCATGGAGAGGGTGGCGGAGCCAGCACCGTCCTTGGCCTTGACAACCTCATCACCACCGAACTGGATGCGGTTGACGAGAGCGTCACGGGCCTCGCCGGAGAGGGAGGCGTGGTTGGACTGGGAGAGGAGGGGGACGATGGTCACACCGGAGTGGCCACCAATGACGGGGACCTTCTCGCCGTTGGGGTCGGTCTTCTGGACCTGAGAGATGAAGCGCGAGGCGCGGACAACGTCCAGGGTGGTAACACCGAACAGGCGCTTGGGGTTGTAAACACCAGCGGCCTTGAAAACCTCCGAGACGATAGGGACGGTGGAGTTGACCTGCGACCATTAATATAAAGATTCCGATGCGAAAACAAAAACAAAACAGAAAAACAGTATATCAAGAACATACGGGGTTGGAGATGACCAGGATGTTGGCGTTGGGGGAAGCCTTAGCGGCGGCCTTGGCGAGGTCGCGGACAATGGAGGCGTTGGTGTTGAAGAGGTCATCACGGGTCATACCGGGCTTGCGGGGAACACCGGCGGGGATGAGGACGATCTCGGCATCCTTGAGAGCATCAGCGAGGCCAGCCTCGTCGGGGCTGTAGCCGGTGACGGTGCTGTTGGTGTTGATGTGGCTCAGATCGGCAGCGACACCTGTTCACATGCGGTCAGGAATGAGTTCGGAGGAGAAGCTCTGGGAGGACAACGTACCGGGTCCACCACGGATATCGTAGAGGGCGAGCTGAGTGACACGGGGGTTCAGCTTCATCAGCAGGGACAGAGGCTGGCCAATGCCACCGCCGGCACCGAGGACGGTGACCTTGGAGGCCTGTGAAAGAGTTAGCAAGATGTATCAATCAAGTGGTGAGGGAAGGGGGAACGGACCTGGCTGGCGGAGGCCGAGAAGGCGCGCTTCTGGAAGAGGTTGATGGAACGGCGAGCGGCAAACATCTTGATTTCGGTGATGGATGGGGAAAAGAAGAAGGGAGAAACGGAAGGGGAGGAGGGAAAGAGACTGGGTCTCGGTGAGGGATGCTCCACAACTACTTCCGACCTCCCGATGCTCGGCCCATCTCTACTTCTTATTGGTCTTCGCCGGGCTCGTTTTCGTGCTTGTTGCGGTTTGGTCCTAACGCATGTGCTGCTTCTGATTTGGCTAAAGCTCTCCTCCTAAAAAAATTAATACCCGAACGCCGTCGCTGATGAAATACAAAAGGCCACGACCGCAGGTCACACTACAAACATTATACAAGCTCATCGCAGGAAGTGCAATACAGCCCAACAAAATAGGAAGAAAGCAATAACACCACCCCAGAATATCCACTTGTCCTGGCGTGCCCGTCGCTCCACCATACGGATGGTGTCTCCGCTCACGCCTAGGGTGTTGGCGACGCTGTACAGCCTTCGTTGGGTCCCCTTCAGTACTTCCCGCTGCTGGCCGAGGTCTGACAGGACTGCGCGGCCCCGATCTAGAAAGTCATCCAGCTGAGTGTTGGTGTTGGAAAAGAACGATTGCTCGCGCAGAGCATGGCTTTCTCTGCGTTGATCCGCGGGGCTGCCGCCAAAACTAAGGCCGGAAGAAGGCGCAAAGGCGGACGTGGGCTGTGGAAGAGAGGACTGCGCATAAGGATTCTCGGGTGTAGCGGCGTGATGGGGACGGCGTCCTAGAAGCTCATTGCGATTGGTGACCGATTGCTAGAATAGATTAGTACGAAATTGCGAGAAGCTGAGGGTGTTGACGTACTGCATCCTCGCGTTCTTTCCGCAGTCGGTCGAATTGTGTACGGTAGTCGCCCAGTTCGTCACGGAAGTTCTTCACTCGGTCAAAGGCCTTTTGCTGTTTCTCGGGAATGAGCTCCTTCTTGGAAAGAGCCGAGTAATCATCGACGGTGCGAGACAAGGACGCCAAAGATGCGGCGATCTGGCCTGTAGAGAAGGAGAGAGTCAATCACTAATTCACAGCGCAGGGGAATTTAGACGGCAACGCACCTTGCAAAGCGGCAGAAGAGGTTTGAGGTGACTGAGAGAAGGTGTCTAGATCACGGCGAATGGCAGACGACTGCTTCAGAGCCGAGTTGAAGAGAGAGTTCTACCAAGATGTCAGGAACGATCCCAAAGATGCAGGATAGGGGAGCACTTACCATGCTGTCGAGAGTGGCTGCTGCCACATATGTGCAACAGTGATACACAGTGAACGAGAATACGTCGAATCAATGATTCTAACCGAGGAAGTAGCTCTAATGCCACTGACTTCCCACGCGAAGGACAGGTGTTTGGGCCCCTCACCGCCTTCAGGCACATATCCAATGGTTCTACAGTGACTCTTTCCTACTTTCTACGTCTTGTCCTTTTCTTGAAATTTATTTATAGTTTATTCAGGGCTATTGTGGCTTCAGGTTTGACCTAGTTCTAGATTTATGTCTACGAATACTCTTACGATGCGGACAAGTCCACAGTCACGTGTGAAACACTGAAATGGTATCGTTGAGGCTATTGATACAGCCAATCCTCGACTCCCCTTCGCGCCAAAGCATAGATGCAGAATCAGAATCAGAATCAAGACTCGGAAGAGCAGGGATGGTATATTGAAACAAAATAAATCAAGCAATCAGACACAACTGACGACCCGCCTATTTGGGAGGGTACTTGTTCTGCAGGAACCACCTATAGATAACATTAGCTCCCCATCTCAGAGTTGTTCGTTCACGGGGTAACTCACTTGCTGACAAAGTAGTCAACCACACCTACAGCGCCCACGGCACCAGACCAGAGTCCGATGGTTTCCCAGGAGAGCTTGCCTCGCGCGTGCTTGTGGTAGGCACCGAAGCTCAAGCCAGCGCCGACCAGGGTGTACAGAACAGCATTTCCGATGTAGACGGGGTTATCCGAGTTGGCACCGAAACCACTGCTCTTGGCCTTGCGAGGCTTGGCCTTCTTGTTGGACTCCTCCTCGGCGCGCTTCTTCTCCTCTTCAGCAGCCTCCCGCTCGAGGCGCTCCGCCTGAGTGGTGGTCTTCACCTCCTGGCTAAGGAAGTCAGAATCGACCGCAGTAACGTGCGGAGAGTCGACATCGATCAGCGAGGCCGTGCTCTCGGATTCATCCTTGTAGATGCCGCCCAATTCGGGTGCGCGGCTGTACTAGGTATTAGCATGTGAAACAGGGAAGACAAGCCGATCGAAGGCGGAGAATCGATCACTTACGCCTATCGGTCATGTTAGCTTGCAATTCCGAAAGGTTCTGCGTCCTCCAGCAATAGGCGCACTTACATCTTCGGGCGACTGCTTGGGGCCCTTGGCAGCGGCGTCGGCGTAAGACATGGTTACAGGTTGGCGAGAGTGTAGAGAAGAGTAGAACTGAGAAATGGTATATCAGCTATGGGAAGGAAGAAAAGTAGAGAGTGACCACTTACCAGAAATGTGTGAGGTCAGGGGGGGCTACTGGCGGGAGGGGGCGGTTGAGGTTTTATACCCATGTGAGCGTCCAAGGAACCAGGGAAGCTCGGTGACATCACGTCATGCATTTGGTGGAGCCACCCTTTGGACCTCGCAGCTTACCACCCACGTTCTCTTTGGTTATGGTAACTTCTTCTAGGACGACCCCATCAGGCAGATCCAAAGCTTCATATTCTATGTTTTCTAATTTCCTGAGATGGGCTGGTGATCCAAATGACCAGGTCATTCTCGTGGCCCAGCCACTGACGTGTGATCCCGTTCGTCCAGATGCGGAAGTACAACCTTAACATTGTTTACTCGATTGTGGCCTCTAGATCAACTATTGGAGCCATCGATCTATACTGTAGAGCTGGTTTTTTTCAATCAGGTAGTCAAAATCAACGAGTTTATCAACCCTAGCGGTGATATTGAAATCTCGTCCTTCGCTATCCACTAGGTTCGATATATATGTAGCGATTGTGGTCCCACTCTTGATTTTTATTATTGTCAGCACAGCACCGGCCTCTAAAACTAACATCGTAAGTAACCAAGACTTCAGCACATGTCAAGATAGTATCCAGGCTGTACTGTCAACGAGCCGTAGCTACTCGCGACCCATGGATGTATCTGCCTAGGAGTTCAGACAGCACATACATGGATGTTTCGCAGATTTGCCAGCCAATGACCTAGCAGTTTCCCGACGAGATCTCCGGGCTGATCTTTGCCTACATCTTATGGGGCACAGGACCCTTAACCCGCACTAGGCAGTCCGACGGTCTATTCCAAAGGTTCCAGCCCCACCGGCCTTCGGGAAACGCCTGACGGAAAACAAAACTTCCGTGGTCGGAGTCTCTGGGGAAAATCTACGTACTAGGAAAGATCACATAGGAAATGAGATTGAAGTTGCTAAAACCAAACAAGAAAATGGACCTATGATGGGTCTAAAGGTCACACGTTTTAATACAAATTACAGTGTCAAACGGCTCTAGATTCCTCGGCGCGGCTGCATTTACAGCAGAAGCTCCAGAGGGTTCTCGACCACCTTCTTCAGCTCCTTGATCCACTCACCACCAACGGCACCATCAACGACCTTGTGGTCGAAGCTACCGGTGACGACGATCTGCTCATCCCACTCGGTAACGGTGCCCTCGGCGGTCTCGACGGGGACGGCGACCTTGCGGACGGTGCCGACGGCCAGGATACCGGCCTGAGGAGGGTTGATGACGGCAGTGAAGCGCTCAACCGCGGGGTTCATGCCCATGTTGCTGATGGTGAAGGTACCACCTTGGTACTCCTCGGGCTTGAGCTTGTTGTCACGAGCACGCTTGCCCAGGTCGCGGACCTGGTTGGAGATGCTGGACAGACCAAGACCCTGGACACCCTTAACAACGGGGGTGATCAGGCCGGTGGGGGTGGAAACGGCAACGCTGATGTCAACAGTGTTGTGCTGGCGGATGACAGCCTGGCCGTTCTCCTCGATCCAGCTGGAGTTAACCTGGGGCACCTTCAGGAGGGCAGCGGCACAGGCCTTGACCAGGAAGTCGTTGACGGACAGCTTGTACTTGCCGTCAGCGGAGGCGTTCAGGGCCTGGCGCAGCTTGAGGAGCTTGGTGACCGAGAGGGTGGCGGAGACGAAGTAGTGGGGGTTCTCGGCCATCGACTGCTTCAGGCGGTTGGCGATCGTCTTGCGCATCGAGCTGACGGGGAGATCCTCGAAGGTGGCGGCCGAGGTAGCGGCGGGCTGGTACTTCTGCACATCCTCCTTGGTGATCTGGCCACCCTTGCCAGTACCCTTGATGGCCTTGAGGGGAACACCCTTCTCGAGAGCCAGAGCCTTGGCAGCGTAGCTGACGTTGGGCTCACGGTCCAAGCTGGGCTGCAGCTTCTCACCAGAGGTCTCAGCCTCCTCAGCGGCGGGCTCCGGGGCCGGAGTAGGGGCGGAAGGCTCGTCGCTCTTGGGCGCCTCCTTCTCGGCAGGGGGAGCCTTGTCACCACCGGCATCAGCCAGGGTGAAAGACTCAAAGGGCGAGACATCGGCACCCTCCTCAACAAGGACGGCAATGGGCTAAGTTGTGGAAGGTTAGCTCGAGGGGAAATGGCCGCGGAGAACACATGGAGCTCGGGAAAATTCTTACCGAGCCAACAGCGATGTCCTTCTCACCGGTCTCCTTCAGGACCTTGGCGAGGATACCCTCCTCCTGGAATTCGAAGTCCATCTGCGCCTTGTCGGTCTCGATCTCGACGAGGACGTCACCGGGAGCAAGGGTATCACCGGCCTTCTTCTGCCATACGCCGACGTTTCCCGCGGTCATTGTCGGGGAAAGGGCTGGCATGCTAATGATAGTATGAGGGGGGAAAGCTGTAGAGACGAGTGCGTTAGAACCAGATGAAATCGAGTATCGAAATTGATTCAATTGGAGCCATACACTTGGAGGCATAAAAGCGGGAGATAGCGGAGATCGCGGGCATCTGGGATCTGCGCGAGAGAAGCACATCAGCATTATTGTATCAAAGACAAACGTATCGGCGGCGCGTACTTCAAGACCTCCTGGAACTTGTAGGAGACCTGGGGGCGGCGCATAGAGGCAGCACCCCGGGAGAGAAACATGGCACTCGGGGTGCGCATCCGAACGGCGGAAGCAACCATGATGGATGGAATTGCTCCTTTGTATAGAATTAAGAACGGCCCTCAACACAAAGACAGAAGCTCAATAGAATCCGGCGCGAGAGTGGAGGATGGAGGAACCGGGGAAGATGTTGTTGAGTAAGGATAGCCTCTTAACAAGTCAGGAACTTTTCTGTTGAGCTTCTGCGGTTCCCGGTGAGCGCCATCTTCCGAACCACGTGACTCAGGCGGCACAGGCTGACTCAGCGCCCGTAGTCCCGATTTGGAGAAGACACGCATTCGTCTTTTGTATACAACACCGCAAGTGCCGATCGATGATCTAGATTGCTCGTTGCGCCCCTCGTCTGCTGTGACAATGGCGGACGTGGATTCCGGCTCCGAGCCGAATCATCTTTCCGACTCGCCCGACCCTGAGAAGGCCCCCGTTGATGCCTCCGCCGAAGCTCCCCCGGTTTTGCCAGACGACAGGCCAGCCTTGACCGAACAAACAGAATGGCAGGAGGTCAGGGAAGAGGCTGTGGAGAAGCAAGAAGGACATGCTTTGCCTAATAATGAAGAAGAGAATTATGGCAAGCCGGAGGTTCCTCCAAAAGATGATGAGGAGCAAACCCCCGACGAGCCTGAACAACAAAAGGCAGATGCACCGCCTACAATCCAGGAACCGGAGCCTACAGAAGACAATGTGCCAGAGAGCCGAATGCGATCCGATTCGAGGTCTACAACGGCCACCTTCACAACGCAACGGTCTGGCGCAGTTAGCTCGACTGTTTTCATCGTGACCGCACTCGATACCATTGGGGCCTCGCGGGAGGCGCGGAAGAGCAAAGAGCTGGAAGATGCGGTGCAAGTGGCGCTTTCAAGCGTCAGGTCTACGGACGGGCAGCCGATTGACCCTGAGCTCATCTTTCGCCCGCTACACCTGGCCAGCAAGACCCTCAGCGTTCCGCTCCAGGTGACCGCGTTGGACTGCATTGGAAAATTGATCACATACTCCTATTTTGCCTTCCCATCTGCCGAGTCTGAAAATGAAGCAACCCCCGAAAAGCCGCCCTTGATCGAGCGTGCCATCGATGCGATTTGCGACTGTTTTGAGAACGAAGCCACCCCAAATGAAATCCAGCAGCAGATTATCAAATCCCTGCTGGCAGCGGTGTTGAACGACCGGGTCGTGGTACATGGAGCTGGTCTCCTGAAAGCCGTCCGGCAGATCTACAACATCTTCATATACTCCAAGTCGAGCCAGAATCAGCAGATCGCCCAGGGTTCCCTCACCCAGATGGTGAGCACGGTTTTTGACCGTGTTCGGGTTCGGCTGGACCTCAAGGAACTTCGGACTCATGAAGTTGACAAATCTGGCTCTGGTCTGGATGCATCTGCCAGTGATGTAGGTCAAATGTCGGAGGCTGCCTCTGTGTCTGTAGCCGACCAGCCAGTCACCAAGGAGCCTAACAGCGAAAAGCTCACCCTGCAAAGCTTTGAGTCGCCTAAGGAGGTTACTACTGTCAACGATAATGTGCCGACCACTGTTACTCGAGCCAAATTGTCGCGCAATACCCGCTCAATATCCGGCATCCCGGAAGAGAGGGATGATGACAACTCCGCTGAGGACGAGGTGGATGAGGTTTACGTCAAGGACTCATTCTTGGTCTTCCGAGCTCTCTGCAAGCTGAGCCACAAAGTTCTCGGCCATGATCAGCAGCAGGACATTAAATCTCAAAACATGCGGTCCAAAGTACTGTCGCTGCACCTCATTCACTATCTCATCAATAATCATATCAACACCTTCACTTCTCCGCTCGCAGCGATCAAGAACAGCTCCACCAGCACCGAGGCAATGACACTTCTTCAGGCCGTGCGACCTCATCTCTGTCTGAGTTTGAGTCGCAATGGCTCGAGCGCGGTGCCTCAAGTGTTCAAGGTCTGCTGTGAGATCTTTTGGCTGATGCTCAAGGACATGCGAGTCATGATGAAGAAGGAGCTGGAGGTGTTTATGAAGGAGATTTACTTGGCAATTCTCGAAAAGCGAGCCGCGCCCTCGTTCCAGAAGCAGTATTTCATGGAAGTTCTGGAGAGATTGGGTAGCGATCCACGAGCATTGGTTGAAATCTATCTCAACTACGATTGTGACCGAACTGCCTTGGAGAATATCTTCCAAAATATCATTGAACAGCTCTCGCGCTATGCAAGCGTGCCAGTTGTTACCTCATTATCCCAGCAGCACCACTTCCTGGAGCATCACACCAAGATGTCCAGTATTGGGGCCGAATGGCATCATCGTGGGACACTTCCTCCTTCGCTGACGACCGCCAATATCACACCCCATCCTCAACCGGCCGCCCCGATTATTCCCCCTGATTATATTCTGAAGCAGCAGGCTTTGGAATCTCTCGTGGAGGTTTTGCGCTCCTTGGACAACTGGGGTGCACAGCGTGATGACCAGCCTATACAGACAGCTGATCCATCCAAGTCAATGGATAATTCGCGCGAGTCTCTGGACAACAGTATCATCGCCTCGCCGCGCCCAGAAGCCCTTGATACGGGCCGGTCCACCCCTCTTCCTGATGATGATCCCAACCAGATGGAAAAGGTCAAGCAGCGGAAGATTGCCCTAATGAACGCCACTCAGCAGTTCAACTTCAAGCCCAAGCGCGGTATCAAGCTTTTCCTTCAGGATGGATTTATCCGATCGGATGCTCCTGATGACATTGCCGCCTTTTTGCTACGCAATGATCGCCTGGATAAGGCCATGCTTGGTGAATACCTGGGTGAGGGTGAGCCTGAGAATATTGCCATCATGCACTCCTTCGTGGACGCTATGGAATTTACCAAGCGACGCTTCGTTGAATCTCTCCGCTCATTCCTGCAGCACTTCCGACTACCCGGAGAAGCTCAGAAAATTGATCGATTCATGCTCAAGTTTGCCGAGCGATACACTACTCAGAACCCCAATGCCTTCGCCAATGCGGACACCGCCTATGTCCTTGCGTATTCGGTAATTATGCTGAATACTGATCAGCACAGTGCCAAGATCAAGGGCCCTCGCATGACCAAGGAAGATTTCATTAAGAACAACCGCGGTATCAACGATAGCCAAGACCTGCCACCCGAGTACCTTGTGTCCATTTTTGAAGAAATTGCAAAGAACGAGATCGTCTTGGACACGGAGCGGGAACATGCCGCGAACATTGGTATTCAACCCTCTACCTCCACCGGACTAGCGACTCGCGCCGGACAGGTTTTTGCGACCGTTGGTCGTGATATCCAGGGTGAGAAGTACGCCCAGGCATCCGAAGAAATGGCCAACAAGACGGAGCAACTGTATCGTTCCCTCATTCGGGCCCAGCGCAAGACGGCAGTCCGCGATGCTCTCTCCCGTTTCATTCCTGCCACCTCCGTTCGGCACGTTGGTTCGATGTTCAATGTTACTTGGATGTCCTTCTTGTCAGGATTGTCTGCTCCAATGCAAGACACTCAGAATATCGAGACCATTCGACTTTGCATGGAAGGTTTGAAGTTGTCGATCCGCATCAGCTGTGCATTTGATTTGGAGACTCCCCGGGTCGCTTTCGTCACAGCCCTTGCCAAATTCACTAACCTTGGGAACGTCCGGGAAATGCAGGCTAAGAATTTTGAGGCTCTGAAGTCGCTACTCGATGTTGCGCGCACTGAGGGTAACCATCTTCGCACCTCATGGCGTGAGATCTTGACTTGTGTCAGCCAGCTTGATCGGTTGCAGCTTTTGAGCGACGGCGTTGATGAAGGCTCGCTGCCCGATGTCTCACGCGCTCCCTCGACACTTGATTCTCCTCGGAAGTCCATGCAGAGCACGCGCCGATCTCGCCCGCGCTCAATGAATGGCCCGACAGCCTTCCGTGCAGAGGTTGCCCAGGAAAGTCGGTCCGCCGATATGGTTCGTGGTGTGGATCGGATCTTCACCAATACTGCAAACTTGTCGCCTGAGGCCATTATTGACTTTGTGCGGGCACTGAGCGAAGTTAGCTGGCAGGAGATTCAGTCCTCTGGACATAGTGACTCCCCGCGGACGTATAGTTTGCAGAAGTTGGTCGAGATCAGTTACTACAACATGACTCGTGTCCGTATCGAGTGGTCGAAGATCTGGGAGGTGCTGGGTCAGCACTTCAACCAGGTTGGCTGTCACTCCAACACCACCGTGGTGTTCTTTGCCTTGGACTCGCTCCGACAGCTGTCCATGCGATTCATGGAGATTGGTGAATTGCCTGGCTTCAAGTTCCAAAAGGACTTCCTCAAGCCCTTCGAGCACGTCATGGCGAACAGCACCACTGCTGCCGTCAAGGACATGATTCTTCGTTGTCTGATCCAGATGGTCCAGGCTCGTGGTGACAACATTCGATCTGGATGGAAGACTATGTTTGGTGTCTTCACTGTGGCAGCTCGGGAGCCGTATGGTAAGTTCCTGCTCGTTGGGATTCAATTGTCATGCGGAATTACTGCTAACATTTCAAACAGAGGGAATTGTGAACATGGCGTTTGATCATGTTACCCAAATCTATAACGAGCGATTTGGTGTCGTTATTACCCAGGGTGCTTTTGCCGATCTCATTGTCTGCCTCACCGAGTTCTCCAAGAACTCCAAGTTCCAGAAGAAGTCGTTGCAGGCCATTGAGCTTCTTAAGTCAACCGTCACCAAGATGCTACGCACTCCAGAGTGCCCGCTCTCCCACCGGGGCGATTCTGCGCCCAAGCTTCCTGAAGAAGGAACAAATCTGGCGAAGCAACTCACTCGCCAGTCAAAGGAGGAGCAATTCTGGTATCCAATTCTTATCGCTTTCCAGGATGTGCTGATGACCGGTGATGACTTGGAAGTTCGATCTCGGTATGTTCTTCGATGTTCAATTTTTGTTGTTGCTGCTAACTTAAATCCAGGGCCCTCACATACCTCTTCGAGACCCTGATCCGCCATGGCGGGGACTTCCCGCGGGACTTCTGGGATGTTCTTTGGCGTCAACTGCTCTGTCCCATCTTTGTGGTTCTGCAGTCCAAGTCCGAGATGTCCAAGGTCCCCAATCATGAGGATCTTTCGGTCTGGCTGTCGACCACCATGATCCAAGCTCTGCGGAATATGATCACTCTGTTTACCCACTACTTCGATGCTTTGGAGTACATGCTGGGCCGCTTCCTGGAGCTGCTTACTCTCTGTATCTGTCAAGAAAACGACACGATCGCACGAATTGGTAGCAACTGCTTGCAGCAACTGATCTTGCAAAATGTCTCCAAGTTCCGTGAGGAGCACTGGATTCAGATTGTCGGGGCCTTTGTGGAGCTCTTCAGCAAAACCACTGCTTACGAATTATTCACAGCAGCGTCCTCTGTATCCAAGTTGACAGACTCCGTATCTATCAATGGAGATATCGCCCAGGCTTCTGAGGCCGCTACCGAAATTTCGTCCGAGTTACCCGAGGCCCTGCAGCCCAATGGATCGCAGAGCACCACCACACTCGCGGACAGCGGTGACCCGCCTGCACAGAGTGAAGCTCGTGCGGAGCTTGAGGACTACCGCCCCCAGGCCGATTCTCAACAACAGTCCGCTGCAGTAACAGTGGCCCGACGTCGCTTCTTTAACCGCATCATCACCAACTGCGTTTTGCAACTTTTGATGATCGAGACCGTCCATGAACTTTTTTCCAACGACAATGTTTATGCGCAGATTCCTAGTCACGAGCTTCTGCGTCTGATGGGTCTTTTGAAGAAGAGCTACCAGTTTGCCAAGAAGTTCAACGAAGACAAGGACCTGCGCATGCAGCTGTGGCGCCAGGGCTTCATGAAGCAGCCTCCTAACCTGCTCAAGCAGGAGAGCGGCAGTGCTGCCACTTACGTGCACATTCTCTTCCGCATGTATCACGATGAGCGAGAAGAGCGACAGAGCAGTCGTGCCGAAACCGAGGCAGCTCTCATTCCGTAAGTTTTGCCCAATCTCTCACGATCTGACATCTCATACTGACCTTAATCTTCTAGCCTCTGTGCGGATATCATTCGCAGCTTCGTCCGTCTCGACGAAGAGACCCAAAATCGTAACATTGTGGCCTGGCGACCGGTCGTGGTTGATGTTATCGACGGATATAACAACTTCCCCCAGGACGGCTTTGACAAGCACATCGAGACCTTCTATCCATTAGGGGTGGAGCTTCTTAGCCGCGATCTCAACTCGGAGATCCGCGTTGCACTGCAGTCTCTGCTGCGTCGGATCGGCGAAGTCCGCCTAGGTGTGTCTCCGCCCAACCCACTGGATGCTCCGATTAGTCCGCGGAGCTCCGTGTCGCAAAAGGGGTCGCGCCGCGATAGCCAGCTTTCATCTTGATTCATTTGGTGGTTTGTATTTTGGGATATACTCACCCGGCTTTGTGATTTACGCGTGATCGGCGTTTACTTTCTTTGAGCTCTCTATTGTTCCTATAGGCATTCTACTTGTTTTGTTACCCCTACAGTTCTCTAGAGATGCATAGCTGTACTCATAAGATAAAGTGTTCTTCTTTTTCATTTCATACTTCTTCGAAGGAAGGGACATTGCCAGATGCGTAGTGAGACAGTAATTCGTCCATGTCATCCTCGGACATCTTCACGAGTTGATCCAGACTCCATGATTCACATACGGCAGACATCCACTTCATCCGCTTGGGACCCTCGTTGACATCTGGTGCAACCTCACGCAGTTTCCTGCGCAACTTGCCAACATTCTCAATGGCAGCCCCCATGTTATCCGGCAATGTCTCGGCGATCTTCTTGCGCACGATGCTGGCCAGCTTGGGCCCATTGCCATTGGTACTGACCATCACCTGCAATGGGCCATCGCGGTGAACACTCCCAAAGTAGAAATCACACTCAGGCGGCACATCTGCAATATTTGCTGCGATCCGCTTTTCCTTGCAGAGCTTCCACACTTGGGTCGACGCTTCCGGATCGTCAATGGCGCAGAGGACCATATCGGCGTTGTCGAGGTCGCAGGGCTTGAAGTTGCGGTCGACATGGCTGACCTGTTTCTCGGCGATTCGGAAAGCGACTTCCTCGTTGAGGCCGGAGGAAGGACTAACTACGGTGACTTTGGCGTCGGCGTTAAGCGCATGCACGATGCGCCCCGCGGCGACCTGAGCTCAGGTTAGTTAGCTGTATGACCGCACAGGGATGTTGGACAGACCTCGCCACCGCCAACCACCACGACATGTTTGTTCTTGACCTGCCAGGCCAGAATCAACGAGCCACCACCTTGAATCTCGGGGAATTTCGACATTCTCAATTCCTTCAAGTGTAAGAGTAACCGGGTAAAGGAAAGTCACGATAATGATAAGCGTGGGGCAGCATACGGCGAACCGAACACACCGCCCGCGCACTTTGCTTTTCCCGAACTTTTTCTTCAATTTTTCTTCCTCTTCTTCTTCTTCCCCAACCATTGAACTGCCATGCGGGGCGTGCAGATCTTTTCGGGGACTTCGCATCCCGGCCTCGCAGATACTATCTGCGAGCGCCTGGGCGCTTCCCCTGCCAAAGCTGACCTGGGCAAGTTCGCCAACGGTGAGACCAGCGTCAACATCGGTGTCTCTGTCCGGAACCAGGATGTCTATATTCTGCAGAGTGGCAGCAGCAAGATCAATGACAGTGTTATGGAGCTTCTCATCATGATCTCCGCGTGCAAGGGTGGCTCGGCCAAGTCCATTACTGGTAAGCTATCAGCCGTCCAACTCATCCAAGATGAACTCAACGCTGACCATCTCTTCAAAGCGGTCATGCCGTATGCTGCCCGTCTTGTTTGATCCAATCTCAGTTGCATGCTGACCCAGACGAGGTACTTCCCCTACTCGCGTCAATCCAAGAAGAAGAGTCATCGCGGCGCCATCACCGCCCGGATGCTCGCCAATCTCCTCTCCATCGCCGGCGTGGACCATGTCATCACCATGGACCTGCACGTACGTTGTCCCGCACTTTTCCTTCTCTGCATGTGTTGATAGAAGTATGTCCCCCAGGCATCTCAGATGCAAGGTTTCTTCGGAAAACCAGTCGACAACCTCTTCGCCGAGCCCTTCATTGCCCGCTGGATTCGGATGAACGTGGAGGGTTGGAGGGATGCCGTGGTGGTGAGCAAGAATGCCGGCGGTACGAAGCGTGTGACATCACTGGCCGATACCCTGAAGCTGAACTTCGGTATCGTGACTACCGACCGGCGCCGCCCCAGGGTCCCTGTCACCATGTCCGACAGTACCGTTTTCTTCGACGCCGTCGATGACGAACCTCGGGTTCCCAAGGAACAGAAGCCGTTTGAGCTTCACATGCAGAGATCTCAGGCTACCTCTCCCATTCCCGAGGAACCCGAGACGGTTGATGTTGCGCAGGGCCTTCTGCGCCCCGAGACTCCCTCGGCAGCTCGCCGTCCGTCCGAGCTTGAGGCTCAGCATGAGTACACTGACTTACGGGTTCGGGATGTCATCACCGGTCGTCTGGTCCAAGGTCAGTTGGTCGATGACGATTATCATCCCGAGTCCGGCTCCCAGACCGGCGGCACCACTCCTGGCGGCAGCGCCAGCGCCGAGAACGAGGCAGTTCCTGATGCCATGGTCAATTCGATGATTTCGAATGCCTCCTCGCTGCCACCAGACCATGCGCTTGGTGGGTCCTTCGATGCGGCCGAGTCGGATGATGATGAGGCTAGCGTCGTGGGTTACGAGCATCACGAGAAGACCATCACACTGGTTGGCGAGGTCCGCGATCGTTCCGTGTTCATTGTCGACGACATGATTGACAAGAGCGGATCGTGGATCGCCGCCGCCGAGACTGTTGTCAAGCGCGGCGGTGCTCGCAAGGTGTACTGCATTGCGACCCACGGTCTTTTCGGAACTGATTCGCTTGATCAGATGGAGGCTTGCCCCTCCATTGACCACATCGTGGTGACCAACACCTTCCCGATCGAGCCGTCGATGTTGCGGCGGTCAAAGAAGTTGATCGTCATCGACGTATCCACCCTCCTCGCGGAGAGCATCCGGCGTCACCACTACGGTGAAAGGTGAGTTTCACTGCACCATCCTTTGGTGGATCATACTAACTCCTCCCGATAGCGTCTCGGCCCTCTTCCACCTTAACGACTAAATGATGGCCGATGGCTTGTCACGAATTTGACCCCCCCCCCCCCCCCCCCTTTCAAAACCTCTTCGACAATCTTTAGGGCGGCGTTGCTATTGAATTTGCAGACTCCGATCCTCTGCTTTCACAAGATCCTACATGATACCTCTATTTTCTTAACCAAATGGACACCATTTCCTCAAGAAGTTTGCTTTCCCGCAGACGATCCCGTAGAACACGATGAATTATCACCCAGCGATGCAGTCCACTCTGGGTTCTGCAGGAGTATCTCGTGCCCCACGAGGTGTTCTTAACGGAGCGTTGGCAGATTAAACACCGAGTCTTGTGTCCATATTCTTTTGTTTTTCTCTTTTGAGCAGAACATTTGAAGGATACGAGACTCGACGAGAATCGACGGCACCGGTTTCTGGAGGGTTCCATCCACACAGCTTCTGGCAGTGAACCCGGTGCTAGAGAACCTCTCGAACATAGATAGATAATAGCAAACAGTCTATTTCAACCAATTTATGAATCCAGTGGCTATGGCCGTCCCGTCCCGAAATATCTTTTCTATCTTTGACATCATTTTGACGGATTCAACGGTCGATGCGGCTCGCCGTGTTCTCCCCAACAGTCCGGTTTGCGTTCTGGAAGCCGAATCTGTGAAGATTGCAAACTGGTCTAGATGCCGAACCCTGCAAAGCCTCGAGCGTGGCGGCATCTCCGAGCCGGTCAGGTCCCGTTTCAGCCGCTATTGATACATCGCAAGGTCATGAGCTCGATTGCCCTGTTAGGTGGAGGCATATCGCATCGTTTATCAGCTCGTTTAGATCAGCCACCGGCTGAGCAGGTTTCGAACGGGACGCGGGTGGTCCTCGTTCTCCCTGACAGCTGTCTAGATGGGACGGATGGCTGAAGAGCCCTGGTACTTTGTACGACGAGGAAAAGGATCCACAACAACTGCCCCATCTAGCAGCTGCAGAGGCACACAAATGCGACGCGTAGTGTCCGGTCTATGGTCTATAGCTGTTTCGGGTGCTTTGTTTGTGTCCTAGTAGCCGAATACCTCCGGACGTCCCTAGGTACCGATTAGGAAATTGGGTTGCCTGTGGCTAGGATAAACGCTAAGCCAGGGACCCTACTGTACGTTGCGGCGATAAATCAGTGACTAGCGATTGTTATTCGTCGAGTACAATTTCATTCTATTCCATTTTGGTTGCTTGGGTGTCTCAACTCGTTCGTACAATTGGACCCCCCAAAACGACAGACCGAGACTAACGCCGGGCGCGCACTTCCGTGATCGTCATGTGAGCCGGGATTGCGGGACTCATCACTTGTCACTCGCCACTCATCTCCGGGCTGCCGCTGTTTGAAACCGAAAGAATTAAAAAAGGCAAATAGGGAAAGGGAGAGGTAAAGTTCAAAAGCAAAAAGCAAGAAAGGTAAATGAAAAAAAACTAAATAAAAAAAACACTAAATACCGACAGGCTAGAAGAAGAGGCTAAGGGACTTTTGTCAGGGTGCCATGTGGAGAACCGGAGAACTAGGCCCTGGTCCAAGCGTCGAGGGGTTGATACATCAACTCTATTCAGCGTAATGAGCAACAGGGGCAGAGCAAAAGTCAAAAATAGCCGGGGAATACTTGTCACTAGTACTTTTGTGTTTTTGGTGTGTATGTTCCTTGACTAGGATCTTGGGAATACCAGGGATCGGACCCAACCCAAATTGCTGGGATGCCTACGCCCGCGATCGGCTCAGATCGGCGGAAATGTCTTTTGCTACTCGATATTGGTTGCTAGATAGGTGCAGGCGCGTCGACGATCCTTTACTATTTTCGGGTCCCAGCAGTTTGGTTTCCGCGGGTTCAGCGCGCCTATGGTTCTGACTAAACTTTCTAAATCTCATACCAAACCCTGCTGGGACCTGTCCCTTTCCTACTCGGCTCTGCCACAGACGCCCTAGCTTAGGCTCCGGATCCACTTAGTCTCGTTTCCCCCCCCCCCTTCGACGTACACGAGTCGATCTGGGAAAATCAAATTTATTGCTCACCCATCCCCCCGCCTCCCGAACCAAGGTCGTTTCCTGATTAGATCGATTCAGGCCAATGGCATCCCCCCGATGGACTATGATCTCGATCCTTGCCGACTTTTGAATGCAGCTGAGGACGCGAACTACGATCTCCCGGGTTCTTTGACGCATTCGCCTAAATTTCATAGGATGCAGCCCCCGTCATACACGATGAGCTTCGGGGAGGACCAGTTTGTTTCCTTCGTCCTTTACCCTTTTCGAATTTCCTTCCTGCATCGATCCTAGATCTCTTAGACTCTCGATTTGCCCTTTTCCTTATTTTTCTTTTCTATTTTTCTTTTCTTTTTCCTCTCCATTCTCTATTGACCCTGGAGACTCTCACCAATCAAGCCGGGTAGGTGCGTCATCGGCAGTTTACAGACCATTCAGGGCTTTCTTTGGTCGTGGACTGGCTTGCTCCAGGATCTATCTTCTGTCTACCCTCCTCTGTTGTGTCCCCCTCCATCCTGATCGAAAAGTTGATAGAGAAGAGTATATAATGGCCTGGCCCGGCGGCTCATGAAGTATTCCATCTTTCATTCCCATCCTACACTCTCGAGCGACTTCGACCCATTGAGCTTCTCTGCCATTGAATTTGTCTTTCACTCGACGTTGAATCTCTTCTTTCTTTCACGCCATACCCTAGGATTACATCTCCGGTGATCGACACGCTCCCAATCACTCGGGCCCTTGATCGTTTCCCTAGCTTGGTAGGTGACAGGATGCCGGGTCGAACACTATATGAGGCTCCCATTAACGCTTACCCAGCTCAATTGCCATCTCTCAGTCCACAATGGCCAACCAGTGTTCCGGGCATGTCTTCGCCATCGTGCAAGCGACGAACGGCAACATCCTGACCTGGCGCTGCTCCGACTGCAACTCGGGCCCCTTTGTGGCTATCTGGCGCTGCAAGATCTGCGGCCATTGTCGGTGCAATGCTTGCCACAATGCCAAGGCGTGAACGTACATCTCCGTGAGTATCTGATATTGATGGCGGTGGACCAAAGTCAATTCGAACAACCGCGTTGGTTCGCTAATCTTCGTTTAGCAGACCGCATTGGCCCTCAGCCTCTTGCATGAACCCGAGCAAGGGTATCCCATCCACGCAATCTCACAAATCCTCATTCAGCCCACCTTGTTCTCTGCTTCTCGTTTTTTCCTGGCTGCGTTTGGCGACGTGTGCGCATTTGATCGGTTCCAAAAAAACGGTCGGCTATTAAAAGTTTCGATGGGTTTAGGTCTTGCATCTGGGTGGAGTTTTCAATTCTTTTTGTCTTTTCGTTATCGGGACTAGATGGGTTCTACTGTTTACTATTTTCGTGGACTTGCATATCTTTTGCCCTGGAATCATGGTCATGGCGTCCGAGACATTCTATCTCAAGTCAAGGTTACAATTAGGGAGGTGGAGAATTCAGAGTTCAGAATTTAGACACTATTTTGACATACCAAGTCCTACCACGTAGAATTGTTGAGGCTAGACAATTATTTTTAGTTCTTACAAGACTGTCTAGCTGGGTGGAACGCATCGAGAACTGACAGTCCGGCTCGAGGCTGCTGGATCGTGATTGATTGCAATGGCTACGCAACGGCATCGAGCCAGGCCGATCGTTCCCTTACATTGGGAGGTGGGATGGGATGCAGGGTCTCTTTTCCTCCCTTGAGTGACGGAATGTCATGGTGCGGGCCCGGCAAAGCAATGCCGAGATACTATTTGCGCATCCCCTAAGAAGCTAGAACCATTCGGCTCGTCCTGCCGCCCCATTATTCTACGCCACCGATTCAGCCATCTGTGTGTTCGGGCAATTGCGATGACGCCAAGGAGAGGCTGGCAATCATGCCCTCGACCAGTACTATCAGACGGAGAACCGCTTCGGGTTGACAATGGTGGCTGCGCCGATAAAGCGTTACCGCGGGTCGGAGACGTACTTTGTTGTGTGCACGCACCTAGCGGTCAATTTATTATCGTTCACCCTGTGTTCGCGAGGCGCTACGGCTGGTGCTAGTTCAGCTGTACCGGAAGCGAAGGTCCCCAAGAGCAAATGGCATTAAGGATTTCCAGGGGTTTGGGTCCGCTAACTCTATTGTGTCCAAAGCCCCCACTTTCCAAAGCACCACGCAAGGACCAGCTGCTGGTCCTGGGAATGTGGAGGCGTTGGTGGGTCGGTCAAAAGTACGGTCTGTACAGGCAATGTGGGTTTAGACTATGCCTGTAGCCTGTTGCGAATTGATTTGATCCCCTAGTTGCGTTTCCAGGGTATCCAGGGACATGGTTCTGGGGACTATTTCCTGCCAGTACGAGTGTAAACTCTATACCTGGGCAGTCGATCGGATCTTGTGTACGAGAATAGAACCAGAACTTGGAAGATATGTCCACACGAAAACTAAACTATAGCTTCGCACTATGGTTAATTAGAAAAACAAAGGCTAGGTGTAAATGCTCTGGCGAATATGTTAGCACCGAATCGAGAAACCCCACACCGATCCACAGGCAGACGATCGAGAATACTCACCTCGGTAATTTGATTCACAGCCAGCCCAGGTTCGGCCATCTCTGCGTCGCACAAGAAATCCAGTGGAAGCCACACCAAGTGGCCCTTGATACGATCTAATTTCTCACGCACCTCAGCTACCGGCATATACGGATCGAACAGGTGGCCCTGTTTCGTCCCACGCGGACAGAAGTTATCGTAATCCTCAAAAGTTTTTATGTTCTCATCCGGATCCGCACGGAAGAGGACCCGATACGTCTCCGTGTTGACGCTAGCCTGCTCCGTCCAGGTGTTCCAGACCGAATCGCTTAGCGGATCGACGACAAGCTCGTTCTCGGCGCCTTCTAAGATCTGGTTGGGGCAGACGTTTGGAGGTTGCGAGTTCGGGTGACCTGAAGCATCGTATTCCTGTACGGGCAGCAGGCCTAGATGCTCGCGCCAAAGCTGACGACGAAGAGTCGCTGCATGGCGAGCTGCACGGTATGGCTTACCATCCATTTGACTCTCGATGAAATCTTGATCTTCCATCACGATCGCGAGTTCGCTATCATGCGAGCCAAGCTGGGACTATACCGCCACAAATCAGCCGAGTCACATATTTGCTGTTGGAGTCCACTTACCCGATCGTTGATATTGGCACTACCGCAAATCACCACGCGATCGTCGACAATACAAACCTTGCCGTGCACATACAGCTCCTCCTGGACAAAATTGGCTTTCTCCGCCTCGGGATCACCTTCCCAGATCTCATCGACCATCTTGCCACCATTTAGCATGGTAGTGTGAGACACCGAATCGCAGCTCGCATCGCCCTGCTGCGCCTTGCGCTGCTCAACCTGTTCCTCGAACTTCTCCAACTTGCGCAAGGTTTCTTGCTTCTCAGCTGAGTCACTGCTGTAGTCCTTCTCATTACGATCGCCTTCATTGCCAACAGACGGGTGGACACTCTCGCCCATGATAGACTCGGCGATACCACGCTGAATATCCTGGTAGTTGACACCAGCCTTCTTCTCAAGCTCTTCGAGAGCAGGGGTCTTGTTGATTCTGTCATAAGCACGCAGAGCGAAAACGAAAATTTGTTCTGTTCGAACAGTCAGTATCACAGATTAATCATGCAACAAATCGAAACATACGTGTGGGGTCCACTCCCTCTTTCTTGATCTGAGCCATGATCGAGTTTTCGCCGCGGCAGATTGACTTGTACTGGTAGTCCATGATGGCTCTGGTGCCTGTCGCCGCATTGTCACGCAGGTCACCGGCGAATCCGGGAATAGCAGGGATAACGATGATGACTCGGAACTTGCGCCCCTCCTTGCCGGCACGAACGCAGGCATCAACGATAGCACGGCCGACCTGGTTGTAAACCGGATGCTGCTGGTCACCGGTGGCAGTGACTAAAATAGTGTCAGTCAATTGAAATCATCTTTCATACTAATAGTGAACTCACTGAAGAACTGGTTCTCGATGTAGACAAAGTGCTCGGCGTTACGAATAGTCTCGCAGTATGCATTCTGAATACTATGCTCGTTCAGAATACCGCTGCTCCAGTCATCGCTGCTTCGCACAATCTGAGCCCGAACAGTACCCTGCTGACCGTGAGGCTTTCCAGAAAGCGGCGTCAGAGGGTGCTGAATATACTCTCCACAAGGATACTTGGGTCGCTGCACAGCAATTATATCCTCGTCATCTCCAGTGCGGCCCTCCATCAGTAGCCAGTCCACATCATCACTGCGCTTGTACTTGTCACGCTTGATAAAGTTCCAACGGAGTACAAAGTGCTCTGCGATATCGTAAACAGCGTCACCGATCAGACCCATGGCCACATCGTGCCACGGCATTCGGCCGAAGTCCGCCTTGCTCAGCTCATTGCTCTGCCAGTCATCGACGCTCTGGAAGTCCATGATACGGTTGTTATTGAAGTCCTGACCGGGGAAGATGTCATCTTTTAAGCCACCGGGGTGAACATCGGCGAGAGCGTGCTGATTAGCATCCCAACGGCCAAAGCAGAGATCAATGCCTCCGATGAATGCCATGGCGTAGTCAATCACGATGAATTTCTCGTGGTGAGCCTATTCCATGTTAAAAACTGGCAGAAGCTCCAGCACCTTAAGAAACATACCCAGTAGAGAGTCATGTCAGCAGCGTTCTCAAAGACATTATGGTCCGGATGGCGCAAGACTCGAATATTGCCATGGCCGGGGGTGCCCTCAGGGCAAAGATTCTGCAGCGCATGCTTGGTGTGTGCAGAATTGCAGGTTAAGGCCTGATTGACTTCTTTGTACACAATGACAAAAATCTTGACACCTGCTTCCGCGCGACGTTTCAAGATGTGATCCAGACGCCATTCCTGGTGCTCCGCGGGCGGGCGACGCATAAACAGTTCCGGTGAGAGCCACCAATCGGCAATGTAGATAGTCTCGGTCGCCTTTTCTAGGGCTTCTGAGACTGCCCAGAGGTAATCGAGAGCATCGACATACCACTTGAGGTTGTTCCCCTCACGAATAGGTGCGAAAGAGCCGAACCGGTGGGACTCCGCAATTTTAGAGCGTTTCGCGTCTGTAATCTGCTCATGTTCCTCATCATGGCGGTGATTAGGGTTGATGATATTGAAAAATTTGCCGACCTTATGCTTCAGATGCGTAGCCTTGGCTTTGGTGTCGTGGAGTCCGTGGTCTGGAAGAATTGTTAGTTTAAGCGCGGGGTTCAGGGTTCGCGGTACGCGATAATAAACTCAGGGCCGACCTCGGAATGACTCCTCCAGGTTCTCGACCTTGTCTTCGAACTTTTCCTTGAATTTATGCATGGTTACGCGGACTTCAGGGGAGATGGAGAAAGGAGGGGGAAAGGCAATCCAAAAGCCCCGTTCAACCGCCCCCTCTCCCAAGCCCGATCATGCCCGCCAAAACTGACCCCAAACGGTGACATCACTAGTAGCCCTACTGCCTTACGAGAACTAAATGCGGTTGCGGCATGAGACGCTTGGCGCAAATGGCCTATTGACCACTGACATCAGACCATGAAGCACCTATGGTGCAGGACCCGTTTCCGATTTAATTTCCAGTGTCTCTAAGCCGCGTGGGAGGAGATTGGATCCACCTGGATCCGTGGGCCACGAGCGCCGAGTGCGACGATCGTGGAAAATGCACATGTGGGCGATTACTACATGTACTAATTTAAGTAGCTACCTACATGTGGTGTGCCGTTACGTTTTCACATACACAGATATTTGCCTAGGTCTTCAGGACCCGCAGATATGTCACTTGATCTGGTAATGGTGGGGTTGAGGCCGGATCAGCAGTGGAGTGACAAAATATATTTTGGGAATTTAGTCGGCATGCTGGGCAAGACCTAAGTACAATTCCACTGGATGCATTAACCCCCTTAATATCCATGAATGGCCTCTACGAACTATTCCTCAATGCTAAGATTGTAAAAAGCAAGTTTCGAACCGTGAAAGGTCGTCTTACGGATGACGTCGGAGGAGTTCGCGAAGTGCATTCAGGCCTGAGGCCAGCAACAACACAATACAACACAACAGTGAACCACATTCAATATTCAAACATTTTGCATATGCTCACAGGATATGAAATAATAGCCGGATGATGTCCGATCTAATTTCCATTCTCCCTGTCTCCTGAATGTTTTTCATTTAGTAGCAATCAAGTCCCTCTCACCCGCCCGGTCGTATCTTTCTCGCCTTATGTCTCGTGACTAGGCTGATTTTTATTTATCAATTTTCTAGTAAGTAATATAATAGAATGGACAATCCATGAAAGTGCCAAATCCTCTTCATCTCAAGGATAACAGTGTTGTATGTCACATATTTTCCACCCTTTGTTGTTTGTTTGGGCGGAATGCTTACCTCAGCCACGTGACCAAGCCAAACAACGTTGTCTGAGGAACGGCTTCCTCTGTTTATCCTCCTCGACTCGACTTGCACCACGCGGCGACCGCTAGCCCTGCGGATTTGGGACGACTTTCGTTTGGCTTCTCGTTTATTGTTCTTTACGACTGTTGCTTGGTGTTGCTTTGCTACCTGAATGAGTCTTGTCGCCGTGTGTCCAGCTCTGAAAAAATAACACGACCCGTGCAGGCTCTGGTTCCATCTCCCTGGTGACGGGCCTCCTCCACTTCCCAGATTGGACCGAAGACAATTCAGGATGCCTCCAGAATTAGGTGAGAATCCCCTAGCTATACATGGGAACCCGTGCTCATGATATTCATCCACAGTACGCGCCCCGTCGCAAGGAAGCGTTGTGTCGCAGACCACACAACATATGGGTCCTCACAGCCGCCCTGGCACCGCTGACCCTATGCGAGCACGATCCGAAACCATTTCGCGAGCCGGTCGTCGCCCTAGGTCTCGTGGTTCAACTGCTAGCATTCATTCCAGCACGACTCAGCAGACCCAGGACCAGCACCTCGACGGGTTTCCTCAGTTTTTACCGTCTCAGGTCGGTGCGGGACAGGCCATGTTTGGAACCAACCCGGAAGACATGATCATGCGTTTTGGAAACCAACTCGGTCAACAGTCGAATGGCGCGTCATTGGAACACCATATGCGTGACTCCCATTCCATGGCTTCGCGCCCAGATGAATTTCCCGGCCATGCCATGCACGGACACGGTCTTTCGCACCACGGGTTGCCGCCAGATATGGCATCTAATGGTCCTCCCGTACCCGTCCCTCAATATCAAGCCATATACGACAGCGGAATCGAGAATCACATTCCCGAGCATATGATGGAAGACCAAGAAGCATCTGAGCCTGGTGCCAAAAAGAAGAGGGGTTCCACCTCGACTCTTGCAAACGACAATGAACTGCGGAAGCTGCTTCGTCAATACGAAGGTTACAGCTTGCAGCAGATGGCCGCTGAGGTCATGAAGCACGAAGGGGCTGGGGGCAAGGCAGAGAAGGTGAAGCAGGTATTCGCCATGATCTGGTAAGTTGATATCGTTATCACTTTTGGGGATCATTGTTTTCTGACTTGCTTTAGGCTGCGTGAAAATTGCCGTAAGAGCAATGGTTCTGTGCGAAGAGATCGGGTGTATTGCTGTTATGCCGAGAAGTGTGGAACTGAGCGAGTGTCGGTTCTCAATCCTGCATCATTTGGTAAACTTGTCCGCATTATCTTCCCCAATGTACAGACTCGGCGACTTGGTGTTCGTGGCGAGTCCAAATATCACTATGTCGATTTGTCCGTCATTGAGGAAAAGCAACAGAAGCCTGTGCCTCAGGTCGCTCCTAATCCTCATGTCCCTGCCGGCGTTCCTGAAAGGCCCGCCAGTGGGATGCGCTCGCGAGGGTACGAGGGATCACCGTCGGTTCCTCCAGGCAGCGCGGATGGACGCTTCAGCGTCAGCCTCCCTCCACCTACAGCCGACACTGCCGTGTTCCCGTCTCCGACTACTTCTTTCGCACCCCGCTTCCCTGCCAACTCAACACCTTCGGGATGCAGCTGCCAAGGTCAATCACCCTCTGCCGCCGAGGCCATGATTACTCCCGACAATGTCGGTCAGCAAGCAGGTAAAATGATCCACCAGATGCTTCAGTTCCCCACAGACGAAGTTCCTGCCGTCGACAACGATGCTCTCATCTTGCCCGATATCCGCGGTTATCTGCCTGTGAATACGGACCCGAAGGTTGCCGAAGCGCTCGCTGCCCTCTACCGGTCTCACTGCATTTCGGTCATTGACAGCTTCCGATTCTGCAAGGAACGTAACCTTCTCAAGTACTTCTCCGCCTTCCATGGCACCCTGACTGTCCCAGTCCAGAAGTTGTTGACCCATCCCAACCTGGCACCGTGGATCAAAGAATGTGATTGGTTGATGTACCAAAAAATGATCGCTTTTGTCGCCCCTCTCACCACGCAAGTCGTGCCCAAGGTAGTTTTGGACGCCTTCAGCTCCATCTCTCATAAACTGTGCGCCCACATCGCCGAGACATTCAAGACTCACCCTTCGCATGTCTCAATCGCACGACTGATTCCCGCTCACATATTCTCCAATCTTCTCAAGCATATGCTCGATGTGAACCAAGCAGCCAACGCTGCTGCCGCATGGCTCTGCCACCCCGATAACCGCAATCAAATGTGGTATGACTTCAAGACCCTGGTGGATCCGAAAGAGATGATCACCAAAGCCAACATCCCCGCCTGCAGCCAAAAGGCTACGGAGCAAATCCTCAAGCACGATATTCGTGCCCTCCTCACACCATTGACTGATGCCGACAACACGCCGGGCCTCCCTTTCTTCGCCAAGCCGGACCTTGCGGAGGATCTGGAGGCCCACCTCCTCCCCGTTGACACCGCTTCTGGTGAAGACTATAACTTCCCTGACAAATGGGTGTCATTCATTTTGAATCTCCCGGCGGTTTTTGCCCACCACCGCTCGCAGTGTATCATTGAAAAGATTGACGCTCTTTGGGATCGTGTTCTTCACCGTCTCACTCTAGGTGGAGCAGCTAGCTTCAGTGCCTGGTGGATGACCAAAGTGTTCTTCCACGAGATGATGGTCTGGCAAGCGGAGAAGGGAGGCTTCATGCGCAGTACTGCCAACTCGCTCCAAAGCATGACTTTCGGGGCTGAACAGCCTGGTCTGGGCAACTTCAACCTAAAGCCGAACGTTGCAGGTGTTGCGCATGCCCAAGCCAAGTCCAATAGAATCCCTTCTGTGGACACCAATCAAGCTCATCGCCGAGCCGGCGATGGCGAATCTGATGTGAAACAAGTTTCCGATGAGAAGGAGCTGGCTCTTGCGGAATCGGGGTTTCAATCCCCTAACAACGATGACAGCGCAATCGATTTGGGAGATGATCCCATGATGATTGCGGTGGGTAAATACGGAGACATGATGGCTTCCGATCCTGCGGATGCGGAGGGAGATGTGGTTGTCATCTAGGGTCGCTTGATTTTCGGTTTTGTTCATTCCAGGGTTGGCAGGAGTTGGAAATATCCCAAACGGTGTTCTTGTTTTTTTCTTTTTTTCCCCTTTTTACATTTCCTTTGTCTGATGGGCGGCGTTCCTACGAATTGTTCTGCACGAAGAGACGAGCTATGAGCATGGGAATATACTTTAACGAGTCTTCCTTGCGAAATTTCCCTCCAGGGTGTTTTGTTGATCATCCATACAGCATTTAATCGGCGTGGCGGAATCCTACCAGGGCTTGGTTCTTGCTTTGCTTCCCGTTTCATCCTGTTTCTTACTTCTCGGCCTTGTGTTCCCTGGAATCAGGCCTGTCTGTGTATATACGCACCTCATACTACGTACCGGATCTGTGGCTGTACCCTGCACCATAATGGGGAGAGGCTTAATGAACGTATCCAGAAAAAATGTCTTGAAATAATAATTCTCCATGCCCCCCCCCCCCCGCTATTACAGATAAGTAACATGACAGTAAATGCCTAGAGCTTATCAGATTGTACCAAATAGCTTTAATTAGATTCTAGAATCTAGACTTCAACCCTTCCGCAGCTGAGTCACATCTCGATGGAACAACTGGCCGTGATTCGAAACGGTATCAACACACTAATCGTTACTTGCAAGCCATCTCTTGATGCATTTGGTTGGCAATCCATTGCAGACACTATCGTCTTCCGAGACTCGGATGAATTGGAGAGCTTTGCATCAGGGAACCTCTCGTCCCTGGAAGCCCTGTGCCAAAAGCTCGAGCAACGCCTGGAGCCCTTCATTGACTACAGAGACACAAAATCGTAGTATGTTGTTGGCAGATGTTCAACTGAGTTGATTCCTAGTTCAGCTCCAGTTGGCTCTCTAGGCGGCCGAGCTGTGCGCAGCGTTTCGCGCAAGGTCTGCTCCACCATTGCTTCGGCACTCTTTGACCAGAAGATGGATCTGGAAAAGGCCACTACAAGCTTAGCTTCCAAGAGTTAGTCTCGTTCCTGGGCTGGACAACTTGGTACAAAAGATGATGTGATCACGCATTGAAGCGTCGACGATCGACCCGCAACACAGGATGCTGGAGCCACGCTACGATGTTGATGCTTTTTAATTTCAAAAACTCCTTGAATTTACTACAATTAATTTACACTGCAATTTCATTTGACCATCTTCCCAGGGTGAATTGAGAATTACACATGTTGGTCAGCTCCCAACTCTCAGCGCCCATCATCGCAGGCGCATTCTCATCTTCAGCGTCTCCCGCAGCTCCAGCCACAAACAGAGCAGCCATGAAATGATCGTCGGTGGCATGTGCGTCGCGGAAGCGAGGGTGCTTCATCAAGCGAGTCATGGCACGGCGAAGCTGGGGACCAGATGTCTTGATGATAACGTCCTCAACAGCCTGTCGGAACTCCATCGCCCAATCCTCGGGTGGGGTCTCCAAAGCAAAGTTATCGCGGAACCGCATCATAGGCGCCCACCTATTCCGGTATAGATTGTGAACCGCACCTCCCGTGCCGATGAATAAGTAGTTCTCCTTTCGCAATGGACGCAGGGTAGCGCCGATTTTCAGATGGAAATGAGGATCGTAGCGAGCATTCGCTGAGACTAGTGTCGTAGGTGGGCAGCCACCGGGGAACATGCGAATCAAAATAAGGTAAACGTCATGAATCCATTCAAAATCCGTGTTACCACCAACGTTAAACCCCTCGCGAGCTAGCATCTCGATGCATCGATTCGTGGTGTCAAGGTCGGGTACGAGCTTGTAGTTGACGTATTTGTCGGGGTGGACATAGGCTACAGGGCTCTTTCCGGGGTTCGGGTTGGTTGCTAGCTCGATTTTGTCGCCCATGCAGTCCCAGTGAGCTCCCTACCATCATGGTTAGTGGTATGTTATTAGATCATGAGCTGATACTACTCACCATAATTACCACCCCCTTGATCTTTCGCGCAAGAGCTTCATCGCCGCACTTTTTCCAATAATCGGCGCTTTCCGACTCCTCTCCGAGCATCATGGTCGAGCCATGGGAAAAGAAATGCACCGGTGTGAGACCTATTCCTCGTCAGTTGAAAAAGAAAAAAGATACAAGCGGAGATACAAACTAACCCATCTTGACTATTTTTTTGACAGAGATGTGATGAACCCTGAAAAAAGACAACTTCTGAAAAGAACTTGTAAAAGGCCGTGCCTCGTAGCATATATGAGACCGGAACTCTGTATGACACCCTTGGAGGGCATCGGAAGTTGTCCCCCACATCCCGATGGGTTGAACTCAACCCCGGTCAACCCGCTTCATTAGAGGCATGCGTAAGCCTCTAGGGGCCCCTGGTCACTTGCCCCTCATTTGAAAGGTCACACTGATCGGGAAAATGGACAAACCATGAGGCCCAAACCCCCATAGCCGGCATCCTCGTTCACAAACCTGGGGAATTGCGGAGCATTTCGCGATCGCACATGACACATGACACATTGTACACCTTAGCTTCTGAACGGCAGTTGAGGCATGATCGTCGCTGGGTCCACAGATCATCAATTGCCTAGCGCACGAACGTAGGTTGTCCGGTGAGCTGCAGTGTCCCACGCTGGAGAGCTTTGGTGGCAACGGAGGTTTCTGCGCGATGGCCACATGGTCCCTGACTTCCCCAGATTTTCGGCTTCGACTGCGACTTCCCCTCAATTTGGGTGACTCCTCCTTCTCTCCTTTCCATTCCCCGGATACTCCCCCAGATGCTATCATGTTCAGTGATTCACCCGACCAGCTGAACCCTTCCTCTCCCGTCAAATCCAAGGACAAGGATGGTGGCTATTTTCAATGCGGCTTCTGTAAACGCCACTATAATCGGGCGGACCATTTAATCCGTCATGTACGATCGCATACTCGTGAGAAGCCATATGTTTGCGATGTATGCGACAAGGGATTTGCACGGCCGTCAGTATCTTCGTCCGTTGACTCACCGCCACGCCACTAACACCCCGTAGTGACCTCTTGAAGCGCCATGCCACAGGGCATGCCCATGACAAGGACCGCAAGCGCAAAAGAAGCTCGTCAATCGCAAAGCAAAGCCGCGTCTCGCAGGCTTGCAAGACATGCGCCTCCTCAAAGCTGAAATGCGACGAAGAGAAGCCTTGTCGGCGATGCCGTGAACGAAATCTTCAATGCGACTGGCAGGATGTCGTGCAGGACTCATCTCCTGAGCCACAGCACAGTATAGCCGACACCTATGATGCCGGCAATCAGCCTCTCGACACATCAGCCACGGTCGCCTTCTCTCCGATGCCTACCCCCTTGGAAGATTTCCCAGCGGCTAGCAATATCATGATGACACCAAGTGGTCCTCTCCAAGAGCAGGTCATTTCACCAGAGCTTTCCGCTAAAAACGAGCAGATGGTAGTTGAATACGGCGGTACGATTGTCCTCTATCATCTTCGGGATCAAGACATACTAATAACAGCCGATAGTGTCTCCTACCGACCATGAAAGCGGCATTTTCAGCGTCGATGGCACATTCTTCCCGAGTTTCATTCCCGACTCACTGATATCTTCCTTGAATCGATATAATGATCCATTCGACCCGTCCAGTCTGATACCCGAGTTCACACATTACCGCGCATTGGAGAATCCAGGCTACGACTTCAACTTAACAGATGGCGATTTCGGCCTGATTGACATGTATAATTCCCAGAGCTTTCCTCCAGATATCTACGGGATTGAACCACACGATCGTTTCGACGCTGATAGCGGAATTGGAATTGGCACCGAAGCCTACCACCGATCATCCTTATCCGCGTGGAAGCCCGTTCGGCAAGACCACGCATTTGGCGACCACGAGAATCTGTCTGTACCGCAAGCAATAGATAGTCCCGAAGCCATTGCCACCTCCGACCGACAGATCCTAAGCGAGCGTCTTTCGTCAAGTAGCCGAGATCTCATATTTGGACTTGTTTTGGAGATCAGCCGCGAGGCCAACATGAGTCGAATCATGAAGTCATTTCCGAGCACAGAGCTACTAGATGGATTGATTCAGCAATATTTTGAATACCAAAGCCACAGTGTGGATTCATTCATCCATGGACCGACTTTCCGTCTAAATGGTGAACATGCCAGTATTCTTGCAGCCCTGGCTGCTGGTGGTGCCGTGCGCTCGCCAATTCCTACGATCAGAAAGCTGGGCTACGCTTTGCTTGAGATTGTTCGCCTGTATATGCCTATTAAGGTACGTGAATGCCCTCTTGCGATTGACTCAATCATTTACAATTCGTAGTATGAAAAGGATAACAGTACCACGCGAGATTTGCGAACCTCGCAGACCTACGCTGTAAATCTGGATATTGGTATTTGGAGCGGCAATCGACGAAAGACGGAAATTGCAGAAAGCTTTTTACAACCTTTGATAACAATGCTTCGACGAGCCCTTCGATTCCGCCGATCGGTCTATACGGCCATCGTGCCTCTGGCGGAAGATACGGGAGACGTGTTGGAACGAAAATGGCGTGGGTGGATTGAACAAGAGTCTTTCAAGAGGTAATCACACCGGCCACAATAACTTGAATTGTGCTAACATCCCCAAGGCTTGTCTATCATGTCTTTCTCCATGATTCCCAGACAGCAATCACTCACAACGCCAACCCTTTGATATCCTATGCAGATCTTGAACTTCCACTCCCTGCCGCCCGTTCATTGTGGGAAGCAAAGACAGCCACCGAATGGAAGGAACTTTATTCCGCAACCCCTACAGAACGCGTCCCCTCCCTCGCCGATCTTCTCCGCGACATGTCGCAACTATCGGTATTCCAAGACCGCATTGACTCCCAGCTAGCGGCTCTTGTTCTCCTCCACGGACTTTCCGCTCTGATTAACGAATACCACCGGCTGAAGTTCATATCTACCAGTAACTCCAAACACTGGCATGCTCTTGTGACAAACTCTCGCCAACAAGAACTCGACCAAGCACTTCAGCATTTCCGAATGGTATGCTCAGAACTTCGAGTCCAATGCCGCCCCGAGATCACATTAGTGTGCGAAGTAGTCTCGATGCTTCTCCACATGTCTCTTGAAGAACTGCAATTGTTCGCTGGAAAGGAAGATAAACAAGAAGCCCGTCGAGTCTACCACTCGGCTCTTGAGTGGATCACAAGTTCCGATTCAAGACGAGCCATCTGGCACGCCGGACAAACCGTGCGAGCGGCTCGACGAATGGCACCCGGCTCATTAACCGGCTTCCTTGCAATTGGGGTCTACTACGCAAGTCTCGCGTTCTGGTCCTACGGCGTCGTATCCAAAGCCAAGAACACTCAGCTCACCGGTAGTCCCGCTTCTCTTTCCACTCAAGGTCCAACTGTATTCCTAGACGCGGATGAAGTAGCCGACGTTTCCAAATTCGTGACTCTTGGATGCGGCCTCCCTGCACTACAAGGACCCAGTGGACCAACTTTCCTTGCAGATCCTGGAATGACGATGCAGGCTGTCCAAGAGGTACTAAGGCCTGATGTTTCTACGAGGACACCACCGCTGGTTCAGAGTCTGGCTCAGCTTATGGGGGATCTGGGACATTGCGTATATGGAGGGGCGTGAGATTCTTCGAAATTTGAATGTAATAATAGGCGACTGAATGTGATACCCAAGCCTGACTCTATCAACCCAAGCCCTACCAGACCCATCACTATGGGTATACGGACAAATATCGCGGAACCATAGACCATTTCCGGCGGAATAGGACAGCAGGTAGAGGACTTCTATTCGTTGATCGTCCCCCGCAAGAGAAGACAGGATCGTCACTTTGACGAGCTCCAGGAGGTCAAGCATGACCAGAATGCTCTCCAGGATCAGAGGGAGAAGCTCCACAGGACGCCCAGGGTTTCCGAGTGCTATTTGAGGCCCCATATATTCCTCAGCGCGGGGCTAGTAGGCCGGCAATGTGGACAATTGACGAGAATAACCCCCATAATTCCGAGCATCCCTTTAAATAAGAGCCAATGCCCTTAATTTTAACGAAAGAATCTACATTTGCATCTTGAAAGATTCAGAATGTTGCGCTTTAGTTCACTCCTTGCGGGTCTCAGTCTACTGTCTCCTGCCGCGGGAGTTCCATCGTCCCAATTGGACACCAATAATGTCGAGCTGCCCTGGCTACCTATCCCAATTGCAGATGCAAATGCTACCCTTCAAAGCTCTCCTACTGTGTTTCCAGTGTCTATGATAAAGGGGCTGAAAAGTACAGGGATTAATGACAGCTTGGAGTCACCTCTTACATTCAACAAGGTGGGAGATATTGATATGCGTCAGTCCGATTCCCCTAATTATCTTTCGAGCTTGGCTGACATGTATACTGCAATTAACAGTCGACTACGGAATTGACGTCGCCGGTAAAGCCATTTTTGAAGTATCTCACCTTGAGGGTAATCCCAAAGTGAAGTGAAGTATACCGAAGCTTTCACGTGAGACCATTTGATATACCATCAAGTTTTAAAAAAAAAATCTAACAGTGTTCTTTAGCGGTCTCAACAATCCCCAAGCTGATGGACCTTTCGCTTTTGCCAACGCCCTAAGTGGAACATTTCGAGTGGAGACCTATAACATCACCAAAACCGGTCCCCTGAAAGGTTACTTTATTCAGGGATCGCAGAGATGGCAATCCATTAAACTTGTCAAAGGAGGAAAATTGACCATTGATAAAGCTGGTTTTGTGTCAACTGTGGATCAGAGTCCGGTACGTCCAAATATGCTTGTCAAGTTAAAGCTGGGTTCATTTTTTTTCCCACGTCAGCTTTCTTCAATGCAAGGATACTTTGCCTCAAGTAATGCCACATATACCGATATCTGGACCCTTGTACCAAGAACGCAGCAACTAGCTTGTTACAACCCAAAGACCCAGACTTCGACGTGGGAGATCACCCCGCAAGGCGCTTATATTCGAGGTCAAAAACCTGCCACAACTGCCCAAGTAGTGAACCTGGCTAATTATACCTTATCATTTGAGATGATGATCGATTTTGGTGGTACTGGCTGGAGAGTTGATACCGAAATAGATACAATCCAGGCTACAGGACCCATTTGTAAGAGAGAACTCCCGATGGCCAATGTATTGTCGGGTTGGCTAACGAAATGTCAATCCACAGTTGTTCTCACAAGTGACTACCCAGAAGGCTCATTTGCAAATATTGATCGTTCCCTGGTGCCCTCCACACTCTCATTTTGAGCCGAGGCTGGTCACTGCAGAACCAAATCTCTCTACCTGGATATGTGCTAGATAAATTTCCATTCGAATTTGTGAGTCCCAGTCCGATAAAATAATTTTAGAACCACAATACTAACAGAAGGCTCGAATAGAATGTGACCGAGAAAATGTGGCATACTATCAAGACTGTATCTCCAGGTGATGACACATATACCGTCTACTTAGATGGCCACCAAATTGCAAACTTCAACATCAGCTCCTACGGCATCGGTGATCCAAACACCTAAATCTCAGGAGGCACTTACAAAAGTTTCAGCTTTTGACCGTGGCAAGATCAAGTCGCCTACATACGAAACGTGACAGCAACCCTCAGCACAGGAAAGGAGGTCTATAACAACCCAATGATGTCAGATAATTTTTTGACCGAGTACGGCGTCCAGACAAATGATGCATATGCATGTTCTGACTCCGGGAAAACTGGCTAGGTGATAGACTCATTTCCTCGCGCACGATCATGGTCAGCACTCAACAAAGCGAGTACGTCTGGGGTCTAGCGGAGCAGATATTTACAAGGCAAATTACCTCGGGTCAAGTACCCTCGAATACACTGTTCAGCCCACTGGATACTCAGAGCGTGTTGATTCGAACGGCGAATGTTGATCCACTCCTTGTTGATTATAACATTGATTTTATGCAGGTTATTTATGATTACTGGTTACGATCGGGGAATGATACCTTCCTGGAGATGTTTTGGCCTCAGATGGTTGCTAGTACGAGTTATGCCGTGTCGCGGGCTCTGGATGAAGGCACTCAGCTGTTTGGAGCGCCCTATGGTTCATCTGGAACGACCCTTAATGGTGAAAAAAGACAAGCTCTTGGACCTTCAAATACCGTTTCGATGGTTATTGGCCTAGAGAGGATGGCTGATATGGCAGCTCACCTAGGGCACTATTCCTCTGAGTCCTTTTACCGGGGACAGGCACAGCTTTCCAGAGATGCGATTGAATCTTTGTTTTGGAACGAAACTGGTGGTTACTTCTCCGGGGCGCTTGGACGCACTGGGTACGATCTCATGGATATCGCACATGTTCTTCTGGCGGGAGTTGGCACTGCAGGGCAACGAAATGAATTCATTGAAAAGTTGCCAAGCCTCCAAGTGCCCGCTGGTCATACCAATGGAATACGGTACTATGAGACACCTGGCATCGTGAATCCATATTTTATGAGTTTCTTGCTAGAGGGGTTGGCCATTTCTAATCGGACTGCATTAACTCAAGAGTTGCTGGATGCAACGTGGAGCCCGATGGTAAGAAGGGATAGAAACTATACTGGAGCATATTGGGAGTATATTGTGAGTGAACAGTCGTCCTTATATTCCGTATTTTGTTGACATTTGAACGTTATCAGAGTACCGATGGTACTTATCCCGGCCTTGACCTGTTCACAGGCCAAAGCCATTCCTGGGGTAGCTATCCACCCGTCTTACTTAGCGAGTATGTGCTAGTAGTACGACCTGCTTCCGCTGGGTACAAAGATTTCTTCATCGCTCCCCTTCCAGATTTCAAGACGGGATGGGTCCACGGACGTGTGCCCACCCCTGTAGGAATTATATATGCTGCCTGGGGATATGATTCGAAAGGGAAGGTTATGATGGAGATTCAAGCACCCGAGGGTCTCAAGGGTGCAATCGTTCCGCCCTTTTGGGGTAATTACTCGGTCGATGGTATCAGTGGGTTTACCGGCGACAAGGCTTTCACTGGTGGGTCAAAGCGAGTACTCATTGTGCAGGATTGAGAGTTCCAATTTTGAAAATACCTTGACCTTGGAATTTTCTCGCTCGCTATGTACATATTCTATGGAGAGAGCACTAGTTCTCTACTTTTCTGCGTGCTATAGTTAGACCTCGGTATTTCAAGTATAACGCGAGGAAAAAGCTGTCTGTGCGCAGGGCCAGACAACGCGAATACTCGCCGGGAAGTCCTAAAATCATCAGGTAAGAGATAAATGCAGTTGGAATAAGGCGTCTCGGCGGTTACCGGTATCATGAGCTATTAGACTTCCGCAAATTTAGAAATGAGTTGAGGCAAAAGTTTGACAGAACCGCTTCCGTCCACATTCCGAAACGCGAGCTCCCCACGCTTCACCCGAATGCGGGGCAACATTGAGATCGGAGTCGGCGCCGAGGCCGATTGTAAACAAGCTTTGAAGAGCTTTATGATCAATTGTATCCTAATAGCTTGCTATATAATGCAAATGTGAAGGTATTGACCAGAATCATCAAGACAACCTCGCTCGCAGTATCCACAAATTCCCGATCCATCACGATGATTCTTAAGTTGAAGCAACAAAATCCTGCAAGTGCAGGCTCCGCGCCTGTGACAGACACGCCTACAGTTGTGCGTGGTGTCATCGACGACATTCGGGCCAATGGTGATCAATCAGTTCGAGCTTACTCCGAGAAGTTCGACAAATGGAGCCCTGCAAGCTTCAGGCTCTCGCAAGATGATATCAATAATATTATCTCGTCTGTTCCGCAACAGATCCTTGATGATATCAAACAAGTGCAGGAAAATGTTCGAGCCTTTGCCATGGCTCAGAGGGCGTCGATCAAAGACTTCGAAATGGAGATTCGTCCCGGTGTTCATTTGGGCCAGAAGAATATTCCGATCAATTCAGTTGGCGCGTAAGTTCTTTGGGCTTTCAATTACATAGGGAAAGTGCTGATTACTCTACAGATACATCCCTGGCGGTCGCTATCCTCTCCTGGCCTCGAGCCACATGACAATTCTCACTGCCAAGTGTGCAGGGGTCCCTCATGTTACCGCGTGTACACCTCCCATTGCCGGAAAGATCCCAGCAAATACAGTTGCGGCAATGCATTACGCCGGTGCAGACGACATTTATATCCTAGGTGGCGTGCAGGCAGTTGCAGCTATGGCGGTGGGTACCGAGACGATGAAGAAGGTGGACTTCATTGCTGGACCTGGTAATGCTTTTGTCGCCGAGGCCAAACGCCAGCTATTCGGAGAAGAGATCGGCATCGATCTACCGGCTGGACCAACGGAGATCCTAATCGTCGCAGATGAACATGCCGATCCTTTCACTGTTGCCACTGATCTCTTGTCACAGGCCGAACATGGCCCTGACTCCCCTGCAGTCCTTATCACGAACTCTCAAAGCGTGGGTAAAAAGACAATCGACGAGGTCAATCGACTACTGGAGATCCTCCCCACCGCCGACGTTGCAGGAGTTTCCTGGGATCGTTTGGGAGAAGTAATTGTTGTGGAGAACCTGGATGAAGCATACGAAATCGCCGATGAGTATGCCTACGAGCATGTGCAGATCCTCACACAAAAGCCACGCGAAGCATTGGAAAAGATGTCCAATTATGGTGCTCTGTTTCTTGGCGAGAAGACCTGCGTTTCATACGGTGACAAGTGCATCGGCACTAACCACGTCCTCCCGACTCGAGGTGCAGCTAGGTATACAGGTGGACTGTGGGTGGGCAAGTACTTGAAGACCGTGACTTACCAAGAAGTGACTTCACCGCAAGAAAGTGGTGAACTGGGTCGCTTATGTGGCAGAGCTGCTAGGGCAGAGAATTTCGAAGGTCACGCACGATCTGGCGATGCTCGGGCTCATCAGTATTTGGGAGATAAATTTGATTGGATCTAGACTCGCCATCGATAAACAAATGCAGCCCCTGTATGCAGAATGAAGTTTTTTTTTAGAAATCAAGGAAGAAACAGCCTGAATGGATAGAGCTTAATTCATCTATGAGTTGACAGAGCAAAGATCCCCAGGCTCTGAATTCTATTAAACTCTTTGCGGAGTCTGACGTCCAAGTCTCCACCTGGTCCACCGTGCATCGCGGGGCAGCTCATAGTTCTTTTTTTTTTCTCTTTTTCATGCTCATATCAGTGTGTGGCGTTACAATTTATGAGCTGCGGTTTTACATTCCTACTTTATATCCTCTAGTTAAATGAATGACATAGAAACATTGCGTTGACGGTATTTTGAACTATGGGACTTTGGAACGTGGTCGGTGTCTTCTCTGTCAAGCCTAGCGTGGAAATCCTCTTCTATATTATTCGCACCACGCAAGGACTATCAGGGGGAGTCCTTTTATCTGGATCGATGAGTATTTTAGGTCGAGTCTAGAATCCAAGGTATCGAAAGAATCAAGGTTTCTCTGCTATGGCCGACACTTCACCCTTTGGCTTTTGGCTCGGTGCTATTCAAGGTGGCGCTCTGAAATTCCATCTCAAATGGATATTTGGCAATAATACGATACTATCGGGCATGTGTTAAGTCGCTGCCTGTGTGACTATTCCTTCGTTGAAGCCCGTCGCAGATATCGTGGGCACCGAAGCACCGACGATCCGGCAATTCGACTTTATCGGAGCATCGATTGCAGTATCTGGATGCGTCTGCCTTCTTTTCGGTCTTACACAAGGGCCAGTGGCGGTGTGGTAATCCTATACTTACTCGTTAGTGATAGTCGGCATCCTGCTGATTGTGGCATTCTTCTTCTCGAGCGTTGGGTCGAACGTCTACTAATGCCCAACCGGCTTTAGAAGAAGAAAGGATTTACACCACTCATGATCGCTTATTTCCTAGGATTTGGTGCCTTTTCCGGAGCCTGGCAGTTTACGTCGTTCAGTGCTGGCTACGAATCCAACACACCGCACCAATCATAGTAGCCCGTTACCTTCTTCCAAACTCCATCGTTGGTATGCTAGCCACATGGGTCGTGGGCAAGACCCTACGCGTGGTGCCAGGGCACTACATCTACCTTGCAGCCATGCTCGCCTTCATACTCGGCTCAGCATTATTTCTACCCTAGACGTCAGCAACTACCTACTGGGTACTATCCTTCCCGAGTATTGCGCTCGTCAAATTCGAGTCGGATCTCTTATTCGCAGCCGCATCGATTTATATTATCAGTAATGTGCGCCAATCCTACCAAGGAAGTGCAGGCAGTCTGCTTGTGACCGTGCGCAACTTGAGTACAGCCGTCATGACATCGCTAACAAACGCGATTGGAAATAACTGGATAAGGCCCCTTCGGTGATTTTGACTTGGAGGGTTTGCGAGCGGTTTGGTGGTTTGGACTGGTAGCTGAAATCATTGCGGCTCTGATTACTTTGATTTGGGTGAGAATCCCTGAGGAGGAAGAGAAGGTGCATGTTCTTTGAGCGATTAGGCAAAATTCTGTTTTGAGGTCTGTACATTCTACTGGCATAGTGTATACGAATCTACTTCCAGTCAACACTAAATCAGTCTTCACTTGGCTAGGCAGCCATCTTCCTGAGATAGTGTATGTTACGACCGTCAATACAATACAGTACATAATCCGGGCGTAACTTACGTCACAAAAAAGGTAGCTCTCTTCTCACATGATTGGCCTAGATCATGGAATCTTCAGTTAGCCAAGGAAATAGTGTCAGCAACTTGCATTAGCGCCATTCAAATATCCGCCTGTACGTCGCAAACAAGATAGAGGAGCGGACTTTAGTGTCTTCATTATCATTCATTCGTTTATCTTAAATGTAGCGAAATATCAATTTTTCACCACGTTTCGCTCGCCAAGCGTTGGTAGAATTCATCAGTTCAGGACACCCTCTCACAACCCATTGCCATTTCTTGAGGAACGCCTCGGTGAGCTCCCAATTCTTCACATCCCACGGCTCTCCCCATACCAGTAAACCGGCATTGCCAGCCTCTGGGGAATTCCAGAACCCCATGATATCATGACAAAGTTCATCATCATCCCAATCATCGCCCGCTTGAATCAAGTTGTCGCGCATTTTCGGCAATGGGAAGAAATCGAGCCAAGGATGATGTGGTACTGTTCGTTGGATCTTGGTCGGTCGAAGGCTAAGAGGCATATCGGAAATATCAATTGATATTAATGCCTCCTGGCTTGTAGCAAAGTTGAAAGGTGAGATCGCGTCGTCGGTCATTTCATCCATGTTGAATCCAATACTTTTCAAATTATGCCCACACGCTCGGAAGACATTGACCCTTGTGAGCGTAAGAAGTTGATCGGAGGCGGGGTCTCCGAGCATATAGCTCTGGTAAGCTTTTTCAGCAAACTGTTTCAAAAGCATTTGCACAAGCCCAGGTGGTAGACATGTACTGCCTTTCTTATCGGATGGAGAGCTGGCAGAGACACTTCCACCAGAGGAACTGCCCCCAGATCGCACTACCGCAGAAGACGGAGAAGCGACCGTGTTTTTAGAATCTCCATCCTTTTTAGCCTGTCGCTGGCGTCGACCTAACATCCATCAGCATCACTCGTTCATACAGTATCGGAGAGAAACATACGATGGGCCCGCTGATTAATCCGATTTTGCCGTCTTCGCCTCTCAGCCGGGTCCGTCAGGCCCGCCCAATCATCAACGACTTCATCGCCGGGCGCAGGGATCGCCTGCTCGATCTCAGGTGGAGTGGCCATGGGTGTCGGCGCTAGGTCTGGCTAAGTTGTCGCTAGGGAGTACAGCGTCAGCAGGACCGAGGTGAAGTAGAGGATGGGAGGCGAGTTCCTCTTATGCGGGCCGTGACGCCAAGTCCCTGTTCTGTCTCCACCAATCATGTCTGCGTCTTGGCAGGGATGCGCACGGAGTTAGGAGATTCGGTTTTGTATTGTATTCAACTGTGGTTTACCGTACGGGTGTTCCACGGTCGAGAGATCTCTATAGAAGGCTTGGAAAATGAGGATCTTTCGCAGTCTGTGACATCACAAACTCTATCGATATTAAGAGACCGACTGCAAATCAAATCAAAGTCTTCTATTCAGCTGGCAATAAAGAGTGCGACTTTGTATCTTTGAATTTCTTAAATTTCTTAAATTGATTCAGATTGCGAAAGCTGGTTGGTTAGAGCTTCGCTCAACTATGTGCAGAATTGCCAGCTTTAGTCCATCACGTCAGTCATCATAATGGGGTATATGAAGGAGAGCAGAGAACAAGTGAAGTCGTAAAGCAATGCAGAAGTCATGATCCATATCTATGATTGGTGTAGACGGATCAGGGACAGGGTCATGGTCAGGGGGCATCCAAAGGTTTTCGGGCAGTCACCACAGAGACCGGGAGGTAAGCGTGGGTCTTATAATCACGGATACTGGAGCGCATCTTTGCCAGATACACTTGGGCCTGTACATAGGGCCATTCCAATACCGTGGTGAGAAGCCGAAGCATGAAGCCTTCGATCCCACTATCGAGTCGAAATTGGTTGAATCGCCCTAACTTATGCAGTTTTGGGTCATCGCTCCACCTGCTACTTGTGTTAGCTTACTTCTGGCCATCGCCTGCGGATAAAAACTCACCCATTCATCGGCCATTTATACCGGTGCTCCACGACTTCTTCAAAGCCAAGATTCCGTAACCGATCGGCACTCTCTTCCCAGATCGTGAAGCTCTTGCCGAACTTCTGTCCGGCTTGAAGAGCTGTTTCTCCCCACATGTGAAAGAAATGGTCGGAACCCATAGTCGAATCATCGGCCACGGGTGCGACAGAATGTTCAACGACTTCGATATGGCCCCCAGGCTTTAGCGCACTCATGCATTCCTGGAAAAAATGATTCCAATCGGGTATACATCCAAACAGCTCCCGAACATGGATAAAGTCAAATCTTTCTGGTTCGTATGTCCATGGCATTGTCATATCATCGACTTCGAATGTACAGTTGGGCGGTACGAAGTTCGGTTGGATTGGTGACAGATCCACGCCGGTCACCTGGGCGCTTGGGTATTGATCGGCCATGTCACTATAGAAGTAAGTCAAAGAGTCTCAACCTGAACAAGTTACTGATTGTGTTTCACATACATAGCCCATATCCCCGTTCCAGTACCAACATCGAGGATTTCCTGTCCAATCAGAAGCCGAGCGGATGGTGTCATGCAGTACAAAAATACCTGTGGTTGTCGCAAGGGAGCTAGATGCAGTTTCCCATCAAGCGTAATTAGATACATATCATGCGCGAGGTTCTGCTGCTCGTTGGCACTATCATCGTTGGGTCCCTGGACCTGTCAGTTCAAAGCGGGCCCGTGGATCGAAGCTCGGGACCCCACGCACCCAGTAAGCACCGTCTCTGAAAGCGTGGTACCGTCGCCCAAACTCGAACCGATACGCCGTCATGTGGTCCGATAGACTCTGAGTGTCATCTATTAGGAGTGAGTCGTCACCATACGCTGAGTCGCTGTCACTTTCGGCCAGCTGCAGGTATGAGGGTGGAGCGGACTCGGCTAGACGAGTCAGGAGGTCCGAACTGAGGCCGGAACCTGGTTGTTCGGGGGACATGTCGCCGTCCTCGACATCCAGGGGTATACTCATGGCTGGCTACCGTCGACAGCAGCATTATTTGTCCTAGGAGAGCATTGAAAGGAAAGCCCAGACGGTCGGAGTCGAGCTTACGGGGCAATGCACAAAACACGTGATCAGAACCAGTTTGCTGGGTTCTACTCGTTCTTCCAACATTGGTTTTGATAATTGAATACTACATATCTAGTTCATTGCTCGAGCTAGCGAAATTGTGCATATGCAAAGTCGGCGGGAGTCAAGCACCTTTGTCGTTCCCCAAAAGCGTAAAGCCCCAGCATCATTCCTATTTACTTGTTAGTATGCAGCTTTCCCTTTTTTTCTCAGTGTAATTCTACCTGTAAATGGAGCACCAATTGGCGGTGCTCTAGTCGCAGCTTGGTTCGAAATACTGCCAATCCATTCGACGCGGTCCTTCGATTCACGATATCCAAAGCGATACTTGTTGCCGCATTCCACCACAAGTACAATAGTTGACGAGCACAAACCCCGCTCTACTATCTTACCTTCTGATGGCTGAAAACGAATTATTCGACCGTCACCTCGTTTCCGAATGCCGATACTGCTATAGGTGAAATAGTTCCACCAGCAAACCGTGCCTGCTTCTGTGTACTCGGAAGTCGGCTCAAAGGTCAACTCCGTCTCCCAAGTACAGTGGCGGTGAGCTTGTTTACGTAGCAGCAATGTGGGACAAGCGGGAACGGAAAGGTTGTAAGGTCCACCATAGAGGCGGAGATAGTTAGGTCGCTCAGTGAGTGAATAGTCGACCGTGAAAGGCGTATCTGCCTTGAACTCAGCCAGGATTCAAACTCAGTTTCAATCATCTTACTCTTGCGATACCATCCCAGTTGCATTTTGGGGCCGGTGAAATCATCTCTCCAAGAGACGGGAATTACATGTTGATAAAGACCTGGCCCGACAGACTGGAGTGTGATCTTCTCACCCCCGTTAAAAACCGGCCAGTCGTTGTGCCACTCGACTGTAACGAGAAATGATTCGCGTCCTGATAGAGTTAGTTGGTCCATTGGCGATGAGAGTCACCAACCTAGCACCGATTCTTCCCATTCTTTGCCTCGCCGCATAGGTCGCACACCCAGAAGCACTGCCCACCACTGCCCATTGACACCTTCGACCAAATCAGCATGGCCGGTGTTTTGCACTTCATCCTCCACACCATTGAGCCAGAGCGGATTGTTTGGCCCAACTTCCCAGGGTCCAAGTGGTCCACTCTCACTGCGACAAACCCATTCGCTATGGCCACTCTCAGTGCCTCCTTCTGCCGTAAACAAGTACCAGTAACGATCGCGCTTGAAGATATGAGACCCTTCTGCAACGCCGGAAGATGATTCACGAATCAACTTGGGCTCCGAGGTCGAACGTCCGGTAGGCAGATCCACGGTACAGATGTGGATGGCAAAATCTTTGAGCTTAGCACCGGGCGTTGGTTGGAGTTTACGATAGGTAGACGACAAATACACAGTCCCATCGTCATCCCAAAAGAGCTATTCATGTTACTTCCAGTAAATGCCTCTGCGGTGAAGGATAACTCACATCCTGATCAAACCCAACCTGATCAAAGTAAATTGGATCAGACCACGAATCATCATCCCAGATATCAGTTGTCTTTACATAGAATCCCTGAGGCCAAACCCGATCATCCTGTTGGGGTCTATACCGCTGGAAACTAGCAGCAACTATGTAGAAAACACCGCGATGGTACCGAATCGTCGTAGCCCACACACCACCCCCAGGCTCCGGCGTATGGATTTGAAACTTGGAGGGTCTCGTCAAAGCATGACCAATCAAAGACCACTGTATAAGATCACGGCTGTGGTATATCGGGGCGCCGGGGAAATATTCGAATGTTGAAGTCACGAGGAAGAAGTCATGATCTACCCGGACGATGGAGGGGTCTGGGTTGAAGCCAGGGATTATGGGGTTGGTGAAACTCATGGTTTTGTTTAGGCGATCCTACGTTTTCAGATTCAGGTCAGATCGTGCAGGTTTATAAACGCGGAGAAATTGCGGGTTTTTTGGGTTGGTTTGTTTGATTGGTGGAGAATTAAGGCATGTCCGAGGTAAACAGAGAGACGAGGTCAAACCTAGATTTGATTGTAAGGAACGAGGTAAATTGGGCTCTTGAATGCCTAGAACATGTATCAAATCTCTTTGATTATGTTAATCAGGAAGGCAGCTGCACGCTAATGTGCTCTCTTGGTCATTTTGAATGAGTAAATCGAGTTTAGAGGCTTAAGAGTCAAATTGTAGATTTATTCGATTCCGCTCTTCAACATGTGCAACTTTTCATCTACCTACCAAACCAGCCTTATTTTATTCCAAAACACACCAGGTAAATAGAGCAGTCCATGACTCCGATTCGCTATGAATCTCGCTCGAACCCCGCATCTCCACGTGATGGCCTAGGGTCTCAACCCCACACCGATTTCAGCCGGATCGGGAAACTCCGACGCCAAGCATCTCCGCATGGGCGAGTGGGCCTTACTCAGTCGAACAGAATTGGATCATGTTTCGATGCGAGACTGCAAAAATCTCAATCCTATCTTCTCGCGTATCGCTTTCAGATGCCCTACTCTTGTACTGATAGCTAACACTCAGTATGACCTCAACCTGTGTAGTCCAGGAACAGTCGCACGATGCAAACATCACTCTCGAGGCTCTTCCTCGACAGATTCCGGGATCAGAATCTCTTACTGATGGCTCGCATGGCTTTCTAGCACTGGAAAAGTGGAATCAACCTCGTATCAACACTTATCGCTCTTTCTCGACCTTTTGGAGTTTCCTAGTGATGGGAGCGAATGATGCGGCATACGGTGTAAGTACTGTTTCTTGGCGATGCGATCCAGACTTGCTAACTCGGATTTTCTTTTATGGTAAAAGGCTTTGATTCCCTATGTAAGTTAATCTTATCTAAATGACGAATTTCAGGTTAACAACTATCCAGCTCGAAACGTACTACAACCTGTCATATACGATCGTCTCACTTGTATTCCTATCACCTCTGGTTGGCTATACTCTTGCAGCCTTTCTCAACCACCGAATCCACACCATTTTGGGACAGCGTGGTGTAGCATTTATTGGACCAAGTTGCCATCTGATCGCCTACGTCGTGAACTGCACACATCCACCGTACCCCGTACTCGTGGTCGCATTCATCTTCGCTGGCTTTGGAAATGGCCTGGAGGATGCCGCCTGGAATGCCTGGATAGGTAATATGGCCAATGCTAACGAGCTGCTGGGTTTTCTGCACGGTGTATATGGCGCTGGTGCGGTCCTGAGTCCGTTGATCGCGACTTCAATGATCACCAGAGCCAATCTACCCTGGTACTATTACTATTATGTCATGGTGAGTTCTTTCTTTCCTTCTAAAATGACCATTTATTGAGACATTCCTTCAGGTTGGATGTGCTGTCGTCGAGCTTGCGGCATGTGGTACTTTCTTCTGGGAATCTACGGGCGCGGTATTCCGTGCAGCCAACTCCCACTCGGTCGGAGATAATAAGAAAGGCGGTCTTAAAAATGCCCTATTCAAGCGCCCATCGGCCCGGGTCACCTGGTTATGTGCTCTGTTTCTGCTAGGTTATGTTGGAGTGGAAGTTGCATTGGGTGGTTGGATTGTCACCTACATGATCCGGGTCCGACACGGGGCCCCATTCGCTAGCGGCATGACGGCCACTGGATTCTGGCTTGGTATAACTGTCGGTCGAGTCACTTTGGGGTTCGTAACTCCACGAGTGGGCGAAAAGATAGCGATCGCAGTAAGACTCTTCCGAAGCAATCTGAAGACGAAGCTAACAGTCCTGTCTGCAGGCTTATATTGTGTTGTCCATGGCATTCGGTCTAGTCCTGTGGCTCGTGCCTCAATTCTATGCGTCCGCGGTGGCCGTTTCCCTGCAGGGCTTCTTCCTAGGCCCTCTCTTCCCGGGCGCAATCGTGATGATCACGAAGCTTCTCCCGCGACACCTCCACGTCAGTTCGATCGGATTCACAGCCGCATTTGGAGGCAGTGGAGCAGCCATCCTGCCCTTCGCCGTGGGAGCGCTGGCACAAGCGAAAGGAGTCAGCGTGTTGCAGCCGTTCATCATCGCTCTATCGGGAGCCATCTTCGTCGCGTGGCTGGGATTACCGCGGGTGTCGAAAGTGCGACGGAATGAATAGGTCGAAGACATTCTTTCTTAACCCTAGCTCGTGCCTTTCACAAGCGTCCGCCTCAATGATCTGACATGTGAAAATCGGGACCAATCTTCTTATCTGATCCGAGTTGCATTTAAACTCCCGACCCGCGCCCCCGATGACCCTGCATCTAGTTTGGCATATCCTTCGATTGCACGTGCCGTGACATAAGAAGGGAGTAAATAACAATCAAAATTGATGCTCATAGAAGCTATGCTTTGTTCAATTGCGTGAGATCTTGCTCTCTGTGGGTGCAACGACGTTCCCGACCTTCGGAAGAGCATAGGAGAGGTATGACAGGGGTATGTACAGGATAGCCAGGCATAAGTAGCCACGCGGTAGGGACGGTAGTGATGGCGGGTGGCCTAAAAATACATACCGAGGTCACTTTCCCCCCTTATATCAACGGACATGTCCAGCAAGACAAACTAGCCGGAAGCCGCCGCAAACACGAAGCCGCCGATCGCCACTGTCGGCTGACGATCCCACTAAACCCGACTTTAGTGTTGGCTGACTTCGGGGCTTATCCATCCGACACCATTTAACAGTAATGCATCGCAAATAGAACCGAGGAAAGTGAGGGGTTTTAAGTGGGGGTAGATGTCTTCTTAATGTATTTTTCTGTAGTGAAAATGGGTTTACACAGCGACTTCGGCGTTTGTCGGCCAGTCGAACCTTCCCGATTAGGCGAACTCAACTGGGCCTCGGCTCTTTCCTTTTTCGGCGACTGATTTGGCCCGAGGCCTGGAGAACGTCACCGGGGAACCCCAGAAATACGGAGTCTATTATAATCTCACTCCCCACGTTGATTTCTTTCTCCATTCCTCTCTATCCACATCCTCTACATTATGCCTTCTCCTCCTCCTGACTGGGTCAAAGCCCTCAAGCCCTCGGGCCCGCAGGGTTCCGAACTGCTCGCTGCAGAGCGTGCGCAGTCAAACATTAACATTGACAAGCTGTCCGAATTGCTTCACACTAAAGAGGCTCTGGACCGACAGCAGAAGCTTCTTACCTTGCTCGAGCCTGAAAAGGTCTTCGACAAGTCCCAGAATCACACTCTCGGTCGCGTCGAGCGCCTGCAACGGTCGCTTGCTAAGGCCAAGCGTCTGCAACAGCTGGCCGAGCAGAACAAGTGGTCAATGGAGGAGCTTCACGCCGCCAATGAGCTTATTGGAGAGCCTACTCCTTATGGGCTGCACGCAAGCATGTTCCTGGTATATATCCCCTTGACAACCTAACCCGGAGCGCTAGGCTAACCGTTCTTTCTCTTAGGTGACTCTCCGTGAACAAGGCTCCCCTGAACAACACAAAGTCTTCCTCCAGCGTGCCGAGAAATATGAAATTATTGGCTGTTACGCCCAGACCGAATTGGGCCACGGCTCTAATGTCCGTGGTCTCGAGACCACTGCCACCTGGAACCAAGAGGACCAGACTTTCACAATCAACTCCCCTACATTGACTGCATCCAAGTGGTGGATTGGTTCTCTCGGTCGTACTGCTAACCACGCCGTGGTGATGGCTCAGCTGTTTATCGGCGGCAAAAATTTTGGACCCCACCCCTTCGTCGTGCAGGTCCGCGACCTCGAGACTCACCAGCCCTTGGAGAACGTCTACGTTGGTGATATTGGTCCCAAGTTCGGCTACAACACCATGGACAATGGCTTCCTGCTGTTCAACAATGTTAAGATTCCCCACATCAACATGCTGGCCCGCTTCTCCCGTATTGAGAAGGACACCGGCAAGTACATTCGCCCCGCTCTCCCTTCTTTGGTCTACGGCACCTTGACATGGGTGCGCTCGAACATTGTCCTGCAGTCCGGTGGTGTCCTGGCCCGCGGAGTGACCATTGCTACCCGTTACGCTGCTGTCCGTAGACAGTTCCAGGACCGCGACGCGGAGCCCAATGCTGGTGAGAACCAGGTCCTGAACTACAAGATGGTGCAGGTCCGCCTTTTGCCCCTCCTGGCCTCTATGTACGCTTTGCACTTTACCGGTCGAGGTATGATGCAATTGTACCAGGAGAACCAGGACCGCATGAAGGCTGCTGCTTCACCTGGCCAGAACTCGCGTGGCCCTGGCCCCGAGGAGCTCCGCGCCGGTGCTGACCTGCTGGCAGACTTGCACGCCACCTCTTGCGGTCTCAAGGCCCTTGCTAGTACCACAGCTGGTGAAGGTCTTGAGGTCTGCCGTCGCGCTTGTGGTGGCCATGGCTACAGCAGCTACAGCGGTATTGGATCTTACTACGCTGACTACCTGCCCACTCTCACATGGGAGGGTGATAACTACATGTTGACCCAGCAGGTCGCTCGCTACCTGCTCAAGTCTGCTCGTGCTGTGCTCTCTGGCAAGTCTGCTGACAACGACACCTCTCGTATCCTTAAGTCTTACCTCGACCGCCGAGACAAGGGTGCTTCCTTCGACGTGCTCGAGGAAGACAAGGACATCGTGGACGCCTTTGCCTGGCGCACAGCTCACCTGACCTTCGAGGCACTGAAGCACCGTGATGCTGATAAGCGCTCATGGAACAGCCTGCTGGTTGACTTCTGGCGTCTTTCCACCGCCCACTCCCAGTACATGGTCGTCCGCAACTTCTACGAGAGCGTCTCCTCTCCACAACTCTCCCAGGCCTTGGACCCCGAGACCAAGACCCTCATGCATGCTCTTTTCCGCCTCTACGCTCTGCACACTCTCGAGCGTGAAGCTGCCGAGTTCTTCTCATCAGGTGCCGTTACCGTGCGCCAGATCACTCTGACCCGCACCACGGCCGTGATGAAGCTCCTCGACGAAATTCGCCCCCATGCCATCAGCCTAGTGGACGCTTGGGCCATTCCCGATTGGCAACTGGACAGCAGTCTTGGTCGGTCTGACGGCAAGGTCTATGAGGACTTGTTCCGTCGCGCTAGCCAGGAAAACCCGGTCAACGACCTGGTGTTCGACCCCTACCCTTGGAATGAGGCACTTCTCAAGAACCAGCCGCCTAAGAGCAAGCTGTAAAGAATTATGTCGTCTTCTTTTCTAATTCCCCATCATGTGTATTCTTTATATTTGATGTATTTACGTGCGCTCGGCTTTTGTTAGACACTAGAGATAAATAGATCTCCTAAATTCATTCAAAACTACGAAGTTCAGCCCTTTTTAATTGCTTCTTTGAATCAATCGGTCCCTGCTCAACCTACTTGCTTTGTTGACGCAAGCTTTAGGTCGAACATTGACACCATTGGCACAGTGTAACCAAAAAGAATAATTTTTCTTAGCGAAACTAATAAAGAAAAACGTTTGACAGACTACTATGGCCAAAACAATAAAGCGCCCAAAAATTAATCTTGAAAGGTCGTGCCCGGGATCGAACCGGGATCGGCGGAATCAGAATCCGCAGTGATGACCATTACACTACACAACCTGTTATAATGTTCGTCGCCCGCAAAAGCCCTCTCTGTGCTCTAGAAACCACCTGCCGTAAAACCTTTTATCATAGCAGGTACGTCGAGTCGCGATTTTAGGTCAATGTGCTATCCTGAGAGGGTCCTGATGGATAATATGTCTTTCAGTACACATTTAAGCTAGTTCACATCATGTATGGTGGCTTGAGTTGTCTGGAATAGTATTTAACGAGATGAATCAAACGCTCGTGGAATATGTATCCTGGTCAATCCTCAACGTTCCCAGGTTTAATATTGAATTATCTATCTCCACGGAAGAGAGTCCATCTGGGTCTAAATGCTAAAAGAAGTCTGCAGGGGCAAACTGCGGCTCGACTGTCCCACATAGACCTTGTACTGACCCTTTTGCAGAGCCCACTGTTGAGCATTTACATCCCAGTTACTCAGATCCCTTCTGGTCAGCTGGAAAGTGACAGTCTCACTTTTTCCGGTGCCGATAGTGACCTTTTCAAATCCGCGGAGTTGACGGACAGGCCCACCGGGGATTCCAAGGTAAAGCTGAGCAACTTCATCGCCATCAACACTACCGCTGTTCTGGACCTGGGCGGTGATGGTGATAAGTTCATCCCACAGGTGGGGATTGCCTCCCTCGACAATAGCCGCCCCAGGAGGATACTGTGAAGTAGGCTTCTTATTCTTCTGAAGCTTCAGACCAGAGTATTCAAAGGTTGTGTACGACAGACCGAATCCGAACTCGAAACGAGGATTTATATCGCTCTTATCGAAAGCACGGTAGTCGATAAACTGACCCTCGGTAAAGTCGTCTTGCGGGAACAGCCAGTATTTGCCCTCGGGCTCAGTGGGCGACAGAAGGGCTCCATAGTCGGATGCCTTCTTAGCAACTGTGTAAGGAAGTTTGCCGGAGGGGTTCGCACGACCATAGAGCAAATCGACTAGAGAGCGACCGGTGTCCTGACCAGGCAAGTGGGCGAAAATGACAGCGGTAATGTTATCATTCTCAATCCAGTCATCAACAAGACGAATACCAGCGTTATGGATCACAACAACGGTGTTCGGGCACTTCTTAGCCACGTTGGTTATCAAAATATCACTGTAGTCATCAGTCAAACCGGGGCGATCAAAGCCCTCAGTAGAGAAGGCGTTGACCATGACCAAGCAGACATCCGAGGTAGGATCAACGTCAGGGTCCTGGGAGTGGATGTCCCACATGATAGAGCTGTTATCCTCGTAAGCCTGGCGATTGAGTGCCTCAATAGGAGAAACAACGTATGCCGCGGAGTTAGCACCGGAGCCACCTCCAACGTAGAGAGTGCTGTTCTGGATCAAGGTGGGCTTTGAGGCTGATGCAATAGCCACGTTGAGATAATCAACATTCACAGCATCGTATCCGAATACCGAGACCAAATTGGGAGCCTTGAGAGGCAGTGCAGCATTGATGTTCTTGACTAGAACGTGGCCTTCAATAGCGCCTTGCAGAAGAGTATCTTTGGAGTCAACAGACTTGCCAATAACTCGCTGGTGAGGAGCGTTGACATCGGATGGCATTCCGATACCGGGGTTGGGGATCCCCTCATTCTGATTAAGCTGGAACCATGTTGCCATGATACTAAATGGGGTGAGCTGGAATATTTCGAAAAAATATTCTATAGAAACGCTTACCGAGTTGCCATGTCATCCAGACGCGAAGCTTCCATCGAGCCATTTTTAATCGCAATAGTGAGGTTATCACCCCACATGTCGGAAGCCGGCATGACCATATCCAAGCCAGCATTGGCGGAGGCGATGCCTGCATGCTGTGCACCCCAGTCGGTCATAACGTAGCCTATATAGTAGGTTAGTTTCAGCCAATATGGGACTCAAAACTGATGAAGAGCTGACCTTGGAAGCCAAGTTCAGTTTTCAAAAGCCCGTTAAGGGTCTTGCTATTCTGGCAACCGTAGGAGTTGTTGACGCGTTGGTAAGAGCACATAATAGATGCACTACCAGCAAGAACAGCATCATAGAAAGGCCAGAGATACAGCTCGTGCATAGTTTTGTCGTCGATGTTGGAAGAAACTGCCTCGGTGTACTCTCCCTGCTCATTTTCACCAGGGACTCGGTTGGTTTCTTGCTCGTTTCCAATGTAGTGCTGCAAATTTCAGTCACTGAATCTGTTAACCCCAAAACATGACCAACCTTGGTGCAAGCCCCCACGCCGGAAGACTGAATACCACTGACGGTGTTGTAGATCAGACCGCCACCGAGGTATGGGTCATCTGCAAACCCCTCCCAATTGCGTCCGCCCTCGGCTATACGACCAAGGGGTCCAGTGACGGGTCCAAGGACCATGTTGACGCCCTTTTTGCGGAATTCTTCGCCCATGTGTGCTCCTCTTTGCTTGGCCAGCTCCTTGTTCCAGCTTTGGCAGATCAGCACACAGGATTGAAATAAAGGTAAACGGGGTAACGTACCTGGCTCCAACATGGAGTCCAGATGGCCAACTGCTAACGTAGTCGGTCCCTCTCTCCTCATCGTTAGCATCTTAAAATAGAAAGCAATTCATTAGAGCTTACTAAGCCATTTCCGGCATCCGAGACGCAGAAGCCGGGGAAGTCAAGACGAGCAATGGGTGCAATGTTACCTGAGCAGCCATTGCTGATGGATGTACCAGCAGTCAGGTTAACCTTCTCTTCAGCAGTGAGTTGACCAACGAATGCTTTGGCTTTCTGATAGGCAGCATGCCAATTTCCTGCTCCAGCACCCTCAGCTAGATAAAAAGTCAGCGAGCCAAAAGCAGGTGCCTTTAGAGAAAACCATACGTGAGGGGTAAACAGGCGGTGATTGGCCATAGAAGTAAGAGTCATCAGTGATATTATCGGCAGCATTGACCTGTAATACAAGTCCGAGCAAAAGCCCGATAGTGTACGTCCGGATTCCCATGTTGGCTGTGGAAGCAGACACGCCTGAAAATATTTCCTTAGAGGAGAAGGTAGCTTATAAGCCTCTGAAACTGTGGACCCGAAAGGAATCCGATAGCTCCAAAACATACATCAGTTAGACTTCATCAATATCTGCTCGGGCAATAATGTGCCGGAGTAATATCGGCTCAGTCTCTAGCTCGGACGCATCATACGGGTAAACCGAGAGGGGAAATACAAACGATCGAGTCAATCCATGCCCAAGATGAAATTTGCGGGGAAGAAAGTGGTACAAACAGGGATTAGGTATTCTGGAGAAAAGACGCGAAGGGGGCTGAAGCGCGTATTTGGCACATTCCAGGGAAAACATGGCTCAAAGGGGTTATTTCAATGTTGATCATAAATGTAGATAAAACAACGTGCCAGTGCAATGTCGCAACCGAGAAGGTCAGATTTCAAATATCTATGAAGCACAGATACTTGAGGTAGCATTTGGTTTTGTTTACTTACTGCTCGGTATAAGAGGGCGCGGGCCCGCTTCCCCACTTCCCCGCAATTGGGTCCGCATGTCATCTTTGATGGAATGCATTTACCTGCTGTAAGCGAGATTGTAAGTCGAATTCTGCCCTAGACTCATTCAAAGTGAGGTTTTTCTGCCAGTCAAAGTTTTAGTCCCTCGCCGGCAAGCCACTGACATGTTTACTTGGAGGTTGTCTATAGTCTGAAATGTACTAGATGCTAGGAAATCCGCTTCATTTGAGGCGATACAGTAGTTTGCAAAGTCAGTTATACCCTCATACTTTTGCGACTTCTTTCCCGAAAATTATATTCTAAATGTGCGGATTATGACTGTATATACCGGCTCAGCCTAAGTAGCCAGACCGCCTCCGGAAATGGGGACGTTAACGTTCGTTACCACAATCCGTCTCCTCTCCTCTCTTTTCCAGCCAGCAGCAGGGCCTATTTGCCTAGTTCTACTCGCCATCTGCCATTATTCAACAGTAGTCCAAACAACATGGCTCTAGGCTCTCTGCCTCAAAACTCCATTTTATTCGCGATATGATCGAGATCCAAGCCTTTACCACATCCAAGGTAGTTGAAGAAGGTGCATGCACTAAACTTACGATCATTAACTTCACAGAAACTCACGGTATTTCGGAAGCATCCACGCGCCTCGGATTTGCATAGGTCGAAAACCTACCGTGACGCCACTAATGTTGGAAGCGCTTGGCACCACCTGTCTAAGGAATCTGGATGTCTAGCTAGATGTGATAGCTGTCTTCATTTAGGATGATTTCCCGACCATCATAAAGGCCTCTAGCATTCCAAGAGCCCTTTTCGCCAAAGGGAAGTCTTAAAAAGGCTACGTGACAACAAGCCAAAGAACAGAATATCAACTTGCGAGACTACTATTTGCACTATCTCCCAGATTTCCTATCTTGTCGCCGGGCATAGGTTGACGGATTCATATGCGGAAAAACATGCTGGATTCAGAAGGACAGTCTGGGCCTAGATTGGCAAGGTTCCTTTGCAAGTAACGCAGTTCTACTGTGATTAGCGATATCAGACATTACCTTCAAATGCCCATGACGGGGTCGTACTCTCGCGTGTCGTCCGAGGTTTCACGCTAGACAGAGCTACCACAATCCAATACATCAAACGAGGGCTAACGAATGATTCAATATACAAAGTGTCATGTTGTAACATGCTCTGAATGTCAACTTTTCGTAAGACCAAGATTCATTTTTCATTGAGAAAGCTTTTGCGGCAATCCATTCCTCCCAATAAAGGTTTCTTGAAACCACTTCGGCGCCCCTCACGAAACATGCGTATGATATAATATATTATGCAATAATATACAAAACAATTCACACAAGAACAAAAGAAGTATACAAAGGTCAATTGTTTCGCGGAATACAGAGAATTTAACTTTCAGATACGGGTCGATGGATGCTTGTATGAAAATCTTTAAAGCAGTATTTCTTATTGAAAAGTTTGACCAGCCAATGCGGTCATGCAATATTGAAAGCCTTTAGATCACTGCTCGCTCCGTCAGAGGACGGCCCTCCGGGATTCGTGAATACGAAAGCGCACTCAGATCTAGGGATTTGAATGCACCATGCACAATCAACTCGGCAACAGCGCGGCCACAAGCAGGGGCTTGTTGACTTCCATGGCCAGAGAATCCGACGCAGAAGTAAAAGTTCTTAATGGCAGTGTGCAACCCGATAATAGCATTGTGGTCGAAGGTGTTAAATTCGTAATGACCCATCCAGGAATCCGTTACCCGCGCTGTCCTGAATTTGGGAACTCGACGACTGATTGTCGGAAAAATTTTCTCCTCCCAAACATTCTCGGCAAAACTAAAGTCTTCTATGTTGACCGCAATATCTGGTCCGATCGGTGGGCAGCCAACAAGATAGTCCCTCGGACCATATGATCTGAGATGAACGCCAGTCGGATCGATGGTCAAAGGGAGGTCCTGAGGAAGTGGCTCGTCCACTGAGAAAATAAAAGTGTAACGTCTGCGAGCTTCGATAGGCAGATCGTTGATGCCGGCCATCGTAGAGACTTGGGCAGCACGAGTACCTGCTGCATTCACAATATTCTGAACTGAGATCTTCTCGCCATTGCGAAGCTTGATGCTTTCGACTTGGTCTCCGTTTGTGACCATCTCGACGACCTCATTGTTGATATACTCGACACCATTATTGATGGCAAACTTCCGCATCCAGTCAACCATACCAATAGCGTTGAAACAGCCTTCATCTTTGGTGTTCAAGCTCGCCGAGTCGAGGTCGTCGGTGAGGAGGAATGGATATTGGCACTTGACCTTATCTGCCGATAGCATATGGGTTCCCGCACCCAGGCTTGACTGGAGCTGCTGATCCTTTTGCAGAATTTCGGTAAATCGTTTAGAGTCCGAGAGGTAGAGATACCCGAAATTGCGAATCGGGGGAACTGGCACGCAGGGGTCATCTCCAAACTGAGACCCAAATTTCTTAACGAACTCGGCCGCGTATTGGGCAATCTCGATATTGATTTGGGTAGCAAATTGTTGTCGCATACAGTTGTTGCTGGCCTTTGTGGCAGATAATTGCAGCGATGGGTCACGCTCAACGACCAAAACGGAGCCACTGAAACCCTTCTCATTTACCAGGTGCCAAGCAATGGACGAGCCACTTGTAGCACCTCCAATGATGACCACATCATAGTGGTCACGGGACGTGGTGGTCGGGAATTGCGGGTTAGGCATTGTCACTAGTTGAAAGGAATATGACAGCTTCTAGGAGTTATAATTGAAAAGACATGCTGGTGAATCCAACTTATCTTGGCTGTCTTTTGTACTCTTTCAATTGTCCCACACCATCGCCGACTATATTTTTGTCACCGCTTCCGGTGTGAGAAATGGAATTAACTGCCTTTCCTAGAATTAATAGTGGAGGTATTCGGTCCCTAGCTACTGCAAATATTGGCCGGGTACCGGTGATATCACAGTCGGGATAAATTCCCCAAATGAAAAAGTGATACCATAGTTTGATAGGATGGTTATAGATCGGCAGCTGGGTCGGTATCGCCAATTGATGATTATCAAGCCGAGTTTTGGAAATGGAAATATATCGCGATGACATAAGCTATGTGCCCCACAAATGGAAGTTGAATGGGAACTGAATGGAATGATATCGCGATGACATAAGCTATATGCCCCCAAAAGGAGCTTGATTGGGAACTGAGTGGAAGGATATCGCGATGACATAAGCTATGTGCCCCACAAATGGAAGTTATATGGGAACTTAAGACGGTTTATTAGCCCAATATCTATGTTCAATTTTCTTGCCATTGCAATTCATCTTCAAGTACGTGATACCACATCCGGCAGACAATCTCTTACACAAGATGAGCCGTGTCTTTATGTATGTATATCTGGTTTTATGGCAGTAAGACATCTCTGTCCGGTAACTAATGATACCCGTGCACTCTAAAGAACAGGAGTGTCTGGCTATATCGGAGGAGATGTCCTCTATGGGCTCTCAAAGTCCAACCTTGCTTCTAACATCGTGGCATTGGTGCGAAATGAGTCTCGGGCAGCGTGTGTCACTGAAAAATACCCCTCTGTCACACAGCTGATCGGAGATTTGGATTCTGCGGCCGCGATCCAGAACGAGGTCTCTCAAGCTGATGTTGTTCTTAGTGAGTTTTAAAAGAAATCCTTAATTAGCCAAAAGATAGTTCATGCTAATCATGAAATGATGATTTGAACAATAGATCTGGCAAGCTCCAATCACGTCCCTAGCGCAAAGGCCATCGCTCAAGGCCTTCTGAAAACTCAAAAAGAATGTCCAGGTATCACTTCTCCAAGACAGAATTTTCAACATAATCGAATCTGACAGATCTTAGTTTGGATACAGATCTCTGGCGCTAGTGTAATTTCGGGGCCCGAAATAGTCAACAATACCTATGGAGAAGCCCGCCCTAAGATCTATAACGATTTGAAAGGAGTCGGTGAAGTCCGTGATATTATCGCTTCAAATCCGTTGCGGGTTGTCGACCAGCTTGTGACCGGGCTTTCTGCCAGCCAGCCCTCCGTGCGAACAGCGGTTATCTATGGACCCATAATTTACGGCCTGGGGAGAGGCCCAGTCAACCAGCGCAGCGTCCAAATCCCCGATCTTGTAAAATCAACCTTGCAATATGGTCATGGTATCCATGTTGGCAAGGGTGAAAGCACTTGGAGTCATGTCCATGTGTCAGATATCTCGCGCCTAATCATTATGTTGGTCGCTGAGGCTCTTAGTACGAGCAGTCGCGCCCTGTGGAATGAGAATGGAATTTACTTCCCAGAAGCAGGAAAGCTGGTAAGTTAAGCAAGTTATAATGATACTACGATAAATTCACTAATCTATTCGTCCTCTAGTCTTTCGGAGAAATCGGGCGGAAGATTTCCTCGTTTGCCCACACACAGGGGTTTATCAAGTCACCCCATGCAGAGTCGATTGATCCTCGCACAGCCGATAGGCTCACTGCGCATGGTGCAGTGCTTTGGGGGACAAATGCGCAAACATCAGGGCACCGGGCACGCAAACTGCTCGGATGGAATCCGAAGGGTCCGAGTTTGGAGGAGGAGATCCCTCGAGCCACTTTGGTGGAGGCCGCTGCAAAGAACAACCCATCCCCAAAACTAGCATGAACACGCCACGACATGTCGCTGTGTAAGGTTCAAAGTCTATGCTGATAGAAATATATCTTGGTTTACCATCGACGTTGACAAGGTAATTATGACCGAATACCATGAAAAATTTGATAAATTTTAGTAAACAGACTATTTCTATGGAAAAAACGATAGATGAAGTTTTCGCGCAAATAAAGGGCTCATTGACGTAAAATTTTCATCTTCTTCGGGCCAACATCCATGAAGACTGAACCTGACCGAGGACTGTGCACAGCTGCGTCTTATTCCTTATCTCTCTTCTTCCCAATTAGAAGCTATGAAATATGGCACAGCTCTATCGGCACACTTTTTACTCAATTTAATAAGGATATTTTCTTTCTTGAAAGCCAGATTCCCATGCTTCGTCGCCGTGCATAAGAACAACCCGGAGACGGAATTTTCAAAGTGCCGAGACTTGCCATTTCCCCCATGGCGCTTTTGCATTTCCTTATCTACCGATTATGATTCTTTATGACCACTGATTTCTTTTTCGTGGACAAGTTCAACACTCCTTGATCTCAAGAAAAATTCTCTTTCTGGGTATTAGTGATATTTTCCTGTTCTTGGCGTACGGGTCAATCTGGTTTGCCACGATATGACAAATCATTTCGCGCTCACGTTGCCAACTTCCTCTTACGCGACTTCTTTTGTGCGAGTGAAAAGCTACGGGTGAACCATGACATCTCGGAATCGTTCTCTCACAGGGTGCGGAACGTGTCGCTCTCGGCATCTGAAATGTGATGAGACTCGCCCTAGTTGCCAGTTGTGCGACGTACTTGGTCTGCCTTGTCCCGGTTATTCTTCTCAACTCAAATGGACACGAGACACTCATTCACAACCAAAATCACCGCCAGAGGAGCAATTGGAGGGTCGAGTATACCGACGCCCACTATTCGCAGGTATATATAATCATTTATAATCCTGGTCCGTTATGGCTACTTATTGATTTCATAGGGCACGAACAAGAATCATTGGCACAAATGACATTAAATAGTCTCCAGGGTCAGAATATAAATAAGGCCCTTGAGGACCTAGATCAGCAAAGTGTGCTCAAATATCTCCCGTCGAAAAGTTTGTTTCGTGGGCCCTTCGGGGTTTTGAACCTCTCGCTCGATTTAGCGTGCCCAAACGCCCAAGTTGAATCAGACACGTTCCCAGTCGAAACTGGGAATGTAGAGACAACAATAATACGGCCAACTTCTCATTCATCATTCGTCTCTTCACCTTGCTCTGAAAATAGACCGCAAGGTTTCAACATCCCAAGCGCCGAATATAATTCATTCATTTGCTCGCAAACTGAAAATGCTATTTCTGATAATAGCATCACATACCATGATCTCGATGCCCATGGAAACATGGACGACTTTTCAATTCTCTATTCCTCTCGTTTCTCCCCATTCGCCTCACAGCTGGTCCCAGAAAATGCGCCACAGCTTTTGCGATATTTCAAAAACCACATGGTGTCGTTCTCTCTTTCTCTCAAGGGCAGTAAATTATGTCCTTGGAAAAATGTTCACATCCCTAGCGCGGAGAAGACCTACGCGGAACTTTTACTCCATCGAAGTGCCAGCAGCTTAGGGCTATCGCTGTTGTATTCTCTTCTCGCTGCGAGTTGCCTACATATATCTCTGAGAGATCAGCAGTCTGATCATTGGGATACGCGTGGCAAGGAATATAAGCGGATAGCCAAACATCACCTCAATCTCAGTATCCAAGAAGAACTAGCCATACATGGGCAACTACAGTACAAGGAGTTGCTAATGGCTTTATTATCTATGGTGATGCTCGATGTATCTATAATCTAAAGAGTCAAGCTCACACGATAATCACGGCTAATTTGCTTCTAGATCACTTGCGGCGACTATAATAGTGCCCAAAATCTCCTAATCGAATCCGAGTGTCTTATCCGGAAAAGAGGCCTCCCAAAACAGCATAAATCACTCAAGGCCCGCACTCTTCATCACGTCTACGCTTATTTACGCATAATTTCCGAGACTACATGTGGCTGTGCTCTCATGCATCTCTGCCCTTCACGACCAAAAGCCAGTCTTGTCTCCGACAATTCGGCTTTTCATTCTTTACGAAGTTTTCGTTTGCCAAACCATAGCACGGAATGCGACATGGGATACGATACTGAAAAGAGCATTGAGCTTGGATATAATGACATTCATTTGGAACTACTCGGAAACTGGAAAGACTCGCTCTTTCAGGAAATGTATGGGGTGCCAGAGTCTTTGATGGGCCTTCTATCGCAAACCATCCGTCTAGCAAATGAGCAAGAACTCTTACATCGCGACCCTAATCTTGACCCGGATATTGTCATGACCCTCAACAGACGGACGAAGATACTTGAGCAACATATTCTCTCCTGGACGCCATCTACAAATGGTCTATCTGCAGAAAGCAAATTGGTGGCTTCTGTACTGGAAACTCAGAAAGCTGGTGCAGCTTACCACGTAAGTATGGCTGTTCACCAAGGCTTGGTATTGTTTTACTACCGACGTGTTCACAACATCAATGCATTGATTCTCCAGGACACGGTCCGAAAGGTATTTGAAGCTGTACAGCAGACTGAGAGAACTGCTGCGAATGATGGAAATCATGAAGCTTCATTATTCTGGCCCGTTTTCATTGCGTCATGTGAGGCGTTGGACACAGGCTTACAAGAAAAGCTAATCGGGTGGTTACTTTCAACTAGGAGCAATCAAACTCCATCTTTTGCTGCAGCTGCTGAAGTTGCTCGACGGGTTTGGAGATTGAGACGAGTGAACCAAGATTATACGCTCAACTGGTTTCATGCTATGAGCGAAGATAGATGTCCAATTATTGCGATTTAACATCCTTCTCGGTATGTTCTGGCACATGTGAAGTGTATTGAAGCTGGTGATAGAGCATGAAACTAGCAATTACCAGATAGTCTTCTATGAATATGCATCCTTATTCTTTTTACCACCCCTGGCTTAAAATCTATTGCTTCAAATGAAGACTAGAACAAGGTGATTGGCTGACTTCTATGTTTGCATGTCTAAATGCCGAAGGCAATGGCCCATTCTGAACATAAGATCATGATGACAGCTACTTCTAGGATCGGTCGGAGCAACCAATGGTCTGAGCTGTAAGCGTCATTCTATCCTCTAGGGGTTACGACTTGCACTTTGCATAATTGCTGTTCCGATGGGAAGAGCGAGAGAGAGCTCTGACAGGAGAAAGAAAGGATACCGGCAGTCTGGCCAGATCGCCAGAACTAGCAAATCGATTTTACGAGAATTTATGCGGTTGTTATAACAAGGACTCATCCGTTTGGTACAGCTTGGAGCTGTTACATCTGACATTCTGCCACGATTACAAGCGGTATCCTAAAGCGAATTAGCTCAAATTGGAATCATTATCTGGGAAAGAAGTCACAGGAGTGCAAAGGTATACAAAGTCCTATCTCACGCGAAAAGTTCGGTGAGCAGATATCTTGAATGATTGAGCGATCAAGGTAGGCATAATCTAGACGAGGCTATGATCGTATCTTCTTTCTCAAACCTTCTGGGTACACAAAAAAGTCCATAAACTCTATCATGATCTGCGGTGTGATTGAATCATGGAAGACCGCCTCCGGATACGAACTCTAGTGGGCGTTAAGAAAAGGTATACACATTCTTCAGCAAATTATCTTAGGATGGACGATACTGTTATTTACTTCTCTGCCTTGCAACAAATCTGGAACAAAACACATTATGAAATCCAAAAGGAGGTTTTAATCGGACTTGATACCGACATAGTAATGCAAGCTAATGACAGGCCATTGTACAGTCTTTCTTCCGCTATGAAAGGTCCATTTGCTCAGATCCAACCCTGGCTGATCCAAGAGACTTCTAATCTCCTCGTTCGTGCGTGTTCTGAGACAAGATATGAAGCCATCAATCCAGATGGTGAAAGGAGCCACGGGCAAGATATAGGTAAAGAAGAGATGGACGGGTGAACTCCAAAACCAACCTAGGGTTACAAAGAAAGCCCAGAAGAACACTAGTGGGGAGCATAGACAGGTACCAACTTCACGTGATGTCATTTCATATATGCTAAATAGATATTAGAGCCTTCTTCTGCTTGAGCCAATGTTCAGGTCACTTACATGAATGCATCAGCCGACTCCACTGCACTTTTCAAAATACCCGCGGCGTCTTCATCACTGAAATGATGGAAACAAATGTTAAAAATGCGGCATTCCTTCTCTTTCCCGAGTCTAGAAACAGCTCGGGCATCGACTGGAGTTTCAATATATGATACATTTTGTTGTTTCTTCGATATTCGCTGCCACGCTTCGACGTGTGGATAAAGGTCGGATAATATGAACTGGACAGGGACTTTGCCTTGGGCTTCGATTTCTCTGTTGAGTTCAGATTCGAGGACCGGGGTAGGGCCTCCCGAACCAGCACATATGTCGAGAACCGTATATGATGAAGGATCTTGCAAGTACTCTTTGAATACCTCGCATGCTTGTGTTGCAAGGCTCCCGCGGCTCCAAAACGGAACCTTCAGATTCCAAAGCTTCGTCAGGGATAATTGCTCATGCTGATGAAGCCAAGAGGGACACCAGGATTGGTCTCCAATTTCCAAAAGCTGCGATCGTGGCCAGGACATGTTGGGTTGAGTTGAGGTGATGGTCACTTCATGAACAGCAGCAGGACGTGGGTTTGGTTTTAACTGAGTGGCGGCTGCACTAGTCCGGATTAGGTAGCCTTTGACGCTCATCACATCGAGGGCCACAATCAACCGAAACAAACCCCCCTCCCCCCTCCTCCACAAAGGCAGAGAGGGGGCTTTTCTCCCCTAAAACGCCCCTTTTCATATATGTTACAAAATCTACGGTGTCAATTGCCCTCGCGAGTCATTTTCAGGAGAATTGGTCCCAACGTGACGGCACATCTCGGAGATCGCATACCGTGCTTTAGGCCCCAAGGAAAAGAAATTTATTACTACACAGGTGGGTCCATGGATTAAGTCTCTTGTCCGGATATAGTATCCTCAATACCAGTAACAACGAGTCGTAACACCGACATATGGACTATTGGGAGGCTCAGGCCACCCCACAGGGTTAAGAAAAGACTTCGCCTCTGCCAGCTTCACGAGTGTACTAGTAGCCCCCAGACCCATTGCCGATTCCCCCACGACAGGGATATAGTACAGAGGACCGAATCCCGCAAGCGCACCCGCCAATGCAAGTAAGCCTGTGATGAATAGCGCAAGGAAGGACGTAAGCAGTTTTGACGAGTTCCGGAGATGCACGGCCATGCTTTTGACTCCTACATGGACGTCATCTGCCACATCTTGATGGGCGTAAATGGTATCGTAGATCGTAGTCCAAATTGTGTTTGCCGCGAAAAAGCACAAAGACGGGGCAAAGTTGTCCTTAGACAGCGGATCCACATCCATTCCTCGAACCGATGTAAAGAATGCCAAGGAGAAGATAGAACCGAGCACAAATTGAGGGTAGTACGTGACTCGCTTAGCGAACGGATAGATGGTAGACAGGAATACAAAGAACATGCAGGTTGCCGGTAGCCTGAAAAGAATGGCTACAATAGCCACAGTTTTTAAGGTAGCCCATGGATAGGCCTGGAAAGGTGTCACGGCTCCTCGAGCGATAGGCCGCACACAGCCCCGGGCTACCTTCTTGTCAAATTCTTTGTCCACTGCATCATTCCATGTGCAGACCGGTTCCGGGCTAGAAGACAGCAGAGAAGCAATGTAACGATTCGATCGGCGATCAACGAGGAGGACAATTGCACAGGGCTTGTGGAGGTGGCAAGTCCGACTCCAAAGAGGCATAGAACATAGAGAGCGTAGAATTTTCCGGGTCTGTCTGGCCGCCTCAGTTCTGCGTAGGGGACCCATGAGGGTAGTAGGTGGGAAACGAGTCCTGTGGCGGGCGGCTGGCACTCGATCGTCTTTGATTCTTGGACTGTCATGGTCGACATGTTAGTATTCTTTGCCAGATTGACACCGGGGATGGGAGATATCAATCTAATGGCAGTAAAAACTGGGTGCTGGACAAGGTCTAGGTTGTTTCCAACCATCGCATTTATACAGTACCTTTACAACGAGCTCAAACTCTGAAGGAATCTCACTGACCATGCCAAAACTAAAGCCACGGCCACTTTAAGCAGGACCTTGAAGACTCCCATACTTCTACAAACTCCCTGGCTGAAAGACAGGACAATACCCCAGTAGTGCTTTGCCAAGATAGGAGATTGACAATGCGCAGTGAGAACGTCAAGCAATTCATACATCAAGGCTTTTGGTTGATCTGCCGATCGTGCCCATCTTAGTGGCAGATGCTGCTTTGACGGAAAAGTAGCCGACCAGCCGTCATGTAATAAATACCACGCGTATCGTCGTTACACAGCAGGCACTTGGCTTGGGCTTTCACTTTGAAAGCGGAGTGTGGTGGGGCCACTACTGACGGCCCGCGACCTTGTCGTGGCTTGTTGATCTTCAGATCATCCCTCTCAACAGATTCCACACTTCTCCCTCGAAAGAGAGACAGCCACCATGAGGGCCCTTATTATCGGCGCTGGATTGGGTGGTCTGGCTTGTGCGATTGCTTGTCGTCAGCAGGGTATTGATGTGATCATCCTCGAGCGGTCGCCTGAGGTCCGAGAGGTTGGGGCCGGCATCCAGATCCCCCTAACGGGACCCGTGTCATGCGTGATCTAGGCATTTTGCCTCAGCTTCTCGAAGTGGGAAGTCAAGTCCAACATGTGGACTTCCGAAGATACAAGGATGGCCGTCTTTTGCGATCCATGCCGTTTGGTGATGATATTACGCAAGAGTTTGGAGCTCCGTGGATGTATGTTTGTTGAACTGTTCCAAGAGAGAGACTGGATTATGTGCTAACTGTGCCAACGTCGGCTTAGACTTATTCACCGAGTTGACTACCATCGAATTCTTCTTGACGAAGCAATTCATCTCGGGGCTGTCCTCGTATTGGGAGCTGAGGTAGAGATTGTTTCAGTGGAGCCGCCAGAAGTCATTCTCGCAGACGGAACAAAACTGTCTGCAGATATTTTGATTGGTGCCGATGGTATGTTGCTCACTTCTAACTCGGTTGCTTTCATCTTCTAAGTCTAATGCAATCGGAATTAGGCCAATGGTCTACGGTTAGAAACGCCGTTCTTAGAACGCCCATATCCCCAGTTGAGACTGGCGATTTGGCCTATCGAGCAACTTTCACACGAGAGCAGCTAGAATCTTTGGGTGATGACAAGGTGAATGAACTCATTCAGAAGGTTGCCGTGACGAGCTGGCTGGGTCCCGAAAAACACACTATCTTTTACCCTGTTCGTGGTGGGCAGGAGTTTAACCTCGTCCTGTTAAGACCAGATAACCTGGCCGCAGAAACTCGCAGAGTTGAAGGAGATGTCGAAGAGATGCAACAAAGTTACGCGGACTGGGATGAGACGTAAGCACCATTTAAAGCCTTGGATTGAGGTGCCACTAAATTCCATTCTTTCACCCCAGATTGCTGAAGCTGATATCCTGTGTGCCAACGGTATACAAGTGGAAGTTAACAAGTCTTCCCGAGCTTGAAACATGGACCAAGGTTGGTTATATTCTCTATTCCTCTCCGACTACGTTAATTTTATCCACTACCAGGGCGCGGTTGCTCTTCTCGGCGATGCCTGTCATCCCACTCTTCCCTATCAAGCCCAGGGAGCAGCCATGGCAGTTGAAGATGGTGCAGTTATCGGAAAGCTCCTTGGCTCCTTACAGAATCAGAACTCGGGCAATGACTCCTCCTTAGTAGCTTCTGTCCTAAACCTCTACGAACAGATTCGCAAGGCGCAAACAACACGAAACGTTCGCGGAGCTGTCATGAATCGAAAGCTATTCCATATCGATGATGGAATCCTACAAATTATCAGAGATTTCGCTCTAGGATACGCAGGTGTTACACGCAAGAGCGACTGGACTTGGTATTCGTCCTTCAGACAGCGACAAACCCTTGGAGTAGATGTCTTAGATAACTGTGAAAAGGCCTTTGAGGCTTGGGAGGTATCTTTCATGCAACAAAAGAAGACACAATAGATTACAGCATTTATTTTAATGGGTCCTTGCAGCAATCACTCTTAGTGTTCGAGTCAAACTTTGTCTTCCGCGAAGTAGGCCTGTAGCGGCGATAATCTGCACGCAAATGTTCCTCTTGGTGAGCGACTTCACTATTTGGACCGTAATTCACTCTTTTCTGTCGTTTTCATCATTTCTTCTTACTTCCGTAAGCAGATCGGTGTCTCCTGTCACCTCTGTCAAAGTTTTGCTGTCAACTTTTTAGCACGGTGCGCAGGGCATTGACCGCACGAAAAACATATTCCTCTTTTTCACCCCTGAAAGAAAAATGCAGCACAGTGAGAAATGGGCGCTAAGCGAATCCGATCTTAAAAAATATAATGACCTACTTCATTTGTTACATTGAGCAAAAAAGAAATATCTCAGGTTGTTCTGTAGGAATAGCCGAACGCGGGGGTCGAACCCGCAACCTTGAGATTAAGAGTCTCACGCTCTACCGATTGAGCTAGCCCGGCAGGGCTTGGTGAAAGACGGTGGTGAAACTGGCGCTATGAGCCCTATGTAATCGACATGGTGTTGGAATTAGCATCTCCGCTGTTGCGATCGACATTTCCCGGGATGAAAGGCGGTGGAAATATTTGACGCTCTGTGCCGGATCAATCGCTATTAATGTTGAGTTACCCACAGAAGCTGTTCGATCTCAACTGATTTGTGAAATATTCTTCAGTTCGAAAAATAATTCGTCGTCTTGTCAGTCTTTGATGAGGTTGTCAGGTTTTCTCCGATGAAATGCGATGACTCCTTTCAACGAGGGGGAGAACCCAGCGGCATCATTCACTTCAGCGGCAGTGCTTGCACTGCGAGGATTGGCCAAGGATCTGTGAAAGCCTCGATGCGAGAATCCGAGGAAGAGAACCCCGTTAAACAAAAGAATAGGGAAAGACGCAAACAAGTTGACTATAGTCAAGGTCTAAGAATCAGGTGAAGGTCCAAAATGGAAATACCCCGGCGGTGCAGCCCTTCACGAATTAACCGAGTTTCCGCCCCTCAAACAAGTGGTCTCGGCCACCAACATACATACTCAACTGAGGCGAGCAAGTTTAGAAAATGAGATCGTGGCATTGCGCCTTGACCATTCAGACCGCCACCATCGTACAAAGACACAACCGGAGTACTCGGCAGAAGCCACCCCGCATCCCTCCCAGTAGCGCCGCCATGGCGTTGATGGAAAACCGGGCCGCAGAGAGGCCGAAACTTCTTATGACTTATGCGACAGCCTGAGCGAGAGTCAAAATGTTAAATTCATCGTTATCGTTGGGTCTGAGGGTTTGGGTATGGGGCCCCCGTACCCCAGAAACAAGACCTTCGTGGAGCCGCGGAAAATAACCGAGGATTTGGCCACTTTTTCCCGGGTCGAAGTCAACACCGTTCAATACAACATAGATGGCTTGTTCCACATTGTTTCTCTTATAATCACTTCTTAGATGAGAGATCGACCAAGATATGCTCCAGAAAAGTTATCTCCCGCCGGGATGTACAAGCTGCCCAACACAACCTTGAATCACTCGGTCCCTTCTTTCACACGGTCAACATATAATAAAGAGCGGCAGATGGCGTTTCAATTCTTTCGAGTCGATTGGCACCTTCAGGGAAATTCCTGATTGGCCATTAACAAGAAACTTGAAACCGGGTGTGCCAACCAGTAACACGCGTAGTTCCTGTGCCAATGCTCGGCAACATCTTCACTGTCTCGGAAAATTCATACCAGACAGTTCCCCATCCAGGCTCCGATGACGATCTCAAGGGCTCCATTTTGGCAAAATGCAATACTCGCTGCCGGTGGCATGACGCGGCATGCCGATCGGGGTCCATAAACAGCAGGCCGGGATAGCTTCAACTGTACAGCTCCGCAGCCATAGACAAGAATGAAAAGACCGAGAACCGGCACAAGCGCCACAAAAATGATCATGGTTACTCAAATCGAAGCTAAACCTCTCACATTCCAGCGGAACCCAACATAGAGAGGGCAGTGATCGACTGAAACCTGACTTGAATGGAACAAGACGCGGGTAAAAACACTCGGTTAAAAGCAGTTCAACCGAATCGACTTGGCTCCGCCAATGACGCAGTCCGTTTCCCCGACTTGTCTCCCCCGGTCTCTCCAGTCTACTCTCCGCATTCCACCCGGTCGATCCTTTCTGATCTGGGCGTCATGCCCGGGTCCAGGACTTCAGGGAGTGGTGCCATGCACTACGCTACTGCCGTTTCGCTGCCGAAAGCCACCCCGAAGCCACCCTATGCGCATTGACCCGTGAATCCGATTGTATTTACTTAAAAGCTGCTTCACCCCAGGTCCATCTTAGTTAGATGAGGTAGCCCGCAATCATGTATCGCATTTCAAATATCTACGGTACGTGCCTTTGAATATTGATAATGAGCCATGCTAATGGATGACAGTGCTCGCCGCATTCGGCACCATCGGTGGAGCGCTCTTCGGCTTCGATGTGAGGTACGGAAGGATGCACCGAAATTAATATATCACAACTAACAACCAATAGCTCGATGAGTGCATGGATTGGCGTCGACACCTATACCGATTACTTCGGGAACCCGAATTCCAATCTCCAAGGAGGAGTACGTTCTCTAAAATCTCAAATCATACCTTAGCATACCTTAGCTAACATCAAATCAAGATCACAGCCTCCATGTCCGCCGGCTCCTTCGCTGGCTCCATAGCAGCAGGCTGGCTATCAGACTATCTCGGCCGCCGAGGCTCACTGATGATTGCCTCCTTGGTATGGATCGTCGGAGCAATGGTGCAATGCAGCGCCCAAAACGTCACACATCTAGTCGCTGGCCGTGTGGTCAGCGGTCTCGCCGTCGGAGTAACGTCATCACAAACTTGCGTCTACCTATCCGAGCTTGCACCCGCACGGATTCGAGGCCGTGTCGTCGGAATCCAACAATGGGCTATTGAATGGGGTATCCTGATCATGTATCTGATTGCGTATGGCTGCGTGGTCGGTGTCTCAGGAGCAGCTGCGTTCCGTATCTGCTGGGGTATCCAAGCTGTCCCTGGATTGATCTTGTTCATTGCGCTGTTTTTCTTCCCAGAGTCCCCGCGTTGGCTAGCGAGTAAGGAACGTTGGGAAGAAGCTTTGGATGTGTTGGCTTTGATACATGGCAAGGGGAACCGCAATGACCCCGTTGTTCAAGTGGAATTCGAAGAAGTTCAGGAGGCTGCGCGAGTTGCGCACCAGGCGAAGGACGTTTCCTTCTTTTCGCTGTTTGGACCTCGGATCTGGAAGCGAACTGCTTGTGGTATGAGTGTTCAGATGTGGCAGCAGTTGCTAGGTGGTAATGTGGCTATGTACTACGTTGTTTACATCTTCGAGATGGCTGGAATGGTAAGTCCACCCCATCGACCTGAGAGCCTGGTTACTGACCCTGAAATATAGACTGGAAACACTACTCTCTGGTCCTCTGCTATCCAATATGTCATTTTCTTGGTCACGACCGGTGTCATGCTGCCCTTCATCGATCGGATTGGTCGACGAACCCTGCTTTTGTCTGGCTCGGTTCTCTGCATGATCGTGCACTTTATCATTGCAGGTGTCATGGCTAGCCACGGTCACGCCGTCTCAAGCGTTAATGGCAACGCCAATCTCACCTGGGAAATTAAAGGTAGCGCGGGCATGACAGTCATCGCCTTCTCTTATATTTTCACCGGTATCTATGGGTTCACCTGGGTAAGTCAAACCCCCGCCATTGCTCCAGAAAACAACTAACATGAACAGGCCCCAACGGGATGGATCTACGCCTCAGAAGTATTCCCTCTTCAGTACCGCGCCAAGGGCGTCGGCCTCTCAGCCTCCGCAAACTGGATCTTCAATTTTGCCCTGGCGTACTTCGTAGCCCCGGCATTCCACAACATCCAGTGGAAAACATACATCATTTTTGGTGTATTCTGCTGCGTGATGACCTTCCACGTTTTCTTCACATACCCCGAGACTGTGGGTCGATCTCTGGAGGAGATTGATATGGTGTTTGACACGGACGTTAAGCCGTGGAAGACCAACCAGATTGAGAATACGTTTGGGGCGGAGATTGAGAGAAAGGAGGGGAAGATTAATGAGGTGGACGCTAGTCATGAAGAGGTTGTTTGATCTCTATATTCCAAGACTGTATAAGACCTGGTGCTTTGAATGTAGAATACATGAGATGATGAATGAATTTTGACAATACGAACTCACATCGGAAGAGTAACTGGTGTAGTAAATGAATATGTAATCAGGTTTCGAAGCCAGGACGAAGGCTTTTGAACAAGCTGCACCTAGACCTCTCCCTCCAACCCTGCTTAGTAGAGCTGTCGGTATCAATGGTCTCCACCTTTAGGATCTGACTACTGCTAGGCCTTGTAGATCAGTGGACCAATATCAGATCTCTCCTACAATGAACCGTGGAGACTACATATCCTTGCGAGCAGTAAGACATCTGAACTCAAGAATCGATCACCGCGATCCTAGTTCAATGCAAGTGCAAGTATAATGTGAAGATCATGATCTACAGAACTAAACGAATTTCGAAGGGGTATTCAATTAAGATAGTAAAAACCAATCTAACAAGGGTATTGGACCGTTTCGAACAAGGAAACAACAAGAAGAAGGAAACTCGGTGAACCGAGGGCGGGTCGTGGTGAATCGTCACGGCATGCCAGTCCCAGAGGACGAAGTTGAGCCGGGGGCTTATTTCTCCTCACTAGAGTTGCTATCACTAGCCTTCTCATTGTGCTCAATGTGCTCGCGGTGAGTGCGCTCGGCAATCTTGGCAGGGTTGCTAAGGACACTGGCGCGGCGAACAGCCTCGTCTTCGATGTCATCGAGGGTTCGGAGGAGCTCACCATTGGGACCGTACATGTGGGGCTCACTTTTAGCGAGACTGACGACGTTGAAGACGTTAGTGGTCTTGTGGAAGATAAGGTCCATTTCTTCCAGGGAGCGGCAGGTGGTCTCGGGGAAGAAGAAGTAGACGACAGGGACAATAGCGGCATTACTGGGAAAGGCAAAGTCAGCACCAAGTGTGAGTTGATGGGGAGAGAGACAACGTACATGACAGCGAAAATGACATAAGTCTGATACCCAATGTTGGCAAAAGCGACGGGGGTGATCATGACGACCATGAAGTTCCAGATCCAGTTGCCGGACGTGGAGAGGGCGTTGGCCGGAGCACGAATCTTCAAAGGGACGATCTCGGCCGGGTACAGCCATGTCATGCCAAGCCAGCCAATGGCAAAGAATGTGTTGAAGACGAAGAGGAATACAGTCTGGGCAATACCGGCACTGGTTCCCTTCGGGGTATGCTTATGGTTTGAAGAGATATTGTCGGTGATGGCGAGGATAACCATAGAAAGTGACATGCCGACGGCGCCAAAGATCATCAGGGAGCGACGGCCAAACTTCTCGACTGTGAACACGGCAACCCACGACGCAAGAAAGTACTCGGTACCGTTGAGAGCAGCAATCAGACGAGACATAATGGGACTCATGCCGATATTGTTCTCGAGCAGAGTGGGGATATAATAGGTGATCAGATTGATACCAGAGATCTGCTGGAACATCTGGTTGACGTAGGCCAGCACAACACGGTGGAAGTGACGGTCCTCACCCATGGTAAACATGTCGCGGAACGAACCCTTAGACATCTCCAGAACGGTTGCCTTGATAGCGGTGAATTCGGTGTCGATGAATACCTCGTCGGTCTCGTCACCCATCAGGCAGGTCAAAACTTCACGAGCCTCCTCCTCGCGACCCTTCAGAATGAGCCAACGGGGTGACTCGGGAAGGAACATAACGAAGCCCAAGATGATAGCAGCGAAGAAGATCTGGAAAGCAAGCGGGAATCGCCAGGCAACTTCATTAGGATCGGCAAACAACAGACCGAAGTCAATCCAGTAGCTGATCGTGATACCGCAGGTAATCATGGCGCCCTCGATCATGACCAGCTGGCCACGACGGTGAGACTTGCAGCACTCAGATTGCCATGTGGGAACAGTAGAAGTGTTGATACCGTTTCCGAAGCCAGTAACCAAACGGCCGACGACCAGCTGGGCGAGCTCGTACGAGGTACACTGCAGGATAGCCCCGATGACCATGATGAAAGAACCGAGGAAAATAGCCTTGCGGCGACCGAGCATGTTACCGACCCAGATCGTGGGAATAGAACCAGCGAAACATCCCAAGTTGTACGCGGCGACGGTGATACCCTGACGAGTAGATTGCGCACTCGAGTCATCGGTGGTGGTATCAATGCTCGGGAAATATTTCACGAAGGATTTGAGGGTGAGCAGACCACCTGTGACACCCTGATCGTAACCGAAAAGCAGGAAATCCATACCGGCCAGAACACCGATAGCAACCTGGAGCTTGGTGCCATTGAGGCCCAAGAACCGCTTGGTAGGCATCTTGGGTGGAGTAGTGGAAGGTCTCGTCTTTGGCTTTGTCTATTTCCCTATATAGGTCAATTTAGTAGACAGACCGAACCAGCCGGAAAGAATGACGAGAAAATTATTCGAGAAACAAGTTCAGGATCGACGGGGACGGGGTCGGATTTTTAAAAAGCCTCGAAGTGCAGGTGCATGGGGCCACTACCCCAGTCATGGCCGGGGGGGGCTCAAAGGTCCTGTTCTCGTAGCAGCCGAGCCAGACCAGACGCAGATGTGATTTGAGCGGCATGAACCTGGGTCCACATCGCCTTTGATGCTCCATAGCCATGGAAATTCGAATGACGGTTGGTTCTGAAAGGCTAGCACGGACGTTTCGGGCCAGGTAGAGACAACAACCACACCGATTTCATCTCGTTTGGATCGAAGTTGACAGTCCGGGCCACGCGAGGATTCGCCAATAGCAGGGGAGATAGAGCCGGGCGACGGGCTCGGCTTCACCAGGTTCGGTTAGTTTCGGTTTGGGCCTCCCACTCCACGCCTCCCCAGGTTCAGTAGCCTGGCCGCCGATCTGTGAGCCTGTCAGGTTTCACGGTTTTGTGTGGAGTCAATTTCCCCCAACTCCCCCACGACTCCTCCGCACAGGGAAAATTGGGTCTCAAAGTACGGTCCAGGGGAAATCGCCCCAAACCTGGGGATCTCTTTGTTCACATCACGCGATTCAAGTCATTTGGACTATAGGCTCCTACATGTGATATGGCTTACTTGGTTGTTTTGTTTATGGAAATCCACAAAACCTACACACGGGCAGATCTTTCCGAGTCTCGAAGGGGCCCGCATAAGCACTGGATCGGAATTTCCCGTCTTAAATTGCGTAGAAAGACTGATTCGTACATGACTCTCAAGTTAGCCGGGAAAAATTTGGCGAAAGGTGCAAAGTGCGACTTGGCGCCGAGCCAGACAACCCGGTCAAAGGTTAAGCTGCCAAGTGGCCAAGTCCAAGTCAAGACAGAATAAGCTACGACAAGCCACTGACCCGGAGGCTTCTCTTTAACCCAGTTACGACGTGCTGCGGATGGCCTCGCACCCAAATATCCGACAAGGCACCGGAGGTTCCCCGAGCCCGGTTACCCGTTTACCCCGTCTACCCCGTCTACCCCATGAATCCAATTTATCCCGACCTGTTCCAAGGAACCTAGTGGCGTGTGATATCTCGTCCCTTTGATTATTTGTCTTGGCAGGACAAAGAAACTCGCTATCGCATTACTGTCGGGTTGCAATTTCCCTCTCGTGTCGTAGCCTCTTGCTGCCAAAAGGAGACAGGCTAAAACAACTCCACTCCGAGCTCACTGGCCACTAGTGACCATTAAACCCAGTGTAGCCCCCCGCGGTCGCGTCCAAATCCTGGGGGATACGCAGTACGACCTACTCAGATAGGCAGTTCCGGTTTGATCCAGTTCCGCCTGGTCCGCCTGCGCATAGCCTGGTGCCATGCATGGCTTATTGGCTTATTGGCTTATTCTCAGCCCCCTCCGCGCGGTTCTAGAATAGCGTCGGGGGTGGGGGCTCATGACGCGATGGTTGGAATGGCGCCTCCCGCCAGCCATTGAGGTCATCTGTGAGTCAGGGCGTCGCTGTTTATTATGGTTCAGCCATGGCGTGAAGATCACGAAGAAGGGCGCCTCTCGGGACGCTTTGGCCGTGCCGTATGCTGTATGCTGTGCGTCGCGAGAGGTGTAACCGGGCCGTTGTACGTAAAAGTGTCAATAGATGGGAAATTGCAAAATGTGGCTGGAGAGCTGTTGACTCGCTTCTTAGATTCGCCTAAGATTTTGCTGGATGGACTCTGTCTTCGAAATAGTGGTTATATATATGAGCGTTGTCGCTTTGCTTCATCTGTAGATGTCGCCGATCGGTGATCTGGTTATGTTTCACATCTTGCAGCTCCACATCTCGCAGCTCCACATGCCGGTCTATGTGCTTCTCGCCACGGATGCGGTCGCTACTTTTGTCGCAGTTGTATGCAAGTAACATTTGATCGCATTAGTAACTTGGCCGCCTTCTTTTGCTGGGGCAAAGATGCGGCTCTGAACTCGATATTGATCGACAGGGCGTAGCTCCAGGTGCCCGACCGGGTTTCCTTCTTCGATCGATACGTGATACAATAAAAAGCAAAGCAATTCTAGAGCCGTGCGCCCCGTCACCAGTACCTCCACGGGTGCGTCGTGGGGCGGGAAGGTTATTTTTGTTTTAGGACGTGCTTCCTGCGAGGCGTGATGCTCCACCGAGGGTCGGTTCTTCGCCGCTTGAAGGGCGTTTCTAGAAGTCAAACGGCTTGCAGGGTTTCCCTGCACATGTGTGTGGCCAAAAGCAAGAGAACCGGGAACATCCATGTCAGATGCTTTGTTTTGCATAGCACGCGATTGATAGGTTTTTTTGTTCGAGAAGCCGCAGTCTGCTTAACCTTGGATTTTGTTAAGCCTCCAACCTTCAAAATAGGGCTCACATCACAGGCAATTGAATCGCTCACCGTATATTTGAACCTACAACGAAACTACTGAGGTCATATTTACGAGTCTCCCCAGTGCTTTTTTATCACTTTTACTTCTACAAGGTCCAATCAGTGTATATTCCTCGATTGGTAGCATACATATATTTACACTTACGCTAACGAGAAAGCAAAAGCAAGCGCGCGGTAGGTCCTAAGTGCATGCATTCATTCGAAGTAAAATCGAAGCTATTTGATCAATAGACCCGCGCGTACCCTGCACAAGCAAATTACACCGCATCTTCAGTGCTATTGATGCCTTCAAATGGGAGAACCCAGCTGATAAGTGACCTCATGCAACTAAGTGCGGAGGCACGTCCACGATCCGGGATATTCCCCTAGTGCATTCCTCGGCATCGCGCTGGCCCAGGCGATTGGGAGCCCTTTGTGATCTGCTTGCTCGTGCGGCGGACTTCGCACGCTCACGTTGCCCCTTCCTCTATCCCTGGCCAACTTGAATTCATAGAAACCACAATCAAGTGCTTTTGGTCGAGATGGCCCGTGGACCCGGCCGGTCGCTCCGGCCCACAATTTTGATCCAAGGAAATTTAAATTTGGACTCCGTATTCAAATATAAGTTTAATTCGGCTTAATGCTAAACTTAGCTTTCTAATTTCCGAGAATCGAGCACAATCATAGAATCAAGCTCCTAGATGGTTCACTCTCAATGGAAAAGCACAGGTCGCCAACTTAAAGGCTTCGTGATGTGTCGGCCTCGGCTGGATATTGACCTGAGGTACTTAACTTCATCACCAATTCGTAACACCTTAACTCGTATTTCAATGCTTGCTTATCGAACTCTTCCCATAAAAGTCCTGTGCCTAGGTCCCGATATACCACGGGGGGTGGCCAATGATAAGGCGATGGTGCCGATGCAGATCCCATCCTTAAAAGTTAGCCACAGTTCGAGTGACACAAGTAACATAGACTGGTGGTATCTTGTGAAAGCTCTACCAGCGTAAAGCAGAAAGAAGGACGAACTACTTGAAAATGTGATTGCTCAACCTGTTGTTGGCCTTCGATGTATCGTGGCAATCCTATTAGCCCCTTTGGGCGTGGTTCTATGTCATGGACTCACGATGATCCCTTATTACGCAGCATGCTCAGATGACGAAGGCTAATAATCCAGTCACGTTGCAGAAATCTCCGTATCGCAGATATTTATTCCATAGCTAAAAAAAAAACATAAATTAACGAGGCCGAGCACATTTTGATTGGAATGTAGGGACACGGACTCTGCCAACACCCGGACTATTTACAAGAAGATGGCTACGCGACACAAACATATGTACCACGACCCCGGAACGCAATTCAAAATCTGATAAGTGTTCCCGCAAAACCACAGAGACAAACGCACTGGAAATGAAACATCTAGTTGGGGTATATTCGCGTTGTGACGGAGGCGAGCATACCAGATGAGCGAAGTGGAATGTGTGGAAGATCTCTAGCGCGTACAAGCTCTGTACCCCTTGCGTGAAATAATGTGTTACACTTGCTAGTAAGGTTGCAGTTCTATTAGAGCTAAAATCTGGACCCCAGGGTGGAAGCTTAGCTACCTACAACTCACTCGCTCTCAATTTATCCGAATGTTCCAATATACTTGACACCGAAAAGTTTTCACAGTCTACGGGAATAGACTTGGAAAAATCCTGTTAATTCATGGCCGGTAGCCCAGGAATGCATGATTGCCATGATGGATATATCGAAAACCGAGATGATATCCGATTGAAAGAAACTGGGACCGATGACATCGCAGATGATGAGCAGAAATACCCACCCACCGCAAAGCTGGTTCCTATCCTTGTAGGACTGTGCTTTCAGTCTTTTTGCATCGCGCTGGTGAGTTCGATCTAAACAAGGACGATGTGTGAGCTGACCGTTCTTAGGATAACACCGTCCTTTCAACCGCAGTACCGAAAATCACCGAGCAGTTCAATTCCCTCGAGGACCTTTCTTGGTATGCAAGCGCGTATTTATTGACGACATGTGCGGTTACGCTTCCCTTCGGCAAGATCTACACCTACTACTCGACCAAATGGACGTATATGATCGCCCTTGCACTTTTTGAGATAGGGTCTTTGATATGTGCTGTGACACCCAACTCGAAAGGTCTGATACTAGGAAGGGCCATTGCTGGAATTGGATCGGGCGGATTGTCTCCGGGCGCTCTGTTGGTGCTGGCCAACAGCTTGCCACTTCACCGACGAGCGCTATACTTTGGAATCATTGGCAGTACCAGTGGAATTGCGACAGTGACAGGACCATTGTAAAAGCCCATCTGTTCAATAGTGAAATGATCTGCTGATGTTTGGTATAGATTGGGTGGTCTGTTGACTGACAAGGTCAGCTGGAGATGGTGCTTCTACGTCAACCTTCCTCTCGGAGCAATTACCGCGATATTCATTACACTTTTCTTCAAAGACTCATCGACTCAAACCAAAATCGAGCCCGGAAAAATGAACCAAATAAAGCGGATGGACCCAATTGGAATTCTCACGTTTATTCCTGCCATTGTTTGTATCTTGCTAGCTCTTCAGTGGGGAGGCACCAAATACGAATGGTCCAACGCACGGATCATTGCAATGTTTGTTCTCTTCGGTGTCTTTGGGTCTATATGGTGCGCCGTTCAACTCTGGAAACAAGAAGAAGCAACAGTTCCGCCCCGACTTCTCAAAGACCGCAATGTCCTTGGCGCCGTAATCCATGCCATGTTCCTGGGAGGTTCATTCTTTGTATTTGGTTACTATGTGAGTATGTACTTCCCCTAAATCTTTCCTTTTTACTAATAAAACAGCTCCCCATCTGGTTCCAAGCTATCCAAGAAGACTCGGCATCAGAGTCAGGGATCAACAGCCTTCCCATGGTCGTAACAATGATTGTCTGCTCGGCAATTGGTGGACTACTCGTGAATCTCATCGGATATTACACACCATTAATGTTCTTTGGAAGTGCCCTTCTAACAATCGGATCAGGGCTCTGCACCACTTTCAAAGTCAATACTGGGAACGGCCTATGGATTGCCTATCAGATAATTATAGGGATGGGCGCAGGAGTGGGATTCCAGCAGTGTATAAACGCTCTACAAACCGTATTGCCGCTACATGACATCCCGGTCGGCATCGCAATCATTACTTTCGCTCAGAGTCTGAGCGGGGCCCTATTCATATCTATCGCTCAAAATGTCTTTCAAAATCGACTTGTCGCCAATTTGAGACACGTCGCACCTAATGTCAACCCAGCGGCCATCATTCAAGCTGGCGCGGCGAACCTGGCAGATCGACTTCCGCAAGAAATCCTTCCAACAGTTCTGTACGCGTACAACATAGCCGTTACTCAGACTTTCTATGTGTCTGTAGCTGCCGCCGCACTCTCCTTCTTTGGAGCTGGACTCGTGGAGTGGAAATCTATGAGACGAACCAAGAAATGCGATTGAGCTGGATCTGCCAACTTCCTCTGAGCGTTGAGCGTTAGTCTTGATTCATTCATCCGCAACCTCGTACACACGTGAATAAATATTCCATAACCAGATATACTCAGAGATACAGTGTCCATAAGGGTCGGATTCTAATTTAAATCGAACAAAGAATGAAATGTTATTACATCATCTGACGAGGCTTGACTTGTAAATCTACTGGAAATAGACAATAGGAAGACTGGCCACCTTTTGCACGTAGCACAGCACGCTTCTGAGCGGGAATCTATACCAAGTACAATGTCGATGAGGACCTTTCGTTCTGGAATGCCTTGTGGATTTAAATACATACATCGAGTTTGGGTGGCTCTGAGGGAAAATAAGAACAGGATATTTCTCTAAGGTTTCATGAAGACAGCGAGTTCCTCTCTTTCGCAATTACTGTATATCAGGTATTCGTAATTGGAAAAGAAGGGGATCTAATTCAATGAGCATTCATAAGTATATATATCATGCACGCCTTGTGTTCCATCTTGTTATCCAACCCAATCCAACCCATGTCGTTTGTTGTGTGTCGTATCTGCCTAGTGTGTTCCTAAGAGTTGTCGTTCAATATTCGTATCATAAAGATGTAATCAGGCCGTCTACTTCATGATGGGTCGTCGCAAAGAGTTGAAAGGGTTCTTTCGTCTAGAAGTCTTGTGCTTGAACGCCTCCTCGATTTCGTCCAGGGACCGCCCTTTGGTTTCGTGCATGAAAGCCGCACACACAATAGCGGTAAAGATGGAACAGCCACCGAACAAGAAGTAAGCTCCGAAAGAGCTCTTAGCCAGTAAGATAGGTGTCGTGAGGGCGACTAGAAAGTTGGCGATCCAGTTTGAGGAATGCCCCAGGGTCGTTGCCGATGCACGGGTGCGACTCGGGTGAATCTCGGGCACGTAGATCTTGATGCTGACTGCCCATGTCATCGAGTAGATGACGGCAAAAATATAAATGGCAACAATTACCACCCAACGACCAGCTCCAGAGGTTCCATGGACGGCATTTCCAGCGTACAGACCGCCGATCAGGAACATGACGACGCCCAGTCCAACACCACCATAAATGACACTGCCTCGGCGGCCCCATTTGTCTGCGTAGAGCAGTCCGGGAATAGTCACGCAGAAAATCACTAGTGCTGAAACACCGGAGGCAAAGAAGCTCGCTTCTGACGACGCAAGTCCGGCCTGTTGGAAAAGCAACGGGGCGTACTATATGGAGTGTTAGAAGACTGTAAAGAGAAGTAGGGAATGTGAACATACATAAAGCACGCCATCAATACCACTGAGCTGCTGCATTCCCATCATGAATACAACAAGAGCAGTGCGCGACCGAACATCCTTTGAGAAAATGTCGAAAAGTTTGTCCATGACACTCGGCTTGGGTTTTTGGGTTATTACCACGACAGTCTCCCTAGCCTGCGACTTGTCCGTAGGCGCAGTAACATCGACCCCTTCCGACTCTAATTCGACCTTTTCACGCTCAGCGTGGCTCACACCCAGCTTATCCCATGCTTGCTCTGCCTCTTGTCGACGACCATGTAGTGTCAACCACCTCGGAGACGGAGGCAAGAAGAAAAAAGGTAGTAGCGCAGAGAACCATCGAGAGCGACGCAAGAAGGATAAATGGTGTGCGCCACGAAAGAGATGACTTGACACCCGAAGATCCATAACAAGTGAAGTACCCTGTCATGATTCCCGCAGTAATCAACAATTGCGGACCCGTTGTCAACATGCCTCGAGTGCTTGTAGGTGAAATTTCCGCGATATAGACCACAAGCGTGCCTATTGAAGAGTTAATATAGTCACCAACCCTAACTTTGACACAAGTACCTAAGAACAGCCCCTCTCCCAACCCCTCTATAACTCTCCCAGCAATGAACATTCCAAGTGAGACGGCAGCAGCTTCAATAGCAGCTCCAACCCCAAAGATAAAAACGCCAATACTAATACCCTTCGGTCGACCAATCTTGTCTGCAAGGTGACCCGCAAAGAATGAGGAGAGAGCAGCAGGAATCAAGATCGAGGAAACAATAAGACCGTGAATGGTCGCATTCTGGCTCCCTCCAAAGGAGGCCTTGAAATCTTTCATATCGGTAACTGGGCCGATAACGCCCGTATCCATTCCGAATAAGATGCCATTTACAGAGCATAGAACGCTCGCCAAAACATATGGTGGTGGTTTTTTGAAGTAACTGGGAGCCATTCTAGAGTTTACCCGGTGCCAAGACCTGAAACTTGTGATTATCCGGTTGGGTTTTCGAGTTGAGAAGCGCACAAATGTCACAAGATAAATGCAAAAGATAAGACGTAGGAATGAGAATACGGAGATCTCAACAAGGAGGAAGAATAATACACTTCATCTCTCTCTAGAAGGGTCCTCTGTGGAGGTGGAAAAAAATCTGTTTGAATCCCCTCGTCCCCCACGTGCACCCCACTTCTCCACCAGATAACAGCGGAGCTTTTCAATCGCCACCTTATCACCTCGGGTACATTGCTATATTTGGTAGTTGGAGTTGAATCTCGGCTAAGTTGCTTATATTGTATGGATTGGTTTAAAGATTGGTTCTTTATGCAAAGTCAATGGCAGAATACAATAGAAATAACAAGAATATGCGCTGTACATGGCCTTGAGTCTGCACCGAAGATTATAAATACAGATGAATGGTATAAACATCGCTCGTAACCCATAGACAAAATGATCGGTGGAAGGCATGCCGACCTGTAACATTAGACCGCCAGACCAGCAGAACCGATGCTTTCAACACGGATGCCGAGCTTGGTCATTTCGGGAATATTAATGATACATCTTCCATCGAACAGCCACTTGGGTGATCTCATCTCTCCGGCGATCTTCTTCCAGTTGACCTGCTCTTTTGGAACATCTTTGCCAACACTGGGATTCGATTCGCCGTATGTGATCCCCGATTGACAGTCCGGACAGTCGGCAGAGCAATCCGGTTCGGCATTGAAGGGTTCATAGGATGCGGTAACCGGGGGAGAAAGTGTGTTCGCAGGAGTTGCTTCTTGCAGTCTCTGAGTAGACTGCGTCTTGGAGTCAGGACTCACGGTGACAGGGGTGTTCCGGAATTCAGGGAAGTCGGTCACAATCAAAACCGCGTTAGAGTCGGCACAAGCCTCGTAAACATTAGAGTAGACTTTCACACATCCACCATCATCGCTGAGGATAGGGGAGCCATATGGCTGTAGGGCACGAATCTCATTCTCAATGACAAGACGGTTGCAGCAAGGGTCAAAGATAGCAATCTCGTGTGGATTCTCATCTAAAAGTGTCTTGATAATTTCGAGGGCTGGTGCTTCTCGTGTGTCCGAGGTGTTGGGCTTGAATGCATAGCCCAAGATACATATCTTCTTAGTGACGAGTGTACTATTCAGATGGCGGATGACTCGAGCAGCGAAGCGATCCCTTTGGTATTCGTTCATCACGTTGACTTGGCGCCAGTAATGTGCGACTTCATCCAGACCCAAGGACTCGGCGATGTATGCCAAACTGGCAATATCTTTCTTGAAGCAAGAGCCACCGAATCCAATACCCGCTCGCAGGAATGACTTGCCTAGACGGGTATCCATTCCGATGGCCGCAGAAACCTCATTCACTTCGGCACCTGTAGCTTCGCAGATTGCCGAAATGCTGTTAATACTGCTCAGGCGCTGAGCGAGCATGGAATTTGCGACAAGTTTTGCCAGTTCGGACGACCAAACGTTGGTTGTGAGAATGCGCGATCGATCGATCCAAGAAGAATAGACACCTGCTAGGGATTCTGCAGCGGCTCGACCCTCGGGCGTGGGTGCAGAACCGATGATGATTCGGTCTGGATGGAGCAGATCTTGCACAGCTGTTCCTGCAGCGAGGAATTCCGGGTTTGAGAGGATTTCGAAATCTTCGCCGGGTCTCTGGATGGTGATCTACCGAACGTGAGCTTCAATGGAATTAGAAATGGCGAAGATAACATACCATCTCTTGGATCATCTGTGCTGTTCTGCAGGGTACCGTCGACTTCTCGACGATAATAGTGTTGTTTTGTGCATGACGAATTACTTCCGCTGCCACAGCTTCAAAGGAGGTCATATCAGTTGCGCTACCTTTCCCCGTGCCGCGCATTTTTGTCGGCGTGTTTACCGCAATGAAGACGGCATCCGAGTTTTGAATGCACTGAGATACATCGGTCGAGAAGAAAAGATTAGGCGATCGTGCCTTGAGTTCCGCGGTATCGTGAGCTTCGACACAATCCTTCTCACAAGAACCTTGTAATCCATCGCGCGATATACGAACAATCTCGCTGAGGCCCGGTTCATAGATGGGAAGATGACGCGAGTTCCATCTTCTGATCCGACGGTCATCTCTATCAACCACCGTGACCCTCACGTGCGGGTTCTTGTATGCGACAATGGCAGCTGTTGGTCCACCAACATAACCGGCGCCAACAACACAGATGCTTCGAATCGTCCGCGAGGGAACCCTGTATTCGGCATCGCCGTTCTTCAAAGGGGAGGCCTTCTCAAAGGAGTTGTCCACTTCATCGTTGCTATCGTGAAGACCTGGACTACCGGATTGACTTCTGTCCGGTGTGGTTGGCACAGTCGAGATGTCCCCGGAGACGTTCGTCTCCGAGTCAGCCGCAGAGCTAGACAGCGACATCTTGTCTCGGAAGTGAGCTCCCAAGTGAAAGAATGGAGAGGTAAATTGATGAAGTGAAGAGTAGAAAAGCGGAGTTCAAATGTGAGCACTCCGCAGCCTCTAGACCCCGAGAGGAAATTGCGTATTGTCAAACTTGATCTCTCTTAACGCCACAAGAGTTCCGACCACTGAGCGGCTTGGAAGGTATCGAGAATAATCATGAGAGTCAATGCAACCCAAGATCGGCGATACCGCCGACAAAGCAATACCCAGCTCAAAACGATCATAGCCCGATTTCACGGCTGGAAATACAAACCTGTATTATCAATGCGACTTGCATTGGCGGGGCATACCCACCATTGGAAATGTACAGATGTAATTGTGTACTGAGAAGTTCATGACCGTTGTTTCTGCCGTTCACTCTCCTTAACTTCGAGATCAGAGGAGGTATAACTGAGTTTAGAAATGAATAACGTCATTTTTGTCCTACCTTCCGCGAACAGCGTGTCCATCATTACAGAACCGTCGAATGATTGATCGCGCATACAATGTTATGCAGGCTGTACATGAGAATGCGATACTACGTACAGCTCGTAAAACATCCCTAACAGGTACAGTCCCGCCAGAACCCGAGTCGTACTCGTATGTATCCGTGGATGAGAAAGGGGGTCCTCGTGTGTTTTGCTTTTTGTGTTTTCAATATTTGACTTGTAATTTGTTTCCTTGGATCTTCGCCTTCGTCCGCATCGATCCAGTCGATCCAGGTCATCATCCAGCAGAGTTCATGCGATCGGCAATCATCACTTTCACACGGCCATCATTTGACCACCCACCCTTACGCGGCTACCTAGGCAACAAACAAATCCCAAGGCAGAACGGGCTCCTCCTACATTCATTGCCACTCTCTAACACCCCATCAACATTCTATCCGCACCTGGCGCATGGATACCCTGTTGACCTCGCTAACACTAGCATTGCCACGCCACATTTCGACCAGTCCGCAATGTGCCATGCAGTGTGACCCTTAGCGGCTGAGGCTGTAGCAAGTGCAAGCCCCGCCCCACTGGTGGCCTCAGTTGTGTTTTTAGGATGCACGAGGTGCAAACAAGACCTGCTATTGGCTGCGATTCAGTTGCAGTTCATAGATCGTTTTTTTTGGCCCCAATTGGTCTTGGCAGGTGATCACACAAGTGTCGGTCAGCCCTACGATCCAGTGGGGGCAGCAAGCCTTGCCCGAAACCCAGCCTGGCCTTTATGCCCGCCGCGCGCGCAGCTTGGCTGTTATGACTATTTGCGGACTATCGTCCCCAAGACCCTGAGACAAAGGGCCTTCAGTCTCCCGCCCCCAGATTTTGGATCCACTTTAATGTACAGCCGGAAGCTCCGGCTTTGACGATGTTTTGATCAGTGGATATCCACTTTAGTGGCCTTCATGACCCATTTGTTGATTTGTTACTAATAAAATAGGAGGACTGCTCAGTGGCCTTGCATGAAACCAGTTTTGAAGTGGTGTCTCAGCCACCCTGCCACAATCTTGGGCCCGGGACCTATCTATTTTAGCGGTGCTGCCAACATGGAAAGCATAGACTATCTCCGTATGCTGACAGCTCCACTTCAGCTATAGGGGCGATCCGCTCGTTCTCTCTGCGGAACCGAAAACATGCGGAATTGTCGGATAGATGAGTTCAAAGAATATGGCAGCCTAGTAGGAATTCTTGGCAATCTGTAGGCGTTATTGCGTATTCGGCAACTTGTAGGGTCCAAACGGAGCCCGCAGGGAAAGCGAAGATACGGAAATGCGAAGATACGGAAATACGAGTGAAAGATACGACGTGTTTTGATCATAATACGACCGGCGGTTATATCCAGTTCGGGCATACACTTCGCTCTCGTGCTAGACCAGATAACCCGATCCCTGTTGAATCATTTTAATTTAACGTAAGACGCCAGTAAAGGACGCGTCGAATAACGTGTGAATGAAATCTATTACATTTTATTATACATGCATCGAGACTATGTCGATGCTACCCGCTTCTTAGAATCCAACTCCACTTTGCTGAAGAATGCACAACCAGCCAACACCAAGGAGATACCGAGCCCATTCAGAATGTTGATGGAAAAGTCACCGAAAATAATAATGCCCAGCGCCAGGGTGACAGCCTGCTTGAGGTTGCCACAAACGGTTATCGTAAGAGCTCCCGCAAGTCGGTTCGTCTGGAAACTCGAGACGTTCAGCACAAACGCGAGACAGCCATTTCCAAGAAGGAATAGAACAGTCGCAAATATCGCAAAAGCGGAGGCATTTTCAGTCCGCTCAGCCATGGCCTTTGAAACCACCGGAAGCTCCCCGGCAAAAATTGCGAAGATAAAAGACTGAACCGCTGCAAGAGGCGACATTCGGAAAAGCAGTTCCATGGAGGGAAGTGCAAGTGAGCCGGTCATCAGACGGTTTGTAGTCACAGTCTATATAGGTCAGTTTCGATATACGTCATCGCAAGACTCAATAGCCCTACCTTTACTGCAGCCAACATAACACCTCCAATCGTGACCATCAGACCCAGGATTGTGTAATTATAGTCGCCCGCTGTGCACATTCCAGCTCCGATAACGATCGGAACCAAGGATAGATATGTTGCCGTGGCATAGGATCGAGAGAACCAGAGTCGGTAAATCAGAACGGTGAATAGCGGCACGGTATTACGGATAATTTGGAAGAATGCTAAAGAAACAAGCGACCTGAGCATGTGAGTAAGGATCAATCCAAAAGATGTGAGATGGAATAGCGTCGTACAATGATAGATTTGACATAGCAATGTTCGATGTGAAGAGCACAGAAAATGCACCAAGTATAAGGTGTTCCCTCAAACTGAGTTTTGAGAGCTTGAAGTACCCCATTTTCAACATGACGAGTGTCCCAAGCGCCGAGACGGTTGTGTGGAGGGAGGTTAGGAGCCATGGAGCTTGGAACTGTCAACAGTGTTAGCGAAAGCAGTCTTGCAGCTTTTGGTTCAAGTCTCACAGATCCCAAAATAAATTTATTATATATAGTCAGGGCCATGCTGAACCCAAAGTACGCAGTGAGCCAGATAGCCTTCAATGTGGTGGGGGTTTGGTATTCGGGCTCGGCATCTTTGTTGATCTGGTCAACTTTCGTGTTGGCCTCGAGATCACTGATCTCGCTGTTCGATGTCGAGTCATCGTTGCTGAGGAGAGCAAGCTCTGACTCTTCTTGTTCCTCACTTCTGCGACCCATTCTGGTGGTGCTATAATCGATCCGATATCTGGCGCACGAGGTGCAAGGTAAGGTGGGCAACGTAAGAAGAAACCGAAGGTTTAAGAGTATTAACAATCGATCTGACCGCCAGGGCAGATCTTTCTTACCTGCACAAGGCACACATGAAAAATACGTCCCAACGCATAAGTGACATAAATAATACAGGCCGTTTTTCACCGTTCGTAATCGTACCAGGACCCACCGAGTTGCGAAACATCTCAAAATTAGAAAGTCTGTTCGCTTGGCAAGCTGCCAGCGAATGCCATTTAATGTAATGATCGCGGCACTAGTTTTATTTGGGACCCGATACGTGACGCCCGTGGCGTCCGGGAGCTGGTCTAGTCATGGTCGTGCAGGACCAAAGGGAAGATCTCACACGACAGCCAAAAGGGGGAACACTTTTGCCTGCGACTTGATTACTGACAGATATTGGAATACCGTGACTCTAGGTGCAGGGTCCGTTCGGTGTGACCCGACATGCACAGCTGGACTCGTCGAACCGGAAATAGCACACAGTCGTTCTCTCCTAGCAACCAGGGGTGCCGGAGAGTCTAGAGATTCTTTACACTCAGAGTGAAAAGCACGATGCAGTTAACGAGGCGCTGGCAATGGGCCGGCCTGGCTGGATTTCTCACAGTCGCTATTATCACCTTGTTTCAATACGGACCGCCAATCGCCCGGCAACCGATCTCAGTATCTCTTGACTTCAACGCAACGGCCGTAGTTGCAAATTCCACAATAACCTTGGATTCAACAAAAATATCGCGTGAAATATCGAAATTTCATCTCTTAATACCAGCCACCGGATCGAACCACCAGCTATGCCGGACCGTTGCTTCTGCTACTATTCTTGGGTATCCTGTTCCCGTTTTCAACGGCTGGAGAAAAGAGGGCGACCTGGACGCGTCCAAGACACATTTAGCCAAAGTTCGCAACGTCATGATCTATTTGGAGAGTCTTCCAGCCTCTTCTGATGATGATCTTGTTCTCATGATCGATGGTCTCGATGTCACTTTCCAGATCCCCCCAGATGTCTTGATCCAGCGATATTTCGCCACCAACAAGGCAGCAAGCGCTAAACTAGCCGCACGATTTGGAAATAAATATATTGAGAGTCTTTCACCAGATGACGCTCCTCGACAAACGATTCTTTTCGGCCCCGAGAAAGTCTGCTATCCGACTGACTGGGCGCGGGTCGGATGCTGGGCAAATCCCCAAAACATCGGCATTCCCGGCGGTGCCTTCGGACCCGACGATGGGCAGCTTAGCCACAATCTTCCAAAATGGCTCAATTCTGGCACTATCATGGGCCCTGTGAGGGATATGCGTCGCCTCTTCGCGGCCACGCTGGATCGCATCCAGGATTTCTATGACCCGAACCAGGAGTTCAGTGACTCTGACCAGAAGTACATGAGCGATGTATGGGGTGTGCAAGAGTATTATCGCTTGATGAAAGAAACTGAGCTTTTCTTCCATGGCGATATTGATCCGAATGACGTTGTGCCGCTCGGCGAGCCTAACAAGGTGGTCCCTCCTTACGCGCGAAACCAGACCAAGGAGCTGCACATCGGGGTAGATTATCTATCAGGTCTCTTCCAAACCAACGCCGGCTCCGAACATGTCGTCGAGTTCCTCATCTACAATGAGACCGGAGCCAGCAACACCACCTCGGCAACAAGCGTAACTCGCAACGTCAGCGAATCCCCAAACTTCGAACCCTTCAAGATCCCACTACCAGCCAACGTGGCCAAATCAATCACTGCATTATTAAAGTCGATCGCTCCTGCCGTGGATGCCATCCCAAGCGTTAGCGAACTCCGCCTTGGAACCAACATCGTTACCAACAACATCTACGGCATGTACCATTGGACAGGAGACAAAGATAATATGGACACCTTATGGGGTCAAATGTGGTTTTACCCCTACGTTCGACCGCTCTTTAATGCAGCAGTTGCAGCGATGAAGGCTGGACAGCCCATTGGTGTCGCGGATGAGCGCACATGGGTTTCCGCTCACAGCCTCGCTCCGAATTCAACCGGTATTGAAGGCATTCGGGCCGCTGGGGCCTGGGCTGATATTGATGGAGGTTGGCTTGGATGGGAAGAGCTTTGTGGAAATTTTGAAGTTGAGGTTTTTGGCGCACCAGAAGCTTCGGAGGCTTGATTCTCATGGAGAGCTTGCATTTTCTTGTACATATTCCCAAAATTGTGTAACTATAGAGTCTTCGAAGAGATTTTCTCTTGAGCGAGCTGCAGGATTTGAAAATTCGAAAAACAAGTGGACAACACGCACCATTCTCGTTTCTGCAACTGAAACCCTTGACGCTAAGGGCGGACTACTAAGCAATCCCCTTTTGAACGTGAAGTGTATTTGATTTCTTTCACAAAAGCTCGCCGACATCCATTGACTTCGGAGATTGGTGAGCTCTAGTTTATAACTATCCGATTTAACCCAGAACCATTTAGGGCCGTGTGCTTCACATGATTCGAAAGTCTCCTTCGAGTCATCATGTCCTTTAGGCCCGCAAGTAGCTTACCCTTTGCCCAATACGTGACCTAATCGGCCCCTCCAGTCAATTCAGGTATTTCCAACCATGTGCCGGGTATGCATCTCGATGGAAAGAAAGTGATAGATTGATGCTTCCAAGAAGGAAGAACAAAAGAAGCTTAGACAGCAGCCATAATAGCTTCTATATTTGGTTGGCATTCTCACATCCAAGACAAAATTCTGGCTCCGAAAGGGCAACTCAAGGAGCCTCGTTAGTCAGATCGACTAATGTACGGCTGGTTGCCGCCCTGGAACGGCAAGGAACTCCACACAGCCTTATGCTAACTTTCCCGGTTCAAAATATTTAGGACTTGTCCATCGCGACGAGCTACTTTGCCAGATTCACAAAAGATTTGAATAGGTGTTAAGCAGGATTCGCCTTTGGAAGAATGTTTTTATCTGGGTCTCTGGCCTATGTTTTTGATTATGTTCACTGGATCTACTCTGTTTTCGCTAGTGGTGATGGGCTAAGGTTCAATTTAGGACATTAGAGATATTTAAATAGATGCTGAATTAAGCGGACTCCTACAATTAGAGCCTCTAAATATCCAGCAGGTCCAGACAGGTCTACAGGAGGCAAAACTGTCGGGACTACCGGGGTACTGAAGCTAATGCAGTGTCGATTGGGGGCCAAATGCAACCCGAGGTTTCGCCGAATCTCCACTGCATTATTTGGATTTGTCAAGTGCGGAAGGAAAGGTCTTGCCAGTAGCAATGATTCACAGAGCTGTTTCCTTCCTACATAGTACCAAAAATATCCTTTGACTGCACTTTGACGTCCCCCTTAGACCTCAAAACTAGCAGATATATACATTCAAGTGGGGCACGTAATCAGCCTTGTACATTCGAGCCCGAAGTACCTTCGAAGGATGTTATTAGATCTGCAGCACCTGTCATGCAACCCCCGCAGAAGCGACGTTTGACGTGTCGAAACTGAAGCCAATGATGGTGAAGGGAAAAGTCACACACACGGCGAGTCGCATACGGCCCCACGGCTGGGCCGCGTCGAGCGTTGTTTGACAGGTGGAGAGCTCACCGCGCACAATCAGAAGCGCCAAGAGAATAGTGATATCAAAGATACGTTTCAAATGACCCCGCGATTGCAGCCGTGCAAATTGCTCTTGAGGAGTCTTTACAGACACCTGTTCTGTGCTCGTAGCTTTCACATAGCCCACAACTGAGAAGAGGGAGGGTCATCCATTCAAGTGCCCGAATCATGGAGATCTATACGAAACAGTTTGGGATATATATTGCCGGCGCAAGCGCATTTTATTATATAGCTTGGATTATCTACTCGAGAATTTTCCATCCATTGGCGAAGTTCCCAGGTCCATTTTGGGCTTCGGTCTCGTGCGCTTGGTTAATCCGTCAGGTCTGTGGCGGACATCCCGAACGAGTTCAGAAGAGACTTCATGATCAATACGGTGAGTGCGTGACCCATTTGTATTACCCATCTACTAACAACCCAGGTCCGATCGTGCGAGTTGCTCCCAATGAGCTCATATTCAGTGACCCTGAGACGATCAAATCCATTTACGGCGTGAACTCGGGCTTCACTAAGGTGAGTTCCAAGGTTCCTCGGAAAGACTGGGAACATCTTGAATGTGAGACTGATTTCAATAGAGTGATTTCTACCATGCATTCCGCGCTCCAGTTGGTCGCTTCCCAGACCACTTTTCCTCTGATAACCAGAAAGTCCATGCCGAGCGACGACGGATTGTAAACCCAGTGTACTCCCTTCACAATGTACTGGAGGCCGAGCAATATGTGGATGGTTGTATCGATGTTCTGCTGGAGCAGTTCTCGGACATTGCAGACAAAAAGAATGCATTGATCTTCATGAATGGAGCCGCTTCTTTGCCTATGACACAGTTGGAGAGTTATTCTTCAGCAAGATGTTCGGGTTTCTGAGGAGTCGACATGATCATCTGGGATTTATGGCATCTGCAGATTACCTGATTCCCGTCATGACACTGTCTGCTTTGATGCCAACATATCTTCGGCCCGTCTTTATGCTCATAGGAATGTTGTTTCCTAGTCTCCGCAAAGCAGTCGCCGCGCTAGGCACGTTAACCGACGCGTCAAACCAGGTGGTCGCAGAGCGCGTCCAGCCAGGGCGGAACGAGGTCAAATCCGAGCGATCAGATTTTATCACCAAGGTTCTGCAGATCTACTTTGAGAAAGGCCGGAAAGTCGACTATGACATCGACGACGTCAAAACAGAAGCCTGGTCAGCCTTCTTCGGCGGCGGCGACACCACTGCTATCTACCTATCCACGACCCTCTACTACATTCTGAAAGACGCAGAGATCTACAGGAGGGTCCAAGAGGAAATCGACCAAGCCACAGAGGAAGGCAGAATTGGGTCCACCCACGTCACCTACAAAGAAGCGAGCACACTGTCGTATCTCCAAGCCTGCATCAAAGAAGCTGCCCGAATTCACCCTGTCGTAGCACTACCAATGCCTCGGAAAGCGCCACCACAAGGCTGCACGCTGTCAGGGACGTGGATCCCCGGCGGAACAAAAGTTGGTGTCAATTCTTACGTGACGGCGCACAATGCAGAGATCTTTGGCCCAGAACCCGAGAAATTCAAACCAGAGCGCTGGTTAGAGGCGGACGCAGACAAGCGAGGCCGATACATCCTCCAGGTAAGTACCTCCCGATCGCCCCATCACAAGCGACCCGACTATGATGAAGGTGGCTGATTATTCAGTTCGGCGCGGGCTCGCGTACTTGCATGGGTAAAAATATCGCATTGTCTGAGATATACAAGGTGATCCCGGAAGTTCTGAGGTCGTATAGGTTGGAGCTTGTGAAGACCGAAATGGAGACGACGGGATTCTGGTTCTTCAAGCCGAAGACAATTTCCGTCCGAATTTTCCGCAGGACGTAAGCGAAGCAAGGCGGAGAACGGAAGTTATGAAAGTCGCGCGATCGCAAATTATGGTCAGTGCACAGTCTACGACAGCCGCGGGCCACAGTAGATTCGCCTCTTGTTGACGGTTGTCTCCCGATGGTTGTCTATACCTTAATTTTGGTCCTTCCCCTGAAACGCCAACCAACTTTTGTATTTGCATTTGGATTTTAAGCGAGTGATAGAAATGTCGTACAGTGTCAATCCACGTTCAGCTATGATCAGCTTCGACGAACTAGGGAATGACGTAGGACACGGAATAGGAAAAAAACGAAATAAGGATGCGCAGGTGACTTACTCGGCACGAGCTGCAGGTCGGGGAATAAGCGAACCAATAAAAGCCTCATCCTTCTCCATGGAGATCCAGAATCGCGCAATGTCTTGAATCCAGACGGGACGGTTGTAGTGACTAGTGGCTAGTGCTCAAGCGGAGATCTCTAGCCGATCAATTGGGCTCATCCGGGGTAGGGAAGAGTATGACGCAGAATGGGAAATTACTGTTGGAACTAAGACTATGGTACTGGAACTACGCAGGGTCTTGGTTCCTGGCGAGACTCTATTTAGTTAGCCTCTGGTCTACCACCAATACTCGGTCAGCTCGTGCGCCGCAAGTAATGATCGGCGGGTCTCACAGGTCCAGCAAGCTAGCATCCCAAGTGAACCAATAATCACTAGGATAACTCGAGACTCCGGGGTAAGCCTTCCCTAAAATGGACGAAGGCCGAGAACCCCTCATTTGCTGCCCGGTTAGACCCAGCTGGACCCATGTTGGATGCAGGTTCCACCCAGCTCTTTACGCCGCTAAACGAAGCCAAGTGGAGTAAGGTCAAGGGTATGCCCCGCCCACTTTCCCCTTTTGAGCTTAGTTCTTATATTCACCAACTCTTCGACCTGCGCAACGACCCCCAAACTCCCCGGAAAGAACCACATTTGATTGATTGACTCAAATAGGGGCATGTGAAGGGCGAACCCACCCCCTGAATCAGAGTTCGTCCACCAAATTGGGCCCTGATGCCTCGGGAAGCCTCCCCAGACTCCCCTTCCAAACCCGCTCTCGAGCCCACCCCCGGACAATCCCTGATGTCAAGCTCGCCGGATATTGCACTAGAGGTGACGGGAAGTACGGACACTATTCATCACATGGTATTAATCTCGGCGTCCTGCCTCGGTGTCGATCCACATCTCGGTCTACGATGCCCTAGTGCCATAGCCCAGTGGAGGGTTTCTTCCCAATTTGATATTCCCCAATGGCGATCACCAGGGTCGCCAAAATAAAGACCTGGCGCGACCCAGTGCTCAGCTTTTCCCAGGCTGTTCGTTCTCGATTTCCCCAGAGAAGCCCATTGTGATTGCGGGTTGAACGCACACAAGATATCCAGCCACCATGCGTTTCATTCCCGTTTTCGCAACTGCTCTGCTCGCCGCCAGTAATGTGGTGGGAGCCTCACCCGCAGCCGCAGCTTCAGCTTCAACTGTAGCTGCCGCGAACAATGTAGAGGCTGAAACTGCCTCTGCAAACACTGCTCAGCAGAATGCTGCTCAACAGAATGCTGCCCAGGCTGCTGCTACAACTCAGGCCGCTGCTACTGCCAAAATGAACAGCGAGGAGCAGGATACTGCTGCTGCTGCCAATGATGCATCCGCCAATACTGCTAACGCCGCCGCGGCAAATGCCAATACTGTAACTGTGAACACTGCTGCCGCGGCAAACACCGCTGCGGCGAATACGGCGAACACAGCCAACGCCAACGCCAACGCCAACACGGCAGGCGCATCTACTGCCGGCTCCGATGGGCTCCTCGGTGGTATCCTCGGTGGTGGTTCCTCCAGCACTGCTGATGCTGCTGCCTCGACCGCTTCCGCTGCTGACACCTCGAGCTCTGCACAGGCCACCGCTGCCTCTACCGGCAGCAGCACCAAGTCTACCGAGTCGACTAGCACCGACTCTGGTCTGTCTGACATTGAGTCGACTCTTAGCAACCTCCTTGGAGGCTCTGGATCCGGTCTCAAGGGCCTCGAGTCAATTGGAAGTGATCTCGAGAACCTGCTCAAGGGTCTCGCTGGTCTGCTGAACCCCAACCTGCTCAGTGAGATTGAGAACACCTTCAAGTATCTATCCACTGGCTTGGCTCCTCCGGTCGATACCAACATCCGTGTCCTGCTCAATGACGCCAACACTGCTTCCATTGGCAACTTGTTGAGCAATGCCAACAAGCTGCTGAGCGATAAGAACACTGCCACCTTGACCAACATCCTTTCCAAGGCTGATAGTTTCCTGTCTGACAAGAACCTCAACGGCATCGAGTCCCTGCTCAACAACATCGACAAGGTTAACGATCTGGTTGTGAAGGCCGATGGTCTGCTTTCCACCAAGAACGTCGACAACATCGAGACTCTCGTCGACAACGGTGCTAACCTTCTGACTCCCGACTTCGTCAAGAAGACATCTTCTTTGATCGACTCTGCCGGCGAGCTGTTGACAGCAAGCACCACCAACGCGCTCAAGGAGATCCTCAATGCTGTTGTTCCCCTCCTTCCCGAGCTCAAGTCTTTCCTTACCAAGGACACTTTCGACGAGCTTTCGGGTCTGCTCAAGAACGGCAACGCTCTCCTCACGCCCTCGTTCGTGTCGAAGACTCAGTCTCTGATCGATGCTGCTGGATCTCTATTGACCAAGTCGACCGTGAACGCTCTGGAGACCCTGTTGAACTCAATTGTTCCTCTGATCCCCGACCTGAAGTCTTTGCTGACCAAGGCTACCATCGACGACATCAAGACTCTCCTCACGAATGCCAACAACTTGCTTTCGACTTCGACTGTCAACGCGCTCAAGACTCTTCTCGATGCTCTTGTTCCTTTGATGCCCGAGCTCAAGGGCTTCTTGACCAAGGAGACCTTCACAGAGCTCTCTGGCCTGCTCAAGAACGGCAACGCTCTCCTCACGCCCTCGTTCGTGACGAAGACCCAGTCTCTGATCGATGCTGCTGGATCTCTGTTGACCAAGTCGACCGTGAACGCTCTGGAGACCCTGCTGAACTCAATCGTTCCTCTGATCCCCGACCTGAAGTCTTTGCTGACCAAGGCTACCATCGCCGACATCAAGACTCTCCTCACAAATGCCAACTCTCTGTTGTCTACCTCGACTGTCAACGCGCTCAAGACTCTTCTCGATGCTCTTGTGCCTTTGATGCCCGAGCTCAAGGGCTTCTTGACCAAGGAGACCTTCACAGAGCTCTCTGGCCTGCTCAAGAACGGCAACTCTCTGCTTACTCCCTCGTTCGTGACGAAGACCCAGTCTCTGATCGATGCTGCTGGATCTCTGTTGACCAAGTCGACCGTGAACGCTCTGGAGACCCTGCTGAACTCAATCGTTCCTCTGATCCCCGACCTGAAGTCTTTGCTGACCAAGGCTACCATCGCCGACATCAAGATGCTTCTCACGAACGCCAACTCTCTGCTGTCTACCTCGACCGTGAACGCTCTCAAGGAGCTTCTGAACGCAATCGTTCCTCTGATGCCCGAGCTCAAGGGCTTCTTGACCAAGGAGACCTTCACAGAGCTGTCTGGCCTGCTGTCTCACGGCAATGACTTGCTCACTGACTCCTTCGTCAGCGAGACCAAGGGTCTTATTTCTGGCGCATCGTCTCTGCTCACCACGTCGACTGTTGACAGCCTCAAGAAGCTGCTCACGGCTCTCACTCCTCTGATGCCCGAGCTTACCGCTTTCTTGAAGCCCGCGACCTTCGACGAGCTCGAGACCCTCCTGTCATCTGGCTCTATGCTGTTGACACCCGAGTTCGCCAACCAGACCAAGAGCCTCGTCAACAACGCAGACGAACTCCTAACCCCCGATCTCGTCAAGGGCCTCAAGACCATCTTGAACCAGGTATCCCCTCTGCTTCCCGAGATCAAGAAACTGCTCACCCCTGCCACCATCGACGGCATCGGCTCTCTCCTCTCGAACGCGAACGACCTGCTCACCCCCCAATTCGTCAACGAGACCCGGGCCCTCATCGACGGTGCCGGCGACCTCCTTACACCTTACGTCATCGGTGGTCTTGCGGAGCTTCTCACCGGCCTCGTCCCCGTCGTTCCCGACATCAAGAGCGAGTTCCTCAACACCACGACTCTTCACAACTTGGGTTACCTCTTGGGCAACGGAACAGACCTCCTCACAACCAAGTTCGTCGAAGAGACAAGCGACCTCATCGATGGCGCCGGCGAGCTCCTTACACCTTACGTCATCGGTGGTCTTAAGGAGCTTCTCACCGGCCTCGTCCCCGTCATCCCCGACATCAAGAGCGAGTTCCTCAACACCACGACTCTTCACAACTTGGGTTACCTCTTGGGCAACGGAACAACTCTCCTCACACCCAAGTTCGTCGAAGAGACAAGCAGCCTCGTCGACGAGGCCGGCTCTCTCCTCGACGAGAAGACAGTCAGCTACCTCAAGAAGATTCTTACCAACGTCGACAAGTCGATGCCGCAGATCGAGACTCTCTTGGAGCCAGATTCGATCACGGGTATCGTTTCGTTGTTGCACAATGCCGAGGATCTTCTATCGGCTAAGTTCGTTAATCAGACACAGACTCTTATTGGAGATGTCGCGGGCTTCTTGCCGCTGATTGATGGTCTACTTAAGTCCTTGTAAAGTTACAAGGGACTATGAATTCTTTATTTTATACGGTGATTCAATGATTGAAGGATATGACCTTGAATATATGAATTAATGCGTCAATTTTAATGATATCTCATTTTTTTTCAAATAATTTTGCCTCAATTAGTTATCGTTAAATTCCAATTGTAGCTAAATGCGTCTCTCCAATAGTTTTCTCTAAACACTCTAAACTGTCCTGTGACTCATCCATGGGGGAAGACAGGCACCAGACAATTTCTGCAAACTCAACAAGGTCACTCTCGGTCACCTCAATATCTTTTTCGCTCGAACCAGGCGTCGGCGGTACCATGTAGAATGTCTCAAAGGGTACGACGAAGGGAGCATTGAAGATATCAATGCTGGACTGACTAATTCTCGTTCTCCCACCGACACTGGACAGAAGAATTTCTTGCTTTATAACAGGATTCTCGTTTTCCATATACCACAACCGGATCACGATATCCTTCTTGTCCATGTCCAAGAGGATAGTAATAACTCCCTGTACTTCCCCGTTGGACTCCAACAGCCAGCGCTGGAAACCCGAATTGTCAGAACATGCGGCAACCCAGGATCTCAGGCCACGCCGGAAATCAGTGCGGCCTTCTTTATCCAGTTTGAGCAGCTGTTTCTGCATTATCGCAGGCACTCTAGACAAACGGATATTGCTGTCACTTAGCATGACCTTATTGTCTTGACCGAACATTTCTAGAAGCAAGCAAGTCTTCGTACAGCGCAGCTTTTACGTCAGGCTTTTTGCGTTACTTGTTAGATCTTCCTTTGGAATAGCTTTCGAGATACCTTTCAAAATAATAGAATCTAGTTTCTAGTTTACACAAATGGTAATACCAAATGACTATCAGTCTCCCCTCCCACATGAATCCAGTGCAGTCCCTTGTTTCTCACATGGTCACTAGTACCAAAGTTTGAAATCCCCTGATAACGGCCACCAACCCTCAACTCAATGCTTTCCCCAGCTTCATATTCCACACCCATAGCCCAAATACCAATCTCCAGGCGCACAACAGTCCCTGGTGTCACCTTTTCTTCTTTCTCATGGGTATAGAAAGGCCAATTCGGATGCATGGACCGAGAAGTATCAATGGCCCGATTTGAGGCCCTTTGTATTCCAGTTGGACCCTGATAGAGGATAACCTCGGTTCGGAGATCATCGGGGATTTCGGCAATGGAAGAAACAGGGAGGTTCTTCCATGGGATGTTCAAGGTTGAAAGCATCTCTCCGGAGGCCGAGAGTTTCGTCAAAATGAGGAAGACGTCCATGTCGTCGAGATCATCACAGTGCATGTATAACACAGCCTTGGGGATCCCAACCAACTGGGCGCGCTCTGTGAATGTATACTTGAACTTTGCCGTATCTTTAGGATCTTCCGAGTTATATGACACAGTACCCGTGGTAGAAGCAGGTCGATCCATGCTCAGTCCATCTATGGTCAGGAAAGCCTTCCGGTACTCAGTGCGAGGCAAGGGGAAATCTTCCTCGACGACATTCTCAAGGGGTGCCTTCTCGCCAAACTTTAGCACAGCCATTCGCACACGCGGAGTATTCTCCCACTCGTTATCGATCCCCTTCAAATAACGATCGAAGAAAGAAAAGAGCTCGGATTTTGCCTGAGGGTTTCCCCACAGATCAAACCACTCCTGCCACGGATGGAAGCGAAGCCATTTTTGCGGCGAGTCAACCTCCAACCAGCCTCGAATAGCACCCATTCCATGCATTGTGTTCGAGTACGTCCCAGTGATGTAAGTCGGAATTTTGATCTTGGTCATATCCGGCCTCTTATCATTCCACCACTCATTTGCAAGAGGGTGCTCCTGGAACATCTTCCTGAAACTCTCGATACCATTCCTCCCTCGCAGCATATACTTTTGAATGAGATGGTCGAAAAGATCGCCGCCGTATATTCCTCCGCGGGCAAACTGCTCTCGATAGAGGTCTCCACACCCCTCGAATGGAGCGATGCACTTGAGAGACGGGGGGTTGAGAGCAGCGACGAACCATTGAATAATGGCCAAGTGACTGTTCCCGCCCATTCCGACAGAACCATTACACCAAGGCTGTTTGGCAAGCCATTCAATAACATCATACCCATCTTGTGCTTCTTGAGACCCCATGATCGTCATTCGACCCTCGGAATCGAAAGCTCCGCGGGAATCGATATTGATGATGGCGTATCCACGATCCACAAAATCAGCAGGATCTGGAGCCTCAAATTTCTCCAGACCACTGAGCGTTCCATCGGGAATTCCCAGGTTCCAGGGTGTCATCAGTTTGAGGGAGTCGACTCCGCTGAACTTCTTCCCGAACGGACTCCAGCAAAGGATTGCCGGGGTTGTTCGTTCAGGTGCAGATGGCGGACGATAGATGTCGGCGTAGAGAGTACAGCCGTCTGAGACGACAATTGAGACATCGTGCTCAACGAGAATATCACAGGTCAGGACTTTTCGACCAGGCGCGGTGCGGGTACCTTTTTGCAAGATTTCCGAGTGGGGGTTGAGGCTTTGGTAGCCTCCATGGCCTTTTTCCGGCTGTTGGAGCTCGACCCAAGGGATTTCCATGTTGAAGTCGAACGTCACGATTTTGGTTTGCAGAGATAGTCGATGACTTCCAGTAACATGGCTCTTTAAGAGGCTATCAATGCAGAAATATGTGCTGAAGGATCCCCGGCTCGGTTCGGTACGCTTCACGGCTCGGTGGGTGGGCCCGAATTGAACCTCCACATATTTTATGTGGGGGAGATACACCCCGCAAACACGGGGTATCTTGCTAAGGTGAATGAACTAGTTTTCAGTTGGTTACCACTTGGAAGCTGGGGTATATAATGCCGGTGGGACCGATCAAAGGGTCTTCGTTGCGAAGGCCTTGAGGACAGCTTCATTCCTCCCTCGGCTACTCCTGTGTCAAGTGCCGTCATGGAAAAGCCAGATATCTCCCATATTGAGCTCGGAGAAGATGAGAAGCCACTGCCAAACCCCACCGGTATGGTCACCCTTTACAAGGGTGACCAACTGGTGTTGATCCCCACACCTTCGCGTGACCCTAGAGGTACTTCATCTACTCACTACCTTCTGAATTTCAAGTCTGACGAACTTCAGATCCACTGAATCTCCCTGCATGGCGCAAATGGGTTTTACTTATACTGGTGTCAGCATACAGCTGTACGGCTGTGGTCCTGGCCTCCGGAATGGGATCCATCTTCTCGGTAGTGGCGGCATCTTACCCAGGCGAAGAAGCCCGCGCCAACGACTTGATGACATACCCCACACTTTTCATGGGAATTGGGAATCTTATCAGCATGCCATGGGCATATACCACCGGTCGACGCCCCGTTTTCCTTGTGTCGATACTCCTCTTGATTGCGGGGGGAGTTTGGTGCCAGTGCTCAACAAGTTTGGGGAGTCACATTGCTGGGCGAAACATCATGGCTCTTGCCGCAGGCCAAAGTGAAGCGCTTTCACCAATGATTGTTCAAGAAATTCACTTCTTACATGAACGAGGCCGAAAGATTGGCTGGTTCGTGTTCATCCAAAACATCACTGCCGGAGTATTCTTCGTCATCACAACATACATGGTCAGCGCATGGGGCTGGCGATGGTGGTATGGTTTCTTTAGCATCATGAACGGCGCGATATTCGTGCTTTCCGTGGTGTTCGTCTCCGAAACACACTTCGACCGATCAGAGGAGGCAATGAGAGGCGAACCAACCCCAGATACCGACGCCGACATCGAATACCCACCTCGTCGCTGGAGCGATGACCTCAAACCATTCGTTATGAAACCCCGTCTTCGCGAAATCCCAACACTCTACAAACATATTCTCCAAGGACTCCTGATACCGACTACAGTCTGGCTTCTTCTACTGAACGGAGCTCACCTAGGCGTCTATGTCTTCGAGTCCTCTACATTCTCGAGCATCCTAATGCCTCCACCGTACAGCTTCGGCTTTGAGTCTCTAGGCTACGTGCAAGCAGGACAAATTGTGTGCTGTCTAATTTTCCTTCCACTCCTCGGATATGGAGGTGATCTGGTCATCCGCCTCCTCACAAAACACAACAACGGTCTATACAAGCCCGAGTACCGTCTCCCAGTTATTGCAATTCCCGCAGTTGTGGGAGTCATCTGCGGGGTAATATACGGTCAAGCAGGTGCGAATCCAAGTCAATGGAGCGTGGCTTCGGTTGTGATAGGGTACAATGCTAGTTTCTTTGCGTTCCTAGGCGCGAATATTGTCGGTATTACCTACGCAGTCGACAGCTTCCCATTCCGTGCGGCGCCATTCCTTGTGGTTATCTGTGCTGGAAGAGGGTTTATCTCCTTCGGATTGAGCTATGCTACACTGCCAGCTGTTCAATCTTTGGGTTATGACGGTACAATGATTGTGGAGGTGGCAATTTGTGCCGTGTTGGCGCTTCTTGCCATTCCCATGTATATTTTTGGGCCCAGAATTAGGGATCTTGTCAAGAGGTTCTGCCATGCTGAGTAAAGTGAACGGTGACTGTGTGCGTTGAATAATTTATACCATATCATTTATTTTATGATTATGTAGTGTAATGCATGTTCTAAGCACGACAGATATAGTAAATTTTCTCCAAAATTGCCATGTGGAAAATTTCATGTTTTCACTTATAACGACTGAGAAGGACCTCATTGGTATGCAATATTTTGGCAGGAAAGTAGAAGGGTAACCAAATAGCCTTGTGAGCAAACATGCGTTAAGCAATGCAGACCAAATCCTCCAGCCACCCAAATCCAAAGTAATTGCGATAAATTATAATTTCCCATCTCAACGACTCATTGATATTTTGATTTTTTAATTCTTGCCTACAGCTATACTTTTAGTATCAATAGGGTTTCTGAGAATTTTTACTAAGTTACTAAATATATGTATATTACGCTGCTTCACTAAATATTACAGAAAAATATCGCTATATGTAGGGTAAATTTTGCATGTATGATCATGGAGCCAAGAGGCTAGTATTTTATTAATCAGGCCTTTGGAGAATAAGATCATAAAAATGCCCTCAAACAAATTATTGTTGACCGGATGATGCGAGCTTGCCATTTAAAATCACGACAAAGCCTGGTCACGATCATGTCTTGCACTACTTATATGGCGCATACAATATGTCGAGCTCTTGTCCAACTCTTGATAATCTCAGCGCTGGTCCCCCGTCAGCTTTCTTGGGAGGGAGATGAAACTAGATGGAGGCACACTGGAAGACCAGGAAGATAGATCATCAAAATGTGGGTCTGCCGTAATTCGGCCAGTTGGTAGAGGATACCGTGTTTGTTTCTTTTGTTGTGTTTAATTGTCTACTTTAGCCAGTTTCTTTGGATACTGCTTCCAGGTAGAAGCTAGAGGACTATTGTCTGGAGGAATGCTGCGTGTAGCAAGCGTGGTAAAAAGGGCCCTCTTGTGTCTGTCTCCTCTTTTCCTTCCTATCCTCAACTTGATGTTTCGTATTTCTAAAATCTGATAGGAGCTCTTCTCTCTTTATAGCTTACCTTCTGTAGCACATTATCATATTGTGGACTGAAATCCAAAAAAAAGGAATTGATATGTTATGTCAACTAGTAAAAAGAGTGGAGGCCCGAGGTAACTAAATGCAAATAGATACATTCTTCAACCGGTGTTCAACCGAGCCGAGCCGAACCGGGTCTGAACCAGATTTTGCCCCGGGCGCAGCACTTACCTGGCAAGATTGATTTGTAGAACTAGATATAAAAAAGGATCCGTACAATAATCGTCATTCTATGTCCAACAAGCATCTTCGAAGTTATTTAGAAGCTGTAACTACAATGGCCACCATCACCGAAACCACCACCAGACTCACAGCTCCTGTGGGGAGGTTGTTTTCCCAGGGCCCCGACTTCAAGTATGGCGATTTCCGCGATGACCTGCTACAAAATGGATATGCAGTGGTCAAGGGCGCCGTTCCCCGCGAACGGGCCCTGAAATACGCCGACGATATCTATCAGTGGCTGGAAGACTTGTACGTATCAACTATCAGCCATGCATTGCAACCACTAATTCAGTCACATAGTAACCTCGGCTTCAAGCGAGATGACCCCTCAACCATCCACAAAGACCACCTCCCCGACATCAATGAGAAGGGAATGTGTCTAGGTTACGCTATTTCCCATGAATCCTTCACTTGGGCAGTGCGTCAAGAACCCGAGGTTACTAAGGCTTTCGAGAAAGTCTACGACACCGAAGACCTTATCGTTAGTTTTGATTCGGTCAATATTGGATTCCCTAATCGCAAGGACATGCAACCCAACAAGCCCTGGCCGCATCAGGATCAAGATCCCGAGGAGCCCGGTTTCCGGTGCTTGCAGGGACTGGTGAACCTGCTTCCCAATGGTCCCAAAGACGGAGGCTTGATTGTCTGCAAGGGTGCCCACCGACTTAGTGAAGAGCTCCACGAGGAGTTCAAGGATGAGGAAGAGAAGGTCTGGACGTGGTATATGAAGCCCCGCTCCCATATGAATACTCATCTTAACGAATCTTTTAGGACTCGACACTGGTATGGTCTCACTACAGCCAACATGAACTGGCTTAAGGAAAAGGGTTGTGAATGGATCAAGGTCGAGGCTGAGCCTGGTGACCTGCTTCTGTGTAAGTATCACACCGAAGTGCTCATTCCATAGCTAACGTTGAATAGGGGACTCGCGCACTCCTCACTACAATGTCTCCTCCGAGTCCGACCAGAACCGATTCGCCGTTTACACATGCTATATGCCTGTCGCTGATGCAACAAAGGAGGAATTGGAGGTCAAGAAGAAGGCTTTCGAGGAGACCAAGATGACTACCCACTGGCCGAATGCGAAGCATGTGGTTGAGCTCCCTGTTACGCGAAATGGAGAGCCTGATCCATACCAGCGCACTAGTCCTCAGAAGCCTGTTCAGCTTTCAGAGAGGGGTTATAAACTGACTGGTATCCCTTATCTGGAGTCCATGGCTTAATTTAAGATGACACTGTGATGGAGGTTTTGAGCAATTTGTATTTCACTTTTCTTCAGATAATCCTGGAAATATATGATTACTCGTTATGTTGAAACAAATGGCTTAAATCATTCCAGTCCCATCCAGCCCAGTCAAGGGCCGATGGTCCCCAGCTCTGGTCTAGACCTAGAGATGCTGCAAATTCAGCAGCGGAATGTTCATCCAAGGAGGATTCGAGGTCCCCATTAGGCTCTTCCAATTGGGCGGATGATGAGCCTTCTAAACATTGCAAAGTGTACCGTTCTAAATCGAGCAAGATCTCATCGATGTTGTTCGCGGTCCCATGTTGGTGATAGTGCTGTGTTGTAATCTGTATGCCTGCTCTCATGAGCTGATAAATAGAAATCAGTAAATGAGAAATTCAACAACATGGGTCATAAGTACTTCAAAGTCAGCACGAGCTAAGAGGGAAGTTCGCTGCCGTAAGATGGATATCGCTATGGCGTAGACCGCCGCTAATGGCGAAGTCATTGTGAGGAGGAGGCTCGGCGTCCCGGAGTCCACCAGCGAGACAAATAGCTTGATCATGTCTCGAGAAGCTTCGGTAATAATAGCAGGGCCGTTGAGAAGCCGCTGATGCCATGGTTTTCCTAATGCATATCTGTCGACCATCGTCTGCAATTCTGTTTCAGATATGAGAAGTGTGGAGCGATTGATATGAATAAACCTTTCAACGTTAGTATGTTTCGTTATCAAAGTATTTGAAGTTATTCACCCAAGATTGTAGTAAAATGAGAGAAAAGCAGCTTGCGGCGAACTAGCAAGATTTGGATTTGCGGTAGACCTGAGCCTTAAATTTGTCAGCTGGAACAGAATTATTTACTCTCATTTTCAAGATAAAGATACCTCAACCCTGGTGGAAGACTCTTCTTCCAATCATCAAGCAAAGTTACCAGCTCACCTCCAGTCTGGATTTTTTCCTCGATAGCCTGGTCGACAGATTGAGGCAACCACTCCTCACGTCTCCACGCTCTAGCAGAGCGCTCTTGCATCTCATGCAACATATTAGCTAAACTGATAGCCGCACACTGAAACTGATTTTTGTATTCAATGGGTACATCCAGTGAGGCTGAAGAGGTCTCGGATAACACGCGATCCCATATCACGGATGGTCGGCCTAGCTCAAAAGCCAATATCTTTTCGAAGACATACATGCACCACCATGTTTCACTCTCTGAAGTAGGCTGTTTTGGAATGTTACTAGCTGAGCTAGCTGAAGATCGATTTATTCCGATCGACTGAGCAATTGACACGCCCATGGAGAGGACATCCCATGCCCAGGCGAGTTTATCGCAGCTCCGCAGAACAATGGATAATAAGAGTATGAATTGCACCGACTTCAACGAACGTGTGGCCAGAATGTAACCCAGTAAGGAGTTGCAATAACTCAAATAAGATGAGACCAGTGCTCGGGTCTCCACAGAAGATGGTGTAGCCAAGAGGCCTGCTGTAATGATCAAATAGGTCATTCCATTGCTCGGCGCATCCGAGGATTTGCGTAGAAGTAAGTTCTGAGCAGTGGATGCTTCTGCTGAGATAATCTCAGCAGCATCTTGACCTAGAAATGGGAAGAGTTGGTGGAGAGTTTTCCAGAAAGTGTCGATGGCTCGGTGTCTCTCTGGAGGAAGGGGGAGATCAGGCGGATGTTCAAGAATCAAGGATGCAAAGTCTCCATTGATAGAAGGAGGGATTATGCGTGTCTTTGCGGCTTTCAGTCGATAAAGAGCCATGTTGAGCCATTCGCCCAGCAACTCCACAGTGCTGGATCCGACGAAGCGCGGCATCATAGGAAGGCGACCCGTTCTCCACCCATCTTTCCCCCAGCATTGACTCCATAACCTGAGCTGGTCCTGGGGAGCAGGAGTGATAGAAGAAAGAGTGGATTCCGGTGTTCTAGGCGTAGCGCGGCTAAGCGGAGATGTACCTGCTTGGAACTGTGCGCACCAGCGTCTTGGGGCATCAGCCGGGTTGATTGGCCATACACTTCGCGGTCTCAGCTCATCCGAGCCTAAAGACAGATCGGGACGACGTCGATGAGAGACGGGCGCATTATCACGTCTCTTGTCGGTTGTGACACATTGCACCCCAGCGAGACGACAGTTCCGGCATGGCTGTTCCTCATCGCAACGAGTCTTTTTCTCCCGGCAGTAATTGCACGCGTAGGAGAGCCGCTTCCGCTTTGCAGCTGGCTGTGCAGGTGAATCTGTCATGTTAGACCCATGCTAGAGTGAAGTTGTTGCCGTGTCGAAGCTTGAGGTCTCTCCACTTGCCGAGGGCAAGGTAATCTGCCCCGCATGAACCGGAAGGTCTAGTTTGGTTCCATTCAATAGCCGTGGAATCTTTGACCGAGGGACGTAGCTTTGGTGCTAGGTTGAATGATTTTGGGGTTCCAAATGGCGACTGACATTTGTTGAAGAACCATATAGGAGAGAATGGCGATTACTTTCAAGTTACACCGCTTTGACACAAGAAACAATGACATTCTTGATGCCACTGTTCAGTATACTGCAAGTATAGCTCGGTTTTTGAGCCTCTCATTGCCATCTATGTCTTGTTGCTCGAGATTTATCGCTTTCTTAGACGAATGAAGCACATAATACTGAAGCACGTCTATTTGGACCATCATGATACGTATATTTCTACCTTTCTTGCAACCCAGACTCTCTTCGATTTGTGCAAGTATTTTCAAAGAGAAAAGAGCCTAGTTGTGAGATTTCTTCGAGAACTGATCGAATTCGAATTTTTACATTACAACATTCATTGTACTGAGAGCCCCGAATTGCTAAGATTCTGAAGCAACCTTAAAATATGTAGAATATGGCCATTATGGCCGATGGGAAGTATAAGAATTGGAAGCAGAAGCCAAATCATTACAGATGAGTTCATTTTGATCTCTGGGAATGGCCATCTCACCGTCCCACTCGATCAATTACTGTGTCCTGTTCGCAATAGATCTGGATTTCATTCACTTCTCTCGCTTTGGACTTCCCCCAACATATCAACTTCTCGATGCTTTCATCTCCTGTCATTTCCAACCATGGTATTCAGGAAAATCGGGTACCCATTGGTGCTGATCCGGCCAGATGAGATGGCTCTAATGGACCCCCTCACCGTCGACGAAGTGGGCGATCTCATGGATGAACTGGAGAAGCGAAAGTATTCACGATCCATTATTCCAATTCCACACGACCCCACGCTCATCGTCTCGGGACTTTCAACGGATCCTGTAAGCGGCGCCATCATAAACCTCTACAAGCCCAAGCCACCCATCATCAGAAGCCCAACAGCCCCAGTCAAAGTCAAAGTCAAAGGGCAAACTCAACCCCAGCTATCAACACCACGCAAGAGACGCTTGGAAAAAAGTACCACCAATGACCTCCTACCCGCCAAACGAACCCGCACAGCTCCAGCAACACCCCTCAAGTCAGCAACACCAATAATACGCACCTCATCGCCCAGAAGTGAACAAAAAAGACTCAAAGGGATCCCCCTTCCCCAAAGCTGGGAATCCGCCACCGCCGAAGATATACTACTCTTCAAATTGAAAGAGTACGGCGGAACCTGGGCCGAGATCACAGCAGAATGGAACAGTATCAGCGGGCGGAGTTATGCCTCTAGCACGATATCGAATCGATGGACTAAGATCAATTCTACTCTGGGAGATCCGCCTGAGAAAATATGGGATCTGGATTCTAGTATGTCTTGCTGATGGAGGTTTAGGAAATGTGCTGACGGGTAGGCCCTTCCAATGGTTCTGGAGCTCGATAGTTGGTTTCATGGGGGATTACTTGCTGGATTTTTCATGGATGTGAGGGTTAATGGGAAAGATCCAATGATTAACGAGTTACGTATCGATTACAGGATGGAGAAATGTTACTCTCAACGTGATGAAGCTTAGTGTGTGTCTTATTGGAGACGTAGATATTTACGACACGTAGAGTTCATGTAAACACATCTGCTGGTTCAGCAACAGCAGCATGCTAGATATTCTGATTCCTAGTTCGGATTCTACATATGCCCAAAGAATCCCAAACGCCAACCATCCTAAGCCTAGGATACCTATCCCACCATCATAAATCATAACAAATCAAAGAACGCTCAATTCGCGCCTCGGTCCACTGCGCAGACTCATACCAGGTCCACTCCACTCCGAGGAGTCGGAATCTCCGCGGTTGCGAGAGCCACCGGTGCTCGTGCTAGCTCCGATACTGATACCCGCCGTAGTCAAGGAATCATTGTCGTCGAGAGTGGGAGTGCCACCAACCATGACAGGCCGGATCTTGGCACCGACGAAGCCACGTCGGTCACGACCTGTGCGGCCACGGCCAAGCCAGTTGTGCTTGAGAGTTTTACTGAGGACCTCGATGCATTCTTGGGAGGGATCATCTGTTTGTACGCTGGCGAGCACGCTGACGCATTGGAGCATGCGGCCGACGGTTTCGGTGATGACATGCGAAGAGTCGGCGGAGCCGACACGGTGGATGATGGTCGGGCGTTGGTTCGATGTTGGTGGAGACGACACGGATGAGAAGATCATTGGGTCTGGGTTAGAGGAGGTGTTGGATGCAGCACGGCTGCGAGAGTCGCTGCTTGAAGGTCGAGGGTTGGCAAGGGCGCTCATCGAGTCGGAAGAGTAGCTGTCTGCAACACCGGTACTGAGCAGGGTGGACGATTGCGAGTTGAAGCTGCCGAAGCCTGCGTCCAGGGAAGCGGCGGTGCCAGGTCGGCCACCGGCTCCGGTACTCTTGGCTGTGACGCTGAGTGTGGGGAACCCTGCATTGATGCTATCGAGACTTAGGCGAGAGAAGGTAGCTTTGAGAGGCTCGTAACGGTTCAAGATGATACAATCTCGGAATGCAATCAGCACCAAGCTCCGAACGTCGAGGGTTCCACCGGCTGGTGGAGGGCCCCAGAAGTCAAGGGCCTCTCGGCTAGTCATGATCGATCCGCAGCCCTTGAACTCGAGGTCAAGTGGAAGGAAGACAGCTTGGATAAACGGCAAGATCGTTCCAAAAACCAGCATCCAAATTTGCACCAAGTGCGGAACAAGCTTCTCATCAGGCACGCCAGCCAAAGAACTGTGGTTCAAAGTAGCAAACCCCGTCTCAAGCAGCTCCTGGAGGTCCATAATGATGGCTGCCGGAGTCCGCTTATGAACACAACGCTGCAAGTGCACGAGGACGAGCTTGTTGAGGTCTTCAATGGCAATGCGAACATCCTCGCCATCAAAAATAACCAGAAGCTTGGCCTTCAAAAAGTCCCATGCATCCTCAGGAGACATGTTATTCAAACCAAAGCCCTGCAGTGTCTCTCGCAGCACGGCTTCGCCCAATACGCCGCCGGAGCTGTTCAACGAAGACGGACCAGGGAATGAGGTTGCCGCAGCACCAGCAGAATTGGTCAGCCATTCCATCTGTTCCGACTCGGCAAGTGCCTTTTCTTTTTCCTTCCCCTCTTTCTTCTTTTCTCGCAAAGCTCGTCCGCCATGGAGTAGATCCAAGCCACTGACTGATTTGCCAAATGTTGCACCTGGTGCGGGTGATGCCGGGCTGGTAAATGAATATAGAGATTTCGGGGCGTTGGGATCAGCAGGACGAGAGTTGCTAGACGCCGAGGAGAGAGGTAGGTTGTAATGGTCATCACTCCGTTCTTTGAGCTTAAGTTTCTGCCTGGACAGGAAATGGTGCTTATGCTTGTCCTTGTCCTTATCCTTATCCTTATCCTTCTCTGGCGGAGCTGGGGATCGATCAGCCGGCACGACTGTGCTCACAGACGCATTTGAGAGGTTATACATGGAGGAATTGTTGGACGGGAGATCGGCGAGGCTGGTGGTAGACGCGCTGACCATACGCGATAGGCCTGCAATCTTGCTTGGTGAGGGGAGGCCACGGTCTCGTGGATCCTTGTCTCGGCTGAGATTGATGTGTTTCGGTTTCGAGAATAGCTTGTTCTTCTTCTTGTGTTTCTCAGGCGGTTGTTCAGATGGTGGTTGCCCGGCCCGCGGGAACACCACGTTGGCAGCTGTAGTTGCGACGCTGGGAACTGTTGGAGGAGGAAGAGAAGGAGACGGTTGTTGGTTGATACGCAGCGGTGGGGGCATAAGGGGAGGTGAGGCACTGCCAGCGCGACTGTGGCCTTCACGGGGGCTGGGGACGTTTGGAGATCGTCGGTTCTGCTGCATAGCCGTCTGGGCCGCGATGCGAGATGCCGAGACTGCAGGCATTTCCGATGAAGCGGTGGGCAGAGACGGCTCAAAGAAGCCCTGAGAGTGGTGTCTAGATCGATGCCTCTGTAGTTCGATCGAGGGGCCCCGACCAGAAGGCCGGCGGCCGCCTGAGTCTGGCATAGTGCGAGACGCGTGTTGGGGCGACGTGGTGGTCGATGTGGAGCGTGGATGAGGAGAAAAATAACCCGCCGCCGGGGGCTGAGTCGTAATTGGGGTAATGGGAGCCGCTGAGACCGTGGTTACCTTGGAAGAGGCATCGCTGCCGGAGGATCCGGGGCGATGCAATTCGTCGTCTGAATCCTCCTCCTCGTCCGATGGAGAATGAGCATGCCTATAGACAGGGGGTCTCCGAGGACGCCCCGGAGAGGCAGGAGAGCGGAGGCTATTGCTCATGGCGCTTCATGTCCGTCAAGATGTGGCAGTGTTTGTGTCAAGTTGAAGGTGAAAGCTGCCCCCTTCCGGTTTAGCTCCGCCTCCGTCGATCTTTCTCTTCCCCCACCGAATCTTTCTTCCTCCATTTAATCCCACTTCATTACACAACTCGATTTGTACTCAGCAAATATGGTCTCCCTCGCTCTCATGGCTGTCTATTCCGCTCCTGGTGTCACTCAGATTTTCGAACACGAAATTCCCACTTCCAATGCCGAACCGCTCGCTGCAAAACAGGCCCACCTTACAGCCCTACAGACCCTCGTCCCACAACTGCAGGACCAAGTCAATGTCTACCTGACCGCACGCATGGAGGAAGACAAGGGCAAGATCTCAGAGAAAGATGCCAAGGAGGAGGCAAACTACGGCGAAGAAGTGGTGGAAGAGGATGCATGAATGTCCAAAATATCTATGCTATACTGGGTATCAAAACGACGCTCGAAACGAAATCAAAACCGTAGATGCTCGCTACCCGGAACGAATGTTGGGCATGCGGTTCGCACAGCCCAGATGGACGACAGTGTTGCTAGAGAGAGGGTCAGAGATCATCAGACATGGAGAGGAAACGGGAGGACTTACTCGGGGAAGACGTTGATCACACTTCCTCCCAATCGCTTATGACACACACCACAAATCCGTTCTTCTGTAACGGTGACATGGCGTGCCCGGGTACCGCCCCCACGAACACCTTCGCCGAGGACAAGCTGGGCCTGTATCTGCATCTCACGGGATTTGCGCAGACTCGCCATGATGCGGGCCTCGTTGAAGATGGAATTGGCTGCGCGCATCCGACCCTTGAAGTAAAACTCGAGTTCCTGCACAGGCAACGCTGCAGGGATCAAACCTAGGGCTGCATTTGCCGGTAGACGGGATCCATGCTTTGCGAGAACGGCCAATGCGGGGCCGTGTTGAGGTTGGTAGCCATGTGGTGGATCGAGGTAGAGGGATAGGAGAGTGAGGTAGATTGTCTTTTTGTCATCATCTTCTTCGGATTGACGCTCGGTGAGATGCACTTGGTTGCAATACCTGTCGGGGTCAGTGTGAACTTGAAATGAGAATACATGGAATGAACATACTCCTCGGCTTTCTCATGATCATGAAGCTTAAATACGTAAATCTCCAGAACCTGGCGATGCTGACCCATTTTGCTGAACACGATAGCCCGTGCCTCGTAGAAGTCTGGATCTGTGGAACGTTAGATATGTTCCATAGTTCGGACGGCAAGTGATACATACCCTCGCGATCCAATCGATCCAAGGTCTTGGCTGGCGAATATTGATCACTCTCCTTGAGCATAGACAGGAACTTGTCCTTGCACTCTTTATCGCTCTTGTCGGCAACGATTCGACCAAGATACAAGATCAGAAGCCGCTGATGCAGGTCAGGCGACATGTCATTCCATTCTTGAATGACATGTTCGAGATACTTAATAGCAAGCTTAATATCGATCCCCTCCAAGAAAGTAAGGACACGATGCCTTGGCAACGTCTCTGCATTCTCGGTTTCCGCAAGAAAAATTTCCATGCCCAAGTCATGGTTCTCTTCAAGTGGCCATTTCCCAAACTCGAGAATTAAATCGATGTGTTCAGGGGGAAGATTCTGCAAGTAAGCAGCTGTGCGAGTTGGTCCGCTAAGCAGCCCTGACTCTTCCTGACCGAATCTGCGAAGCAATTCCAAAGCCTGGCGATGGAGTTTCTTTCCGTAAAGGAAGTCAATCAGATCATTGTATCGACCTGTCTCTTCGAGACGTTCCATCACCACATCGGGGTCACAGAAATTGGCAATTCTGAACAGGGATCCTGCGAGAGATGGCGTAGCAAACATGTGCGCTCGGAACAGCGTAGTGTCAACGAGCCGAGCTTTGGCACGGATGGCTTCCAAGAAGGTTTCGGGGGTAGGGAAGTCGAGAAGTTTGAGTACAGAAGCACTTGCTTCATCTGTAGCTTCGGTTGGTGCTGGCGTTTTCAATGTACCATCCGGGCCAAGGAATCGTTGGAATCGGCGGCGAACATCCGCCAAATATCCCTGGAGCTCACGGACAGATGCTTTGAGATCCTTTTCTTCGTCACGAGTACTGCTCGCATCACTGCCATCTTCGGTTCTTCGTAAAAGAGACTGAACAGAGGGTGCGTAAAGGGACGTGAGTCCATTGGGGGGCCCATTTGATTGCCCATCCTTGGCCAGTTCGGATGATCCGTCACATTGAGACCCGTTTGCATGATCAGATCCGTTCTTCTCTGGAACAGCAGAGAGGTCACCGGCGATCAAGCGGGGGTAGAGACAAATGACGACCTCGGGAGGAGCAGCGATTTCGGTGAAGAGATCCAAAGAATCGCGATACTTCCGCAATGCGAACAAGCTCTGAGCTTTCTCTAGCTGAGTGGAGCGTAGTCGACCAGGCTTGTCTCGCAAAAGAGCCTCCTCAAGCATGCCGAGCATACTGATAGCCTCGTCCAAGTAACCCTTCTCAACCAGCGCATCGATCTGGGTATCATAGCTCAGAGCCTCCATTCTCCAGATAGTTCGATCACTGGCAACGAGGAAACCCTTGCCAGCATGAGCCAGACTGATGTTCGGCTGGGGAATGTGCAGAATGCTAGCCGAGGGTAGAGGAATAGACTGCAGCAGCGAGAGGGTTTCCGGGTTTCGGACTTCGAGCACACCCTTGGCAGTGTCGTGCAAAGCTAGGAGGAATGGATATGAGTAACCAATTTCCACAGGCGCATGGCTCCAGGGAATCTGCCGCCGACCGAGAGCCTGGCCGTCGACATCAATAAAGTGCGTGTTGATATCCTTCGCTAGCAATATCTGACCCTCGCTCAATCTTGTAGCAAGCGGCCTCGGAACCATACCACCCATGCCAATATAGCTCATACTCGCAGCGCCAACCCCCGTAAATCTTCCCGACTCCTCCGTGTTCCCTGGCCCAGGAAGCTCAGAGACCTGACCACTCTCGATATAAATCATTACATAGCTAGAGCTCAGACCGACAACAAGCTTCGTAGCAGAAACCCATGTCATGGTCTTGACGGCACTGACCAAGCTCAACTCCGTAGTATTCGGCTCAAGCTCCATGTCCCTCCAAACCCACATAAGAATCTTCCGCTTCACAGCAACCACCAGCCTCGAAACAATAGCCGGAACATTGGTATCCGGATCATTCACCACATTCGAGGTAATAGCAAATGCCGAAGCGCCCTTCGTCTGCGCCAGCTGCTCATTCAGCTCATAGGTCTGGGAGTCGTGGAGCGAGACATAGCCACCCGCCAGCGAGACCAGAACGCCCACTTCCTTCACGAGTGCAAGCTGCTCAATACGATAGCGGGAGAACTTTTCCATTTCACGGAGAAGCTCGGTCGCATTGTCGTCTGTGACGCGGTAGATGCGGAGAGAGCCATTGTTGAGACCGGCGAGAAGACGGTCGCCGTAGGCGAGGACGGAGTCGATCTTCGATTTGTCGCGCGGCCTTAATTCGACCAGTGGCCGCGCGGTGAAGGCGGATAACATCGCAATCTCAGGAGGGGTCAATTCATGTCCGAGTGGTTGTTGCGCAGCTGCAGGAGCTCGGCCAGAGCCCGTGACGTCTATGCTGACTCATTCTGGTGCCTTATTTTTCAGGAAGGACCGAAATTCACTTCAGCTAGGTAAATATTTACAACTACAGGAAAGAGTCCCGTTGTACATAAATAATATTTTTTCGTGGTATCTGATGGTGTTCCATCTCAAATATCTCATATGTACTCCGAAGCCATGAATTGAGAAACGCCGTTCCGATGCTTAGTGCTGAGCCTCCTTGCCTTCCGTAGGGAACTCCTGGTGCTTGGCCTGCGAGCCCTTTCCACGCCAGGTGGAGACGGCAGGAATGTCAGCCTTGAAGCGCTGCTCCTCGGTACCATAAGCGCGGGGAGTCAGTTTGATAAGAGTGTGGAGGGGGACTTCCATCCAGGGACTCTTCTCTTGGGGCACATTCATGAAGTAAGAATAGATGCAACGGAGAACAGCCTGATGGGTGACGATGATGACGTTCTCGCTGCGCTCCAGCTCCATGATAATGGGTTCAAGTCGGATGACCACATCGCGGTAGGACTCGCCGCCGCGGTAGCGGTAGTTGTACTTGTCTTCGTCGCGGGCTGCGAAGTCTTCGGGGTACTTCTCTGCGATTTCCTCATAGGTCAGACCATCACACACGCCCGAGTCCAGCTCGTCCAGTGCTTTCCATTCCAGCTTATCGAAACCCGTTTCGGCCTTGAGGTGGCGAGCGCTTTGGATTGTGCGACGAAGAGTCGATGTCCAGATGACGATCTTGGTGTTGGCGGGAACTCCAGATTCGCGCATGAGCCGAGGTAGGGCCTGGGCGTATAACTCGCCACGTTCGGAGATGTTGGAGTCGCCACCGATTTTGCCAGTCAGGTTATACTCCGATTCACCGTGCTACAGATGCAATTAGTTCGTGGCTTGATTAAGAAATTTAGATAAAAACGGCAAACATACTCTTGAGAGCCAGATAGATCGCGGCTTGATGTGCAGATTCTGGATGTAGTAGACGAGTCGACTAGACAGGTAGTCTTTGATCTGGTTGATAATCACAGTGGAGCCAACATTGATGAGTTTGACGTATGTGTATTTCTTCTCGTTGTCGTCAATAGTCTCATATGCTTTCTCGTAATTGCGAATGCGGTTCCGGAAGTCGACAGCAGCCAGCTCGGGATCTTGTCCCTTGTAATCTGGCGATGTAGTCTTGACTTCGAGAATGTTGTTCATGATCAGATCCTCGTCATCACAAATAGACTCGACGAAAAGGGTCTCGATATCGGCATCCCGACAACTTTCGTGAATCCACTTTCGGCGCTCCTTGGTCGAGTTGGTAGCATCCAAGATGGCTACTACACCCTTGCCAGTCCTGAACCAGTTGAGCATATCGGACATGGCCGCCTCCGCAGCAGCGCGACGCATGCGCTCACCTTCCTCATTGTGAGGGTCAAAGAAGGTGGCTGCTGGCTGGGGCGTCGCGTGGCGACGATAGCTGCCGACATTGAACACGCGTGCGGGAATACCGACCCAGGCCAAGTATCTCATAGCTAGCTTCTCGTTAGTCTTCACTCCTCTCTAGGTCTCGAATTACGTACCTTTGCCAGCGATGAGGCTCTTGCCTCGGGCCGGCAGACCGACCATGACCACACATATCTTTGACTCATCGGACTTTGCAATCACGTTAGCATACATGTTAAACAAAGAGCGTGAATTAACGAAGGGAAGATAGCATGGGAAAAAATCGAAGTGCAGAATATCAGATAATAATAATGCGCAGGGATGTCCACGGTCAACGCCCGAATCGGGACCTCGTCGTTGTCTGACCAGTGCTTCCCGTGGACTCCCGACACCAATTATATGAACTGAGTTCCAGATTATACATCTGTGCTAATTCCCGCCAATATACACCCCCCGGAATGATCCACGGGGCTGTAGACTAAGATCATGTCTATCTGGGGGACAGCCGAGGCAAAAGGAGGGGCAACGCAGGGATCCCCACGGGAATCCTGGAGAAGATCCGTGGGGGGCCAAAGGGCCTAAATAGCACTGAAATAGAGAGATCACTTACGCTAGCAACAAACACCTTATGCTGCTGCTGACTCCGAATCACACTTCCAGTCGACATGTCTGTTGAATGTGGTTTCGGGAAGAATAGGGAGAGGTTCCGGGCCCAGGACAAGCAGATCGTAGTCGTAGTCTACCCAGCATGTAAGACCGGGACTAGGTAGAATAGGGTAAGCGAGAGGCTCCTAAAAGAAAGATAGAGCAAATAGAAAAAATAGAAAAAAGGTAAAAGGCAAAAGGCAAAAGCCCGTAACAGGTGAAAAGGGAGGGATCTTGCAGCGGTGAAGCAGAAGTCTGGATTTCTCCGACTCCACTAACGTCATCCGATCCCGCAATCTTCAATCAGGCTACGTTTGCTGGTAAAATGGTTCTTGTTCTTCATAAATTTCTATTATTCATGATGCATCACTCTATCAAAACTCCGTTATGACTCTATTCATGCAATGGTCTCCTCTTTGCGCTCGCCAGGCCTTTGGCTAGGTCCCCGCGCACGATTCACACGAAGCGAACCTCCCCACGGGCCAGTCTGGCCGTTCAGGGTATCCGTGGCACGTTGTGCTTCTTCGGCAGTGTTCAGTTCGACGAACAGGTAGTAGTGGTCACCGGGATCGAAGCGCTTGGCGGGGTGGGGAGCGAAAAGCTTGCTTATAGCCTCACTAATGAAACAGTCAATTTCCATCTGAAGGGAAGGAGGAAGGATTGAGCATACACCCTGAATTCTGAGAAGAAATTCTTCATGTTGCTTTCGACAGTCTCCTGTTCAGCCACTCGGGGCAAGCCTCCAACATACACGCGCTGGCTGGAATCGGTGAGGGGCGTAGTGGTGGTGGTGGTGGTGGTGGTGGTCGCCGGACCGCGCCAGCGGGCACTGATGATGTTATTAGAAGCTCCTCGGCTCGGCTCGCCAGACCGTTCTCCCGTTCGGTCTTCAGTTCGTTCACTGGCAGACTTAGTGACACCGGGTTTGATCCTGACCGGTCGACCCAGCATATCGTGGCCGTCCAACTCGATCATGGCCCGTTCGGCCGCTTCTTTGGTCTGCAGATCGACAAAGCAGTAGGAGGGGTTCCGGCCGGTAAAAGGATCAATGGCAATATCAATGCGCTCGCTATGAAGTCAATTTCAGTATGTGAAGCACATATTTGGCACACATAGTTCCTTACACTGGATACTGGGCTGCCGTGAACAGCGCCTCCACATCATCCGACTTGGCCGCATAAGGCATGTTTCCCACGTAAAGACGGCGACCCTCCGAGATAGCTTGAGGCACATGGGGTCCTGGGCGACTGAAGGCAGAACGAGAAGTAATGGTACGCGGCGAAGGAGAGGCCTGGGGACTATCGCCCTTGGTACGCCAGTTGGCAGAATTGAAGGCACGGCCATTGGTACGGACATTCTGGTTAGGAGTGAAGGGAGTCTTAGGAGCTTTGTCTGGTCAGCAGGGAGCTGTAAATATTCTGGAAAGTTTACTCACTCTCCTCCTCTTTGGGGATCTCAATGTCGGCCATAGTCTTTGACGTCGTTAGCTCCCACAGACAAAAAAAAGCTTGTACCCGAGAATTGAGCTCACTGAAATTGACACTGCAATCACCTCACACACTTGACAGAAGCAGAAATTAAGCAAAAGCAACAGTCCCAGCGGTGATGATTCCATCCATAATTTTTGTTTGCGTTTGCACTGTTTGTTCATGAGTGGGGGCATTTTTTTCTGCTGCTCCACCGCCGACTATTTAGCTCTCGCTTCTCATTTTATTTTCTTCTCCTCGATTCCTCTGAAGCGCAGCTCTCACAGCCCCAGGCTCAATGACTTTACCATGGATGTGACTGCTCTGGGTTTCCCAGCCATTGGCTTTTTGCCTTCGGGAATGCGTTCATAGGGACATCACTCCCAACTAGCTCTCAGTTTCAGCTTGGTCCCTAGGCCTGTTCCTGTCAAGGATCCAGCCTAACCCAAGATGAAATTGTTTCTCATCCGTCACGCAGAATGCCAGCATAATGTGGGCCAAGCATTGTAGGTGTGCGGATAGAGCACCAGACCCCAGACTAACAACCCAGAATCACCGGCCACTCAGGCCTGACCCCCCTGGGGCGTGAACAGGCCGTGCAGCTTGCTCGGTATTTTCGTGATCGTCCAATTCGCTTCAACCGTGTTTTGTCGTCGGATCTTAATCGTGCTACCCAGACTGCTCGGATCATCTGCCGGCACCAGCTGCGCAGTGGACCTCCACTGGAGCCCTTTCAGACCGCGAAGTTACGGGAGCGGTGTTTCGGATGTGGATCGATGCTAGGATCGCCGCTGCGAGCCGAGTCGATTGCTTCAATGAAGTTGCGAATCAATGGGTTCCTGCGAGATCAGATCCTACCATTGATGGCCAATCGCACTACAAGCAGCGATGCGGTCATCGGGTTGGTGGCGCATGGAATGATCTTGCAGGTTTTCTGGTCGTGTTTGTCCGACCTCTTCGGCTCGCAGTCATTCCATGTGGCTGATAGCGCGAGCACCGATGACTACATGCACCCAGTTTGGTCCAATACTGGTGTGATGGAGGTTGACATTCGTCCAGGGGGGCCGCCACAGGAGCTGCTGATGGCGAATGCCGTGCAAGTGAACGTGGAACCACCCTGGCTTATGAAAGCCAAACCGCCAACGCCGCTTGGTGGAAGTCTTCCTTTGATAGGATGGTCTGTCACCATCCTGGCGGTGGATAGCACGTTCCATCTCGAGATGAATGGAATGTGCGAAGCCAGGCAATACGCGAGGCACCCGCCGATAGACGAGTTCGATCGCCTCGTGTCAACTGCTTGAATGGTAAGTCATTTGTTTTTGCTTTTTTGCTTCGATGATGAAATACGAATTCTCACAGACCTGTTCTGAATAATCTTGAGGATAAAAATCTATACATCACAATTTCTGATGAAGCTTCGACTGTTTTTTGTTTTCCCATTTGATCGTTACTAATGATCATCAGCCATCAGGAGTCCCATCTCGTCGACCCGAAGACCCGTTGACTGTTCTCAGTTGATGGGAACCGTTGAAATGGTGAGTTCTTTCGCTTTTGTCTTTGCTTGTGCGAGTCCCTTTCATTTCATGATGAAGCATGATTTCACAGACCTGATCTGAATCATATTGAAGACAAAATGTCAATGTCCAACTGCTATCTGACTTGTGGAAAACTCCATCTTGCATTCGTCAAGCCATGTGATTGATCATTGCTAACGATCATCATAAGACATAGGAACCGAACCCTGCCATATTGATAAAAGTTGATAAGATTAGTGAAATTATTGAACCTCGAGCTCCTTTTGTTTCAGTAGCCAATCCTTAAGATCGAACGTGCCGTATCGAAGAAGCTCTTTATCGTCATCCCAGACGAATGTTTTACCCTGCACAGAGTGCCCATGCCCTAAGTCGATTAGGCAGGGTTGCAGTTTGTATGCATCCGTCTCATATCCAGCCAGATGATCTCATTCCCGAGGAGAGCGGACCTTGTATGACATTCCCTTTGTGGTGTAGCCTGGGCTAGGGACAAGAGCTGGGTAGTCTCCCCATATCTTGCACTGCCATCCTTTGAGACTAGCAGGGTAGACCTCAGGTCTGTGTTGTTGCTACAGGACTTTGGCTAGCACAGTGCGGTCCATGAGGCTGCCTTAGAAGAAGTAATATTCGACCCGAAATCCAGGCCGTTCAAGGAAGTCAGTCTCGGCCATGTAGTTCTGAACGTTGGTATCTTTGGAGATTTGTAGGAGATGAGAGAGTTCCGGGGTTAGGTGGCCTTCCGTAAACTGAGGTCCGTGGGAAGCACTCGACTCTGATCTGGTTTAGGCTTTGTCACAAACTCACCTTGTTTTCGCCGCAGGAATCAATTTATATTGCTCACTGCTATGAATATAAAGATGTGCGACCTCCCATATTTTCAACATCTCTCCTGAATCAAGCTAATATATAGTCTTTACCTCCATTGGTGATTTCTTGTCTGCATACTCTTGGAATTGCTGCTCGGATGGGGCTTGCGAAGAATCAGATTGCCCCATCATCAAATGCAAAATGCAAACTTCCGGCCAAGATTGTATGAGCCGTTCCTTTAACCGCTATCCAGGCCGCGGGAAGCTTTTCAGGGCGAAGGTCAGATATCCAGTCGCAAAGATGGTCATCCACCCGAGCATCGTTTACCCGGCCTCTTCGGCCACGTGGAGAAGATCGAGAGGTTTGCGATAGTTCATGATGAATGATGATCACTGGATCATGACGTATGCTGTAGCGTGCGTAGACTGAGAATAGGGGCTGGCGCCCGGTAAATGCGGTATAGCGGTGAGATGAATCTCGCCCGCCATCACAGCAGCGCTAGAGCAGGGAAGTCGACCGACTCCGCTTAGGGCAGGGACCAGGAATCGTGATTTCCCTCGAGATGCCGATGCATCTAAAGTGGGGTCCGGGGTCTGGGGGATCGACGCGCCGAGGAGAGGTTGGTGTCAGACTCTGTCAGCATCTCACCGAGGTACTCCGCATCTCGTTGGGCCTCTGCTGGGAATATCTTACGAATCGCCAGATCCAAGGTACACTTCAAATAGGAAAACAGCACACACCTGATCCGACACAGTCACAAACGTGGTTTGGGATCGAGTGGAATCAACCAGGATCAACCCATTTGCAGAATGATCCGGGTTTGGCCCCCAGCAATCGCTCAGCACTAGCCAATCCCGGATGTGGTGTTCATTCAACTCAATGTGACCTAGCGAGTCTCCATTTTTGCTTTCCGTGTGATTTTTTCTTTATACCCTCTGCCCACCATGTCTGCCAAACCAGGCAGAGGCGTGTTCGAGGAGCACGAGAACATCCCCGAGCCCAAGTTTGTGCCTCAGCGCACCTTTGGTACTGCTGCTGAGCGCGCTCGTCGAAACCTCAATGCTAAACTATCCAACCCGTTGGCTGGATATAGCCATGCCGAGCTGCGCAAACAGGGTCATAAGTTTGCGATCGCACATGAAATTGGCGATGAATCTGATATCCGCGCATTTGAGCTAGGCGCCGTGCTTGCTCAAAGTCCCGAGCAATATGATCGTGTGCCAGGACTGACGAGCCAGGAGAAGGAGATTCTGCATCGCGAGTTTGAGCACCGTTGGTCGCAGCCGTGGAAAATGTACGTGGTCATTGCGCTGTGCTCACTATCTGCGGCCGTTCAGGGAATGGTAAGTCACTTCTCATTGTATGTAACACGGTCAACCTATTAACAGTACGGAGGATGAAACTGTAGTAAACGGTGCCCAGATCTGGTACAAACACCAATTCGGTATCGCCGGCGAAGACTCGAGAAGCACCTGGCTAGTTGGTCTGGTCAACGCAGCGCCATACCTCTGTTGTGCCCTCGTTGGATGCTGGCTCACGGTTCCATTCAACCACTGGTTCGGTCGCCGAGGGACAATATTCATAACATGCTGCTTCTCTGCCATTGCTTGTCTCTGGCAGGGCTTTGTCTCAACATGGTGGGGAATGTTCATCGCGCGCTTCGCCCTGGGGTTCGGCATCGGACCCAAATCAGCGACCGTCCCCATATACGCCGCCGAAACAGCACCTCCAGCTATTCGAGGTGCTCTCGTTATGCAGTGGCAGATGTGGACGGCCTTTGGGATCATGCTAGGGTATGCCGCGGACCTGATTTTCTACCAGGTATCTGATACACCTGCTATCGTCGGCCTCAATTGGCGTCTCATGATGGCATCGGCCATGTTTCCGGCCCTGGTGGTCTGCTGCTTCGTCTTTACTTGTCCCGAGTCGCCTCGTTGGTATATGAGCAAGAAGCAATATTTCCGCGCTTACCAGTCTATCTGTACCTTGCGTCACCATAAGATCCAAGCTGCGCGTGACTTGTACTACATGCATGTTCTTCTCGAAGCTGAATCTACCATGGTCCTCGGCCAAAATAAGCTATTGGAGCTAATTACAGTCCCGCGTAACCGTCGTGCGATGATCGCTTCGGAATTGGTTATGTTCATGCAGCAGTTCTGCGGTGTCAACGTGATCGCGTACTACTCGAGCGAAATATTCCTGGTATTTTCCCCGACTCCCATCATCTCAGATATAAAATCTAACCCTAAATAGGAGGCGAACTTCTCTCCGGCCTCAGCCCTTGCAGCATCCTTCGGCTGGGGCGTAATAAATTGGCTCTTTGCAATACCCGCAATCTACACAATCGACACATTCGGGCGCCGCAACCTCCTTCTATCCACATTCCCTTTAATGTCCCTGGCAATGTTTTTCACCGGCTTCTCCTTTTGGATCCCTGAAACCCTTCACGCTGCCCGAACAGGCTGCATAGCCTTGGGTATCTACCTCTTTGGCGTAGTATATTCCCCAGGCGAAGGCCCTGTCCCCTTCACCTACTCCGCAGAAGCATACCCACTCTATGTCCGCTCCTACGGCATGGCCCTCGCGACGGCGACAACGTGGTTCTTCAATTTTGTTCTCGGCGTGACTTGGCCATCTCTACGAAATGCCTTCACTGCACAGGGTGGGTTTGCGTGGTATGCTGGGTGGAATATTATTGGGTGGTGGCTTGTTTTGTTGTTTATGCCTGAGACTAAGAATAAGACTCTTGAGGAGCTGGATCAGGTTTTTTCAGTACCTACACGCTTTCATGCGCGGTATGGATTAAGGCAAATTCCTTACTTTTTGAAGAGGTATATTCTGCGGAGGAATGTGAGTCCGGAGATTTTGTATGAGAAGGAAGAGATGCGGCCGGGTTCGGAACTTCCTAATGCTTGACTTGATTATATGATTTGCTTTGGCGTTAGGCACTTTGCGTTTAACGGCTTGGGACTATTGAGATACCCCTTATTTAATATACCTACATTCCCCTCTATTTCAAGAAGTCATACTCGCAGGACCCGAGATCCAAGCAAAGTCGGCGCTAAATCGGGTACAGTAGAATTCGAAAACATTTTGCCCCCCAGACACTCACGTTTCTCGGCCCGTACCGGGAACCACGCTAATGTGTATGAGGTTTCTTTCCAGAACGTCCCCTGCTTAGCCATATCGTGATATAGAACGTATTGGGCTTTAATGCCTAATGAGTCATTGTAAATTACCGTCTAACCCTTGGAATGCCCCGGAATCTCGAAGGAGTGGGGGAGATCTGACGATCTGGCTTGATTCATGCCCCCTACCTTCCTTTTCCTCAGTAGCCTTCGTCTTCATCTACATCTTACATGATACATTTCGTTACTAGATGTACATCCGACCCCGAGGCACTGACACTTGCCAGACTGCCGAATGTTTCAGGCGAGGGAAAGAAAGAAAGCAAGACGGAGGACGAGCGATCGGACAACGGCGACGCCATGCCCGAGCGGGGCGGCATCTCCCCAACGTAGACCGCTAAGCCACGCGGGGAAGGGTTTAGACGTGACGCAGAAAATGGCGTCGTTGACGGATGCCCACAACGAAGATGATTTTCAGAATAGATTATCCTTTCATATTTAAAATCAATACATTGCGGCTCCCTTTTGCACAGCATGGAATCTTATCTTGACTATGCGAGAAATTTAAGCGCCAGGTTCCCATGTATGACCCAGTTCTTCTCGAACTGGGAGCGTTTTGCCCCAAAAAGGTTACCTCGACTGCTGTCATCGAGGCAGTCCACCTCTCGGTGCGGCGCTCTTGATTTCGTGCGTGGCAAACAGCCCGAGTTTGTTGATCTGAGCGACTCTGCAGACCTCTGCGACTACCTCGACAGGATAAATGCAGAGACGCCGTGTTACAACCGGCTCTTCCTACTCGAGGACCTCAACGAGTCTAGCCTAGAATTGCTGGGTTCTGCGCTACACATCGATCCTGTCGTGTTGGCTGATCAACTGTTCGCATATCACTTCTCGCAAAACGACATGGTACCGCACCGCACCTTGCCATCACTGACGGACGCATCGAAATCGTTTACCCTGCGGTATTATGAGCTTCGAGAAACCGATGACCGCCTCGCCGAAAACCAGACGCGCCGCCGACGAACCTTTGCGCGTGCTTCTTGCCAGATTGAGCGGTGGCGAGATTTGGCTACTCGCCGAGTAGGGCTACGTGATACCCACGTGGATATAATACGGCACAACGTATCTTTCTGGTGCGGTGAAGGCTTACCAGGTGAAGATAAACCAACACCAGGCGCCTGGAATGGTATGTCCATGCAGTGTTTTAGTCAAACGTCTCCCTGTTCTTCCTGAGACACAGCAGCGATTCTTCTCGTTGACCCTTCACTTGCTTCCCAGCCGGCAGCAAGGAAAAGCTATTACTACGTCCTTGACAAGGAAGAATACAATGCCCCTCGGAGGCCACAAATCCAGTGGAGTAAGCCCTATCACGCAGGATACAGTGATCTTCGACCCTGGGAGTCAAACCGCACTGTTTCAGCGCCCAGCCGGCAGTCGATGTTCGACGATGTCATCTTCTACTGGCTGCGTGCAGATGGGCGTGAAATTGATGCTGTCTTTGACAGCTGCGTCAACACGACATTATTTGTACACCAGATTGTGGCATGCCACTGGTACAAGTTACTTGATCTACAGTTCAAACCCCTGTCAACCGTGGACATAACTTCGAAAACGAAACGCCGCGGCTCGCCTGAAAAATCTGTCAGCACAGCGGAGTGGAGGGAGGAGCTGAAGTATTACAATGAGAGATTGTCTCTTCTCGGCATACTCCAGCGGCGTTTGATGTGGTACAAGCAAGAGATGATCCTTAATTTGGAGCGCTTGGGTTTCGCACCGCATGGTGCAGGCGACGATACAAGCATCGTGACGCCGTCCAGCCTTCGCATCGCCGGGCAAGATCTCCAGGCCACACTGTATGAATTAGATCGATGTGAGTCGCGAGTCGACAATCTTGTCGGCGTCGTGACCGATTCGATCAATCTGAGCAGTGCCTTGCGCAGCCTGCATGACGCGCGGTTTGGTCTACAGCTATCGATTTTCGGTGCGGTTTTCTTTCCCATCACTCTTGTCGCCGCGATTTTCTCGATGGGCGGCGACTACTCGCCTGGCTCAAAGCACTTCTGGGTACCCTGGGTCATACCTGTTCCTTTAGTGACTATCTTGATCCTTATGATATGGCAAGCCCATCACTCGCGCCTGTAACGTATGCTCAGGTGGAGTGCAACGCAAAGAAGGGCGTGTTCTAAGATATGATCATATGGAGAAGTTGATGTTTGGACACATAATGGTTCGATTTTCAATAGTTTGTCACTGCCGTATCGCATAATGTTTAAAATATCTATAACTTTGTAATGTAAAGTCTGAAAAAGGTTTCAGACTTTACAAAAAGCCTTGGAACAAATAAGCATAGTCTCCTACTAATGCCTGTCTCTTCAAGCATCAGCACGGCTTTGTATGGCATTGGAGGTAAGGCGGACATGGACGAAGGTTGAGTGCGACGGAAGGGAGAGAGGGAAAGGTAATCTAGAAAGCTGGCGGTGGGTCTTCCCTGTTTGGGCTTTTCGCATGGAAGTTTCTACAAGGCTCTATATGGATTATTACCGTGTCATAACAATGGACTCACGTGCCAGTGTTAAGCCGTTACGATTACAGGCGAACAGGGGCTTTAGGGAATGTAACAAAATTAGATTAGCCTGCTTTAAGGTAGGGTTCTGGAAACGAGCCGTAAGAGTATGAAAGGGGTAATCTGTTTTCGAATTCTACTGTATCCAAAGTGGAGCAGATATCTTGAGATTGGCCCATCGGCTCTCAGACTCTATTTCTTCGCCACCGGGAGCACATGTTGCAGTGCGCTGCCTGAGAAACCCAACCGGTCTCAGGTCAGAGACTGACGTGCCCGCTGATGTGCCCGTTGATAGGCCCAAATGTTGTATAGGGCCTAACTCGCCTTTGCGCTGGGTTTGGGCACGACCCTATGGGTACGCACGCAATCAGTTGCTATGCTTCCCTTCCGTCATTATTTATGAGCTCTTTGGGGTGTCTTATCTTCAATAGGAGTGGCTTGGAAGCAAAATGAGGCGCGGCGGTGTAAGCCTACTTCCTCCAAGCTGGGAGAACCGCTTCCCCGCTTCTTAATCTGAGTGTGGTACCATTCCATCACCGTGTTAGGTATGAAATCAATAACGGCTTCCACACATAGAGAAACACATGCGATTTTTCAGGTTGCATATGCAATCTATTCGCCAGGTTTAAAGAACCACCAGCAATTGACCACATCATATCAAAGTACAGTTTGATCGCAACCCTCTTCTCGGGTACAAACAAGGAATATCCAAGGCTTGGGCCTCTACAACGGTTCTACGATCTGTCTCGGGCGAATAAGATAACGCATAGAAACAGAGGCTAGAGACGCATATCACATGCATCCCATATCTTTCCGGCATGAACACATTGCTCCAACCAAGATGGAGGCTCCCTGGTATCCAGAACTGCCGTACATACGGCTGACTTGCGGCAAATGACTCGTGTCTAACAGGTTCTCAACGAATCATCCCTCGTCCTCTTCACCGATTTATTTGATAACCCTGGCTCTCTACACACCATCAGCAATGGCCTCCTACAGGATATGTTGTCGCTGGTCAGTCTGGTGCTATACCGACTTTTCACCCGGGTAAAGAATCTGTTGTGATGGCTTGGTGAGGTAGCAATTGCTCTTCGCTCCTGGGCGCTGGGCACACTCTGTAGAAAAGGGCGAAGATAAATACCTTGGCTGCTCCGGCTGTCCATGGGTTCTTTCTGCTCTCAGGTCATTCAGCATTGTCTATATTCTCCAAGATTTTGATATCTACGCATTCCAACTGCACCATTATATTCTTTAAGCAGCCATAATTATGGCTATACCATCCCCCATCGAGGGATCTTGTATTCCTACGTTCATAAACCAATATAAGCAAGAGAAGTACGCAGCTCTGGCTAAAAGAGTTGCAGATCTATGCAACAAGGTTATTTCGGAGAACGGCATAAGCCTTCAAACTGAAAGCCGAGGGAAAGAACCTGAAAGCCTACAAAAAAAACTCGAGGAGCGCGAGCGCGAGAGCGGTCCTTACAAAGATTCGAAAGATATTTATGACAAGATCATCGATCTTGCCGGAGCTCGAATTATCCTCAACAGACCGGAAGACCGCCATACCATCAAGGGCATACTGTACGATATTTTCGAAGTTTCCAGAGAGAAACTTATGGACCAAGAAAGTGGGTACAAAGCGGTGCATTATGTTGTGTACTTGAAGAAAGGCCGGTACTCATCTTATCTTCAAAAGACGGAAGCTAGAACACCGGTTGAAATCCAAGTTCAATCTCATGGCATATGGCAATGGAGCAAGCTAGAGCACGACTCTATCTACAAGATGAAGAGAGATCCGAGTCCAGTGATGAGAGACAATCTCGGTTTTTCTATTCGAGCTATCACTCTGGCCGAGGACTTTGCTCAACATACCAGGGAAATGAAGGCCAAGAAAGATGCAGAGTACGAAGAAAAGCAGGCAAAGTTCAAGGAAAAGTTGAAAAATCCCTGGTCTGTTGGGCACTATCTAGACAAGTGGATTCCCAAACACGCTGCGGACTGGGCGAAAGACAAATCAGGCAACCCGGGATCTGCTACAGCTTTGTATAAATTCCTGGATTCTCGGGAATGGAGAACTGCCGAATGTCTAGATCGGTTGCTCAAAGAACACCTCGGTGATGGCGCGCAAGACGAATACTCGAAGGTCGCAAGGGAATATGGGCGCATTGACTTGAACCTCATCATTTATCTGATTGACCGCGAGGTTCTGAAACACGAAGAAAATGAATTGCGTACCTCCCGAGGCCGCAACAGCAATCAAGAGCATTTACACAAAATCCGAGTGCTTCTTAGCACATTTATCTGGATGAATCGTCTTTTTTCCCCACCTTTTGAATGGCATTGCTTGCTCGCGCGAAATGAAGATCGGAACATTCTTCGGCCTGGAATTCTTTGGCTTTCAAACAGCGCCCGCCAGCGCGCCATCGAAAACGAAACCTGCCTGAATCCCAATGAGGTCAATAAACTGAAGGGGCTGTGGACTTGGTTTAGCGATAATCGCGACCGGCCGATCAAATTGGCTTTCACAATGTCAAACCAGGGGGTAGTTAGAGATATCCCAAAAGAACAGAATGACCTGGAGATCGCCTTTACGCCCCTGGTTGAGGGCTTGAGTCGGCATGAGTTTTGAGCTTTTTGGAGAATCGCAATGCGGCGAAAAAGGTGCCGTGTATCATCTTCGTGGCTTCGACAGCGTTTGGGTGCCAGGGAGTGACGAACGGAAGGTATAGACACTTGAAGCTTCCTTGCGGCCCGGTGTGTTGCCGAGCAAGAGTGATCATTGCAGTGTTTTCAGCCCCCAAAAGTTGTGTGGTTCCTTTTATCTTGTCTTGTTGATAGTTTTTTGTTCTCTGTCTCTTCAAAATACATGCCTGTTAAAACATTTGACTTCATCCTAGCCTCCATATATGCTCAGCTAACTTGAAAGCTTTCATAGAATTTCAAGAAGCGGAAGTTAAGATGTAAGATTAGTACCCAGAAGGGTTAGGCTTAGGAGACCTCATCACAAATAGTCCCCTATTTTTGATCTCATCACACAAACCCAGATGACCTGTCACTTTCAGGGGTGAGTCACCACACGTATCACGAATCAAGGCCATCGTGTATCGAGGAAAAAAGCAATTACGAAAATCTTCCGCAGGTTGACGGGAATTGGCGAAACAAAACATAATTGCGATCCATTATAACACGGTAATGTGTGACTTATTCACAAGAGTCGAGGGCCGGGTTTATCAATATAGTCGTATATGAAATGGTCAAGTCGTCTCGGAGAAGAAAGGCATATGCAATTTTCGAATTAGCATTGCCAATATTTGATTATTCAGGAATCTGCCACAGCCGGATTGTGCGAAACAAAGTGGACTGTGCTGAACAAAGCGGACGTGTATTTTTGGCTAGGCAGCTTGTATCGGCCGTAATTTGGTCCACGAAATGGTAAACTGACTTTCTCTTCATTCGAGGAAGAGTTTTGAACTTCCGAGAAGAGTCGAACTTCGGTACATGACCTGGGCGTTGACCGGTGACAAGGAAGAAGCAATGCGTTTCTCCAATTGGAAGAGCATGTTGAGACAAGCACGACAGCCCTCACGGGAGATGCCAGAAGCAATGCAGGTCCTGTCCTCGTCACCTATGACTGAGGCCCAAGGGCACAACCCAGACGCAGAAGGTGGCATTTTTCCCCCAGTGACATGATTATCGCAGACTCGCTGACCTGCTATTGACACAGTGTTTGACCACCTTTATCACAGACTCTCTTTCCGTTCTATGTTGAATGGTTACGACCCGCCTGATATTCCTGAAGCTGAGATAAGGAGGAAGTGGGAGGTACTTAAGCTCGTTGGGAATAATGATGACGAACGCTTTCCAACGACCAAACGAGCCACCGACTTCTGGAACTGGTGTGGATTGAGGCCAGAGAGATGGGACATAGTTCCGGACCAGGCTCTCTGGGAAGAGTTCACTCGAGAATTCGAACTGCACGGAGGTCAGTACATTGCAAAATGGAGAAGAAAGAAACGAGGAGATCGAGGTTCTTATGTTTGATCCCTGGCTCAGCTTCAATGGGTCTTCTTGCGAATCCGATTGGATAGTCGCCTATGTATATGATACCAGAAGAGCTAACGAAAGATAGGCTACCCCGATGCGAGGACGCAGGCATTTCCCGATCTGGCCACATGGGTACGTCCGGCCTTTGGGGCTAGCAGAAGGTCCGAATAGCCATTCAATTGCGACCGAGATTTTGAAGTGTGTCCCAAGTGAGTGTTGGCTGAAAGACAAATCTCACGCTAGAAACGATGTTGATCACGATTTAACGATGGTTTCAGGAAACAGTCCTCGGAAAGAAACTTTTGCGACCCAACCTCCTCAATGGCATATCATCCAAGGATAATCTCGACTTGACAGGGATGCAGCTGGCTTGAGAGAAGGTGGTGTAGGGGAATTGAATGTGAATGGTAGCATTGAGAAGAGGGGGGCTATCACCCCTTGCTCTCTCTCATGCGGTTTGCTGACTCGTGCAGGGCTCAGTACCTCAGTCCTTCATAGGCTCGCGCAGACATCCAAGCGCATTTCCCGCTGGAATTCAAAGATGACTAGTCGCTTTGCCGTATTGATTTTGTTTGTGATTTTTGTTTGTTATTTTTGTTTTCGCGAGATTAGACTGGAAGTCTGGCCCAAAAGTCTGTTTACTACATTATTTTCTTCTTTGTCAACTTTTCAAAACCTAGAATAAATGTATTCATTGAATTCTTCTGCGTCTCAGATATAATACATCATATTTACTCAAATTCAATCAGACGTCCACAAAAAGGATCTGGCAGCAAATGATCTACTGCGCTGTGCACCCTCTGCTAAGGTCGTTCGTTGGTTTCCTAGCTGAATGTTGGGCAGCATATGACTCGTTAAAATGACCAATATAAGGCTACAGCCTAATATAATCTCTCGCCCAATTTATAAAAGCTCTTTTTTTGTTCCAAGTGATCGACGAGTAATTAAGTACCAGCTGAAGGACCACCCATGCGATAGCTTCGAATGGGATTGTATTTGTAGTGCCCCTGACCGTCATTTGCCTTCAAAGACTATCTGTCCCTGCCTAAAGGTGTGTTACGTTTCCAAGATTTGAGTAAGAAAAACGTTTATTTCTTACTACTCAAACGTTGTATGAAATGAAGGATCTGGCCCAGGTCAAGGTTCTAGTGAGGCTTCATCTTGATATCCTTTAAGATGTCACCCTACCCACATGTAATACCTCTGAGGTACTAGTCTAATTCTCACACTACCACAAGAAAGAGGTCAGCTTTGATTAGGACATGTGGGGCAGATTCTATTCCTCGTACGCCTGTAAAAGTGCTTCGATCTGAGATCATCATTCTCCAGACCCATTGAATTTACGATTTGACGCTTTGGATTATTCTTGGCGAGATAGAGTGTCGATGAATAGCCCTGCGTAGACAGTCATCGGTAGGCCTTAGGGTGGATTCCATCAATTTTCATTGGTGCACTCCCTCTTTTTATAGCTTATCAGGCAGAGTATGCTCACAGGAGAATTTGACCCAGATTTAGACTTCTCATTGAAATTGTTACCCATGGTTACAATGTACTTTTCCCAAATCCAGATGATGACGAAAATGACATTTACGGGCGACCCTGTTACGGCGCTATCGAAGAAGGCTTATACTCAAGCAAATGATCGTATAATTAGTACTCACCTGAACATCACAATTCATTCTAGAGTGAAATAGGAAGTCCCAAGCCTTTCGTTCCAAACCCATTCTTCCGAGGTGGGGGAGAAACACTTCCAGCTCGACTTGATTGGGTTTCCCGCGATCTAATGACGTACAAGCACGCCTCTCCAACAATCAGCATCAAATAATTGGAGTACCATTCAAAACACTCATGGTCGTAAGAGCCGCCATACCCATTTAAGCTCCGCCTCAAAACTCTCCCTCTTCCCCTCGCCCTCCCCTCGTGCCGTATAGCCAGAACACAATTCCATCGCCACATCGTAACAGCATCATGCCACCCAGGCACACCCTCCCACCGCATTCAACATGTCTCATCTCGAGCAGGTGCCGGCGACCATCTTCCAAGCTGGCCCCGGCAACCAAGCGCTAGGGGTCGCCATCGTCGTATTCATGGCGATCGCACTGTACAACGCCGTCGAGCTAGGAGTGCTGATCCCGCTCAGTTTTCGCCGCTACCACAGTCTATATTTCTGGGCACTCCTCACATCCACCATACTGGGAGTCATTCCAGCAACACTAGGCCCAGCATTTCAATTCTTCTCACTCACCCCACTATGGCTAGCATTGCTCCTATCGAATGTCGGATTCGTAATGATGGTCCCGAATCAATCCGTCGTCCTCTACTCCCGCCTCCACCTCGTCTCACAGAGTCGGGTTGTACTCCGTTCCGTACGGTGGCTGATAATATTCAGCGTATTCTTCATCGTCATCCCAACAATAATCCTGAATATAGGCTCAGTCTACGTGCCCACGCCAAGCTGGACTCGAGGCTTTCAAGCCATGGAACGAATCCAGATCACATGGTTCTCAACGCAAGAAACGCTCATCTCAACAATATACATCTATGACACGATCCGAATGATCCGAATTAGCCCCGCCGAAGACAAGAGGCGACATAAGATATTATACGAGTTGGTTGCGGTAAACGTGACTGCAATCCTGATGGATACGAGTCTGGTGGTACTGGAGTATGTGGGGTATTATTTCGCACAAGTTATTCTCAAAGCAACGGTTTATAGTATCAAGTTGAAGCTTGAGTTTGCTATTTTGGGGATGTTGGTTTCGCTTGTACATTCAAACGGGTCGCAGGGGGGTTGGGTTGGCAGGCCGATTGCACTTCTTCTGGGTGGTCGTGATTTGATCTGTTTATTAACTCATATCCAGATGGGTATCCAAGGACCAAATTATTAATTTCAAATTAGATGGAGCATCACTATGCAAGCATACAACGATATCCCGATGGTTGTACACGACAACGTGGATCCTCGGGAAATTAATCAACAATATAGAGAGGATCATCGGCACGAATCTTCCGAAGGTCGGTAACTTGTTAAGGGTAAATCAGGTGCCGATCCGTAGCATCTCTAGTCCGATTCTATAGCTATTACCAGACGGCATAAATACCGCCTAGGCCAGAAAGACGACCGTCGGATCGCACACCAGCCCCACAGTGCCGAGCCGCCAACGCCCCGCAAATGCGGAGGTGGAGCTGGGACTTGAGGTGTTAGGACCGACGCCGTCGGATACGAGCCGATGCATGCCTTCCGAAGCTCACCTACGTACCTTGGAGCTAGAAGAGATGGCATTGATCCGAAAGTGCGGGGCGAGGGGAAATGGACAGCTATATAAACCGCGGTTCCTATCCGCTCTGACGCCGTCACCTTCAAGGATCATCCCTACACATCATCATGCTTGGAAAAATCGCCCTCGAAGAAGCCTTTGCGCTACCCCGGTTCAAGGAGAAGACTCGCTGGTGGGCGGGATTGTTCGCGACAGACGTGGACAAGCATGTTGCTGAGATCAACGATGTCGATTCCATCCGGTTGAACTTCGCCGAGAAGCACGGCGTCGGCCTTCAGATTCTTTCATACACTGCCCCGGGCGTGCAAGATATTTGGGATCCCAAAGATGCACAGGCTCTGGCAGTTGAAATCAACGATTACATCGCAGAGAAAGTGAAGGCGCATCCTGATCAGTTCGCTGCATTCGCGTATGTTCCACTATCCCAACTTTATACGTACAATCCACCTGACAAAGCAGTACACTATCAATGCACGACCCCAAAGAGGCCGCTGAAGAGCTCCGTCGTTGCGTAACCCAGCACGGTTTCCTCGGCGCCCTAGTTAACGACACGCAACGCGCCGGCCCCGACGGCGACGAAATGATCTTCTACGACAACTCCTCCTGGGACATCTTCTGGTCAACCTGCACCGAACTCGACGTGCCCCTATACCTACACCCTCGCAACCCAACAGGAACAATCTACGAGAAACTCTGGGCAGACCGGAAATGGCTCGTCGGCCCACCGCTCTCCTTCGCACACGGCGTCTCCCTCCACGCCCTGGGAATGGTAACAAACGGGATTTTCGACCGTCACCCGAAACTCCAAGTAATCCTAGGCCATCTAGGCGAGCATATTCCTTTCGATATGTGGAGAATCAATCACTGGTTCGAGGATCGGAAGAAGTTGCTCGGATTGCAGGAGACGTGCAAGAAGACGATTCGGGAGTACTTCGCGGAGAATCTGTGGATTACTACCAGTGGGCACTTCTCGACTACTACGTTGAATTTCTGCTTGGCAGAGGTTGGGGCCGATCGTATCTTGTTCTCGATTGATTATCCGTTTGAGACTTTTGAGGATGGGTGTGTTTGGTTTGATGAATTGGCTTTGAATGAGGTGGATAAGGTCAAGATTGGGAGGGGGAATGCGCAGAAGTTGTTTAAGTTGGGGGCTTATAAGGATTGGAATGCTTGAGGCTTGAAGGTTGGATCTAGGGTTGGATCTAGGGTTGGACATATGATAGACGGTTGTCGGGTTTCTCAAATTTCAGATATTCTCTGCATGACACTCATCCTCCGGATTACGTCCCACTTGGCCCCTTAGATATGTGGAAGATGCTCTAGTATGGACTTGACAACGATGTTCAGGGGGTCTCCAGGGAAATGGTTCAATTGGATACTATGGGTATCCGGTATCTGGTATCAATCATACCTCGTCGCGGGTCGTGCTGGCAATGTTCAAATGGTTTGGTGATCAGGACCTGCAGTTGTCTATTGTCATAACCATCATTATTCCCATGGGACCGAAGCAACGGTCTTGCATAGAGCATAGAGCATTGCGATACATTTCGTAATTTCGACAGCATCGCACGAGGTAATCGTGGATGCGCAGCAGGTAGGTAATCAAACCAGTAAGGAGAGCTCTGCTGTTATCTTGGATGATAACATGATCGCGACGAAGCTCGACGAAGCTCAACGAAGGGGCTATGGATGCGCACCGTGGCCTGTCGCTCCAGTCCCATGGTGAGGCGGAACAGTACGAAAATGAAATTCAAGAGGCTGAAAAGGTGAAAAATGAAAATATTATGAATTTGGCTAATGCGTTTACCACTCCTTAATCCGAACAGTCGTAAGGGCAGTCGTGAGACAAGGACGTATTCATGGAATCAAGCAGTGGTTATGTCTTCCCCTCGACGTTTGGCTGACGAATGAAGCAAGGGCGCGACGAGGAACAAAACGTTCCAAATGTCAAGCCAACAAGCCTCGCAGACAAAACGCACGTAGAGTTAACGAAGACAACATATTTCTTCGCACATCGACTAATCAACGCGCCATTGGTAGAGCACGGCAACTTAAGTAGTGCGATCAATCGGTTTTTACATCATCCTCTGGTAAAGGAACATCCATCACTCTCTCGCCCGCCTTTTCTAGTGTTCGTCTACTCCATGACCGTACACCTTTGTAAACAGCCTGAGCGGGTTAGTAATGAGCAGCGGATCATGTTGCGCTGTACATACCCAGAGGAAGGTGCCAACGCCGACGACAATGAGCAGCCAGTTGAGAGACCGAGCTCGGTCTCGTCCTGTCGTGCGGCCAGCCAGTATCCCCGAGCGCGGGCTCCAGAACGGTGAAATCATCCATATTGACCTGACAAAGGACAGTAGACCGAGAGAAGCCACTCCTTTGACGAGATGGGCAATCCACGAAGCGTCTGTGTTAAGCTCCTCTTCCAACTCGTAGACATCGATGTCAATAGGGCCGAGGTACAAATCGAGGATGGGGTCAGCAACAAAACCAAGAACGAAAACAGTCAAAAGCAAAATGGCGATGGTGAGGAGGAGCTGTGTGCCAGCACTACTGATCCACCTCGCCCAGGTCAGACGTTGTAGCCGATACTGAAAGCCGCAGGTCGGGCACTGCCAGAAATTCCTCGCGCCGTATCGGGGATCCGCGTGCCGCCATGTCTGCAGGCAACTCTCGTGCACATATCTCGAGGAGCCTTTGCATTGGCAGGGGCGAAGTAGGCGGCCGGAGTCTTCCGATTCATAAACGACGCGAGGTTTCTGGAGGAATTCCGAGGGCTGAAAGGTAGGCAGCACAGATTCTAGACAAATCCGACATACTCGAGGAGGATAGCTCGGATCTGCAGGATCTGCAGGCTCTGCGGACTCTGCAGACTCGGCAAACTTTGAGTCCTGTGCCGGCTCTGGCTGACTAGTCTCGTCATCGGACATGGGAAAGATGAGGGAAGTTTGTGTGAAAAAGCTCCACTGCATTTATGGGAGGTGGCCTAACCCGATAGAGCTCACCGCCTTGGCAGCTCACACCTGAGCTTCCCCCAAACGTCACCCTCGTCTGCCTGCACTTCCATCTCTTTAATTCATCCCTCGCCGTGTTTTTTGATCAGACATCAAATCATGGCTGACCGTTACTCCTTCTCCCTGACCACCTTCTCGCCCAGGTATGTGCCCTTGGTCCAATAATTGACGACGACTAACACATCAACAGCGGCAAGCTGGTGCAGATTGGTAAGATCAACAAATCGGACTTGAAGAGCAATCGTTAATCGAATCACAGAATATGCCTTGAACGCTGTCAACCAGGGTGTCACAGCCCTCGGCATCAAAGGTACTTCCCGACCAATGACTCCGCTGACCTTCCCTCACTGACCACCACAGCTACCAACGGAATTGTCCTGGCCACCGAAAAGAAATCCTCCTCGCCTTTGATCGACCCGCCCTCCCTTTCTAAAATCTCGTTGATCACCCCCGACATCGGGATGGTGTACGCCGGCATGGGCCCCGACTACCGAGTTCTAGTGGACAAGGCGCGAAAGGTCTCACACACGGGCTACAAGCGCATCTACAACGAGTACCCGCCCACACGGATACTGGTGCAGGACGTGGCGCGTGTGGTGCAAGAGGCCACACAATCCGGTGGAGTTCGGCCATACGGTGTCAGTCTGCTGGTTGCAGGCTGGGACGAGGGTGTTGAGCCTGAAGAAGGCCAGGGCGGCAAGACTGGCGGTATCCTCAAGGGCGGACCTAGTCTGTACCAGGTTGATCCCAGTGGCAGCTACTATCCCTGGAAGGCGACGGCCATCGGCAAGCACGCTACTAGCGCGAAGACTTTCTTGGAGAAGCGGTATACCGAGGGTCTGGAGCTGGAGGATGCCATCCACATTGCACTGTTGACGCTCAAGGAAACGATTGAGGGCGAGATGAACGGGGACACAATAGAGATCGGTATGTTAAATGTGGTGCGAGGTCGAAGATGAAGCTAACGGAAATAGGAATTGTTGGCCCGCCGGCGGACCACCTGTTGGGCTACGAGGGTGTTGAGGATGCTCAAGGACCCCGGTTCAGGAAGTTGACCAAGGAGCAGATCGAGGACTACCTGACCAACCTGTGAGGAGCTAGAATGGGAATGACTTTGTTGCAATGACCTAGCAAATGAGAAACATTCATAAATGTCCACGATTCGTATCTAGTCTAATCATCCAAGTTTACCATGGTATTCAGCTGCATCTGCTTTCTGCTAGTACGCACGAGAGTTGCTCGTAAGCTGTCTTGGGAGCCTGCTTCCTTTACACTCTCTTCTTTCGCCTGCATCATCCATTTCCTGCTACACCAACATCCCCCTTCTCAGTCGACTCTGCTGGTGACGGAGTTGCGTACCTCGCTCTTTTTCCATAGCGTAATCACATCTCCAATGCAGACCTCACAATCTCAATTCCCTGACATACTAGGAAGTGAGTTGCATGACCGGTAGTCTCCAAACAAATCAAAAGAGAGGTCACTAACTCACTCTCGGCTCCAGAAGGCCCAAGAAGCAGCACAGCATACCTAGCAAATAGAAGAGAAGCATGTCTCGCAAGAAGAAGACTTGATTAATTTTGTCTTCGCCTATTCCCAATTAGTCGGTACATTATTTTGCACTGTGGATCCGTCATTGCTTTTTTCTACTGGGCCGCTAGCATTTCTATATCGAAATCATGCCATACTCATCTCACCGACGGATGTCTGCATCATAATTCCACAAATGGCACGGCCTAGAGCCCAGGACTTGGCTCTAAAACAGCGAGGAAAAGTGCTCGCCTCCCCTGTGAAATCCCCAAGTAGGAGTCCGCCTCGCAATTCCCTACTGACCGAACCCCAACCAGCGCAATTAACAATGGCAATTTCCTAGTATCAAGTTGCAAATCACAATTCATATCGATGGAAACCCCCATACAGATTCCGATCCGTACTTGCTAAAACAAATCCAACAAATCCGATCAGATCTCCACCTAGGCACCCAGTCTGTACGACATGCAAAATGCCCACCCTCAAACCACCTCATTGAGCCTTCCTCTCGAAACACCCCCTAAGACACCCCTAAGACACCAGATCAAAGCCATGACCGACCCACCTCAAGACCTCCTCGATGGAATATCCGGGGCACTAGCCTCAGAAGGCTACATCCTCCAAATGATATTGGTCACATTCATCGGATTATCATGCTACAACGTCGCGGAACTAGTCGTCCTCGTGCCATCTACGTTCCGACGCTGGCAAGGCCTCTACTTCTGGTCCCTCCTCGCATCGGGATGCTTAGGCGTGGTACCGTACTCGATAGGCTTCTTGATGAAGTTCTTCACGCGAGCCGACTCGGTCTTATCAGTCACTGTGCTCACGATTGGATGGTGGACCATGGTCACTGGGCAATCGGTGGTGTTATACTCGCGGCTGCATCTTGTGTTGCGTGATGAGAAAGTCCTCCGTCGAGTGTTATGGTTGATTGTTGCCAATTTCTTCTTACTGCATGTTCCGACGACGATCCTGACCTACGGGGCGAACATCGTGCATAGTGGGGAGATTGCGTGGGTGGAGGGGTACAATATTATGGAGAAGATTCAGTTGACCGGGTTCACGATCCAGGAGAGTTTGATATCGACGCTCTATGTTATCGAGACTGTAAAATTGCTTCGAGTCGGGGCTGAGTCAACGACGCGTCCTGGTACACGATTGATCATGTATCAATTAATTGGGATCAATTTCGCCATTATTGCCATGGATCTGCTCCTGCTTGGATTGGAGTATGCCAATTTCTATGCAGTGCAGATCACGCTGAAGGGGTTTGTATACTCGTTGAAACTCAAGCTTGAGTTTGCGGTGCTGGGCAAGCTGGTGGATTTAATTCAGGGGTCGAGACATCCGATTTCCATTGCCATTGCTGATACGCTGCCTTTGTGCTCGTTCACACAGCAGACGGCGGATCAAGATGATGACCAGCCGGAGGTGGAGCTGAAACATGGGGAGATTGTAGAGAGTAGGGCGTTTGTGGAGTCCGGGGGATATAATAATTAATTATTGTCGAGCGAGGCTTCTTCCAACCATTCGTATTCGCCTTCTGAGTCTTCATCTTGGCTGTCGGCGATTTCATTCTCGGCTTTGCGCTTGCGGCTGGGTGTAGGGTCGGGAGATTTGATCTCGTCTTTTCCTTCCACCTCGTGGAGACCGTCCTGTTCACGTCAATATCCTCGTAGTAGGCGCAGATACGAGGAACCTACCGACTCGATCCGAAACTGCACAATCAACTCCGGCGTTCGAATAGGTATCGTCTTCCCACCCCGCTTGGTAACCTCTGCAAACCTCGCATCCGGAAGATCACGATACAAAACAATGCGCGTCTGCATATTAGTCTCCCAAGCCCCGCCAGCTATAACAGGATGCAGTGTCGCGCGCGGCTGGCCTTTGATCTTAGTATGGGTCTGATTAACAGCCAGCACCGCAATATTGCGAGCCGCGAGACGTGCGAGATGTGTAGCCAACTCGCTAGCGACATTCCACTTCCGATTCAGAAGCCATTGCAACTGAGCTTTGTCGGTGATTTTGCCTTGAGTTAGACGTTCTTTGAGCTCTACAGCATTGGGGAAGTAAGACGGAAAGAGACACGAGACTGAGTCGATCACGATGAGGGAGGTTTCTTCAGGCGGGAACCCCTTTGGTGGCCGCATCAGGAGTGCTAAGAGGTGTGGGAGCGTATGTGCCCGGAAATGAATCACGCCGTCCAGGTTGGATGTCATTGCCTGAAGTCTGTGGGCGGGTAAGGGCGAGCCCGTGTCTGGATGGAGAGTGAGCTAGATGCCCATGTACTGGGAGGAGTGGGCGTACCGATCCAGACGACTTTTCCGCCATCGCGAATTGCTTGCGCGGCAATATTGAGACTGGCCTGGATCAGTTTAATCCGGTAGGATCAAGGAAGAACTCACGCGAATGAGGTCTTGCCCGCGCCTGGTGGCCCAAATACCTCGGCCACCTGTCCGCGCAGGATGCCCGCGCGCCCCTGGTCCAGATCATCAAGGGCCTCATCCAGACGCGCCAATCCCGTGCTTATCGGGAGTTTGGCAGATGCCGAGGCGTTGAGAGACTGCGAGGCCGATATGGAGACCACAGGCACTACTGCTATCAGCGTCTGTCGGGTCCGGTTCTCGGAGCAACTTACGCGTGTCCTGGCTGTCGAGACCCAGGTCTTTGTTGATGCTCATGGCGCATTGGTTACTCTGAGTAGCAGAACATCTCATTCACGCCGTCCAGCACATGCCTCCGTTTTGAATGTTGGCTGACGCAGTTCTGTAGTCGAAAGTGGATCGATCGATCGGTGGGTCCAATTTCGACAGAAAACGCGACTTTCAGAAATCTGGAGCTATATATATATTCATTCTTATATCCAACCTCATGAGCCCATGTCAACCCCAATAAGCCGCGACATATCCCTAGGGGGTACGACCTCCATCCTGGTCATCATAATCTGCGTTCTTTCAGTACTGGTACTCTTCCGTCCCACATGCACCCAGTCCCATCCCAAAGGATGTCTCCGACTCGGCCTCTCAGAGGGAAAAAGCAATCTCGACGATGAATTCGACCCAAAATACAACACAGGCGTGCCAAATGAATACGACGCCAAAGGCCGCCCAACCTGGCGCGTCAAAGCACTATTCACCTACCCGCTTAAATCATGCGGCGGCATCGAACTCCAAGCCTCTGAAGTCGTTCCCACAGGCCTAGAGTTCGACCGCCAATTCGTCTTCGCTGAAAACACCACCGATGGCTGGAATTGTCGTACCCTGCGAAACGCAGGCTTCCAGCGTCTCGCTCTGATCCATCCCGAGATCTGGGTTCCTGACCCTTCATCACCAGACTATGACTCAACCATCCAAGGCGAGATGATAATCTCATACCCGCGCCTGGTACCACCAGGACATATGGGCGTATTGATGAAACTAGCCATGGCCATGAACATCCTCAATTCACGCCGAAAGTTCAGAGTCCCCCTCTTCCCACCCAGTGAAACCAAATTCCCACTCCTCCCAGTCCGAATCTGGAAAGACAAGCCTTTGGCCTGGGACTACGGTTCTCTCCTCCCACCAACATTACACACCTACCTAGGCTTCAGTCCGGCCGAATCCCCACTAACACTCCTCCGCGCAAATCCAAGCCACCTACGCCAAATTTACCGCAACGCACCCTGCGCACAGGACATTGGCTTTCAGCCAACCACTGCATTCGCGGACGCATACCCAATTCACCTACTTAACCTAAGCAGCCACCAGGACGTGGCGATGAAATGTGCATACGCGATTCCAACACTAAGTATTCGGCGATTCCGTGCGAATATAATTACGCAAGGTCCTGGGGCCTTCGACGAAGATAGTTGGAAGAGGATTGAGATTGGAGGAGTTGAGATTCACGCTGCGTGTCGGACTGTACGGTGTCGGTTGCCGAATGTGGATCCTGACTCTGGGGAACGACATGGTGTAGAGCCGGATCGGACATTGAAGGCTTATAGACGCATTGATGAGGGGGATAGGACAAATGCGTGTCTTGGAATGCAGCTTGTTCCGGCTGTGGAGCGGTGGAGGGTGATTTGTGGGGATGAGGTTGTTGTGTTGGAGAGGGGAGAGCATCGGTATATTAAGATGTTGGCGCCTGGGGAGGCTGTTGAGGGGGTTTAAATAGTTTTCCTTTTTTGGGGGCGAAGGGGGGTGGAAGCCAAGGGAGGGAATTGTGTATAATGTACCATATGTATGGTATTGTATGATTAAGTGAAAATGCTAAAGCTAAATGAGATCATGAGGGTATAGGTAAATTACAGGACAAAACTAAGCCTTGACGGGAGCTGCGGCAGGGGTGGGCTCCAACTCATCGGACTCGCTGGCATTGAAGACAGGAGTAATATCATCATCTTCCTCGGGGATGATCAGGTTCAGGACGACGCCAGTAATGGCCGTCACGGCGAAACCATTCTCCATGACGAGATCGACGGCGTTGAGCAGACCCTCAAGAGAGTGATTATCTCCACTGTAAGTGAAGACATAGGACCACCAATCGGGGACGAGGGTGATACCCATTCCCAGGGCGAAGCTGGCGGTAATGATGAAGCGATTGCGGCGGTTGAAGTCGATGGTAGCGATAATTCGAATACCAGAGACAGCGACACTGCTGAACAAGAAACTGGTCATGCCTCCGAGGACGGCGCTGGGGATAGAGACCAGGGCAGCGGCGAATTTGGAGAAGATGCCCATGACGATTAAGAAGAAGCAGCAGCAGTAGCCGGCTGTGCGGTTGGCGCACTTGGTCAGAGCGATGACACCGTTGTTCTGTGCGAAGACAGACATGGGGCTGATGGTCATCAGACCAGCGATCACGCAGGTGAGTCCGTTCCCGAGAACACCACCCTGGACGCGGGAGTCGAAGGTAGCACCCTCAACTTGGAGGCGGGAAACATCGCAGGTGGCAGTGATATCACCGATGGACTCCATCATAATGACCACGTAGAGAGCCAGTAGTGGGAGGATCAGGGGTGGGTAAATGCTCAATTTGAAAGTATGGACCCAAGCGAAGGATGCCACGGGAGCAATGTCAATGCCGGAGCTCTCGAAGTAGTTACAGGCAGCCGCGACAATAGATCCGACCAGCAAGCCGACCACGACGGCGCAACTCTTCAGGATAGGAGGGCCGAAGCGTTCGCACAGAATGATAGTCACGAAGACGAGGAAACCCAGACCAATGAACTCGGCACTTCCCCAGGGCAGAGCGTGAGGCGCATCAGCACTGGGACACATCGGTCTGGTCGAGCCGCTCGGGTAACAAGATGAACCACCACCCCAGTCCTGCATGGCGGACTTGATGAGCGAGGCACCGATCAACAGAACAGTAGGACCAGTAACAAGCGGAGGGAAGACGCGCGCCAGAACCTTGCTGCTCATGAACGACAGGCCGATCTCCAGCAACGCACAGAGACAAGAAGTACCGAGCAAAGCACCATACCCATCAGGACACGGCAACTTGGTCCCATCGGCCGCAGTAGGACAATAGCCTGACTTGTACATCTGACTGAACGCACCCTCGGCAACAGTAATAGTGGAGAAGGAAGTACCAACAACGGAAAGCAATCCAGTTCCAATGAAGTACTTTGTACCTTTAACATGGAACCGACACATTTGCACGGCACTCAGAATACCACAAACCACCAACGAAGTGGAGACCAGATACTGAGAAATTTCATCGCCGAAGTTGGCCCCCGCTGAGCCCGACAGTATAATGGGAGGTGAAATGACACCGGCCAACATAGCAAGGGCGTGTTGCAGACCCAGGATCAGTGCTAGGGCAACGGGCACGCTGTCTTCGAGACCGAAGAAGGGGGCGGATTTGCGGGCACCCTTGGTGAATGGTAGTCGGGGAATGAAGAGATATGCATAGTCGTAGTCGCCGAGAAGGCCGTCACTTCACTTCAAGTTAGTTGGATATTAAATTTTGAAGAATGATCCCTTTGAGACATACCGAGTAGTGAACTTCTTTACGGCACGATGAAGGTTGTCCTTGAAGGAGCGCTGAGGCCTGTGGTCGGGCCCGATCTGGTCTGGACCATCCATGATGTTTCAATGATTGAATTGAATTGAATTGAAGCGGATTGAAGTGGATTGAATAGCGCGGTAAATGGTGACTCTATATACAAAGCATCTCCAATATCCAAGATCGGAGGCAAAAGTGTGGAGAATGGATCCGATAAGATGCCCAGGCCCGCAATTAGCAACCTCATCGCATAAATTTCAATTTTTCACTTACTCTTCTCGGACGACGGACACTCTTATCTGCCGTGGGTCTTTGAACCCCGTGTTCCAGCCAATCAGCAGCCCGATCTTGACTCGTTCGGGAGGTCAAAGATAAGCCATTGAATGTTTAGCCGTCGACCCTAGTGGCCAACACTCCTCGTCTATATTCTTCCATGCATTTAGACACGCGTGGCGGGCGGGGCACAGATGCCTCTCGGGTGTTCCGGGCGGTGATAGTGCTGGGCATTTGGTCCTCTAGCCGATTGTCCCCCGTTCATTCGACGCCCCCCGTATCAAGGATATCTGGGGTTTATCTTTCTGGAGGGTTTGGCATGGGCGGAGGCTGCCGTGGACAGTGGAAGGCGCCGATTCTTATCGTGCAGAGGAAGGTGTACCCTGAAGTCTATATCCCCAAGGTCTTGGCTTATACCCTGAAGCATGCCCGCTCTGGTACGATCTCTAGTACGAACTGGAGAGACTGCCTCAGCTTCCTGATTAGTAACACAGGCACCTCCTTTGGGTACTTCGATCACGTGTGCCGCTCGAGCCTCCCGTCAGGCTTATCTTTGACACCTGAATGTCCTCACCTGCCTCGGCGAGACAAACAAGTTATTCCAAGCTCGTCCCTTCCTCATATATCAAGAGTCATGTATAGCCTCGATTCACGTCAATATGATGTTATGATTGACATACGCCTCACGGGAAGGTTCTTTAGTTTTCGTGCATTTTCGTTGACTCGCCACCCGACCTGACGCAGGTCCGGGTTTTTACCGGGCCGTGCGAATAACCTCGAAAATGGACGGCATGTGACCAGGAACATCAACAAGTCAACAAAATCCCCAAAAGTGCACTGTATTGTTTTCAAAGGGAATTTGGTGTTCAGAAGAGAGGAGGAATGATGTGCACAGTGGCGAGTGCCTCGACCAGTAGCGACAGCCATTTCAATGGCATGCCTCGAGTAAGGGTCACGACGGGCCATGACGGGTAATGAAGGGTCATGTTTCATGAGCCGGGGTCTTCAACCACCTTGCCTTCAGGAGACAGACTATTGCCTAGGGAAAGCAGTATCTATTTGCCTAGGCATGAGTCAATGCACCTCGATGAAACCAGCATCTGCCTCAGGCTATGGGCTATACTACGGTCGCCACATGGCAGTTCGAGTGCAAGCGGCTCGAATCCACTCCCAGCAGCTCCTATCATTTACATCATGTACTGCCCTATAGGCCACTAGATCAGCCCGCTCAGCGCCTGTGCAGTCTAGACCACTTAAGAGGTTACCCAATGCAGAGCATAGCAGGCCACCGCAGGCCATGTGTGGCCTGATAAGTGAAAGTTAGCACCGAAAACAGATGCGATTACATAATCATTGCCTCAGGCCACAAAGTGTTGGGGCGGACCCAACATTCGACTTCATTCGGAACCGCTGAATGTCGCCACTCGTCGAATTATAGAACTGATCTGCTCCCATTCTTACCTCTGCGCTTTTCTTCTCCTTTCTAGCCTCGGCACTTGTGATCGAGTCGGGTGGAAAACGCGTTCTTCCCCGTATCCGTTGGCGATCAATCCCTGCTTCCTCTACTCCTCCCCAACGTTGGTCCTAAGTGGGGCCCCCATATAAAAAAGCACTTGTCCCGACCCTTCCATACCTTCTCTTTTTCACATCATCAACATGTCGACTAAGGCCGAGATTTCTCGCCCTCGGGCACCCGACACCAAGAAGGTGCACATCGCTGACACTCCTTTGACTCGCAACAACTGGTACAAGCATGTCAACTGGCTGAATGTCTTCCTCATTCTCGGCATCCCGGCCATCGGCTGTGTCCAAGCCTTCTGGACGCCACTGCAGCTGAAGACTGCTATCTGGGCCGTTGTCTACTACTTTTTCACCGGTCTCGGCATCACTGCTGGTAAGTCATCAAATAGTATGAAACTTGACATTGGATGAAAGCTGACCATTGCAGGTTACCATCGTCTTTGGGCTCACTGCTCTTACTCCGCCACCATGCCCCTGCGTATTTGGCTCGCCCTTGTTGGCGGCGGTGCCGTTGAGGGCTCCATTCGCTGGTGGGCTCGCGGCCACCGTGCTCACCATCGGTTCACCGACACCGACAAAGACCCCTACTCCGTCCGCAAGGGCTTCTGGTACTCTCACCTCGGCTGGATGGTTATGAAGCAGAACCCCAAGCGTATCGGCCGTACCGACATCTCCGACCTCAACGAGGACCCCGTCGTCATCTGGCAGCACCGCCACTATCTCAAGGTCGTCTTCGGCATGGGTCTCATGGCTCCCATGGTGGTTGCTGGTCTCGGCTGGGGTGATTGGCTCGGTGGTTTCATCTATGCCGGTATCCTGCGTATCTTCTTCGTGCAGCAGGCCACTTTCTGCGTCAACTCTCTCGCTCACTGGCTCGGTGACCAGCCCTTCGACGACCGTAACTCTCCCCGTGATCACGTCATCACCGCCCTGGTCACTCTGGGCGAGGGTTACCACAACTTCCACCATGAGTTCCCCTCGGATTACCGCAACGCCATCGAGTGGCACCAGTACGATCCTACCAAGTGGACCATCTGGTCCTGGAAGCAGCTCGGTCTCGCCTACGACCTCAAGCAGTTCCGTGCCAACGAGATCGAGAAGGGCCGTATCCAGCAGCAGCAGAAGAAGATTGACCAGAAGCGCGCCAAGCTTGACTGGGGTGTTCCCCTGGACCAGCTTCCTGTGCTCGAGTGGGACGACTATGTCGAGCAGTCCAAGAACGGCCGTGGTCTCGTCGCCATCGCCGGTGTTGTCCATGACGTGACCGACTTCATCAAGGACCACCCCGGTGGCAAGGCCATGATCAGCTCCGGTATTGGCAAGGACGCCACTGCCATGTTCAACGGCGGTATCTACTACCACTCCAACGCCGCTCACAACCTTCTCTCCACCATGCGAGTTGGTGTGATCCGTGGCGGTTGCGAGGTTGAGATCTGGAAGCGTTCCCACAAGGAGAACACCGAGTACGTTCGCGACGAGTCAGGCCAGCGCGTTATTCGTGCTGGACAGCAGGTGACGAAGATCCCCGAGCCCATTCCCACCGCGGATGCCGCTTAAACAGAATGTTGTATGCCTTGCATTAAGTGGTGGGTTGGTGTTCCGGGAGTTTTTCTTTTTCTTTTATTATTTTCCTAAAAGCGGCTGTCACATAGATAATCTGTCATGAACTAGAAACGAACCTTTCATTATCCTTATATATGGTATTCGATGTAATCGTAGGACTGCAGACTCGGTAGACTGAAGCCTAAAAAAGGGAGAAAAATGAAATGCGGGGACTCGGTCACCTGACATCGTTGTGGACAGCCGCCAGGTATGTGGATGTAGCTTCAGGTATATCCTTGGCGTCGACTAGCATCGCTTAGCTTAATCCCGTCCACATGTGGCTTGCCTCTATACTCCAAGGGACAAGACGAAACAGGACAATCATCACGTGTAGTCCAATCGACACCTCAGGCAGTAAGAAAGAGCCCCGGCATCGGCCTGCTATCCATTTACGTAGGTCCAAGTATCAACAATCACACTGCAGTACACACCGCATAGCCCGCCACCATAGCCTTCACCGCTCGCCAACACCTCCTGATCCTCCTTCTTGCACTCATCGTGGCGCCCTTTCTCCGTCTCCCCGCCCGCCTTTCCCTCGTGCTGGGTCAACTCCGAACGAATTCACGATTCCTGACAATCTCCAGCATGGCCCCCGCTCACCTACGGCATCCGCCGCAGGCCCCGCCTATCTTCACGGCCACCCCTCAGTCCCTCGTATCTGACGCCGAGCGAATCATCAAGACATCCCGCACTATCCAGGACAAGGTCGTCGCTGAGATCAAGCCCGAGGCCGCCACTTTTGCCAACGTGCTGCGGCCGCTTGCCCAAGATGAGAACGTCATGGCCCTCGAGGCCCACATAATGGGCTTCTATCAGGCCGTCTCGACAGACCAGAAGCTTCGGGATGCATCCTCCAAAGCCGAGGAACTTATGGATGAGTTCTTTATCGAGTCCGCGATGCGCGAGGACGTCTACAAGCTCGTCGATGCTGCCCTGAACAAGAAGGAGTCACTTGACCCCGAGTCCCAGCGTCTCCTGGAGAAGGAGCACAAGGACTTTATCAGAAATGGATTGAGCTTGCCTGCTGGCCCGCAGCGTGGTCGGTTCAAGGAGATCAAGAAGCGGCTGAGTCAGCTCAGTATTGAGTTCCAGAAGAACTTGAACGAGGAGAACGGCGGAATCTGGTTCACCGAGGAGCAGCTGGACGGCGTGCCGGAAGATGTCCTCTCTTCGCTGAAGAAGGGAGATGGCGAGAACGCTGGCAAGCTGTGGTTGACCTTCAAGTACCCGGATCTGTTCCCCACCATGAAGTATGCTACCAACCCCGAGACCCGTAAGCAGGTAATGGTTGCCAACGAGAACAAGTGCAACCAGAACGTACCTCTGTTCCGTGAGGCCGTTATTCTACGTGATGAGGCGGCTCGTCTGCTGGGATACCCCAATCACGCTGCCTTCCGCATTGAAGACAAGATGGCCAAGACTCCCGAGACTGTTGATACCTTCTTGGGTGATCTTCGCACCCGATTGACTGCCGGTGGAAAGAAGGAGATTGAGGCTCTGATGAAGCTGAAGCAGGAGCACGACCCGAAGTCGGATGGTCGGTACTATCTGTGGGACCACCGATTCTATGATCGCTTGATGTTGGAGCGAGACTACCAGCTCGACCACCAGCTCATTGCTGAATACTTCCCCCTTCAGACTACTATTGAGGGAATGCTGAAGATCTTCGAGGAGCTCTTCGGTCTTGAGTTTGTTGAGATTGTTGGTGAGGATCGTGCTGCCATTGCCCCCACGGGTAAGGGCAATGACATTGTCTGGCACGAGGATGTGCAGGTGTTTAGTGTGTGGAACGATGAGGGCGAGGGCAGTGATTTCGTCGGATACTTGTATCTTGACCTGTTCCCCCGTGAGGGCAAGTATGGCCACGCCGCCAACTTTAACCTGCAGCCGGTATGTATCCCAGTCCACGCCCTTGCACATGTCTAACATCTTTCAGGGCTTCATCGATGCTGAAGGCAACCGCCGCTTCCCCGCCACCGCCCTGGTGTGCAACTTCACCAAGCCCAACGAGAAGAAGCCCAGTCTTCTCAAGCACGACGAAGTGGTAACCCTCTTCCACGAACTGGGCCACGGTATCCACGACCTCGTCTCCCGCACGATCTACTCCCGCTTCCACGGCACCAGCACAGTACGGGACTTTGTTGAAGCACCCAGCCAAATGCTCGAGAACTGGTGCTGGACCCCCTCCCAACTCCGCTCCTTGAGCCGCCACTACTCCACCCTGTCCCCTGAATACCTTGCCGGCTGGCAAGAAGCGTCCCAAAAGCGCAGCGGCGGCAAGACAGCTACCGCGCCGCCTTCAGAGCGTATTCCCGACGAGGTAATCGGCAACCTTATCCGCACAAAGCACGTCAACGACGCACTTTTCAACCTCCGTCAACTCCACTTTGGAATCTTCGACATGACCGTGCACGAGCCCGCCAGCCACGCCGACATCCAAGCCCTCCCCATCTCAGGAACATACAATTCCTTCCGCCAGGAAATTACTCAAATGGACGGTCTGGAGGCCCTCGGCGCCGGCAACGAGTGGGGCCACGGCGAAGCTACCTTTGGCCATCTGATCGGTGGGTATGATGCCGGTTACTACGGGTACCTTAGTTCGCAGGTGTACTCGACGGATATGTTCTACACTGTGTTCAAGGATGATCCCATGAACAAGGCTGCTGGACGGCGCTACCGCTACCAGGTTCTTGAGAAGGGTGGTTCTCAAGATGAAATGACGACGCTGACTGAGTTCTTGGGTCGTCCGCCTATGACTGATGCTTTCTACAAGGATATGGGGTTGGCGTAGCTGTAGCCGGTCGCTTGAGTAGTTAGATACGGGACCAGTTTAGAATCATGGCCTATGAAGCAATCAATTGATTGTGAAAGAAAACTAAGAATAATGCGTGTATCCAGAGTAACCACGTCATGTAAGGCTGTATAGAGTAGAGCTGGCAGATGCGATAGCTGATAACCCCACCGCCTTCAACTTCTCCGCGGCCGCATCGACTTTTGCTTCACGCCCAATTTCCAAGTCCAGTCCGGTGGTTCTCTCAAGTCAAGCTCTAGGTTCTCTGTGAGTCATTCCTCGGTTCGAGCGTCCAGCTTTCATACCCTAATCCGTGGATATCAGTGGACACAGCTAAACAAGCTCAGCATCGCGTGCAGACTCAGCTCAATCAGCTTGAGACCTACAGACTTTCAACCTACATCTCAAATCCCTTGAGCTCAAGGCTACAACCCGGCCGACCTCCTATCAACCTCTTACAACCCCCCATCAGAGGTTACCACTCTCACCAAACAAATCCAACCCCAAATCCAATCAACTCCAAAATGACAAACCCACGCCTCCCGATTCAAACGCAACATTGCCGCTTCTGCTCTCACCTCCTCCTCTCCACAACCCGCTCCATATCAACCCTCCCCCGCCGAGCCGGCGACGGCCTCGACAAAGCAATTATACTCCCCCTTCCCACCTCCGCAGACGGAGACGCAGATGCAAACACAGACTCAAAAACAAAGCACATAACCCTCCTCCTCTCAACAACAATACCCGACCGACGCGCGACGCTAATTCGGCGCGAAGACGGGATTGAGAAGAGGATTCTTCTGCGCTGTGGGCGGTGTCGGGTGGTTGTGGGGTATTATCTGGATAAGGTCCATTGGGAGGAGGAGGCACAGGCACAGGCACAGGCACAGGCACAGGCACAGGCACAGGCACAGGTGGAAGGAGAGGAGGAGAAACCGCCGGCGGTTTATATTCTTCCTGGGGCTTTGGTTGGGACGGAAGATATGGGGAGTATTGGAGTTGGGGAGGGGGAGTGGAGGGCGTGGAATGGGGAGTGAGGCTATATGAGATACCATGGATAGTTACAATTAATGGTACTGTTTATACCAACTTTTAAAGTCAAGCGCCATGTACCCAGAAAATAAAGTATATTCCAAAAAGCAGCAGCCCAAACATATGTAGTTGGCTACCAGTCGAAAGCAAAGTCGATAATACATTCACACTCGGTTTGGCTCGACTCAACTCGACTCAACGAGTCCAAGTCCAAGCCCAAGTCCGAGGTCAGGGTTCAGATACAATCCAGCGCCAGCCCAGTCCATAACCATAAAACGTAAAGCAAGATCATAATGACCAGGGTATCTCAATCTCAGTTGGCCAGGATCGTACGCACGAGATCGGTGTAGTTGATCTCGCCGGAGCTGGTGTCAACGGCCTTGAGGAGCTCGTCAACTTCATCGTCGGTCATGCGCTCGCCGAGGTTGGTGAGGACTGATCATTCCGAGGTTAGCATATCTTGTCTCGGGGGTCGGAGTCCAGGTCCAGGTCCAGGTTATCGGGGTTGGTCAACCAACACAACCATAACCGTAGCCATAGATCATTCTCAGGGCAAACGTACTGTATCGCAACTGTCCAACACCAATGAAACCCGTCATATCCTTATCGAACACCTGGAACCCACGACAATACTCCTCGGGCTCCCCGGGATCACGGAAACCACCGGGGCGGTTCAGGACCTTGAGGAAGGCATCAAAGTCGACTATCACAATCAGCGCTGATTCAAATCATACCCTTCATAGTAGAAACACATACAGTCACCACCGACAGTCTTCTCGAGATCGGAGATCTCGGCCAACGTGGGGTTCTGACCACAGGCGCGCAGCAGGTCTCCGAGGAGGTCGCCGGAGACACGGCCAGTGCCGCGGCGGTCGAAGAGGGAGAAAGCTTCCTTGTAGTTGGTAGAGGCCTGGTCCTTGTGATTAGCCATGATGCGTGTTGTGTTGTGTTCGTGTTGATACGGATGTTCGTGTTCAGGTGGAAAGGGATGGAGGTGAATTATGGTTTGAGGGGAACAGGAAGGCGGAAAGGCCCCCGAAGAGGCAAGTCGTCAACAACGGGATCTGAGCGTAAACGTACCATGATGCACGATTGTGAATTGAGGGGTGATGATGTGGAATGTTAGGAAGTTGGAGAAGGGGAGAGAGGGAAATGGGTCTGGTGGGATCGGCCGTTGCCCTCGCAACGGTGGATTCATGATCGCACCAAGTAACATCCTGGTCAACTAGATACAATACTAAGTACAGAGTCCACTATGACCTCAACTTTGCAATACAGCTGTCCAGCAGCCTCGCCGCTTCTCCAAGCAGCTCCCACCGCGTACTCGCAAACGAGTCGCGTAGAATTATCAACAGCCCCAAACACTGGTTGCGTCCCTTCATCCCCTCCAATCCATTCGGCTCGCGCACCCCGCCAACTCGCGCCAGATACGTCCGCATATCATGTCTCTGCTCAGCCAGCGTCGCAAGGACCGGCGGGTTCTGTAGTGGTCCGTCCAGGGCAAACCCGTACGTCCACACGGTCAACGCGGCGAAATAGATCACCCACGGTCGATTCAAGAGGTAATCATCGCGAGCGACATACTCGCCCGGCAATTCCAAGAAACAAGTTGAGAGAAACCTTAACGCGTAGAAGGTAGCATCGCGCGCCGAGGCCTTGGTGGCCCAAACTTCTGTTTTCTCCCGCGCGGCGCTGTAGTCACGCGCCGTGATAGAGCGACCCATGAGACGGCCAGCGCCTGCAAAGATCTGGAGATCGACGATATCGACATGAGATGCGATATGCGCGATACCATGCAACACATCCCGGGACTCGGACTCCATCGAGACAGACGGACCCAGTGCGTCGTCGAAGTCTCGTCGCCAATTATCGTACGAGCGCAGGAGTGCCGTGCGCCATTTATCGCGTCCCCCGAGAGTCTGCCCAACACCTAGCGAACTAACTTGCAGGTCTCGCTGGTTTAAATGCCAACTGACGCTCAGCAGGCCGGCCATGACGATGCTGCGGCCGAATGCGTTGGTCCGCACAGGCTGGCCGTTTAATGTGCGTTTCAAACTGTCAAGGAACATAGTTGGTCGGACGCCGTGGGACTGGAGACTTGATTGCACGCGAGCGACCTCGGCCGCGCTGGTTGCTGCCCACAGTGCCTCGTCGCAGGGTAATGGGAGACGGAGCTCATGAGCAACCATCTTCGCAGAATGACCAAAGATGATAGCATGTGTCGAGTCCAACACGAACGCAGCAAAAGCCACGCGCCGCGTAGCCTCCGCCTTGATCCAATGCGACCAGCTCTCATCTTCTTCCTTGGTATCCGGGGAATCAAACGAAGACCTCCCAATAAGCGAACTCCCACGACGCATCAGAGTCAATGTCGTATCGTGGTGAATATGTGCACGCTCATGCAGCGCCCTCGTAGAAAAGGACTTCTCATAAACCTCCAAAAGAAGCAACGCCTGAAAGACCCAAAGTCTAGCCGGCGGTCGGAAATTAGTGTCCATAAAGATCTCCCACCTCAAATGCCACGCAATGAACCCGGCCAACTCCGCCGCCGTCTCAGTCGCTGCCTTGCCATGGATCTTATCCAGCGTCGCGGCCCCAATAGCCATAATAGCCAGTAGCAGCAGATTAGGCGTACGATCCGCCGCAAAGGTAGGCTGATGCAGAATCGGCAATTGGGAATGGAAATGATACCAGTAACTCCCGATATACGTCTGCATCATGCGCAAACCGAGAACATGCTGATCCGAATCCAAATCCCCATCCATAAGCGCATCCTTGCGCTTGACATCAGCCGAATACGCCGCCTCATTGAACCGCGTCGCCATAAGATGCAGCAATTCCTGCCTTTTCTCTTCAGAGATCAACGCAGGCAGCGACCCGGAGTCCAGGATACTCGTCACGCTCATGGGATGCTGCGGAATAACAGGGCAGATATTATTAAACGCCGGCTCATTGACATAGAACTGGTTATGATTCGGCACCATGGGCATCATCCCATATCCCAGCGGTGCCATAGGCTCACTAAACAACCATGCGGCAAAATCATCCGCCATTGCAAACGGCGATCGATTGTACGTCTCTCCGCCGAAGATAGGATATGCATTGGACATGCTGTCAAACTCGAGCATTCCATCCTGGCTTAGGGTTGGGAACTCCGTGTATCCAGATACGGGGATTTCTGCGCTTTCAATCCCAGTCGAGAGAGGGTATGATGTAGGAGGAGATTTGGGGTCCGCTATAAAAGCGTAGTCTGCCGTCATGGGCGAGGAAGGTGATGTAGTGACGAGCTTTGAGTCATCGTGCCGGTCGGTCTCAGTCGCGAAGGAGTCGCGCTTTTGAAGCTGCGAGCCGCGGGTGGTATGACGCTCGCGATGGCGGACGCAGAGGTCCTGGCGCACGAAGGCGCGGTGGCAATTTGGGAAGTCGCAGTGAAAGATTTGCTTGGGGGAGTCTTAGGTTCAACTGTTAGTTGGGAGACTTCGAGTAGGGGGAAGAAGCGAGAGACGAACGGTTTAACTGGTGGCGATAGAGGTGCTCTGCGCGTGAATAGCTCTTTCCGCAGTTTTCGTGGCTGCATTCGAACTTGCGATCGGAGGGGGCGCGGCGGGTGCGACGGCGTCGCTTGGAGGGCTGTTCGTCCTCCATGGCTGGGTTAACGAGGATCACCATTGGGTGCCATATCAGGATGCAAGGGATGTCGATCGGTTCGCCCTGGAGCACGTGGGGGTGGTATGCAAGTATAGCATAGAAGTATGGAGAAGTGACAGGGAAGGGGATTTGATGTCAAGTTCCGGGGATGCGGAGAATGCAGTGGGGTCGCTTTTAGGTTGGGGCAATTGACCCGGTGAAGGCCACGGCAACTGCTGGCGATGTCTTGAAGGGTGCGATTGGAGTATCGGGGCAATATGCTATTTACGATTGTTAGTATTACACAATACCTTATACTATATTATATACCTCGGTTCGCTTCGTAACTACAGCTTAGAACCCCCAGTTAACTGGAGTCTGGTTAACTTTCCCCCCCCCAAGGGTTACCCCTCCATATACCTATTGAGCAGACCTAGGACTCGAACCACCTAGCTAAGCAACCCCCCGGTCAAAAGGTTTCATTTAGGATAATGTAGAGACTGATATCCCGATATGGCCGGTAATGCTGCCGAGACCGACTTGGCGTGTGCACGTCATCGCGCATATCGGAATATGTATATCGTAACCTTCACAGCCGGTCCATTTCAATATGCACCTACAGATATACAACTATGTGATAGCATTGGTAAATATTTGAGCCTTGACCACATCGAAAGATTGGAACTATACTCCTCATAATAACTGAGTGGAACATTCAACTATTGCATGTGTAAATCTACGGGTCTGCACATGCAACATAACTGGAGACATCTATTATCTCTACCTGGTCATCTCGCGTAAGGACGCGAATCCCAATGGGATCTCTGGCCGGCTACACCGGGATCATAATTCATCACAAACCCGGATTTCGAGCCATCATGCCACTCTGCCACTATGCCGAGACGCGGCAAGAAAGGACCCAACACCTGATGTGCAAATGCTCCGGGGGTGGTTTTGTTCCTGTTGCCGGGCAGACCCAGAAACACCAGTAAAAAACAATGTACATGAGAAAGGTTTCTTCGTTCATCCGCTGAAGCGGAACCGGGTTGCCTCCAGGCGGCCTAGTCCGTCCCGAGGGGCGACGTTGCGACGGCGATACGAGTTGGTGAAATCTGCAATAGAGGTTAGAGAAAACAGTGGGAAGGAAAGGGAGAAGGGAACCCACCTTGGAGAAGAACCCGGATCTTGCGAGTCTCGCCAGATTGCACCTTGTCGGAAATGTTCTTGAGCAGTCGCTCGGCCTCGCCCGGCTTCATGGTCCCGACTGGGAGCATCTGCAAGGTTGTCTGCAGCCAGGCTCCAGTCTCATGGGGAAGGAGTTCGAACATGGTCATCACAACACCCGAAGCATCAGGGAAACAGTCGCCAGGGAATGTGAACATCATGCCGGTCAACACGCGCTGAGCCAGGGGCTGGCCCTGCGACGCAATGAGAGCCTTGACGGCCTCCCGCACCTCAGGCGGGTTAGTGTACGGCTCGCCCTCGGGGGTGGTGAACTCGGAAACCAGGGGCTTGTCAAATGCAAAGCCGAACAGGTCCCGGTAGTAATGAAGCGTGGCGATGAGAGGATCGACCTGCTGGAGGGTAAGAGCGCTAAGAGCAGCAGAGAAAATGGGAACGGCCAGGGACGAGCTGATGCACTTCTTGGGGTAGTAGCGGACAGCGTCAGATGACAAGCGGAAGAAATCCTCAATGACTTTGACGGAGTTAGAGACAAGATACATACGGGGAAGGGGGATATTCTCACCATCGGGCAGGTTCTCCGGAGGCAGGTCATTCAGAATACGGAGGAATGCAAGAGCTTGCTGTTCGTAGAACTGGAACACTGCATCACTGGTAGCTTGGTCAACGTAGTCGGCACCGTCAGAGAACTCACGAACCACCGCGTCAGTGGCCCAGAGGAAGCAACCCTCGCGGGAAGCCTCGAATCCACTGGCAATGCTCTGGGCCAGCGTGGGGAGCAGGGGAATCATGGCAGTCCGGTACGAGATGATCATGTAGCGCCAGCAGCGGCACACACGCTCCAGAATAGGCGTGGAAGACGTAAAGTTCATAACAATCGTGGTCATGATGGGCAGGATCTCGCCGACGTATTTCACGGCCGGGTTCTCCTCGCCGAAAGGAACAATAGGGGTGACAATCTGCACAAATATAGTGATCAACTGCAGGTGATCAGCGACGGCCCGCTGGCCTTCTTCATCTTGAGCGTTGTTGGCAAGGTTCATAATTCGTGCCATGATCGGATCACAGAACATCTTGAAAGAGTCGTAAATCTTTTCGAGCGGCTGCACAGAGACCACAGCGGCCACACCCTCGGTCACCTCCTCCTGGCTAGTGGGCTTGAGCTTGTCCAGCACAGACTCAAAGAAGGCGTGCAGCTGACTGATGTGGCCACCTAGCAGCTTCTGGCAGTCGGTGCCCAAGAACTTGAATGCAAGCGCAGCCGCCTGCACCACCTCTTGGGAGGAGTGATGGAAGGCCGAGATGACATAGTTCAACTGAGCCTCGAGGGTTTCGGGGTGTTGGGCCGTCCACTCGGTGTATCGAGCCAGGGCCATGATGGCCTGGAACCGCACCTTCTCCTGATCAGGGATCTGGACAATTAGTGGAACTAACTGGTTCAAAATGGTATTCTCCTCGGGGTCAACCATGCGACCCATAGCACGAAGACCGAAGAGAGGAGCTTCCAATTCCTGCCAATGAGGGACATGTTCATTGCTAGCCTGCGACGCGTATTTTGCCACCCATTGCTGGATCAACTGATAGATCTTGGCCAGACATTCTTGCGTACTGACCACAGCACAGCAGTCCTTGAGAACGTCTCCCATAGAATGGCGGAACTGGCGGAATTTCTCTTCCTGCTCACGATCACCGCCGAACAAGTCGGTCTCCCCTTCTTCGGGGGTGGGGAATTCGAGGTGCTTGACCATGATGTCTACCAGCTGCGAGAAGATATTCTGGAAGTTCATACGGGCATCTACGAACTTCTCGATGGTAATTTGCTGCTTGAGCTCGTACCAAAATATAAAAGTGAGCGAGACCGCCTCACGTTCCCAGTCGCGCGCAGAGCACTCGAGAACAGCCTCCACCAGACCCCGGAATTCGGCAGGCAGGCGAGCGATCAGGACAGCCCAGGCTTCACCGGCCTCTGAGAACATTCTCGTAATGCCCTTGAACGCCTCCAGGTCTTCAGCTTCGGCGGTTTCCGCAATCTTGGGTCGGAGAGCCATCAATCGGGGGTATAAAGCTTGGATGATTGGAAGCGACTCATCGACATCCCTGGTGTCACGATAGAGGGTGCAGAGGCAGTCAACGCCGGCATCAAATGAGACGTCATTGTCCAACGCTTTGATGATAATGTCCATCAAAGGCGACTCGACGACTTTGGCGGCGGGGATTTCACGAAGCCACGAAGTGATGCAATCGAGAAGACGCGGGTTGGTAGCAGCGGAAGCTAGAAGAATCAGCCATAAATCATAATTTTCTTGCTTTACACAAAACTTACGGGAAGACTGGGCATACTGAATCATCAGCTGCATGACTTGCTCCGCATTGTCCTCCAGCAGCTCTTTTGTACGATCAAGTAGCTCGTCCTCCTATTACAAGATTAGCATTGCCCAAAATGACAGAATTGACAGAGAAAAAAAACCCACGCTGAGGTTAATCTTGCGACCCTCAGTGACTTCTTCCGGCAAGATCTTCAAAAACTCCAGCACGCAGTCCCCCGCATTACTGCCCAATGCCGAGGCGACAGTGGCCAACACGTCCTTCCATGCGATCATCTGAATCGCCAAACTTGCCAAGCACACACATAGCTGAGTCTGAATGGGGCGCGGACCCGAGGCGAAAGCCACGAGTAAATTGAGCACGGAGTCTCGAAGTGCGAGTACGGAGTCGGGAGGAAGTTGGTCCAGGTCGAACACGATCTAAAAAAAGGTTAGACCGGAGGATCAGTGGTCAATCAGAGCGCGGGGTGTTACCTTTCCCTTCAATGTAGTTGCGGCGAATAATTTGGCCTCGACGGGCACATCGGGCGACTGTAATAGCGCATGGGTGGTAGTCCAAGCCTCGACCTGGTACGCATTAGAATGAAGCGAAGATGATTGCCACTCAAACATACAGATTTCTGGAAATTCTCAAGAAATTCATGGGCCTGGGTCTTCTCGGACCTAGGTACATTCCCTTGCATTGTTGCGACGGCCGCCAGGACCGGGGCGAATGCCTGCCCACCTTCCTTGCTGGCCATGATGAAAGACACGTAAAGAGGCTCAGCAGTACAGAATGGGCATTCAATCTGAAAAGAGTGGTTGTTGAAGCGAGATTGGGGGGCGTAAAGAGTGCAAGAGGGAGATGAAGGTGGGATGTTGGTGGCCGTGACGGCCCCGGTGCGTATTCGTATTACCGTTCGTCACGGGACGCAGAGCTTGACTCCTTCGTTTCTATCGTTTCTATCTTCACGTTATCTCTACCCATCTACACCACCATGGCAGGCCGCAAGACATTGTTGGCTCCTATCCACTACATCTTCAGCTTGCTGCAGAAGCGCGCCACCGTTCAGATCTGGCTTTACGAGCAGCTCGCCTTCCGCATTGAGGGCAAGATCAGGGTTCGTGTTTCGGGTCCCGCCTAGACTACAGGATCTCTGCTAACGTGCCAACAGGGTTTCGATGAGTTCATGAACCTGGTTATCGACGATGCTGTGGAGGTGCGCCAAGCTACAAAGACCGAGTCGGAGAAGCGGAGAGTGCTTGGTATGTCAATTGCGAATCCGAAGCCGGAGCGCTAAGCTAACACTCCCCTAGGCCAGATCCTTCTCAAGGGCGACAACGTCTCCCTCATCCAGGCCGTTTAAATCACCGCACCAAATACCGACCATCACCCACCACGATCGCATCGATCAGCCAGTCATGCTCCACAACAGGAATATCTTGGGCGAGCAACTGCTCCTGGAGAGAGAGGGCAACTACAACGGCGTTTAGTTTTATTTGAGGGGTTCAAACCGGGGTTCTTGTTTCAAAATCGGACTTACCCAGGAATGGCATTTTCTTGCTCCTTTTAGAATATTGCGATAGGAAATGGTCATAATACCCTTTGCCATGGCCGAGTCGACGGAATCCCCGATCAAACGCCATGCCCGGCATGACAATTAGATCCAATCCAGTTTCTGTGAGACAGTTTCGTCGCCCGGGTATCTGTGTAGGCTGTAGTGAGGGAATGCCCCATTTGTCGGGCTGTAATGACTCGAATTCGGTCATGGACTCGAGAGCGAGCATATCCATGACGGAGGTCTGGTCGATGGTGTAAATATATGGGATGTAGACATCCTTTCCACGCTGCAGTGCATCTTGTACAATCCTGCTAGTCGATAGCTCTCCGGTCGGCATGGACAAGTATACGGCGATGCTCTTTGCGTTGTGGTATTCGGCGAGCGACAGGAACTTAGTGGTCGCGACAGCGGCTGCGAGGGGTCAGCAATGCAACGACACAAGGGGATGAAGGGCAGACATTGCTGGCTGATGGACGTCGTAGACAAGCGTCCAAAAGTATCACGCATCTGCTTGCGCAGCTCGCGTTTTGCCAATTGGAAAGCCATGACCCCGCGGGAAGTTGAAGTTGTCGGGGAAAGGTTCATTCCAGGGCGATAATGATAAGGGTGGACCGCATTGCTGAAGCCCTGTGTGAGTCCCCACCTGAATGAAGGGATTCCTTTTAACCTGGCCTCTCCCTCTCTTCCTCATTCAAGCAACCATGATTTGGATTTGGAGTCTGTTGGCGACAGTTAGTGCGGCCGCGAGTGTCGATCAACTAGTTGGGACATGGACGACCAAGTCACAGCAGGTCCTCACGGGTCCGGTATGTATACTCGAAAAACAACAACAACATCGCGAAACTAACTTGGACAGGGATTTTACGATCCACTCAATGACCGTCTGATCGAGCCCGACCGGACTGGTATTTCCTACTCGTTCGATGACGATGGAAACTATGAAGAGGCGTTTTATCGTGCCCTGGCTAATCGTGAGTGGATCCGATCTACGATCTATATAGAACGGAGATAGAGATGGAACTGGAACTGACGCGATGAAGCCACCGACCCCGAATGCCCCGCTGGTATTCAACAGTGGCAGCACGGCACCTACATGCTGTCCGCCGACGGCTCTCTAGTTCTCCACCCTATTGCAGTGGACGGCCGTCAATTGGTGTCGGAACCATGCAGACAAGACGTTGGCGCGTATACCCGATACAACAACACCGTGCACTTGAAGGTATGATCCATCGTGACTTCTACATACGTTATCTTGACATATTTAGGGCTTCGCTGTATCCATCGATAAATACCACAAAGTCGAACGACTCGACTTGACCATGTTCAACGGGGAGAAGATGCAACCCATGTACCTGGCATATCGACCTCCCAAGATGCTTCCAACAAACACATTGAACCCGGTGCCTATGGGCAAAAAGAAGCGTGACCTGTCTGGAACTGGATTCCATCTGATCATCAAGGAGGAATTGATTAATCCAGACCGGTGGTGGTGGTTCGGTGTGATGATGACCTCCCTTGGAGGAATCGCCTATTTCTTCTCTTGATCTACATTCATACAACGTTCCATGCTTTCATCAGAGGGGATATATTGTAATAGTAACAGTAATGTACACCAGCCTATACCTAGGTAACAGCTTCGTCTAAGCAGAAACTGCCTTCTTCACCAAACCAGCAACTTCCTTACGGTCTGCCGGCTTGCCATCCAATGCACCACCGGGAGCAAACAGAGACTTGAGGACCTGTCCAATTTCCAGCTTCTTTCCAGTCTCCTTAATGGCAGTAATTTCCTTTGCGATCACTGCCTCGACTTCTTCCACACTCAGAGTCTTGATCTGACTGGCATATCCCTCAAGAATAGCCACCTGCAAGTCCTCCTTCTCTTTGAGATCCGCCCGCTCCTCCTTGGCAAATTGTTCTGCGGCTTCCTTCGCGGCGGATGCGCGTTTCCGGATGAGGGAGAGGAGCTGGATGTCTGTCTGGATGGGCGAGGCGGTTTTGGCGGCGTTGTTGGTCTCGGAGATGAGAGCGCGAAGAACGTTGAGTCTGGAAATACTTAGTTTAGTCGACATAGAGTGGAACAGACTGGCTGACCTACTTGGAAGTTTCCTTGGCTCTCATAGCAGTCTTGAGATCATTCCGCAGTGTAGTCATTAGAGGCGGCAGCACCGGGCTGGAGGAGTTCCAGCGCACCCCAAGGGGGGTGCGCAGAGGCACCCGGAAAGTGAAACGAGTTGCCTGAAACATGACGGCTTTCAACAGTCTCTTAAGAGTCAATTGCGAATGTAAAATGGGAACAATAGCAGAGTAAGGCGGAAGATCACCTCAAGTGGTCCGTGCACGTTGTTGACCTGCGAAAAGAACCTGGAAACCAATTCCTCCACCAACTACAGCTACACCCGCGATTTCAACCCACGACCTTTTTTTGTGTGTATCTTCTTTCATTAGATACTGCAGCTACTTTTTGTCTCCTCGGCGGGGGAGCTATTTCCTCTTCTCCCCTTCCTACCGTTGCAAATTCTCCGCCATGTCGTATCCAACGCTGCCGAACCTCCCTCCGGCGACACCGCAGAAAGCAGTACCTGGTGCTTACCTGCAGACTCCTGCTGTCGCCCGCCATGAAAATCTCTTCAAGTCTCCAATGCAGCCGACATCCCCTCAAACACCAATGACACCGATGCCCAAGTTGCCTCCGACAACGACTACGAAGACCTTGAGCGCCGAGGAACGTGGAGCGCACACCATCAGCCAGACCCTGGCTTTAGAAGCGCAATATCCAGATTTGGATAGCTATCTGTCTCGTTAGTGTTTCCCTTTCATCCAACTACAGACACAGGACTAACACCTTACAGAAGGAGTTTCCTCCGAATATGACATCCCCACGGCCTCATCGTGGGCGCCCTTTCATAAAGTCAAAATGTACAATATTCCCGACCAGATATTCGATCAGTACAATCGCGCACAAGTTTCGACGAGCATGGGTCTTTTCGCCGAGTTGAACCACGCGTGGGTGGCCATTGACAACGCGCTGTATCTCTGGGATTTCACACACCCCAACCCTCAATTGGTTGGGTTCGAGGAGCAACCTAACAGCATAAACGCTGTTAAGCTGGTGAAACCGCGTGCGGGCGTGTTCTTGCCTGCCATCACGCATATGTTGGTGGTCTCGACCACCGCCGAAGTCATTTTGCTGGGCATGAGCTGTGAGACAACTTCAACCGGCTCAAAACAGGTTGCGCTTTATCAGACCGGGATGACGGTGGCGATTCGCGGGCTTGATATTCACGTTTTTGCTTCGTCAGACTCCGGCCGCGTTTTCTTCGGAGGTTCCTCTGACAACGACGTGCACGAGCTCACGTACCAGCAAGAAGAGCGATGGTTCCAAGGTCGTTGCGGAAAAATAAATCATACAAGCTCGCGTCTCTCTGTTTTCAGCCCATCTCTCAGCTTGACAAATCTGGCCGCAAGGGCTCTCACCGAGAATGTGGAACAGATGGTGGTTGATGATAGTCGGAAACTCCTCTATACTCTTTCCTCTGCCTCAACTATCCGGGTGTTCCACTTGAGAGCCGATGGATCGCTCAACCTTGTCATTACCAAGCTCGCCAGAGATATCTACTCGAATATCGGACATATCATTGGATCTAACGAAACTCTTAACGAGAGGGTCAAAATTGTTGCCATCAGCCCTGTTCCAGCAGCCGAGGCTTCGCGATACCACTTGGTCGCGACCACTGCCACCGGGTATCGTATTTATCTTAGTGCTACAGGCTCCTATAGCTGGGCGCCCAGTTCGAATGGCACCAACCCGCCCACGAGCATGCAAGCCCAGCACATCAAAACACCTCCCATCGACAACGCCGCAAACGCGAGCATGACCGCGCAATTTCCCATGGCCGCCATCAAGTATCCAATCCACTCTCTGGCACCAACTCGAATGGCATCTCGTTTCCCTCCCGGCTACTTCTTCTGCTTCACATGCAAGGATGCCACTCAAAAGGCAGATACATTGTTTGTTTCGTCTCCCGACCCCGGTCTCCTCGCTCGCCCAGCCCGCGAGCAAGGAGTCATGAGCAAGTCTGATGAATCGGGCATATGGTTGAGTCTGGGTGGTCGTGCAGAGGATATTGGATTGTGCTCGCCAACTCCGCCGACAACATCTGCCGGCTTTGGAAACGAGCTAGCCATTCAATTTGATCATCCTGCTGCGGAAGTGGCGATTCTCACAAACTCCGGAATTCACATCGTTCGTCGACGACGCCTGGTCGACATGTTCGCCGCCCTGGTGCGCAGTGGCGGAAACAGCGAGGAAGGCCTGGAAGGTGAGGTTGTCAACTTGATCAAGAAGTACGGTCGGAGTGAGGTCCTTGCTACTGCTCTTGCTGTCGCTTGTGGCCAAGGTGTTGAGATCTCATCGGACCAGCGCCTGACACGGATCAACGATCCCGATGTGCTCGAATTCGCCCGCAAGGTCTTCATTGAGTATGGTGGTCGCCCGGTGTCTAATGAAAATTCCGTGCCTGATTCGACCTCAGCAATTGATGCTTGGAATCCCTCTCCTCGGCATCACGGCATTGCCCTATACATATCGCGCCTGTTGCGGTCAATCTGGCAAAAACAAATTGCCAAAGTTGGTAGTGCGCCTAATGGTGCGATGACTGTTGCTGCCTCGGTGACTGCCTCCAAGCTACAGACCATCCAGCATGATCTTGCAGCTCTGCAAGACTTCTTCAAGACAAACAAAAGCTTTATCGAGGGTTTGAGTGGACCCGAGGCCTTGGCTCGAGTGACAAACAAGCAGGAAGAAACCGCTCTGCAGGCTGAGCACCGTGCCTTGCACTCCCTCGTGCAGCTCGTGTCACACACCATTGAGGGAATTTCATTCGTCCTGGTCCTCTTTGACGAGCGCGTGGATGAGATTGTCGCGACACTACCGGCAGAGTCCAAGGAGCGATTCCTCAAGCTAACCTTCGAAGAGCTGTTCAGTAGCAGCAAGGGACATGATATTGCCAAGGAGCTAGTCAAGGGCATCGTCAACCGCAACATTGCCAAGGGTTCCAACGTTGAGACGGTGGCCGATGCACTACGCCGGCGATGTGGCAGCTTCTGCAGTGCAGAGGATGTCGTTATATTCAAGGCGCAAGAACAGCTGAAGCGTGCGACAGAGGCCGGTGCCAACTCGGAATTGGGTCGCAACTTGTTGAACGAGAGTTTACACCTATTCCAGCAGGTGGCTGACAGCCTCCCGATGGATTATTTGGTTTCGGCCATGGACAACTATATTGTTAACCAATTCTTTGCCGGTTAGTCTTATTTGTGGTGTTAATTTTCAGCTGCTGATTGATTAGGTGCTATCCAATTGGCCCTCAATGTCGCCGGCCGCTCCGACAAGGCGAATGTCGCGCTCTCCTGGATTATGGATGGACGACCCGCACAGGTACTTATGTCTTCCGAATTATCAACTTCTCACCAGCTCACCCAAATGCAGGACTCCCGAAAGGACTACTTCTACTTCCGCAAGCAATGTTACGACCTTATCTTTAAGGTGGTGCTTGCTGTTGATACCCTGGCCGCATCCGACCCCGGCTACATCGACGGTCAATTGACCGTGATTGCCAAGCGACAGAACGAGGCCTATGGTGTTATCTCCGATTCCACAGATGAAGTGTTCTTGACCAGCTTGTACGACTGGTACCTGGAGCAGGGCTGGAATGACCGTCTCCTCCAAACACAGTCGGCGTTTGTCGTCACCTACCTGGAGCGCAAGTCTACCGACGATATTGCCCATGCGGATCTCCTCTGGCGGTATTATGCTCAATCTCAGCGTTTCTTCGAGGCTGCCAAGGTTCAGTTCCAGCTTGCGCAAAGCGCGTTCACTCTGCCTCTCAGCCGACGCATTGAGTATCTGGGCCGTGCCCGTACTAATGCTTCTACTTTCACTCCCGACGTGGGCCGTCAGTCGCGACAGCGCTTGCTACAGGAGATCACCAACCTTATTGAGGTGGCCAACATTCAAGATGACCTTTTGCAGCGATTGAAGGATGACACACGGATTGCCGCTGACCGGAAGGCTGAAGTCCTGCGTGATGTGGATGGTCCTGTGATGGACATCAGCACAGTATGTCTGCCCCTTTAACCCTCACACATTGATACTAACAGCCGCAGCTCTTCAACCAATACGCCGATTCAGCCAGTTACTATGACATCTGCCTTCAAATCTTCTTCGCGGCCGACTACCGCAATGCAGCCGACATCAAGGCAACCTGGGCCAACCTCATCCAAGATGTCCACGAAGTCACCGAAACCCGCGGCTCGCCTCTCCCCCACGAAGCCGTGATTGAAAAAGTACGCAGTCTTGGCAGCCGTCTCCGCATGTCCGAGATGGTCTTCCCCATCCGCGAACTGGTCTCTCTCCTAGAACGCTACTCCCTGGAACACCAGTACCACCGCCAAGCCAACCGAACACACTGGGTTGTCGACCTATTCTTGGATCTGGGCGTTCCCCACGAATCTCTCTACGGCGTCCTCGAAGCCATGTTCTACACCGACGAAGCCCCCTTCCACGGCTCAAACCGCCGCATCATCGCCGCAGACTTGCTATACCTGCTCGATGCATGGTTCAGCGAGAGCGCACGACCCGGCGGCACTGTATTCGGCTCCGACCTTATGGCCGAGCGTGTCTCCGAGACCCTAATGCTGCTACAGCAGGGCGGAGGCACACAGGAAATTGTGGAAGCGAGTCAGGGATTGAGACAGCGTATTGCGGAGCTGGTTTGTTGAAAAAGGGATGTTTTTTGTTTAATGTACTCTAGTGGCACCGTCGCTGGCGTTTTTTTGGCAGATGGTAATGAATGACAAATCGTGTGTCCGCTTTCATAGAATTTTGTTCTCTCCAGATGTGGTTTGATCCGATCGTGCAGGTACATGCATACACTAGACTTGGTGCGTAGTTTCTTGAGACGTATCTTATCTTTGGCCTTGAAGCAATGCATGGCTAAAGCATTGATGCAGATACATACTTCCAAGATGGTAAGAATCCACATAACTAGGTCTATTCCAGAACTTTGTAAGAACGACCCAGCTGACCAGGGTATATGCATTAAATAAAAAAAGAAGTGAAAGTAAAGTAAAATAACCGAGAACCACAGTCTAAGGGAATCATAACGAACAAAACTGAAACGCACGTCTATCAAACAAAAGAAACGCTTTTCAAGCCCATTTACTCAAACTCGTCGTACACAGGAATAGGCTTCTCGCCGAGCGCAATAAGCCGGAAGATATGCCGAGCCTTGGCACCATATTCTTCATCCAGGTAATCAACAATAGCGGAGTCTGTAGATCACCATTAGCACCAATCCCAAAAAGGCATTTCTTAAACGCTATGCAACCCCGACTGTGCAGCGTGCACCGGGTACTGGGCACCACAACTGGGTAAAGGGAAAAAAAAAGAGAAGATAAAAACTCACGAGTAGTCGACCGATTATCAAACATGACAATAGTCCTTGGCTGCCACCTAACTCTAGCCTGGAAATCATGACCGGTGACGATATGATTCATCAAGAAATCCGTCATCCACTTAGTCTCAGGCTCCTTCATACCCTGAATACGAGTAATGAATTCCGCATTCAGAAACAGACATTTCTCTCCGGTTACAGGATGCACACGGATCAACGGGTGCACAGTGTCAACAGGATCCTTTCTAACCAAGCCCCCAGTGAGTCGGGTATGGTTAATCATCTTGGCAGAGCTATGCACGACCTTCAGCGTATCCAGGAACGACTGAAGCGTCGGACTAAGGCGTTTATACGCCATATCCGTAGCGGCGAAGACAGTGTCACCGCCGACATCGGGACCCTGCAGGAGGCCTAGCATGACGTAGCCTGGAGGATGGATCTCGTAGGAGACATCCTGGTGCCAGAGGGTGGTAGTGGTGCGCTGGGAGAGGAAGCGTTCGATTTCCTCTCTGTTTCCATCACGGTGAATAACGTGGAAAGCGGGGTGATTGCGAACAGAGCCCGAAACAGGCTGGTAATTAGGTTTACCGAAGTGACGCATGAAGCGTTCCTGTTCATCGGGACCAGCATCGATGAGATCCTGATCTGGGAAGGCGACGACTTTGCGCTCGGAAATGAGGAGGGCAAGTTCATCCTTGGCTGAGTCGGAGAGGGTGTTTAGCTGCACGCCTTCAACGACTGAGCCGATAGAGGGCTGGATGTGGTTGATTTTGGAGCCGGGGGAGAGGAGATTGCGCTTGGAGCGGTCCTTTACGCGCAGAGCTGGGTCGGAGTAATCGAACGGTTGAAGGGGCTCGAACCAGATTGGGTCCCAGTTGGGGAGGTACTGGGGGTATGGGGTATTGATTTTGGATTGCTTGTCGACGTCAACATAGGGGATATTGATGTCGTAGCTAATGGGGATCTCGGCCTTGTGGGCATTGGGTTTGCGGATTAGGGGGGCAGAGGAGGGCATCTTCAAATGTAGGAAGTTGTAGCACCTGGCACCTTGGATATAGACCTCGAGGGTGTAAAGGAAGTATAGAATATAGAAAGAAAAAAGGGATCAGATAATGGAATCAAGCTAACTCACACCGTTTATATAGATCGGTTGTAGGCCACACCCACTCCACCGGGGCACCCCTGTTCAAACACTAGCTCGAGCACCTTCATTTCCGAGTCTAGGAGGCGTTCGCCAGACAAGCGGTCAGCTCGAGGGCGAAACCGCACAAATCCCGGTGTGTTCCGTGGGTGATTTTCACCGCTCCATGTTCGGCGAGAAATCTCCGTGGCGCTAGTGCAGTTAAGTGATAAGGCAAATGCAGGCGGGATGGCAATTTTGCATTATCGGTGATCAGTATATGATAGCGGGTCCCACGAATCGGGCAGCTCGAGAGAGACGAAGAGCGAGCGTAGAACCCCTTAGTCCGCCTCGGTAGCTCGTTAGCTCGTTATCCCGGTAGTCCGTTAGTGCCTCCCCCCGGAGCTAAACGCCGTCAACACTCTCAATTCGGGGACGGCTCCATTTCTCCATTCCGGCTTGATTGGTCGTCCAAAGATGCGGTCTGTCCTTTTGACCTCATCGTTCTTTGGACACGTCGCACAGGCAATCCGGGAGCTTAGGTCCCGGCAAGGATGCATCGTACGGTTCTAGCCTATTCTAGTCCCTGACCCCTAACTGTGCCTATCTGTCCCTAGCTGTGTCTACCGAGGTAGTATAGCTCCCGGGGACCCATGCAATCCTCATAGCCTAGGTACCTTGGTTTCCAAGTGGATCAATTGGGCTCCGGGATCGGGCCGCCAATTCCAGACATTGGAGTTCAACGGTGAACGACGGAATACGCAATGACGGATCACCCTAATAGTCCTCCCGGATAGCTAAACCCCAAAAACAAGGAACAAAACCCGAATCGATAGTAATAATATGGTGGACCGATCTCCACCGAGCTTAAATCGCAAAAAAAAGCAAACATACCCAGATCGCCGGGCGGCCCCACTGCTCTGTCAGGTACTTTCTGTCTCCTTTTGCCCTACGTATTACGTAGGAACTTCTCTTTCACAACCACCACTACCCTCACTACGGTCACTACCCTTACTATCCCAGGATCAGATAATTCTCTCATACTCCACCATGCTCCCCACTCGCAAGCGCGATTGCGCATATCTGATCTTCTTCGCCACCCACATCCCCGTCATATTCCTTATTGATACGGTCCCTCTCCTGCCCCCTTTCATGGTGACCTCCCTCTCCCACACCCTCCGCGACTTCTATATAACCACCTACCGCGACAAATTCTTCTCCGAGCCCCCAACCTGGTTCACCGCCTTCATATGGATGGAACTCCTCTACCATGTGCCATTGAGTCTGTGGGCCGTGTGGGGGTTAATGCGCGGTGAGTTCCCGTTCCTGTTCCCGTTCCAGCCTCGCGGCCCCCCTACTACCTGTCTCCCGGACGGGGCCCTCCAACGCCTCGGAACAGAGACTGAGAACCCCACCTACCACGCTGGGCCGGAACCAGCATAGGATTCTCTCCTCGAAGGATTGTCTCACTAACGAGTCCCAAATTTAAATCTAGACCATCCATTGGTGCCGGTGCAGCTTCTGATTTTCGGGGTTCAGGCTTTCGTCACCTCCCTGACATGCCTGGTGGAAGTCTGGAACTGGCCGGACCGCTCCGTCGCCGAAAAGCAGCAGATCACCTCACTCTATGGCCCTTACGTAGCTCTGGGTATGTACTTTCCCCTCCGGGCCGTGCCTGGTGGCTTGGCATTTGTGATGTGATGGCTCTAACACGGATGTATCTCGGTTTCAGGTGCATACATGGCCTTGGATATGGTCTTCCGGCTACGAAACTCGCTCTCGAAATCAAAGCGCGATTAATCGACGCATCAGACGCAACACATAATCGTACACATTCGTTACGTGCAATGCTGAACCCCGCTAAATACAAGTTTCCTCCCCGAACGCCGTAGGAATGCTTTCAAGGATCGTGATCAGCCAGCAAGATCATGATAGCGTTGTCCAGGTCTCCTCCGGTGGCATTCAGTGCCCGCACCGCGTCCTCCCGAGAGAACCCCAGCTCTGTGATCTTGCTAATGGTATCCTGCGGCCAGCGCGAGGTGGGGGGCTGTGCGGGTCGTATGTTGATCCTCGGAGCAGCGTTGCTGGGAGCGGCACTACTGCTGGACTCGCCAGGCTTATTCTCTGCCTGGTGAGTAACAGCGCCGGTTCGAGCACCTACCTCAGCTCCGTCTGCGCCCTTGACCGTCGGCTCGTCCTCAAATTCCTCGGTCAAGTGCTTGGGGATATCGGCTTCGCCCAGGAACGGCACGGCCTGGTCTTGGATGACTAGCGCGCCGAGTCGCAGGTCGATGCACGCCTGGTGTCGTCGCAACATATCCAGTCCCAGTAGTAGGTCAATCTGCTTGCCTTCCATGACGGTGAATGAGCATGGCAGGAACATCTCCCCAATCTTGATCTGTGCCGAGTGCACCCGTCCCAGGATCGGAGCAGTGCCCACTCCCTTCGCGATACCCCCGTAGCGCCGGTCGACTAGACGCATTATGTTGCATGCTGTAGCACACTCGGGCGACATGATAGTAACCTGGGCGCCGGAATCGACGAAAGCGTTGAGACGGCGACCGTTGACCTCGACGGGGATGTAGAGCATCGTAACACGGCCGAAAGCTGCCAAAAATCAATCGCCGCACATCCAAGAAAGGACATTTAAGAAGGACAACTTACACTCAGGGTGATGCTCCATCGCATTATGCAAATTCTCTGTAACAGCATTCTGGCGAATTATCTCCTCAATCTCTCTTTGATTCGCCGGATTAAACGGATCAGCATTCAACATAGCAATTCTAGCCTCCTTCTCTGCCTCCTGTTGACTCTCCCTCTGCTGCTGCGAAAGCAACACCTCCCTAAACCGCTGCGCATTATCCGCCGCATCGGCAAGCTCGGGATTCTGTCTCCGAACCGCCTCGCGCACGCGAGGATCACCGAGGATATGCAACCTGATCGTCTCCGGGTCCGGCATTCCAGGCCGGGGGGCTGCCTGGCGAGGGGCGGAGGGGCCGGGGGTAGCTCGGGGAGCGGGTTGGGTTGGAGGGCGGAGGGTGACGTGGACGCCGAGCATATCGCCCTCTGCAATACCGACTTGGTCGAGGGTTTGTGAGGGGTTGCCAAGGAGGGCGTTGTTGAAAACGAGCTGTTGGGCTTCGGGGGGGATGGAGGTTTCGCTTTGCACGATCGCTTTGAGGAGCTCGACGGTCATGTCGCCGCCTACTTCGAGGTTGATAATGTCCGAGTCCGCCTGCTCGGGCCGGATGACGCTGACGGTGATCCGCCTGGAAAGGTCATGGTTAGTCGGTGCTGGTGCAGCTACAGCTGGGCAGGGACTCACATGGTGAGGTGGAGGGGGTGGGGGGGGGGAGTTGAAAGAGGAAGAATGGAGGGGAGCTGACGATTAAATAGGGTGGAAGGAGATGGAAGGGACCTAAGGTGATCCCCCTTACATCCGATCCACTTCAGCTGTGTAAATCCGGCTCTCTGCTCTGCTCTGTTCTAGACTAAGTCCACCTGCATTACGCGTTGATCCCCGCGCAGCTCCTATCTCAGCCACCGCGATAGCCTCAGAGAGCCTCCGCCGTCATTCCTATTCTATTTAGCCTGAATTACCGATCGAGAATGTGTGTCGTTTGCTCCATGAATAACGATCTATGGTCTATGATCTATGATTTCTAAGCTATGATCAACTGTGATAGATCCAAACGGACTCATCCTCCCCAACTCCCAACTCACCCCGCAACATCGGGCGATCCCGCATCCCGTTCGGGTACAGCCTCAAACGGTGCGCCTACATGGCTGAGGGTCTGTGTACACTCGCTAATCTCCCGATACGCTGGTTCCTCATGCACAGAAGCCTTATGGGACAAATCCGTCATACGATTCTCTCGAAACATTCTAAAAGCATCGTCCTGCTCCGTCTAGCACGCTGCACCTCTCCTAAAATAGACAATTTGACACAATTGCACCAATTGAAATGATATGATACCTATAGCACTACCACTCATACACCAAAACTGACTATTCAATACGCTGAGCACTAGACACATCAGGCACACCCCGTCCCTCCGTGATTTTCGCATCAATGACCTCGTCAATAGGAATCTCCGCCAACCTCTCCACAACATGATGCAGTGTAGGCAGCGCATCCCATCCAAGCCCACTAATCTCCACCTTTGCATTCTTCGTCCGTCTCAACCTTGTAACCTCACTCGGAACAACCTTCGACTCCTGAGCATGCGGCACGAAAACGGGATACTCCGCCTCCGCCTCACCCTTAGTATCGCGGCCAACCTTGGGAATATATCGATAAACCAAAATGCCATCATCATCCTCCCCACCAATAGTGCCCTTGTCAGCCCCATGATCCTGATCTTCTAGATCCTCGAACTCGAAGTGGCCCCACACAGCCCCCTGCCAGCTCGTCTGCAGGCGATACGAGCTGCGTCGCTCATGCACATCAATAGCCGTATACAGCTTCGGCATGCCGAGCTCCTCACGCCCCGAAACAATCGGATCCGCGAGATTTTCAAACAGAATAGGCATGTATGTACCCTTCAGCACCTCCCCATTCTCTTTCTTATACTGCACTCCGTGGATATACAGCCCGATATGTCTGTATCCGCCACCGCCGAGCCAGTCCATGCCATTCAACGTGGTCTGGGAGAAAGAGGCGCGCGCAACAGTACTCGGCGAGGTGAAGCTGTACCGGTCATTCGGGAAGAGATTCTGCAGTAGTGTGCGGCTAGTCTTGAACTTGATTGAGGCTGTCATGAAGGTGGACTCGACGGATTTCAGTGCCCGGTCGTTACCCATCCAGTCCTGTCGAGGGCCGGGCATGGGTCCGAAGACGATGGGCTGACGCCAGTACATGTGCGGGTTCTTGGACCAGAGGTATTTGCGCAGGACCTGAGCCGAGTGGTCGAATTCATCGTGGCCGTAGATATATCCGACCATAGCCATAGCTGGAGACAGTTAGTACCTTTTTTATTTATTTTTTTACCATGATCATGATAGGAAGGAGAGAAAATGAAAACATACCCTTCTCCATAGAGATAAGCTGCGCCGACTCGCGGGTCATCTGCTGGATAGTGGTTGCACGCCCATGTCTCGCGATCTGATAAACTTTCAACCTCTCCTCCACATCCCCCTTCTCCACACCCCTCGGCAACATAACAGCCAAAGAGACCGCATCTTCAATCGCCATAGCACCTCCAGAAGCCCGATAAGGCAAGAAAGGATGAGCAGCATCACCCAGCACAGCAAGTTTTCCATGAACCCACTCCGGAAGAGTCTCCATGTCCAACAAAGGCCACAACTTCAATGTTGCCGGATCAGCTTTCTCAAGCAGCTTCTTGACCTGGGGACTGAAATCCTTGAAAACTTCCAACAGCGTGTCCTTTCCAATCTGCTGATTATATGAATCCCCGCCTGCATCGATCGTAGTCATCGAGTCAGGATGAATACACACGAAATTGAGTAAGTTGTTATTATCACATGGGTAAATGACAACACGTCTATCAGACGAGTCCCACATATCGACTGCGCCGAAATCTTGAGCAACGGAATTGGTATCCGGGTCGTCAAGGGCTTGTTGGCGGGTTATCAGGAAGCGGAAGGCGTTTTTACCCGAGCTGAAGGGGGAATGGTTGACGGGGAGTTTGGTGCGGGTTAGGGAATGGACACCGTCTGCGCCGATAAGCACGTCGCCAGTTATGACTGTGCCGTCTTCGAGGGTTACAGTTGCCGCGTGCGGATCGATATCGGTTACTTTGGTGGCTGTGTGGAGGATGGCGGGGTGTCCGCGGCCTGGGGCTTGAGCGAAGGCTTTGAGACCTTCGTGGAAGTGGGCGCGGTGGACGAGGAGCCAGCGCTGGAGCTGTTAGTTTTGTATAAGAGAGGTTGGGACCGGGGAAGACATACGTGTCTCCACATGCCAGCGGCTTTTTTCAATTCTGCGATGTGCACTGGCTCGCCGGATGGTTTGTATTCACGAAGCTATACTATTAGCTGGTGCACACATGGAAGTAGAGATGAAGACCTACCTGTTCCGCCTCTACGGCGCCGAACTTGGTGGCATCGAATCCGAGCCGTTGGAGAACGCCGTTAGCGTTTGGTGACAGATGGATAGCGGCGCCGACTTCGTTTGCGAAGCGTGAGCGTTCGAAAAGCTTCTCTGGTTAGCTTCATACTACAAATTTCACACTTTGTGCCAGGTGACAAAAGAGACAGGCAACGGAACGACGACAGTCTCACCTCAACATGATGGCCCTGCTGTCTCAGCGCAATAGCAGCAGTAAGACCACCAATGCCCGCACCAACAATCAGAATGCGGAGACCCTCATCGGAGGTATCCTTGAGTTCCTTGATCGTCATCTTGTAACTTGTCAGACGTAGCTATGCTTCTCAGCTATGACTTTCTCAAGGGCTTTCAAAACAGACTAACGTTCGCACGGCCCGAATTAATATTTATGCCATTACCATTGCCCTTACAAAGAATCGCGGAGGTCCGGGGTCTCCATTTCGGGCCCATATCCGCATCCCGCGTAGTCGCGTACATTGACGGGGCCTCGGAAGACAATTTCGGCTCCACATCGGGACGAAGATGCGGGGACATAACAAAGTATATGAATTGTGCATCTGCAGTAAAACAGCTCCGTTAAGTCCATTAAGATAATTTGTTTTTCTTTTTTCGGTACCAATTGGACTGTTCTCAAAATGCCAAACGAAGTCAAAGACATCTACACCAAGGACGAATCCTCGGCCTACATCTTTGAGCAAAATGTCACCGTCACGCTCAAAGATGGCTCCGGCTTAGTTCGCGCCAATGTGTACAGACCTAAGACGACAGAAAAGGTCCCAGTTCTAGTGACCTACGGTCCCTACGGCAAGGATATTCCCTACAAGGACTTCCACCCACAAAGTTTCAGCGAAGTCAACCCCGAGCACCGCTCTGAGCATTCCGCATGGGAGACTCCAGACCCTGCTTACTGGACCGCGCAGGGCTACGCAGTTGTGCGCGCCGATGAGCGCGGAACAGGCCAGTCAATGGGCAAGCTGGATACCATGTCCCGGGGAACAAGTGAGGCGTTCTTTGACGTTGTTGAATGGGCCGCTGAACAGGAGTGGTCTTCTGGCAAAGTCGGACTCTTGGGAATCAGTTATTTCGCCGGAAGTCAGTGGCGCGTGGCCGCGAGGCAGCCGAAGGGTCTGGCGTGTATGATTCCGTGGGAGGGAATGTCTGACTATTACCGCGATCGATGCCGACATGGTGGTATTCTTTCGAACAAGTTTATCAAGTTCTGGTGGGATCGACAGGTTGTGAGTAACCAGTATGGTCTGGGTGGACGTGCGGCTAGGAATTGGGGTCCGGATTCTCTTGAAGGAGATCTGAGTGAGGAGGAGCTCATCGCCAATCGTCAGGATCAGACAATTGATAATGTTGAGAACCGGTTCCGGGATGATGAGTACTATGCTTCGAAGGAGTATAGTATGTCGGACATCACCGTGCCGTTGCTTAGTGTTGCGAACTGGGGTGGGATTCTCCTTCACCTTCGAGGCAATGTCGAAGGATGGACCCAAGCTGGATCAGAGCTAAAGTACCTCCGCTTCATCACCGGCCGCCACGACCTCCCCTTCTATTACGCCGAGGAAGTCGAAATTCAGCGTAGCTTCCTCGACGCCTTCCTCAAAGGCGACGACCGTGAAGGCTGGTCAACAGGCAAAGCACCAAAGGTGGACATCGTCCTCCGCAAGGGCGATGTTGGTCACAACAACGCAGCTGGCGAGAAGACATTCTCCCGCCGCATCGAGCACGAATGGCCCATTGCTCGCACACAGTACACAAAGTATCACCTCACATCTTCCCGAGAGCTTACAACCAACCTACCAACTGAGCGACCGGTCAAGATCACCTACAGTGCCCTCGGTGACCTCGAGAACCCCCAAGTCGTCCAATTCACCACTCCCGCTTTTGAAAAAGAGACCGAAATCACTGGCCACATCGTCGCCCACCTGAACGTGTCAATGAGCCCCCTGCCCGGCTCACCCACACCAAAAGACCTAGACCTCTTCATCACTCTGCGCCACATCGCACCCTCCGGGAAAGAAGTCTTCTACACTGGTACAGCTGGAGACCCAGTCCCTCTGTGCAAGGGCTGGCTGCGTGTTTCCATGCGCCAGACGAACCCGGAGCACCCGCGTCACAGACACTATCTTCCCTATCGCGAATATCTCTCGACTGACGTGCGTCCTGTTATTCCGGGAGAGATCTATCCGGTCGATGTGGAGGTTTGGCCGACGAACGTAGTCGTTGAGAAGGGTGGAAAAATTGTGTTGGAGGTTGCTAGTGGAGATACGCAGGGGTCTGGAACTTTCCAGCACAATTCGCCTGTTGATCGGTAAGTTGAACTCTTGCATTTTGAAAGGTTTGATTAAGTGTGCTAATTTTGCGTATAGGTCTGTTGAGCGGTTCCAGGGTCAGAATCATATTCACTTTGGGCTTGGAGAAAACTATGTTACGCTGCCCATTATTCCGTAAATTTGAGTCAGGGAGTGGTATGAATGAAGTCCATAGAACGAATGCATATTTTCAAATTTCATCTATCGTGCTATTAGTGTAGAGACAAATCTATAAAATAACGTATGCTGCATAGACATTTACACCCAGGTTCAAGTTGCCAAGGTCCTCATCTCACATGTGTACTTATGTCAACGGTTGGTGCCATGCACCGGCATGCATTACCGCTACCACCCGCCAACTAGCGTCAAGCAAGCAAGCAAGCAAGCCATGACCTAACATCTGAGCCCCTCAACCCCTCACGCCCGAGACATCAACTCTTAACTCCGGAAGTTCGACCCCACACTGTAACACGGGGGCCGATGTGGTCGAAAGTGGTCCCGAAGTGCACCTGACACAGATATAGAATAGGAACGCGCAAGTGCCTCCCAGATCACACTGCACTACAAAATACCATACACTAAATATTATACCACTGAAAAAAAACAAACCACCAAGATGGCCGACAAAGTCCCCAAAAACATCCGGCCTCTAAACCGGTACATAACAACCCACAATAACTCCGGCCAGGCAATCTTCTCTTCGGCCATCTCTGAAGTAATGCCCGTCCAACGCATACCCGACAGTGCCGACTTCAGCCTAGCCTACACATCGGACCACTTCCCCGCGCAACTAAACAACGACTCCGACATCACCGAATACAACAACTACCTATCCTCCCCACCCGGAATAACAATCTCAACCGGCACCGTCTGCCGCATCGTGGACATACAGCCCCACGCTACGAGTCCCATGCACCGCACCGTCAGTCTGGATTATGGCGTTGTGCTCGAGGGCGAGATCGAGCTGGTTCTTGATTCGGGAGAGACGAGGTTGTTGAAGAGGGGGGATGTTGCTGTGCAGAGAGGCACGAATCATGCTTGGAAGAATGTTACCCCGGATGCTATTGTTGACGGTGTGGCGGTGCCGCAGTGGGCGAGAATGCTTTATGTGCTGTCGCCGTCGGAGGAAATTGAGATTGAGGGGAAGAAGTTGAAGGAGGTCGTTGATGGGATTGGTGTGCGTGCTAGTACTTAGATATTTATCTGGAACAGATCGATCGAGGAGGAGTTGATATTGTATAAACTCGAAATCGCAAACGTTTACAACCTTAGAGAGAACAGAAGTCTGGATCACTACGTACTATTAGCTGCGGAGAGATTAATTGATTTGCCTAGCTATAGAGAGATGGACAGGCACAGAATTCACCCCGTGGTTTTCCTAGCACTAAAGCCTTTGCCGTAGTAAGCAGGCGAATTATGTTTTATAATATTCAAAATTTGTTAGATGAATTCAATTGTCCCAAAATAATCTCAAACATAAAATAGTGTAAAATCACCACTCCCCACCGACCTGATAATGGAATATCTTATCGTTGATCCTTCCCCCGGTAAATCTCCATAGTCTGGAAACGGACTATATTCACGTCAGCACCGTGACCTCCAGATAGTATATTATAACCCAGATACTGCACTTACTGCGTTGAGCCACACACCATGCAACATGATTTGAATAAAAGCAAACTCCGCCGGATGTCCATTCCCTGCCGGCCGCTGCGTCAAATCCAGTTCTCGATTCGCTGGTCGATAAGCCGGCATACGGCGGTGGTGAGTCGGCCAGGCGGGTTGATCCGCTTGAGGCTGAGAGGGAATCCTCGCGGGGACATTCTCCTCGCCGCTGTGGTGGACTTCATAGTCGGCAAGAACAGACAGCGAAGTCGTTGTAGTAGTGATGGTTGAAGACATGTTGATGAAAAAAGAGTAGAGAGACTGGCACAGTCTCCAGAGGCCTGGAAATAGCATTATCAGGGCCTCGGAGGTAGTGGTGAAGCGAGAGGATGGGTTTCCGGGCCCGCATTCTCCCCCACATCCCGAAGACTGGGGAAGCTCGGGGATACCCGCGGCTCTGAACTACGCGTGCTTCAAGTATCTTACCTCGAGCTCTTTCTCTTATTCCGTTTTTTCTTTCTTCCTTCGTATCCTAATCATCATGGATCTTTCGCGCATCATTGCTGCTGATATTGACGGCCGTGTCCACAACACGCGATACCGTCAAGCTCAGTTCCATCGCTTACAAGCTGTGCTGGTCGAACACGTTGCAGAGATTCAAGATGCGATCTGCGCTGATTCGGGACATTCGGCGCAAGAAGTTCGCGCCGAGATTGTCCTAGCTTTGCAGGAGCTGAGAACACATTTCTTGTCGCTGAGTCTGGAGAAAGACTTGGAAAATGAGTATCGCATTGCGAATGGGAAGGACAGTCTGGATGGCTCCCGCGGGACTGGTATTGTGTACCTCGTGCCATGTACGCATACTTTGTTCTTCTCTGTCATTTCCGCATTGACTGCTGCTCTTGCAGCTGGGAATTGCATCGTTTTGGAGGTAAGTGAATTAGTTGATATTGGTGAACACTGCTAAAAAAGGATAGCTTCCTCAAACAACAATGGCTTTGCCTGCTCTGTTGCGCCAGATTCTTCCCAATGCACTGGATCATGATACTTTTGCAATCACCGCGCATCGACCCGATTCTTCGTTCATGAACAAGACCTTGCTGGTGGCGCAAACCGGATCCGATGCCTCAAGTGGCTTGATCTCGCCTGCGGCCAGGACTGTTGCCATTGTCGATCGTACGGCAAACATTGTTGAGGCCGCACAGGCTTTAGTAGCGGCTCGGTTTGCGCTAGGTGGCCGTTCAGCCTATGCTCCTGATGTAGTTTTGGTGAATGAATTCGCCATGAAGCCGTTTGTTGAGGCTGTTATCCAGCAAGCTTCGAGATACCTTGCTGGAGAGAACGGTGAAGCACGAGAGTCATCTTCGTCGCGGCGCTCTGGCTTACTGGACTCGATTCAGAAAGAGCGGACTGCGCGGGTGTTGGTCTCCGGGAGTCAGTGGGGGGTGGTTGAGGTTCAGGACCGGTAGGTACCCATTACCTGGTTTTTTTGCTCGGCGCTGATCATTATAGGAACTCACCTCTTCTTCAAAAGAAGATTGACGAGAAGGTCCTGCTGGTACACGCCGTGACTAGCTTGGATGATGCCATTGACATTAGCTCGTATGCATCCCTCAGAAAATATTTGCAACTTGCTAATGAAATCAGAAACGAGACACTGGCTGCTACCTATGCCTTCGCAGCCCCCGCTTCAGCCAAGTATCTGACCCAATTCATCGACGCCGATATCTCATGGGTGAACCATGTCCCCAGCCATATGCTGCGTAAGTCCCATCCTCAACCTGTCCATCCTTAATATACTTACAAGAGCAGTCGGCCCTGCCCTGCCCCGCAACATACCATATAACCCAAACACTCGCTACGCCATCTCATCCTTCCAACGGCCACGCCCTCAACTTATCACACCACCTGCCAGCGCCTACACAGCCCGAACAATTCTCGAGAATACCAACAGCACCAACTCAGACAATCTCTGGCGCGCAGTCCTAACACCCCTCCCATCAACAAAGCAGCGCCCAGGTTTCAAGATCGGCTTCTTCGAGCAGGGAATTATCACCGGTGGAGTCCTAACCCTAGCAACGCTCTTCGCAACCGTTTCTACAATTGGATACTACACATGGATATATGCGAGGCGCGTTTGAACCATGTATTAATCATATCTCATTGTTATTATTGAACATTGCAAAATTTATTACGAGCCTAGCGCAGACCGTAGAGATCTTCCACTATCCGATCATGCAGACTTCGGATATGCCGTGTCTGGGTCTGGCCCTGTTCCAGATCTGGAGTCATTTCCCCCTTCTTAGTAGCCGTAGCCGTAGCCAATTGCTGTGTTTTGGGCTTGAGATCAACGCGGCTGGGACAAGTCAGTATAGGAAACAAATACTTGATGAAATAGAGCCAACATACCAAACAGGGCAGCTCGATGCCCGCTGCAACCAATCCTCAATACACATCATATGATACTGATGCCCACAAGGCAACACACGAAGCATTTGAGAATGCACGAAATCCTCCGTACAGATCGGACAAGTATGATTACTCACACTTTCCACAAATTTCTCGTCAAGAGCAGAATCAGAAACAGATCCATCAAAGCTCGATTTCGGCGTAATCGTAATTTGATGATTGTATTGGATGATAGGAATTTTCTTCAGAATGGCTTTCGTCACTCCACGTGCTTGATTTTTGCATGCTTTATGGTGACGGGAGCGGGAGATTCCGATCATCAGGCCAAGTATGATTAAGAAGCCTGCTGCTGCTGCAATGACATAGAGGGTAATTTTCTCAGGGTGAGAGAGACCTGATGTTGAGGATGACCGCGCGGAGAGCATTGCGGTAGTGTCGATTTCTTCAGAGTTTGGTTGAGGAATGGCACTTGCTGACACAAGGTGAACTATAGATGCCAATATGCAGGCCATGCCCGGGAGGTTGAGAGAAGACATAGCTAGCTGAAGCTGAAGCTATCCAGACAGTTTGAGGTCGTTCGCTGGTGAATATTGCGTGTCACAGTGAGCTGAATAACGCAGAAAACGGGTGAATATATGGAATAAAGCAATTCAATTGGAGTTAAAATGTTTAAATATACCAATCCGTTGGAAAAGAGACATTTCGAAGCTCTAGAAAATTCTCGCTTCTTTTTATTTGGGTGGGCGGGTGAGTTCACCCACTCGTCCGCTTATGACCAAAAAAAACTCATCCGCACCCTTGGGAGGTAACCTTCACCGGGAGTCCGCTGGAAAGCGAACTAGCGACAGGGGCCAGTCGTTCGCCTGCATGGCCAATGTCTTGGAATTTTGTGATTCGCGCGTTATAGTTGGTACCTCTGTAGATCTGCATGCTACTTCCGAATGAGTGAAATCGGGGATATTTGAGTTTGGTTCGGAAGTTCGGGGGCCGAGATGGCGTCCCCGTTCGGAAGATTTAGCTCTGGTCCAATTCGTGTGAAGAAGGGCGTTACATTATTTGGATTGGAGTGCATTGGCGAAGCTATTCCCTGTTCTCAGGGCCAGGTACCGGTGGGGATCTCTGCCTCAGGCAAAACGGTGGTTACCGAATGTTTTTGTGGGGCTGAAAATTTAAGCATCGTGTCACGGAATTAAGATGAGAATCTGAAACCTAAGGAGTAGGGAGTCAAAGTGCAAATCGACCCGTGTTCCTTTCGGTTGTCTTTCAATCGATGGTGAGGCTGCAAAGAAATGGCCCCAACAGCGGGGGTAAGTTCCAACGTCATCAGTCCTCCATGCCCGTACACAAATTAGGGGGCCAAAGTGCTATGAGCTTAAAACCTTGTGATCTCACTTATTCTGAATGAACATTTTTGTCACTTGCTCTAGGCGCCTTTCTATTTCCCTCTCACCGCAATTTGACACGCGTCTCCGGGTATGTCTGAACGTCAAAATCGCCGATTTAGGCCTAATTCGACTAAATGCTTGGTCTTCCATGTATAGGGCTTACGCAGTCAATAAGGTCCCACGGGATCCAATGATCGCCTCATCCACAATCGGCAATAATGAAAAAAACTTTGTACTGCAATGATTATCCGTTAAAAGGCCCCGAAAGAAAGACGTAATGTTTAGAGATTGTGGAGAGCACGTTCCTGTTCTTAGCTAAAAACCATCGATTATGATCCCGGCCCCCTACATGGCCCCCACGCTGACTGTGTTGACCTGTGATCCGACAACTGAGATCCTGTAGGGGCGAATCTAAAAAGAATTGGAAATATTGCGCCCGGTCAGCTTGGAATATGGATAAGAAAATTCAACGTTGGGATGTCACTTTATCCGGAACGACAGCCGAAAGGACTAGTTTCCTAAGAGAGGAAAGTCCACGGACTCCTTCCTAATTGAGGTCCCAAAAACATATACATCACCTCAAGGAACCTCCGGACCCACGCGTAGGAATATTCAGGATCTGCACGCTGATAAAACAGAAGATCACTCAATACGAACATCCCCACGTAACTTGCAATCCTGCAGGATCTATCTTCATCATCGCGCATACAATTCTTAGCTATCGGACGTATCAAGTCCGCTCTGACAAGCTTCCGCCCCCAACCAAGATCTTCCCCTCACGTTCACACTGACTTATGACGAAAGTTCCATAAGATGATGGGGGCGGAAGAACAAACTATGATGAGAAAGGTTAAAATCTAGCCACATGGGCCAATTTAAGGGGAGGCCCTTGCAGGTGGAGTTTGTCACTTGGGTATGAAACTTCCCAGTCGGTTCTAAGATTCATATTAGCCAAGGTAACTATATTAGCCACGTCGCCCCAGACTTACAAAAGTCTGCATGATCTTTGATCCAGATGGTCTTTGACCACAGTGTGAGCTCCCATGGTGAGTATCGTGACAGTTATTGGGCCAGCCCCAAAAGGTGTGGATCTCTCTGCGGATAGGATCAAGACAGATAATGCGGTGGTGATAAGTTTCTCTTGTCTCGCGATGATCGCAGTTGCGATCAGATTTTATATGAAGTTGAAAGGGGCAAAGACGGAGTTTAAGAAGCTGGCTCTTGATGATTGGTTGGTTGCTGCTGCCCTTGTGAATTCATCCGGGTCTATTGAATCCACAGAATCAGTTGGTTAATATTTGGCTAGGCTCCTCTTGTTGCATTACTAGCCATTGCGCTTCTTGCAGGACACTATGGTATGGGGAAACACATTTGGGTAATGACGGTCGAGAATATGATAAAAATGAAGAAGGTGAGAGCAGGCTTCCTTCTGAGAAGCCTCTGCTAACTCCCATTGGTCAAGATCCTATTTGCCTACCTTTTTATCTACATTTTCGAGCTTTTCATCGTCAAGCTATCATTGCTTATGTTCTATCGTCGCATCTTCGGGACAAGCGGCAACTATTGGGTCTGCATAATTCTGGCTTTGGGTTGGGCTTTCGGCAGCATGATCGCTCTTTTAACCTGCCCGGCGCCCGTGTCGTACTTTTGGAACGAACTCACCAACCCCGGCGGCGGAAACTACAGATACAATTTTTACAACTATTACGTCGGGAACGCAGCATCGAATGTTATCACAGATTTCCTTATTTTGCTCGTTCCACTCCCCGTTATTTGGAAACTGAAAATGCGTGTCGCACAAAAGTTTATGGTGTCTGGAGTTCTTCTGCTTGGTATCTTGTGAGTTCCTCTGAATCCTGTGTTGATTTTACCGCTAACATACATCCCAGTGTCTGCGCCATTAGCATAGTCCGATTGCACTACATCATGTTCCTGAAGGACGATCTCGATATAACCTGGACTATGGGCAACGTATACGTCTGGTCAACATTGGAGCCCTGCGTGGCCATCATATGCGCCTGTCTCCCCGCCCTACAACCCGTCATTCAATCAGCGATGAAACTCGAATATATAATCCACATACGCTCCCGCCTCCGTCCCAGCAAACGAGCTAGACAAATTCTTCGGTTGGAAAAGCACTTCAGCAACATCAGCAACGGTAGCAGTCACAGACTACGGCCTGTGACTCCCTCGATGGATAGGCCAGGATCCGTAGAGCCTGCTGCTGAGATCGAGACTCAATGTGTTCCTGTTAAGTCTGCCTCTCCGAGGATTTCTCCTAAGGAGAAGAAGAATTTGGAAGAGTACTTGGGTCCGATGTATATTATGGTACAGCATGATGTTGAGTGGTCTGAAACTCATATTGTCCACTAGTGCTAGGATCTTTCTTCGATCTAGATAGCGTTAGTTATGGCATAGCCACGGTCCTCCTCCATACGCTTAGCAAAATACAGGCTTACCATGAGCGGAAAGACTCTTAGGCTCCCTACTTCCCTCAGAAAATGTTAGAGAAGAACCTAAAGATAGGTAAGAGATCTAAGCAAAAGCCTAGTTATACTTATCAGGGCTTCGACAACGACCGCCTCTTCAAAGCTCTTTACGACTATATCCTTAGCCCGGACTGTCGGGGCTATGACACAGCTAATAAGGTTTAACGCGATACTAGAGACACTACCGACCCTAACATCAACTATAGGACTATCGCATCCGGAAACACACTTACTAAGACGCTACTACTCGCGATCGGATTATGATATCGGCGAGGATTATAGCTGCTTTGAGATTTCTTATGATTCAATTTTAGAGTTAAATTTGAAATTTTAATATTTTATCGTTCGTTCCACTTATACTTTAAATGCCTTCTGTTTTCTATTATGCTGTGTCAAATCACTTTTGATAATTAAAATAAAATAAGGGTACAATACACTGTAGCTACCTGATAGAGGTATGGACCGTTAAACAGCATAAAGACATTATCACACGAACCTTCGGGTCAATTAATGCCTAAGAATAGATCTCCATTTTGGGGTAACAGGCAATTCCCATATCAAAACATTAAAGGCAAGCCCTCTAGTGACCACTTACCTACAAGAACAGAGGTTATCCATAAAACACTAAGACTATATTCCTTAAAGCTCGGTAGACAGTGCTGAATATTGTTTTATAGAATTTTATAGTTAGATAAGCAGAGCTTACACCACCACAAAAACGTGCAGGGGAAGTGGGTGTTTCGATGAGCTCTCGACCAATGCGTTTCACGTCTAACTAACAGCTACGATATGGATCTTTCTGTCTTGTAACTTCAAGAATTCTCTCTATCGTTTTAATTTTTTGACGATATATTTGTCTATCTGTTGATCAGCCCAAGGAGTATAGTATATCATTTACTTATAATGCCCGGATTTATCACTTAATCAAGGAAGTGGAAAGTTGCGCAAAGTGTCTCAGATTTGGTACTTTTTTGCAGTACAGTGCGTCTCGAAACCGGCGCCACCACCTGCACTCTTTCATTGTTTCTCGAGCCGTAATGCCAGGACCAGCTAGTCTATATTCGGAGTTTTTCCGGAGTACTCCTGTCAGTTGGATGTATATTGCTACTTATGTAGACTACAAAGTACTTTTCAAGTATGTATTCGCTTGTAAAATCAATACATCCGACATCTCCATATCCCACCTCCGAAAACGTCTCCCAACACTAAGCGTCTCTGTATAGTCTTTTTGACGACTATAGAAAATGCCGGTTGGAATGCTACAGGGTTCATCCATTCCCTCGACTTGAATATTCCTCGTGCAAAACTCTCGATGGTCCTCATAACAATGCTCTAGTCTTCACTGTCCTCAGGAAGCTTGCCTAGGATTAGCTACTCTATGTCTTGCAATTGAGTCTCGGAGAATAAGCGCTCGGCGTATCCCCTTTCCCGGCCAATCTCCCCCAGTCGATCCAATATCCATTTCACCTGCTCTTCGGGCAGCCCAGGCAGCTGCGCCGTCACAAACAGTGACCGTGTTGCAAAGAAGGCCCCAAAGGCCGGTGTATCCTCGATAGCTTTCGTCTTCCCATCTTCGGCGACATGTCCTAGCAGATACGGAATGCTAGAGAAAAGAAGCGCGGCTACAGATCTTATCTGCTTCCGGATCTCAGCTAGTGGCGGGCATGTAACGCCAATCTTGAGTGCAATAGGCGCAAATAATACCATGCTACGAAGAACAGACAACTGTGCGAGCCACTTGGCCGTCCACATTCCACCCACGGACAGAGTAGGGAATACCACAACTGCCAAGGGAAATGGGCTTCTGTCGGTTGTTTTCGGATTGGGGCATGTCTTGTATAACCATTCCTCGGGTAGAGATTCCTCCCAAGTATCCAAGTCTTTAAAAAGACGCTGCAGTTGTCGAAGACCTTCTATAGCTTCCACTCGATTAGGCGTTCTTTGTATCAGTGTGGCATTGGCGATAATGATCTTAGTCACCCGCGGAAGCAACTCTTCGAAGAGAGAGACTCCGCGGGGAAATGGTGGCGATGGAGCCACAGCTGGTGTGGCGCCAGCAAATGACGGCAGCTCGTCAATGTTCTGCATGTGTATTGCCCCAAGGATGGGACGGTTGATCCATTTCTCGCCGTCAGCGTTCAGGGAGAGACGTGTACGGAAGATTTCTAGCAGGCCTTGGCGGTGCGGGCTTCTAGACTCTAGCTTGTCTTCACCCACGATGACCTATGCAGCAGATATTACTGTTAGCCACAGCAACCTGGATTCCAAAGAAATGTAATAGTAGCATGGCTACATACATCATACATCCACAGCAAGGCCACCGCTGCCAGAGTAGCTGGAGAATATGCCTCAGCAGCATTGTTTAACACAAATCCGAGTTGCGTAAGGGCCAGTCCATAAGATTGACGAGATCTATGGAAATAGATAGGACTCATTTTCTTGACTTGGGCGTAGCTTGCTTGTGCTACTGCTTCGACTGAGTTTCTAAAGTATCCTGCTTCGGCATTCGATCCATAAAGCCGCGGAAGAAAGTCGTAGTATCCAGGAAAGCCGTCGGCTCGCGCCAATACGTAGTTGTGAATATAGAAGGAGACCGCACATTGGAGCCAATCAGTAGGCATTGAGACGGGAATAGAGCTGGAGCTCGTATAGACGGTGACTGTGTTCGATAGAGATCTACCGGACGGCAGACCAGTCTCGGCCCGAAAGACTAGAGCGTTCTGGTCTCGATACCCCGGGCATACTCTGCGGGATTTCTGACATCTCCGGCAGTGTGGCTTGGCTTCATCGCACTACGTAAAATGGGTTAGTACGTCTTATGGCTTTTGGTACGTCGCGAGCATGGCGGCCCAAATTCACTAGCCTTGACTTTCATCCGGATACACGAAAGACAACCCCTACTCTTCAACCGTGCATCGTGGGATCCGATCTTCTGGGTCGATTCCATGTAGTGCGGTGCATATGAGAGTTCTGCCTTGAGAAAGAGCGAGCACGAGGCTAATCGCTGGTACTTATTCTCATTACGGCCCCCGAGGCACCGGTGAACTGATGTACAGCGGTAACTTACAGGGGGACAATTGGGTGGAAAAGTCAGGCTACTAGTTACCTCACTGATGCCCTATCAGGGGTCGGAATGGGGCTACTAGCAGAGCCACGTTTGTGGCAAATGCAGCGGCTTTCTGCTTTGGGAGAAAACCTGCGACCACGTGATCACATCATAATGATAAGGTTTGGAAATAGTTCAGCTGTCCCCGCATAATGTAAAAAGGATTGGTTGGAGATTATTCTAGCGAGATGATATCCAGAGTAATCTCTGGGTTCTAAGCCGCCCGGACCACCGTTGGGGGGCCACAGCCTTGTAGACCGTTCCCTGTGACGTTGGTTCCTGATATCTGCTCCTATCGACGGGCCCTTTATTAACCACATTCGGGGTGCCGGCTAGCCAGACCCTGAAGGGAGCTGGTCGTGCTTTAGCCGGATGTAGATAATATCTGCGATCTTTATTTGGAAGTGCGGCTTTGAAAGGACTATATGGATGCATATTGTTTCTCAGCTCGGGTTTCTGCCTTGGCGTGCGCCAATTCAACTATGCTGCAGTCCAAAATCAAATATAAATAGGAAGTTAAGTTCTCCCTTCTTTGAGACATGATGTTGCCATTACTATTTGAAACACAGGTGCATTTGGACTCACAGTTCTGCACCGTTGTTACACTCACACTAGTCCTAGTCATCATGTTTATATTCTCAAGGGGTTTCACCCTCTTCATTGCTCTTTTATCTTCTCTACTTCTTACAGCCCAATCGTGCCAATTCCATGGCCATGGCCTCAATCTCTCAAGCATTGACTATCCGTCCATGATAGCTGACAACGTTGCCACGCGCTCCCTTCGCCGCCGCGAGATCTCCTCCACGCGCGTAACCCTGCACAATGTGCGTGTTTTTGACGGCTCCACTCTGCTATCTCCCAGCACTGTTGTCATCGACCGTGGATTCATTGGCCGTCCTTGCACTGCCTGCGAAGCTTGCCCACCTACCGAGAGCTACGACGCTAAGGGCATGACGCTGCTTCCCGGCCTTATAGACTCCCATGCACACCCGGCCAACGTTTCAAGCTTGGTCAACATGACCCGATTCGGTATCACCACCGCCGTCAATGCTTTCTGTCCTGTACCCGAATTCTGCACCTCACTGACCAATCACACCGGACTGACATCCCTTATCATGGCATCGTTCTTTGCCACCTCGCCCGGCAGTGAACACGCCAAGATGGTTGGCCCTAGCTTCGATAATCTCCTAATCGATAACACCACAGAGGTGCCCTCCTTTGTCGCTAGACAAATAGCACAGGGCGCGGACTTCATTAAGGTCATCGGGAGCGCGCCACTACCTGGGTTGAGTCAAGACGAACAGATTGATTTGGTCATAACATCACACAAGGGAGGAAAACAGGTCGTGCTACACACTTCGAGCTACGCTTCTTATGAACAGGGCCTCATAGCCGGTGTCGATCAGATCCACCACTCAACACTCGACTTCCCTGTTGATGACCGGCTTCTCAAGATGTTCAAGGCTAGAGATATCGTCGTATGCCCGACGCTGACAATGATGCGCGCCATAGTCCAACAGGACCCTTCGATGAACGGTTCGTTCTCGTCGGCGGCAGAAACAGTAACGCGATTGCATAAGGCGCGGGTTCCGATAATTGTCGGCACGGACGCGAACCTGCAGCCGACGATGCCGGCGATGGTCATGTACGGAAGCAGCCTACATGACGAACTGGAAAATCTCGTCGCCGCCGGGCTTACCCCCGTCGAGGCTTTAAACGCGGCAACGGTCTTACCGGCTAAGTACTTTCGACTAGCTGATCGAGGTTCCATCAAAGAAGGAATGCGAGCAGATTTACTCCTCGTTGATGGTGACCCAACCACTGATATTGCGGTAACAAGAAAGATTGTTAAGGTCTGGGTTGGCGGTATTGAATTTGACGAATAATAAGTCGATCGATACAGCTAGATTACTCCAAAATTCTTAAGATGGACGGAGCTCCCGAATAGTATCAAGGTGGCATTACCTAATCATCTGCTGCGATGCATTCGATAGCTATTATGAGTTACCCAATTCCGCCTGTTGGAATAGATTTGGTCTTTGCCCTACTTTGTGCTTGGTAATGACACACTGAGATTTTCCCTGTCCAATTTGGGAGCCTGATTCATCTAAATTGTAGATATTCTTTGGCCTAACTTATAACGTAATCGGCTCAAATATTTGCTTGTCGGGTGTATGAACAATAATAAGGAGCACAAAAATATAGCGAGCCAATCAGCTAAGCGTTCGATCGCCAACTCGAGCATCATTGGTCTAGTGGTAGAATTCGTCGTTGCCATCGACGAGGCCCGTGTTCGATTCACGGATGATGCATATCTTTTTGCTTTTTGCCTTTTACCTGTCTGCTTGCACTGGCTAATTAATAGATCCAAGACCACAAGCCGAACGACGATATGGCCCTGATTCTACAGGAGTGCTGCCACCAAGGGTGTGGCTGTACTCGGACCCGGACCCTTGTATGGCGGTTTGCGTTTCAAATTCGATGAAGCAGGCGCAGGATGGGCTTGCTGCATTGTTCAAATACCAAGGTAATACTACCATGACAACAGCAATGCTAACATAGCTACCAAGCTAAATAGCGACATATTCCTTCCCGTCTGTTAAGAGAAGGCTGAGCTTGGCATGGATAGGTAAAATACGCCTAGAAACCCGATTACTACATATTACCAATCATAATTTCTGATATTCATATGAAGATATAGCAAGGTGCCTTCATTTCTTCAAACTAGTTCTAGTAACGAGTTGATCCCTTTTCGCTGCATTTTGACATTAAGAGTGCCAAGCATAGCCGCTTTGTTTCAGATCTCTAGTATCGCTTTAAGTGGCGCCACTTTTGACAACTTCGAGCAAATCAGAAGATTCTTTCAGCCAGATTCTAATATAAAACCTTCACTAACCTTTATATAGTAACATCTAAAGTGTTTGGAAGACACTCTTCAGCCGACTCAACATCCACGCAACTCTTAGGAAGTTAAGGTTAAAAATCAAGGATCGATAAAGAGAGCACAGTGTCCTACGTGAATATGATGTCTAGGTAAGCCGCCGCCCAGAACAGCCTAGTCGTGGATTTTCCCTAAGTATATGGATTTCGCGGAGTTCAATGACGTAAAAACGACGTTAATTGAATATTTCTTAGATCATTACCGAGGGAAAGTGCGACGGCCGAAGCCTACGATGCTCCAATACTAGAAATGTCTTAATAGGATACCACTGATGCCTGTTTAACAGGAAACCGCGAATATAAACCCTCACTATTGACGTCTAATTAATACGGGTAGGTGTCTATGTCAGGATATCAACCCCCACAAGTGATGTTGGTGTACGCATAAAAACTGATCTGTTTTGCCTATCACTCAAGAGGCCAGACTAGCAGTCGCTTGCAACAAAGCTCGCTGGAGGTCCAAGATAGCTTTCTTTCACGCCACCAAGGTCCACGACAATTTTTTCGAGCAGTAAATTCGAGTGATTTAGCCGGATCCGAATAATATGCATGCCAGGACTGAGACTAGCCATATGATCTCTTTTCCAAACGCAATCCATGACCGCCTCCAACCATCCTTCAGCTGGGAGCTTTTTCTTCTCCTTCGACTCCGAAACCAGTGTATGTCTTTCAATTGGATGATCATCAACTAAAATATCGTAGGACATTGGGTCTGCCGGGTCAATATCGAGAGTCATATTGAAGTACATGGTAATGGCCGATGAGGTGTTAGATGTGAAAATGAGGAAGGGGTATTCAAGAAATGGGACAGGATCCTCTTGCAAGAGAGTGCTACTGATTGTGACTGAGCCTGTGTCTGACCGGCCTAGGTCAGGGTGGTGTTGGTACGGTTCTAGCACGCCAAGCCCTGAGGCTGGGATTGACAAGCAGCCATCAGCCTCGACGAAGAGCTTCGAGGCATGGGGTACTTTGTGCCCATGCACTGGTAGGTGAACATGTTCAAAATCACCTTCTTTGGATGAAATGGAGATCAAAATCTCATCGTCGAAGTCAATAGGGATCTGGCCCCAATCAATAGTGATCCAAACTCTAGCATCATCGCCATCTGGGTGAAGGGCGCCCTCTATTGCTGACAACCTAATCCAAGAATGAGGCGCAGAAGCAGTCCAGTGAATTGTAGAGGTTCCTCGCGTAAAAATGTCAAACCATCGCTTGGCAGGCCCATACCGACTTATCGAGCCAAGGGTTAAACCCGGAACAAGGTCTCTTCGACTGGAATGTGTCCGTTCACTCTCTTCATTGATTCGTCCCGGTCGAACCCCGTCATGACCCTCCACAGCGACCCCCATCTGTCCCACGATCAGATTGCTATTTTGTCCTCGCTGGACATATGCCAATCCGAAGATAGCATCGCGAGATGGAGCATGCCAGGTATCACCGTAGCCCATGTGCGGCTGGCACATGATATGATTCCATTTACCTCCAAGGAGAGAGTGAAAGTCTTGAGAGAGCTTGAAATCTGTATCAAAAAGGTCCAAAGCCTCGCGGAGGAGTCTATTCGCGGTGTTTCGTCTCTGGCGTGCGTAAATCTGGTTGCGAGTCTGGACAACTCGAAGCTGCGTGAAGATTGAACTGGCTTTTACAGGGTGTACTACTAGCTCCCAAAATCCTGGCCTTTGCTCCTCGGATACTTTCTGGTAGATTTGGTCGACTTTTGACTCCAAAATCTTCCATCGTGTCACTATGTTGTCCGCTTCGACATAGTGGAGACATGAAAAGATGCCTGGTTCGATGTGCTCATGCTTGCGCAGGCTGACAAGACGATCGTACTCGTGCCAAGCAGATGCAATATCTAGGCTCGCACTCGACCCAAAGCTGCGAGATGCGAGGGTCATCAAGAACCGAGGAATGCTGTCCGGTTGAACGGAGTCGATTTTCCAGGCCATTTCCATTGCGAATGTGAGAGGAATCTCAAGAGGCTTGATATCGCCAACATTGAAAACCCAGATCTTGCGGGCTTGACGATCATACGCCTCTCGGAGTTGATGGTAGATTTTGCCCTGTAGCCCGTTAGCTTATCTGAGCCTATAAGTTGGGTGTCGGTCATACGTACCAACGAGTTGGAGTTGGTCCACTTCCAGCTGGTCGGAGCTCCGACATACTCCATGTGATAATAAATCTATTCTCCTGTCAACATAAAGATACTCAGTGATTTTGGCTTATACTGACACCTGCTCCTCCAGACCTTTCCTTCTCGGCCCCTGATGGCAACCTTCGAAGAGACCCAAAGTTGTCATCTGCAAATAGAAGTGTTACATCATCAGGGACTGTGAATTCGCCGGCCTGATACAAATCCTGCACTTCTTTATAAAGCGCAAGAACCTGGGGAACGGCATTCTCACAGCCATAGACTTCCTTGAAAAGTGCTCGCTGTTGCCGCAAGACGTCGCGTACCACGGCACCAGGATCATCTGTTGCCATTTCCTTATCATATTCGCCACGCATCCCAAGAGTAAAACATCCCTCGAGGCCCTTCGCGCGATGAACTCCCTTGCGGAAGAAATCCGTAATCTCGTCACGGTGGGTCAGCCAGTTCCAGGACCCATCCGTATGTCCCTCTTCGAACCACTCTGTAGATGCCCTTTGCATAGGCTCATGGTGCGACGTTGACACACATATACCGTACTCATCAGCAATGCGATGATTATCTGGATCGTCGAGGAAGAAAACTGCGCCGGGATTGGGGTACCCGGGCCACATTGCTGGCCACATGAAATTTGCCTTTAGACGCAAGAGAAGCTCGTAGACCTTCTTGTAGAACTCCGAATTATAGCTTCCAAAATTCTCTAGTACCCAACCGGTCAGAGCAGGTGCTTCGTCATTAATGAATATGCCACGATATTGGATGCTGGGTTCGCCATTGGATGTTTGGATGGGAAGAGCGTAGATATTCGAGTGAAAGTTGGCAGGGATATCGGCCCACCAATACCACCTATGAAGATTAGCATAGAAGATCATGAATTTTGAGTGGTAACATACGGAGACACTCCAATTTGACTGGATAATGTGTATGCGCCATAGATGGTTGCTCGCTTGTCACTGCCAGCAATGACCAGAGCTTTTCCACAGCCCTTCAGTGGATTGTCTACCACAGTGGTTATAAACGTTTCCCATTTCCCTCGAATTGCGCTGATGTCTATTTTTCTCGCCTTCTCTAGTTGTTTAATCAAGGGACTGGCGAGTGATCCGATGATGATGGTCGATTCAATGCTATTTGAGCCTGCCTGGGCATTGACAGGCTTGAAGGGACTGGCCTTTCCTCTCGTCACTCGGCTGAAGTCCTCGGCAAGTGCACGTCCTGCATGATGAATGCCGATAAAGTCCGCTGCATCGACTAAGATAGTCGCTCCGACAAGATCGAGTAGGTGCGGGGAGCTGTTGAACGTGACGAATGGCTCTTCAAACATATTCGTGTCAAGTCCCACGAAGCTGGAGGGCATTGACCTGTTCTCATCGGTAGCAGTTTCGCTAGACTCTAGCTCTCCTCAACCTTGTTCGGAGCGGTCTGACGATAGACACCCCACACCCGAACACCCGGCTCGGGTTGACAACACCCCGAGCAGCCATCCCAGAGTGGATCACCCACAAGAGCGGTAGCGGCCATCTCCGTAGCCGACCAGAGCTACTACGCCGAACCGTACTCGAAATTGCCTAGCGCAGCCTGGCAACATGAGGTCGGCGTCATCCCGGGCGTGGGGGTGGATCCCCATGGGGAGTGATGTTCACCCGAGCGCGAAGCCGGGGCATCCACCCCCGCATCCCCAGATTGAATTCATTGTTTTCTGATATAGGAGTCTTCTCTCACCGTATTGTTGTGGTCCACTCAATTTTCGACCACAATCATGGGCAACAATCAGGCAGATGCCCAACAAATTGAAGAGGCACGCGGCGTTCACGATGATGAACTGCCTCAGAAAAACCACACGGACTATAACCTGGTCGACCAGGAGGTTGCCAAGTACGCCACTGACACTGCGATCGAGATTGACGAAGCCACAGATAAACGCCTTCGGCGGATGATCGATAAGCGTATTCTGGTGGTGATGATGGTCACATACCTGATCCAGACATTGGATAAGGGGGCTATGAGCTTCTCTTCGATAATGGGGATCATGGATGATGCGCATCTTGCAAGCAATCAGGTTGGCCTTGTCAATCCCGTTCCATTTTACAGAACTGATTTGTTTAGTATTCATGGTTGACAACTATCGTGTACATCGTTATTCTCTGCGTCGAATACCCGGTAAGTGTTCCGGCCGGAAGGAGAACGGACGAGCGCTTATACAACGATAGGAAAATTGGATCATCCAGCGCGTACCTATTGCCAAATGGCTTTCCCTCAACATCCTCCTCTGGGGCATTTGCATCGCCTTGATTGCAGCCATGCACAACTTCACCGGTCTGGTTATTCTGCGTGGCTTCATGGGTGCCTTTGAAGCTGCGTGCCAGCCGACATTCGTCTTGCTTTCGTCGACGTGGTATAAGCGAGAGGAGCAAGCGACTATTGTCAGCCTCTGGTAAGACACATCACAGCCTTAGTCATCGCCGTATACTCACAGCCCCTAGGTACATGATGAACGGCCTCCAAAATATCCTTGGCGGTCTCCTGGCATTTGGATTCTCCTACATCCCATCCACTTCCCCAATCAAATCATGGCAAGCACTCTTCATGAGTTACGGCATTCTCACCGTAATCTGGGCCATTTTCGTCTTCTACTGGATGCCTGACTCTCCCATGCGCGCGAAATGCTTCACCGAAGAGGACAAACGTCTAATGGTTGAACGAGTCCGTCAAAATCAGACCGGTCTTCAGAACCGAAACTTCCGATGGGAACAAGTTCGGGACGCATTCACCGACCCACAGCGTAAGACTTCTCTCTCCCCTTTTCCGCTTGAGTTTAATGCTAATACCTATAATAGTCTACGCTTTCGCTCTAATCCAAATTCTAACATCCATCCCATCGGGAGGTATCGGCGCCTTCGCAAACATAATCATATCATCCTTCGGTTATTCTGAATGGGAAAGCCAGCTCCTGCTCATGGTCGTAGGCGCCGTGACGACAATTAGTCTACTCACGGCCGCCTACCTTGACAAACTATTCAACCAAACAATTTACATCATGATCGCATCCGTGATTCCCTCTATTCTCGGCACATCAATTCTAGTTGGGATTCCATTCGAACCGAGCCGGAAGATAGGTATGCTTATCGCCTATTTCATTTTTTACGGCTTCTTCGCTGTCTCTTCTCTTTGCCTAGCTCTGCTATCACGAAATGTGGCTGGCCAGACAAAGAAATCCATTATTATTGCGTCAAATTTCATTTGTTGGGCTGCTGGCAACTCTATTGGACCGCAGGTCTTCAGGGACAGGGACGCGCCAAGATATTATCTTGCATTCGCGATCTTGTTAGGATGTTTCGTTCTTCTTATGATCGTTTTGATTTCTTTGAGGTTGTGGTATTCGATCCAGAATCGGAAGAAGGATGCGATGATTGCCTCCGGTGAGGTCGTTCCCGATGTGGCGTTTACGCATGGATTTGAGGACATTACGGATCGGGAGAATGTTCATTTTAGATATTCTTATTGAGGAATGCTTTGCACTCTTGATGCGGCTTTCAGATTTTAAATAGATGTTCAATTGTGTGTTTCTCCTCTCCTGGATGATTATACGAATTCCTTACGACTCTTCAGGTGCAAATGATCTTCTCTCGCACGCCTCAACAGCGTCCACACCCCGGTATTCAAAATATTGGTTCCAATTCGGATCTTCAATCAAAGCCTGCTTTAAGCCCTTTTCATAAGTAATCGAGAATTCTGGCCCTTCGTTTGATTCAGGAGCCTTATCGCGTGGTGGGTAAATAATAAATACCCCTGGGGTCATACAATCAAGCAAATGACGATACGTAGTTGGAGTGCCAAAGCCAAAATTGGCACTGGTAACATTTGCATCGCGGTGGTCCGTCTGAAGAATCGACATGGGCGGATAAGAATCAATCCGCATATTTAAGGCTGTTTTATCGCGAACAATAGAAACCATATCTAGTGTTTGGTCCAATGCCTCTTGGGTGACACTGTCGGTCAACTGACGGATGTACGAGGCTAACTTTGACAGTGGCCACCCAGATATGACTTCTGCGGCTGTCGGCGTAATCGCCGGCGCAGTAGAAGACAGGGCTCCAGCCATGACGTTGTGCTGGAGCCGGGGTGCAACCTTGGGACTGTGGAGACGGCGACGCATGTCAACGGCCTCAACCCAAAAGAGCGGTGCCGAGAGGTCTGGTTGGAAAACCGGGGCTCGCAGACGTGAAAGAGTCCGCCAAATAAATGCCGAGAAAGCATCGTAGGTAGAGATCCAGGTTCCATCTGATGGTGAAGCATGAATCTTCAGCTCTGCGGATTTACTCTTAGGTAGGTGAAATAATAGTGTTTCGGATGGGATATGACCCGGATGACGACTCGGTGCTAGTGGGCCATCTACCTTCACTTCATTAGGCATTTCAGGCTTCGTCAAACGAGAAAGGTCCATGCATGCGGGATCCCAGGTTGGGAATGGTGTCTTGTTGGCAATCGCATAGCAATTCTCGGCGAGCTGATGGGTGAGACCAGCCCATCCCATAACATCATTAGAATAATGATGACTATGCATAATGAAGACCAGACCGCCTTGAATGAAATTGGCCTTGTATGAAGCCACGACTGGGCTGTTGTCCGGGTGAGCTTCTGGTTTCTCCCCATATGTCATCGGAGGCACACTCCAGCGCTGAATGTCGCCCAGAAGTGAGGTGCGGTAATCGCCATCGTGAATCTCATCGAAGGATGGATAGTCCTCCCTGACAGCGGGAGAATCCAGCCACTGTACGAAGAGCCGGACTGTGCTGTCTTTCTTTTTGACAAAGGAATGTCCACCGGCAGGGTCCTTTTCGATGGTGCCGCAAAGGTGTCTTGCTTGACTCAAAGTCCGTTCAAGTCCGGCTATCAAGATTTCCACGGCGCGGCTCTTTTCGGCATCTTTGAGCCTAAAAAATAACGCGTAATTATTGTAGGTACAGACCGTTAGGTAGTCCAAGGTCGATACTTTGAATCGTTCTTCCGCGGGGTCCCCTTCCCATCCAGAGGGATGAATGTTGTAGACATCTTGTTTAGCCATCGCAGCAATCGGTGACATTAGGGACAGGGAAAGACTTTGATGATTGTTGGGCGGACTATCTTAGTGGCAGCTCCAAGCTTCGATAGGGATGCTGTCGGGGGACGGTCGCTTTCCCGTAAATTTATACTTTGTTCCCTGTCATGACTCGTAATCTCGCCTCTACCCTTTAAGGGTGAATGCGTCGTTTGGCTAGCTTTGAAAATTCCTAAGAAGATATTATTTGTCTCTTTAGGCCTCATTATCCCTGCCATAGCTCCACTTTGCTGGCATCATAGCATTAACAACGCTGATCATGTCATAATTGAAGCGGCGAGGCTTTGAGACCCCCGGTAAACTAGCGCATGTTGCATTATTCCCCGCAATTAGCAACATCATTGTGGCCGGATTGGTTAACATCAACCGGAAGAGTTCAAAAGGTGTCTAAGCGAGAGAATACCGTAGAGGCTGTGCCGAAGCCCCGAAGCCCTGAGGCTACCCAAGTGGTCCTGTGGCATACAAAGTGGATCAGGAGATACTTAATTTTGGCCCCAAAAAAGAAGACTACCGCAGCATCACCTCACTAGGACTTGAAACCCTGCTAGCAGGCTTTTATTTCCGAGTTGACAGCGCATTGGGTCACTAACGGTGACCAATGAGGCATTATCCTAAATGAACTTTCCGTTTTCGTATGCTCTCTGCCCTTCATTATTAACATTTCCTTGTGTGCCTGCTATTGGCTTTTTCGCTGTTGAAAAGTTGGTAGTAGCCAAATCGAGGATTACCAAGTCAAAGAGGGTACCCGTTCTTTGACCCATTGTATGTGTTGTTTGCAGATAATGTCTGCCAAGGGGCCTTCTAAGCTAGGATTTCGAACATTCAGAACATTATCCTGTTGATATAGGTGCATATATCCTTGATAAAGTTCTCCAAGTGGGTCGCTCATCCTGATGCTCAGTGATCAAGGTGAAATAAATGGTTTTTGTTGATACACCTGGGGGATCGCGAGGTATACCCTCTACACGTGACTCCGGAGCTACTGCACAGCTCCTGGGAACGATTGGATCTTGGAGGCCCTCAAATACCTGGAGGTTGGGGGCCGTAACAGAAGGAAGGCTTGAAGGTCCGGTATATTACTTCTCCTAGAGAGAGAGATGCAAGATATGTAACAAAGTCAGAGATAGGATTGAAGACAGCTCCAACTTGTTTCTAAGTATATAGGAGCTCAACGACATTTATTATTGAGATCAATACAACATGGAACATGAAGGAATGGCGTAATTCGGATGAATCGCAGACAGAGAAAAGCAAATATATAGTGAGGGGTAAGCGGATGTTGCATCCGGAGGAGGGCAGTGTAAGCTATATCTACCGAAGCTAGGTTATAGGAGTGAAGATCCATTTTCAACCATGCAGAGGATAGGTTCTTCTGCAGAAGGAGAGGAAGAGTGCCTAACGGCTCAGGTATCTGGGAAGGCATTAATATACACCTTACAGGATGACAGTGGTTAAGACCTTTTCTTATCTGTTGCGGCATAGGGCCGTAACATTTAGGAACGTAGCACATTCCTTTATGACCTCTATAGTCCTATCAATCTTTTGGTGGGGGGCCGATTATGATAGGCTCCGCCTATCTAGCGGTTAGCAATCTATATCGTACCGTAGAAGGAAATAATGCATACTATTATACAATGTCCATTCTGTCCGCTAGGGCATCCGCAACTGCCACTGGTTGTGCATTGAGTGGCAACAGGATTATCGTTGCTTGGGCCTTCACAGAAGCAAGCGGTGTTTCCAATGCCGGTTGACCCACAACCACAACCGTCCTGGCCTCCGGGGCAACTGCACTCCGACTGCGCAATTGCTACAGAGGCAAGACAAGCCAAGGCGATAATGGTGAAACGCATTGTTGTTGATGTAACGTATAAGATGGGGGAGAATAAAGAGATGGTGATGGAAAAGACGGAAGATTACTCGAAGACGAGGCTGACTTTATACCCATCGATAACAAGAGCATGACACTGGAGACCCGGATGCAGGAATACGTAGTATGTCACGGCATGCGAGTACATGCGAAGTCAAGGCAGATCTCTCTCGCCCGGCCGTCCACGGTTACCACGTAATTCTCAGCGGCGCAGATGCTAACCTTATTCTGTGAGCCATTTCTTCGATTAGCCAAATCATACGTCATAAAAGTGTAAGCCGCCGCGGTCACAGCCGCCAAGGCACACAAGCGTGGGGATCGCCATGGTGCAGCTACAAGGATGGAGCTGAAATTGAGCTCAGGCTCGCTTTCCAGCCATGCGGTGTGATTCCAGAGGCAACCGCTGCGAGAATTGAGACGGTCGAGTGACAGATCAAGCACTCGGGCGCCAAACAGGCTGTGATGCCAGGGTTCTCAGCTGTGATCAGGCCCGTAGAAGGGGGGTTTAAGTGGGTATAGGCGGGACGGGTTGACAGCGCGCGAGGAGAGCAGAACGACCGAGCGTTCAGCTCCTCCACGTCGGCGTGCCAACCCGACTATGAACAACCCTGCGGTCGGAATCTCTGATATCCGTTCTCGAGAGATCGCGAGGCCTTTTTGCCATTGGGCGTGCCATTAGGCATACCCTTGGAGCGATGGACCGGATCAGGCTAAGGCCTGCGTGAGACGAGCTGATGACTAGAGACGAGGATCGGTTTTATTCGGGGGTACCGGGTGCCGATTGGGAAGTGCAAAGATCTTCCGCGTATCATGAGTATAGGTGTGCGTCATGATCCGTCTTTCATTTTGTGTTGAGAAGCTTAGCAAGTGAGCCTTGGAGAAGGCACCCTGGAAAACAAACATCAAAATGGCGCGCTAAAGTTTTGCGGAGGTGGCGCAGGCAAGTTAGAGGCACGGAGTGTGATGCGAACCCGGTCAATTCAGCCTTCATATGAAGGACCTCCACCGAAGCCAACAAAACCCTGCAAGTCAAAGCAAACAAGCAAAAGTCCCATTTTACGCGATGCTAACTGGTCATCGTTAGTGGAGCGGAATACTTGCCTGGTTCCCAAGTCTCGTCAACGATCTGGCTCGCAACCGTACTGTCGCCGTATGCGTCAGGCCTTACACACGCTCGGGTGTATAGAGGTATCGAGGAACGATGCCAGGTAGAGCGCCAAATAGGTCAGTACCGAAGTAGCTCCCCTACTTGTAGAAAGGTTTGTCGAACAAGATGAATCGTGAACACGATAACACGAGAAGTGTCCAAGTGTGAACTGTGTTTCCCAGTAACTTAGATTGTTTGATCGCAAAATGTTCAGTACATGAATGATTGTCCTTATATATCCTCCTCCTCACAGTGGTAGAGCTGGCAGATGGTATACTGGTAGAAAGGGGTTGGCGTCTTCTACCCGTCGATCGCGATATCGATCTACCACGGAAATCACGTGGGCTTACCACCACCCAGCATTATAGTGTAAAATAATGACTGACGCTGAGCAGTAGAATGGGATATTTATGGCTTAGTAATGAACCTATGAGATTCTCAGGCGACCAATTCCAGGAAGCTTTCCACAGGAAGTTCAGCTGTGGGTTTACATTCTTGTTCGACCCCCCCACCCCCCAATCCCAATAATCAACTACTTGAGGAGCTGTTCAAAAATACATGGGCCACCGAGAGCCAACCAACTTCTTAGGAGCTAGAAACTTTCAGTTAGTTTAAGTTAGCCCTTTGATAGGCTCGTGATCTTATTACTGACCACTGGGAGAACTAATCACAGCCTATTCCGAAGGATTGGCAGTCCACAAGGCTAGCTTCTTTTTCAACCTACCTCAGTCAGCCCCCAAACTCAGCGGCTCTGCTGATCAAACCATCCGGCTGTGGGATACCACCATGGGTGCTCTCCAGTAGACCCTTGAAGGCAATTGGTCGGTAGCCTTCTCCCCAGGCGGCCGACTGCTAGCCTGCTACTCTGCTGTCCCTAGGACAAGGCACTCAAGTCCCTACGCGAAATTTATCGGAATTATTCAAAGACTGTCCTCGAAGGGGTGGTGAGAGATCTGGCGATGTCTCTTGATCCACTCTCAGTCAACTCTTTCTTCTCTTTTCCTCCATGCTGTAGTACTCGTCTCCATCGAAACCCTCCCTTGACAAATCTGTGCTACCAATGTAGAGAACTACTCTTGTAGGCTAGACATGGTTTTTGTTTGCTGTGCGCCATGAATCATACTCACTACTGCCATATCTACTCGTTCGAAACGTGTGCTGGCAGCTAGTGACCAGGTAAGCTGAGACAAATCCCCAGAGGTTCGATCGTGTGTGAAGTGAATTTTCAGCCTCATTTGCGTAGCTGCATGAACGCGGTTTGCGCGATTCTCAAGATTTCTGCGTCTATCGATTTCCAAGGATGCGTGGCACTGCATGTCGGCTGGATTATCCTATGCACCCGAAATCACACCGTGAGGCTGAATTGGAAAAGCGGGGCCAAATGTATGCATTATAAAAAGAGCAGGTGTCCAGCACTGAATTTTGTCGTTTCCCAACCAAAATTCGATTCATTCCAGTCCCATCTATCTTTAAGTCCTCTTCATCTATCCTCCTCTTTTCGGGTCCTGATCTACCCTCGATCCTCAATCATGCCCCTATTAACGACGGCCGAACGCATTTATCAACTATGAGTTCCTTGATAAACATCTTCTTGCGAGGGCCCTAGAAGCTGCAGGGGCCACCATGGCCAGTCAAGGCAATAAGCGGCTTGCGCTTATTGGGGATGCTACCCTGAGACTCGTTCTTTACGAGTGTGGCTATGAGGACGAAGCTTCTATTCGTGGGACCCCTCAATGTCTATTTTTTATTCCTTGTTTATGTGCTAATGGGGTAATAGGTGACATGAGGAATGCACAAAATACTCGGGCAACGAACGAGAACCTTGCGCAGATAGGCTTTTCCCTGGGCCTGGATGTCTACATCCAGCTGAACCCTTCAGCCCAGGGGATTATTCCAGGGCGGCTCATGGCAACTACCATGGAGGCCATCATTGGCGCTGTCTACCTCGACAGTAACAAGGATATTATGGTCATACGGCGCTTGATTGTTAATCTACGTGTCATGGCAGTCTAGTAAATGTCCTCGGGTAGGTACAGCAAGTGCTACACTCAGTTCCCAGCTTGTGCTCATCTTCTAAACGCTGGTTGAAACTCTAGGCTCGTATTTCCCGGGGGGTGTTTGTATACCCTTGTGGCGATAGTTGCTGGCAGATGCCCTGGTAAAGAGGGTTTTCAAACCTTGACGAGGGGGACACTTTTGCTACCATGTGTCCCTCTCGAGAAGGTCTGGGAAGCCACTTTATGATAGCATCTGTTGTTTGGAATGGCATCTGAATACTCTTATGGGCGCCAGTCATTGGAATATGTGTAGCACGGAGATCTTGCCGGCTCTTTTACGACGGGAAGCCTCTTGGTACCCAGGCTTCCTATCGCAAAAGAGCCGGCGAGATCTTTGTGTTAGACAAATATCAATAACTGATATTTGCAGTTGTTTTTGGTTTTTGTGTTTATTTGTTGTTTCCATTTGGGCATAATCAACATATCGTCCGCTGATTTGTTGGCTTGGCTTGAATGTTTATTATTTCATATTTTTGGGTCTCTCACGGTTGCCTATTGATTCAACATCATGGCTACCGAGCATTTTTAGATAGTTGCAGTTATCAAATTTAACCTAGTCCCTCGTTTCAGATCTATCCTTAAACATTTTAGAATCCTATAGTCCATGAGCTTTGAACTGAAATGTCACATTTTAATTAACCTCTGGAATCTGAGGACCTTTAACTAAAATAATTTGATTTCTCTCCTGAGTAGTAACAGCAACTTCCAATCTCGGATCGCCCGTAAAGGAATCCAAATGCTTTAACCTAACAACCATTTTCTCCGGCGGCATTACCGGCTAATATTTTAAACGTGGGCTGTGTGTCAATCCAAAAGTAGCTCAGATTACTATAATCTCGTCTCTTTATTCCTGTCATCCGTAAGGTCATCTTTCCGTTGCTAAATGATGAAGATAATATCCTTACCACTGGGTGATTGTATGCCCGACGATATCGCCCTTATTAATCGGGCAAGTCGATAGTACGTATCTCCTTATCTAGATCTTCATATTGGATAGACATATCCTGACGTATACGGAGCTTATCTTGTTTCTTGGGCAGATTATATGGAGCCTTGCTCCTCTAGATAGTTGGGAGGCATCTCGGAAACCGTTTCACAATAGCCAAAAATGAGGTGGACGGAAAATGACAATTGAGCACAGTTGCTTTGAAGTCCATGAGGTCTCGGCGTGAAGACGTGACCCTTGAATATGAACCAAGGAAGACAAATTCTCTCACGGGCGGCTTTTTATACCCAGCCTTGAGCCCAAGCTCCTAAACATGGGAATCACAGAAAAATCTGTAGTTGTAGTAGTAGGTGGTTCCGCAATGTTAATTACTCGCGGTTTTCTCAAATAATAGAACGTACGGCGGCAAATCGGGCAGCTAGCATCTTGAAATCGAAGCCATCGATCAATGCATGGCAGGTGGAAAATATGCCCACATGGTAGTAGGCGGTAAGAGGATTCAGCAGTACCAAGGGAATCCCAGCAAATAGTGCAATCATCAGGGAAATCGGAGAAGCCTGCTTCACAGAGGAAAGAAGTATTAGTATTTATCGAGGCCAACGCTCCCCCTCCTTCTCAATATGAGAACCTACCATTTTTCGTGTCCTTTAATCCAAAGTAACATAGCATTTGAGCGTACAAGAGTTCCTTGGCCGTTAGACCTCCTTTCTCGGTGGGAGATGGTATATGAATGTAGTGGGTAGCCATGATTTAGGTCGATCTTGAGGTTTATGGAACATATGGCAAAGGAAGGGGAGTACTAAATTCTATGTTGAGCCTCATTTCCACCACGTGAAAGTCATTTACATTGCCGTGGCGCTGTGTCCCTGTCCGCTGGGGGAGATTTAATACCCGGGTGAAAAAACCTAGCTTAGGGACCAATTATAGGATTGCATTTACGCGGGCTGACCAACGTTGGATTTGAGCAGTGGAGAACTACTAAAATAGGCTTGGGCGACAGAAAAGAGTCATTAGATGCATCTATCTGAGGCTGTTCAGCGGCACATCAATATGAATAATCGGGCCCGGGCGGAAGAGCCTCGCTTCCATTCGCGCCCCGTGAGAGAACCCGCCCGCGTTGGCTGCTTCGATGCGCCCAACTCAAGCCTTCCCGCTGTCAAGCAAAAATTGAGTTTCTTGGATCTCCAAATGCTTCTTTGTAAATTGCGTTGAAGCGGCGTTCTCCGTTTCCTCGTCGAGAAGGAATGATGAGATCCTGGTATACACCATCCAGTCTCACACGTGCATTCTTCGCATGCATTTGAGGGGCCAAAGCTACACTTGATGCATCGAGGTTCAACATGGGCTGAGGCCTGTGCGCGATTCGAACATCTCCAAGAAGGCAAATGAGGCACTTCTCGTGCCGTGCAATGCCACGTCAAGCCTCCAGTACGATCCACAGCCACTGAAAGCTTCATCGCAATAGCGGTGACCAATCGGCGGATGGTCGCAGGCAACGGCATCGTTCCGTCTCCACAATAAGCAAGAGAAAGAGGGGTAGAATATGAAAAACTGACGGTAAAACAGGTTGTTTCGTGGTCTCTTTTGTCTACCTGTCAGTTTTACTAGAGCTACCAAGGCACAGAAATTTGAACAACACATATACCACTATGGACATAGTACACGGCAAGGATCTACATTATGAGGAGCTTGGGCTCAAGCATCGAGGTAGCGGCCTAGCATTCAAACATCTCTTCCTTGGCGAAGAAAATACCCCCGAGAACTATCTCTTCAGTATAGCTCGCCAAGGAGCCTTTTACTCGCCTATTCACCGGCATACTTTCGATCAGTTCCGGTACGCATACCGTGGCGACGTTTCTATTGCACCAGATCTCCTTCTTCGTGAGGGAGAGCTGTGCTACCATCCGGAGGGGGTTTCTTACGGGCCACAGCTCGATGAAGGGGGCGAGCGCGATGTGCTAGTTTTACAATTTGGTGGAACCAGTGGCAAAGGATACCTCAGCTTTGCACAGATTGCGGAAGGCCAAGAAAAATTGAAAGAGGATGGCCGATTTGAAAAGGGGAAATTTCACCCGGCAGGTGGCGGTGAGTCGAAGGATAGCTATGAGGCTCTCTGGGAGAGCTATTCGGGTCACCCACTTGAGTATCCTGCGGCACGATATCACTCGGTTATTGTTTCAAAGCCAGACAACTACTCGTGGGTGCCGTCGGATGGATCGGGCAATGCCTTTGCACGGACGCTTGGTATATTTACAGAGAGGCAGACCAAAGCGGATATGATCAAGATCGGAGCCCAGGGGAAGATTGGGATAGACGAGCAAAATGCTATCCAGCTGCTCTTTGTGCTCAAGGGCCAAGGTAGAGCAAATGGAACCTCCTTGGAGATTGAGTCTGCAGTGCGGTTAATGCCTGATACTGGAGTTTCGCTCTCTTCGGAGTATGGGATGGAACTGCTTCGTTTTGTTCTTCCAATACTGGAACGGGATATTGGCAAATAATTACCGACGGTAACTTCAAGTGGGCGTCTCTTGCTTTATTCTAAATTCAGCTTTAAAATGACAGTATGCCAATCTATTCTTTGAGATCTCTACTGATATTACCCCGAAAGAGAAGAACCTAAACACTCTTTATCCCGCATTCAAGGCTGATAGATACATAGCTCCAGTCCTATGTAGTCTCTGAAAAGATTATATTTTCTCTTCGCTGCTGCTTTGGCTATCTCCGTCGTACCGATCTATGTCTTCGAACGCGCACCCTTGAGTATCCGCAGCACTTAGAGATTGAGAGGGAATGATACATATATAGATGGGATACATATATTCCAACCCTCACAACTGTCATCTCGAGCACAACCTTCAATAATCACCTCAACTATCTATTTTCTTTCTGTGATTGATAAAAAGCCAATCAAACCCATATAGGTAAACTTATTCCTTACACTCGCGTAGTGGATAGGCCAAAAACGTGATAATTTTAAGAGTAAGGAGAAGAATAGAGGTAAATAGAAGCAAGTAAAGGAAGATTCATGCAGCAAAAGTAAACAAGATTTTAGCGGAGACCCATTCGACTTCCTATTACTTATGTGTCCTTGACACTGCATCTTACTCTTGGTGCCAACCCAACCTTAACGCTACCACCAAACTTCTTGATAAAATCATTGATGATATCAACGGCATCTTGAGCTCCAATATCAAAGTTGACATTGCCCTTCCGGCCCTTTCCAGTAACAAATTTGCACCAGTCGACCAACCAACCTTTGAGAACGTGGCCATTGGAAAAGATGTGATGTGGAAGATGCCGCCGCATCCCGGATTTCAGCCTCAGGCGGCGATTACATACATTGGATGCATCTCAACGGCCCATTTTTCCTTGTTACTTTCCTTTACCATTTTGGTATTCCGCTTGGTATTCATTATGTAGATAGATTCAAATCTGTGTGCTGCACCAATTTTATTCCATAGAACTAAGCACTCGTAGCGCCCTGGAGAGATTTTACCATCACTTGAGTATTTACACTGTTGCAAAGGCTCGTCCTATGTCATGTCGAGGTGACTACATCGGGTTAATTTTTCGCGCAAAGTTACCACTCCTTCAAGCCAACTGGTCCAGTGCATGTCCAATGCTTGTGGCTCAATTTGTTGTTCTCGACTTCGTCAATGATAGCCACGGCCATGTCTTCATTGTAAATTCCATTGTGGATACCAGGTTCCGCCGATCCGGCAGAATCATCTACAAAGAGCTCATACTGACCGGTCCTGATGCCTTTTTGTCGTCAGATTAAGAATTTTAAGAATTTTGTCGACTCACCTTTATCACGCAGCTGCCAAGGAGGAGACAGGAAGCTCCATTGTGCATCTTTTACTCCTTCCCACATAGTCAAGGCCGCTCGGGAGCAGAAGATGAGGCCAAGGGAATTCGGGTCTGTGAGCGTGGGTTTTGCTGTTCGCAACAAGTACCATGCAAAAGGCCTGGTCATCCAAGAGAACCCTTCAACCCGGACATCTGTCAGTCATTCTGAGAAATAAAAATACTAGTAGTAAGATTACTCACAGCCGGGATTTTCATAATTGCTTCTAGCCCATTTGAACCCGCGAATGAACATGCCAAATCCATGCTGGCCATGGTCAAACATGCGTGTCGCCATGTAATCCAAGTGAACATCGGGCCATTGATACCTAGAAATACATGAGTCTCACTCAATGGTGTCGAATAAGAGTTGAATCTTGAAAATTTACCAGTGGTGGTATGCGAACATATTATCATCGCACAGCTGCACCCCTTTTTTGTAGTACAAAGAGCCTGCGCCACCTAAAAAACACTTCAAGATTAGAAGGTACGTTCTCAAAAATAACATAAAACAAAAGCCCGAAACAAACTCACTTACCAATTATGACTATTGGACCACGATAGGAAGATTGCAAGACTGCCATCTTAATATTACCGTGGCCTTCAACTCCGACTCGATAAACATCCTTAAAATCCTGCAACGGAGGACCAAAAGCAGAAACAATTGCGTCAAATTTTCCCTCGGAAAGAACGGTGCTAAACATTTTGATGTCGCTGAAATCAACTGCAATAGACTCAAAGGTTCCTGCCTTGGGCCATGTCTTGGGGGGCGTTCGGGATATGCCAACGACTGAATGACCCCTGGATAAAAGTTCGTCGACGACACATTGTCCGCATTGCCCTTTGGGCCCAAGAACCGCAACCCTCATTATGACGCTTTGAACAAGGCAGTATAGACGAGTAGAGATTTATCAGAATCACAATGGAAGGTTAAGCACCGGGTGAAGGAGAATGTCTTTCCGAATACCAGGGTCAACCAACCTTTATACGTAAGCCTTTGTGAGAGTGCTTCGGCGGGGTGAGAGGCTAGCGATCGACTGAAGCCCCTGAGAATACCAAGGTCTCCATGCCCTTCCTAGTCTTCATTGTTAGAAAATGTCCATTTCCATCCACGCAAATCTTCACCACATTTTCTTAGCGCCCCGTCGGAACCCCCCACACATCCCGCCGGACCCCGCAAATGACCACTCGACTTGAGCTAACTGGATGGGGAAGCAAGCTATTTTCATCAGAGTCCACCCTTTTATTTATTGGTATTGATTCCTGAGAGTCCGTACATATATCGATTGACAGCCAAGTATCTTGATATCTCCGCTGTCCAATTTTCACCATGTCTGAAGAACAAATCCACGCCTCCTTCGTGGAGGAGTGTATGAAAACCAGGAAGAAAGCAGAACAATATCTTGAGTTTCGCAATGCCCTCTCACCTGACAATCCCAAGTCCCGCTTCCCGGGATTTTATCAGCGTGTTACTGTGTTCAAAAAGGGACAGCAAGTAAAGCCAGGCGCTAGGCCATTACCGATTGATATCGTCATGCACGAGAGCGTGCCGATGATCCTGTCAGATGGAATCAAAATCTATTGTGACATTTTTCTTCCTGTCAGCCTTCCACGGGATCTAAGGCAGCAGGTCGACGAAAGAGATAGGGTGCCGGCATTGGTTGCGTGGTATGTTATATTCGCTACGCCATCCTGGGATATTTGAAACTCTAACATTTCCCAATCACAGGAGTCCGTATGGAAAGCAAATGGGCACAACACTTTTGGATGATTTTCCATTCCGTGCAGGTGTCCCAAAGGAGTGGCTGTCTGGACTTGAAAAATGGGAAGGTCCCGATCCTGCATTTTGGTGCGCCGAGGGTTACGCTGTGATCAATGTTGACACTCGGGGCGCATTCACTTCGGAGGGTAAACTCCTCATTTTTGGACACCAGGAAGCTCAAGATGGCGCAGAGTTCATCACTTGGGTATCCGAACAAGCCTGGTGCAACAGCAAAGTGGCGTTGACTGGAAACAGTTGGCTGGCTATTGCTCAGTGGAAGATAGGCAGTCTCAGGCCTAAAGGGCTAGCTGCACTTGCGCCATGGTATAATATACCGAAAAAAGATTTCTTAAATTGACTTCATTGGTACTGATATCTTTTTTCAGGGAAGGTCTTCAGGATACATATCGCGACAATTTATGCGAAGGAGGTATTCCATCGTCAAACTTCCACGACACGATCGTCGGTAAGATTATAGCTCCGCTGCGTGGACTTCGAGCCGCGTAGCGAGATATTCGGTTCCCTCGATATCATTAACACTAACCTGATTTTAGAGCCTTTCGCAAGCTATAGCGAGCTTGAAGATCTAAGTACTACGCTGAAAAAGACAGGCGGCCTCTGGAACGCCTATTGGGAAGACAAAAAGTCCAAACCGGATCAGATCAACGTACCAACATATGTCGTTGCTTCCTGGACCAACCCAGTCCATACACCTGGAACTTTCCGAGCTTTCAGAATGATTCCGGATAGTACTCCCAAGTGGCTTCGGGTGAACAACTCACAAGAATGGCCAGATTACTACGCAGATTCGAGTTGTCGTGATCTGAAGAGGTTTTTCGACCACTATTTGAAAGGACATACGGAAAACAGCTGGCTATCAACGCCTAAAATCCGCTTAAGCATTCTGAATCTTGGCCTGTTCGGACTTGAAGACACCGTGAACAGAGCCGAAATGGAGTGGCCATTGGCTCGAACTCGGTATGAAAAGCTTTATCTGTCTCCCAACGGTGAAATGGGTTCTTTCACACAGCAGCAGGGGCCATCATCGACGAGTTACGACTCAGCGAGTGGAAAGGTGATCTTCCGTTATGTCGTTCCCGAGGAAATGGAAACAACTGGATATTTCCTAGCCCGACTCGTTGTGTCGTGCCCCTCTCACTCTGACATGGATTTGTTTATTCAAGTGTGTTGCCTTGATGAAAAGTCTCTCTACAGACGAGGAGTCATGACTATTCGACCTGGTAACATGCTCGTTCTAGCATTGCTCAAGTTGCTTCACGATTGGCATTTCGGGCTTTCAAAGATGGGCATGCTTTTCCACTGGGGGCCCGCTGGCCAACTGAGAGTCAGTCATTCAAGCCAAAAGAGCAAATCCTCAACATCATTCGAGCCGATGTATGAGCACAAAGAGGCAATACCTCTAGCCAAGGGAGAGAAGCGTCTGGTTGAAATTCCTCTGCGACCGTATGGAGTATTCTGGAAGGTAAGTTGAAATACCGACACGGCATGAGTTTACCATGAATCTGACTTTGAGTTACAGAGGGGCACCATTATGGAGCTAACGGTTTCAGGAAACCCGGTAATTCCTTTCCCTATCCCTGGTGTAGAACCTTTATATGGAAGGAACGCTGGCGACCACATCATTCATTGTTTTGATAGAGGGGAGGATAGTTCCTGTCTCGTTGTGCCCAGAGTTTAAGTGTATTCGTGTTTCCATTCGTTATGAATTTTCAGTCTCTCAGTGGATAGAACAGTATTACACCGCCACACTTAATACCTACGTAGATAGCCTTGCGCGGGAAACTTCTTCACTTCGAATAGCAGTTTCATACATGACTTTCTTACTCCGTGGTGTCCGGTTGTCTTTCTGGTTACGTATGTCAAAATCCACCACAGGTATCGTTTTGAGCTCGAATCATCCTAACCAAAATGGAAAGCTACTTTAGTAATATGAATTGAAGGGCAATTTACTCCGTAGAATCTACAACACGTATACAAAAAATGGACTTTCGATAATGTGAATCTAAAGGTCATGTGAAATCCACAAAATGTACTTGTACATAGTGAAATGGGGATGGCTCAATGGCTGTCTGGCAATACAGACTGTGCGCCAGCAACACACATACACATTCCCAAGGACTCAGGAAGGCGAAGTGGACATGCTCTGTAGATGAATATCGCTTTTTCCTTGAAACTGTATCATGAAGTAAAGAAACCGAATAATGCAGTCATATTCCGAATAACTGTGCCGCCTATGTGTGTGTTTATGAAAGAGAAAAGAATGCAGATAGCCCAAGGCATGTAAGACACCTCAGGCGCATCATGTCACCGCTTTCACCACTACAATAGCTAGATGTGAAGCCGACGGGGCCGACGGGGCCGACGGGGTCGATCACTACTTTAAACCAGTTCTGGAAGCTCCACATGGACTCTCAAGGACCAAGCTGTTAATTGCTCGCTTCTTACTTGTCCTAGGATGTGAAATCGAATCATTTTATTTTCCTTCAGAAATTTGAAACCCCACGCAGTCCCACCATTGTATCCGATGATGTAAAATTTGACAAGACGCAAGGTATAAAATTAGGGAGGTATCCCGTTTCTGCTGGGCTAGATGCTGTTTTGTCCTCGCAGGTATTCCCTGGACTCCAGAAAATATTCAATCAGTACCTAGGCATGCCGCATTCTGGGCTACTGAGCAGTCTCGGCGCTTCGGCGCCGCAGGAACTGGGAATGACTTTTGCAGTCGGGTTTTCTCTCTTCCTTGCTGGCCTTTTCATATTTAAAGAGCTTACTGCCTTTTACAATGCAAAACTTCATCCTCTTTGCAAATTTCCGGGTCCGGCTGCGGCAACCCGATCAGAGACATGGCTGTACAAAATGACCAAAAGCGACTTTCAGGAAGAAACCTTTGAAAAACTTCACAAAGAATACAGTGCGTTCTGGGGGTTTCAACTTGGGAGATAATTTGATACTAAAACAGTGACTCGCTTTATCAGACACACAGGCCCTTCGGACCGGACCCAATGAGCTGCATATCAGTGATGTCAATTTATACAAAGTTATCTACAACCAATCCAGCCCGTTTCCTAAATATGCTCCATTCTACGACGGATTCAACACTCCACACACCCTATTTGCGGAAATTGACCCTGTGCTGCACAAAGAACGCCGTCGGATGCTGAACCCACTTTTTTCTCGTATTGGGTTAATTAAGTTGGAGCCCATCATTCAACAAAAGGTCAATATGCTTCTTGAGAAAATCCATCTCCTGGCAGCACATGGACCCGTCAATGTTTATGATGCTTTCAGGTGAGATATATGATGAACTTGATTGGTCATTGCTAACAGAAATCTCCCTCAGGCTAATGACCACTGAGGTCATCCTGCAGTTTGCATTCGGAAGAAGTGGGGGCCTTATTGAAGAGGATAAGAACGGTTTCCGCTCCTGGTTTCTGGAGGGCTTTGACGCCGCTTCAAAAAGCATTCCCGACTTGCAGTACAAGCCATGGCTTCGACACCTCACCAATATCATCCCGCAAGCCCTTGTGTACAAACTAAGTCCGGAAATTGGAAATTTGTTGGACATTGCAAAGGTAAATTTCCATACTTTCCAAAATATCAGTAGAGTGCCATTCGCTAACTAAAGCCGAAGTTCGCTGAAGGCTCTGTGCGTTTCTGGCAGATGTCAACATCTAGACCCGATCATCCAGTGGTGTTTGAGAAATTGGAGACGGTCAATGATGCAGACCTAGCAACCGAGGCAATGGATATACTGATTGCCGGTGCCGACACTACAGCATCCACTATGACAACCGGGTTGATCCATATTTTGACCGACCGTGAAATTGAGCGTCGATTGGTCGAGGAGGTAGATTCACTCCAGGTTAACGAGAAAGGCCAACTTCCCCTTCAGGCTTTGGAGAAGTTGGAATTCTTGGTAGGTCTTCTTGCGCTTCCTATTCCAGTCGAACTGTGTTAATATGAAGTATACACAGCATGCTACTGTCAAAGAAGCACTTCGAGTTGGCATGGCCGTTCCCGGTCGGCTTCCTCGTGTTGTACCCGATTCTCTCATGGAGCCCTTCATGGTTGATGGAAAAGTCGTGCCACCGGGTACGACCGTCTCCATCTCTACCTATACCATGCACACAGACACTTCGATATGGGGCCCGGATGCCCGCGAATTCCGACCTGACCGGTGGATCGGTCCTCAGAGCAAAGGTCTGGATCAGTACTTCTGTACCTTTTCAAAAGGCTCAAGGATGTGCATTGGCCAAAAGTGAGTATCAGAGCCCTCTAATTTCAACAAAGGAGATATGTTAACTGTTTCTCTCAGTCTTGCGCCAGCCGAGGTCATCATTGTGCTAGCCTATCTGCTACGCAACTTCAAGATGAGCTTAGAATCGAAGAGCGATATTGGAGTGCCAAAAGATCGATTCACATTGCAATATGAAGATCCAGGGCTTCAAGTTACATTCAAGCCACGTTGTTGATTTTCAAGCTATGTTGGTCCTGGCATTTCACGAATTAAGCGCACCTTTTTCATGGGAGTGCCAGATATAGATTTCAGTTTGTGTTTTGAATAAACGCTGACGTTTTCTAATCGGCAAATTGTAAGGAGTTCGCCTGGGATAGCTCAAGGAATGCAATACTACTGCACTACTACTACCCACCAAGGATCAGTGAAAGCGAGGTACATCCAAATCGAACGCCTTCCTACTGAAAGGAGGATGGCTTGATGGCTGTCTGGCAATGCAGACTGGACAGCACCAACTAGGAGAACATATTACCACACCCAGGCTCTGTATGAGGTGGGTGGAGGTTGGTCTGGAAGAGGCACTGCGTATTACCCTTAATGCCGTACTATGAATAAAGGAATGTGGTGAAAAACTGTCATGAATTGGATATATGCCTGTTCTATCTCTATCTTCATCTAGAAAATATTGCTTACGCCCAAGGTATTCGTGACACCCTAGGTCGCAACTGCATCTATTATGTCATGCGTTTCACCACTACACTACTTAATTGGGACAACACGGCTGATTCCGTGGTGTTGACTAAGCGGGACCTCGGATCAGATATCCAATACAATCTTAAGAAACCACGGAGTTCCAGGCTCCGAGATCCGACTTCAAGCCTCCACAGCATACATGGGGTAATGATCGACGCAAATTGAAACATTCCTTCAACGTGCAACGAAGCTGACCTTAGAGATAATGCGTCTAAGCTTCACGAACCGTATCTTGTCCTCATGACCCTCCCAACTCCATGCATCATTTCTGATCGCCAGAGAAGCCCGGACTCATATCCCAAAGTCAATGATGATGCAATCAGCTTCCCCGCAACAGCTTCCATTCGGATGTGAATACTGTGGAAACACTTTCCAGCGAAGGGAGCATCTCAACCGCCATGTTCGCCGTCACCTCCAAATGAAACCTTTCACATGTCATCATTGCGGTAAATGCTTTTCAAGACAGTGCGACGACCAGAATCTACATCTCCAGTATTCCGCTAATGCGATCCCAATAGGGACACCCTGAAGCGACACATAGTGACGCATGATCAGCAGCACGATGGCTTGACTAAACGGGCTCTGAAAGCCTGTAGTGAATGTACCAGGTCGAAGCAACGTTGCAGCGGAACAGTACCATGTGATCGCTGTAATCACAGAGGCCTGCCTTGTCACTTTGCCAAGTTCTCTCCTGGATCATCCCCGGACAACGCGGGTGAATCTCAAAGTGGGTATCTAGAATGCTCTCAGATCGAGGATGGCGATTTATCTAGCCACCTCCATTCACCATATCCAGGCTCACATGCGGCTATCGGCAGTAGAAATGATCCACTAACTCAGTACGAGTTTCCATGGATACCGCAAGACTTTGCATTCCCATTTGCCTCGCCTTTCGAGATAGATCCCGTCAATACCAGCGATATTATGTTCTACTGTGATCGGACTCCTCTCTCATTTGGAGACCACACAAGCTTTAACCTGGACGAGTCGATTGTATCGACACCTCGGCCGATGAAGAGCGGTGGCACTATAAGTACACCTGACAGACTTGCGGATGAGCCCATAAGACATCGAAACCCTGCGACGCCTATGACAGTTCTGAGTCATCAAGCAGAACTCTCCTTTCCTGAATTTCCCCACTTCTCTCCAGACGAAACAGATCTGCTTGTTTCAGATGACTATTGCCATGTACCAGAAGTGTCCGAATTGGACTATGATGCGCTATTAAGACTCTATCATGAGTCGGTCCCGGCCTCAGTCTCGGAGAATAAAGGTAATTTTCCTCGGCGCGAAGTCATAAATGCCTTTGTGCAGCTTTACTTTGAATTCTTTCACCCAGGCTTCCACCTTCTGCACAAAGCTACTTTCCAACGTCGTCAGAAGTCTTCGTGTCTCCTTCTGGCCGTTGCCGCTATAGGCGCCCAGTATTCAAGGGTCACATCTCGAGGGCAATGCAGCCTTGCCCTCTTGGAGATTCTACGACGTGCGTTGCTTAATAACGTAGGTTTCTTCGTTATCCCGTTATTTCTTTCGCCATAGTCAGAATTTGCAAACTGACACATTTGACAGATCAAGCTAGACTGCCCGCCTCAACATGATCTTCAGTTGGTTCAGGCAACAATTTCGTGCACGTTTTCATTATCATTCTGTGGGAGACACCATACCCTGGCTCAAGCACAGTATTTGCGTAGTCTTCTCGTGACTATGTGTCGTCCATTTATGACCCAATCCATTCTGCACTGCGGGTGGACTTCTCAGAAAGCTTATTCAAGCAGGGAAAGCTCATCCGACTGGATGGTACGGGAATCTTGGGCTAGAGTGATATATTTTACTTGGTGTAAGTTCATTGAGGTTACCTCCTTTCAACTGTTTCAGATACTGAGTGGTTTACTGGAAAAGACATTGAATACTTACATTGGATTTTCTTCGATCTCGCTCCTTTGATCTCGGTTTCAGAGCTACGTGCCTGTCTGCCCTGCGATGATGAGTTCTGGGAAAGCTCCGATTTTATTGAAACAAGGAACTCGATGCAAGATGCTGGTGAGTTTTGTAACATTCCTAGCCACATCGAAATGTCTGAATAACACTATCAGTGCCACTTCCTTCACCTAGTGTTTTGGATGTCCTCAGTGCAAAATCTTCGAGTAAAGAATTCACGTCGTCATTAGGAAGCTCGGCATCTTTATTTACTATAATCTCAGCTTGCGCAAAAGAGCGAAGTCTCTTCCAACTTCTGAAGCCAGCACCTGCGGATGACTCCATGACTGATCCAGATTTTTGTATTGATGCTATGTGCGCTGCTCATTCTCACTGGGCTACGATGCTTTCAGACCAGGCAATATCAAATGTCGCTGAAAGGCTCCACAAATATCGACTGGCACCGGATGAACCTTCACCCGCATTTGGAACTTTCTCTGCTATGAAAAAGATTTACTCCATATCCAGGATATTGGATCATATTCCATATACGCTCTTGTATGTTTCTTCTGGTTGGATGACATCCAAGAAGGATACAGAAACCAGCCTGGCAGATTTGACAAAACGACTACAACACGATCCTCAGAGATCCCGAAGAACACTGACTTATGCGGCACAAGTATTCCGCCGGGTTCGGAACCAAAAATGGCTCGAGGCATGTGACCCACTTTACGTGCTCCTCTCAACGCTATACATCTGGTTCTATAGACGTATATTTGAAACATCACCGGACCCAGATAGCGGAATGTGGCCGCCGTTGAAGATTGATGATGAATCCCTCGATGAGACTGACTGGGTGCAATGGGTGGAAACTGGTGATAAGAGAAGAGCCCATATGGCCGGCATAGGCTTTTTGTATGGCAAGAACAATGGCCACCGTATCTTGAAAGAAGCCATTCGAATACTCTCCAGTGGTCAAGGCTGGCAACATTTTGCTCATGCTGTTGCGGGCTCCCTTCAACGAATATTGTCTGGTCTTGCCCCTTCCTTCAAAGATACATAGCTGCTAACAGGAGTAAATCCAAAAATATACCAAGCCAATTGTATAGCAAATTATCTTTTGAAGGAACTCAACATCTGGGCATTCGAACAGTCCTGGTCAATATCTTGCCTACAGATATCCTTAGATTAATAGCCTAGCAGGAAGCAAAGAATTTGTTACCCAAGAATTAAATCTCAACCTATGATAAATATGACAAGTTTGAGATATCAAGGATCAAAATTAACTATGAGGTTGGATGTGCATGTCTAACCCTAAGCGGTCTGTTCAGGAGCATTTGACTAATCTTCCTTCGAAATGCGAGGGCACGGTGAAATCATCGTGGGAGAGGAACTTACAAAGGAGTAATGACCACTTATACATAGAAGCAGGCTCTTAAGAAGTGGCCTTATATACTCCTATCTCTGGTGCCCCTCCTATGAGGATGACCATTATTAATTCATACCATATCAACGGATAAGTTACTTTGGTATACGCTACCGGATACCCGAGTAGAGTGTATGGACTAGTGTTGTCAGCACCTCCAGCTTCACTGTATCTTCGTCGTTCCCGTTTATTGAAGCGGTGGCGTACTTCTTACCCTACCAGAGTGCGCATCGGGGCAGCAGATCAACATGGAAAATCAGACAACATCTCGGAGGACTCCAAAGCAATGAATTTCTACCTACCTGGAAGCAAGATAGCTGGGACCGAGAACCCAACCGCCACGGTACCGATCGCGTATCTCACTGGGGCATCCGTGTCGACGGCCTTGGCTGCCGGTCTGACCTCATTGATCATCTACTGTGCGACGCTCGGACAGGTATACTATGATTCAGTTGGTAACAAGGAACGTACCAAAGAGTTCGCCCGGAAGCGGGATGGGCTAAAAGAACGGAATCACATGGAGACAGCATTCCAAAGTATCAAGTTCCCTGGGTGGAAAGGACCAAAATTTCCGCCTGTGTGAGGGTTATTTGGGGACAGATCCGCTTTCTTTGTTTTTAGCCACGATAGTCCAAGACATGGAGATAATGTTGACCTTGCGCCCAATCGCAGGCCGGATGGCCATTGAGGCGCTGCGAGGCGTGATCATGCGACTCCCATCCCTCGAAGGAATATCGTGCACGCGCATCACACACAGCGACACTCACGGCTTGATACGGGCTATCATATTAGCCATCACCGTCCCGTGCCCGTGAGTGGAATTGTGCCAGGTCTCCTTCGTGTGTTTCCCGCGAGGATAGTAACTAAGCCCAGAGGCTTCGACCATCTGTCCAAAGTACACAGGGAGCTTGTCGAGACGCACCCCGTCATCGATTAGTGCCACTTTGACCTTTTCCAATCGGCGATGCCTTGCGGGGAGACTGTCGTGATACGAGCTCTCTCGCTTTGTTAGTTGTCGCCTTTAGAAATCGGGGGACACGGGTGTTCGAACTCCTTTTGTCCCAATCCTTCTCCCAGGGGACGCTTACAGATGCTCTCATGGGTGCTGTGAGTACCGATGATAAGACAACTGCTATCAGCCTGGCTGAGTGCGTTCTCAAATCTACCATTCACTCTACCGCTGACTCAATTTTCCCGCCCTTGTTGATTTGGGCCACGACTCTAACACATACATCTACGGTCAAAGTTCTGCCCGATCATGGTGCGAGGCTTGATATCGTAAGGGCCGGGAAACCACTCACTCCGCTCAATCTTCTTGTCCTGCATCCGCAACTGTAGAGCGAAATTTACGAGCGTGACGGCTCGCATCTTCAGTTGGAAGTACCTCTGGGCCCTTTTTGCGGCGACCCGACTGTCTCGGACCGCTACGACAAGAGGGCCCTGCAGTGGGCCGCACAGTGCGGTCACGTCTGCACCGTGGTTCACATTCTCTACTGATTACCTCGTGGCAACGCATCTAGACACTGGAGCAAGCGGATTGTGACGGCTGGACGGCCTTGTGCTTGGCCATTCACCCTATCAAGAACAGCATCTGCGACACGACGCAATTCGAGCCGCAAAACTACCCGGACACTGTCCGCCTGCTGCTGGAATGCCGGGGGGGGGGGAGGGGGTGGGGTGGAGATGGCCCAGCGATGTGACGCCGATATGGTTGCCATTGACCTGCTCCAGCCCGCCCTGGAAGACACGCAAGTCCCGCAAGAATCAAGCTTTAGCCACTCGCAAAAGCTCACTTTCGGCACCGAGGTCTGTGAAATCTGTCTGGGTGTTACTTGTCCCCCCTAGCATGTTTTCTTTTTGCATCTGGCTCATCATTTGTCTTAAATTCATCCAATCTAGCCAAGCTTTGGCCACAATCACCGGCGCAGCACCTGGTCGGATTACTATATCTGCACCAAATGCCTCCCTATCTCTAGCGACTTCCACCCGCGCGGGTTTCCTAATGTGACACGAGAACGTATTATTGTTCTCGCCCCGGAGAGCAATGTGTTCCAGGACTCGGACGAGCAGACGCCCGATCTACCCGATGTCGATCTCACCGCGAGTGCAGAAGCCGTGGTAGCTCAGGCCTCCGTAAATAAGGATCCCGTGAACATGGCGGGAGATATCGATGGCGAGTTATAGGAAATGGCGCTAGGTAGCGATGGATCATTCTAGCCCGTTGGTCTAGGTCTTCATCTGCCCCCACACTCGAAGTAGCCTAATTAAATAAGTGATATAGAATCACGTTGATGAAGGGAGCTTGCTACACTGAAAGGACGTGGATACGATAGTTAATGACGATATATAAGCCACCACTAGAAGAGCACCGATTTGTAAAATCTCCTTTTGGTCGATAGCCTCGTTCGTGCTTCAATCCATTGATAGTCAGGCCCAATATGCAATTTGAATATAGAATCATGAGAATAAAATACAATACCTATAACGACAAAACACCATCTTTAAACAGAAAACAAAATAAAAAACATAAAAATTTCAAACAATCTCACATATCCCATATAAAAGCCGGTTTAGACCTAGCTGGATTGAGCCTGCTTCAGCTTGAGATGCTGCAGGTACTTCGCGTCAACAGGAGGACAGTCCACTCGGTTTCTGCCATGGCCTGCCAATGCGGCGCGAGTGTTGGTCTCATCCAGCGCAAACATCACATGGCCGAGGCTCAAATACTCCTTGAAAGTCGACCACTCCAAGCGCTCCTGTTCTGTGACCGCATGCTCGAGCATGCACCGTGTCCAAGTGTCAACGTCAACAAGGGTGCCTGGCTGGCCGTCATCACGGACTTGGCCGATGACCGTGGGCAGCTGCGTCCATAACAGCGGAACAGGGTTATTGATGTGGAACCGCTGGATCTCTTCACTAGTAGTTGAGTGGGTCGCTAGCTGGGCAATCGTGTCCATGACATAGTCAATCGGCATTAGATTGACCGTTGCACCGAGACCGATACTAGCAGGGGCGATGTCAGGCACGACTCCTGCCCGGATCATACCCAAAAACAGGTTGAGGGTAAAGTTCTCCCGAGGAGTCGAAACCGACGAGGTCAATGGCGCGGTGTGACCCGAACATCGATAAATCTTTGTCGGGAATCCGCGCCGAGAAGCGGTCTCAAGCAGCTGTTCACCCACCCAACGGGTCTTGAAGTAGCCCGAAGTGTTGGAATTGGCCGGTACGAAAGAGCCCAGGCTGTCCTCACGATTGGTCACAACTCCTGTTTTGAGGGTCGAAGTCGTCCAGCTTTGCATGTGGACCGCACTCCACGTCGAGACATAGTGGAGAGCAGTGACCCCCGGGCCAGCACCCAGGGCAGCAAGGCGAATCATGGAAGACACGCTTTTCACATTGCATTGGCGGAGGCCGGAATAAGTCTGCAGCAGAGATACATGGCCACCAGTGTGGAAAACCTCCTGGACCTTTCCACCCAGAGCGCGGAATTCGTCTTGCTTTAAGCCAAAGTCGGATTGGACCATAGACCCAGCAACAGGGCGTGCACGGTTGAGCAACCACTCTGGCGTCACACTAGCGTCCAAGAGCTGATTCTCCTGGAACAGCTGTAGCAGTCCATGGGAGTCCAACGGACGTTCAGTACCGAGAACATAAATTGTGGCGCCAGGGTACGTTGTAAGTAGCGCTTTTAGCAAGAAGACGCCGATAAAGGAGTCGCCACCTAGGAGAAGGATACCCGTCGTTCTCTGGTCATTCTTTGGAATCGTTCGAATCGGAGGACGGTGTTGATGATCATCTGGTAGACTGATTTCACGATCCCAATCAATGGAATCGAGATCGCCACTTGATTTAGCGACACTCCCACCCGCCGGGCTTGCTCTGGAGTCGAGTAATGCGGAAAGCTTCGCAGGGCTTGGGTTCTCAAATAATTGCAGGAGCGTGATTTCCCGCTTCAACTTGCGCTTCAGAATCCCTTGAAGCCGAAGTGCGAGGACGCTTTGGCCCCCGAGCTCGAAGAATGTGTCTGTGATTTTGATCTCTCGGTCTTGTCCAAGCTTGAGGACTGATCGGAAGGCGCTGAGAACAGTATCCAGGGTTTCACTAGAAGGTGTATTGGCAGGAGTGATGTCGGCTGTCGTAGTTGTCGTGCCTGGGAACACAGGCTCGAGAGTGATACGACCCAGCGCAGCCCGATCAATCTTACCGCTGACCAGAGTTGGTAAGACGTCCAAGAGCTGGTAGGAGCTCGGCAACATGTAGCTGTTCAGCAACTGGGCAATGGATTCGTGGACGGCATTGATGGCATCCTGATAGTGCTTCTGTCCTTGTCCAGGCACTCGGGGAATCAAGAACGCGACCAGCTGACGATCGTCAGTCAGACTGTCCGGTGACTGATCTCCACGCGCCAGGACGACAGCACGAGCATGGAAGGTAGCGTTCTCGCCGCTGAAGTGTTTGTCAAGTTCATTTTCAATCTCAGTAAGGTCGATACGGTAGCCACGCAGCTTGACCTGCTTGTCGCCGGAGATACGCCCGAGAAAATCGATCGTGCCGTTCCCAAGCTGGCGTGCTTTGTCACCTGTTCGGTACAATCGAGTCCATCCACGAACCCGGAACAGACCCTGTGCAAAGGGGTTCTTGAGGAAGGCTTGCTGCGTCCGTTTTGGGTGCCCGAGGTACCCAGGACTCACTTGGCCACCGCCAATGCAGAGCTCACCGCGAACCCCAACAGGGACCGGTCGCAAGCGCGAGTCGACAACATATAACGTTGAGTTGGGTAGAGCACGCCCAATAGACACCGAAGAGTCGGCACTCAGTGACTGAGGCACCGCATAAGAGGTGACCTGCGAAGTTGCCTCGGATGGTCCATATTCATTGTAAACTGTCGCGGATAAGCCCAGGCCGTAGATCGCCTGGATCAACCGGGCTGGCAGGCTCTCTCCCAACAGCAGGATAGCTCTGAGCTCGGTGCATTGTTGAAGATATGAAAGACCATGCTCGATCAATAGTGCAAATTGAGTTGGCGTGTAGGAGGCCAGTGTGACTCCAGCTGTGCGCATGAACTGAGCCAGCTGACTGGGATCTTTCCGGGTCGGTCGAAGGGCCAGCGCTAGAGTTGCTCCTGTTGTCAGAGGTCCCCAGATCTGAGGAACCGAGATATCAAAGCAAATGGAGGTTGCACTGAGCACAATATCCTGATGTGCAAGGCAATGAGCTCGAGTGTGGCTGTCAAGCATCGCCCTTGTGTTCTCGTGAGTGACTACGACACCTTTAGGTGCCCCGGTGCTGCCCTACGAGGCTGTTAGTAAGGGCTTCTATCCTAATAGATCAACCGATGGGAGTACTTACTGATGTATAAGTCACGTATGTGGCATAGTCGTCCGGTTGTTGCTCCACTGGGGGCAGCCACTCGGTCCTCGAGTCTGATGATTGCAGGGACACAAAGCGCGCGGTCGTTTTTTCTTGGATATTGGCGACCAATGATTCGTAAGGTCCATCGAAAAGTACCACCACGCTGGAAGAGTCCTGGATCATGTGAACAAGTCTTGCCTCGGCAAAATCAGGGTCCAGTGACACATAAGTACCGTTCAGACGTGAAACGGCCAGCATCGCCGCGATGGCATCAACAGACGCGCAAGCTAGGATGCCCACCCGGTCGCCTGCAGTGATGCTTGTGCTATGGAGGGTGGCTGCGAGCTGCTCCGCCCGAGCGATGAGGCCTTTGTAGGTGATGGAATCCCCACCAGAGGTGGTAATGGCAGTTGACTCAGGGTAGCTACGTGCGCTCACAGCGAATGTTTCCCAGAGGGATTGGCCTTCATCCAAGCCAGCACTGGTCTCTTCGGCCCAGAATTGCGAGCGCAGCTGCACCAGTTCCATATTGCCCACCATTTCGACCTCCTCGATTGGCTGGCGATAATCCTGAACCACACTGGCAATAAATGTGGTAAAATTCTGAATGAGCCGCTCCATGTCTGGCTTTCCGTAAAGGAATGAATCGAACTCCAGACGCAGCTTCAGTCCAGCTTTCTCGTCTTCGACAATCTCCAGTTGCATCTCAAATGCAGTGGGCATGTCCTCGACTTGGACTTCAGGGATTTCAAAGTCCAATGTAGAGTATGTCGGTGTTTTGGCATACATTTGGTAGTTGACAGCGATTTGGCTGAGAGGGAACTGACTTGGGCTCCACCCAATGTCCATAGCCCCTACGATAGCGTCGAATGGAGCCTGCGATCGCGCCAGGGCGTCCACCGCTTGCATCTTGATTTGCGTGACTAGTTCATCAAATGTCTCGTCTCCTGAGATCTGGGAGCGAAGCGGGACCATGTTGACGAAGAATCCAAGCACTTGATCGAGTTCAGTATGGGGTCTTTCACCGCTCACCACCAAAATTGTCAGGTCATCCTCGTCAGTATATCGGTGCAAGAAGGCCCGGAAAGCCGCCATCATAAAGTGGAAAGGAGTGACCTCGAGACGGCTGCAGATGCGCTTCATCCGCTTGAACAGCTGCTTGCTGACCTCGTCCCGCACGATCTCACGCTCGCGACTGGTACTGGCGGGACGGTCGTTCTGAGCAAACGGCAACAGCTTACTCACTGCAGGAGAACCGGCTAGCGTTTCACGCCACCACTTCAGGTCCTCCTGGATTTGGGGTAGTTGCAGCTTCGCCTCATGCCATAAGGTGAAGTCAACGTATGACAGCTTGGGACGGTTGACTGTATTCGGACTGGCCCCACTGGCAATAGCATTGTACAAGGAACTGATTTGTTCTGCGAAAATGTTAGATGAATTTGGAATACACGCTGGGAATAGAAATGAAATGTGCTTACCCATCAGCGAGACCTTACTACCTCCATCAATGGCCATATGGTGGATGCTGAGAACCCAAGCATACCTGGCCTCTTCATACTTAACCAACGCGGAACGGATCACTTGTCCAATCTCAATATCCAGAGGGATTTTGCGAAGAGCTGCCGCAAAGGAGCGAAGAGAATCCTCGGGAGCTGGTGTGTTGCTGACATCAGCCTGTTCAATTGGCATCAGGCCGTCCTCAATGATCTCTTGCTCTGCAAAATCGTCACCTTCAAAGAAGGAGGTGCGCAAACTTTCATTTCGACGAGCAAGCTCCTGCCAAACCTGTTGCAACACAGACAGTTGGGGTGTCCCGTTAATGATCAGTGAGACCGAAACATTGAGAGAGGCTCGGTCAGCGACTAGGTTATGCATGAACCACAGTCGACGCTGGAAGGTCGACATGGCGATCTGAGTGGGGCGTGGGTTTACAACGGTGATTGAATCCGAAGTCCTTGTGGATATCACCGTTGAAGGCATTTCCATTGAAGCAGCTTTGGTATCAGTGGATCCCTTCAGGAAGTCGCTGGCAACTAGTTGGCCGCATACCTTGGCTACAAGGTCACCAGTAGACTTAGACCCCAATATGTCAAACAAGGCAAGGTTGACCCCAAGCTCCTTGGAAAACCACTTGCGGAACTCGACCGCCACGAGTGAATCCATCCCGTATGCAGAGAGGGGCTCACCGGCCTGGACAATGGAACGGGGAACAGCCAAGGAACTAGCAATGCGATCGGAGAAAGCATTTAGCAGTACAGGGTGCATTTCCTCTGCATTCTCGGCCTGTCGCAATAGCTCTGACAAGTCCTGCTCCTCGGAGTCTCCGGAGCCAGTCACCTTTTGGCTCCGTCCGGCGTACAAGTTGCGGAAGAGCGGCTTCTTGGACCAGAACAGATCGGTCCGACGGGTGTTGATACCGCTGAGGAGCTGATGGCGATCTCCAGCTGATCCATCCAACCGTGAATGGGAAAATTCAAACTGGCCATCGATGGCTTCTTCAATTTGATAGAAAAGCTCTTCCTCGGTGAGGACATCCATACCGATGCGATCAATGATGGCCCGCAGATGTGCATCCTCCGCGATGGCACCGGCATCGGCAACTACTCCAACATTCATCGCAAAGCCTGGCAGGCCTTGTGCGTGGCGCCATCGGACAAAAGCATCGAGATAAGCGTTCGAAGCGGAGTAATTGGCCTCTGCCATAAACCCTATGATTGCGGAGATGGACGAGAAACAGATGAAGAAGTCCAAGGGAAGCTCTTTGGTCGCATGATGAAGGTTCTCGGCCCCATAGACCTTCGGCCGAATAACCGCAGCCCATTGTGCAGCCGTCATCTCAGAGAGTGGCCTGCTCTCAAGAACCATGGCGGCTTGGATTACTCCCCGGAGACTGTTTCCGATGGCCTGGATGCAGGCCCGAACATCCCTCTCGGAGGTGACATCGCCAGAGTAAACAGAGACCGTTGCCTTTCGGTGCTCGAGCCAGTTGACAGTTTCTTGGGCCTCGACCTTGCGGGCACCTGAGCGTGAGAGGAAGGCAAATTGGCGCGCGCCACGGCGGAACATCCATTGAGAAAGAGCTCGGCCAATGCCACCTAGCCCCCCAACGATCAAGTAGGCCTTATCTGAATGGAATAAGTCTCGACTGCTGCTGTAAGTGGACGGTGCAACCGCCACTTGCTCGCCTGGGCGTTCAAACAGCACCAGCTGACCATCGACGGCAGCCGTGCGTGAGTGTCGGAAGGCTTGAATAACTTCTCCATATCCAAAGACATTCACCGGGGTGGGCACAGAGAATTTTTCCTGCTGAAGGAGTTGGGAGACATTTTGGACCAGTTGAGGGCCCAAGCGGTCGTTCTGGCGGCTAGCTGCAGGCAGGTCAACTGCAGTATAGTGAACCCCAGGAAGCAGAACGCCGCTGTTCCAAGGGGCTGAGGTGGCAGCCAAATCGACAATTCGACCACCATTTGCCAAGAGATCCCAGTGTTCGTGTGTGAAGTGAGTGGAAGCATCGGTACGGAGAATGACATCGGCCTTGCGCTCCTTGGAAGTGGGGTCAGCAGTCAACACTCGGGCACCGACCGCTTGTGCCAGTTGCACAGCAACTTGAGCCACACCAGAACTACCACCAAGTACCAGGCACTGCTCATCTGCCCGCAGATGAGCGACATCAAGCAGACTATAGTACGCAATCAACAGGTTGTGTCCAAGAGCAGCAGCATCGGTGTCGCCGATGTGGTCGGGGATGGCAAAGGTGAGTTCGGCTGGCAAGCGGAGAAGCGAACGATGAGCGCCCCCTTGAGGTGAGTATGCGAATACGCGATCGCCAACCCGAACCAGCGAACCGTCCACACGGGCCCCGATGCGGGTGACGGTGCCAACAGATGTCTCTCCCAGGTGGCTGTCATGCAGGGTTCCCGCCACAATGGCTGCATCTCGATGACCAATGGCCGAGGCAGAAATGCGAAGCTCAATTTCCTGGTCATCAAGCGCATCGTTGATCAAGCCATGGCCATCCGCATAGAGGATTGAGTCTGCTTGACCTGGATTGCGGTGAACTTCAAGAGTCAGGACCTTGTCTTGGGTAAATGTCTGTTGAACAGGCTGGCGACTAGGGCCGTTCGGCAACTTGCGGTTGAGCTGGTCGTCGGCGATGACGCGAGGAATAAAGACCTTGCTATCGCTAACACGGAGCTCATCCTCTCCCACAGAAGGATTGAGGACATGAGTAGCCAAGTCCCCAATTGCTTCGGCATCGGACAGGTCGGTTACATCTAATGTCACAAGATGCAGACCATCGTTCTCACTGCGCGCCGCGCGGGCAAGACCTGTGAAAAGTGCCTGCGCTGGGCGGACAGGCTCTTGGGTGGCACCTCTTAGGAGCCAGACAACCTTCAGTGCTTGGGCTGTGAACAGGGTTCGCACCGCATCAAACTGGGTAGGAAACTCCGAGGAAGCATCATACAAAACATCCTCATCCAAGCTGACAAGCGAAATGATATTCGTAGCTTCCTTGGGGACTGCTTCCAAAGTGGTCGTCTGAACACTAGAATTCCGAGACCGAATGGCAGAGACAATAGCCAATGTCTCATTGGATACCTTGGAGGAAAGAAGCAGATGCAGGTTCTCATCAACGGTGTGCTTTGACTCTTCCACTCCACCCCTCTGCCAAACGGTCCATTTTCCGGCAGAGAAGCGTTTCTGCAGACCGGTATGTTCTTCAGGGGCAGTTAGCGTCACCAGGAAACCAAGGTCCTTTACCAGAGACAGCACATCTGCGTCGGTGCGCTCCTCCAGCACGACCATATCATATTGGCCACCACTCAAGTCCACCTGCTGCCGCAGACCAGGGAAAAGAGCATCCAGCTGCTCGTCTAGGGCTGGTTGTGTCTCATCTGGGGCAAGCACTGAAATGCTCTGGACCTGACGATTGGTAGGGGTCACGAGATGGGTAAGCAAGTTTTGAGTCTGGAGCAAGCCTGGTGTGACATGGAGAAGCTTTGTTGCCGGAAATTGGTGTGCATAAAGACAGAGTAGATCAGCAAGGTCAGAGAATGGCGAGACATTGCCGATAATGCCTTGGAGACTGAAGGCTTCCTGCCACTTGACTCGGAAGAACAAGTTTCTGTCTTCCTCACGGCTCTTGTCTCCGAGTCCTAGACCTGTAACCTCCAATCCCTTCAATGTGACCAGCTCGGTATTAGATTCTTGGTCGTGAATGAAGATATCGCTCCTGCTGACACGGGGACTTAGTCGCTCATTATCCGCCTTAACCCAGAACTTCTGGTCTTCCATAGCGTGCTTTCTTCGAACGAGAGAGCCCGACACTCGGACTGTATGGATGGATGTGGGGATGTAAGAGTCATCCAAGGGCGTCTGGAGGTTAGTCTCGAGCGCCGCGAAGAGAGTGTGCAGGGTGCAGTCAAAGAAACTGGGATGAAGGATGCACTCATCGCCTGGGGCTGTGGTCACATTTCTGGGACGGTATACCATGGGGGCGATAGCAAACCCGGGGCCGCTTTCGATTGGGCCACTCATGAGACGGAAGTTGTCACCATACTGCAGACCCACATTATACAGCCTGTCGTAGAATTTCGACGGGGCCTGCGAGCGAGTGGTGAGTGCTTGCAAGTCAGCAAATGAGTCCGGCGACTCCCACCCTTCGCTCTTGTCTGGCGTGCTCCGAGCAGTGTCCCGAATGGTCGCGGAAATGAGACCGGTGCAATGCTCCGTGGTCTTGCCATCCTCGAAGGAGTATATGGTGAACCGACTCCAGGGAAGAGTGGACTGGGTCTGCTGCTCTCCATTGAGCATCGCAAGGTCTAGCATTGTCTCTGTTCCGGAGTCCGAGTCGGAAATAGACAGCGCAGCCTTGATGGTGACATCCCGAATGATGATCTCATTCACTGCTTCGGGCGCCAGATCGGAGGTGATGGCCTCGAGGGCCATGGACAAGTATCCAGCACCAGGGAATATGATCTTTCCATCGATAGCATGCTCCTTCAGCCACGGTAGCTCAACCGGCCGCAGGTATCTCTGCCAACGGCGATGCGTCGCAGGAGAACCTGGCACGAGCGCTCCCAGCACTCCGTGGCGGGTTGTGCGTTGTCGATACTCATGGGCAACTCTCGTCTCTGACCAGTAGCTCTGATGATCCCACGCATAACTGGGCAAATCATCTAAAGCTCTTCCGACCTGGTGTTGCTGTGGCTTTCCGAAATGATCCAGAGCATGGCCAGCATTCACCGCGGCAAGATCAACACCATACCCAAACGCAAAGAGCTGCCCGGCAGTTGAAAGCAAACTCTCGTACGCATCTACCTTGCGGTCGAGGGAGCCAATGTATGGCAAGTCAATTCCCAGTCCCTTCATGACTTGCTTCGAGGGTCCTTTCAGCGCTGGGTGGGGGCCGATCTCCACCAATACGTCAAGGGCGGGCTCTTCGTCGTTACCGACCAAAATACCCACCAGGGCATCAGAGAACTGCACAACACCGGTCATGTTGGCAGCCCAATATTCAGCATCCATGGCACGAGCGGATGAAGGTCTACCAGTGACACTGGAGAACATTGGGATCTTGCTCGCGCGGGGCTGGAAGCTGGACGTCTTGGAAAGAGCCTGTCGGAACCCTGAAGCCAGAGGGAACATGTGGTGGGAATGGAAGGCCTGTTCAACTTGCAGTCTGCGAGCGAAAATCTTCTGCTCATCAAGGGTGTCTTTCAGTTCCAAAATAGCACTTTCGTCCCCTGAAAGGGTCAGACTGGACGAGCTGTTGATGGCAGCCAATGCGATACGGCCCTTGTAAGGCTCTAAGGCAGTGGCGGCTTCTGATTCTCTCATTCCCACGGCCATCATTGCTCCCGATGCGGACCCGACTCCCTTCGACATGTAGAGTCCGCGGTAAAAGGCACAAGTGATGGCATTCTGGAATGAAAGAATCCCTGCTGCGTAGGCAGCCCCAATTTCTCCTGATGAGTGGCCGACAACGGCTGTTGGTTTGATGCCCCAGCAGCGAAGAAGATCAACCAGTGCCAGCTGGAGCGCCGTACACAGCGGCTGAGAAAACTGGCTCTGCATGACGCGTGACTCCTCCGCTGGTTTTAGGAGTTCATCAACGCAGGACCAGAGAGGAGCGTCAACCAGACGTTGCAAAACTCGGTCACACTTCTCCAATGTTTGGCGGAATAGAGGACATTGGTTGATGAGTTGGCGACCCATCGCGTGCCATTGCGCTCCTTGGCCGGTGAACACGAAGCCAAGACGTGGAGGAGTGGTAGCTTTGTGGGTCCAAGATGCCACTGGCTTGGGGGAGGCCAGATCGGCCACGAGTACGGGCAGATTCTGTCCAATAGCGAAAGAACGATAAGTGTGCAATGTGCGCCGAACGCTGTGGCTGTACGCCAAATCAGCCACTGCAGTATCAGGCCGCTTCGCCAAGTGATTGACGAGGTTGATAACATAACGACGGCCTGCATTTTCCGAATGAGAGGTCAATGGAAGCAGGAATGGGCGATTCTTCTGGTCATCAGAAACCGTGGATACGGCTCCTGGTTCCCGGAGTGGCGTGTAGGCGTCGAGAATTATATGTGCATTGCTGCCACCAAATCCGAAGGAGTTGATACTAGCTCGTCGGGGGCCTTCGGTGGCGGGCCAGTCAATCATCTCCGTGGCGACCTTAAGCTTCCCGCGCTCAAAGTCGATCTGCGGGTTGGGGTTCTTGAACAGCAAGTTCGGGGCAATCTTGCCCTTTTCCAGCATTAGCGTTGTCTTAATGATGCTAGCAATTCCGGATGCTCCCTCCAGGTGACCCAGGTTGGTCTTGAGAGAGCCGATGTACAAGGGCATGATCCGATCAGGACCAAAGACAGAGCCGATGGCATTGGACTCGCGAGGGTCGCCGGCTGCAGTACCCGTTCCATGTGCTTCGAAGTACTGAGTGTCGGCGGTGGATAGCCCAGCGGCCTTGTATGTCTCTCGAATCAACGCAGCTTGTGACTTTGGGTTAGGCATTGTCAATCCCTCTTTGTGGCCATCATGATTGATACCACTTCCACGGATGATTGCCTTGATCGAATCACCTCCGGTTTCTGCATCGCGAACACGCTTGAGGACAACAACGCAAATTCCTTCACCGCGGACATAGCCAGAGCCGTCGACATCAAACGCACGACAGCGGCCATCAGTCGACAGCATGCCGAAATCGGTCATGGTGATATACATATACGGGTCAAAATGAATAGCAGACCCGCATACAATAGCAATATCACTCTCCCCATTCTGCAGACTCTGGTTGGCCAAGTGCAAACAGGTCAATGAGGATGAACAGGCAGTGTCAAGCTGGTAGCTAGGCCCGTGGAGGTTGAAGAAAAAGGAGATCCGGTTGGCGAGGATCGAATTTGTAAGGCCCGTGATGCTATACTTGGGGTAGTGCTCAAGGTTTCTCTGTGCCTGCACCGAATAATCATTGGTAAATGAACCAACGAAAACACCGGTCCGAGATCCACTGAGTTCATCGAGGGTAATCCCAGCTTCATCTTGTCAGCGTATTTACTTCGAACGATAAATATTTGCTTCAAACTTACCATCCTCAGTCGCCTCGTACACGACTTCTAATAACAGTCTCTGCTGGGGGTCCATTGCCTGTGCTTCTTTTCCAGAGATGTTGAAGAACTGGGCATCGAATTTGTCGAGGCCTTGATCCAAGAAGTAACCATATCGGGCGTTCGTCTATCGATGTTCAATCCGTATAAGCACAATGCAACACTATATCTATTTGTTAGAGGCTCAACAACTTACCGTTCCTTTGTTGGCTCCTTGTGGGTGGAAGAATGCATCTACGTTGTAGCGATCCTCCGGCATCTTACGCTGGAGGTCTTTTCGCTTCTCCAGCACATCCCAGAGTTCTTTCGGGTTCGCAGCACCAGCAACACGGCAAGCCATACCCGTGACGGCAGAATGGTTTGCCCGTGTCTCCAGCCGGAATTCATCGACACTGGGTGTGGAGATAACCGTTGAGCTGTCACTGGATACGCTCTCTGGGGCATCCGACTCCGTCATTGATGACGGACTCGAATAGCTAGGAATAGTGGCGGCCATGATTTTTGCGAAGCTCTGCCTTTCAAATACTGTATGGCGCTCTTATAATTTGCTGAGTCGCTCTGTGGGTTTAATCGAAACCGTCGGCGTACCGGTGCCTTTATATACCTTCGGTCTTACACTCTCTTTTGCACTTTTATTCTACGAGTACCTTGTCTGCATTGCTGACTCTATCCACCTTCGGTCTGTCGCCGGAGGTGGCCTAAATTCCGCAATGAATTCGGGAATAACGGTATGTTGTATAATGGAGACCTAGTTGTGGGACAGTGAGCGATCCACCATTGCAGACGAATGGCGACTTCTGTTCAACACACATTTCAATTTTCGCCCCTCGTGTTCGAAGTTTCTCGCGTCGCCGATTATATATCACGCAATGGCCAAGCCCCTGCTAGAAAAAGCCACGCTTACAATGGACCAACCCCAGCATTTGTGAATCCTTCGATTGATTTATTGCTAATCTGCAATGAGTGAACACTACGTATCAAGACGATGGATGCAACATTGCTAATTGGATTTGGCAATATAAGGATACAGGACTTCGAATCATTCCACACACGAGGTTCAACCATTATACGAGACTGGTTTGCATTAACGGAATAAGCCGTAAGCTTGATTCACACTACCTGCCAGGTCCACGGGCGCCCAGCCCTCAAAGGGTCGCACCGAACCGCTTGGCCTCATTTCTCTCAGGTCCACTTATATGCAAGTAATCAATTCTACTACCATCAATCTGATCGTACCGAATGTGTTCCAGAGCAATCTGTGGGACCCATTTATACGAACCATCCAATGGCCCGTTTTCGACTTCACCATAAACTCCGAGCCACGAGGATATAACGATGCAGGGATTTTAATTCGTGATTGGTCGCTTACATTACGTATTGCAATCGCGTGAAGAACATGATCGTAGCTTGACCAATTGGCTTCAATTTGGGAGTGGATTGAAGAATTTGCTTTACGTACTTTAGAAGTGGTCAAAGTCCACGCTTGTGGACGCCTCACAGATCGGCCCGAAATCTGACTCTTTACAGTTAATTCTTTCGAGGTCTGTTTCAAAGTTATTCATTAGGTATGGTTATCACGCTGGAAGAAATCAATCCGTATGGCCTCAGTAACCCTTAGCCTAGTAGCGGGTTCAGAATAGTGATCCCGGGGCCAGAGGCTGGGGGTACCCGCTACCGGCCATGACAGCAGGAAAATGTAAGGCGGTGGGAAAGGCGGCAGTACCGATCCCGCTCGGGGGTCCAACTCGGGGGTCCAATTCGGGGGTCCACTGAGGCTGACATGCGGACATTTCCCGTTCATTCGGCGGGCCAGGATCTCAAAAGTGACGCATTCAGGACCTGGCGAGCATTTTTCGCACTGTTTAATTGCATTTTTAATCCTACAGGATTTGAATGGACGCCCGAAGATTTAATTACTAGGATGTATATGCCACTTTTTTCTCTTTTCCACCAAACAGCATTGAGCGGACATTTCCAGCCCTAAAGTACGAAGCGAAAGTCCGCAGCCGCAGGTTCGCCGGCCTTCGCCCTTACAAGCCACCGAGCTCAATATATGCTTAGAAAAATCGTGCGAAATGCCATGGCTATCATTGACTCACCTGTTTTCTCACAACTACAATTTCTGTTCCCTCTACACTCCCGTTGATCATTCTTTACATTCCTACATTGTTTCTCTCTCCCTTCATTCTTCGTTTCGCCAATTCAGCCATACATTGTCTTCACCAACATCCAACGTGCGATGCCTGCGCATCAAACTAATTCGACTAGCGAGTCGACCCTGGCCGAAGCTCGCCCAGGCCCAGACGTCGAAAAATCTGATGACGCTGCAGGGCCACTCTCTGCAGACATCGTAGCCGATAAAGCTCCCGATGGGGGCCGCGATGCTTGGATGGTCACCTTTGGTACCTGGTGGGCCCTCTTCATTGCCTTCGGATGGACCAACTCCCTCGGTGTGTTTCAGAACTATTACGAAAAAGAGCTACTGAAGGCTTACTCCGCCTCCACAATTGCCTGGATCGCGTCCACTCAGATCTTCATGATGTACGGTGGCGGAATCGTCTTCGGCAAGGTCTTCGACCACTATGGACCCCGGTGGCTTCTGTATATCGGAGGTTTTTGCCATGTGTTCGGTCTGATGATGGCCTCTATTTCTACAGACTACTATCAAATTTTCCTCTCACAGGCCATTTGCAGTGCTATCGGCGCTAGTGCCATCTACTATGCTTCTCTGGGCTCTTTAGCCAGCTGGTTCCAGGCAAAGCGTGCAACTGCTTTTGGACTCGCTGCCTCTGGTGCTTCTGTTGGCGGTGTCATCTTCCCCGTCATGGTCGACCGTCTTATTTACAGAATTGGCTTTGGCTGGACTATGCGCGCGGTTGCTTTCCTCATTCTTGGGGGTCTTGTGATAGTGATCCTGACTGTGAAGTCGCGGCTGACACACAGCCCGAAGCCAATTCACGTTCGGCAATACACCACCCCCTTCACGGAGATCCCGTTCCTGCTTCTGGTCATATCGCTGTCGCTTTTCTCTTTCGGATTGTTTTTGCCCTTCAACTTCATCACTGCTCAGGCGCAGACCCTTGGCATGTCCCCTACTTTGGCAAATTATCTCGTGGCAATTCTGAACGCAACCAGGTAAGATTGTTATCGAGAAACTCCCTAACAGCGAAAAGCATCCTAACGAACTAGTGTTTTTGGCCGTATCATCCCCGGTCTCGTCGCTGACCGTCTCGGTCGTTTCAACGTCATGTCCGTGGCAACACTCGTTTCAGGCATCCTCACTTTTGCACTATGGCTTCCTGGCCGCAGTAACCTAACGGCTATTCTCTATGCCGTGTTCTTCGGTTTTTTTTCTGGTGCTTATGTCTCTTTGACTCCAGCTCTTATTGCTCAGTTATCCCCCATCCAGGAGATTGGCGTTCGGACTGGTGCCCTGTACTTCTTCGTGTCGATCGCTGTGCTCACAGGGAGTCCAATTGCTGGCGCCCTCGTATCTGTGGACAAGGGTAATTATGGATATCTAGAGATATTTGCAGGAGCGACTATGTGTGGTGGCGCCATCTTGGTTGTCTTGACCCGTGTCGTGCAGGGAGGATTTAAGTGGCAGGTTTTGTAAGACTTATTTTTGCCGTCATTTTCAATTGGCATGTAGACTAGACCGTTGGGAGATACACATCTTATCAAATTGTTACACAACCTTCTTGAACAATGTAAAATGCTATAAATCTGTTTCTTTGTTTGGAAAAAAAAAAAAAAAAAAAACAATTTGAAAAGAAGACGAACGTGAGATGGCTTCCGTGATTGAAGAAGAAAGAGGAATCATGGAGAAGCAATGCGCCATCAATCGATGGACCAGGTCCAACGGGTCTCACTGAGACCAACTGAAAATAGAGGATGTGAAATGTAAAATCTGCTCCTGATAGAGTCCTATTTGTCAATGTCGAGCATTGAAAGAAGTCATCACTCCAATGGGATCAGAGAAGCCTCGAAATTTTACCTCCGCCCTTTAGTGATCAACCACTAGTATGACGGTGCGGACTTTGCTGCGCAGGTTCGGTAATGTCGGCACGCAGAAGAGCGAAAAATGCAATATGAACTCACATACCTTGATGCATCAGAAACGTATATATACGTTCTTGGCCCCAAACTTACAACTCCCTCGTCAACAAACAGCGTTGAATGACATATTTATTTATCCAGCCACCTCCATCAATATGCTCCCTCTCAGCTCAGACGGAACATTTCATTTCGAAATTCTGCGCATCCTAGCTCTTGCACGATACAATGGCGCAGACATCGGCGAAGTTCTCGAAGCCGCCGAACACATCGAACCAGGTAACATGGAAAGCTTCCACGACGCTTTCGCGGACCTCGCTTCGCGCGTCCTGGCTCAAGCCGAGAGAATCAACGCAGAAGCCCACCCCATCTCCGCTCGAGACGCGTACTTCCGTGCCTCATCGTACTTCCGTTCCGCAGACTTCTTCATCCACGGCAACCCCATCGACCCTCGAATCAATAGCCTTTGGACCCAACAGACACTCGCATTTGACAAGGCTATAGCCCTCTTGCCCATTCCCGGAGAGCGACTTATTCTCCAGGCCGATGGGTTCAATGTTCACGGGATTTTCTTCCGCGCCGACCATCGCTCCGGACCCAAACCTACTCTTATTCTCGGAAATGGGTTTGACGGTGCACAGGAGGAGATGCTGCATGTTGTTGGCTTTGCTGCGCTGGAGAGAGGCTACAATGTGATTCTATACGAGGGGCCCGGACAACCGACAGTCCGTCGAAAGCAAGACCGAGGATTCATCCATGACTGGGAGAAGGTTGTTATTCCTGTCGTTGACTACTTGATTCAGCAGCCGGAGGTTGACACCACACGCATCGGGTTGCTGGGCTACTCGCTAGGCGGATATCTATCTGTCCGGGCAGCGGCTTTCGAGCACCGTCTGGCGGCTGTTATAGCCATTGACGGGATCTGGGATGTTTACAAGTCCTTTGCGGAAAGCCTCTTGCCAGCTGAGTGGATAGCATCATTCGAAGCCGGTGATGCGACAGGATTGAATTTCCAGATCGATGAATTCCGTCCTAAGGCGGATACACCCACTACACTTCGTTGGATCATTGACCAGGGGTTGTGGGCTTTCAATGTGGAAGATGCCAACGGGCTGTTGAATGGGATCAAGAAGATGACTCTGGAGGGGCTTGAGAGCCAGATTCAGTGTCCGGTTTATGTTGGCGATGCGGCGGATGATCATTTCTTTAAGGGACAGCCTGGCTGGGTGAAGCGGAATATCGGAGAGAAGGCTACCCTTGCTACACTGACAGCCGCGGAGGGGGCTGGTCATCATTGCCACATCGGGGCAGCTGTAACCATGAACCAACGGTTACTGGATTGGTTTAACGAAGCAATTTCAGACTAGTTCATTGCTCCTCGTTGTCGTGGTTGAATGCCCCGGTGGGTGGGAAGGAAATATTGAAGGTGGAGTATCCTGAATTAACTAAAATTTGGTATAATCAGTGAATACATTTGTTTGTATCTCTTTCAAGCACTACTTTCTTAAGTATAAATGCTCAGAAAAAGTACAACAAGATTTCATAGTACAGGAATTTTTGCATTTTGTTAACAGGGACAATGGCTGTATGGTATTGAAAAGGGCTATTGGCAGTATTTGGCCTGGCAGCATTTGGTCTAGCGGTATGATGTCAGCCGCCATTCATGGGTTCGGCGTCTTGGCGGTAGAACCTCGCATCATCCATGTCACATTCCACTTCCAGCTTCCTAACTATGGATGTCGCCAGTCTTTCATGTCAGCGCTGTCGAAAGTACAAGGTAAATACCGCAGATCAACCTAGCTTTCATCACTAAACTGTTCAGCGCAAATGCTCCCGCGAACTACCCAAATGTGACCGATGTCGTTGCTTAAGCACTGAGTGTACGTATCCTCAGCGAAAAAAACGAGAAGCCCATATTGCGACCACTCCTAGCGACAATGTTAGCTCTGCGCTCATAGGAACACATCACATTACGCCAGTAGTAGGTCGATCGAGCCTTCTAACATCACTCTCGTCCGACACTCAACTAGCCTCGCAAGCGACGGGGCTCGTCTTGCTGGATGTATTCTTCTCTCAGTTCATTCCTTCTAGCTTCATTTTTCAGGAAGCACGCACAAGACGGCTCTATATGCAAGGTCAACTATGCACCGGCGCTTTACATGCCATGTTCGCCTTGGCATCTTTATTTCTCGGTCATGCACAGACGCCCAGTAAATGGCGTCAGCTCAATGACATATCAGGTGATTCTCCAAATGCTCGCCATCACGGTCAAGACTGGGCAAACAATGCTAGTCATCTCGTGTCCCTGCAATTGCACGCTCCTTCGGTTGATACTGTTCGAACTCTCTCTAATCTTACCACATATTGGTTTGGCGTTGGCCAGAGGGAAAAGTCCCAGGCTGGCGCGAGTAAGTACACCATGCTCTCACTATCTATGGCTTTATATGGGCCACACTAAAATGAATTTAGATATGGTCATCCAGGCCGCAAAAGACCTTCAACTCCAAAGTTCAAAACTACCGAAGGCTCGATCCCGCGGCTTGCGATGGTGCTGCTTCTGGGCGGACATGATGTGTCGGTGCTTTGTACTTGATGACAGTTTTGCGGACTCAAACCAGGATTTTGACATCTCTGATATTACAACCACCTCTAATAGCCTAGTCCCTATGGGTGTTGATAACACGGATAACCTATTGTCCATCTCATTAGAGACGCAGCCAACTCCTGGTCAAGAGGCACTTTTGAAAACCCTGGGCCTCTGGTATGTTTATTTCCAGCACAATCACACCAACTTGACCCTTTTTAACGTATGTTATTAGGCGTGAGGCTAGATGGTTCATTCGAAACCTAAGGTTTATTCACAATTTTGCACCCGAAGCAGATCCTGCGGCGCGGTGGTCGGCTCTCTTTGCATTGGATAGCAAAGTCACTTCCTGCTATTCATCCTGGTCCACTGAAATTCGCACTTCTTATGGAGGTCACCTCTACGACTCGGTCGAGGCCCCAGAATTACTGTTATCGCTTCACGCGGTCTACCACCAGTGCCGGGCCCTCCCTCATCTTGCCATGTTTATGTTTTTACAACGAGCTGTCTCATCCTCCCCTGAATACGTTCATCTGTGCTCAGAAATTACGGTGTGCCACTTGAATCTATTTGCAGACGTCACAACTAGTTTCATGTCTCTCACGCCATCCAGCGCTTCATCCAACCCACCGTTTGTGGCATACTGTGCCTTTCTCACGGCTTCAATTCATCTGGCTTGTTTGAATCTGTTTCAAGGACCCACACGAGTCCTCCCGGCAGTAAGCGCAAGTGTGTTGGATTTGCTGCGAAAACGGGCCTTGTCCAGCCTGCTTTTGCTCCAACACCTACAAAGCTACTGGTCTTCTTGTAAAGAGTTGGTAAGTGGATGTGTTTTTCCCTGCTTTTTTGCATGATGCAACCGTGCGTATTGTCCACGGAAGCTACCACATGAGAATGCTGTATAGCTCACTAGATTCCTCTTGCAGCTTGACCGTCTCCGCCCTCTATGCTTCTCTGTCGCAATATCAACAGCCGACGTGGAAGTTCACGGCCAGCTCTTGCATGAAATATCTGAATTCATCCCCTCATTTACAAATCATGGTGGCACTGGGTCGGCTCCACTAGCACCAGGCCATGAAGAACTTGAGGCTGCTATGACTCGGCACCTAGCGCGCATTCTACAGATGATCGACCTCAGTCATCCAGCCTACTTCTCCTTCCAGAATCTGCAATCCCCGCATCGCATTGCATGTGATCCTTCGAGTCCGGATCATTCTACAAATTTACCTCACGAGGCCGTTTCTGAATTCGAAACTGAGCAGACACATATGTCCCTATCTGGCACTCAATCAAAGCCACGCCGGCCTGTAGGCGCAATGTCTACATCTACCTATCGCCGTAGACCACGCACCTGGATACCAGCTCGTCCAGTAGATTGCGAGTCCGTGGAGACAGGTGACTCTCCGTTGTTTCCTGAGATGATGGAGATGTGAACAACACTGCCAGAAACTCGATGGGAATACCACGCGATAATATACAAAGTTGCGGCCATTTTCTCTTACTTTGTTGGATAGAAACCATAGATGGTAATATATAGAAGCACGCTTTATGATCTCTTATATATTTTGCTTTTGGTTCAATGAAATCGCCCGCGCGCTGTGACATGATTCATCAACATCATATGTTTACAAATCAGCCTACTTACAAGCATTATCTCGCATCAGGAATTCCAGCAAATATGAAAATGTTTCGTGGGTTGAGTTTGGATCCACTCCACTTGAAACAAGCTCTAACTGCACTACCTTAATGCAGGTAGAGATCAAGTCGCGAGGCATCAGGGCCAATAGGTACATGGGTATCCATTTAAATGGGAAACCCGGCCCAGTGCCTTAGAGTAACGCCTGTATTGTTCCACATGATAGCGTCATTATTTTTTCTGTGGTAAGATATCACAGTAGCATTTGTTCGAGATAGTACTCAGAATTACTCAGTACGTGGGTAAATATTACGAGGCCTCAGCAATGCATGGCACATTCAGACCTCAGTATGGCGTGATATGATCACATATCACCAACCAATCCGGCTCTCCGATATTAATTGCTGATATGAATGGAGGTGTGTATATATAAAGGACGAACTCTGACAATAGCAGAAAGCGGCAACATCTATCGACCATGGTTGGACGGACCTTGACTTCCGTCGCTATTATAGGCGGTGGGCCAGGAGGGCTGGGAAGTGCCATTGCTCTCTCTCAACTGCCATGTCTTCGAGTTACTCTCTACGAAAAGAATTCGGAGCCGCGAGAAGCCGGAGCGGGGATCAGTCTGAGCACGAATGCGTGGAGAGTCCTAGACTTGCTGGAAGCAAGTGATGGAGTCTGGGGAGGCTCTAAGTCGAACACCCACCAACGGTGAGTTGTATCTTGGAGGACTGAATAGCAATTCAGGCCCGTACTGACCTTGAAATCTTTAACCATCACTAGGAATGCCTATACAGGTAAGATATTAAGCATCACTCAGCATCCGGAAAATTCTGCTGTAGACCAACGCGGGTCGATTCGTGCTCGCAGAGCTCGGCTCCAGTCAGCCCTCCTTGCCAAGGTACCTGAAGGCGTGATTCAATTCAACAAGAAACTTGTATCTCTCGAAAGCTTGCCCGGAGAAGGGGTACGACTGGTGTTCCACGATCAGACAGAGGTAGCCGCGGATATTGTAATCGGTGCTGATGGAATCCACTCTGTCCGTTAAGCTTCCTTTCCCGCTTTGAATATTCATTGTTAATGCAGTGGCTTGACCAGGTCGTTCGACGAGCCCTGTTCTCTGATCATCAGCTTCATTTCACTGGAAATACTGCTTGGCGTGTCCTTATTCCTAAGTCACGTCTGGCGCACCTCCCAGAAATCACGTCCACAACGGCCTGGTGGTGGGGCAAAGTTGGTCATGTGTATTTCTCAGATGTAGATGATGGGAGAGACAAGGACCCACAATTTGAAATCACCATACGCTCATATCATGAGCCCGAGGTCGTGGGGAAGACGGTGGGCTGGGGTATCCCCGCAACCAATCAAAGAGTGGCATCTCGTGTAGAGGTGTGATGAAGTCTCCATAAAGGACCGGTTTCCTGTACTGATATGACAAGCAGACATTTGACCAGAGAGTGAGGGATGCTGTAAGCGTTGTTGCGGAAGGCGAATGGAGGGAGTTTGCGGGGTTCGCAGGCCCCCGTCTGGACAACATCACCGGCTGGGACAAGGTCGCCCTTATCGGGGATGCTAGCCATCCTCTTTTCGGTAGCTCTAGACCCAAATTTGCTATACTCTGCAACGTTCTCACACATTTCTAGGCGCTTTTGGTTCCGGAGCGACGTTTGCCATGGAGGATGGCTGGATTCTCGCTCGTGCGATCGAGCGCACCCAATTTGCTTCTCAACCTGCACAGAAAGCCCTCGAAATCTTTAACCTAATCCGAGCGCCTTATTATACCCGAATGTGAGTTCTCAAGGTATAGCGTAATTCTCAGCAAATGTATCTGACTGACGTCTTTTGCGATCCATTAAAAGGTATGAACATCTTGATGAGGTTCATGAAAAGTTGCAACAACTCCAGGCAGAAAAAGAAGACTTCAATCATTTTCTACAAGCCAAAGTAAACCATTTCCTTTATGCTGACAAAGACTTTATCTACAAGAACGATATTAGGAAGGTCTGGGAAGATTATCTTTCCACAGAATAGACAGGAGAAGATAATCATTTGAATCATAGTTCTATATTCTTGGTTTTCTTGGCTGAATGTATAAACCATACTATTGATACCAAGAGAGATAAGGAGGATCCAAGGCAAACTTCAATGGCCAGAAAGAGACTAAAGTGCGATATGTGTTGAAGGTAAGGATAATCATGAAATTGGCGGAGGTCAGGAGAGGGTGAGCTGAGCTGCGTTCAGTGGATTGCTCGATTGTAACGATTCCGTCTATGAATCTTCAATCTGTCTATGAAGATCCGTTTGATTTTCCTTTGCAGCGGGCCTCATGACTTCAGGGGGATGATTGGCTTGATGAGTTCCTTCACAAAACGATCTCTCTCCGCTCGGGTATACTTTATGCACAGGGACGCTCAATCAGCAGGCAGCATCAAACCTCAGTAAGCTAAACCGCATGTAGTAATTTACCATCGTATTAGGATACGTGAGCTTAAGCAGTTGATTAAGGATAACTGGGGTCGGATCGGTTGAAGTGGGGGGTATTTCTTATAAGAAAAAGAGCAAATTCCTAAATCTCAATGCTAATTGCTTCTTTCTCCTTAAGACTGAAAAGCTCCTTCAATGAATCTGTTCCAAATCACATTGTGCGCTGTTTTCAGGCTCTCCTCGATCCTGCTAAGTCCTCTTCGACCTCTCGAATCTCCTTTGCTCAGCCTCGTCGTTCTGCTGAGCCAGCCTGGCTCGCCTGGCCACTTTCAATGCTTGCGAAATCTCAATATTCACCGCCGTTCTTGTGATATTCTGCAATCTGAGAAAGGAGGTTGATGGGGCTTTTCAAGAGATAACATTCTTTGAAATGATATCAGTGATATAGGAGATGGTGAAGAACGGATCCAGGGATAGTTGCGCGCCACTCTACCCAGCATGACGTGAAGACTCTCGATTAGAGCTATAGTACACAGAACCAATCAAGAAATCAAAATACCATGGTACTTAACTACCATCGTGCTCTTCCAGTTTCAGTTACTAAAGAAATATGACACAAAAAATGCTTGGCCGTGGTTTATATCGAGACCAAGTCGACTACAACCAAACCCGAATAAGCTCAATTGTAGTCCGATGCCGCCCTAGCCCGCGAGACGGTGCCTGGTTCCCTTTCTTTCCTTCGTTTAAGCTCTTGCTAGGATCCAAATGCTTCAAAATGCGTCCCTTACTTCAATCCGTAACTTCCTATTAATATTTCTCAGGTTTAGTCAGTCCACTAGCACATTAGTGACTATTTCCTGCACGTCGCACGTGCAGTCTCTGTACATCGTAAATTCCAATGTCTCTTCATATATTGATTTATTTTGATTAAGCCACCATCCTGTGTAGATTTGTGGCGCAATCTCAAGTAACATGAACTCACAAGACAGCAGTAACATCAAAAAAACAAGGGTACATCTTCCGACCATCCACCCGGCATCTCCATCCGTCGATCAATCATGGCCCAAAAGTCTCCTACAAATTCATCAGAGGGCTCATTAATCCAAAAGCACCAGTCCTCAGGTGCTGGGCCATGTGAGAATCCAATCAATCGAATAACAAAGCGCCTCGATCTACCGAAAATTTGAAAATCAATACACCCCCCTTGGTCTTTCAGCATCAGCTCTTCCCTCTCACCGAACTCTTTCAGGTTGACACTAGCACCCTGAAGATCCCGCAATAAAACTCCGAGGGCTTCATTGCACTTTCTCATCAGCGAGCCTTCAAGCGGCTTAGACAGCTGGAAACAACCGTCTAAGAAAGCGTGCAATAGAGTTAGCCCGTTCATTGTTTGATGAATGTGAAGACCATTTTCCAACATTTCTCGAAACATGACATGCCATTCCTGATAGGCTTGATGCTGCACAGCCCTGTCCTTCATGGTATTGTAAGGCCAATTTGAGCCGATTTTAGTGCAGCCCATACAATATGCAACACCATGAGGCAAAGTGATCAGGTGAGTGCTGCCAATAAAAGAGCTAGTGTCTGGCACTTCAAAGTTAGAAAGTGTAAAAGAGTCAACTTCAAAATTGGAAGTTGTAAAAGAAACCCCATTGAGAATGGCCCTAACGATGGAGGGTCCATTCCAAAAATTACGGGATAAGCAAGGACCCATTTCGTTAATGCAAATTGAATGCGCTGCTCATCGGACAAGGTGTAAAATAACGGGCAGCAGGCTTGCTGGAAAAAAGTAAATTCCTCTGCTGTGCCTCTGAACCTGTGATAACTTCTCATAAAGACATCCCAGGAATCCTCCTGTGATTCATCTTCAAACTGACATAGCAGCCGTAGAAGTGGGAAGATAGGTTGTGACCTCCTGGGAGGGTTTATCCTAATTCGCCCTATTGTAGAAACTGGCTTCATATTTGAATTATCCAGTGCATTTGGATCAGCCCCCTGTTTCAGTAGAAATTCCGCTACTTCGAAACTGTTTGTGTAGCAAGCCCACTACTATACTTTAGAAACCTCCTGTAAAGGGATAGGATGAAAAGTCACTTACAGATAGTAAAGTCATCCCTAATTCATCCCTTACAAAAGGGGAGACCTTCCCAGATGAAAATATTTGACGTAGACCATCAAGGTCTCCATCTTTGGCAAACCGAAAAACTGGGTCACCGTGTGGGCGAATATCATACGTACGAAATACCCATTGCCAACCGCCGTATACTCTTTTCCCTTGAATTTCCAAGACCTTCGAGGTGACCCAGATTGGCAGACCAAGCCGCCCTAAATAAATGCGTTTTTGCGGCGATATGTGCACTACACTGGAAAGTGATCCAGGTTCTTGTTTGTTTTCTTGATAATAGTTAGATATTATAAGCAGGATAATAGCTGCGACTGAGCCTTACTGTCATTTGTGTGGTCATTAACTTGAATCTGAGGGACCATAACTGGTTGTATCTGCATTAAAACTCTGTAAAATATTAGCTATAGAGCTCGCACCGAGAAAACTAGCCAAGCACACATTGAATAGCATTGCTGCGAAAAGGAAAGCAATCGAATCGAATTACTGAGTCTGGCCTTGTACTTTTCCACTTTGCCTTTTTGGAGCACTATTTTAACCGAAAAGTAGGATCGCCTAAAGCGGCCAGACGGACGGAGGTCTTTGGCAATATCTTTTGAAATGATCTGAAGGCTCTCTGCTGCCTTCCTGCAGACCCCTAGACTCTGAAATGAATGTTCACTCATTTCTGTGGCATTCGCCAGTGGGCCCGATGAAAGATTCTGTTCGATTTCCCGCAAGATAAGATCATAAATTTCTAGCTCAGCGATGAGTTCTTGCAATTCATTGGGCGCGTCGCGGATCTGGCTCCAGCAGTCTTTGATTTGGATAACCGACTTGGAGATCTGCGCAACGACGGTTGCGAAGGTAATCGTCCCTGAAACGATCCCGATCACTTCAGCCATCGTGTCCCTGCGGGCCGCGTATATGAGCTGTTGAAAGAAAGAGGAGAGAGGAGATAATCCCAGCTGAACAGCCGGTCTCGTGGGGTATGATTTTGTTATGCATGAGCGCGACTCAAGTCGCTCTTTTTATTGGGCATCTATGCTGCGCCTCGGACTAAGTTAGCGTTGGCTGATTTGGCCCCAGCAGGCAACTTCTCAAGCTGCCAATTAATGCTTTCCAGATGCCTACAACTAGCCGCCTTAATTAATAGTGTCATGCTATCTCCATTTTTTACATCACAGTCTGTTCTACGATGAACACAGTTTGCAGTGAATGAGGGATTCTGCCCCTTTTCACCGCACCCTTGCCTCAGCCTCCATGATAGATCTAGTTCCATAGCTTCCATCTCTAGAATCTACATCTCTCTCTTTTCCTCCTTCCTTATCCATAGAGTGAAAGGAAGAAGCAGAGGGCACATCTGCGCTCCACACCGTTATTTCAAGGGGAAGTGGTTTCGGTGTTCTCGGTGAGGAAAGTTTCATCATCCATATCAATATCTCTTCCCACACCGACGAGCTCCTTACTTCTTTAACATATGATTGGAAACAAATGAAAACTGGTTGAAAACGATACGAACATGCTGTATCTTCTTGTGATGCTCATCACATATTTGAGTAGAAAGTAGCTTTAATAGTATCTAATTGTCGCATATTACCGCAAGTGGTGGTGACTTGAGCCCGGCTGCATCCAGCAGCATCGCGATCTACTCGATCATCATATAAAAAACTCAATGGTTCATTCAAGATTAATGATTCCACAGTGTGTGCTAGCATGTTCTCTCCAGGATTTGTACATGAGGTCGCAGGAAAGCCTGCGGGGAGTATACTAGGATGGGCACATCCCTCGATAGGCGATAAATTGCGTGAGCATTTCCTAAGGTGAGCCATGATGAAAGAAGCTCAAGTCTTCTTTCGCCACAAGGGCTTGTTGAAGGTAATCAAATTGGAAGCAGATCACGAAGCAAGGCAAGTTTAGCCGAGGGGCCACTTCATCCGTGCAGGGGCCTTCAGGGCCCTCAGGTGAAGGGCTGAAGTGTTAGAGCCGCAGGGGCACTAAACCCAAGAAAAGGGTGAACAAAAACATACAACAGCAGGGATTCGCTGGTGGTCACCCACCCAACTACTAACCTGCCGGCGTGTGGCTTAAGTACGGCTGAGCGGACGGGAAGCCCTGTTCTCCACACCCTATGGTCGTATGTGCTTTGATAGTGCTTATAATAAATTTCGTGGCAACTGCTGGTAGTGTTTCGTCCTGCTTGCTAGTATACAGGCGATGATTTCGCAGTAGCTGGAGTCAGTAGCGTCATCGAGGGCCTATGTAGATTGATCGTCGAGGTAGATGGCGCCAGGCTTAGTGCTGCAGTTAGTTGGGAACTGCTCTACGTGAATATTTTCGTATGAAGCTGTAGCATTCACTGTAGGGTTAGCGGGTGGCCAAATAACATGGGATCCGGAGGTGCAAGAAGAGAACAAGGCTGAAGATCGGTCAGATCCAGCGACATGGAGAAGTGTAAGTCCAGCACTGTCAAAATTCCTCAGTTAATGGTCTTGATAATTTTGATAGTGGAAGAAGATCTTCGTGGTCTTTGTTGGCCTTCTCACGCTGTTTAACAGCGTCTTCGATTCAACCATCCCGAGCCGTGGGATTAGGTTTATTTCCAAGGCCCTGAATGTCCAAAGCAAGACTCAACATGTGCTGCCCACATCTGTCTACCTGATCGGGTATGTGATGGGGCCTTTGGCCTTTGGGCCCATGAGCGAGCTGTACGGTCGACGGCCAGTGATGGTTGGAACTTTCGTTCTCTTTATTATCTTCCGACCTCTTTGTAGCATCTGCGTATCTAGTCCGATTGCCGTCACTGGAGGACTCTTCACCGATTTCTATCGCTCTCCTCTTGCTCGGAGAAGAACCATGGCGCTGTCAATGGTAGTCACCACCGCTGGTCCACAGTTTGCACCGCTGATTGCGGGGTTTATCGCCCTGTTGGGTGGAGGTGGATCTCCTGGTTGTCACTAACAGTCGCCGCTGTCACCTTGATCCCGGTGCTATTTCTCCCCGAAACATTCTAACCTACCCCCTCTCGTCAGCCTCGAAAGCACGGTGAAGGGATTCTGGTCAAAACTTTTACTCGTCCGCTATATATGATATTTTATGAGCCAATCATATCTTTGACTTATCTTTATTTGTTCTTCGCAAGCGTAATCTTCTGTGAGTACTCCATCTCCGGAACATCAAACCGGTTATCTACTGTGAGAAGTTATTTATTTTGAGGCGTACCCCTTGGTCTTTCAAGATGTGTACAGGATGAGCGATGGTATCGCTAGACTGGCTTTTCTTCCTAGTATGCATTGACATCGCCATAAGAATACAAAGACTTGAGCTAACTCGATGTCAACCCAATTTATTTGCCGTGGGGGCATGTATCGGGATGGCCATATTCTTAGCATATGACTCGTTTCTCCAGCGCGCAAAATCGCGAAAGGCCAGCTGGTCAAAAATTGAGGAGTATCAGCGGCTTCCCTTATCATGTCTATGGGGCCACTCGACGTGTTGGCCCTATTCTGGCTGGGCTGGACTTCATCCGTGGAGATACACTGGATCGTCCTCACGCTGGCAGGGATACACTTTGGAATGGGCTTTTTCCTCATCTTCGTGGCTCTGGTCAATTCACGAGTACGCTGCCAGCGCGATGGCAGCCGCTAGCTGTTGCCGCAGTGTATTCGGGGCAGTTTTTCCCTTGGCGGCTGCCCCATCTTTAATCAATTGGGCATAACGTGGGGGTTGTAGCCTGCTGGGATGTTTAAGTCTTCTCATGACCTTGATCCCATTTGCTTTTATCCGCTACGTTAATCTTATTCGGTCAAGAAGCAAGTTCCGGCAACAAGTTAAGCATACGTGAGAGATTTTTAGTTTAGAGAGACGGATGGCAAGTACATAGTAGTCAACATCAAAATGCAGGCAGTGTATTCAAGAGATTGTAGGTCTGAAGAGGTAAATCGAGATATATTGTTTTAGACTACCCAATTGTTGCTTCAATTCGCATGAAACGTTGCCTAGAAATATAGCAATGGTGAAAGGAGGGAGGGATAGCCGTATCCCCCGGTGGACATGCGCTGTTTCGCTGGAGAAGCAGCTCCCGTTCGACATTTTCTCCGGTTGTGTATACTTTATCTTTCGAATGCACACAAACCTCTATTTAGAAGCCTGAATATGATGAACTTCCTCATTGTAGACGTTGTACTGGCACTTCACTTTGCTCAAAGCTCAGAAGCAATTCATATACGGGAAATGGAATTAGACGACCAGTGCGATCAATCTTCCCTGGCCCCCATGACAGTGAAGCCACCTGCTCTCATAATTTTGTCGACATCTCCTTTGTCGCTATTTTGACCTACCATGCTAGCCTCTCATATCCAAATGACAGAAGAGAGAAAAAGAGAAGGGCGAGGCCAGATCAACGATGATCTAGCAAAAAGCGCCCGCCCCGCGACCCACTCAGATGCAGTTCCTCGGTACGAAATTCCATTCCATGTGGGCCCGAGTGGGGTGGTCTTGGTGCGGGCCAGGGTGAGATCCATGGCTGAGTAAGATCGATACTAGTAGCGTTACATTCACTACTGCATATGCCGTTCTAGGTTTATGCGGCTTTTCCTTTTCGAGTGTCCGATGGTGGCGATGTCGGCGATGTCGATATCGATGCCGGAGTACCGTAAGTTGGGCTATCTATTTAATTCAGTAACTTTGGCTTGCCAAATCGATTAGTTACATTCCAGCCTATGTCAAGCTCTCTGTTTCGTCGAACGTTGTGATTAGGAGCCCCCAGCTGGAGAAGTTCCTCTGGCTTATCAGCGACTACGTTTCCATCTTCAATGACCTTGCAGCCGGCGAGAAATAAAAGAGAGCCTATAAACAAGACCGGTCATACCATCTGATCATTGATGTTGAAGTGGTTCAGATGCTGTTTTCCTTACCCACAGAAAACGCAGCCAAATCTATTGTCTATGAAATGAAGCTAGGGGTTGAGGTAGAGATCGACTAGGAGCTGGCACAGATGAGGGCAGACAATGTCCTCACTGCTGAGGAGTGGCAGCTTGCGCATGCAGTGCTGACCGTGACGGCCGGCAATATCTTCTACTCCGTGGCCTCGTCTCGGTGCGGTGGAGAGAACACGCGAATTCTGGAGTGAATTACATAGATAGCATTTATATAAGTCGTATTTTCAACTTCCGTTGGACTTGATGAAATGCACAACCGCAGCGAGTTCTCGCTTTCCACTTGGTACCACGTGTCCACCCGCGTGCCAAATAACAATCGGTTTCTTTTCACCCTCCAACTCCTGGCAGCTTTCTACTAACCTCATTGACGCATTCTCATCCACGACATTATCCATACTACCCAGGAAATGCAGCGTTGGCGTCCGAATGGAGGGATCGTAAAAAGCGCGATAAGCTGGATGTGAGGCGGTATATCCTGAAAAGTTGACCACGAACTTGAGAGGGGGGTGGTCAAGGGTGGCGAAGCAAGACGGATATGGGATTCCACCCTCCGCTTCCAACCGGTCAAATGCATCTTTTCTATTTTTTTCCAAAAGCGAGGCGACCATAGCGGCCGCAGCAGCCCCCTCGCTAAAGCCGACAACCCCATCGGACGGCCCGGAATGCTTCAGGATAGACCCGATGGAGCTCAAGCCACCTTCTAGCCCGTGGTATAATCCGTCGATAGATTCAGTTTCGAACCATGTCCATGCGCCGTGCCGATCCCGCAGTTCGGACGTGCCACCGGAGGACCCTAGCGAGAAGGGGGCCGTCGGGTAGACAAGTTCGGCTCCCGGCTGAAGAGGGCCGAGGCCTCGCTGGATCAGTTTTTTTCCAGGGCCTGGAGCTTTGCTCGAAAGAGTTCCCCCGATTGGCGGGATCCTGTAGTAGTGGTGGTCAGCTTTGGTTGTCTCGGTGTTTCTGACGGGAGACAAATACCGTGGATCATCAGTATTTTCATAATTGGGCAGTATAGAGCTAAGTTGAGGTGAGAATCTTACTCGATGCAGGGGCACAGATGGCTATAAAGTAATGGCAGCTGCTAAGCACCGCCTAGTCCCGAGAATGTAGCGATAGGCATGTGTTGGCGATCTCCGTGTGGCGTCAATCCCCGCTAGTATACTATAGCCCACTACAGTAGAATTCGAAAACAGATTTACCCCTCGGACACTCACACTTTCTTCCCCAGGGCCCAATTCGATTGCACTAAACTTCAATTGGTCAGGGGAAGTCCCTACCATTTTATTGATGTATTTCAGGTAGATCAACAAAGTTACCGTAATTACAGTTTCCTGCATTGGGCGGACCCTATTTGCCGAAACGCCCCGTGGTCATATGTAAACGAATGCTCACCGAGCGAGACGTTCAACTGGATGCCGGAGAAGATCATGAATCAGCTTGGCGGAGTGTTTACAACCAGATACGTTGCCCGTCCTTCTCATGCCATCTTGGCCCACATTGCTGGCAAGACCCACACGGGAAAAACACTGCGGACTGATGAAATATCGTTTAAAGTATCTTTACCTGATCATGCATGATGTCTATTCTACAGATTGACCCGCTTTGCTCGCGCCAATAGCCTTCTATTTTGAAGCAAGACAATTGGGTTCACATTGTGTTTGAGATGTCTCTTAAACATTAGCGATCACGTTGTCGCAAGGTCGGAAACAAACAAGCTTCAGCAGAAACTTTACATAACAAATTCGAGAAACAGGTCACGTGTCTGCAGTGGACTTGTCGACATCATATACAGCTTTAGCAAGCACCCTGACATTTCGGCTGACCGACAACATTGACTGTGAGCGCACCAGCCGCAATATTATTGCCGGACTGAGTTGGGACAGAACCACACGTTTTGCATTTGTGGTGAATGAGCGCCTGCAAGTAAGAAGAAGTATCATCAGCAGTGCCGCCCGCGCCGTTTTGGTAGAATGCACAAAGGGACCCTGCACAAGCTATCTGCTGGCCGGTATCGTAGTGGCGGTCTCGAGGCTGGATGCGGTCGACGATATCCTTGATATTGACTAGAGTGTGGCCGACAGTTCCAAGGGAACATTGACCGGAGCCACGGCAATTGATTCCGGCAGCGGAGGTGGAGGCAATCAGAAGGACGAGCGAACTAGCGACGGTGAATTTCATCTTAAAAGAAATCATATATCTTAAAGCGAAGTATAAACAATTCTTCATATTGCGCGGACGGACATGAGTTCAGCAACTAACCTCAGCTTGGAGTCTAGGGACGAGACAGGAGAAGAACAAAATAAATGAACAAGGGAGGAAACAAAAGGACATTCCCGTACTATTTATATATTTATATAGTTAAGGTATCAGCCTTTCGCTAGGATATAACCTTGCAGGTCTGCAGATCGAGTTCGAAATGTAATTTCACGCTTGATAGGTCACTAAAATTTCACTAAAATTAATGGAAGATAAACCCCCCTACCCAAATTTAATTTGTCATGATCGGCAAGAAAACCTGATCGATTATGCGTTATTGAGCTGCTAAGATTCTATATAAGATCTTTATTAGAGAAAAAGGCCGATCCCATTGTGTATTGAAATATAGGTTCGTCACTAATATTCTCACCGCTGCCGATCGGCAAAGCATTGTGAAATCAGCCTGCAGCTTTCATTTGATTTACTAGCAAAGTTCCACACCGTATAATCATCGAGTAACGAGTAATCTAAAAGGCTTGATGGATGCAGCTTGCCACTCTCATCGAAACATAGTCATACATAGAAGCAGCGTAGACATATCTGCATTCCACCTGACTAAACGAGGTCCTAAATTGAGCTAATTCATAGCGTTGATGCATATCTATCTCCTCATGAAATATCAATCTCTTAGATACATCATATCTGATTGCTAGCTTGCCTAGCTTGGAAGAAGGTAGTGGGGCTTATAAGCTGAACTAGCAAAGCAACCATTCCTTTCTAATTAGGGCGGCTAAGTCTGACGATCTTGGATGTTTCTCTCCTTCGTAAACTCGGTCAGAATTCAAGAAAGACTATCTAATGGTCGCCTGCGTCGCGAAACTTAGAAGCGAGCTTTATATCCCATATGCTTTTGTGGCTGGCTAATATTACACCGCATGGCATTGAGCTAGGGACTATAGCATTTTTTTGGATTGTACCGACCAGGATGCGGCACAAAGACCCATAAATTTGCTTCAGTGGACTATCGCACAGGCATCAGCGGTTGCTTGCAAGTTATCACGGTTGTGCCCAACCCCAAGTATGAACGTTCAAGGTTTGATATTCGCCCATCCTCGAAACCGTCATATTGCGATTCGATATCCGCCTCGCTGCCTTCATTTTGGAAGATATAAGAGAAAACTGTACTGTATATTTTGAATGACTACAGAAATGCTGATCGTCCACATTGCACCTAATCTTTTGTGGAACATTCGCCTGCTTCGGAGATATGTCGGGGCGTTTGGGCGGAGAATCGCGAACGCTACTGCGATCACAGAATGCAATTCAAAGAATGGATTTCAGGGTGAGGAGGGGCAGTGAGGTAGGAGTGTATATATCCATTTCCTCATTTTCGAGACAGCTGGTCTGAATAAGCTTTTTTGTCGAACTACTCTATAATTTTGGAATTCAATCCAAAATGGCTATCGAACCAATCAGTGCAAAGATTCGGGCAGTTATTGCCGATCTCATTCTGCCCTGAATCCTAGGCTCAAGGTGCTGGACGCCACCGACAAGGATCTGGAGAAGAGGACCGTGAGCGACAGTTTGCGCGACAACCCGACTCTTCCATTCCGGAAAAGCAAGAACGGGCGAATCTGCTTCGACTTCGCAGTCGCAAATACGCCGTCTCGAATCCCAGCACTTCGTATGGTCTTATCTCCAACAAAGAATGAGAAATGGCATTACCTCAATTCCGGCTGGTTAAGCGTCACGCTAAGTGGACACAATTGCCCTCCCGAGTCGATCAACCCCCGATCCCTCGCCATGACTTCCTTTCCTTCCTTTGAACAGGAAAGCCATCCGTGCCCCGCGACGCCGGAGCGAATTTACGGTGAGCGCATGTGGGCAAACTTCGTCGGAGCCCGAGCCTAATCGCGCAACAGGGGTGTTGGCGCTGTCGAGAACGCAAGGTGAAATGCGACGAAGGCTCGCCGTGCTCGGCGTGTCAACGATTGGGGCTGCAGTGTGATGTTTCCAGTACGCGCCTCGTCTGGCTGAAAGGCAATCAATCCTATCGATCGACCGGCCGGCGATACATGCACTGAGGTATGTGATCTCTGGTTCCGCCCCTCATCGCAAGTCTCGTCTCACTCGAAATAGAGCGCACATGGGATAATTATGCCCCTCTCGACTCCGATGTGCTAGATATCTTGATCGCGCAGAGCGATCAAGATCATCGAGGCGAACGAGCGCCCATGGCCCGTAGTAGTCGACCACAACCCATTTCTAGTATTCCCAGCATTGAAAACAGCGATCTTTGATTCTGCTCCCATGGGTTTGCCTCATGATATAGAAGAGATACGCGTAGTTGAGGCTTCTTTGCGATTATAATGTTAATTTGAAAAAAATGAAAAGAATGAAAGAGATCAAATTTGAAGATGTTTCATATATCCCCGTTTTGCACAAGCGGGCGACTGATGCAAGAGACATGAACTCCTCGAACGGTCGAATCGCCCGAAGAGCTGAAGGAAGACCCTAAGAAAATATCCTTCCGGGACTGAAATAACGAGGTAAACCGAAATAATGATCTCATCTCTCGGCTGAAGATTAACAAGGATAGACCTGTTCCTCATTGTCTCTGCAGACTGATGCAGATGAAATCCTATCACATCAAAGCCAAGCCAGGCTGAGCACGACGGGCGAATTAGGGATGAAGGTGGCAGAACGGTCCAAGCGTACTTGAGTCACCTCTTTTTGCAACGTTTCGGGCACACGTACGGATGTCTTGATCGTTATTCTTTCTCCCATTTCGTTCATTTCAGGGCATTACTGGGTCATGACCATGACCTGGATTCCATAACAATACAACAATCATATATTTGCTACAAGAGCGGTAAGTGAAACAAATAACGCCAGTAAGATTCCTCCATCATTTTGAGGGAGACTCTCATCGACCATGGAACCCAAGTCACCGGCCCCAGCCCTGTACATCACAGGGTTGGGATCGCAATATCCTCCCTATTTGCTGGGGCCCGAGGAATTTGAGAAGTTTACAGCGCGCTTTTACGACATGAGCCGCCCAGGGCAAGCTGTCCAACTTTGATTGCCCCGCCGCAGACCACATCTAATTCATTGTATCTAGAATCAAAAAGCTGCTCCAGCTCAATCGCTCGACGGGTATCGAGACCAGATCCGCAATACAACCCTACGAGACTGAATTTGCAACCCAGCCGGACGCCCCCGCAATTAGTGAGATCGATCAGTTCTTTCGCCAAGCCGGGGTCGACCTTACCGTTCAAGCATGTAAGAAGGCCCTCGAAGAAGCCCAAGTCGCACCCCGGCAGATTACTCATACGATCGGTGTTACCTGTACCAATTCGGGTAACCCGGGGTATGATCTGCTAGTGGCCCGTCATTTGAACCTTCCGCCCCACGTCGATCGCATGCTTCTCCACGGCGTTGGGTGCGCGGGCGGGCTGTCCATCTTGCGGGCCGCTGCGCAGATAGCCGGTGGGGCAAGTCTGCGGCGAAAACCAGCCCGCATTTTGGCTTTCGCTTGTGAGCTGTGTACCCCAAATTTACGCCATTATCTGTCATTAGCGGAGACATGTACGGAAGCAGATCAACCCAATATTGCAGGAGCTTTGTTCTCAGATGCCGCGGCCGCTTTTGTTCTTTGTAATGAGTATGCTATGGCTGGGAACGAGCAAGTCCCTCGTCTGTTTGAGCTTCTGGAATGGGGCTATGATTTAATTCCGAACACGATTGAGCATATGTCATTCTATGCGGATATAGATGGTTTGTCGTCATCATTGGCTCATTTCAAAATACACAATAAACTAATCATTTGCGCCAAACTTTGGTTGCATGCATATATAGGCTATCGAGCTGTTATCAGTCGAGATGTTCCCGAATACACCAAACACGCTATCGGACCAATGTTTGAGAGACTCCTTCCTTCATATGAGGAACAAGTAAAGTCCCAGTCAAGGGCAGGGGGAAGCCAACCGCTGGGGTCGCTAGGGATCTGCGATTTCGACTGGGCTTTGCATCCCGGCGGAAGAGCAATTATAGATGGCGCAGCACAGGTCTTACAATTGTCTGAGGATCAATTGCAGGCAACTCGGGAGATATATCGCACACGGGGAAACTCATCTAGTGCATCGGTCCTTAATGTCTTAGATCGGCTTCGTTCACAGAGCAAGAAGGAGCATGTTGTTGCCACTTCGTTTGGTCCTGGTCTGTCAATTGAAATGGCGCTGTTAAGGAGGTGTCAACTGGGCGAGTATTGACCTTGCATGCAATCTATTGTCCTTTCTTTACTTTGATGCTTTGAGCATGGAGAATTAGCGAACTAAATCCCAAGTGGTGCGAAGACTGAACTGATAGTGAAAGTAGTTGACTGCTCCTTCTAATCAAACTCAGCTCGGCCAGCTGTTGGAATCATGTCAAATAAATCCTTGTTTTCACATCGAAGTTAGTTATTTAGAATTAAATAAAATTAAACCCAAATTATAGCGTGAAAAACAATGAATTATCATAGCTAATAATTCAATGTTCCAATCAACGAACAGGTGTGGGCAAAATTGGGCGGTAGAGCTCACCAAAGAATTCATTCTGATTGATTATGCGACATTCTTTCCGTGACGCGAGACCTACTATCTCCGTTTCCAGTAAAACGCGAAAAGCAAAATTAAAAAATTAAAAACATACAACAGCAGGGATTCGCTGGTGGTCACCCACCCAACTACTAACCTGCCGGCGTGTGGCTTAAGTACGGCTGAGCGGACGGGAAGCCCTGTTCTCCACACCCTATGGTCGTATGTGCTGAAAAGAGGTCAGACGTAAAATATATACGCCTAGGTGAGACTAGGTAAGCGCCGCCTTGAGAGTTACGCGACCCAGGGTGAGAAGGGCAAGTGCGCAATAGGTATAATGAGAATTCGGGTGAGAACTAGGTGAGTAGGTGAGAATCCTACAACCTAGGGTTCTTCCCGTTAAGAGACTTCTAGTTCAAATGATACCGATCTAGGCGGATTTCATTAGGCTACCGTAGACGCAATGCTACAAATAGCGGATGCACTTTCTGGCAACCGAAGAAATGTCAAGTATGCTCGAAGAGTGGAATAACTGAGAACCAGGAGGCAACATTTTCTGGTCTGCGGCATAGTTATGAGATACTGATTTTCCGCATACTATATTTCTTATGTAAACTAGTTTCCCCTATAAATTGCCAGATTCAGGGGTAATACAATGGCAGATTTATTGACATCGCTGATTGGCTGTATACGTCACTTACCAACAGATTCTGTCTCCCCGCATTCATAGCCTCTTGCTGTTCTGCGGGGTCCTACCTAGTGTCCCTCATCCGCCACGCTTCCAAGTACAACTCATAGACAGTCATTTCGCTTTAGCTTCTGATGCTCCGAGAATACTGTTGCTCTTTTTGAAATGTGTATCGGTATGATTCCAAGACAGGCGGCCACCTCGCCGCCCGAGCCCACCAACCCCGGCTCGACATGTTTCACAGCCAGCAGGCTCAATGGCACCACGTTTCAGATCGTCGAGGACGATAAGTTTCTCGAGATGCCTATAATATACGCCAAGGTTTACCCAACTGTCTTTGTGCTCATAGACACCGGGTGCGGTGGCGCGGCGCGCGATCCCAGCGTTGAGCTCAGGTCGCTACGTAGGTTCCTCGAGACGGTTCCCGTGAATGACAACGGCGAAGCTCCTCTCAACTCTGGTGGGGAGAGGGAGTATCTTATTATTTGCACACATTGCCACTTTGATCATATAAGTGAGTACCATGCTATTAAAGTATTTAGCGGTTGGATTCTTTAAATACATTTCTTCTTGTTAACATCTTAAGGCGGCATCGAGCAGTTTGTCGAGACGCACGGCAATACCGTCTGGGCCAGCGATTACGACAAAGTCTATCTCAGCCCAACCCGACTACCAAGCTCGTCTCTCTGTGACAAACTCAATATTAAAACACCAGAATACACAGTCACAAATTGGTGCAGCGACGGCCAGCAGGTGGTTGACAATGCTGGACACGATCTCGGCCTGACGGTGTACCATACACCCGGCCACACGCCTGACGAAGTTGCCATATGGGACTCACGCGAGAGAATACTTTTCGTCGGCGACTCTATGTACCAGTACGCGCCCATCTTCTTCTTTGAAACACAGAGCGTCATCAAGTATAGCGAGTCGATTGGCAAATTGAGGCAGCTCGTCAGACGATTCAACGCCGAGACAGGTGAGCTTGACCACTCACATAAGCCGTAACCACAAGAGACTGACAAGAACAGAACAACACGCAAAGATATCATGCAGTCACATCACCCCCAGCATAGACGCCGCCGACTTCCTGGCCGAGGTAGACGCATTCCTCTATAAAGTCGCGACCGGGCAGGTCGAGCGCAAGGACTCGTCGGACATGTCCGGGCATCCACGGGACAGTTACTCGAGGGAGGACGGGGTCCTTGAGTTTCAGGGTCGTAGAGAGTATTTTGAAGAGTTTATGGCGAGTAAGAAGGCTATAGACTCTATCCGGGAGCGCCAATTGTGGGACAAATAAGCTGACGCCCGTTGCTTGTTGTGACGTGAGCATACTTGTACTGATAGCCATATTGGGCCTAATTCAATGTACAAGACCAGGAGGTCATTGATTTCAATCTTTTCATTTGATATCCCTATTCCTTGTTCTCCGATTATCTAAGAGTCTCAGTATATGACCTGACTTGATCTTTTTAGGCAAGTCACTTAGGTAAGGACGGGAGTGGTGGTAGAGGGAAGTGACCTCTTGCCAGATTGCCAGATTGTTAAGGCCTCGTCGAGAACGACTATATCAAGGCCTATCTTTTACGTCCAACAGAGGCTTGGAATGCTAACGAAGGTGGCTCCTACTCAGCTCAATGGGACCAGATTCGGACTGTTGTCGGTAATCTGGTACCAAAACTGCAAAATCAAACACGCTGGAAAGACATAACATACGTGGCGTTGGATAGAGGTGATGTCAGACTCTATGACGAGGAAACAACCTTCGGCCTTAATCTCTTCAAATATGACCCAGCTCATAACACTGGGAGACGCGCGAGGAAGTAAACAGCCATGCTATGGTAATATCTGACTCAGCAGGAGGGCATCACCGCGAGACGCATGCAGGGTTTCGTACTCTGTTTGCCATCGAGTCAGGATTTCGAGGTCCTGCTGTGCCTTTGCGCGCTGCCCTGTGCCCTCTGCAGCATACTTAACCTCTTACGTAAGGAATTTGGTGTTGTTCACCACGCCGACCAGTACCAAGTCGTCAATGAAGCAACCTAGTCGGCCGGGCTTTGCTGTTGCCTCGGCTACGGCCCGGAGGCTGCGCTCTGTAACATCGACCTGTCTTTGCTCCAGGTGGGCTCCGAGAGACGGGGCTGCGGAGACCCTGAGTGCCAGGCCGCGGCTCGTGAGGCGGAGATTGCAAATATCGCGCAAGTTGAGAAACGAGACGATTGTGTCATTTGCCTCGGCAGGGCACTGCTCGATGGTACTCATCCTGTCTTGAAAGATTCGCTTTGGCCGACATGGGCGACTGTGGTTCTTTACTCGGGGCGGCAGGGAAGAAGAGGGATGGGGTTGGAGTGAAGGGGCATCGGCCCTTCTTATAGTCGGCCCTGCACTCGGCAAGGGCCTCGTGAAGACTGTCTCCGGATGTTTGGTATCTCATCTTCTAACTGGTCTGCTGCGTTATCTCCGACGCTATGACGAGGGTCCGTTGAGTAACCCACTATGGAACCCTTCTAGTTAGCTGTCCAGAACCGTCATGATCTGTTCAACGTATATCTGGCCTCACGAGAGTTTCATTTCCTCACAACCCCCGCCCTCTACCGGACAGTGGTGATCACCCCCGCTTGTGCCCCGTCTATAGACAGTGGCGCGCGGGGACAAACGCGTGCCCGTCGTTCTGCGCTGGATGTCCTGATCACTCGATTGAGGTACGAGAATGGCAATACCCCCCGGGTTCATGTCCGTGAAGTCGTTCTGTCGCATATCGACACACGAGGTCTTGGTGCGTCATGGGAGGTGATCAACCGGCTTCCCAATGTTCGAAACGTGATGTAAGACTCTACAGATGGGAGGATAATGTTGATGTCTGGCTGACAACTTACACGATCAGATTAGAAGGACCTGTAAGTCTGTCGGGGGAGGTGATCGAGGGTCTCTCTGCACAACCATGACACCCAACGTTGGAGTTACATGATCAAGATGGGACCACGATGGTCTCGATAGCACTTTCCCAGGTGCGATCACTGCAGGCGGTCGTCCATCTGGGCTGGGGAATAAAGAAGGCTCCGAGCCATCGTCTTCTCAGTCTACAAAGCCTGCTCTTTGCGTGTCCGAACTTGCAATTGTTGTCGCTCACCTCAATGGATCGACACAGGGGGTGCAGTCGATGTTGAAGAAGTTGGTATCATGTTCGTTATTTGCCCCACTCGCGTGAACTACTATATCATTCTAATTTTAATTTAGATTCGACTAGAATACAGAGCGTGCTGCTTTCTTTCCATGATATCAGACTAAAAGTTTGTTCTCTTAGAGGGATCCAGCTCCTTCTTCTTGAAGGGATCCCTCCGTGCGTATGCAAACAAGTAAGCGAGTTAATATATCAACTGGCCTCTACGATGGTGCATAGGCACCTATTCTACATTCGTTATACCCGATTTTATAGTTGATGTAATGGTTGAAGCACAGGTAGGAGTGATTGTATTCTTACTTAAGTGACCGGGCCCTTGGTGACAGACCTAGGAGTAATAGAAAGTCTGTTCGGGAGAGAAGAAAGAACGATCGAGGGAATAGCGGTCGAGGTTTGAAGATATCTAGAGAAGAGTAATCTTCAACATGAACAGATCTCATGTGCACATCAGCGAGCCAGTGCCTAGAAAACATATATATTACTAGTACTATTGATTTGAAAGGTGGCAGATTATTAGAAGTAAATGCAGAACAGAGCTTCTGCTCACTGTTATAGTTCAGAGAAATAAAATCTATTTTATTTTATTCAGAGGAAAAGATGAGGCTAGAGCTAGTCTCTTGATTATTACGTTCTTCTAAGGGACCAAGTCAACGCCTTTTCTTATAAGAGGAAGTTATGGGAGGTGGTAATTCGCGTGATATTCGTGTAGTATTCACGCTAGTATAGCGCAAGTACAGTATAAGTACAGTACGAACGACAGAATAGAATTCTCCATGCCATATCTAGTAAAATATAAGCGTATAGACCCTCATACCAGCGCACCATGAAGTTTCCAATCTTAGACTTTACCGGCCCACACTACTAAAGCTCCTTCCATGGTTTCGCTCCTGCTACTAAGCTTTGTTTATCCTACACATCCATTACCGCCAAAGTTCCTCCCTCATTACATCTCACTGCTTTACTTCCCCTCACCTTACTACCTCCCTTCAGCTGCACAACTGCTTACCGTCAGCCATCTAAAATGGTATTCCCAGCGCCCGACCTCCACCAGCCATCGGGGCTCCTAAGTCCTCCCCCCTCCCCACGCAAGCGAAGACGGCTTCTCCGTGACTCTGAAGACGCAGAAGGGGAAATGTCACTTGGGAAATACATTGCTGCTTGTGACCCTTTCCGCAGCAGCAGCATGGTTGACCCTCTACCCTACCCCGTACGCGTCAAATACTCTGAGCGACTCGATCACACTTTGCGGCCCATCATGAGCCAAATCCATAATGTTCTCGACTTCCACGAATTCCCCGCCACTACGCAGGTCGAGACTATCACTGCGTGGAAGCCAGGTTACCCTGGAGGTGATCGGGAGATCGACCTGCTCCGCGTGGTTTTAGACGACACTAACCCATCACCACTCTCTTTTGGTCCTGCAAAGGATGACTTAATCCGAATACTCCGCCATAACAACCACCCTGGAATCCATGTTGAGATCATTGATCTCAACCTGCATCACTGTCCCTCTTTCTTCTACCTCTCCAAGACCGATGCGGTGGTCATCGCGTTTGAGCGAGCCAAGGGGAAGATCATTCAGGCCCTCGATCGGGCGATCCCCCAAAAAGTGGCACGTACTTTGTCCATATAGTGTCGGGCGTGTTGAAAGTAAGGCATTGCCAGCAATCTCTATAGTCGTCGAAGCGGAGACCAAAGCCGACTGGTTTGCATTGAGAGTGGAAATCATTACATTGACGTTACCACACTCAAACGGTGGGCCTGTCGAGGTGGAGTTTTCACCTGGAAGTCTTAACTTCCTGGACTCACCTGGGGAATCATCCTCGGGCTCACCTGGACGATCATTCTTGGACCGATTGACACCTAGTGTGGTACCGCGAATGGGATTCTCGATCGGTATTCATGGACAAGACATAACAGGGACACTGGGCGGATGGGTGAATCTGACTCATAATGGAGTACTACACCGAGGTTTCCTCACGAATTATCATGTCACTAAACCATCACTGTCAACCGTCTATGACAAGGGTTTTATTGAGGACCTGAATCGCTTCGGAGCGACTTTTGATCGTCTCCCATCCAAGCCTGTCCGAATGGAGTCTATCTCCAAGATAGACCGAGATAAAACTGTGCCTGATATCATCGACAAGTTGGAGACATTAGATGCCCGGAGGGTCGAAGTGATGACAATGATCGAGGACAGACAGCTCATTGGTGCTGAACCCAGACCCGGTTATCAAACATTACTGCGTTTTATTGATGATGAAATCAATGAGTTAGCGGCAGTACAAGGACCAGCCGAATCTATGCCACATGTTATAGGAGATTTGGTACTTGCTTCTGGTGAAGCAATGTTAAATATGCGTATGATGGACTGGGCTTTTGTCCGTGTGTCCGAACATGGCAGGAAACTCTTCGGTCCAAATATCATGTTCGACATCCCCGAGAATGCACAGCCATGGAAGTACAAGTCTGTTGCTCCGTGGCGTCCCGGTACCATCATTGAAGAGTTCGGATTTTTACAAGATGGCCAGTTCTGCACAAAGGTCGGCCGCACAAGTGGAGTTACTTCGGGGATCTGCCATGGTCCTCGGGCTGTATGCAACTGGCACAGTGCTACGAGGTGGAATGAAAATGGGGATGCAATGGATCTGAACGTCTACCGGACTGAGGAGTTCATGGTCATCAACAAGAAATTGACAGAGACAGACTTTGAGCAGTCCGATTTCACTGCTAACGGAGACTCTGGCTCTTTTGTCCTAGACAATAATGGGGTGGTCAATGGTTTGCTGTTTGCAGGTGTGAGAAACGACCATGGTGTGGTAGGAGTAGTCATGAGCATGGCGGATGTACTACAGTCAATTCGGTTGAAGCTTGGAGGTGATGTGTCGATTGAGCTGCCAGTTTGATTTTGATTTTTTCCTGCTGTGATCACCAGCGGTAGTAACTATTATCCTCAGTGTTTGAATATGGCCTTTGCTTTTCTTGCTTCAAACATAGAACATCCCAAGGGTCCCACTTTGAAACTTCACTTCTCTCACACCACTCTCCCTCTCCCTTTCCCACAAGCACAACCCATAACCCACCAAGAAGCCCACAAAGTCAGTCATGCATGTTGGTGTGAAGAAAGGCATTATGATGAGACTAATACATATTCAGCAATGAGCAACCTCAACAGCCTGACGGACCCAACGATTGAGGGCACCAGTGTCCCACCCGGCGTTTTGTCAAACTGAGCCAAGAACTGCCAATTTAATCCCTGCAGGCGAAAAGATCTGGCCATATACCGTCTCAATCTTCGTATCCACAGGGCACCTGTGTAGATATCATATTTGCGATACTTGTCTTCTCCTGGCTTGAGATGCTTGGTCAAGATCACGTTTGCGTACGTCCGGGGTCTTCAATAGGTGCGGATGGACTTCGGTGTTTCGATAGAGGAATGGGATCACTATATTTATCATTTATTCTTTCCGTCCTACTTGCCTCATCAATCTGCCCGTCGCAATTAACAGGATAGGACTTGCAAATTTTGCTGGTTTGCATGATACTGTATATTTCGAAACTTAGACAATCTTTTTTATACTGTAGAGTGCTTCTTCACCAGATCCGAGCTTATTGCTCCTCCAATTCCTTGGGTGAACTGATTATATGGTTCCCGCCGTCAAAGCTTGCTGAGATGCACGTTCACGCAACCAATGGATGTAGTTTCGGCCATAGAATAAGATAAAGGTTAAGGATTGTTATTGTTGTCGTGCACCTATAATATGAGGGTTGTTGCAGATCGGGAACAAATCCGCACCATTAGAAAATGATTCCCGGGGTATCTATACAAAGAGCCAGCTTGATTGGATTAGTCACACATTCCTCAAGTTCGTCTACTGCGGACTTGGAGAGCTGAAGTTGACTAGAGAAATCATTGCGATGACGCCTACGTGGAGCGCGGTAGCGGCTCAACAAAGACCGGCCGCTACGAGCTTTGTCCGAAAATGCCAAGGTTTCTATAATTCTATGATTTGAACACATGCTCCAAGATCTAAGCCACCGGAATGTGGCCCCGGTTGTCTCTGGGCCTGGCAGAGGAATGCTCGGTCGCCAGGAACAGTTAATGATTGGCTCGGTAGATCCACGCCAGGGGTCTCAGGGAGAACGTTTCTTGGACTGTGGGCGCGGAAAGGGGGTGGTCTCCATTCCACTACTTTGAGAATCGCATTCCGTAGAGACGGAAAGAATGTCTGGACAACGGATAAACAGAGATTAAAGTGGTCTAACTTGCTTCTGGACCTCCACAGGATGTATATAAGCACAGTAATTCGCCTTCTTCCCATCCCGTGTCACTCTCTTGCATCTTCTCCTCTACTCTTCAAGGACTTCTTTAAATCCCTAAAGTTCTTACTCACATCCAAACCTATACACAATGAAGCTCACCTTCACCGCTGTCTTTGGCCTCGCTGCCACTGTCTGTGCCCTCCCCTCCTTTGGCCCCTCCGCTGGGGGGTTTTGGTAACGCCAACGGCATCGGCAACAAGGGCAACACCAACATCAAGTTCCCCGTCCCCGACAATATGACCATCAAGCAGGCTCAGGCCAAGTGCGGTGACCAGGCTCAGCTCTCTTGCTGCAACAAAGCCACCTATGCTGGTGATACCACCGACGTCAACTCTGGCATTCTCGGTGGTACTCTATCCAACCTCATCGGAGCAGGCTCCGGTGCCGATGGTGTCGGTCTGTTCGACCAGTGCTCCAAGTTGGATCTCCAGAGTAAGCTACCCCGCAATACTCTCAGCTGATCGTCCGCTAATAATCTCTACAGTCCCCATTCTCATTGCCGTCCCCATCCAGGACTTGATCAATCAGAAATGCAAGCAGAACATTGCCTGCTGCCAGAATTCCCCTTCGTCAGCCAACTCGGACCTTGCCGGTGTTGGCCTGCCCTGCGTTGCTCTCGGATCCATTATTTAGGTAGTCTATCCTATTTTCTGGCGCAATATTGGACATAACGATCTACACGCCGATCTTTTTGAGGCTGTCAGGTATGCGAGTTCGCATTGTTATCCACTATCGAGCGTGACCAGCGGGCAATTGGCAACTGGTTTATGTATTATTAGCTCTGAATTCCTCGAGCCCATCCGATTTATTTGATCGGGAGACAAAGACTTGTGGATCCAAGGAACATATGTGTGAAGAACAAATGGGGTAGACAGCAGCTATACCATAATTCAAAAGCTCAGAGAAATAAGCGGACACCACCATACCAAACACCGCGTAAAACAAAACGGCCCTCGTTCTTAAGCGGTACCCGTTGATTCTCTTAATAATACAATCAAACCCAGATTTACAGTCTTACACAAAATCAATTCGACTTTTCGTATGGGCTAACCGCAATGCGGAAGGGATTTCGTTAGTGGGTATTCAGTTAGTGTATGAGCCTAGACTTTTCCGGACAGTCGGATAATTTTCCCCTTTCCAGATATATCTATTGATCTACCATGTAGTCACGTTTGGGTCGAACTAGGATAAAGAGAGTTTAACACTAAAATAAGTTTAAAAGTGAGAGGAGTTTTCTAAACAAGTAATGTCGGCTTCTGTCCTCTGATACTCGTATCCCGCCGTGCTCTACATTTGTAGCCGAAATTTCTGACTTCACTACTTGGATTGCTGAAGCGTTGAAGGCGGAGAGACACCAACTCCTAGTTAGAGCAAAATGATCGGAATTCCGGTATAAGAAGTGAAATACAGTAGGCGGAAGATTCTAATAGAATATCGATTGAAGTTGATCTCGCCCCCGCGACTAGGGGCGTATCCAGGTATAGTCTAGATAGCCACATAAAAGGTCAATAACAGCACGCTTATCGTAATACAAGTTCCGAAATGATACTCATGCTTGACCATCATCTAGAAGGGAGACTTCTTCTCCGCAGGGCAAGCATAAACAGTGACGATCTTGGTGACAGGAATAGTCACCACTGGGACCTGGTTACCGCCCAGAGTTGCGGGAGCAGTGACCTGGGGAGCAGCGGTGTTGGTGTTGCTTGCCTCAGATCCAGAGCCGGAACCAGAATTAGAGCCAGAGTTGGAACCAGAGTTCGAACCAGAGCTGGGCTTGGCGCCAACACCGGCAGTTTGCGCAGGGGCAGGAGCTGCAGTAGGAGTGACTTGATACACGCTGGTGCTGGCAACGAGGGTCTCAGTAGTCACAGAAGTAGTCTTCTGGCGGGCAGGGCAGTCAGTGACGGTGGCAGGACAAGCAGTCACAGTAACAACACGGGTGGTCAAGATGGTCTCAGTGGTGTACTGGGGACCTTGGCCACCATTAGAAGCAGAAGGAGATCCAATAGTAATAGCACCACCAGTGCCGGTAGTAGTGGCATCGGCGACAGGGCACACAGTGGTGGAAACAAGGACTGTCTCGGTGGTCACGTAGGTGCTTCTGGCGGGGCAGTTGGTCACCGTGGCAGCACAGGCAGTGACAGTCGAGGTGCGGGTGGTGAATACAGTTGAGGTGGTAAGCTCAGAGCCAGAATCCGAGCCATTGCCCGAACCATTGTTCCCAGATCCATTACCGTTGCCATTACCGTTGCCAGATCCGTTGCCAGATCCGTTGCCAGAGCCAGATCCATTGCCATTGCCGTTGCCATTGCCGTTGCCAGATCCGTTGCCAGATCCATTGCCATTGCCAGAGCCAGATCCGTTGCCAGAGCCAGAGCCGTTACCTGAGTCAGAGCCGTTACCTGAGTCAGAGCCGTTACCTGAGTCAGAGCCGTTACCTGAGCCAGATCCGTTGTCAGATCCGTTGCCAGCGCCTCCACTAGGCTGAGGACCAACAGTAGAAGTAACAGTAGGAATCCCAGACGAGCTAACAGCAGCAGAGCTAGACGGCTTAATAGGTCTGCGAGAGATAGTACTCGAAGGACGAGGAGGATGAGGACGCGAAGTAACAGTCACAAGGTGCGACGAAGACGAAACAGAAGGAGCCTGGGACGAAGCACTCGACTGAGGCAAGGGAGTTGAAGAGGGCTTAGACACGCTCTGGCTGGATGCAAGAGGAGTGGAAGAAGGAACCGCACTGCTAGAGCAAGTGGAAACGGTAGTAAGAATCTCGACGTTATCCAGGTCCATAACGAAGGGCGGGTTCTCCTTGGTAACGATGTCCGGTCTGCATAAGGTCGAGATGTATATATCCTGACTGGCACCGGAGGCAATGAAGGGGCCGGAGACTGTGAGCCAGTCCGTGCCGGCTTCATTGATGGTAATATCTTTCACGGCAATGGGGTTGCCGTTGGTGGCGATGTACACGAGACATTCGCCTGTGGATGACGAGGGGTTGACGCGCCATTTGGCGTTCACTCTGTAGGTGTGTCCTCTCACGAGGCCATTGATGCTCTGGCCGACTTCGTTGTCCGGAAAGCCGGCGGGGTTCTCCCTGTTTGCTGTTAGTATCTGGTTTTCTTGGGATACAATGGGATACAATGGGATACAATGGGAGCCGTACAAGAAGTAGTGGCCGTCAGCTGCGCTGGAGCTGCTCACAACACTCAAGTCGCCTGAGACTCTCCAATGATTCAGTCCATCTTCAAAGGAAGGGTTCTGAACGAGGTTGACCTCCTTCGCGGAGCAGGAAGCGGTAGCTGAGCCTGCGAGCAGGAGAGGCAGGAGAGCCTGCCATGATTGTTTGACTAGAAATGAAGTTAGTCAATACCCAGCATATGAACTCCCGAGCACACTGACAATGCATTATAGTAGGTAATGAAAGAACGTAGTTTCAAAAATTTTAGTATCAAAAAGAGTGTATTGTTCAATGAACGGACCCAAACAGCGTTGGAAAAAAAAGAACGACAGCCACACAACGGAGGCGAAAAAGATTTCCTAACTCTACGAAGCCTCCACCATCCTCTTATAACGGAGTGAATTCATTCCAATGCCAAGAAGGATGCCAAGTCCCGCCCATGATGTCCGAAGCGACCCGTCGGTCCAGATTACCCTAGCAGTGGATCCACAAGCCAGTCATCATCAAGCTGCTGAGACAACTAGGGAAGCGAACAGGCTAATTGGCGTTGCCGGCAAATAGGAGGCTACAATCAGGGTCCAAGTCTCTGGTGAGACGCCACAGTCAATAGTTCGAGCGTGGACACGTCCGGGTACCTGAAAACACGTGGTGCGCTGACCTAAGGCCGTTCGGATGACCTTGGGGAAATGACGACTTGGCACGGACTTCACCGGTGGGTTTACCCGTTTGATTAGATTTAGGATCTGGAGTTGTTGGGGATTGTCGTTTTCACTTTCCAGGGTTGGAATGGTGTAGATCTCGGGCTGTCCCGTTGGTATAGTATACCCGCATTCTGGGATAAAGTCTCCGAACATAAGACAATGTGCACTATTGTCCGAAATTACCTAGTGAGACATGTCATCGTAGAGACGTGCGGAAAGTCTTGGAGATCCGGAGCCGAACGTTGGCGTTGACGTGATCGGAGCCTCGTCGCTCCGCGCCGGCATTAGCGCTTTGCCTTTTTCGGATGTCCGAACAGCCTCAAAGTAACACCTCCCCTGCCAAGATTCGCTTTTGCTTGTCTTTTCGAGTCGTCTTTCAGCCGCGCCAAGGTGTTGAGCTGGCAGTTATACGAGCTCTAATTTTAAATTCAATCAGAGCAGGGTACAGCGTAAACATAAAAAGTGAAGGATGAGTAGGCCAACGCTTCCAAGAGTTTGATAGTCATTAATTCTACAGTATGAGGTAAACGTAAATTGTTGATGACCGGTAAATAAAAAAAAATAGCTCAGTGGACGGATAATATGACGTCGTATTCGAAAAAAGAAGCACCAAGATAGGACTAGCATGGCACGTTGGGAAGATTAGTAAACAAGTGGGCTGCGAGAAGGACAGATCAGTGGACAGAATAAAACCAGTGGGGCAGTAATTAGACCAAAAGTACCCCGTAAGAGACCTACATGGCGTAGAATCAGGCCTAATGTGTTGCTCTTGATCGAGGGGCTGATGTAGTTGGTAAATGGGCCATCACTGCTGCACGACTTGCCAGCCTAGATCTTCATGATTCACAGTGGTTATGGCGGTTACATCGAACCTCAGGATTTATACTGGTTGTGCTTTTTCTTCTTTGCTTATTTGCCTTGATTTCTGGCTTTGTCTTGCTTGAGCTTGTCTCGGCCTGTTTAATGCCTCGGGTGAGTGATTTGCTCTTCGGGCCTTGATGGGTGTATTACTGGATTTCTCTATGATCACGGAGCATGCATGGGTGGATGCCTCACTACAGGGACAGATACTTGTATTCCTCCATATTCCTCCATATACGACATCGGATATAGGTCTTGGATGGTCACGTGCCATCGGCCAGAACCGAGCATACAACATACAAGCCCTCGACACCTCAAGCAGTCGGAAGTTTAGTTTAGCGCCAAGCAAACCTATCCTTTCATCTACTGATTCATGCTCAGGAATAGATCTATCAGAACGAAAGTCGTATCATCATTTCAAGCATCAGTCATCAAGTAAAAATTCTAGTCAATTCAAAGGAACCAAAAGAAGCTCATCGGAATCCACCGCTGGGGAAGTATCTTGGGCCAGCATATCCATGAGCAATGACACTCTGGATATCGATATTGCCATCACTGCGGGGACTCCACAGTTTGATTAGAATGAAGCGGCCCGACCTAGAATGGCACAGTTAGTATTGCTGAAATAATACAGAAGGGAGAGGGACAAAACATACGGAGGCGGATCAAACTTAATGCTGACCATGCTCTTTTCTCTCTCAATGAAAAATCGGGCATGTGGTTTCATCACTTCCGCGTCGGCGGTTCCATGCGTAGCCCCGTTAGATCCAGACGTTGTGTGTTGTTGGGGAGGGAGCGGGTCGACTAGGCTTGGAGGTTGGCGGCGGCGTGAAGTCGGGTCGGAATATTGTGGGCGCATATTCCCGATGCGGCGCTGTAGTTCAAGGCGGCGGCGGTGGAAAGTGCTCATTGTGGAATCGTCGTTGTCGTCATCATCGCTTACGCTCTCATCGGTATCTGAGCACAGGAGGTCATCTTCTTGGATTCGCTCGAGCTCGGTGATGGACGGTTCGTCTTCGTCTTCACGGTCAATGAAGACGTTTTCCTCGGAAATTTCATCGTACTCTGTGGTAACGCGGAACTCGGCCTGCGGGCTATTTGCGTTTCGGTCTGTGGGCTCGTCCTCCTCTGGCGCGGTGTTCGAATCAGGCCCCATAAGCACTGTTCGCTCCAGTGATTGAAGAGGAGATCGGAAGGCGTGCAGGTACTCCTGGGATGGTTGTAAGCCTGTACGACGAGGGCGGCGACGGCGACGTGCGCTAGAGTATTGGATCTGGTATTGGGCGGTCCGGGCGAGAAGCTCATCGGATGTCATAGAGACAAAAACCATGCCTTCTTGAATAGGAGAATCAAATCCAGTGCGGGGTGCCTTGATGACAATCTTTTTCAAGCAGAAGGGTGCCTCGCCGCGGTGTCTCAGAACCAGGTTGCACCGATCAGACCCGGTACAGTAGACAGTCTGGTCATTCCGGAGGACATTTTCCGGGAACGAGCTTTCTGAACCTGGGTCCCAGTTCCCTCCATCACAGCTAGCAATCTCCATCTTCAGAGCGCCGGGAACAACCTGCCCATACTGTCCATAGTTGAACCCACGCATGCCCTCACGATTATCATCCGTCTCCAACTTCCGCCGCTTTTGCCGTCCGCGGCCATCGCGGCCGGTGTGAGCCGGCTGAGGCATGAGGGATGGAGTTGGGAGAGTTTCGTTGAGTGTCGAGATTCCTCGGAGATCAGGTCGGAAGGAACGGCGTCGGAGGGTTCTGCTGATCGGTGGGTAGGGCTCCTGGTTCGGAAGTGGGCTTGGAGATGAACGCCGATGCCGATTCCGTTCCGCTCGGAGCTGGTCGATAAGTGAGGTGTGTCTAGAGTCTATGTCGGTTCGTAACTGCTGGATTTGGCGTTCGGCCGCGGCATCCACTTGAGCCACGTTGGTGCGATTGATACGGGGTAGGTCAAGATTGTGCTCTTCGATATGTTGGTTCAACGTCTCTAGTGCACGATTTGTGTCGTCTGCATTAGCTCGGTTGCTTTCGGACTGGATCAAATTGCGAAGATAGTCAAGATGTCCTATGGGTGGCGGTGGCCTGAGAGTGGAGCGTGGACTTTCGCGCGGGGTCTCGTCGTTCTGATCCGAGGCGGTGTTAGGGTCCAGCAGCTGATCGAGACTTGCAGAGGCTTGATCTCCTCTGAATCGTAATTCTGATAAGAGTGTATCCAGAACCGGGTCGTCCTGGCTCGTGAAGGTAGTGCCTTGCGAGGTCAACGCTTCGATGAGTTGTTGGGTTCGGGGATAGCGTTCGCTGAGCCCGGATGGTTCAGCGGAGCCACTAGGACGGGACGGGCGACGGGAAGAGGCAGGGGGATAGTCGTAGTTCCCTGACTGTGTTTGATGGTTTAGTCCACAAGGTTCGGGCAGTAACCAACGTCATGAAACATACCATGGCGGTGGGTTAGTCAAGACAGGTACCACTTGGACGACGATTACCTGTTGACAGAGGCGACCGTGGAGAACAGTATCACATCAAAGAGAAACAAGACCCAAAACAGGGCCAGGAAAGATCAAACAGGCTGAGATAACGCAATGATTGGAGTCGTACACGTCTTCCTCGACGAACGCTGGTTATCGCGAATGCACGTGATCCGCATTAGATCATCGCTCGTGTGGGGAGAGCTCGAGCCTCGTCACTTCTTCACTTTCACTTCGCGATCAAGATGGCAGAACCAGCTGAGAATGGAAATGCGATCAGCGCTGGTATGTCTCAAGAACCTGTTGGAAGAATAATGCTCATTGGTATCCAGACGAAATCGCCTTGTACGACCGACAGATCCGGCTCTGGGGAGTCCATGCCCAAGAGAAGTACGTTGTTCAAGGCGCGAGAGGAACAATACTAACGAGGTCGCAGAATTCGGTCTGCAAATATTCTACTCGTCACTGTGAAAGCTCTCGCAAATGAAGTAGCCAAGAACCTGGTTCTCGCCGGTATTGGCTCGCTCACAATTATCGACCATGAACCCGTTACCGAGGCCGATCTCGATGCGCAATTCTTCCTGGAGGAGGCGCACAGAAACGAGGATATCATCAAAGAGGGAAAGAATGTAAGTCAATCACCCTCTTCGAAAAGGCGGTTCTAACGAACCTAGCGCGCCGAAGTCGCCGGTCCTCAAATCCACAAGATGAACCCGCGCGTGAAACTGCACATCGACACCTCAGATATTCGCACCAAACAGCCAAACTTCTTCGCCCAATTCGATGTCACAATTGCCACAGAACTAGACTACGAAACCAACAACACCATCAACGCAGCCTGCCGTCTAGCCAACAAACCATTCTACGCCGCCGGGCTCCACGGTTTCTACGGCTACGTCTTCGCCGATCTAATAACCCACGACTTCGTCATCGAGCGCAGCAAATCCAACATCCCTTCCGCAATCCACGAGACCCAAACCCGCAGCATCGTCAAAGTCACCACCAAGAAGGAAGGCGACAAGACAATCGAACTAGTTACAAAGCGCGAAACATACTCCCCTCTCCTCCTGGCCAATACATCCCCTTTACCAGAAGACTACACCCGTCTCCCCCGGCGCCGCAAGCAAGTGACGCCCCTCCTCTCCTGTCTGCGCGCACTATGGGAATTCGAAAAACTCTCCGGAGGCCGCAAGCCCACATTCAACCACGCAGACCTGGAAAGCTTCACCAAGCTCGCGCGCGAAGTTCACCAGGAACTCAAGCTCGACATGGGGTCGCTGGATAGTGCATTCCTGCGCAATTTTCTCCAGAATCTAGGCTGTGAACTTAGTCCCGTCGCGGCGTTCTTGGGTGGATCGCTTGCGCAAGACGTCATTAATGTTCTTTCTGCGAGAGAGCAGCCATTGCAGAATATGCTACTTTTCGACGGGGAGAAGTCAATTGGCCCAATTTATTCACTTCATCCGTTCTTCCCGCCTGAGATGGGCATGGAGAGTCTTGGGGCTGTGCCGCCCGTTGGGAATCCTATTCCTATGGGTGGGAATGGGGCTGCTGCTGGTCACGTTAATGTTGAACCGACGGTTATTGAGTGAGCCGCTAGAGGGAACTAGACTTGCTAGTTAAGGGGTGGGCGTTAAGATTCTTTGATTTACGAATTTCATTTTAGATAGAGCCTTAGGGCCATGAATCATGTTTGTGTACGATATTAGCAGAATACATTTGACTACAACCATTCCATTACCCTTCCGGGGCTTTTCTCTTTCTTATGGTCCGAAATTTAAAACGTGTATATGTCCATTGGAATTACATACTCATATACCACAGCAAACCAAACCCAACGCCTGAAATAATGATGCAGATGGCGGTGATTACAATCTAATAATGCCCTAATGGTGGGCGGTCTCCTTGGCCATTTCTTCATCGGTGGCTTTTTTCGGTCCCATCGAGGACTCGGCTTCTTCTTCTTCCTCCTCGTCGCTGATCAGGCCCTGAAGCTCGAAGGCCTCGGCGTCCTGGACGCGCTGGGACTCGGATTGAGTGCGGGCGCGTCCGTTCATGGATCGGCCGTTGGCGTGGGCGTATTTGCCTTCTTGAGCGTCTGTTGGCTCGCCTTCGGGCCAAGCGTGGACGGCGTAAATGTGGAGGAGGACGTTGACGACTAGGTGGGTTAGTGGTGATTTGTAGAGGGGCGGGTAGATGGACATACAGAGGAAGAGCATAAAGGCAATGCTGTAGAGGATCAGGATGTATGAGACGTGGGTGATGCCTGCATCAGCGAGAAGCTGCATTTGCTCCTCGGTGGCGCCCATGAAGAGGAAGCCAGAGGCGTACAGCAACTGTGAGAGTTAGTCGACGCTCCCCAAAATGAAGGTAGGGCACGTACAAATGGTGTCAGGTACTGGAAGCTGTTGGGGTCGGTTCCACTCATGCTGACCGCTGGCTTATCCCGCAGGACAAACGAGATCTCAATGATACGAGTCAAACCAGCCGCCATAAGAGTGTATCCGAAGATCGAGTGGATCATAGTACTGATCATCAGAGACTGCGCATGCGCCGACATGGCATACCCAGTGAGGCCAATGACAATGGCAGGAATGAGGTTGCGCTTAGGACGACCATTGCGGCTTCGGCTCAACCACATACCCAACAGACCAGCGCACCACCAGACAATTCCCATGGTAGTGTGCTGCAGATCGTTGTGCACCCACGGACCACCCCAGTGGTGCTCAGTAAAGGTGTTAACGCATCCCCAAGCCGCAATAATAAGTGAGTCGAAGAACTCCTGACTCCGCCCAGTCCTCCGCAACCAGAACTGTCCAACCAGCAAGAGAATAGTCAACAGAATTCCATATCCGATGAACGCACTGCCCATGATAAAGTGCGCCGCACACTGTCCAAGGTGGTCACCCTGGCAGAAGCCCAGCGCAGCAATACCACCGAACAGCATCTGCACCCAGCTGACAACCGGCATAACCTTGCCCAGAATACCATGAGCCATCACGAAGATCCAGCGAATCCTAGCTTGTCCCGCCTTCTCAAGATGCAACTTGAGATAGCAACCCAGCACAACCTGCGCCACCAAACCAAGCATCAACCAGTTCGCAAACTTGGCGTGGGCATTCGGCCCAAACTGGCGACCCTTGTGCGCATGACCGATGAAATAGGCGACGACAGCGATGACGGTTCCGACGATTTGAACGGGGACGTGCCAGCGCGAACGAACAATCTATACCCAGCATTAGCCCACCCCATCACCATCACCAATAACCACACCAGAAAGAAAGAGACATACACCAAGAACCATTCCAGTCGGAAAGATGATTCCAAACGAAAGACCCATCAGAATCATATGCACCCATAGCGTAGAGTCCTGTACGGTAAAGTCAGCGGGGTCCGCATGGGGAGATCAGGACGAGAAGAACACGTACGATAGGATCTAAAGAAACCGTGGACCCCTCGGGGACAGCCTCGTGGCCTCCATGGGCGTAAACCACACTGGCCAAAGCCAGAGCAGCTAGGGGGAGGAGGCGGTATTGCATGGTGGTGGTGGTTGGAAGAAAGAAGGGGAGGAAACGAAACGGGGAGGGTAACGGGGCCGATCTTGTGCCAATCCGGAGGTTCCGATTAACACTGAATTTGGTCACTTTTCAACGAAACAACATTTTCCATTTCTATTTCTAGTTCTTGTTCCTTTTCTTTTTGCTATCCTCAGATTGCCAGTTGACTGTTTATTGACTTCAACTTCCGCTGACTTCGTACCTCGCCACTTCATCACGGTGATTCCGTTCCTGGAAATTACTCAGCATCTGGTCCTGATTGGCGAACGCGTATACAAGACTCACACGGAACGCGAGACCCACAATGGACGGGCGGGCCTCACGACTGGTCCCTAATTCTACCTCTATACAGGCAACTACATAACTAACATGGAACAGAACTCCCTCCGCGAGTCAATTGCGCAACTCGAAGGCGAAAAGTTCCAAATGGAAGTCGAAGTCGAGGAGATTCGTTCTAAGCTGCAGTACTTATCACCTCACGAGTCACAAGCTGTCTAGACTTTGATTAACTGCTGATACTTAGACTTGACCCATCGATCATCGTGAACAGGCATATCCGGCTTCTGCACGAGTACAATGAAGTCAAGGATACAGCCCAGGGTCTTCTGGGGCTGATTGCTGATGCGAGGGGTGTGCGGCAGGCTGAGGTCGAGAGGGAGTTTGGGGTGAAGGAAGGAGATTAGGTCTGGTTATGATTAGGGGTAAATGAATCCCCTTGGGTCTTTAGCCTGGGAATTCATTACAGTCAAGGGGGTGGATGCAGTATCCTTTATGAGTGGTGAGTGATGAACGATGACTGATGAAGAAACTACGTTATGAATTAAGAGTCGATTACGATGCAATGATTCGATCCGAAATAACATTCATTTTCTATGCGACTTTTCTCGGTCAATGCCGTCAATAACTCCGCTCTATCAAAAAAAGAGAAGAGAAGAAATTAATACAATGAATAGAGATCGTAAGATGAAACGAGAACAGGTGGAGAATATAGAGGGTCAAAGGTAGGTTTGGGTATGTATGCAAAACTCATGGCAAATAGTAGGAGAGGTGGTGAAGAGGTGGATCAGGTAGTAAAGAGATAGAAGATGGCAAGGCAGCAAGGTGGGAAAGGGAAAGTAGAAAGGTGGAGGTAGCATATAGGGTAAGGGAATTAGTGAGTCTTGCCCAGACTCTGCAGGTTAACGAGCTCGTAGTAGCGGCCCTTGTTACGGAGCAGCTCGGTGTGAGTGCCGCTCTCGACGATCTTGCCCTGGTCGAAGACGTAGATGATGTCGGCCTTTTGGATCGTGCTGAGACGGTGAGCAACGGCGATGGTGGTGCGGCCACGAGCGGCAGCATCAAGCGCGGCTTGGACGACCTTTTCGGACTCGGAGTCGAGGGCGGAGGTGGCTTCGTCGAGAAGGAGGACCTTCGGGTTACGCAGGAGGGCGCGGGCGATTGCCACACGCTGCTTCTGGCCACCAGACAGCATGCCACCCTTGCTACCGACGACGGTGTGGAAGCCATCGGGAAGAGACATGATGAAGTCGTAGATGTTGGCGTCTTTGCAAGCTTTGACGAGCTCGTCTTCGGGGACATCGTCGGCGTCAATGCCGAGGAGAATATTGTCCTTGATGGTACCTTGGTAGAGAGTGGGTTCTTGGCTAACCAGCGCCAGGTGACTGCGGTAGGAGTTGAGGTTTAGGTCGGCAATGTTGTGGCCGTCGACATAGACACCACCAGAGAGGGCGTCATAGAAGCGCTCGAGGAGAGCAATGGTTGTACTCTTTCCACAACCACTGGGTCCCACCAGGGCAATGTACTGTCCAGGCTTGACGCTGAGGTTCAGGCCGCGGAGGACGGGTTGCTCGGGGCGAGTAGGGTAGCGGAAGTGGACATCTTTGAACTCAACGTGACCCTCCAAGGTCTCGATGTTTGTGCCCTCGGTGGACCAGGTGTCAATGACCGGACGACGGTCAAACAGCTTGCGGAACTCGTGGGCAGCGTTCTTGGCCTTGCCCATATCGGGTGAGAAGGAAAAGACAGTTCCGGCAGACTGAGCACCGAACAGGATCTCACTGAAGCAGACGAAGAACTGGAACATGGTGTACTCGTGGTGACCGAGCAAAGTACCTCCATACCAGAAACCAAGGGCAACACAAAAGAAGACCAAGGCCTGGGACATGGCATAAAGCAGGGATGACTTGAATACCGAGATGAGACTGGCGCGACCTTGATTCTCCAGCTGGCCATGGTAAACACCCCAGACGTCCGTCTCACGGGTGAGAGACGCGACGGTACGAATAGCAGAGGTAGCCTCACAAGCATAGCTGGCAGAACTCTCATAGGCGACCTTGGAGCGGGACTGGAAGGCGGCAAGCATGTAGAATCGGTAGAAACCGCAAGCGAGAAGAACAGGCACAACAGAGATACACACGAGAGCTAATTTCCAGCCGAAGGAAAGCGAGATGATAATGGCCGCAAGCAGGGTGGTCGAGGTCATAAGAATAGTTCCAAGAGTCTGTCCACTGATACCAGAAAGGTGCTTGGTCTCGGTTGACAGGAATGAAGTCAAGGCACCAGTGCTGTTCTCTTCCTTGTCAAAGAAGTTGATGTCCTGGCGAAGCATGGTGCGGAAAGCCTGGCTACGGGCCTTGCGGATGAGGCGTTCGGAGCAGAAAGCGAAAGCAACACCGTGAGTGGAGAAGGTGATGAACTGGACGATACCAACCACCAAGAACATCAGAGACCAGAAGTCGGCATCAGACCGGAGCTTAGCAAACTGGTCCTTGGGAAGAGAGAGTGCGCTGATGGCCTTCGCATACAGGAAAGCCTGAGTGGGCTGGCCACCACCGGCAAGGACGGAGAAGCACAGACCCAGGACCAGCCATTTCCATTCCTGCCGGTTGAAGGAAGCGATGAACTTGATCAGTGTCCAAAGGGAGTACTTGTTTTTGGGGTCACCGCTCCGTCGAGACAGGATGACACTTGACACAGACTTGCGAGAATCGGCGCGGCGAATATCCTCCTCGAACATCCCAGAGGCACGGGCCTCTTCGCTGTCCTTCATCAGGGTGGCAGCGCTGGCAACGGACTGAACGCGAGCAACTTCCTTCTTCTCAAGAGCCTCGTCGGATTCAGAGTCACCTTCCTCTACAAGAGCATCGGCTTCCTTCTCCTCGTTGATGCGCTGGGCCTCAACAAGCTTGGAGTAGGGACCAGCGGTCTCAAGCAAGACGTCGTGGGTACCCTGCTCCACAATGCCACCGTTGACAAAGACAACGATGTTGTGGGCAGACTTGATAGTGGACAAACGATGAGCAATGACAATGGTAGTACGGCCCTCGGCAGCACGGTCCAAAGCAGCCTGCACAACTCCCTCAGACTTGGTGTCCAGAGCGGAAGTGGCCTCATCCAAAAGAAGAATCTTAGGATCAGAGACAACGGCACGGGCAATGGCGATACGCTGTTTTTGACCGCCAGAGAGCAGGAAACCACGCTGACCAACATTGGTCTCGTAGCCCTCGGGAAGGGCAACGATAAATTCGTGTGCGTTGGCCATTTTGGCGGCATTCTCGATCAGCTCCTGGATGCGTTCTTCTGGCTCATTCTCGAAGCGGGTTCCAATAAGACCGTGGCGAATGTTGCTGTAGATGGAAGTTCCAAACAAAATGGGCTCCTGGCTAACCATAGAAATCTGCTGACGCAACCAACGCAGATTCAGGTCCTGGATGTCGTGGCCGTCGAGGTAGACGTTACCACCAACGGGGAGATAGAAACGCTCAACCAAGCCGACAACAGTACTTTTGCCAGAGCCAGAAGGTCCAACAAGAGCAGTAGTCTTGCCAGCGGGGATCATGAGCGAGACATCCTGCATGACAGTGACTTCCGGGCGAGATGGGTAGATGTGCTTGACATTCTTGAATTCGATATCGCCATCGACATGGTCGAGGACGAGTCCCTCGTCGGAAGTAGGATCCACCGGTGAGACACGGTCAATAGTGCTGAAGATCTTAGCAGCAGCAGCCACGGCGTTAGTGAAAGCCTGTCCGTTAGGAGCGACATTGCCCAGACTGAAGGAACCAATAAGGATAGCCATCAGAATAGTCAAAACCTGACCGACGTTGACCTTGCCCTCAACCAGATACCGGGATCCCATCCAGAAGCCCAGTCCATAGTTGAGGAACATAATGCCGAACATAGCACCGACCATGACACCCAAAGCCATCTGCAGGCGCATGCCCCACCGTTCAGCCACGCGCAGGTGAACCTCGTATTGCTTGGCCAGCTTGTCCTGGGTGCCAAAGGCAGTCGCATTGCGAATCGAACTGATGACCTCTTCGGCAACCGTACCACCAGCACCGTAGGCATCTAGGGAAAGCTTGCCGAACTTAATAATGAAGCGGGATCCACCACCCATAATGACGACCAGCGCCACAATTGTAGAGGTACAGATACCGGCGAGACGTGCGTACTTGATGTACGCCACGATGAATGCAGTGACAAACGTGGCAAGGGCGGTCAGAGTCAGGCCGACCTTTTCAGAGATACCGTCCTGAATCAGGTTGGTGTCGGCGGTGATGCGGGTGGTCACCTCACCGGCGCCGAGCTTGTCGAAGTAGGCAATATTCTGGCGCAGGATAGCCTCCAGGTAGTGCTCACGGATCTTCTGAGTGACGTGTTCTCCGGTGTAGATGAAGCCAATAGTGCTGATGTAGACAGTCACGAACTCGGCAATACCGAGGTAAACGAAGTAGAGGACGTTCTTGCACAGATCATCGTAGAATGTGTCGTACGGGGTGGTACCGTATTCGATCCCTTGGAAAGAGGTGGTCAAGGAACCAAAGAGAATCTGTAGTGGTTAGCGCTATACAGGTCCATCTTAACCACACTACTCACAGTGAACAAAGGCAGAGCAGCACCCGCAGCAATAGCGCAAATTGCGCTGACCGCGAGAATGAGTAGATCCATCTTCGAGGCATATCGGTAGAGCCCAAAGAAGGAAATATTCACATGGGGTGCATCCAGCTGCTTCTTAAGGATCTCCTTTTCATGTTCCGGCAAATGCGCATAGAGAGCATCGGCATCTAGTGCCAAAGCGGTGTTGCTTCCTTTCTTGCTTTCATCCTTATCGTCCTTGGGCGCACTGGCGGAGAGAGTCGACCCGGAATCAAAGGTACGGTCGTGCTTTTCAATGTCGTCCAAGTCATCGTGATGTGTATTCGGGTTTGCGAGCACCTCGGAGGGGAGCTTTTCGAGCGGAATGGCAGCTTCTTCGGGTTGCTGCATCGCGGCGGTTGCGCGCGTTGGCTAGTTGTCGATAACAGGCCCACTTGTGGAGGTACTTCACTCCATGCAGAAATCGTTCGGGTATAGAGAGCGTGAGCAGATTAAGGGAAGATTAAAGTTGGAGGATTAGGGTAGGTAGGTAGAGATCGACGGGAAGGGGTTAAGGCAGAATGTAAAACACGAAAAAAATGAAGGGATGGAAGGAGGCAATTAAAAGTGAGCCTTTGGCCAGCTGTCAAATGATAAGAAATAAGCGATCGGACCAGCTACCGGCAAATAGTATACGGGAGGATTCAATCGACTAGATTTTGAAGGGAAAGAAACGGGGTTCGGAGAGTGGGCCGGGTGCTCCAGATTCCGGCTTGTTTATGCATACTGTACGCTTCGAACATTCCCTCCTGTCTCTCCAGGGCATGTAGGGGATCGTGCTCCTAACCGTTCAGCCCCTGATAAACACCTGCTGCCTCCTCGTGGTACGCGAGGAGTAGGAGTTTCGTGCATTATGCATTATGAATCTAGGTACGGAATACTTCGTACAGTCCAAAGTTTGGAGGTCACAAAAATTAGGCTCCGGGTGATACACGGTATGATCGAGGATCGTCCGAATTCTGCGACACTGAATGACACACTATGATGCGCCGTCCGAATACGAAGGTGGGTTTTCTGACTCACAGTACTGTAGTCGGGACCCTCACTTGACGCGGCCTCGGATCCTTGACTTGAATCTAGCAAAAAATCACTAGTGATAGAAGCGTCCTATGGAAGCCTAGAGATGACGGCCCACTGCAAGTCATTAAGCGATCCTCCACTCACAACCACTGGATTTGGCCCATGAACATCGGGTGCACGCTTTGGGCCAGTGCTCGGGGAGTCGGTGGTTCCATGTCCGGCCCCGTTGCTATTGATCCTGATCCTGATCTCGATCCTCATCCTGTAGTGGTACATCTCTAGGCACCACTCTGGTTAAAAGTTTGCAGTGGCCCGGGTCATACTAGGGTCGTCATGTAATCCCGCCCAGTAAAATCAGACTCAAACTTGTGACATAACCGTAGCCAAGACCTTTGACCGACACCGCCCCGTCGAGGGTATTGGTGAAAAGGTCTTTGGCTACGGTTACACAATGTGATACGAATTATGCTCGCCTCGGCCGGAATGCATGACGTGACGGACGAACACCGGACGAATTTGGTCCGTCCGGCTGGCTCCCAATCTGGTAGTTGCAGCCTTAGGCCAAGATCCTATTTTGAGGCACAACGTATTAACTAATTATGTCATGTAGTATTATGTCATCAAGTGGCCTCAGGCATGATATCATCACATGACCCAGCCGAAGCGAAGCCAAGCCCTGTCCGCACACAAACCATCCGCACCCCAAGGTCGAACTTCTCCCATCCAACCAGCTCGCCGTCGCGACCAAGCCATCAAGATGCCGGTTAGTGACACCACAATATCCCGACCTCTTCGACAACAGAATTATCCCCGCTGACTCTCCCTGCGTCCACAGAGCCACAAGACCTTCCGCACCAAGCAAAAGCTTGCCAAAGCTCAGCGTCAGAACCGCCCCATCCCCCAGTGGATTCGCCTGCGCACCGGCAACACCATCAGGTAAATCACGACTCGCTCTCGCTCTCGAAATGTTGGACCGGAAGGAAAAGAGGACGCTGGTTACCCCCGAACCCGACCGGTCCAACATATCGAGCAGAAAAAAAAAATTATTTCTTCGGACAAATCGACTAACAGGCATCCCACAGATACAACGCCAAGCGACGACACTGGCGCAAGACCCGCCTGGGTATCTAAGCGCATTCCAGGCCCGTCTATGCACCCATCCACGCCCTCAGATTCCGAATCGCCGATGTTGTGTTCGATATGAAGCTAGTTATGACGTGACGCCCGCCCCGAAAAGAATCTTCCAACCCTCGACTTGTGCGCTAGTGATGGACTACGCAAGTCTGCAACTGTTTCTCGGATTATTCGACAAGCCGATATCCGACTTGACTGTTTTTTCCTCAATGATTTTTCAAGGGATTGACGCCCACCGAGAGGCAGCGCATATGATATTATGAATGTTGGGTGGAATGGTTACGGGTGTTTGGGCAAGCATTCGCCGGAGATCAGGTTTCCGTTGGCGGGAGGGTTTTCTTTAACAAAAATCTGATGGAATTGAATTGACGTCCCTTTTGTCTTGCACTTCACTTGCACGGGCACTGCTGTGGCGCGCTTGTCGGTGTTTTCACGCTGGCAATGTAGACTGTAGATTGTCAGACTGTGCTATGTCATACGGTGTGGCCTGGGTCTTGGGTTGCTCCTCATGAGAGCCACATGTCCCTCGTGGCCCCTCGCATGAGAGTCGACCCTCTGGACCTCGACCCTACACCAAGTAGCCTGTGGTTAACGCACTTAGAACCACGGCCACTATTGTTTCGGCGTCCACCGGATCTCGGAGCATTCGTTTGTAGAAACATCGGTAACATCCCACGCCCGCTGACATGGTGCCATAATCACCTAGGCATCACCAACGCCAACGACCTCACCCACCAGTTTTCTATCGAAAGGTCCAGCCCTTCATCGCCCTTCAATCTGGAACCATACAGAAGCCTACGCTACCTTCCAAGTTTTGCGAAACGAATCTCAAACTTGAGAAAGGACATCCATGTTATGTGCGTCTCAAAATTGAGAACATCGCACATATTTTGTAAATATCTCAACCTGAAACTGGAACACCCAAAATATATCCGACGGCCGACGGTGCCGAGCTTACAAATGAATCGGTACATACCCAAAACTGATGTCCATATATTTCCTGCTGAACTAGATAACTCAACTTAAATATATTCCCGCATCGACCTATGCAGCCGGTCTAGGCCCGGTTCATAATTCCATGATGAAGAGCAAAGATAACCATGTCCTTTGGGGCTGCTAAGCAACTAATTTAATTGGAGCGCTAGGGTATCTTTTAATAGTTGGCTAAAATATAACACTCAAGTTCACACTCCCTGATTTTTACGCGATTTTTTCGAAACGAGAAGTAGTACCATGATCAGAATCATTAGATAGGTTCTTCTCTTTCGTTGCCTTCTTTTGTTTCTTTAAGGCCATGCATTTGCATATATGTGCTGAAAGTATCATTTGAAAGTGAATACCTATGGTGCTACATTCACGGCTTCGTCTACCGGCGATATACCATGACTGCATATGTCAATACATACTAAGACTTCAAATGTGATATATCCTTCGGCTCTTGGAGGTCTTTAAGATGCGGCGTCCATAGGACTCCGCGGGGATTCGGGAATGCACCATCAAGAACACTGGGAACCTTGGAATTGGTCCCGGTGTCAGGAGCATTGACATCTCCATATTGTAGGTTTGAATTGTAAGTGAAGCTCATTGCACAGACTCCACGGACTAACAAGACCTACAGGGCCATATCAAGTCCTGCAGATTCCTTCAGACTACTAAACAGACATCAAATAGCAAGATATGAATTCTCTAGCGAAACCCCCAGAGATACAAGATTTTGGAGAATGGGCTCTCGCAGCTCGCAGCTCGCAGCTCTCAGAGCAGAAAATGAAAAAGAAAAGCCGCTGAGCCTAACGCCATAAACAAGATCCCCATTCAAGGCCCCGGTCCTTTTACAGAACAGCTCGAATCGTCAGGTGGAAGAGTGGATTTTCATTCTTTGGGGGAATATTGGAATATCGTCAAAAAGGAAACATAATCGGGGCAGCAATCATGACAGGGACATTTAGCGGCTAGAGGAAGAGAGAGAAATTAGTGAAAAGTTCGAGGTAATGGAAGATTCGAAGGATGTCTTACTCCTCAGCCCACTCGTTCTCGCGACGGATTTGGTCCTCCTCCTCGGGAGTGAAGTCGTTCTGGATGTTGAACGTCTTCCGGATCTCCTCGGGGGACTTTCCTTTGATCATATTGGCGACAGTCTTGCAGCCGACGTCCAAAAGAGCCTTAATGTCGAGGTAGTTCGCAGCCTATAGGAGTCAAAGAGTCAGTCTTTGGTCCGTTTTCAGTATGTGAGGGTGAAGGTGAGGGCACGTACGAGAATGATCTCGAAGAGCATCTCCTGGTCCACCTGCATGAACTTCTGGTCCCACTCATCAATGTCGGTCGTCTTGCGGCGGTTATCGTCGTCATCACCGGCGGTGGGGGGATCGTTCTTGTGGTGCTCGCACCACTCGATAACCTTCTTGAGGACGGCCTCATTAACCTGCCAGGTAGTTAGTACTTGATGGTGTAGGGGTAACCACGAGGGAGACGTGCGTTAGGAATAGGGATGGCCTCGCCAGAGTCACCAAGATCCTCGAGCATGTTCTTGATCAAAATGGAGCGCTCAGCAACCGCGCGCTCTGTTCAGTGTTAGTTCTGAGCGACCACACTGGGGAACCTGGATGCGACATACCGACGGTGATTTCGACTCCATCGGAGCTGGTGAGGGTGATAGGAGCAGACATGACGGTGGTCTTCAAGTCAAGTCTAGATAAGTTGAGGCGTCAGAGTTGCGTGGAGCTTTAGACGGTGGGGAGGGGCCAAGCGGGCGGGGTCGGAGTTACGCGAAGGGTCTGGCAGAACTTACTAAAACAGTATGGGATGGGGTGCAACGAGAGATGTGAAAAGATGTGGGAGACTCAACGTTGTTAAGAAGACAGTGAAGGGGAGGAGGTTAACCAAGAGGAAAGGCGGTGGATGTCGAGGCTCTGCGACCTTTGAAGTTCGGGCCCCCAAAGTGAATCCGAGAGTAGTTAAAAGTAGAATGGTGCCTATTGCTACCTAGTCAATGTGTCATTATTGTCCTGGAATGTTCTAGCTCTTTTTCGCTTTGATGGGGCCTAGTTTTTAACTACGTCTCAATAGTGCATTTTGGGTCATACCATGCTCAATACAGGCCGTGCAGTGCCGAATTGGGGAAAATAGATTGTAGAATATCCACAAATGCGCTTTTCTTTAATTCTGTATAAGAAATCAATAATAAACATGGATCTAGCGCTATACGAACATATTCTTTGGTCTCGTATTAAAAACTGACAGGTCGGCATGACAGGAGGTACGATTTACAGTGTACAGGGTAGACGAGACTAGTCGCGAGTGATATCATCGCAAATAAACCAACGCGTCTTTGCTTTTTTTTCCCCTGTCCGATCTGACAACTTCCACTCTTTCCCTGGAACCTTTTCTTTCGTTGATTTCAAGCATGTTATGCCTCTAGAATCATGTGGCGACGTACCTATCTGTTTCTGCTGCTGCTCCGTGTTTACTTCGCGCTGTCGCCCAGCTACCTGCACCCCGATGAGAATTTCCAAGGCCCGGAGGTCTTCGCCGGTAAGCCTACAATGCGCTTCCCTTGCGACCTTGACTAGTACATATTTGCGACGCGCTTGGCCTTCGTTCTTGGCGATCATCAGTAGCGCGCGCCGCGACAGCTCATGGATCGCGAAATGTCGCGACAGCCTCATCTGAAGAGCCCGCTAACCCAACCACCACAATTAGGCCGCATATTCTCCTATCCCTCGAGCCTACCATGGGAATTTACCTCCGACCGACCCATCCGAAGCGTGTTCCCATTATGGCCAACCTACGAGGTGCCGATGAGCATACTGAAATGGTTCTACACGGAGATCGGGTCGGGCAACCCACCGCCACAACTGGTGTACTACGTTCTGCGCGGGGGGATGTTTCTGCTGAGCTTTGTGCTAGAGGACTGGGCCGTGTATGAGCTGGTGCCGTCACCCCGCCACCGTCGTGCGACAGTGGTCCTGGTCGCCTCGTCGTATGTCACCTGGACATATCAGACGCACACTTTCTCCAACTCCCTCGAGACGCTGTTGGTGGCCTGGGGGCTAGTTCTGATTCGCCGCATTGCTGAGAACAAGGTCCGCTCCGTTATGCAGCTATGAAAGGGTTGTCCAACTGACTTGCTGCAGAAACGATCGTCGTTCTTTTCCTATGCTGTGCTCTCATTCATCGCTGTTGCTGGAGTCTTTAATCGCATTACCTTCCCGGCATTTTTACTCTTCCCGGGTTTGCAATTAGTGCCCTACTTCCAGCGCAAGTGAGTATCTCAGTTCTTATCATTTCAAACATGCACACACTGACCATAACAGACCGACATCCATTCTCGCCTTGGTCGGCTTCGGCGCCCTGTTCGCTTCAATAGCGATATACACCGACACGGCCTTCTACAGACCCTCCACCTCCTTCATCGAGAACATACGCAACCCAATCATTACTCCTCTAAACAACATCCTCTACAACACCGACGCATCCAACCTCGCAATTCATGGCCTCCACCCCCACCACCAACACTTCCTAGCAAACCTCTTCCAACTCCTCGGCCCAGCCTATATCGCCATGATATTCTCCCTCTTCAGCTGGCCCATCGTGCCAACCTGGATGCGCAACGCGCGTGCCCTCTCCGCCGTCTCCGCAACAGCCATCCTCTCCATCTTCCCCCACCAAGAACCCCGCTTCCTCATCCCCTGCGTCCCCCTTCTCCTAAGCTGCATGCGCATGCATCGCTCGCGTCTCTTCCTAGCAACATGGATCCTCTTCAACGCAGCCATGGGCTTCCTAATGGGAATATACCACCAAGGTGGGATCGTTCCAGCCCAACTCGCAATGCGCGGCATCGTCGAGTCCAACACCTTATCCCAAGGTGTAAATTCAATGCCCGAGGCCTCTGTCTTCTGGTGGAAAACATACTCTCCACCGCATTGGCTTCTCGGCGCAGATACCAATGCCACTCACATCGACACCTTCGATCTAATGGGTATGCCAGGTCTTGAAATGATCACCGCTCTTGACAAGGCTGTTCCCCGCTGCGCTACAACTTCTCCAGTATACCTCGTCGCACCGACATCAGCTTCATTCCTGGATGATTACATATCCCCCTCTTCCCTCTCGGAACCTCATTCCCCGAATCTCCAGCTCTACCGCCTGTGGACACATCGCAAACATCTAAACCTAGATGACCTCGACTTTGGCGACGATGGTGTTTTGAACACTTTAAATCGTGTCGTAGGACGCCGTGGTCTAGGTGTGTGGTCTGTTCGACGAGCGTGTACGTGAGTGAGCAGAGGTATCGACTAAAACATTCTTTTCATTTGGGCTTCGGTTGGGTAATTATAACATTTTATTATAACATTTATTGGCGGGACTGATACCTCTTGTATTCTTTGTTGTTATTGCTTTGAGACACATAGTCTCGGGTTTGGCTCATCTGGATGGGTTGCATGAGTTCGAATTAGATTATTTCAATGTTTGCATTTTTTTTTTATTACGTTGGCTGTAAGATACATCTCTCTTAGATTCTGAATATAAATACCTCATAGCATTGATCTGAGGATTTTCAGCTCGTGATATCATTAGGTTCTTTTCATTTGCTGGATTTCAAGGTTGTTGTGCTTACTGTGGAATGGTGGTCCTGCTGACCCGAAAATATATACAGGATCTGCAGGATAAAATTGGTGATGGTGAATTCGCCACAGCATTTAGATTTGTATTGGACGTAGATAAGACGGACCCTAAATAACCGCTTCCTGAGAAATTAAATGTTCCTTGGTTATTCAACTCGAGTACTTGGAAAGTTGATTTTGAAGTCACGCGAAACATGGGATTTATGGCGCCTGCGTAACTAGTTACTTCGTAAAGATTACCTCATCCGTCAACCTGGTAACAACTCCAGAGATGGAATGACTTCTTTGAACAAGCTTTCATAAATTCCAGGATCCCAAGCTTCATATTCAAATAAGAAGGCCTAAATGCCAAGTATTGAGACACATGTGTAATAGTCGACACCCGGTCACTTGTCCAGACCGTATGATCCCACCGGCGCACTGACCCCAGACCCCGGACCCAGACCCAGCCACTGAACAAGCAAACACAAGTCAAAGGTTCTGGGGGTTGTGCCCTTCGCTTTCTGATATCTGTCGTGGTACAATATTCCAATCCTGTCGTACAAGGCCAAAGATAAATCTACACGTAGAAAACCACAGCGAAAACGTCCCATTTTACCCATTAAGTTAAGTACATGACAAGTCGTTTCGAGGAGGAGCCGAAGCCAGATGCATTGACATCCATGCCCAGCAAGAAGAAACCGAGGGTGATCGGGATCAAGAAAACAGGGGAAGGGGGATCTGCCGCAATAGCAGTATGCTTGGTATTCATCAAAACATAAGAGAGAAAAGAAGAAGGGATGGGTAACGGTAAACGTTTACTCCTCGTCTTCGTCAGGCTGGTCGAAGAGGAAATTGGCGGCAAGTTCCTCGTTCTTATCGCAAGCGAAGTATGCCTGGATGACGGAGTCGCGGGGGAAGCCAAGACGGCAGAGCTAAGGGAGTTAGCTTTGAGTTGAAGGTAGGGTTGCAGAATGGTGACTTACACGCTCGATGGCATCCCGCTCCTCCTCTGTGACTGAGATGGCTTGCGTGCCGGGGGGCAGCTGGCCTTCCTCATCCTCGCCGAGATCCTCGCTCAGTAGCTGCAGGAACTGCTCCGAGTTCTGGCCAATCATCGCGGCAATCTGAGGGTTGCCTGCTGCGACCTGCTGCAGGATGGGCTCGAGCATGTGCGGTTGCTGCTGGACAAGCTGGCGAAGCTGCTGGAAGTGGGGGTTATTGCGCAGGAAATCCAAGTTGCCTAGAGCTTCACCCCCACGGCCACTGCGGCCACCACCCTCGCCGGCCTGAGCAGCAGCTTCAAACATGTTGAAACCGCCATCCTCACCAGCACTAGCGAGCGCGGCGGCGGCAGCGGCAGCAGCATCCTCGTTGTCAGAGTCAGCACCACGTGCTGGGGTCTCCTCTTGTTGCGGCTCTTGCGCGGGTTGATCGGGGATACCCTATAGCGAATGTTAGAAAAGAAGATATGTGCGGGAGCTTTTTTTTTTTTTTTTTTTTTTTTAAAAAAAAGAAAGAAAAACCTACACTCAGGAGATATTCAATCGCACGATCCGGGTTGAAAAATGCAGCTCTCATAGCACGCTCGGCATCGGCCCTGGCGAATCCCATGTTCTCCATCTGGTTGATTGCGTTCTCCGCGTCAGTGCCCATGGTCAACGCGGAAGGATCGCCAAAAGCGGGCTGGTCGCCTGCGCCTGCGCCAGCCGGCGTAGGGGTCGCAGGAACAGCGGGAGTCGAAGCAGCCGCAGGGGCAGCAGGAGCAGGGGCAGCGGGGGTGGAAGCGGGGGCTCTGGCAGCAGGAGTGGAGGGAGCCTTGGAGGCGGAGGCGGCGGGCTTAGGACCCTAGTACGATGAGTATATTTCCAGGATGTATCTAGCTTGAAGATTCGTACCTTGCCGGGCAAGCAGACCAAGAAATCCTTCTCTTGAATGCTGTAAGACTCAACCGTCTTGTCATCCTGCAGAATCTTGCCTGTCCAGGAAGCAGGTTAGCTGTAGCTCCTCGAGCAAGCTCTCTATCTTTGTATCTCGTGGTCACATACCAGAGTAGATGACTTTCATCCGCTCCGCATCATATTCGCCCTTTTCTTGAGCAATCTTTGCTTTCACTTCTCTAACCTGCGGGCACGAAATTGATCAGCCCCGCACCAGTGGCGTCGGGTTAAATTCAGCGGTAAATTATCACGTACAGTCTCAGAGGGCTCGACATCGATCACGAATTTCTCTTGTTTCAAATCCTATAGAGAGAGAGAGAGCGAGTGTCAGCGGTGTCTGTCTGACACAAAAGGTGTTGATTGAGGGTGTCAAGGATGGTAGGTTGACGAATGACGGACCTTGAAGGTGAGCTTCATTTTGCCGAGTGCCGCCGGGGGAATAGATGGAGGGCGGTAGAATCTAAGGGATGGCGAGATGGAAGTAGAGATTCAAAGAGGGAGAACAAGGATCAAGAGGGGCGCCGAGCAGGAGAGACGATGATGCAGTAAACGAGATGCCTGAGGCGGGTAGTTGCCTCACCGCCCCACATTGATGACCGGTTCTCTTCATCCTGTTCACGTCTGGAGTACTTGGGAATTGTCTTTTCCGAGAATCGCTGTCGTTACTATAGGAGTCATGCTATCGGCGGGGATATTGAAATGGGGCGAATCTCCGTGATCCTGTTTGTCTCGTCCATTCTTGTGCGCCGTCATCGAGCCCCAAGGTCCGCAAGGTCATGATGAAAGACCCTTTTCAAGTATCAGGGTGGCAAAGCACAAGGATCGGCAAGAATGATATCGTTCTGACACTCAATAAAGGGCGTTCTGGGTTAGCCTCGCTTACAGCGTATCCGAGCTCGAGCTGAGATTGCAATGCAGCCACTTGATCAAGCATGGGCACGGACAAGCTCTCCCGCACACGGGACAGACATTTCTTATGAGGACTCGATCTGGAATCCGTACACCAGCTTGACAAATTATAGCAGTCAATCTCCCCAGTGATCAGCCCTGTCATTACGTGGGATCCGATTGGCGGTCCTAGGAACGAGACTTTTGTACTTTGCATCTACAGTACATGTCCTTCCCAGGACCTGGTCATCGATCACTCGTAGCCACTTAGCTACCTAGTCACCTACACGTAGCTAGCCCCTGTGGACCCAAGATCCCTTCCTTAAAGGCGACCTGCGAACTACCATACTACGTAGAAAACCCAGGGGAACGGAAGATTTTAGCCGAGTGATATATCACATCCCGGAGATCGGACAGCGACCCGCTCTGATGGATCGAATAGATAGTTTCAGCTAGCGGCTCGACTGACAGCACTATGGAAAACCAGGGTCTGGCCTTTTCATCTATTTCGCGGGAATCAATCTCCACTTATGTACCTGTACGCCGGCACTACGATATATCAATTCCTGACGTACAGTAGTTCACAGTAGTTCCTGAGCCGGATCCTCGATTCCCACCCCGATCTGCTAATCCCCAGACTCTATCTGCTGTCCCGGGTTGACGGATCAGATCGAATCGAAGGATCCTGCAGAAATATGATCTGTTGACACGGCTTATCCGTAGACTTTGAGCCACGCTGCTCTCTTCGCCCCGTTCCGCGGCCCACGCGAACTATGCTGGCTCATAAATATGAGTTGCCCCCAGGACCTGCAGATGATATTTCTCTCGAAGCCATAGGCCTCTTGCCTGCCCATAGACGCATTCATTTCGCGTGAAGTGGCTTGATATCAACTCATTCTTTCAATTGATATCCTGTCAGTGTGCTTCCATTCTTTTGAACCTCGGGACAGTTCATTTCACTCTCTAAGCATGTCTGCTACCATGTTTTATTGTCTGGCTGCGGCCGCCGTCCTTTCCACTTTGATTTTCACGATTGTTAGTGGTGTTGCTTATGCCACCTTACTCTCTTTATCCTCCCACGTCTCCGGACTCCCTCCTCTCGCCCTCGGTGCTATCAGCTGTGTAGCATTGATTGGCCTCAGCATTCTTTTGCATAAAGACGTTCGAGGAAATCAACCATGGCCTGTCTGGAAGACAGGGATTTTCGGCTGCACGGGTGTATACCTCCTCATCGCCGATGTATCTTCTGCAGGAACCATGGTGGCCAACCTGCCTTCACCTTCAGGCATATGGATCGCCCGCTCAGTCTTTGGGGCCATCGCATTCCTTATGCAAGGCCTATACTTTGGATATCTTCTGGGACAATTGACGCAGAAGAAGCCCGATCCAACCTGGCCAAGTTCCTTATCCCAAGAGCTCAAAACACTCCCCGAAAGCCCCATCTCGATCGCAACTCCATCAGCACCATATGATCCCCATTCTAGAGTAGCAGGGATTGACACCAGAAGATCCTCTCTTCGCAAATTCCCTCGACGATCCAACCGCTACTCAGGCGGGACACTATGTCTCCAAGACTCGCGAGAAGCCAAAAACGAATCATTTGACACGGGCTCCTCTCTCTCCTCCCCAGAACAATCACCAATTCAAGACCAGTTCCTCATCGAACGAGACACCCGACCTCTCCTCCAAGGCGGCAGCATCCGCAGTATGCCCAGCCTCCGAGCTGAAAGAATCCAACAGTCCCTCGACAACCTAGTCTCCCCCTCTCCAACAGCAAGCACATTCAACCTGGACTCCCCCTCTCAATCCACATTGAACTTGAGCCTGCTAGAGCGCGAGCACAACATCCACCCCCTCTTCCGCTCCACCAGCCCATGCCCATCCCCCACACCCACATTGGGGACCATGGTGAAAGGCTCCCCGTCTGCCGGACAGACAATTACCAAAAATACATTGACGCGGATGCGATCCGCGCGCTCCTTGCGCGAGCTGAATATGCGCACTCCCTCTCCGCTACCGGAGAGCAGGCCCGAGCTCGTGCGCCAGGACTCGGGATCTGGGTTGTCCTTGAGCTATGTGAGGCGAGCAGAGAAATACGAGAAAAGATTTTATTTGAATGAATCGCCGGAGGAGAGGTGATTCAGAGACTCAAGCGTCAGTTGATGATTGGTTTACGTGTAATGATGTGTGTACAAAGGTGGTGTTTTGTGAATATGGGAATAGGAATATCATGGGATGGATTAGTTACAATGAATTTGGCAATTCCTACAGCATTGAATGACTTGGGCCATAGAAACCGGAATAGTACAATGGTAATTGGTGCTTTAGGAGTTAGCCGATTGTGGTCAGCCCGTGGCTCGTATACCAAGCCCGGGGCCGTCTGTGGGATGAAATGGCCGCGTTCGTCGACCTGGAGTGGATCAGGATACCTGGGATATGCAGTAGAGGGGTTCTAGTTCTAGTTCTAGTTCTAGCTCGAGTTCTAGTGAAGAAACAGACATATATTAGAATTTAAGTTATCGAAGATGGAATGTAGAATCGAAGAAAGATCGAGGCATAGTATGTGCCTAGTCATGAGGGTGGGCCAACGTAGACGCGCGGGAAAAATCACCGACCAGGTAATCTGGTAATCCTCTCTTTACTCTTTACTCTACTTTCCCTCCCTTTTCTACTTTCTACTTTCTACTTCGATTGCTGCTTTCTACCTGCTTTCTTCCTTCTGCATTCCTACCTTCTCCATTATTCCTACTCTGTTCATCTCTACTCGCGTCATTGTGCCCTTGCGTCCCATCCCATTCGCGCGCCACTCCACCCGGGGCTCCAGTCAAATCCTGCGCCCCGAGTAGATCCTTCCCAACCTCTTTTACCATCTCAGCGACCCTAATCTTATTCTCTTCTCCCATCGCGGCATCTTGCCAAAGGTTAGTCTCATTCTTGTACCTGATCCTGGGCTTCCGATTCCTCTCCTTTTACCCGCCCGCTTCCCCCCGGCCTTGTTTTCCATCCCCTGTCCCTTTCCCTACTTCCCTAGTGGATCGCGTGTCCCTCTACTTAACTCTACTCTCTACTCTTGTAACTCCAACCCATCTTTGGGGAGGCGATTGTTTCATCCGAGACGTCGTCTTCATCGTCTTTCATTCATTCTCCTGTTTTCACCATCTCTTCTCATCACAGTCTTGTTTTTTCGTCCATTTCATCAACCCCTTGTCCATTTCATCTCCCATGTCCCCACAGCGCATTTCATGATTGATTTGTCCGTGTGTTGACCGGAAATTATTTCTCGTTCCGTAATTCTTTCTCCGGGTAACTGACTCCACAAAGACGACAGCGATGGTGGGCAGAAGAGGCCGCAGAGCCACCGCAGGGCCTGCCATTCACTCCAGTCCGGCCACGCGATCTTTGCGCAATGCAGCCGGTAATTTATCCTCTCAAGTCATTTGATTTTAAGTACTCATTTCATTATAGACTCTGCACCAGCCCCGATTGCTACTCCCACACGCGGCCGTGGTCGTGGTCGTGGCCGTGGCCGTGGCCGAGGGAGGGGCCGCTGGGCCGATCACTGGACGCGTAGAGCGAGTATGCCAGGGCGAGTTACCACAGAAGAGAGCCCCCCGCCCAGCGAACCTGAAATGCGTTCGCATATTATCAAATTTCGAGTAGGAACTCCTGCTCTTCGCAATCTGCAAAATGCATCTGCCGATGCCACAGAGGACGCTGAGACGTCTCATACTTCCCCCTCGAGCACTCCTGAGGATTCGCAGAATCCCGAGACTCCCCGCGTGCGTCGATCTAAGAGGGCCATGGCTGTTCCTGAATCATCACGTACTACTCGGCAGTCGGCTAGGTTCAAACCTTCCGATCTGGCCGACGACACTCCGGAGAAATCCGTTGATGCTGATGACACCGAGGATGAAGGCTATTCGCCTCACATAGAAGCCCATGATGAGGATTTCGATCCCCTGCCTCGTATCAAGAATGCTTCTCGAACTCCTGAGCCTGCTCGGCATCCAAATGTCCGATATCAAACCGATGAGGATCACGAGATTGCTGATTCCGGCTCTGCAACGTACGCTCATGATAGTCTCGATGAGCCACCTCGTGGCATGTTTTCTCCGCGTTTCTCACGCAAACGAAAATCCTTCGAAATGAAGGACGAAAGCCAGGACTCGGAGTCCTTCGGTATATCGGAAATCGCCAACAAGAAGCCCAAGATTGAAGAAGATGCTGAACCTACACCCGAGAGTGCCCTGCAGAACGGCAGAGAAAGTGGATCTCTTTCTGACAACACCGTCGACGTTCCCGTTGAAGACATTCCTCCAGTAGTCGCTCCCGCCCGAGGCCGAGGCCGAGGACGCGGAAGTCGTGGTGGCTGGCGCGGACGTGGTCGGGGTCGAGGTCGTGGACGCGGCAGTCGAGGCGGTGCCATTGGACCTATTCGATCGACTGTTGTTCGCGCACGCGGTCGAGGCCGAGGCCGGGCCCGGGCCTCAGCAGCCGCACTCCGACGCGGTGGCAAGAGAATCGAAGATGAGATCTGGGATAGCGAGAGCCGTCGACGATCCCCTTCGCCCATTCCAATTACGCAGCCGATTAAAGATCGACAGGAGGAGCTCGCAGCACTGTTCAAGAAGGTTGGACAGGCACAGCAGCTTGCACTTAGTGTGCTGGCAGATCATTCCATGACGAAAATTGTGCGAGACAAGTTCGCCCATCAGGACTGTCCCGAGTTTGTGCAGGTCCAGAAGGAACTTGCCGATTATGAGCGCAAGGCGTTGAATCGGTACCGCGAGCAATACGACTTGAAGGTTGATAGTGCAGAGAAGGTCTACGGGGGGGAGGTCTTCAATATTACGGAACGAGCGAGGGTGAGCTCTTCTTTGTCTGCTGTGCCAGACATGTCTAACCGTTTTCAGTTGCAAATTGGAGAAATCAAACAGGAAATGTTCCATGCAGCCCGTGGCAAGTACATGGAGCTGGTCGTGGGCCGTCAGGCAGCAGAAGATGATGAACATACGGAGGTGAGCATACATCAAGACAATCTAAGTGGATATCGGCTAACTTTCCAGACTGACGGTTCCGACCCCGATGCCGAGGAGCCACAATATCTCTTCAGAATCGGCAAGGCCGGCCTTAAAGAGGTCGCGCGCGGGTATGTCGCGGAAGCTGTTCGTATCCCCGACGGTGCGGCTGCACACGAACGCGGAGCCAATATGTGGGAGGACTTCATCAAGAAGGTCCAACTGGGCGAAGACCTCAACCCACAGATGCGTGCTCTGGATGGAATTGTAGAGCAATCGGTCCAGGAGAATATCGAGCGATCTTTAGAGACTCTCCTAAATGCCGTCCAAGTCATCTGCGATCAAGAAAATGGCAAGGTCCAAGACACATCACCCAAGGCCTTGTCAATGCTGGCCGATACGGCCCTTGCCGAACCGCCCACTCCGCATCTCCCGCAGATGCGCACCGATCCGAATATGCAACATTCCCACCGTGCACTCCTCCCCACGCCCTCGCAAGTTCAGCCTCCGCATCCGCCTCCGCCCCCCGGCATGGCGCATGGCCCCACCGATCCCCGGTCTTTCATTCTTCCTCGACCTTCCCCAATTCTCTCTCAGCCTCGTCATCTCCTCCCAGCGCGCGGGCAACTTGGCCTGCCGGATCCATTCTCCATGAACGGACCTCCGCAGCTGCCGCCGCCCCCGGGCTCGAACTTCCGCAGTCTGCCTCTCCCCAATTATCTTCCTCCCCCTGGACACCCACAACAACCGGGACCTCCAGGCCCAGGCCCGATGTACTATCCACCACCGCATGGGCATGGACACGGGCCACCACCTCCTCCACCTCGTCGATACTGAGGTAATGCACATGCATGTGCAGTATCGCCCGCGAGCTACCTACTAAAAATGTACCATTACCATCAGGACGAGGGAACCTGAGCCCGATTCCCTCAGATGTACTTTACTTCTCGTCTTTCAGCGTCGGCGTTTGTCCCCTTGGGGATCAGCCGGTCCCAGATACCTCGGTCATTTTGGACCAGCCATAGCAGTCTTCTCCTTGCCAGTCCTCCTTGCCGGATTCTTCGTAGTCACCACGCGTGATTGCATGCAGTCAGTAGCCAACACAGCCACAATGTCCATACTTAGCGCTGATAAACCACCCGTCAACATGAGACAGGATGAGTCAAAAAGTAAGCAAGTACCGGTACACTTCCCACCACACAAAATACCACACACACAAAGTACCAGTACATGGCAATCCTCCCAGCCCCACCGCGGCGGGGCAGCTCCTTCCTGAGCCATGATTGGTCATAGCTTTTGCTCTTTTTCACCTGCATCCCACTTCTTTTAAAAGTCCATCACCACCGCTGTATCCTATATCCCACGTACCCGGATATTCTCGCGCACTTCTCCAGTGCGCTCACTAGAATTACCACCCCCCCTCGACACCGTTACCTCCATACACTCCGCCATGGCTGTTCGCGCGCAATTCGAGAACTCGAACGAGTAAGCGCCCTCTCCATGAAGACCAAAAAGATAACCTGCTAACCGATGCAGGGTCGGCGTCTTCTCCCGCCTGACCAATTCCTACGCTATCGTCGCTGTTGGTGGCTCCGAGAACTTCTACAGGTATGTCCATGTCCATGTCCATGTCCATGTCTCGGATAAACGTTTCGATCTGGATTTGAAATCGAGACAAAAAAAATAATTATCTCGGATCACTGATCCTAACTACCAAATAGTGTCTTCGAGTCTGAGCTGCAGGATATCATCCCCATCTGCCATGCTACTATCGCCGGTACACGCATCGTCGGTCGGTTAACGGTCGGGTAAGAGACTTTCCCTATTCCCCAACCCAGAGCCCAGCTCCAGCTTCAACCAAAAGAAGAAAAAAAAAAAAAAAAAAAAAAAAAAAAAGGAGTCAACGTCAAAGCAAAACCAAACGACCAAAGCTAACTCTGACAAAAAAGAAACAAAAACGGTCTCCTCGTCCCTACAACAACAACCGATCAAGAACTCCAACACCTCCGCAACACCCTCCCAGACAGCGTCAAAATCCAACGTATCGAAGAGCGTCTCTCTGCCCTCGGCAATGTAATCTGCTGTAACGACCACGTGGCGATCGTGCACCCCGATCTCGAGCGCGAAACGGAAGAAATCATCGCCGACGTCCTAGGCGTCGAAGTATTCCGCCAAACAGTCGCGGACAACGTCCTGACCGGTTCGTACATGTCATTGTCGAACCAGGGTGGAATTGTTCATCCCAAGACATCTGTTCGGGACCAGGATGAGTTGAGTTCCTTGTTGCAGGTTCCTCTTGTTGCGGGATCCGTGAATCGCGGTTCGGCGGTGGTGGGTGCTGGTATGGTTGTTAATGATTGGCTTGCTATTACGGGCTTGGATACTACTGCGACTGAGTTGAGTGTTATCGAGAGTGTGTTTAGGTTGGGTGAGATGGCGCCTGGCGGTGCTGGTGCTGGTGTTCACAAGGAGAGTATTGTGGAGTCTTTCTACTAGGTGCCTTGCCTGGTGGTTTGATCCTCATACTTGACTTTGAACGGGGTTCTTTTTTTTTTCTGTCTTATGCTTTTGTTATGCTTTATGAGGCTATTTTCAGTGTGTGGATTGCATTTTATGGAATCTGGCAATGATTTGATGACTTTGATTTGTTTTTGCTTTTGTAATTTGTAATTTGTAATTTGTAATTTGTAATTTGTAATTTGTAGTTTGTAGTTTGTAGTTCTGATGTAGGTAGCTGTATCCAAGTGTATACATAGATGTAGGTGTACATACAGAGGTAGATGTAAACGGAGAATTGTGTCTACTTACAATCCTTGAAATGCTGAACAGATCTTGCATGTTACATGTACAGAAGAATGAAAACTATACATTGGACCAACTCCATGATTGCAACTATCGATCGGGGTATTGAGTTATGCTTCAAAAATACAAGTTAGAAAGAAAATATTAGACACTCGAAGCTAACTCCCACCCAACCGGGTAAAATGCTCCTCTTTTCACCCCGACCATTCCATGGCCCTTTCATTCTCGCTTAGAATTTTTGCTGTCGTCAACTAGACTTCGTTCTCTATCTCCATCTGAGATGGTGACTGGGACGGGGGCTGGGACTGGGACTGGGACTGGGACTGATCCGGCTTCATGTTGGCGGAGCCTGGTGACTCCGGAGGAGGTGGTGCAGGTGGAGGGGTGAGATCGTCGGCCTCTAGTTCTCTGGACTCGGAGTCGCCGGAGTCCGGCGGTGGTGGTGGCGGAGGGGGAGGTGTGGACTTTTGTCGTTTCATCGGGGAGTTGGAGCCGTCACCGGAGGGGTGGAGTTGTTCTTCTTCACGCTTGCGTTTGAGGGTTGCGTCCTCCTCCAGTGGGGTCGAGGTTGGCTCGGCGTCGGCTTCGTCGTCGGACATTTTGACGTCTTCAGGCGGGTTGGCTGGGTTGCCGTTGGTCTTGGACGCCTGCTTTGCAGCCTTTTGCTTCTCGCGTTCCTTCTGCTTGGCGGCGGCCTTGTCAAAGAAGGATTTGCAGTAGCTCTTCACCGTATGTTGGTGTTTCTCGCTGATTGGGGCGGTGGGATCGGTTACACGCTTCTTTTTGTAGTCGCCATCGACGAGCTTTTTGGAGGTCTGCTTGCTGTTAGAATGAATCATAGCAGGGACGGAGAAAAGGGGACGTACGTCTTTGGCGAACCGCTTGAGATGGTCCTTCGGGATTTTGTGCCTGTATTGGTCACTGACCGACTTGATGTGAGGGAATAACTAGGCATGTGAGCTTTGTGCCTGCAAGACGTGCCGCAGATAGACTTACAGTATTCTCATAGACCTTCATCTGCTTCTCAATGGAGAGCTTCTTCCACCAGTCACCCTCCTGTTTTTTCTTCTCTGGCTGTTCCGACGGTTGGGGTGTATCAGGTGTCTCGGTCTTTTGCTCAGATGGGGTCTTTTCTTGCGCACTCGCATTGATGATACCGTCGATAATGTCTTGCAAGCCCTTGATCTTCTTCGGGACCTGAGGCTCAACGGGTGTTGCAGGGGCAGTCGGTCTGTCCCATGTGGTGTCACCCTTGGCCGTGTAGTAGTAGGTTCTACCATTAGCATCTGCGGGGAACCATCCCGGCGGCAAAGGCTGTTGTTGACGCCCACGCCGGTTTTGTTGTCGGTCCCGCTGATTTTGTTGTTGGCGGTTGCGAGACCGCTGTTGAGATGGTCCACGCGGGGCTTCATATGTAGGAGAAGGCGAACGGGTGGCTGTGCGTTGACGTTCGCGTCCAGGATCGCGACGCTCGAAGGGGTTGTGCTGCTTGGGCTGGTCACCAGGCTTCATGCGCGGGATGCGATATCCCAGCTCCAAGTTGGCCCAGCTCTCCAGCAAGACAATTGCCTTCTTTGCCACACGTTCATCCTCGCTGGTGGTCAGAGGCTGAATCTTCGACTCAATCTTGGAGTCATTGATCTTGTTGCGTGTGAGCCGTGGAAACTTATCCAGGATGTCCAGGATCTGCAGCATCACGTTCTGATCTTCCTTCCACATTGCGAGTTGGGAGTTCAGGATTTGGTAACCGTGCATCTTCACGACACGATTCCGGACCCGTTCATCCTCACAGCGCTGAATACGACCCAGAAGCTTGACGGCAATCCACTTCTCCTGACACTGCATGAGAGCGGCCATGACCTTGGTCACGCCATCTTCATCCAGGGACTTGGCCTGCACGCTGTCCACATACTCCTCGTCGTCTTCCTCGGTCTTCTTCTTCTTGGGGCGACGCGCCACCACCGTATCCCAGCTTTCAGAATCATCAATACCGAGAGCCTCGATTGTCGCGTTCGAAAGCTTGGTAGCACGCTCAGTCTGGGTGCGTCCGCCAATGAAACCTGTGCAGTTGGGCTCCCCGCAGTAGCAAGGTTGGGGATCCGCACCGTACCGATCCACATTGTAGTTGAAGACGAGCTCTTCGCCCGCTTGGACCGCCCGCTCAGCGAAAATTCCCATACGCAACTTCTCGCCCACGACCCATTTATCGACATAGCAATTGGGATTGCAGGAGTGGTTGCAGAATCGACCCAGATTGCCTCGCCTCGTCGCATCTACGAACTCGCCCTTGTTCAGGGACATGAAATAAAAGTGTTTGATGCCCTCTTCGTCGTACTGTCTCGTCCGACGCCGGAACTGTTGCTCTCCGATCACCTCTCCCACGTACTCGAAGATCAACTGGTGGGGGTCGAGATTCGTTTCCGCCCGGAGTCCGAATCCTTTTTTATCCGTTTTGATGACCGAGACCTTCGCGTATTGTTTCTTCTGGAACCGCTGATTCTGACAGTTTTGACCACAGCCGCAGTCGCCCACGCACTCGATTTTGGTCGCGCGGTTGATGCAATCGGAGTCCTCGCCACATGCCGGATTCTGTTCGGTGTGCATGTCTAGAGATCATTGGTTAGTGTCGTCGCCCGAAGAGACGTGCGAAATTATTGCGTAGGGATAAGGAGAACTTGAGATGACCTACCCCACTCGTCAGTGCAATCACACTCCATGGCATGCTCGGTGTAGCCCATGTATTTGTTAGCATACCAGCAAGCCTCGATTTGTTCGAAGGAGGCCAGCGCGTCGGCAGTGCTGTCTGGCAAGTGAGACCATAGCTGCGGCGGACGAGACACGACCTTTTGAGACGAGCTGCGCGAGAGTTTTGGCGGCTGTCCCGGCTCCTGCTTGACGACAATTTCTCCGCCAATAGTCTCCTGTTCTTCCTTCATGCCTGTATCGGTGTCGGGGGGTTGCTGTCGGGCGAGTGAGAAGACATCGCGCGAAGGCCATTTTTGGCGTCGCCGTTGACCGGAGAATGCAGAGCTGCCTCGGGGTCATGCGAGTCCGCGCTGCCATGGGCAGACATGACGACACGGACTACGAGGGAGAAGAATGCACGTAAAGAGAAAAAAAAAAGGTAGCGAGCGAACGTAAGGAGAACGCTAAATTGATTGGGATATTCCTAAACTGAGGCGCGCTCTCACCGCCCGATTTCACCAACGTGCCTGACCGCCCGCACTCTCACCGCCCACGAACCGCGTTCTGTAAGAACAAGGACGCCGCGTCGTGCGTACGGTAGAAATGAGCCATAGGTCATGTAGTGAGTCGTGAAATGACATCCATGCGTCCGTCTGGATCATGTCCTCGGGCTGTTTCCCCCGGTGTGATGCAAGTTGATCTTTGGGATAGCTGCCTATCATTGTGTAGGGTAGATCGGCACATTCTTTTACCCCGTCAGCACGACTCGCCGAAGCAGCGACGATTTATGAGTCTGGGCCGTCAAGCAGGCCCGTGGGAATGGTATAGCGGAAGATGCGCGGCATCTGCAGGAAGTCAAACAAGCGGAAAACGATAGGGTGAGACGGACGAACAACAAACCCCTGCAGGGCCACGTCCATCGCGGGCAGCGACTTGCAGTTGGCCGTTGAATTCGGGCGGGAAAGGATTGGCTGTGACGATGAGACGATGAGTTGCAGACTGCAAACGGCGTCTGTGCGCGATATAGACTCGGCGCGATAGCATATCTATTCTATTGTATGGGTTTGGGTGATTAGCCTATCTACTTTAACTACGATCTAAACAGCTGGTCACCTGCGGGGCTCACATTCTCTCCCCCAGGTCGAGGTACATCGGAGAACACATGCTCACTCTGTATCTCGATATTCTCTCACTACTTAGCGAGTCCTACATGCATTGCATTAGCCCCTACGATCGAACCCCTTTCTTCTTCTCATTCCAACTGGCGTGTGGATCGAGGCTAAACCGCACCGGGGCCTAGCTTCAAACACCAACCCAACGTCCTGGGCCCCTCTGCTTCCCCCCCTCCACCTGCACCTCCTGTCACTGGTTGATATGGCCCCGACTACCTCCAACTGGGTTAGATCCAGACCGACTGCACTCCTTCCACGGGTTCCATCCGGGAAAAGCACTTGCCTCCCGCAGGACGTTCCTTGGCTCCGGGCCTGCCAGGGCCAACCGTTTTCGAACTGTACGACACCTCCTGATGCTTTCCCCCCCCCCACTATATCGTACTTTTAGCCGTAATTTTGGGGATCTTGCATTTCTGGAAAAGATGAAACTACCCCCGTAATTCCTGGCCCTGGCCCTGCAGCCTTCCTCTTTCCTCTCTCCTCTCCGATCTTCCCCTGCGCGATCCCGGCTGCTTTCTTCCTAGCCAATCCATTTCTGTTCGAGCCGGGACATATGCACTCTGTGTTGTGTCTTTGGCTGATGCGTCTCAATTGCACTCGTTGATCCTTTCTGTCTTTCTTTTCTTTCTTTCATTTTTCATCTTTTCTCTCTTTCCTAGTCTTTTTCCCTTGCCATTTCAATTTCCCGATGATGGACACATAAGAGTGAAACGTCCGCGTGTTTTTGTGTTTTTGCTTCGAGGGTCGAGTTTTCACCCACACTCCTGTTCCCGGTTTTGGGGGTTTGTGTTTTTGATATCAAAGTGTCCATGGTTCGGTCTGGATATGTCGAATCCAGCCGATAGACCGTGGACTGAGGAGGAGAGGGTATGTCCTCATCGCCAATATCGCGAAACCTCGACTAACAGATCACAGTATGCGCTGCTCACGGAGATCCTCAAAAAGGCCTGTATCTCGTCTGCTCATCTCTTTCGCTTGATCAACGAGTTCCGTGTGTCTCCTAGCTGGCACGATATCCCTCTACCTCAAGGTAAAACAGCGTGATATCAGACGCGTCATAGTTACTAACTTGATACAGGTCGCTCGCTTAACTCGTGCAAAATGGCTTTTTACAACATGCAACAAGGACAGCCAGGAGTCCAAGCCCAAGGACCAGGACCAGGACCAGGACCACCGATATCTCATCCACTACCGGCTCCAATTCTGCGCCCCGAATTGACCGGGACCTCGCCGCCCATAGATCCAATGCTTCGCAAGCGACCGCTCTATCCAGCAGAGAAATCAATCGCTCCACGCGCCATTCAACCCAGACCACCAGCTAGTACCGCATCCTATAGCAGCGAAAGCTCCGCTCAGCTATCACCACGATTCGACATCTCCACCGGCGAGCCCCCGCGCAAGCGAGGCCGTCCCAGCAAAGCCGAAACCGAGCGCCGCAAAGCAGCTGCCGAAGCCCGCGGCGAGCCCTACCCACCACCACGCCGTTCCGGCTCAGAACGACTCAAAATCTCCTCGCCATCAAGTCCCGCAGGTCCCGGTTCCGGTCCAGGCCTTTCAATCGCACCGTATCGGGCTCCCCCACCACCACCAGGCTATGAAGTCCCCTCACGTCCAATTGCACCCGTCCCAGAACGCGACATCCCAACCCGTATGGGCATGCGAGAACTTCCCAAACCTCAAGAAATGGGGCCTCTTCCTTCCCCGCACGCCCTACAACTCGGTCCCCCGGATAGTTTTCCCCCGCGTCTGAACAGCACGAGTGAGCGAGGCTTTTTCAGCGCCATCCCATCAGATCGATTCTCGCCGGATAGTCGACGTGACTCGTTGAATAGTCGTGGTGAACCGCCGTATGAAGGCCGGCCGAGTACTACGCCTGGAGATCCGCCGAGATGATATGCACGTCGACGATGATCGATGTTTACCATGAATTCCATGAACTGACGAACAATAGACAGCGTGTCTATGTTTATTGTTATCTTTTTTTTTTTTTTTTTTTTTCTTTTTTTTGGCTACTGCTTTCTTCATGCTGACATTTGCTTCTGCTGCTTTCTTCCGTGCTAGCATCTGCCCTGCCCTTGCGCTTTCACAAGTTGAATCTCTCAAATGACATTCTCCAGCACCACAACAAATGTACTGATGTGTCCATGACTATGTTCGATGATGGCTTGAAAGCCTACGCCACGACTTCAATTGATGCTCTGCGAGTTTTGATCTTGAGCCTGTTAAGCCCTCCTTTGAACCTTTCTTTTACGTGACTCTTCCAGCTTCCGCTTCTGCTGATGATTTTGATTTTGATTTCGATTCTCATTCTGAAACCTGCTTCGCTCAGCTACTGTGATGTGACATGCACCCAATCATGATTTACTTGGCGGTCCTTTGAGCCTGAGATTTGCTGAACCTTTTTCATTTTCTTTCTGTGCTTCATTGGTGGTTTTGGCTATGCTTGCCGATCTGGCGCTTTGTATTATTTAATACTTCATTCCTTCTGTTTTTTGTCTTTCTATCCGGTCAGAGGATATCTCTGGCCACGGTCATCCAAGAAAACCCCACGGGTCTTGTTTCTTGTGCCTCTTGTGCTCCTTTCTTTTCCCTTTTCTTTCTCCCTCATTCCTGCCCCTGTTCTGTTCCTGTTCTGTCTATTACGTATGTAAGATTATGGACTGAGATATAATGTACAGCGCGAATGCTATCCAAAGCTCATTCAGTGGTCAGGTAGATCACCTGTTTTATATTATAGATATTTAAACTTCAGCCTTGGAGGCGCTATGTGCCCCATAATCCAGCCACACCTAATCCCGAACTCAGACTTTGGAATACACCACAAACCCGGGATGCTACACATGGGATCGGAGAGCGGGAGGGTTATACAGCATATTCAAGGAAACAGCCTGCACTATCATGCATGCACTCCAATCTGGAAAATCATATATCTGGTTTAAACCATCCTACCGCATTCTGCAGTCCTATTCAAGTAGGTCTACCCTACCGCACTTGATTGGATTGTGGAAGTGAAAAAAAAAAAAAAAACCTCGGTCTCTTGAGATCAATCAACTCGCTAAGAAAATATATGCACAGGCCCTCAACCATGCAAGGAAAGGGGGAAGCGATGCAAGCGGTGGATGCGTGCTTTCCCTCCTCACACGCCCAGAGGACCTGGGTAAACGTATTTGCAAACGCTTACTTATCACACACACGATCTAACAACCGTCTCAACGAGTCCTCGCCTCCAGCACTCGACTCCGGAACAGATACGCCCGTCGCTTCGTTTAGCGATGCCTCGGGACCAGACTGACTCTGCGAGGACAGAGATGAGGATGGCGGGTATGATTCGCGCCGTTCGGTCGTTCCCTCTTCAGATCTCTGTTCCTGCTCCGGTTCCTGGTCCTGTGCCTGTCCCTCTGGTTCTTGATCCTTCTTCTGCTTTTCCTCCTGATTCATCTGACTCCTAAGCATACTAACAGCAGCACTAAATCCACCCGGACCTTGCGGAAACGCAGAGAATAACTTCTTCTGTCCAATCTGCAGATCCAAAGCTTTGTCTTTAACGAAATTCAATACGTCGTGGGTATTTCGTACTCGTCGATTAAGGTAGACCTTCGGTCCGGCGCCGGGGTGCGTGTCTGTTTCGATACGCTCGAGTTCTCGACGGTAGGCCGTTTCGTAGATGTCGAATTCTGCGGCGCCGGGCGATTCGCTGACTATTGGCATTGGTTCTGCAAATACGTCGACGTCGTCTGTACTTTCGGGTTCGGGTTCGGGTTCGGCAAAGATGGGCGGTTCATCATCAATGGTAGAGTCGTGTTCTGTGGTACCCGTATATGTAGACGGGCCGATGAAGAGGTACGGGAAGTCTTCCTCTAGGGGATCACGCGCATGGCCTCTTGTTCCTTCAATGCTTCGCTTTGTTGTTGCTGAACTGGCGCGTGAGAGGGCCGGGTGGGGTGATGCAGATTGTGAATTGGTGAAGTCTTTGCCTGTTGATCGACCGCTACGTATTGAGCCTGAGTCTTTACGGTCGGGCTCAAAGACGCCGCTTGGCCAGCGGCTGCTGGATGGACTGTAATCTGGTCGGGAGGAGATGCTTCCTGAGCTGTATCCTGAGCTTTCGGCGGCGGAATCTTTACGACCTAGCATGGGGTTGCGGCCGAAGAATTTGCGAAGGCCTGTGTTGGAGCCGCCAGAGGCATTTGTGTCGAGTCCGACGGCGGGGAAGTCTTCACTGTCGTCCATTTCCATGGGTGGTTCGACAAAGTGTGCTTCGTACTCGTCACCCAGGATGCTTTGCATTGATTGTCCTGCTTTTGAAGGGTCGACAAGCCGTTTGAATTTCTTTGCGGCTTTCATCTGAATACTTGGTTAGAAGAGCTTTCACCGTTATCTGTTGGTTCACGCACCAATGTCATCAAAGAGCCCATGTTCGTCGTGATAGCCTGGTTCATTTCTTCCTCGGTTGGAGGCTCGACGATTTGAGCCGTGTTCTCTTCATAAGAGAGCAGCGGATCTGCCCCGTTCGCTGTCACCCATGGATGATCCTGCAAAGTCAGTAAACACCGGACACAACAAGGCAAACAGACTTACTCGCAAGTCGCGCATTTTGATCCGCTTTTCCGGATCTTTCTCCAGAATGCGACCCATTAGATCCTTAAAGTTCTCGTCCGGCTCATCTTCGCATACCACCTGACAACTCCGAATGCTTTCATACAGTTCAAAGATGTTCTGTTGCTCAAATGGAAGCTTTCCATACCGGAGACAATATAGAGTGACCCCCATTGACCAGATATCAGCAGCTTTACCCGAAACATCACCATGCTTCACAACGCAAAGTTCCGGAGGCAGAAAGGCCGGCGACCCAGCCGACTTAGCTGTGAACATAGTCGAATTCTTCTCGAACATCTCCGAGACACCGAAATCAACCACCTTCAACACATCATCACTTGTCACGAGGCAGTTATCAGGCTTGATATCTCGGTGCACAACACCCTGCGCATGCAGATACTCAACTCCTAGGACCAAGTCTCGAAACCAGCAACGACAATGCTCGTCGTCGTACGGGTCGGCCCGTTCTCCCAGTCCAATTTTCATCACCACACCCTTCTTGCACATCTCCATGACCATATACAGCGAATCTTCATTCGGATCGTCCAATACCTCAATCAGCGAGACCAGGTTACTGTGGTTCAACTTCTTCATGATCGCAATCTCCTCTTTGATCAGATAAAGCGGGTTTCTCGCATTCTCGTTATCGTCTCCGGACGGGTGTCGATGAAGAGGTGAGTTGAACCCTGTCCCAGGTCGTTGTGGTCCTCTCGGTCTTCTCAAAAGATGCGATTGAGCACGCTTCCTCAACCTTGATTTCGAAAACTCTTTCACTGCCTGCAACAATGCACTGGTCAGCAACATTTCGTGCATGAAATCCATTGGCCGCATACATATTCATTCCCAAACTGGTCAGCAGCCAGATGAACAGCCCCGAACGATCCCCGCCCAATCTCCTGCCTAATCACAAATTGATTGATATGGTGCTCGGCCGTGCCGTCATCCTGGCTGGTCGTATATTCGGAGCGGGCGTCCAGCGTTTCCTAATGTCCTCATCAGTGGACTGTAGACTGTCACGTACAGACATCGAGGAAACTGACCTTCACCGGACGCCGAGCTCGGGGGTTTCGTCGCCGGTGTCTCTGGGGACTATCGAATGATGCAGCCGAGCTAGCATACACGTCAGACGGAGCTTCAATTAGAATCGGGAAGCTTACGCAGTTCGCACGGGTCGCGGCATACCCGTGCCATCGTCAGGCGAGATGGACTGATCCATCGTTGTTGAAAGATTCTGAGTTGGGTTGGTGTGGGGTAGAGGGGGTGGAAGGGTGAAGGCGGGGAGGCAAAGATAACGGTGCAGCCCCGTCAGCCTTCAGCCTTACGGTCGCGTTCTTTATTTTTCTTTATTTTTTATACTACTAAGGCAGGTCAGACGAATAGGGGTGATGAATGCAATGTAAATCCTAAGTCTCATCAGGCAGCTTCTTTTCTTTATCGTTATCGATAGAGGTCTTCACCGCCCGAGGCCCGACTCCCCTGAACATCAACAACCTCACTTAAGAGTGTCATCATTGCCCGTCATGACCGTCTACTCCTTCTATATCTTTGATCGCCACGGTATGTACCATCTCAATGCTCACAGTGAGCTCAACTGACTTTCTCCAGCGGAATGCATCTACAAGCGCCGCTGGCTCCCCCGCCCGACCTCGATCGTGGGGAAGTCTGGCCAGACTCCAGGAGCCGCGCCAGTCGGGCTCGGACAGACAGTGAAAGCAGGAGATGATGACGCAAAGCTGGTTTTCGGAACGGTTTTTTCGCTGCGGAATATGGTTCGCAAGCTAGGTGGTGAAGAGGACAAGTAAGCTGCCCTGCTGACACGGCGACATGGCGACACGGCGGAATGGTTGTTCAATTGCTGACCACAACTCGTTTTCTAGCTTCGTTTCCTTCAACACTAGCCAGTACAAACTGCACTACTACGAGACGCCGACCAATATCAAGTTCGTCATGTTGACGGATCTTAAAAGTCCCAGTATGCGCATCGCGCTGCAGCAGATCCATATCAATCTCTTTGTGGAATACGGTTCGTGGACTCTGATTGTGTATTGGCTATCGGCGGCTACTAACGGAATGTCTAGTCGTCAAGAACCCTCTCTCGCCCGTCGAGCACCCCGGCGGCATCGGTGTCAACAATGAGCTTTTCGAAGAGTCCCTAGAACAGTTTGTGGTTTGTTAAACCCTGGATATGGCGCATTCGCCTTTTATGTTGACATATTCTGATTGTTAGCAGACTCGTGTTCTAGCATGATACCCTTGAGCTGCATTTGATGCTGCTCCGCCAAGTGCGAATCTGACCCTAGAAGGCAGACTGGCCGTTCAAGTTGCCAGTTTTTTTTTTTTCTAAGGAAACAGGAAACCCCGGCACACCGCCAAGGCCCCGCGAAACAACGGCGCCTACTGACCCCAGACGGCCTTGCAGAGAGCCCGACACCGCCTATTCCAAAAGTGGCCGCTCAATTGAAGCCGCGTTCCCACGTGGCACGCGCGCGCACACTCGACAAGGGACAAACCTGGGCATATTCCTCCTTTTATATCGACCAGGGGCAGTCCGCCGAGTGCAACGTGAAGGGAGAAGGCGGAATAACTCGGAAGCCAAGACGGCATGTCATTTGTAATCGATAGTATAGCTTGATTCGACCAGGATTGATTCAGGCTGCCAGTGTTGAGCTGTCACCCAAGAATAAAAGCGCCCACTATCATACCCGACCGACACGGGCGTCCAATCAGTTCAGTTCATGCAGCCAAGGCTTAACAGCCTTTGATTCCACCTGGGCTGATGCACGGCACGCCGTGGCTTCGAGCATCTGGTTCCGGGTACGGTGTAGCCAAGACTTTAAAAGACAAAGACCGAGTAAAATATAAACCGCGCTTGAAAGAAAGAGCTGAGCCAGAGCTGAAGTCTGCATCGCGGGGTACTGGGTACTCGGGGTGGAAAGGAAACCCGGAATCTGCTCAGTTACCTGCATGCATCTCCATGTACACGGCCCGAGCTTATGCACGTCGAGCTGAGCTCAAGGGTGAGGACCACAGCTTATCTCGAGCTCTTCACCGAGCATCACGGCCAATCCAAAGCGTGGAATTCACGCAGAAAAGTTGCCTTGCAATGCAACCCCCCCTCGAACTGGCGGTCAGCAAGGCACTCGGCCTAGTGGAAAAGCTTCAGTGTCACTTGTTTGGTGGGGTTGAGGGGGTAGTCATTAGTGTAGATGTACTTCATCTCGGGCATTTAAGTGCGGGTTGAGTGGAGAGGAGTATGTATCTCTACCAATTGAGTACGTACGCTCGCACGAACCGAGGAAAGTGAAAATAATGAAAACAGTAAAAACATAAAAAACAAAAAGTGGAAATTAGAAATCAAAAGCACCCCCGCTATCCATGATTGGCACAGAGAAATGCCGCAGTGCACAAAGATTCAAGGTGGGTTTCTCCTCTCTTTAACCGTTTTCGCATGTGCTCGGCTCCTAGTTGCAGTTACCCTGATGATTATGGTTACGGCCGAGGTCGTAGATAAAGATAAATTCCCAGTCACACAATCCGGGGTAATTGACCCATTCCTTGATACAAGGCAGTGTGCATCAGCCACTTGGACTGAGTAGACGGTGAAGCTCGGGACTCCCCGTGCTGTCCTGGTTGTCCTGATAGGCGCGGTTCGCAAGGTCGGTCAAAGCTCATAGTCTGAATGACGCTGCGGCGAGCTTACACCGCGCACATTGGAATGGAGTCATCGCTGTGACCCCACGCGGGCTCCACGAACAGCCCGATGGGGAGTTGTGCATGATTGTCCCCGTGCTCTGGCGATCGTTGGAGATATGTTTCAAGATGCAAGGTGCAAGGTGCAAGGTGTAAGATGTAAAGTAGGCATTGACATGAAATAGATGTGAAACACCGACAGTGTTTCAATCATAGATCATACGGCTACGTCTAGACATGGACTATACAAGTGAAGTCTACAGACACCTTTGGATATAGGCAGTAATAGCGGTATAGCCATAGTACCCCTCAGTCTCAGCGTCTCAGCGCCACACGGCGCACCCCGGCACATCGGCTCTTGGTTGCTGGTGCGGGGCCACGATCGAATCATATCCGTGCTCACACTGGTGCAAGAGGGTGCACAGCCTCAACATTGAAAGTAAAATATGGAAAGTCAGTCAGTGACAAGTGACAGGAGTGGGATAGATCCCTCCCCTCCTCCGAATCGACCCTCGACGTCAGACCATACGGCATCAGGTACGTGTCCGGTGTTGGGGAGGGGAACGTCATCGGGATCATCCTGGCAATTACGGACTGGGGCAGAGAATTGCTTAATCCTTCTTAGCCCGCGAACACGGAAAAGGGAAGACCCAGCGGTTCCAGGGATTGTAAAGGGGTCCGGTACTATTATCCTACGGGTGTACAAAAATCTCTCACTGTGTCTGCGCCACCACATCACAAGATTAGTCCAGTCCCAGGCCCTTCATGTCATGTAGGTAGGTGAGTAAGGTAAGAAGAACAATGCCTGCTTTAGGTGCAGTCAACTGGTTGCTGACTGGAATGAGACAAATACTACCGAATACGGTATGGTACCGTGTACCGTTTACCGTACAGATTTGTAAAGAAATGCTGACCCGCATTTTTCCACTGTGGACTCTCTCTTTCTGCGCCGACTAAGCCTTATTAATCAAAGCCCCAGGTGCCGTAAGGTAATCCGGTACCCCATACAAGTCGGCTCAGGCGTTTCCCCGTGGTATTCTAGTATTTCAACCGGTTCTGCCCTGCCCCCGTAGCATCGCCAATTTATCCCTCTCGTCTGCCACCTCTACTTTCTCTTTTTTTTCTTTTTTTTTCCTCCCTTCCTCACTTCTTCACTTATATAGTCTTTAACATACTCCGTCGCTGGGTCTTTCCCAGCGCTTTTGGCCTCGTTCGGCGTGCGCTTCTCAGCGTTTCTTTTCCTCTATTCCATCTCATTACTAGTTGATGTGACTTGTCGTCACCTTGTTCGCTAGTTGCCTCAAAAGTCAGGCCACAAAAGCCCACACCACACTTTTTTTCCGCCGGGAACTTCTCAAGTGCCCTTCAACTCAACCTCAGTTCTATCGCCCCGGTTGCACTTGGTAGCTTTCCGGCTTCCGTGCGGACGCTCGTCCCTCTTTCTCCGGGGTCGACGTGATCACCTCTCCCCTAAATTTTCCTCGTCAAGCTACCGCACATGACTCCGCCTTCTCCTTCACCTGTTCCGTCCGCAGTCTCCTCCGCCGCCACTTCATTACATACGCATGACCGGGATGGAGACCCTTCGGTAACACGCGCTCTAGAGGGCATGAATCTGTCCGCGCTCCCCCACAACGGGGACGCCTTCGCCTCCCCGGCTTCCCCGGCCCCGAAAGCTCAGAAGGCCAAAATGTCTACTCGTCTCTCGCGCATGTTCTCCAGCAACGGGAAACAAATGCCTACTCGAGAAAATGATTCTCCACGCGAGCCCCTCTCTGACAGCAGCCTGGAAAGTGTCCATCAGCATGGCAAGGACAATCCGGCAATTACCAAGTCTCAGCTGGCAACTATGAATCCCAGTGCAAAGGAGAACCCCTCGTCTAAACCCTCGTCTCGTGCAAACTCCAGACCCCCCTCGACTCGAACTCCCTCCCGACAACCTTCCCTCAAAGATGAGCCCATCGAAAAGGGTGCCAAGAAGAAGACTGTCGGTGGCAAGGACCAGAAAGATGGTGCCACCCCGCATAAGCGCTTCGAGGTCATCCCCGAGGAACTGGGCAATCACTCCCATAACCTCCGAAGTGCACGACGACAGGAAAAATTGACCGACCTCCTCCGAGACATGCTAGGCGGTGGAAGAAAGAAAGGAGACGATCAGGTCGACGAGACGCAGTTGTCGCTCATGTCGACCTGGATCGACCAGTTTAAAACCGAGCGTGACAAGTTGGCAGCCGATAAAAAGGGCGGCCCGAATGCCACTGCATCCCTTGTTGATAAATACGGCAAATGCCAGGAGATCGTCGGCCGTGGAGCGTTCGGTATTGTCCGCATCTCGCACAAGGTTGATCCCCAGGACTCCAAGTGTGAGCAGCTGTACGCTGTCAAGGAGTTCCGCCGTCGTCCTCAGGAGACTGCCAAGAAGTATCAAAAACGCTTAACTTCCGAGTTCTGTATCTCCTCTTCTCTTCGCCACCCGAATGTCATTCACACTCTCGACCTTCTGCAAGATGCTAAGGGCGATTACTGTGAAGTCATGGAATATTGTGCCGGAGGTGACCTGTACACCCTGGTCCTTGCCGCCGGCAAACTCGAAGTCGCCGAAGCAGACTGCTTCTTCAAGCAGCTAATGCGCGGTGTCGAGTACATGCACGAGATGGGTGTTGCCCATCGTGATCTCAAGCCCGAGAACCTCCTGTTGACCACCCACGGTGCCCTCAAAATCACCGATTTCGGCAACGGCGAGTGCTTCCGAATGGCATGGGAAAAAGAAGCCCACATGACCGCTGGTCTGTGTGGCTCCGCACCCTACATCGCTCCCGAGGAATACATCGAGAAGGAATTCGATCCCCGCGCTGTCGATCTGTGGGCCGTCGGTGTGATCTACATGGCCATGCGCACTGGAAGACACTTGTGGCGTGTCGCCCGTAAGGACGAAGATGAGTTCTATCAGCGATACCTAGAAGGTCGCAAACATGAGGATGGATATGCGCCTATCGAGACGCTGCATCGGGTAAGCAGAACGAAGCTCGTGACTGGTACTTCAACTGATGATTCAAAGGCTCGCTGCCGTAACGTGATCTATTCCATCCTGGACCCTAACCCCTCCCGCCGCATCAATGCCTCTCAGGTCCTCAAATCTGAGTGGGTTCGCCAGATCAAGCTGTGCAAGGCCGGTGAGGAAGGGTTCTAGGCTCTAGTCTCTAGGGGTTGTTTCCTCTGTCTCGGTCTATTTTTTCTCGGGATGGTCAAGTCGGGTTGCAAACGGTACCGACTAGGAAAAGGTCGGGTGGGGGGCTTGGTTACTTCTATCCCCCTTTTACGCATAGGGTGGTTATTCTGTCTTTAGACCCGTTCAAGGAGGAGGTTCTTGTCCTTGATATGCTCCTCGGGAGGCCCTTTTTTTGTTTTCATTCCCGGCGCATTGTTATATCCTTTCAAGCCCGTGTTCACCTTAGCTCTGTTTTGGTTTCTGTCATGTTTTTCACGTCAATGCAACGAAGAGTCATGACTATTTTTTTTTTCTGCTGGTCTGGTTGAGTTGGGGGTGGATCCCTTGGAAGGCGTTGAGTTGAGTTTGAGTGTTTACTGGTGTACTACTATTGAGGGATGAGCAGTAAGTTTGTCCACTGCTTGGATGTCTGACCACGTTTTTGTCTTCAGGTTCCCGTACATATTACCCGTGCTTTCTATACATAGGATTCTGTCTTATATTATTTTTATTCTCTTTTTTCTTCAATGACTGGAAACCAAATCTACCAACTGTGAGTTCTACTAAGGTAGCATGACATCAGTCTGAAATGGGTGGCTCCGAACATCGCCCAGCCGACGGCATCCGATACAGACCCGCTCTAGCCGGAAGATCGATCCTGTTCCGAGCTGTGCTAGGTACATACTCCCGACCTTTCACGTTAGCCACCCGACTCAACCCTGATGCAATGCAATATCACCACCCCATACCCGCGGATACCGCGAATTACCACACCATTAACAATCGAATCACTAGTTCGCATCCTAGCTTTGCCAAGTCTACTATCTCGTCAAACAGTCTTTAGGCACCTACATTCCAGTCTCGGCGATGCCATGGGTGGAGTTCGTTACTGCAGAACCGCCGCCACAGGGGGCCGTACAGGCACCGAATTTTGATAGTGTACTTGAAAATTGGAAAACCTTCGTTTTACAAATACCGAAACCAGGGCTGGTGTAAAATACCCAGGGATGAGGTAAAGTGAAGATGCGACGCAACTGTTCAGCCCTAGTGACGTAGCCGCATTCAGCGCTGACTCAGCCGGCCGGGCACCGCCACACCCGTAAGGCAGACTTCCTTGGACTGCACCGCGAGACTGTCGCCTTGGAGCTTGACTCCGCTACTGACTGTTTGTGCTCTGTGATTCTATACGGCTCTCCTTCTACACTCTCTTCGTTGTCTTGATACCCCAGATTCAGAATCGCAATCCCAGCCGCCACCACACCATAATCCAAAGAGACTTCAGCCATGTCGTGGGCAGGTAGGCTCGTCCCTCACCTGAACCCTGCGGGGTATCGGGATGAGCGAAAGAACCCGTGCTGATTTTTGTAACAGGGTTCAAGAAGAATGTTGGCCGCGCTACGACGCAGGTTATGATGAAGACTGGTGCGTGAACGTTGGAATGTTACCCCGCAGTGGGAAATGTACTGACGAGGTGATAGGTCATGTCGAGCGCACAAATGATCGGGACTATGAGATTGAGGAGCGGTATGATATGCCCTCCTTGCGTGTGAGGTATCAGTACTGATAATGGGTGCAGGCGATATCGAACTATGGAGGCTGCGTCGAACCGGCTGCAGAAGGAGGCCAAGGGCTACTTGGATTCGCTGCGTGGTGAGTTTTGATATTGATACGTGGGGATGATGCATGGATTGGATTATGCTAATGATCGTAGCTATGACTGCGTCGCAAATGCGCATTGCGGAGACCATTGATGCGTTCTATGGTGATGCTGGTACTAAGGATGGTGTGAGCCGGAGTTACAAGACGGCCGTCGAGGATCTCGATGCTGAGACGATTAAGGCTCTGGATGGACCTTACCGGTAGGATTGAACGAATATTCATTTCGGAGAATGTCCGCTAATTGGGGATACAGTGCAACCGTCCTCGACCCCATCTCCCGCTTCTGCGCTTACTTCCCCGACGTCAATGAGTGCATCAAGAAACGCAACCACAAACTCCTGGACTACGACTCCATGCGCGCCAAGGTCAAGCGACTCGCTGAGAAGCCCGACAAGGATGTCACAAAGTTGCCCCGCACTGAGCGCGAAGCCGAAATGGCCAAGCAAGCCTACGAACAATTGAACGAGCAACTCTTCACCGAGCTACCCCAGCTCATCGACCTCCGCGTGCCCTACCTCGATCCCAGCTTTGAAGCCCTCGTCAAGATCCAGCTGCGTTTCTGTGCCGAGGCATACTCACGCATGGCCCAGGTGCAGCAATACCTCGATGCAGAGACAAGAGACCAGTATGCCCGCGGTGATCTCGATAACCGGGTTGAGGAGGTGCTACAGGAAATCCGCGATCTAAGCATAGCTGGAACCGTTTAGGTTGGCTCATGAGACACGTTTTAGCATAATGCCGGGTTTTCTTTTCTTGTTTTTTTTTCTACTCTCCGGAGTCGAGTTACTTCGCTTCGCCTGTTTCTAATTTCCCTGTCTTGTACATGGTCGATGGGTAATTTCCTTTGTCTCGGAGACCAAAAGGAGTTCAATATGCAATGCATTCACAGGGGGTATCATCCGGGCTAGCTCCTAAAGTATCGTAACACTATCTATATCTATACACAATGCCAATCCAATGCATCCCAGTGCGATGTTGTACAATCCAAATCAAGAGGCACACCAAGTTCAAGACAAAGCAAGATCAAATCTTCACTTCCCACCGTCCCAATAGAACTCCTCCTCCAACACATCCAGCACCGGCTCAACAGCCCTATGCACCGCCCCAACCTCCGCACCCCCCATCTCACTCAAGACATAATCCGCAACAGCATTCTTTTCCCTACTATCCGGCCTCCCAATCCCAACCCCAACCCTTAAAATCGACAAATCCCTCCCCTTCTTAACAGGAAACAACCCCTTCCCCCTCAAACTCTCAAAAGAACTAATCAACCCCCTATGCCCCCTCAAACTCGCAACCTCAGGCCCACCCCTCCGAACCCGCACCTTCCCCAATGGCGCTTCCAGCTCATCGTGCAATATCACCAGTGTTGTGGGGACTCCAATTGGCGTGGGGACTTCGAACCCGGTACGCGGTGGTCCGACCAGTTTATCAGTTTGCGCTAACCAGGTATTCAGTGCGCGGACAAGTTTCGGCCCGGAGACGTTCATGAGGGATTTGCTCTCGTAGGTCGTGTAGTATGTGTTTAAGCTGCCGAAGCGGGTGCGCAAAAGGGGTGTTAGCGCATCGAGGAGAATGTGGCCTGCGCTGTGGCGCGTTCGGCGGTAGGGTTTTTGGTTGCCGATTGAGGCGATGAAGAGGGCGCGGCGTGGGGTTGTCATGTTGGACTTGGGCTTGGACTTGGACTCTTCGGCCATGGACTGGATAGCCGGGTAGAGATAGGTCTAGTGTCCACTGCGCCGTTATAATTCAGGCCCGATTTGTGGAGTACCGGAGTGCTGGAATGGTGCCTCGCCGTGAAATTTCCGTGAGTTTGGATCAGGCACGGGAGATCGTCTCGTGACCGGTGATCCTTGTCGTATTGGGAAAGACACCGGGCTCCCGTGCTACCGAACTGTCGGGTCGCGCTCGGACGTGGAGCCGGAGATTTGGGTTTCGTTCTTTTGGGGCTTGGTGTTTTTGGGTTGGGGTTTGTCTTTAGGGGTTAGGCTGGGTGCTGTGATATGGTACAGTAGAAGCATAGAGAGTTAGGGGGTTTAGATGTGCAATGGTATGAAAATACTATGCTGGATTTGTTTTGGTTCGACTGACCTGGGTAGTACTAATATGGCATTCCATCGCCATTGCCATTCCCTACTCCGATTTTAATTTGGTCGTCCTTGGCTTGTACGACCAGCGGGACTAGCACGACCACCTTGTCGGTAACTAGTTATGGCCCCTCATTTATAGTCCCGGTCTAGCACGCATGTGCAGTGATCCCCGCTGGCACTTGACAACTCACCCTGCCCCGTCGGGTCCAACACATACATTATACTCCGGCATCCTATACTCTCTATCCCCCTATACTTGTTGTAGCGAACAAACCATTCGTAATCGACCAATCGAACTCTAGTAAGCCCCCCTTTAACACCCCTCTATATAATCTAGCCAATTTACCTCGAAATTCTTACTGATCATCCCGTGCACGTCAAACCCACCCGAGCTGCGACTGGCCCGGTCAGACCCCCGGTCCACCTCAGCTGTCGAACGTCCCCCGCCGTAGAAGGTCCACAGGCCTTGGCCTTTCATAGTTCACTATCCTATTCGTGTCGAATCTTATGGACTCCGCACCCGGTACCCGGTGCCCTCCTTTTCCCTTCTCCACCCCATTTCCCACCCAGCTCCCTGGGTTCTGATTTGTGATATATCATCTATCACTTCCTACCTTCCGGGCCTTCTTATTTTTCTTTTCTCCGTATATGATACGCCTCCGTCTTTTCGGGCCCCACTATCCAGTTAAAAACCTTCGCTTCATGGCGCCCCTTTGATGTTTCTGGTTTCTCCGCTTCTGGGTTATCTTCCGATTGACAGTTGGAGGTCGGGGGTATACCTAGGGCTAGATTTAGACCCCCTAGCCCCCGTCAGCACATGTATACAGCTGGTTTTGTCTATACTTGTTTTCTTCCATTTCAGCCGTCCTAGACCCGTCATGTCATGGACGACATATTCATCCAGCCGGAACTTGGTCCTTCCGAAGAACCCTCCGAGAACGAATCAAGCTTGGATCCCGACTCAGATAATGATTTCGAGGCCGCATCAATGTAAGCACCCGCAATACCAGTATAGATCCTTACACTAAATGAACCTGGAACCAGAAAATCAACCCGATCCTGCTCTACAGAAAACCTCCAACCCACCCTCGAAAATGGCCGTCGCTACGCAGACGACTCCTACTTCATGCCAAATGACGAATCAGAACTGACTCGTCTCAACATCGTCCATCAAATCTACCTAATCCTCCTAGACGGCAACCTCACCACCGCCCCACTCAACACCCCACGTCCCCGAATCCTAGATATCGGCACCGGCCCAGGCGACTGGGCCATAGAAATGAGTGCCAAGCATCCAACAGCCGAAATTATCGCCTCAGACCTAGGTGTCTTCGACTCAGGCTTAGGCCACCTCTCCCTTCCAAATGTCGACTTCCAACTCGCAGACGCCCAATCCCAATGGACATACCATGAGCCATTCGACCTAATCCACATCCGCGGGTTATCAGGCGCCTTTAATGACTGGCATAATATATACACGCAAGCCCTATCTCACCTCAAACCAGGCGGTTATATCGAAGTCGCCGATGTCGATCCAGCAGGCGATACGATTACAATGCCTTCGGACTTGGAAACATCCCATCTACGCACGTATGCAGCGGCACTTCGTGCAGCGGCTGATGAAGCAGGGTATCCGCGTGATTTAAAACATCTTGCTACGACCGCGCTATCAGAAGCGGGTTTCGTAGACGTTCGTGTTCAGGAGCGATCTATTCCGATTGGATTGTGGCCTGAGGATGTGCGTGAGAAAACGCTGGGTAAAATGGGTCTTATCGTGCTGCTTGAGGGGTTGGAGGCTTATGCGCTGCGTACGTTGACGAGGTCTGGGCGCTGGTCGCTTGACGAGGCGACGGAGTTGTGTGAGAAGGTTAGGGGGGAGTGCGTTTCTGCAACGGGGCTTGTGGCGAGGGTTAGGATTGTTACGGGGAAGAAGCCGGTCTCTTTTGCGCAGAGGAGAGAAGAGGTTATGGCGAGGACTATGGCTAGGATTAAGGCGTTGAATGCGGATGGGTTGGAAGAGAAGTAATAGGTGAATGGGTGGAAGATTTTATTCTACTGCATTGGCATCTGCATAGCGTGTTTATTTTGCATATCACTTAGATCATTGAGCGGGATTCAGAAGATGTCGATAGTGAGATCCAGTAGTGAGAAGGTAAGTACCGGCACTGAGAAGCGTGCTGCTCATATGTAATATTTGATCTGGTCTTCCTAAAGCCTGTTGTGCCTGTCAAGCAACTTCCTAGAGATCAGCCTATTTCAAGCACCCGATGACTCCTTGTTCTTACCAACTTCTGTTGCTTCCAGTCAACAGTATCTCTGATTGTTTTCGGCAGATAGACAAGCCCGCGTGGTGCCGCCTTAAATCCATATGTTTCTTTCATCATCTCGAAACTTATCGGCCTCAAGAGCTCATAGACTGATACCATCTTATATGCAAAGTCGAATCCATTCCAATCCACATGTTTATTGTTGAATTCTGCATTCCCTAGCCCATCCTCTTCGAGCGGAACGTCATTCGGATTCCGTGTTTGCGCCAGCAAGGTCTCACAGACGTGAGTGATGCTGGAGTGTGGCGCCGTGCGATAGAACCAGATTCTTTTCACTTCTGGTTTAAGACGATATCTTCTGAACTCGTAGTTCTTTGTTCCGTCTACTATCTGGGCCATATAGGGATCCTGTATGGCCAAAATCACATCGCTGTGGAGCAGACAGTCGCCCAGGGCTTTCTCGGCGCAGGTCATGGATAAGGGATCTGAACTGATTGAAATGCAAGTCGAGTTTTTGCCGCTATGAAACACGTAGAGGCTGACACGCAGCGAGAGTCTACTGAGAAAGCACAAGGTAGAAACGAAGTTCAGTTTTATAAACGCGAGTCTGTCTTTTTTGAGAGACCGATCATCCCGGGATTCATGCAGGCGCCTGGGCCAATTTGGTCGAATTCGTATGCGCCAGCCAATACATTCCTAGAAAGTCGGTGAGATGTCTATCTAAGACGCGGAGGTGCACCAAAATCAGGTTTTTGCTTATTCTTCTTCGTATTTGTCCTTCTATCAAGTCTATCTTCACATGTGTTGGGTTGCCCCCTGAAGTGAACTACACATAGTCTGGGTGAGTGGTAGTTGTTGATAATATTGCTGCGACGATGTATTGCTTGTTGCATTACAACATGTCAAGTAGACTTGCAAATCCAGGCAAAACTGTCTATACCTCTGGAGGACCGATACAGAAGTTATCAGACTGATTACAAGTGCAATCACAGAATAGTCTATGTTCATTCAGCATGGATATAATACCTAGGTAATCAGGGCATAGCCCAGGGATAATACATGAAACCAGATGCTTTTGGATACTCCCGAAACCCCATGCAAAAAAGAAACCCATTAGAGCTGGAACTTCGTACGGATTCTGTCCGTTTTTCCCTTCCACTCCCACTCCTGTCCACTCGCCCGCTGGATACCCTTATCCACACGACGGAGCTTCAGAGTGAATCGAGGGCCCAGCTCCTGCAGACCAGTTCGGATGCCTTCTGCACCCTTAATCTCCTTTCCGTCGGTGCCGACGACTGCCTTCTCCGTCTCGCGCTTCTCGCGGAAGACGTAGCGGTGGCGGCGGACGAAAATGTAATCGCGCTGGTTGTGAAGCGTCACGACCTGGCGTCCTTCGAACTCAGGCTGCGGGGGGAAGAGACGGCGGAATAGATGCGCTGTCAGAAGACCCAATGGTGTGCGGAAGTTGTTCAGGATCAGCTCGGGCCAGTGTTCTGTGGCACGACCATGACCAGGAAGGCGCTTGCCCTCGATCCAGTTGCTGATGCTGAAGTGGAAGGTTGGGCCGACAGGGAGGTGGACCATTGTCAGGCCGCAGGGCTTCTTCTGGTCCTCGTTCAGCACGACCAGAGTGGTGAACTGGCGGTTCGTAGCGAACTTGGCGATCTCACGAATTGAGAATTTGTGCGAATGGCGGTGTGCTGAGCGACGGATGTACACGCTGTTGGGGAACAGACCTGTCAAGATATCGGCTTCGTCGTGGAGGTTCGAGTTGAGCGAGGTGGTGATGAGAATTTTCGGGCTCGGGGGAGTCTCCTCAGAGAAGAGAGTAGGGAATTTGGCAGCGAGGGCTTCGGGGGCCAGACTCAGGTTTGTACTGCGTGTTGAGGCTGTAGGGCTAGTGGCTCGTTCGGTGGCAGAAGGAAGCGACGACTTCTTTCGTCCGCGGCTCGAGTTTTCCTCTTCGTCCTCGTCCTCGTCAGAGCCTTCGCCGTCGCTGGAGGCGATCATACTGTCGATAGACTCGGCATCAGACTCCTCAGCTTCGCTGTCGTCTTCACCCTCTTCCAGCGGTCGGTTCAATTCGTCTTCTTCTTCCTTCTTGGCACGCTTGATGCGCTCGACATCCACGGCCAGACCCAGACCGTCTTCCTCGGCGTCACTATCAGCCTCATCCCAGACACGCTTGCGGTCGAGTGTCAGAGGAACATTGCGACGCAGGCGCTCTTCTCTCAGTTTGGGGTTCTTGGCTTCTTCCTTCTTGAAACCGTAGCGCTCATCTCGCCGCGCGGAATCTTTAGCTCTCTTGCGCTTGATGTGCATCAACTTGCGGCGCTGCTTGTTGCCGGTCTTGAAATCCATGGCCGCATCAGGTGGCGGCCCGCTTCGACCTGTTGGTCCCATGGTGAATGTAGTTGGAGGGTGGTGTTGTACTGGACTGATCGACGGTTCTTGTCGCAAAGAAATAAATTATCACGGAGAATTGTTGATCCGGGCTGGCGCTCCGACAACCACGCGATCTTTGATTGTTGATCGCCGTTGAAGAAAGGGAAAATTATAGGAACGAGACAAAGGGACCAGCGTCGTCCATTCTCAGCACTTTCGATTGACCCCTCTTTTTGCCGATTGCCCTGTGGTGAAACCTCGGGCTTGTGTGGGTGGATGACTCAATTGCTACCGCGCATTTCCCCCGCTCTTTTCTTCCCCCTCCATCGATTCTCGCTAGGACTTTCACCTGTTCGCCCGCGCTCCAGAAGCAGAACCGCAATCCCAAGATGGCCACCGTCAAAACCAAGACCGGCCAGGAGGTCGACCGCCTCGTGCTGGACTCCATGCTCCGCCGCCGCATGTTCTACACCCCCTCCTTCGAAATCTACGGTGGTGTCTCTGGTCTCTATGACTATGGCCCTCCCGGTACCGCTTTGCTCGCCAACCTGACCGACACATGGCGCAAGCACTTCGTGCTTGAGGAGGATATGCTTGAGGTCGACTGCAGCATGCTCACCCCCCACGAGATTCTCAAGACTTCCGGGCACGTGGACAAGTTCGCCGATTGGATGTGCAAGGACCCCAAGACTGGCGAGATCTTCCGTGCCGACCACTTGGTCGAGGAGGTGCTCGAGTCCCGCCTGAAGGGTGACAAGGAAGCGCGCGGACAAAAGGTTGAGGTTGATGCCGAGAAGGAGGCCAAGAAGAAGAAGAAGTCCAAGGGTGAGACCAAGGCTGTCAAGCTTGACGATGCTCTCGTGAAGGAGTACGAGGAGTGCCTCGCCCAGATCGACAACTTCGATGGCCCCGATCTCGAGAAGATCATCGTCAAGTACGACATTCGCAACCCCGTCACCGGTGGTGCCGTGGAGCCCCCCGTTGCTTTCAACCTCATGTTCCAGACCTCCATTGGTCCCAGCAGCAACATGCCCGGTTACCTTCGCCCCGAGACTGCCCAGGGTCAGTTCTTGAATTTCCAAAAGCTGCTCGAGTTCAACCAGCAGGGCATGCCCTTCGCCTCTGCCTCCATTGGCAAGTCTTTCCGTAACGAGATTTCTCCTCGCGCCGGTCTTCTGCGTGTCCGTGAGTTCCTCATGGCTGAGATTGAGCACTACGTCGACCCCGACGGTGGCAAGAAGCATCCCCGCTTCGTCGAGGTCAAGGACATTGAGATGTCCCTGCTTGACCGCAACGTCCAGCTGTCCGGTAGCACCAAGACCACCAAGATGACCATCGGCAAGGCTGTCGAGATCGGCCTCGTCGACAACGAGACCCTGGGTTACTTCCTTGCCCGTATTCAGCTCTTCCTGATCAAGATCGGTGTCGACTTTACCAAGCTCCGTTTCCGTCAGCACATGGCCAACGAGATGGCTCACTACGCCCAGGACTGCTGGGATGCCGAGCTGCACACCAGCTACGGCTGGGTTGAGTGTGTTGGCTGCGCCGACCGCAGTGCTTACGATTTGACCGTGCACAAGAACAAGACCGGTGCTCCTCTCGTTGTCCGCGAGACTCGTGCAGAGCCTCTGCGCGTTGAGGAGTGGCAGATTGACCTCGAGAAGAAGAAGTTCGGTCCCCGCTTCAAGAAGGACGCCAAGACTGTCGAGACTGCCATCGATGCTCTCTCCCAGGAGCTGCGCGAGAAGCTCTCCCTTGATCTGAACAACAACGGCAAGATCGAGATCGATGTCGAGGGTGTTGGCTCCGGTAAGGTTGAGCTAGACAAGGAGCTGATCAACATTGAGAAGCGCACTCGTGTTGAGAACGTTCGCGAGTACACTCCCAACGTCATTGAGCCCTCCTTTGGTATCGGCCGTATTCTGTACAGCATGATTGAGCACGTCTACTGGTCGCGTGATGGCGACGAGGCCCGTGGTGTAAGTTTGTCTTGTCTTATTTTCATGCCCATTGCTAATCCCATATTCTTTAGATCCTTTCTTTCCCCCCGGCTATCGCACCCACCAAGGTTCTCCTGGTCCCCCTCTCCACCAACCCTGCCTTCAAGCCTCTGGTCCAGACTCTGTCTTCCAAGCTGCGCAAGTTCGGTATCTCCAGCCGTGTGGATGACTCCTCCGCCAGTATCGGAAAGCGTTATGCCCGTAACGACGAGCTGGGTACTCCCTTCGGTATCACCGTCGACTTCCAGTCCGTCAAGGACAACACTATCACCCTGCGTGACCGTGACTCGACCAAGCAGGTCCGGGCCAGCGAAGACGAGATCATGGCTGCTCTTAAGTCGCTCACCGACGGCGAGGAGACCTGGGCGGATATCATCAAGCGCCTGCCGGAGTTCACTGGCCAGGAGGTTGAGTAGATCAACTAGATGTTGCATCTCTAAAAATATATACACCATTTCATTTCATGCAGACATACACATGTGTTTTCTATCTAAATTTTTTTACTCTCTACTATAAGGTCAGATCTAAGTAAAATAAAGACGGCAGTCCCGATTCGGCCATCCGCGCCAAGAATCCGGGGCAACCTCGTCATCGTCCATCTGTCCTCTCCTCCTCCTCCAGAACTCCGATCCCCAACATGGCGCCTACTGTACATTCCGCCAAAATCACTCTTTCGTGTCCGCTCTTCGCGGCCGACTTCGACCCGCGAAATAATGGCCGCCTGTTGGTGGGGGGCGGCGGCGGCGAGGGCCGCAGCGGAGTGGGAAACAAGATCGTGAGTGCGCAGCTTTGTTTACGCGAGCTTTACTGATTGCTAAGTAGTCTCTCCTCGATACCTCACGCCGAGATAAAATCGTGGAAGCTGTGGAATTGAACTTGTCGCGCGACGAGGACTCCGTCACGACACTCGCTGTCGCGCCTCAGACTACCGACGAAGAGCACTCGCTGGTGGTCCTGGCTGGTATCAATAGCTCTGTTGCGGAGCAGAAGAAAAACAATAATCAGCATTTGCGCGCATTCCGGTTCGAGGTGCCGCAAAAGGTCCAGGCCATCGCTACGGACAAGCCAGAATCCGACAAGGAAGAAACGAAGGAAAAGAATGACGAAGTGATTCCTGGAAAAGCTACACAATTATCAAAAGAGTCGCTCTTCCGCTCGAAGAATGGGCAGTTAGGAGATACCTACCAGCGCGTGTTCAGACTGTCTCCTTGGAGGAAGCAGGCTGATGTTTCGGAGAAAAGCACACAGGATACCAGAGTTGGAGCCATTGCTACGGGACTCGCACCTTCTGGAGAGATTGTCTTGTTCCGCGCAACAGAATCGCCCAGCGAATCAGACGTGATCGGCCGCATTCAACTCGGTGCGAATGAGGAGGCCGACGATATTGATTTCGTCGGTCTTGAATATGAGACGGATGAGAGTAGAGAAACTTCAGGTCGATTCCGCGTGGCTTATACCAATGGAGTGGATGTGATGGCCGGCGATATCTTGTCTACCACACGCTCCAATGCTGCTCCCGAGCTATTCAAAGTCTTCACTATTTCTTTGCCCAGAAGCGGTGCTCCCGCTGCCCGTCCCAAGTTCCGTTCCCTGCGTTTCTTGTCGCCTACGACTATTTTAGTGCTCCAGAATGCTCCTGATCGTGGCGGCTGCGAACTTGTCCTTCTACAAATACCCACAAAACAGGGTGATGAGAGCAAGGTCTTGCGCCGGCGCAAGCTCCCTCGGGGCGTGAAGATCGGTCTTGGCCTTGATGTATGCCCACTTGGTACAAACCAAGTCGGCCAACAACAAACCATCATCGCCGTCAGTGGCAGTGACCATTCCATCTCGCTCTTCACTATCGAGTACGGGCCGACGAAGGGCTACAACAAGTTCCAGCCCTACACAACCCTCCGTGATGTGCACCCCTTCTCCATGACGAAGCTCTGCTTCTCAACCTTTGTCGCTCCCGCCCACCCCATCACTCCGGAAGTCGGCCCACAAAAGGTCAAGCTTGCGTCCGTCAGCATGGGAAACACTGTTGCCGTACACACAATGCCTCTCCAGCCCTTCCCGCCCTCTTCCCGTACTCCACGCTACGTGCTGACCCTCCCTGGTCCCGCCGAGTTCTGGGAAGGTCTCGTTTTCAGCCTCGCCCTGCTTGTCTCCTTCCTCGTCATCTGCACTGCCCTTCTCTCCTTCGCCGAGATCCGCGGCGCTACTCCGCCATACCTGGGCGCTGCAACCTACCTCCCAGATACATGGCGCGAGAACTGGGCCGTCGAATACAAAACACCGCCAAACGGCAAGGGCTCTTACTTCGATACTCTGCTCGCACCCAAGTCCACCAAACCAGTTGTTCAGGTTACTCCCGATCAACTTCACTCTCTGAAGGACATCCTTGACCGCGTCCACAGCGCCGGCGCCGCGCCAGCTGATCTCGAGACCGTAACACCGCACTCTCTTTCCGTGATTGTACGGTGCAACAAACCCGGCGTGAACGCAGAGCAGAGCGTGATCATTGAAACCTCTGCCTCGCACAAGGCTCACGCCGCCTCGGATGAACAGCGCCTCCACGCCTGGCAGGAGATGCATACCGCCGATCAGGATTCCTGGAAACGCCGTCTTGAAGCTGCAGGCCGCTGGACTGTCAGTGAAGGTGAATCTGTCCTGCATGGTGTCTTGTTCGGCGAGACATGTGGGCATTTGGAGCAGTGGGTGGCTGACGAGTTGTAAGCATGTGATGTATGAATTGGTATACATATTCGATGATAGACGATCTAAGCAATGTATTATTGATATGATGGCAGACAATCTTCAAGTAAAGAGTGAAGACAGAGCGATATAGTAAAGTAGAGCGCAAATAAAACATATCCAGATCATCCGATCGCAATGAATTGTTCCCAAATAGAAAATCCAAATAGCATCCAGCTCTTGCCCCTATAAATATCGCCCTTTCTTCACTTTCATCTTCTCTTTCTCCCCCGGCCGCGCACCCGCCTCCTGGCCCGTCGACTCGTAGTGGGTCGGCTGTAAGGCCGACACTGCCCAACGCGACAGTAGGTAGCTTGGGGGCTTCTGACTCAACACTCTTTAGGCCGGCTCAATGATGAAAGTCTTGGATGAGGCCGAGACCTGGGATTCCGAAACTGAAACCTGACAGAGCCGACTCCTATTTCACTTGCTCTCTTCCCCATATTCTTGGCCTTGATACTCTTCTCCATTACTTCCCCTCTACATTCCTCGAAGCCATACAGAAAAGAGAAGCAGACTCGTATTAATGGACATTCCATATTATAATTATTCAATATCAATTCTATAATCAAGATCCATCTTCCACATGAACTCCCCGATACCACCTCTCGCATAACATAACTTACTCCTCATTAACAGTAACATCCTCAACAGCACTTTCCGAAATAGCAAACTTGCTCAAAGCCCTCAACCGCGCCCCAAACCAGTAAAGTAACCAAATTCCAATAATTCCAATAACACTCAACCCACCAAGCAAGCTTGTGCCCCTCGCCACTCCCAAATTCCCAAACAGCGGATGCGCAAAGAGAACACTTCCACAAGCCAGCGCACTCCTGAAGAAGTCATTTGCCGCAAACAAACTCGCCGCATACTGCGGATAACTGAGCGGGATGTACACGAACAAACACTGCATGATGATGAACACCGTCGCGCCGTAGATTGTGATTCCAATCGTCGGGACAATCCAGTGAATGGATGCCCTAGCCGTCCAAGCAAATAAGAAGAGACCGATTGTAGGACCGACGGCCGCCACAAGAGCGGGAGTCAGACGGGCTTCTTGCGCGGGCATCCCGTATTTCATAATACGGGGATTCATCCAGAAATAGATATATGAGAAATACAGTGCTATTCCGATCATGCACGAGACGAGAATACAGAGGAAGACGAGACCGATCTCGCCGAGGTTCATCCCGTAGTCGACGGGGTAGACGAGGGGGAAGACTTCGAAGAAGGAGTAGTAGATGCCATAGATGATAGCAGTGTAGATCTGGACAAAGAGAACGGCTGGATCTTTGATAGTGATTTCCAATGGTTTGATCAGTGCGTCGACGGCCACGTGGGAGAAGCGCATGTTGCGCTGGTCGATTTCGGACTGGGACATGAACTTGGGGTTGGAGTTTAGTTTGCGTAGGCGGGCTGCGCGGCGGAGGAGGATTGTTGCGGTGCTTGTTTCTGGGAGAAACAGGAACATTATTATCAGGACTGGGGCGGATGCCCAGATTGATATGAAGAGGGACCAGCGCCAGCCTTTGACGGGGACTGCAAAGCCGCTTAGGAGTGGGCCGAGGGCGGCTGGGAGGTGGTTAGTTGCATGGTTTATGGAGATGGGGAGGGGAGGATGACTTACGACCACAGTAGGCAGCGGAGACCCAGGCCATTAGGGCGTAGGGGGAGGGACATGAGGCTGTACATGTCACCAATGGAGGCACCGCCTGAGGCGAGGCAGGGTGAGCCGAAGAAGCCTTGTAGGAAACGAAGAACGAGAAGGCCTCCGAAGTTGCCGACAAATGCTGTCGGGATGGAGATGATCACGAAAAGGAACATCGTGATGATGTACACTGGGTTTCGGCCGATGATTGGGATCTCGCTCAATGGAGAGAAGATCAATGGTCCGGTACCGTATCCGAGGACGTATAGTGAGAGACCGAGGGTAGCGACGAGAGTGCTGACACCGAACTCTTCCATGACTCCAATTGTGGAGGAGGTATATATGGCGGAGGTGGTGTACACGACAAAAGTGTATAGACAGATGATTGTTGCGATGAGAGCGCGCTTGGTGTTCGACCAGTTGTGGGGATCCTCGGGGTCATCGGTATAGTACCAATCGACGAGGACGATGCCGTCTCGAGTGCGTTTGGGGACAATGGGCGTCGACTTGACTTTTTCGATCTCATGGCGTTCGTCTTCTTCCAGGCGCTCTTCCGTATAGGGGAGTGAACGCCGGGTCGATGTTTGACTGAGAGCGTTGCCATTATGGTCGCTGCCATGGTTTTCGGGACTTTCTTCTGGCTTCTGAGTCTGTGACGAGTCTTTCCTTGACGTGTCCGACTGGTTCATCACATCGACCCATGTCTCTGGTAGTTGAAAGTCGGGCTTCTCTTCGGGGTATTGGAAGTACTTGTTCTTCGTGACAAAACGGACCAACTGCCCGAATGGGGCATCTCGAATGACGGCCTGCATCCTGGGAATGAAGTCAAGTGTGATACTGATTCATGGTTACGAGCAGGTAGGCGGGCTATATAAGCGGTAACGGCGTAGATGGAATTAGGTGATAAGCAGCACGACACTCTAAAGCCCGTCAATTAGAAAGCATATGTGCCAAGCCAGCCTCAGTCAAGCTACCAAGGTCAATGTGACAGAGATACACTTTGACAAGTCCCAATGCGGTATGTGGTGGACTATATTATTATTCATCACCATTTGGAATCAACCGTGGTTGACTCATTTCCATGGTCCAAGCTAGCGGAAAATGGATACCGCCGGTAGGGCACGCCATGTACGCTCTTGAGAATTGACCCGAGTCCGGTTGATGAAAAAACAAAAAATAACAATCAATTACGCTAACGGGTAGATAGCGCCATCTCTGCGGACTAATCTGTGCAATACCAGCGACAGAGCCCAATGTGGCTTTTTGCTGCTGACAGATCCAGATCCACGGAATTCTGATGATTCATCGATCGGCGGTAAGATCTTATCCCCACCATACAGATCCTAGATTTCTCCGTGGGCTCTTATCGCCGTCTTGGCCCGATTATTTCTTGTAAAGCTGCCTGCCAATTCGAATTGCCAAGGGCCCTTGGAGGTACCGAGTGTCTGCTACTCAAACCTCTAGCTCTCGTAAGCTCCACAATGAGTCAGTCCATCGCTTATCCAGCTGCTTGCATCATCATGCACAGGGCAGGTAGATGACTTGTCTAATGCGCCAGATTAGGCAATTCTTGTCACAAATGTTCTTTCGTCACTGACCTTGCATCATAATTACAACTCCTAAATATAAACACGATCAACTGAAATCAGAACATCGATTACATTCGGAGGAAATTCAGATGCCCTTAAGTTAACCGCCAAGATGACTAACCCCGATCACAAGACGACTATCACGTCATGAAACAAATGTGACAAAAGTACCTGGGAATTTTAACTCAAGCTACGAATTTCGTCGGCTCCGAAACCCTCTTCACACGACAGCACTAATCTCGGCAGCATGAGCTCCGGTCGCAAGATCCCAGATCCCGAAGTACGTCTTCCATCGATCTGACTAAACGAGAAACCAGATCCTGACAGTATCAGCCATTGTCGCGAAGCGAAGAACGTCACTTCAGCAAGTACGGGAAACTGCCGCGAGGAGGCCTACTTGGTCAACATTCGAAGGTACCAATTCACCCTGATCCATCCCTTCAACCATGCCATCGATCCTATACTAACCTGACCCTTCTCCAAAAGGAACGAACATACTTCGACTCCGGCGATTTCGCCCTCTCGGCCGCTGACCACGAAACAGACGGCGGCGCCATCAGTACCGGCCGAGCACATCCTCAACGAGACAGCATCTCACACCCCTATGCCCCCATCCCGGCGGCTAGTAATGTGAACAAGGATGCAAATGAGGATCCGTATAGGAAGAGTGCTAGTCCTGAGCGAAGCCCGCTTCTTCAGCAGACGGATGTGAATATGAAAAATAATGCCGGCGAGAGGGATGGGTTTTTTACGCATGGGGGTGACGGGGAAGGGTGGAAATAAGTTTGCGTTGGATTGATGGTGTGGATGGTGTTTATAGTGTTTTTGGTGGAGATGTATAGTACTTGTCAATATGAGGGTTGGCGTTCTATCAGAGGTCTGGAAAACGGAGGGACATGTATTTTATAAATTGTGAATAGCTTAGCGATACTCGGTATTAGGGTGAGAATTGAAGTTATGGAACGAGGACGTCCTTCATAGTCCCAGCAGCCTTAAGCAGAGCCTGTCAACATAGGTAGTACCTTTGGTAGTCAATAATACAGTCTAGTCGTTCTTTTACTCAAAAAAGTGGAGTGCTCGAATGACAGAACCTGGATTGGGCCTCCAGGAACACTCTTGGACAACAGTGAGGTTACCGTTGGAGCATCAACCGAAGACAACTTTGAAATTGAATAGGAGCACCAGTCAGAGCATTAGGTAAGCGATCAATTCGATCAGGGAGCAACTCAAGACAGCGTACTGTTCAATATGCCGGTGAATATTGCAAGGAGACGAGGATTTGGTTTGAAACCTCCACCGATCCAAGCTGAAGCCTTCATATTACGATTCAAGTGAATTCAAATAAGAAGCTCAATTTAGCTAACTTCGCTTTTAGTACCGACGTAGATAGAGAGCCGGATCGTCACGTCATGGGGGCATTGGGATCGGAATAAGGTCAAGGTGAAGAAGGTATGAGGTGATCTTTTGTGCAAGGGGGATTATCATGGACGCGAAAGAGAGCAACAAAAACGCCGAATTAACCCACGCCCAGGTTCTGTATGTGGAATAGAAACGGAAACAGGAACAGAAAGCAACGTGCAACGTGTTCAGGGGGGTCGCCCATGCAGGTTCGTTAAGAAATGGAGAGAAGAAAAAAAAAAAAAAGAGAGAGCACTGTTCTAACCGGAGGCGCGTAAATCGGTTCCATATGTGCGCGGCAAAGCTTCTCAAATTCCCAATGTGAAGGGGATATGCGAGTGGAATATGATGGAAATTACTGGCCGTTGGCCTTCTTCCACCGCAGCAGTTCCGCGAGGCTGGCGAGACTGCAGCCCATCTGGAGGAATTCGTGAGCGAGGAGTTCGTCGGCTGTGGCTCGGCTGCGGACGTCCACGCAGAGACACACGCTCAGGAAAGCCTTGAGTTCCTTGCTCAGTTTTTCGGGCTTCTTCAGGCGCGGGGTTCCGTTTGTCGCAATGAGGTACAGCGCCTTCAGGGGCTCTTCGTTCAGGTACGGTGGCTCGGATTCAATCATCTCAATGGCCATGATACCCAACGACCAGCAGTCGACTTTGGGGCCGTACTCCTTCTGCTTGACAACCTCGGGTGCCATCCAGTAAGGAGTGCCCACCATGGTGGCACGCTTGTTCTTCGACTCGGTGAGCTTGGCACAGAAACCGAAATCGGCTAGAAGGGGTTAGTGAACTATCTTCAAGCGGCTAGGGCCCGACTCACTGATCTTGACGTGGCCGACACGGTCGAGCAAAACGTTGTCACTCTTGATATCACGGTGAATGATGTTTTGGCTGTGCAGGTGGGCCAGCCCCTTGCAAGTCTGTAGGCAGTGGTCAGTATGTGTATGATCGTTGGAAGGAAGGAAACAAACCTCGGAGCAAATCGTCGCAATCTGGTTCTCTGAAATCACCTGGTTGTTATCAATGACATCGGTCAAGGCACCACCCTCCATGAACTCCATGACGACCCAGAGCTCATTGCTTGACTCCTGCAAGAATGAGTCGAGGAAGTTAACAATGTTGGCGTGCTGGCTGTCCTTCATGACAATAATCTCGTTGACAATCAACTCCTTGCGAGGCTGGCTGCGCAAGTCCATCTGCTTGATGGCTACCTGGCAGCGAGGGCCATATTGGCGGTAAAGCTCACGGGCAACGCCCGATGTTGCCCCTTCCTTAACACGCGCCACGTAGACGGATCCGGAGGCACCCTGGCCAATCTTCCGCTGTTTGCTGTAGGACTCGTTCGGGTTGTCCTTGGACACAACTGATCGCAGGCGATCCATCACTTCGTTCTCAGTCATCGCAGACATGCGCACCTCCTTCTTGTGCGGCTGGTCGGGCTTCTTGGTCAGGGCAGCTTCGGCCTGACGCACACCATCAGAAACACCTTGTTTGGTTCCATTCTGCTTGTTGGCAATGTTCAGAGGCTTCACAGCCTGGACAGGAGCGGGCAGACGGGTGGGAGGAGGTCCTTGAGCCTGCTGGGTCTTGGATGCATTGCTCGGTTGACGGGAAGCCTGAGCACGAGGATCGTTGGGAGGATAGGCGGAGCTGGGCGAGCCTGAGTTCTGGGGTTGAGAACCGGGTGCTCGGGATTGACTTTGTCCATAGGGGCTTTGCGCAGGAGGAGCCGGAGCCGGACGCTGCGCAGTAAGCTGACGAGGATCTTGCCCTTGGCTGCGCGCTGCAGATCCAGGGGCTTGCGGTGCTGGACGACTGGGTTGGTAACGGCTGTTCGAGGATGGATCCGAGCCACCGTAGCCACCAATCTCTTGCTTGGCCAACGGTTGCCGGGTCTTGGGCAAGGTCGCATTGTATGCTTCGTCGTCCTTGCGACGCTCTTCCTCAACACGGCGACGTTCCTGCTCAGCCATTCGCTTCATCTCTTCCAACTGTCGCATCTTTTCAGCGGCTGCGGGATCATTGCTTGACTGGCCGGGGGAGGAGTTGGCAGAGCGCATAGAGCTATCTGTACTGTCTAGGCGCTGTGTAGGCCCAGGCGGGGGAGGGCGTGGAGGAGCAATGGAGTTGCCCACGGTGTTGCTACCGAGTGGCTTCGCTTGTCCATTAGCCGCACCACCCATGCCGGCGTAGTACTGGGGGTTCTGCTCGCGCATCTTGATATCGGAGTAAAACTCCAAGACTTCAATCACAGCCTGAGGGTTCTTCTTATAGTCCTCCTTGGTAATAGCCGAGGCTGTCAAAAGTTTTTCCCATTCTGGAGGCAAGCCCACGAAAGCGCCGGTCTGGGGATCGAAGCCAACGTGAACACGATGGCTGAAGTTGGTCGGGTTGCTGACACCACCCATGCCGGGGCAGCGCTCATAGATCTTGTCGATCCAGTCGTAGATCTCATCATCGGTTCTTACCTCACAAGTAATCGACTTGGTCGCGACATCGCGGGACAGCATGGCAGCCTTGGAGCCTGCATCCTTGGGGTTGGCCAGACGCACAATCTCAAAGGCCATCTTGGTATCCTCCGAGCGGGACACATTGGTGACGGTTGACAGCGGGAAAGACAGGACGCTCTTACCCGTCTCACTCTTCAAAAATTCGATTTTGTAGTCACGTAGAATGAGATATCGCTGGCCCCAGGTTGCCAAAAACTTGTCTTCCTTGCAGCGCACGGGTCCTTCTTTGATGATACCGATTCCGCCCTGTCCACCAGTCTGGCTCCGGGCCAACGATGGAGAGCTGGTGTTGGGGAAAAGCGAGAGGTTGCCGCCGGGGACCGGGCCTGGGGTACTGGGCGATTGCAAAGACATTTGGCCGAACGAGGTGGCCACATTGGGATTGTTGGTGGGAATGGTCAACTGGGGCCGATCCGTAGGGGGGCGGGGAGCTGGCCGCGTATCCATGAACTGATCGGGCGTGTACATTGTACTGCGGAAGGTTAATGGATATCGTTCTCGGGGGCGATCTTCCCGTATCCAAGAGCGACTCACTTTCCGTACTGGGACATATTGCCAGAGACTTCGGGACGCGAAAGAAGTGAAAGCGCGCCGAGACCTCCTGAGGCCTCTCGAAGCTAGCGGCTCTGAGAAAACAGGGTCAGCTCTCACGTTCAGGGGAGCGCCCAGGTCGATCCGAGGGGGGGGGAACGTGCAGCGGTCCCAGGGGCGGTCAAGAAAGGGATTGAGGGGGGAATCCTGAGAATGACGGACTTACGGAAATCAAGAGCGGACCTCGCACTGCGAGGATTGCTCGAACCGAAAAGCAAAAATTGGCCGGGATTTGGGGATGGTGGGGGATGAAAGGAAGATAAAGGGGGGAAGGGAAGATCTCAGGAGGCCATCACCACCCAGACTCTCACGGAGACGACGATACAGGTAAACTAAGGGGCCAAAATAGAGCTAGTCTCATGGCTCGACCTGGTTCAATCTACAGAAAACATGACTCTACCAATCATGGTGGAAAGTGCGGAGTCTGGTTCCACGGTCCGTTCTAGACGACCCGCGCGGTGTACCTACGACTAAACAGTAGTTCAAGGTACCACGTATACATCGCAAGATGTCTATGACTTTCTCTTTCCATTTTAGTGCTCATCCCCCGCCATCACTGAGTACCCAGGTAGATTCAAGCACACCCCTGGCCTGAGTTGCCCAGTAAGTGTTATGTAACCAATATGGCTCGTGTTTGTCACGTGATTCTATATTCCGGACCATGTATCAACGATCTTATACAAGGTTCGCTTTGCTAGCGGACCCGATTGGCAAATTGCATCCTTCACATTTATTACATATTCCTCAGTGTCTGTACATATATTGTAGCTCATCGTATCCGATATCTTTCACACTATTTCAAAGCTTTCCCTCATTAAAACCCAATCACCGTTCACAACACATCAAATCGTCCCACGTTTGTTGTCCAGTTGCGCAAGTTCATCCTCCACGATTGCCATAACAAACAGCATCATGGTATACACTACACTCGAAACTACCCACTTCTTCAACATTAGGAAGAAGTCCCAGACTCTGGCCAAGGTAGCTACATGTGGCTCCAAAGGCTGTGAAGCCCCCGGGCATTGGTATATATTCCATCAAAAGCACCATCGGTCTTAACAAAACTGGGCGCGTTCACGGAAGGACATCCATAGCCACCATCTAATTCATTCTGGTAATACTTCCATAGATACCATGCCCCGGGACTTGGTGCTAGGGACCTGAAGCTCCTCCCAGATAGTGATTACGTCGTATACGTCAGACATAGGAAGGCTAGAAGCGGGTGTGGTTCTAGATGAATTGCTTTCGATTTCGATAAGGAGCCAGCGGGGGGCATGTTAGATCACCACGTGGCAAATGTAAGGTAGCTACTCCCATAGGATAAATAAACCTAGGTTGACTACTCCACCGAGTTGCGATTTGCGCCATTGCCTCACCACAAATGCCAAACCCTGTAGCCTCCAAACTGCGCAGCAGTTGTCTAGCTCTGGACAGTCTAAATACGCCGGTTCATCAGTACTTTCTCAAGATCACACTCTCAAGTACTCAGTTGACTATACCCGTACTAGTCTATGCTGTAACAGCCACATTTCGACAAGATCAGTAATACTTTGGGACCGGTCAGCGATGGCTCCAATGGCGGAGAAAGATTCGTGACATCTATGTCTACTGGAAGCAAACGAAGCTCCCCTGAACCTCCTCTGGCTCTGCTGATGTTGAGAGAGAATTCTGATAGAACATTGTCAACAAATGGCCTCGTGTATTCCGTGTTATGAGGGCTTGGCGACCTTGTAGACAATACAATATGCAAAAAGGAAGTTCATTAAGCATAGTTTCTCATTTTAGAAGATATCAGCCCTCACTGGGTGATCAGTGAATAAACACTAAACATCTATAAGCACTCACTGAGCTTAAGTCTAAGCCTAAGCCTTAGCCTAAGCCTTAGCCTAAGCCTAAGCGCCCTCACAAGGGCGGCAGCTAGAATAGGAAGCCCCACCCGCCAGGGAGGTGCATACATGTGTAATCTGCTAGTATCCTACAGGGTATCGTATATTATGCTACTATATCACTCGCCAAATGGATGGTTGAATTTCAGCAGCCCATTCAGACCTCCCACCCATCCTTCGTGCGCTTCTTCACCACTACTTCTCCGCATAACACTGGGCACGCCCCCTGCCATTCATTCCGCCCATGCCTCATCTCCTCATTCCACACTCGGACTTCCATGCCGACGGCCATCCCTTGACCTAGATTGACCCCATCGAGACTGACTTCCAGTTCTCGTCCACGATTCTTCTCACTCAGTCGGAGTGTGATGGGCGTGCTGGAGGGTAGAACGAGTGGTCGGAAACTGAGACTGCGCGCACAGATCGGAGTCAACAAGATCGACGGAACCAAAGGATGTACGATACTGCCACCACTACTCAGACTGTAGGCCGTACTTCCTGTGGGGGTGGAGATGATAATTCCGTCGACGACAGCCTCGGTCAGGAATCGGCCGCCAACCCAAATATCCACGACTGCCAGATGTGGTTCTTTACCGCGATGGATGAGCAATTCGTTCATCACGTATACCCCTTCGCCCTGATCGGTTTTTCCCCTGATTGGGGTCGTCTCCCGGCCGTCTCCCGTAAATAGTCCGACCTTAAGTCGGTTGCGCATCAAAATGGGAGCTCCGCGGGTTGAGCCCATGGACTTGCCCCGTACAGAGGACCAACCAGTCGGTCCTTGTTGTGCATCTTGTGCATCTTGTGTATCCTGCTTCTCTGGCACACTTGTTGTCTCCAACATCGGAGTACGGTCTCCAGCTCCAGCTCCCGACATGTAGACTTCTCGGAACGCCCGCTTAAACTCTGAGAATTTCCATTCGCTCAGGAAACCTAGGGTACCCATGCTGAACGATAGCACCGGGGGCACATTGGAGCATGTCGCAAACAGTGAGCTCGCGTGTAGGATTGTGCCATCTCCACCTAACGTGACGGTGAGGTCGATCTTGTCATGAAACGCTGTAGGCTTGTCCTCCAAGGAAGCAGTATAAACAGGGTATGAAAGAGACGAATGGACTTCAGCGGCGGTTTTTGATTCGAGGACGACGGCAACAGAAGGATATGTGGATGTGATGTGACTGAATTATCATTGTCAGTCATGCGCCAGTGCCAGCTTCCAGTAGAGACCCTACTTGGCAAATTCAATGAGCGAGTCAGTTACTGCTGGGGCGCAGTCTTTGCGCACCAACAGGACATTTCGAGGTGGTGCGGGCCATTGTAAAGATAATAGTTCACCCTGAGACTCTATTACAGAATGTCAGCCTCGTATCAGCCTTCATGCGCAAGCGCCCTACCTTGGTATTTGGGAATCAGCCGCGGAGCCAGCCCAGCGACATCACGGATCTCGCGACACGGCGCAGAAGAGGAGAAGAAGCGCAGGAACCGACCGGGGAACCTGCGAGGAATGCACAACATGATTGCTAGACCGGGATGACGGTCATATGTTGTTAAATCCGCCCATCGGGATTAAACGAGAAGATGGAGCTCGGCCAGACTTGACGAACTCCGCCGATTGTAGCCCCACCGCCTGGACAGCTCTGACGTTATTGGGTTTAGACTTGTCCACGAGACCTTTGGCTTTGACTTTCTCAGCGTTGCTTTCTGGTTTGTCACTTTAACTGTTACCTCCCTATTTTGCTTCCTTCTTTTATCCCTCCATCCCCCCAAAGATCACCTCCGTTGCAGCGCAGGGCTGCAACCGAGGCCACACTGTCGATCCCGCATCCGCCGTCTCCCGACTCGGTGACTCTTGGTGGGCTGTTTCTGCTCCCCAGTTGTGCTGGTCCCCCGATCTAGCTCGACCAATACATCCCTCATTAGAAACGAAGCACGCGACCATGGATTCAGCCGAAATCCGCCTGCGCAAGCCATCGAATGGCGGAGCTAGCGAGCTTCTAAAGCACTCGAGTAACCCCCCACCGAGCCAAGACTCAAACATGGCATTACCATGCAGGTACTCCGATCGCTACTTCTAGCTGCCTGGTTCAACGGCTGCTGTATCGTCGTCTTCGTGACTCAGCTGGTCGGCTCCCCGCTATACTTCTTCAACAAGGACTACTTCTACTCCTACATGGCCTATACAAAACAATGCTTCGGATTGATGATCACAGCCCTCACCCAATTGGGCGCTCCGACCCTCTGTCGAGTCAGTGGCGACAAGAGTGTGCGAGGCCAGCTCCATCTGTCGGATGGCCTGCTACAGACCAGCTTTCCAGAACGTGTGGTCATGATCGCAAACCACCAGGTCTACACCGACTGGATCTATCTGTGGTGGTTTGCATACACCAATGTAATGCACGGCCGTATCTACATCATTCTGAAGGAGTCGCTCAAGTACATTCCTATCATGGGCCAGGGCATGATGTTCTACGGGTTTATCTTCATGGCCCGGAAGTGGCAATCGGATAAGCCCCGGCTTCAGTATCGTCTGGAGAAGCTCAAAAGCCAGCACAGTGGCTCACAATCTGGCAAGCCACAATATGATCCCATGTGGCTGCTGATTTTCCCAGAGGGCACCAACCTCTCACTTAATACGAAGAACAAGAGTGATGCATTCGGTGCAAAGCAACACCTCGCTCCCTTCAAGCACGTGATTCTTCCCCGATCGACCGGGCTGTTTTTCTGTCTACAGCAATTGCGAGGAACAGTGGACTGGGTCTACGATTCTACTATCGCCTATGAAGGCCCTCCGTAAGTTGGATCTCGATACACATGGTTGGCTATCCACTAACCTTCTTCCAGTAAGGGAAGCTATCCTGATAAGTACTTCACTCTGCGTTCGACCTACGGACAGGGACGTCCCCCAACCTCGGTCAACATGCACTGGAGACGTTTCGCTGTTTCAGAAATCCCTCTCGACGATCAAAAGGAGTTTGAGGCCTGGTTGCTCGCACGATGGGCGGAGAAAGACCAGCTCATGGATCATTACTTCGAAACCGGCAGATTCCCCTCCGAACTGGCTGGTTCCATCGAAGCCAAGTCAGCTACCCCCGAACAAAAAGTAGCGATCTCAGCTGGCTACATCGAGTCTAATGTTAGATTGCACCACTGGGCTGAGCTTGGCAATATCTTCATGGTGCTAGCTGGACTCGGGTGTCTGTGTCGGTTGATGAACAGCTGGTTCAGTTAATTGGCATGGTATGTAAATGGTTTTGGTTTTTGGCGGCATAACGAGAGACGAAGATACCTAGAAGCATTTCCTATTCTTAGAAATGTCATTATTTAATATGAGTTCAAAATGAGGTATTGTTTGACAATAGTAGAGCTAGTGTGGCGTACCGTGGCGGTGCACTCCAGCCACTCCGTTCACCAATTCTCAACTGAACAAGTACCGCGACTGCGACACCTCCGAACCACTTGCGCGTTTACGGTGCGACACAGGGGACATCCAGCCTCGGATATCAGTGCAAGACACATCCCCTTCAATACATTTGCTGGGCCTCGCTTGATCATGAGTTGAGAGCCCGTCACGATTCTTTCATCCAGTCGCATCCCGGTGACCCTCTTTACCCTCGCTCACCCCCGGCGCAAGTCGCAATCATGGCGCCCCTCGAAAACGGCCACGCCAATGGCTTAAATGGAGATGCACTGCCTCCAACAGCCTCAATGGCCTCTCTGCGCTTCTCCGATATCCCTGACGCCATCGATATTCCCGCCTCCAGTTTCGATAGCGAAGTCGAAGTCAGCCTCCTCGATCTCCCCGAAGACCCGACCGAGCTTTGCACATTGTTGGAAAACGAGAGAGCTGCCAAGAACTTCTGGGTTATCATCGCTCTGGCTTATGCCAAGCGAAAGCAGATCGATCATGCTATCGATATTCTGAACAAGGGCTTGGCCTCCGTGGCCCACGGTGCCACCAAAGAGAAACTTGGTCTTCTGGGCTGGGTCTGCTGGCTGCTGATGCTGAAGAGTCGTCAGGCCCCGAGAGTCGCGCCCGAAGGTGAACTTTACTCGGAAGCAAAGACTAAGGATCACTACCTTCAGCTCGCGACCTCGACCTTGAACGAGGCCTCGCGTCTGAACCCGGCATATCCACCTCTGTTCCTGGCGCGTGGCGTCCTCTGTCTTCTTCGTGCCTCTTTATACCCTCCTCGGGCTGCTCGCCCGGGTGCCATCGATACATCTGAAAGAGCGGAAGCTCTGCGTCAGGCATTGAAGTGCTTTGATGAATCTTCAAAGGCATTTGGTGGCCGCAATATCATGGCTATTCTGGGCCGCGCTCGTGCACACTACATGCTGGGAAGATATGCGGAGGCTCTTGATGGTTACCAGAAGGTCTTGATGAAGGTGCCTCACCTCACAGACCCTGATCCTCGAATTGGTCTTGGATGCTGCTTGTGGCAGCTGGGCTTCAAGGACCAGGCCAAGGCTGCTTGGGAGCGATCGCTTGCACTTGTACGTTTCTTTTCTTTGCATTGTCATGAATTTTGTTAACCAACATTTCAACAGAACCCCGAGTCCAAGGTCGCCAACATTCTCCTCGCCGTGTACTACCTCTACGATAGCTCCCGTCGTTCCACCACCGATCCCATGTTCGGCTCTCTCTACAAGGTGGCCATGACTCAGTATACACAGAAGGCGTTCAAGCTGGACAAGGAATACCCCATGACCTGCGCCTTGTTCGGCAGCTACTTCCTCCTGCGCAAACAATACCCAACTGTTGAGACCCTTGCCCGCAAGGCTATCGAACATACAGACGTGATGCCCATTGCCAGTGACGGCTGGTATCTTCTTGGCCGTAAGGCTCACTACGAAGGTGATGCCACAAAAGCAACAGAGTTCTACAATCGCTCCGACCAAGCTCGTGGTGGTGGTGACAAGGGCTACCTGCCTGCCAAATTCGGCGCTGTGCAGATGCAGGTGACAAACAAGGACTTTGACGGTGCCAAGTTCCGTTTGGAGAAGATTGTTCAACAGTCCAGGAACCCAGAAGCCATGATTTTGTTGGCAGCGCTGCATGCGGAGGAAACCTTTGCCCTCCAGAGATCTGGCAGCAAGGAAGACAAGTCGTCCGAGATTAAGCGTGCAATTGGTCTTTTGGAGTCTGTTCGCTCGATGTGGAAGGATGAGAAGCTGAAATTGACACCAGACGAGTCTGTTCTGGTGTATCTTGCTCGTCTCTACGAGAGCAGCGCTCCGGATAAGAGCATGCAGTGTCTTACCCAGCTGGAAGAGCTTCAAATTGCCGGTATCCCTGAGAGCGCTCGTCCGGATATTGATAACGCGGATGATATGAAGGCCGCTCTCCGTGAAAGCCTGCCCCCGCAGCTCCTCAACAACATGGGTTCCTTCCTCTATCAAAGTGAGAAGATTGCCCTTGCTCGTGGCATGTTCCAGTCCGCGCTCAACGCATGTGTCCAGTCAGAGGAAAGAGAAGACGGATCCGACAACGACGCCCTTGTCACTACCATCAGCTACAATCTGGGACGCACTTATGAAGCAGCGGACATGTGGGACGAAGCCAAGAAGGTCTACGAGGGACTTCTGGAGCGTCACAGCAACTACACCGAAGCCAGTGCACGACTTACCTATATTGCTCTGCGCCAAAGCCCCACAGACGAGGGCCCGAAGAAGATGGGCAAGCTCTACGAAGTGGACTCATCTAACTTGGAAGTCCGGGCTTTGTTCGGCTGGTATCTCAGCAAGTCCAAGAAGCGCGTGGTCAACCTCGCCGAGGATCAGGAACAACGCCACTTCAAGCATACCCTGCAGTACCACGACAAGCACGACCGTTATGCCTTGACGGGAATGGGCAACGTGCATCTCCTAGCGGCCCGTGACATGCGCCGCGAGACAGAACCGGAGAAGGAGAAGCGCCGCACTACCTACCGACGTGCCGTTGAATTCTTCGACAAGGCCTTGCAGCTAGATCCCAAGAACGCCTATGCCGCGCAGGGTATTGCTATCGCTCTTGTTGATGACAAGAAGGACCACAGCTCCGCCGTGCAGATCTTCTCCAAGATCCGTGACACGCTCAAGGATGCCAGCGTCTACCTCAATCTGGGCCATGTCTACGCCGAGCTCCGCCAGTTCTCGCGATCTATCGAGCACTACGAGACCGCCCTGGCCAAGGACCGCTCGCGTGATGTTCAAATTCTGGCTTGTCTCGGCCGTGTGTGGTGGTTAAAGGGTAAGCAGGAGATGAACCTGGCTGCGATGAAGACCGCTCTGGACTACGCCCAGCGTGCCCGAGAAGTCTCCCCAGACCAACTTCACCTGCAATTCAACGTCGCTTTCGTGCAGAACCAGATTGCCTCCTTGTCCTACAGCCTACAACCCACGCAAAAGACACTTCAGGATGTGCAGGAGGCCGCCGAGGGTCTCAAGGAGGCTATCGAGACCTTCGACCGTATCTCTAAGGAAAAGAATCCCCCTTACCCAAGCCAGGCTCTGGAGCAGCGTGCCAACATGGGTCGCACGATCAGCAAACAACTGGACCGAGCCATGCAGAGCCAAAAGGAGTACGAGGAGAAGAACGCCGCTAAGCTCCAACAGGCCCGCGAGGCCCGCGAAGCTGCACAGAAGAAGCGCGAGGAGGAGCTCCGCAAGGCACAGGAAGTCGAGATGGAGCGCAAGAAGCGTATCGCCGGAGAGCGCCAGCAAATGCTTGAAGAGACCCAGCGGAGCGCCGCTCAGCGCGCCGAGGTCGAACGTGCCCGCGAAGAAGCAGAGCTTACAGACGACTCCCAGGGTGACAAGGTCAAGCGCACGAAGAAGAAGCAGCCCTCTAAGCGCAAGAAGAAGGGCGGCGACGACTTCATCGCCGATGACGAGGATCAGGCCGAGCACAGCGCCGAGCCAGAGAGCGATACCGAGACCGCGCCCAAGAAGCGCCGTCGTCTCGAGCGGAGATCTGGCGGCAAGGCTACCGCTCCCAAGGCGTCATCGAACAAATTCAAGAGCAGCGAGCGCGTCGTCGATTCAGACGAGGAAGAAGATGCTCCGACTCCAGGCGAAGAGCAGGAAGATCTGTTCGGCGACGAGCCAATGGCGGAAGAAGCTCCTCGTCGACGCGAAAAGGCATCCCGCCGTATCGCGGATGATGATGACGACGAGGAAGAGGAAGAGGAAGAAGAAAAGGAAGAGTTGAAGGCCGCAGAGGAAGAAGAGGAACTTTTCGGTGAAAAGGGAGACACAGAGATGCAAGACTGATTGCCACACTATTTTACTTAACTTTTTACTTATTTGCGGCGTTGGAATGGCAAACTCCGTGATTTGCAATGAACAGTTTGCGCTTCAAACCCTTGTGTAATTAGCCTACAGTTTGAATTGGATATTTAGACCTTTGTGCAAAGAACAGACGTATCATGAGACCCGGCTAGTTACATGTGCTGTATCGGCAATTAGCCAAACAAGGGCCGTGCTCGTGTCCCTGTCTCACAAATCAGCCCCCATTCCCTAGCTAGGTACGGTACCAACCCCTACCTACACCGTATACGTCCTCGGGTGTCAAAGATAAGCAAAAGCTGACACCTACAACCTAGGAATTAGCCTATGCAGATCTTGCATTGAGTTCATTCTGACATGTAATTTGCGGCTTGGCATGCGAAATACGCTCCGAGCTTAGTCCTGCCGCGCTTGAGGATCGGCGCAAATACGCAGTACGTCCCGCGGCTGTGCATTAGTGCAATTGTGCGTTGGACTCGGCTCGGAGTCTAGTATGCAGTAGGCTTAGGGCTGATAAGTTACTGCCTAGGTATCCGTACTTTTGACTTTGCTGTTTTGGAGTATGTATGTCATTGGAGTAAGGTAAAGATACGTATAGCTTGGCGTGCCGTTGAACCATGGCACCTTTGAAGCAATTAGTCTCTCTTTCAGTCGCAATGACACTAGACATTAGAGAGTAAATCTCTACCTTGAGAAATAGGATCTGAACACTCATGTCCCCCACGAACAGCCCAGGGTGCCGTATCCTCTAGCCCAAGATCATCGCCATATCTACCTACCCGGGCAGAAAATGGTAAAGTGTCAGTCAACGCCGCATACGGAATCAAGAAGAAAACAACCTTCACACTTCACAACAGCCAATTGTATTCAAATACATCGGATTTTCAACTGCAAAGTATGAAAATTAATCCCTCGTCAGGAACAGTTCATAATTCTAAACCTATCGCTCTATGGAACGACACCTATATTTTCAGGCTTCAATACAACCATATAACTAGGACCTAGAACTTGCCGACCCATTCCGGAGGACCCCATACTCGGGCACTTATGGAATGTTCCTTGGTGGTGAATTTGAACCGTAAGATTCCGTAATGGTGGTTAATGTTGCATAGAATTGGGGAGGGGTGGTAACTTTATCCGTTTTAAGGTTGAAGGCGGTGAAGCTTGACGTTGACCTTTTGGGTTTATAGTGGCGTTTCCCGAGAGTGAAGTATGAGGTAGAGGTGAGATAAGTTGTTGCAATTATTTATTTCATATTTCAAATCATCTGCTTTGCATTCTCTATTCTATATTCCATATTCTTGTTCTATGTTCTTATGTGGTGGTAGGTAAGTTTATGATATTAGCGCAACCATCGATTGCGGCTCTGCTCTTCGCATCTGTAAGTGATCGTCAATAAAATATTCCGGAGACTGCCCTCTTATCTCAACCTATCACCACCCTGATTCCTCCTGGAAATGTACACAGGATCCACTGGTACCCGGAACGGTGAAGCTTCATGTTTTGGGATATCTGTTCCTGGATCCAGCGGCGTAGCCATTGGATGTGCATGCACGTCAGATCTTCGTTTTTTATTCCTTTTTGAAAAACGTTTCGTCTGATAGAGCAGTAAGTTGTGGAGGGTATTTAAGAGGTGGCATTGCCATGCAGGACCGGTTTCGTTTCTTGTTTTTCTTCGATCCCAGTTCCGTTGTCCCGATCCTACCTCCTTCCATTCGGTGGGTTATACTCTACTATACGTTGATGTGAGTGTTCAGTGCTGATTGTGGTTAGTTTCCTATAACACACACCTCAGTATGCATTATTCTTATACTTGCGCCGCTCTTTTCGCCGCCACTGCTCTTGCCGGTCCTATTAGCCTCCGCTCAAACGAGGGTGGTGTGGCCGGTGATATTGGCGCTGGTGTTCTTGCCCTCCGAAATGGCGATCCTACCGGTGCTAAAAACGCTCGCTCTCATGAGGGTTTGGTTGGTGATATTGGTGTCAGTGCCCACGTTTTGGACAATGGGGATATCATTGGCGTCAAGAATGCTAAGCGAGAAAGTGTTGACGAAGACACCGAGAACACCATCGGGGAGGAGGCCGACAAGGCCGAAAATGAGCTCGGGGAAGAGGGAGACAACGTCGAGGGCGTTGCCAGAAAGTCCGACAACGACGACTTCAACCTCATTAGTGATATCGGTATCGCCATGGAGGACCTCGGCAAGGGTGATGTCTCTGGGATTGAGAACGCTGATGATAGCGGCCGAAAGTCCCTCATCGGTGACCTTGATCAACCCTTGGAGGTTCTCAGCGACGCTAAGTTCCTCGGCCCCAAGCGCTCGAGCCCCGAGGGTGAGAATTTCGAGAGCGCCGACAGACTGATCGACATCTCCCTCTTGGGCAAAGGCAACCCCGATGGTAAATACTACAGTGACGGTAGCATCAGCATCAAGCGCGATGAGAACGCCCAAGACGATTTCATCGGCCCTTTTGAGATTGGCGTCCCGGTCATCGACGTACATAACCCCTAAACAACCTCTCAATCTTCAAAAGCGATATAGATAATACGATGGTATGGTCCAGAGTCCCCGGCTTTTCCGAGCAACACCAACAGGATACAGTGATCACTTGGGGGCTTCTTTTTTCATTTATTTATGTTTTTAAAGAACTGGCGTCAGGGAACTTCGGCTTAATAAGGGTAACTGATAATCGTTGATGTGTCAATGGAACGGTTTGAACTTATTTGCTGGCGTTAGGCTATTGAACTATAAGTGTAGATCCGCCGTTAGATGGAGCGACTATGGAGGCGCGATCGTGGCAATCAATCGATAGCGTGTAGCCTAGAGAGGGGGGTCCGGCGCCAGTCGGCTACGATGAGGCCCACGAGGTCCACGCGTATAGTGTCGCCATAAATAGGTTTTTCGATTATTGACATTACCGATAACCGGTTCGTAATGGACATGGACATGGAAATAGAACGGGTAAGATTCGTAGGATTCGAAAAAACAAATCATACCCTACAAGCATGAGGCCACACCAACATATTTCTCTATCTCTGATTGATCAATTCCGGAGAGAGAATTTGCTACCTCCACCGGTAATCGGGGCATCGGGCATCGGGCATCGGGCATCGGGGCATCTCTGTGCGGATTAGGCGACCGTTACGTCCCACCGGCCACATGGCCTACTCTCGCCATCTCGATTAGTTCTAACCTATGTCCAGGCTCATTTTAACGTCGTGCTATTTCGAGAGAATTGCCGATGGACTCGTTCGTGAAATTGCTGCTGTAGATCGCGTGCCGTGCGAACCCGTTCGCTGTGTTTACAATTTCCGAGGCCCGTGTCCGTGCGTTCTGGGACGCGTCTCGCCTTTGGAGAGCCCAGATTTCTCAGATTTCTCAGATCGGAGGGCCCTGCGCTACATTGCAGGCGCAGGTGCAGGTGCAGGTGCAGGTGCATCTGCACGTTCATTTGTGCCTCGGGGAGAGCGTGCCCGGTACCTGCATGAGGTGCAGGAATCGTAGGCATCCCAGGAATCGCAGGAATCGGCCATGTGAATGTTAGGGCTTACGGGGTCCGGGATTGACCCCCCAAATCACGCCATAAGATTGAGGTTCAGGGAATTGGAAACACGGAGTGCTCCAACTCCCAAACATGAACGGCAATTTCGGGGCGATTTCTACTGTAGTGGCCCATGGTGGACCTGGGTTCATGACGACAGGAGTGGATGGCTGAGGACGAGAGGACAGTGGACACCTTACGGACCTTCTCAAACAGTCAGGTCCAGAGCCCGATCGTCGAGACGGTCTCTTCTCTTCACTGGGCGTTGAACAGTGGAGCCCGATACTGGGCGTCACCGAGTGTTCTAGGCGAGGGGATCGTCAGGAGAACGGAGACAGAGGCCAGCTCTGTACCAGCACTTACTGAGTGAAGTGCACTCCGTATACTCCGGACTAGAGCTAGATGCAAAGTCTGTGACTCGAATTGGGGACTCCCTTGTTTCGATCAACTCGCCCCGGTCCCGCTTAGTCCCCCCCCTCGCGCACACGAGGGAATGGCTGAGCATGACGATGTTCGGCTTGTATCCGTAAGGCTTGGGCTCCTCTTTGGCTTACATGTCTATCTTACCATACCCCCCGTACTTGACTCGTCTGTTATCAGTAAGCCTCCCCGAGGCTAGAGGCTACAGACTATAGGTTACAAGCTACAAGCTACATGCTACATGCTACATGCTACAAGCTACAAGCTGCAAACTAAAACCTCAAACCCCTAGTCTGAGACACGCCTCAATGTTCTCCCATCGGTGAGTTCCGGGGGAATTGCGCCTGCATCAACGGGGGTTGGACCAGGGGGGAACACGCAAGGGCCAGATAACAAGACCGGCAGCCTCCGATCCGATAAGACCATAGATCACGTTCGCTTGCACTGTATATTAGGAGAGATGGACAGAGATCATCCCCACCGAGAACGTTCGATCGGAGCCCTACATAGGACTAAGGACTAAGTTTAGTTACGGGGCAATGGCGAAACGAGAGATTTTGAGACGAAAGCCGTTAGCAGCCGAGGCTGCGCTAGTGGCGCGGGGAATAGCACTCAGGCGAATAGTCGAGAACAGGATATAGTACGGTAGTATTCGACTGCATATTTCACATTCTTCCCTATAGCCCCTAACCCCAACCCCAACCTCAACCTCGGGATTCCATGGGATCGGATCCATGGAACCTGGGAAAACGTAGGGTTCACCTGTAAGGTAACCTAGGTGCGTACACACTGTACGGACGGGTAACGCACGCTGATTGTTACTGAACCGGGTTAAGCGGAACCCCACGTTCAAACACACACGTTCAGACAGGCCCCAAGCCCCTGGTGCAGGGTACGCACTAACCCGTGGACTCCGTTCCATTTTAGGTATCGAGGACCATGGAACGAGACCATCCGTGTTATGTGTCAATTCTCTATTTACCCTTTTGATCTATCTTCGAGCGATCTATGATCGGGTAGCATAGCATGTAGACTGGTATAGGGGTTCAAATCTAGACTCAGCTAAGCTTAGCTTTGACAGAAGCCAATTTTACTCCTCTTGTGCAACGGGAGCTGGAGACACTAGGACACTAGGACACTAGGACACTGGACTGGACATCAATCGCCCCTGAACGGCTCCACCCGCGTATCGCGTCTGGTATCGTAAGTCTCGTTTTAGTTATAGGTCGCTTGCTCCCCCATTCTGTCTTCTAACCGTCGCTGTCGCGGTTCATGCTTTCCCTGAATATCATGAAACAGGCGCTGTCCTCCTATTTCACTACTTAAATTGGGGGCAGTTTCTCATCATGCTACCCCAGCCAACATTCTCGCCTGGCATGACTGGCCAGTGGGAGGAGGACGGGCACAGCGACCCTCCGTCCACCCGTTCTTCGAATGATGCCCCTGACCATATGTCTCATATTCGATCTAGGTCGACGGCACACGCTGATAGCCCTAAGAGGCTGTCCGTGTTCAGTGGCCGCTCTCGCAGTAATACGACCACCTCCACGTCGTCCCGTCGTTCGCCCGGTTCCTCCATGACCTCCGTTGACAGCTCCGTCCCGTCTCAAGATGAGCGGACTACGTCCGCTATAGGTATGCGCCCGGAGAAGGATCGTTCACGCTCTTTTCTCGCTCGTGGAAGCCGCATTCTTCGCCGACAGGGCAGCAAGATCAACATCGTCGCCACGCTGGATGAGGAAGACGAAATCGATCGTGAGGCCCAGCAACCCAAGATGGACAAACCTGATATGTTTGGCCGCCGTGCCCGGCGCACTGACAATCGTAAGTGGTGGTTTATTGAGAGCATCCCAATTGAGTTTCGAGTTCAATTGACTGATCATATGCAGATGAACGCCTGAAGAGCCTCATCTCCGATCCGTTCGACTTTCACCATCTGACCCATACGAGCCCCTCACAGTTCCCAGGGTTGGAATTGACCCGTGAGAACGACCTCGTCACCGAATTCTCCGTCATTCGCGCATCTCAACGGCCCGAAGCTGTTCTTAAGGGCATCCGTGCCGACGACATTCACTTCCGCAATTTCTCCACTGAAGACTTGGCTGCGTATGGCACCGCCACCACAGCTGATGCGCCTACTCCTCAGAGCCCTCCAGGCTCGCCTGCGGCGTCGGGCTCGACCAGTCCCACCAGTCATATTCGAAGGGAATCTCGCACCTTTGAGAACTTCTCGCGCCCGGCTTCGAGATATCCCCGATCCTGCCCTACCACACCGCCGCCCCCAAGCGTCCCGGAAAGTGAATCGGAAACTGATGAGCCGGCGCCTCGTGCAATTGACGAGATTTTGGGCCTGTCGTCGGGTCAGACTTACCTCGACTACATGGAATCCGCTCCCTCCCCACAACTTGAGTTTGGCCCGGACCTGAATGATAAACAGCCGCGTGCATACTCCATGAGCAGTCACTATAGCCTGGATGATGTACCAGAAGAGGAGGAAGCTACTCGGCTGTGGGAAGCTAGCCCAGACGCAAGCACCGACTACGCCCATTCCCGCTCTACCTCGCAGGTGAGCCCAGGGACGGTTGAGCCTCGCTCGTGCAGTGTCCCTCCCAAGGCACCGCTTTCGATTTTCGTGGCCGAGGAACTATCGCGAAAGTTCTCTGAAGCTCTCGGTTCGCCGACCCTCCCTCAAACCCTCCCCAGCTCGTCCCCCAATGCCCATGGGGAGATCACTCCCCCGGGCAAGTCGGGCGTCCACCAATTCTCGTATGAGGATGAACTATACGATTCGTGGGATGCAGATATCGACTATTGCTATGAGCATGCGGCCGAATCCACGTCCGACTTTGACTGGTCGCGGACATCTTTTGAGGAAGCTCAGCGTCCCAAGACCAGCGTGGCTTGCAGCGACGAGTCCTTGCTCGGAGCCCCCAAGACCCGCCATCTGCAGCCGAGTCCGCTGAGCACCTCCACACTTCCCACGCCGGATCTGGACTCGAGTCCAGCACGTTCGTCAACATTGCACTCGGCTGTCACTCCTTCAACCACCGAATTCGAGCGGGATTTCATGACCGCGCGCACGAGCGAGTACTTCCAGCCTGTCGCTTCCACCCTGTCCAAGCAGATCAACCAGGAGACTCTGTACGAGGACTACATCACAACCGATGCGCAATCAGATCAACACTTCCCTTTCCACCAGGGAATGATGGCTTCTGATAACCCCGTCTCTCCGCGGAGCAGCTTCTCGCCCATCAGCAAGTGTAACTCCCAGGAGAGCTTGATGCTCTCCCGTGCAGCTTCCATCGCCCGCAAGCACCGCTCCTCCGTGTCCACCACCAGCGTGCCGGAGCTGATCCACAGCCTGTCCAGCAGCCGCGAGCTGATGCCCACCGATAGGCTGACTGCCAGCGAAACTCTCAACCGCCCCCCCTCTGCTCACCACCGCCAGACTAAGAGTCTCGAGGCTCATCTGCTGCTCCAAGCAGGCAGCAACAATGTCTCCGCCTCCGATCTGAGTCTCTCTTCTTTGACCCATGACCGGGCTAAGTCCATCTCCGAGGTGGATGTTCACCCTGTCGACTTCCCTCTCCCCTCGGTTCCCTCTAAGAACCCAACTCGCCCAAAGAAGACCCGCAAGTCTTCCTACTCTCTGTTCCCCACAGCCCAATGAGGCTCCTCTGCTCTATCCGCAAAAATCTTCTTCGCATATCTCTGCCATTCTCTCGCTCCTCGGATAGAGCCATCACGAGTCCACGATCTGTTTCCTATATCTGTCAGCCTTGTTTTATGTTTTTTATATACGTTTCCATCGTTTCTCTCGATGCATTTCTCAGCGATTTTCTGGTTTGGTGTCTGGCCCTGGGACAAAAGCACTGGAAAAGAGGGTTGGGAAGGGATGGATTGGGACATTCGCTATCTGTTTCTCTTTGTGACCATAGAAGCCATGGGTGAATATCGTGGTATTGAATCTGACTGAGTGATAAGTCAAGACCTTGTTCTTAGTAGCGTATAGCTGTATAGCGCATCACGTATAGATCTGGTATCGTACTTGGTTTAAAACGGATCGAGGTGGAGTGCATCCTTGGCTGGTCATATGACCTCAGACTATCTTATCTCAGCTTCACCTTTCACCACCTCACCTTGACTCAACGACCATGGCATCCCCTCCGTCCCAAGCGCTGGCCAAGCGATCGGGGGGTGAGCTCATGGCCCCTCCTCCAGCGCCAAAGCGAATTAAACGCCCCGCTACCGTCCTCGATGAAGATGTCTACACATCCGCCCTCTCCCACATCATCGCCCGCGACTTTTTCCCAGGCTTGCTAGAGAATAAGGCCAAGCAGGAATATCTCGACGCTCTCGAGTCAAACGACAATGAATGGATTAAAAGCTCCAAGAAAAGGCTCGCCAGTGTCATGCGCACGCCAACGCCCGGATCGAATGCGCGCCAAAAGACAGACGCCGGGTCTGTCGCTGGGACACCGCATCATATGCCCAGTCGGGCAGATGAAACCCCCCGTGGTTGGGGAGGCGATACGCCTATGTCTGTTTCTTCGAATGCTACAGAGAGAAAAGATTTGGAGGTTCCTGATGTTTCGAACATGGGACTGCTCGCTTTCCAGGCGAAGTACACCAGCGAAGACAACGAATCCTTCAATAAGGTTCTGGACAAGCAAAATACGAAGAAGAGGGAGAAATACGCCTGGCTTTGGAATCAGAACAAGGTTCCGTCTGCGCGACAAATCGCCCATCATCAACGTGAAGCAAAGCGCATTGCCGCGCAGGGTGGCAACCCCGAGACCGCCCTCATCAAGCAAGACGACGCACCAGCTCTCAAAACCGACCTCAGTGCACGACCTGCTAGACCAGACGCCTGGAACTCTCGTCCTGACAACTCGCTCATGTTTCTCCCTTCCTCGGTCGAGGATACGCACGAAACTCTCCACCAGAAAGCAGAGACAGCCTCTCGCGCAGGTCCAAAGCGCACATTATACCAAAACACACGCCTCCTAGACGCCGACGCTGCAGCCGCAGCAGACGCAACAAACAAAATCCCGCCATCCCCATCGCTCTCCGCCATACAAGACGCCATCGCCGGTCGCCCACGTCTCAGCGAGTCCGAAGCAGCATCCGCATTCGCAGGCAGCGAAACACCCCGCGTAAACGGCTATGCCTTTGTCGACGAAGATGAATCCGAGCCTGAGCCTGAAGCCGAGCCCGCTGGCTCTCTTGAAGCCGACTGGCGTCTCCTAGGATCCAGCGACTCTACTCCAAATCCATTCCAGATCGGCGAAACGCGCAAACGCGAAGCACTACACCACCGTATGGTTGATCGCGTCGCACGGAATAAACGTGCTGAGAAGGCTGCACGGACTACCAAGACGCCTGTCGCGACGCCGCGCTTCGCTAGTAGCCCGCGCATTGATTTCGGGCTGCGGTCTAGCCCGACGCCTGGCTCCTCGGTTGGTTCGAAGATGTTAACCCCTGCTGCGCAGAAACTTCTGAATCAGGTCGGGAGTACGCCGAGAGCTTCAGGATCGAAGTCAAAGTCGGGGTTGGGGAATATGTGGACTCCGACACCGCGACGGATGTGATGATGCATTATGACCATGTTACCGATACTCATACCGATACCACGGGGGCGTTTCTTTACTTTCCATGAATGATAGATGTGTAGATATCAATTGATGGCCATAACTACCATTAAGAATATGAACAAAAATCTGCATCTGAATTCGGCCACTAACACTTAACACTAAACTAAGAAAGCGTTCTAATTCAACCCTAACCCACCCAACCACCTTCCAAAGCCAACCTCACATCCTAATTATAACCTTCCCTGTATGCTTAGCAGCATACAGGTAATCAAAAGCATCCTGGCTTTCTTCGAACGAAAACACCCTCTTGTCCAAAAGCGGTTTCAGTGAAACCTCCCTCTCACTCAAGAAATCGCACAGATTCTTCTGATCGATCTTCGATCCAACTGAAATCCCCCTATAGATCCCAATTAGCACCAAGCGCATAAGTCAACAGCACAAAATAAAACAATAAAGAAAGTAGCGGGGAGGGGGGATAGACATACCGAATAGTAGCACTCTTCCCCAAAGTAGGCCCCATCAAATTAGGAACCTGTGCAGCCTCAAACCCGCCCAAGAACCCAACTAGAGAAACAAGACCCCTTCTAGCGAGACTCGATAGACTTCGAGATATAGTCGTCACGCCTACGTTTTCAATGACGATATCCACACCTCGGTTTGTTAGGCGGTGCACTTCTTCGTCCCAGTTTGGATGGGTGGTGTAGTTGATTGTGGAGATTGCGCCTGGTGGTCCGATGGATAGGGCGTGGGATAGTTTATTGTCGGAAGAGGATGTGATTATTGGGTGGATGCCCGAGGCTAAGGAGAGGATTAGGGCGAAGATGCTTACGCCGCCGGTTCCTGGAGTTGGATTAGGTCAGTACGGGGTTTGGTTTGTAGAGATGGATGAGATCGGATACCTTGGAGGAGAGCTGTGCCGCTAGATCGGGGCATGTCGAGCGCTTTCCAGGCTGTGGTTCCGGCACAGGTGATACACGCAGCCTGATTCATCTTGTCTTAGCACTGAACTCGATAGGCTGGATGATAGAGGCATACTTCTTCCCAAGATAAATACCCCGGTAAAGGTAGCAAGACATCTTGCTCGAAAACAGCGCATTGTCTCAATACCCCGTCGACATCACCACCCAATGTCCTCGTCTCATCCTCCGTGGCGGTAAGATTGTTTAGATCGAAGATCGGAGCAACGTGATCGCCAATCTTGAACTGGTTTACTTCGGGCCCGATTTCGATGACCTCGGCGGCGCAGTCTGAGGCTGGGATTCCGTGTGGGATGACTTCTATGGGATACTTTCCGTCCATCATTGCTACATCTCTGTAGTTGAGGGAGACGGCATGGATGCGGAGGAGGACTTCGGTTGGTTTGAGAGGTGGGATGGTTTCGGTTACTGAGATGAGGGTTTGGAAGCCTGGGTTTGTGCTGCGGCGGTAGGCTTTGTAGGTTGTCATTTTGATCGCTGAATTAGTTCTGGATGAAGAGATGGTTTGGATGGTCGTTTGATTCTTTGTAGATGTCGACTTGGGGCGTTTCTTATAGTTAAGTGAGCTTTGGAATTATTAATGCATTGTATAGGCAGCTGATAAATGGATGGTGGGATAGGTGGGATGCTTTCCAAGTGCTACTGCCGTGGTGAGATGACAGATCTACTTCCCTCCATGTAAGTCTGTCCGGTCTCCCACTTTCATCCCACCCGCACTCGATTTTGCCGCTTTGCCACTTGGGGGATACATAGACATGTATGAGTTGTCCCATGCTTTCCGTTTCTGGGAGATTCCCATACAATGGGCAATTTGGAAAGAATCGGTTGCTCCAGGAACGCAAGTTCATTTCCGTATGATATGTAACTAAATGTAAATCCCTATTTGCGTGTCGGTGACCTCTTTGTCGATATCTCCACGATGATGCTCTTAAGTCTTCCAACAAGCCTAGGAAGACTCTGAACACAGCCGAGGTATTGCAAGGGCATTCCAATATGATCTAAGCTCTACAGTCCCGATGCGGTGGTGGGTATAAGTTCGGAGATCCCATCGGGACGAGCAGGAACGACACCCGAGATTCTCCCGGCCCGAACTCGGTCCACCTTCAACTTCAATCGCATGCCATTCAAATCCAGTTTAAACCCATAATCAACCCGGAAATATACACAGCAGGTAAATACCTAAACAAAACAGATTTCTCGACCGTATCACTAACCCACTCATAGGTGTAAACCACCTTACCTGGCTGATATCAGATCGTGTCTCATGCACTAGTGGACCGATATCTGCATTGTGCAGCATGAGCACCGACTCAAACACCGGCCCGCAAGGCTCGGATTCAACAGCTATACCCGGTACTCCTTGCACGGGTACTGCTACGCAAGACACGACCTCAGACGTGGTTTCAAATGCACCGGATGAGAAGCCTCAGAGTCAATCTGGACCAGGGCCTCTCCTTACTTCGCTATGGTCACCTTTCCGTTCGATGTTGCATATTTCATCACCGAATACGACAGAGGTATCGACTGAGACAAATAAAGATACAGTTCAGATTTCAACGCCATCCGGCTCCACGAAAGAGCCAGAGCCAGAGCCAGAGCCAGAGCCAGAACCAGAACCAGAACCAGAACCTTATTATGCACCGAAACAAACACCAACTTTCAAACGTCTTGCGAAACTTCGTTTAAGCGGGACGAGAGAAAAGCAACTTACTCGTGCTGCTTCTCGTGCTCACAACGACCCCCCGCCTCCACCAGGCTTGGGACTGTGCTGTGGTAGCTCTTGCGACCCCTGTGTGACTGAGCTCTGGAGACAGGAGAGGGATACATGGAGAGAGAGATGGGGAGACCACGCCATTGAAGATAATGATACAGATACAGATAAAGTCAAAGACAAAAAAGAATTAGAGTGGTGACCAATAACCTATGCATCCTATAGACTCTCAAATAGAGAAAAGAACCTAAACGTAAACATGAATCATTCGCTATGGATCTGTACAAAGACTCGTTAAACACTACCACAAAGACCACCAAAGACCCCAAATCCCAACCAACAGATAAACACTTCCCCAAACACCCATCTTCGCTCCAATATTCAGATAATAAGCTGCCCCAAGATAACTACACGTAATATCCCCATTCGCATCCCGGTACCCGTAACTCGAGTTCGCCCATGACCCGGTAGGACACCCGAACCCAAGAGACATAGGACAATCCTTCACAAGTGTATGACAGACGTCCAGACACGGCAGAATCTCTTTGTACGGACCCGGTTTGATCTCCGTATCAATAAGTTGATTTCTCGAAGAGTTCGTAGCAACAGATTGTCTATACGGACTCTCGGCTGGAAGTGAAGTGCCGTTGATAAAATCCTGTCCGGCGTTGCGCACCATTAGATAGGAGGCGTTGTTGCTGTAGTCTGCGCAGCGGGGGATTCGGACGCTACAGAGCCATTGTTTGTAGGCGCGCGCGCAGTCTTCACAGCCGACTGTAAGAGAGAACATTGATTCTTGATCGGTGTCGCACTGGATTTGTTGGAGAGAGTAATTGAAGTTTGTGTAGTAGGTTTGGGCGTTTTTGTCGTAGATGTCGCGGAGGGCGGAGACGTTGAGTTTTGGGTTGGAAGGGACGGCGTAGGCTACTTCCGAGCAGAATGTAAGGTTGAATAGGACGGCGCAGTTATCATCTGGGTGGTGGTTAGTGATGTGTCTATTTATGTGATGAAATGGGTGTGCGAACCGGCTTTAGTGGTAAAATTCATGGGCATCCATACTTTCCCACCGCCCCCGATGACGCCGTTGCCGGATAGTGTTGAGTTGCCTACCATCGCGAGAATCCCGTCGTACGTGGAACTTCGGTTGAGGCCGGTGATGTAGAACTGCTCTTTGGGTTGGTTTCCTAGTCCTCGACTGGTCATACCTACTTCGACCGAGTTGCTGATTCGTCCCACCTGCGACAAGTCGTCCAAGGCGCAAAACGACCGTTCCAGACCGGCAAGCGCCGTGTTGTTGATATTGTGCGCAAACATGGTATACGGAGGCGTAATGTTCATCCACTGCTCATAGTTCGTTGAGCCGGGATCAGACTGGGTCAGATTGTCCGTGACCAAAAGCGCGGCGGAGTGATCTGCGTCGACAAAGTAAAGGAACGGGTCATCGTCGTCAACCGAATGGAAGAAAGCGTCAATGGAAGCAGCGATCTGGTAATTGTAGGAGCCAGAGTATGCCGTTGAGTTCGGCGCTGTGACTCCAATGTAGACATCACTGTCTGCATCGAATGCAATTCCAACATAACCACCCGATGCAGTGGTCTTGTTCTGTAGCGAGTCGTTTTTCCCAGGCCCAGGCTCCTCCAGCCCCTCCGAAACAGAGACATACACCTCTAACTGGGGAAACGAGCCCGAGTCAGCAGTACTGTTCGTAGTCGGTTTACTGCAGGTCGTCAACGACAGATAGAGCGTTGTGGAGCGCTTCTCCAAATTCCGTTTCCGCAAGTCATGTTCAATCTCCGTCGACTCATCTAGACTCCGCGAACTCAAGTTCGCAGGGAGGCCCTTTCCCGCCACGCCATGCTTTCCATTCACCACACTCGAAGTAATATACCAATACTGTGTGGCTCCAGCGTTGATGGTCGCGCTCTGGAAGTCATTGTTGGCTAACGATGTGCCCGACGCAGGGTATCGTCGCACCAGGTCCAGCCCGTTTGACTCCCCATTCTCATCCACGCTGTCTCGGAGCTCGAGCCCATTAAACGAGTCCAGCGCAAAAGGCAGTCCTGCTCCATCGCTGACGACAGGCCCGCCGACGTTCAGGGTCTCGGCTCCGACGCCATGGATTGAATCGCCCTGTGCGTGGGCAGTGGGTAGACTAGCGAGGACGAGGAGGAAGGTGGTAATGACTGTTGCAGTCAGGCAGTACTGCAGGGTTATGGAGAGTAATCGCATGGAAAGTCGATTGGCGAGTGGAACTGCGCATGGGAGTTTCTCAGGAGATGAGGCGCAACCGAACAGATCAAGGATCAAGGATCAAGGACGAGCGGCGAAATCGCACACCAGCTGGAGACCTTTTCCTAAGTGTAATACCTTCAGCGGCATGTATTCGGCTGGCGAGATGTTTTGGAGAAAGAGGAGCGGTGCTATCGCGGAAGCCTTATCGAGTTGCTGCCTGGGTGCCTTGCTCCACTTGACGCGTGTCAGTCTCGATCATTTTAGTTGATTCTATTTACGAATGTACATGCGTGTAACTCATTAAAGACTCCAGAACAAAGATATTATAGGTAGCGATGTATTTTCAGAGCAAAAAAAGCTATTTGAGTGTAACAAAAGACAAATGTACTTGACTGGCAGAACGCTCACAGAGCCGCCGTCAATTCGAAATGAATAATATCAACACGTGGCAGGTCAGAAGAATCACAGCAGAATTGAGCAAGAAAGGGAGCAAAGAAAACAAAAAAAATGACAGAAAAGTTTAAACCAGCTTCTGCCAGCGAGCAAGGGCCATACTGACGACGACAATGCCTCCCATCACGCCCAGGATGCCGTAGAACCAGACAAGTCCAGGGGTGTCTTTACCAGGTACATTGACGTTCATACCGAAAAGACCACAGATCAGGTTCATAGGAACCAGAATGGTGGCAATAAGAGTGACCTTGCTGAGAACCTTGTTGACGTGGTTGCCCAGCGCGATGTTGGTCACGTTCAGCTGAGCAAGATAGTTGGTGTGCGAACGGCTGAGCATCTTCTCGAAGTGGCCCAAGTTGGACATCATTGTCACGACGTGATCCTGAATATCACCCAGGTACAGACCAATGTCACCACGGGGAGTCATCGCGTACTGCTCGTTGCAGCGCTTGGAGAATCCACGAATGACATCTGCCTTACCGCCGAGAAGGCGCATCAAACTCATAACCTTCTTGCGCAGACCACCGATCCGAGGGAGGAACGACTCAAAGTCATCCACTCGAGCGATAAACACGTGGTCTTCGATCGCTTCAGACTCAACCTCCACATCGCGAATCACGGGACCAAAGCTATCGACGATGTCATCGATCATGGCGTAACAGATCCAGTCACTGCTGAGGGACACATAATCACGCAGCTTTCCAATACGCTTACGCACATTAGAGGCATGAGGGTTGTCCACAAAAGAAAAGGTCAAAACGCCGTCGCGGAAAACGACCATGTAGAAGTTGACCGGCTCCAGGAACTCCTCGCTGGTCTTGTCCATCTGATAGAAAGTACGGAAACAGACAAAGTAGTACTGTTTGAATAATTCGACCTTCTCACGGGCTTCCTGGGTCTGAATATCCTCCTGTGTCAAAGGGTGAATGTTGAAGGCCCGTGAGATGGCACCAAGCTCATCTTCAGTAGGGTTAACCACATCGAGCCACCACACACCTCCCTCCGGACCAAGCTGGAACAGATCACGGAAGGTGTCACCAGGGAGAACCAAATCTCCCAGGTCAGCAGCGTGCACTGTGGTTTGAGACTCGGACGAGAAGAATCCAAAGCGAGTGGGTTCGTTGGTGTTCTGAAGGGTCTCCACCATCACCTTCTCATCCATCACCTTGAGGTCCTCAAGTGGTTCATCGAAGTCACCGAACGCTTGGGACGTTCCAGTCGAGTCGGATTTCTTGAACTCGTCCACATCGGAGCCCTTGAGGCCGGGTCGAAGATCGTAAAAGACCCGAGGTTTCCTGCTTTGCGAACTCAGGCTGTGCTTGCGGCGGTTGCCTGCCGTAGCAGCCCTACTTCTCTGGTTCAAAGCGACAAATTCCTCCAGTTCCTCGTAGTCGATGACTGGAATACGACCAGGCTCGTCGTACGTGTGAATGCATGCGTCTTCGGGTGCGACGACAGAGGGATCACCGAGCTGGGGTCGGATGGCGCTAGCGTTGCTGAATGTCGGGCGCCGACACTGGGTACCACCCGAAACGGTGCGCTGCAAAATGGCCTCCAAATCAGGAGGAGCATGGCTGTCCAGCGTGTTAGCCCGCTCACGGCGACGGGGGTCGGCGAAAGCTTCAACCGAGTTGGGCGGCGAAGACGAATGAGCCGACACGGACGAATCTCGGTCAGCATTGGCAAGGTCTTGGTGGCCACAACTGATACGACGCGGGGTGTGGTAGTTGGCGGCAGGGTCGACCGAAAAGCGTCGGCCCAAGTTCATTTCGTCGTCATCAATAATGGCTTGTTCAAAGTCTCGAAAGACCGGAGCGGCCTCTCGGAGAGCGTCCTGTGCCTGAAGCAGGTCAGGGCGGTCCTGCATTTCTCCACCATATCCCTGAGGAACGGTGTCTTGCCGGCTCAAAGGCTCCTGTTGCGGGGCCTCAATGCGTGGCGCGTTCATGTAATGACGGTGATCATCCAGCTCGGGAACCGGAGTGCTGTACCGTGTCAGGGACAGCTCCTTCTCGGAGCGTGCCATGTCGGACATTTTGATTGATGAGATCTGTTTATGACGCCAGATTGGCAGTTTTTCTTTGGGAGATTCGTAATGGTCTTTAAAGTTGCACTTGGCAGCACGACAACCGCAGACGTAGGTCGGTAAGAGGTCCTTTTAGTAACGGCCCTCCATCCATAAGCCAGACCCTTCACGAGGGCCTGGAGTTACCGACAAACGTCTGGCTGCCAAAGTTGGAGGTGGAGGTAAGACAAGTTAGGGGGTCTGGTATCGCCCCCGCAGAAGACCCGGAACTTAGGGCCCGCAAGAGGGTTGAAGAGGGAGGACTGGGTGTAGCGAAGGCCCGCCAACTTGAATAGATGAGACGGCGGGGAGCGCGGCTGCTCCAGAGCTGCTGTTTGGACGCGAAGGTCGCGAATGAGAGGGAGGTCGAGCTGAGAGGCGCAGATTCTTCAACGGGCGTTGAACTGCGGATATCTCAATTGACCGACGAAAAGAGGGATGCTTCTCACTTCGAAAGGTAGCAAGAAGGCTTTGAAAACAGGTGTTGGAATCAAAAGAAGAAGAAAAAAAATAACCTCGTGGGGTTTGACTGGAATGAAAAAGGCGGGAACCGTGAGACGTAGTGGCAAGAGACCAAAAAGGACGCTAAGATGCTTGCGGTGCCACTTTTTACCGTCGGTGGACACCTTGAGTCAAAACTTGGAGACAATCTAGCCCGTCCACCTTTTAAAAAGGTGAATTTGATAAGTTGAAATACAGGAGAAAGGAGAGAGTTGACCCTCCGCGTATAGATAATATAGATTCATTATTCTACCACGTCCAACCGTCAGATATGACGGTGAAAATTTTTCGTGAGCGGGTCAAAGTGCAGACGGCGCCCCCCGACACAGTGGTTAAACCTATTCAGTCCATACTTTACTGAGCCTTCAAATGACTGTGAGGCATTTATTGCCGAATCTATCGGCACATCCTGGTCTTTTTTACGTGGGGCCCTAGGTCTCGTGGCCGTGTCCGAAGTCGTTTTACTCTCCGGTGGCCATGGCGTCGCATGTCTGATTCCCCTATTTGCACTAGTTCAGACAATGAAGAGAGCAAAATAGACACAGAGGACCTTAGGGCTGTTAGTGACCTTCCCAAAGTGCCCAAGTCCATGCATCGGTTGAATCGGTGCCTAAGCTAATGGTTTAGGCGAGTGTCGGTATGGGTCCATGATGTAGGGCTAGTGCCATCATCGCCGGTGACAATCAAAAGTCAAAAACTCGAGGTCAGAAGTCAAAAGGTAGCCAAGAATCCCGCAGTGACATGCATGTGCAGCACACAAGAGATCTCAGTATTAAAAGTCCAATCATGGAGTGTTAGTTGATCAGCTCCACTTGTTCCCCGACGTCGGACCAGCCCAAATTTTTTGGTGCGCCAAGAGTTCCGCATTCGATCGAGTCATAACTCGTAACTCGTAACTCGTTCAGTACCTTATACTGAACCTCTAGGCCATCTTCCAGGTTTTGGACTTACAGAACCAAGTCCAATTCAAGATGGAGTCCTTCGTCATTCGAACTCCTTGCTCCTCGGCCAACATTGGCCCCGGCTTCGATGTGATCGGCCTTGCGCTGTCCCTCCACATGGAACTCCACGTTACCGTCGACTCATCTAAAACCTCGTCCGAGCTTCCCTTGAACTGCGCCATTACCTACGAAGATCTGAGCAAGAGCGCCGAGCAGATCTCTCTCGATCCCGAGGTCAACCTGATCACCCGTGTAGCTTTGTATCTGCTGCGATGCCACGATCAGCGCGCTTTCCCCGTCGAGACCAAAGTACACATTATCAACCCCATTCCGCTAGGTCGGGGTTTGGGATCGTCGGGTACCGCAGTGGTGGCCGGTGTCATGCTGGGCAATGAGGTCGGAAAGCTAGGTTTGAGCAAGGAGCGTCTGCTCGACTACTGCTTGATGATTGGTATGCTAGTATCCCGTCCTGCAACAGAAAGGGATCATCCATTGGAACATTGTGACTAACAATTTTTGCAGAGCGACACCCCGATAACGTGGCCGCCTCACTGTTTGGAGGCTTTGTGGGTACCTACCTCAATGAGCTGAAGCCCGAGGACGTGGCACGGAAAGAGATCCCGCTTAGTGAAGTCCTGCCCGCTCCGGCTGGTGGCATTGATACCGGTTTCAATCCTCCGGAGCCCCCTCTGGGAATTGGTCACTACAGAAAGTTTAACTGGGCCCCCGAAATCAAGGCCATTGCCATCATTCCCGACTTCGTCGTGCCCACCGCCAATGCTCGCAACGTACTCCCAGAGACCTACACCAGAGCCGATGTCGTATGTCACCCTCCACGCTCAGAAATTAGAAACGAAGCTGACAGGTCACCAGGTTTTCAACCTCCAACGCGCGGCCTTGCTCCCCGCGGCGTTGGGAACTTCCCCGCCGGACCCTGATATGATCTTCCTAGCCATGCAGGATAAGGTGCACCAACCATACCGCAAGACGCTGATCCCCGGTCTGACCGAGATTCTGCAATTCATGACCCCGGCCACCCAGCCAGGTCTGCTAGGTATCTGTCTTTCCGGTGCAGGTCCCACCATCCTGGCCCTGGCCACCGATCGATTCACCGAGATTGCAGACCGCATCATCGCTCAGTTCGCCACTAACAACATCACCTGCCAATGGAAGCTCCTCGAGCCTGCACAGGCTGGTACCACCGTGAGCCCCAACTAGATTCGGGACTAACGGTTCCAACTGCGTCATCCGGGGCCGTCCCCTTGGCCCATGACGCGCGCAAAACCATAAGCTCACCAACCGCCTCGAGCCTTGGAAGCACAACGCTAGAACGAGCGAAGAGCTCTTGCGGGTGCTCCTATTTTGGTAATATTTCCACGCCACATCATGGGCCATGTGTTGACGCACGCTTCCTCGGGTTCACCGCTGGTTTGCCAGTCGCGGTGCAGCGTGCATGCACCCGAGACACGGGTGAATTTGCCATTGACCTGCACATCGACTGAATGAAGACTCGTCTCAAGTTCCTGTGAACTGTGCCCCTTGAACCGGTACGAGTACGAGCTGCTATTAGAGATAGACATAGATGAATCATGAACATATATCCACTTGCATTAGTTTGCATAAGTTAATCTGACTTTTAAATCATGCATCCAATTAACTAGATCCCAGGAACTGATATTCAGTTTTACTTGACAATGTTGAAAGAATCCATCCTATAAACGTGGTGAGAATGTGAAGCTCGTAGACTCAGACACTCCAGGCGGAGGCGGTGGGCAGATGACAACATCGCGATAAGCGGCCGCTCCTCAGACCTTCAGGTCGCGACGTGATCGCATATCTGCCATTACATTCTCAACTCAATGGACGAGCTACTTGCACCTCTCCAGGATGCCTTTGAGGGCCAGATTGTTCGTGCCCACCCGTTATCGTCGCCAGCCGCACCCTGGATCCGCCATAGCTAACACATCGCAGGACTTCCACGGTCAACGTCTGGCAGAGATCCTGACCACAGTCTTGTTGGTTCTCTCCGGGGTAAGTCATAGCTGAGTCTACTTTACACACCTCCGCTCATCCACACATCTCTAGGCCATCAGTTTCGTCGTCGGATACATCTACAAGGACATCCACCTCACGCTATGGATTGGTCTCGGTGGCACACTATTCACGGCCCTTGCTGTTATCCCTCCATGGCCCATATACAACCAGAACCCAGAACGGTGGTTAAATTCAGCAGGCGGGAAGGCAGGTGCGCCCAAAGTACTTGTGGACGGGGTCAAGGTGGCTTGAAAGAGATCCAGGATGCTGGATATATGGGTCCAATACACAGCATATCGTGATTTACAAGCACAAGCACGGGAATGGAAAATCTATCGGGCTTTGAGGCCTTTGGTGAATTCATGGCAAATGAGTACCCGAACGCCAGAAAATAAAGCATAACGCAAATCATGTGTCCTCCACGCATCCCCGAGGAATCGTAGCCATTGCGCTTGGGCGACTGCAACTGGACTTCCGGTGTTTTTATTTTTGGTAGTTTCTTTGGTGATTTCTTTTCAACTTCGTGCTTTGTTGCTTTACCGGCCATATTTCTGGAACTCCCAGTCTCGGTTGTCGAGTGGGCAGACCTGGCGGGTCTTCAGCCATCGCGAGATGCAGTGGAAGTGGAATGCGTGCTGGATGGAAGTACCTGTAAGGCCGAGTTTCTCAAGTAGTAGCAGGATAACTCACGTTGCAAATACCCCAGGCGACGGTGCACTCCTCCGTTGTTGATGAGCCTTGGTTGGCTTGACATTCGATGCCTGTCGCTGGTTAGTATTGTGCTGATGGATATGAATAAAACTCGACATACACAGGTCCATGATGTGGTTTCGGCAAATAGCACAGTTGTCTACCACGATATCCCAAGCCCAGAGGGCCACGGCGTTCCACTGGGAGAGGGTCAGTCTCACGATTCGAAGTGGCTCCCAAGGTAGATTTGTACCTTTTTGACCTCAAACTTCTTTTTGCCATCACTGGAGTCCTTAACAACCGCCTTTCCTTTGGACGAGGCGCCCGCAGTAGAGTCCTTCATCTCCACGTCGGCCATGGTGTTGTGTAATCGGGGCTGAAGATGGGTGGTGGGTTGGGGAAGTGAGCGGTCGAGAAGGTTAAGGTCGGAGGACCTCGGGAGCAGTAGGCACGGGTGTTACCTTGACACCTTGGGGTAATCAAAGAAAGGAATAGTAACGGTAATGACGAAAATGACCAGAGCCTCAAGAGCTTCGTGATCTTAACCCCACTGAGCTGTGGCGGAGAGTCTTAGTCATTGCCCCCGCCTAACCTTCCGTCACTTACCTCCCAATCCCTTCACTCTTCACACTTCATCTTAGACATGTCCCATCTGCTTTCACTTTGACGTCCTAAGGCGCTTCTTTTCTGTTTCTTTTACCTTCCCTTTCCCTGCCCGGCGTTGCACTATCTAATAACAGCTGCTGAGCAGTGACTGGACTGGACTCCTCTATCATTACTCATTACCTGACTTTCAGCGTCTGCTCTCTTTCCATTACTCCTCCCAGGCTGCCTATTTTTTCAAGCCACCAGTCGATATGTCGACACAATCCCCCCAACCTCTTACTCCTCGGGGTCCACGCAACAATCGTCGTTCTCAGAAAAAGAATACAACCCCGCAAGTACCCAAGACCGCCATGCTCAGTACACCACCTTCCTCTCCACCCAGACATATGAGTCCTGCTGGTGTTGCGACAGATTCGTCGAATAATGTGCACTCAAAGAAGAAGCCTCAGCGCTCAGGCAAGAAACCGAACCAGGGTGCGGGCAATCGCGCATCGCCAGCGCCGAACGGACATCGCCACACCTCTTCCCAGCCTAGCAACGGCACTCCTATGAAGGACAACGCGGCATATGCAGGTCCAACCTTCCACGCATCGCCTGCCCCCTCGGCTCTGCCGATCCCTAGTTTTTTCTCAAAGTCCTTCCCTGAGTCAGACCTTGCGCCCACTCTCGAAACGGATAGCGAAGATGCGGAAACCGAACAGGATCTGGATGTCACACCCTCCAAACCACGAGCACGACCTCCGCCTACTCAGCCTCCTCGAGCTACCGCCAATGGAACCGAGCCAAGCCCTCTCGACTTCCTTTTCAAGGCAGCGGTGCAGGCGCGAAACTCGAACGCCATGCATAGCCCGGAGCCTGCCGCCCGGATGCGCTCTCCGCAGACCGATTCGAAAGTGCTCTGTCCCAAGCCTCACACGGCTCCCGGTGACGTCTTCGCATTCGAGATGGGATCTCCCCACCAGGCGCGTCCGCCGATTGACCCTGGATTCGCTCCTTCCTACCAGGATCGCATGGATGCTCTCCGATCGTCTAGTTCACCCGCTCAACCTTTCAATGCGATGGACGCCGAGCGCCGAGCTAAGAACGAAGAGCTGAAACACATGCTGCTCAACCCGCGTCCCCAGAAGCCTCCTGGCTCGATATCTCCTCCGGTCCCTAATCAGAACGGGCCCTATGCGCCCCGCCCGAATATCAATTCTCACGTCCCTCATTATGCGACTCCCACGCGCACCCACTCGGGTCCGTCAGTTCCTCTATCCCACGGCTTCCAGGGCCGGCAACAGCCGGTACTCAACGGCGCTGGCCGCCCTCCAGTCTCATACTCATACGCCAACTTCGAGCAATATCGCAACTCCGGCTCACCCCTGAGTCGCGAGGTCCCTCCCAATGCGAACCCTTCTACTCAATCGTCGCCATCTCCCTACGGATATCATATGCCTAATGGACATGTACCCATGCAGCAGCCAAACTTTGCGTCTCCCCAGCCTCAATATGGAACCGCCTCGTTTGATATGCCCACGAAATCTCCGTCGCCTTGCAGAACCATGGATGCCAATACCAATCAGATGGCAGATACCCTTAAGCGCATGTTGAAGATCAGTGCGGCCCCGTCCCCAAGTTCGGCCTCAGGTATCCCGCAGGCCGGATATCACCGTTCCTTTGCTGCTTAGTTTTCTTTGTTACAGTATGGCTTCCGATGATCTCTACGTGATCTTTTCTCCACTCCCTGACTCTGACTTGCGGTTTCTTTATGTTTTATGTTGTTGTTTATTTTGCATTTGGTTCATAGGGACATCCTGGACTGGTTCAAGGTTATTTCCCTCGGGTTTTGGTCTACTTTTCTCTCGACAGGGTGCTTGGTTTGGTGGTCTTTTTTGTGATACCCGGGGTCTTACTTCTCGATACTGTTGAGGCTTCTTTAAGAGGTCTCCGGTTGCATCGTTCGGAGTCGGGGTCTTTCCAAGTACTTGCGCCTGGTTAGTTTTCAGGTCCAGCCGAGGATGGCTCATTATGTTTTCACTCGTTCCTTCGTCTTCTGCGAGAGGTTATCACCCCTTCGGCTGATATGCTTCTTTCCTTTTCTTTTGTTTTTGATGAACGGTGCATTGGGTCCCGATCACAGCTTGTGGTTGGATGTGCCTTGTCGCCCGGTTTCTCCGGATGGAATTCCCCTTTGTCCCAGGGTGCACTCGGAATTTGTCTTGATTAATGCTTGGTGTGAATACCATACCGTCCACTCGTTTGGTCTGAGCTACGTGTAGATGCATGTAATTTTCTTTACAATTAAGGTATAGAATGTAGCAAGTTACACAAGAACCACCAATGTCGCCGAGTCTGTACCTGGGACGGAACCAAGAACCAGGACCTGGAGCAGATCTAGCACGGCAAATCATCGCCACGGAGGCAGCCACCGGCCACTAGCCACGGTGCTAGCCACACCGGGCGTTCGAGAAACGGTGCTCTGAAAAGTGTAATTTCGAGGTCACAGTTTGGTTCCCCGGTGCTGATCCTAATTTACAAGAGGCCTGGGTCTTTCAGGTCCAAGATTCGATTCCAAGAGTCCCCGACGTCCATCTCTTGGCAGGACTTGTGCGTCCCAGGAATAGACGAAAGCATTACGTGGGTGCAGCATTTTGTACACGCACTTCCCCTTAATCTGGCCCCGACGCCACTTGAATGGTCCGATCCACTATTCTGCCTGGCCCACGGAGTCTTTGCTAATTTTATAACACTTTTCCTGTTCTACGTTACGAGGTCAGAGTACAAAGGACCTAAGCAGTCGGAAATTATAGCCAGGAGAAGGAGGGTCCGTTGAATGGTGGTACTTCATAAATCCAGTTTCCACTTCCCACTTCACACTTCCCCTGGCTTGGGGACAGAACACGCTAGAATCCCATCTTGACACTCTTGCTCGCTTTGTCGATCGTGTCTCGGACTTGATGAAGCTTAATCCGGCAGATGAAGGTGGGCGCCACTGGCAGGCGTGGCTGACTCTGCCATTCCCAGGCCAAGTGTGTCCAGTCTTAGCTCAATCTTTGGATATAGGGATGACGGATGATGGGAGCAATATGGAACCGCGCTCAGTAATCGCCACCTGGTTCAACAATAAGAACGTGAGATACGTAGTCCATAGAATAAGGCATGCTGCGCACGGTAACAGCTGGCGACATCATGATCTGCATGCCGTAGAAAAGAGACGCTGGATGCGGCCAGGGGGGAGGAGCGGACCCTTCAAATCACGGGGAAGTTCTATCATATTTTTCCCTCCTTCCTGACTAACCATCTCCTCAATACTTGATTCAACCTACTATACGTACCTAGCCTGGTTATGATTTTGTTTTGTTCTCTTTGATCCCCGTTTCCCAAGCCCAGCCATGGCGAATATGTGAGTTACTCTCCCTTTCCCCTCCCCCCCAGTTCCCCAACTGACCCTCCCCTCAGGCTCAGTTCGACATGGCGCTCCTTTTGGCATACCATGACATCCTACGACCGGCATGCCTCCCATGATTCTCCCTATCGCACTGGCCAGCACGTGCCGCTCGGCCAAAGCCGCCATGATCCTCTCACTTCCATCGCTACCAGCGCCGCCGACTCTCGCCCCGACCTCACCAACCCCTACGATGACGAGTCCACTAAGGGCCTGGCTACTGCACAATCTACCGAATTCAACGGTTCCCCAACGGAGCTGGGGTCTCCGACCCGTCCTTACTCCCCCCGGCATGAGATCGCTCGCATCGCAAAAACGAGGTTCCAACGAGCAAGCTGATGGCCCTGAGATTCAGATGCAGAGTTTCCACGACGGCGCGCCGCCGCCTCCTCCGGTCGCACACTCCTGGCGAAAGATTGAGCGCTGGCTCGAAAACAACTACGAGGAGCTGCTGGACAATCTCGGCGAGGGGTGCACTCAAAATGATATAAACGAATTGGAGCATGAGTTGGATTGCAGCCTGCCCTTGGAAGTGCGCGAGTCCTTGATGATCCATGACGGTCAGGAGCGGGGTGGTCTGCCTACCGGTGTCCTCTTCAGCTGTATGTCGTTGGACTGTGAGGAGATTGTCCAGGAGCGCAGGACCTGGAAGACTGTCAATGATGAATTCCTCAGCAACTCGATGGTTAACAGCGCCCCTGTTTCTAGCTCCGCCGCAGGCTCTTCGGCGGCGGCTGCCTCTCAACAGGGCAACCCTGGGTGGCGGAATGAACTGCTCGATCGCCAGGACTCTCAACCTCCCGGTGCCGTACAAAAGGCATATGCTCACCACGGTTGGATCCCAGTTGCCCGTGACTGGGGTGGCAACCACCTTGCAATTGACCTGGCTCCCGGTCCTGCTGGAAAATGGGGCCAAGTTATTATCTTCGGCCGTGACTACGATTGCAAGTACGTGGTTGCTCGGTCCTGGGCTGCTTTCTTGGCCACCTTTGCGGATGATCTCTGCAGCGGCAAGGTCATCGTGGACGAAGAGACAAACGAGCTGCGGTTGAAGGAGTTCAAGTCGCAGAGTGTCAACCCCCGTACCTGGAGGTTCTGCGGTGGAGGACCGACCAGAAGTACGGCCGTCGCCCACCGCGCCGACGCCCCAACGGACCCGGTGCGAATGGTTCCGGCAACCGCAACAGCAAGGATTCCCCATACGGTAGCCCGACTCGGGCTGAAGAGCGTGGTCGGTCACCCAACCGTTTCCCCAACCGCGGACCTGCACAGAGCCCCAAGACTCCGTTCGGCATGTCGAGCCCTCTTGCTCGCGTGACCGAGGAAACCTCCAGCCCTATCGGCACTGCGGGACCTGCCATCTCAGAAGATGCTCGGGAGCCCGGCACCAAGGAGGAGGAGGGGGATCTGCTAGAGGTGGCCACCCCCCAGATCTCCAACAAGGAGAATGAAGGATTCGAGAAGACAGAAACAAAGTCAACGGACACGGACAAGACCGAGACCGACGATGCGGCAGGACCCTCGAATGTCATGGACTCGGAGGTCCTGGGAGAGATGAAGAACGTGGCCATTTAAGAGCATTTCTTTTCCTCTCGAATCCTGGCATTGTTTTTTCTTTAAGGGCATCAGGCGTCAATGACGAACTTCTCTACGTGTGCCCTACTTTCCGTGTATAGAATTCCCCTTTCCTTGTTGTTTTGGTCCGGGCTTCGCGGCATTTGTTGTAACTCTAGGGAGCCTTTCCTTTTTCACTGCTTTGATTCGCCTGCTTCTGTGTACTCACGGTCTCCATTGATATTTGCCTGTAATTCTATGATGATGCAGTATTAGTTTTTTCTTTTCTATTTGTGTCTGGCTACAATTCATTCCCAATCTGCCCGGTTGATATCGTTCTTCGGTAATATCCAAGTATTTTGATGCTGGTGTTGATGTGCATATACAAGACTGTCATAACAAGGCGTCAATTCACTCCCAGTCGTCATCGTCATCATTATGGTTCCGACCAGTGTTTCCACTGCGAATCGCTTTTGCAGGACGTCGTCTCCGCACGGTATCATCATCACTACCACTCTCCTCAACCTCATCATCATCTTCGCTCGAGAACTTGGCCTCCGTAAGAACCTTCTTGTACAACAGCCTCTTCTCAAGCGTCTGAACACTGAACGACTCCGTCCCCTCCACACCAAGATTCCCTAGTCCTTCAAACCCGACCACCCGATCGACTCCAACTCCATCCTTGAACCCAATCACACACGGCAACACGCGAATCCCAAGCTTCTCCGCCAGGAACGGCGTCGACCGCACATCTACTCGCGCGAATCGCACCTCATAGTGTCGACCTGCTAGTTCCTCCAACCGCGCGTCCATCACCCCGCATCGGGCAAAATCATCGTGCGCGAAATGTATTATGCATCGTGGTGCGTCTGTCGTCAGGTTCAGCACGGACTGGTCTCCATTTAGTGTTGGATATGTGCTGCTCTGTAGGCCGGTGCCGTGGTTTGTGTTGGACTTGTCGTGATTTGTCTTTTGGGAGGCAAGTTCTGCGTTGAGCTGTTGAATGCGTTGGTCGCGGTAGCTCAGATCATCTTCGTTTTCGAGGGCGGCGAAGAGAGCTTCGTCGTCTGATTCGTGGCCGGCAGGCATTCTGGATGCAATTGAAGTTTGGAGGTCTTTTCAGACCATTGGAATTGATTCCAAGGAGTGTGTCGAGGTGGTGAGGAGGGGAGGTTCCGTTCCTGATCTTCACCTGCTCCACAGTCCGCGTTATACTTTTAAGGTGTCTAGGGGCTCCCAGATCGATAAAGACTAGAAACGTGCTACTTTAGTTCCCATTCGGGACACTAGTACCGACCAGACTAATCGCTGATCTCTCCATCTAGAATAGAATCACCGAAAGGAGTAGATTGTTGTACCACAAAAGTACGAAACCGTAATTAAACGCTGACTCAGCAGGGGGGCCAGGGGTTGCTGAGTCAGCGTGCCGCTTCCGGGCAAAAGTTCTTTCTCCCTTGAGTGTTTTCTGTTGCGCGTCGTGTACGCTCCGCTATCTTTTGCCTTTGAACAACACCACCACCTTCACCATGGCCGACGACAAGAAAACGGACGAATACACCGTCGAGATGGACAAGCTCGACAAGGGCAACAAGGAATTCGAGGCGGCGCTGCCTCCGCAACCCCGGACCCCTCCCAGTGCCGTCGCTGGCCACCCGGCCCTGCCAGTTCTGGCCTACTGTGGTTCCTCCATTATGATGACCGTCATGAACAAGTACGTTCTGTCGGGCTTGGATTTCAACTTGAACTTCCTGCTGCTTATGGTTCAGGTACGTGGTGGCTTTGTGAATGTCAATGGTTTTGGACACTTATCTCATTCTCCGCTTTAGTCTCTGGTCTGTATCACTGCAATTCAAACATGCAAGTCCATGGGTCTCATCACCTACCGTGACTTCAGTGCCGACGAGGCCAGAAAGTGTAAGCCCGCCTCCTGGTCACCTACGCCGAAATAGCGATCTAATGCGCATTACTCAACAGGGTTCCCCATCACTCTCCTCCTGATTGGCATGATCTACACCGGCTCCAAGGCCCTCCAGTTCCTTTCAATCCCCGTGTACACTATCTTCAAGAACCTGACCATCATCCTCATCGCCTACGGTGAGGTCCTGTGGTTCGGCGGCTCCGTGACTTCCATGACCCTTTTCTCTTTCGGTCTAATGGTTGTCAGCTCCATCATTGCGGCTTGGGCTGACATCAAGCACGCCCTCGAGAGCAACGGTGATACTTCCAGCCAAGTGTCGACTCTGAACGCCGGCTACGTCTGGATGATGATCAACTGCTTGTGCACTTCGTCCTACGTTTTGGGCATGCGCAAGCGCATTAAGCTGACAAACTTCAAGGACTTTGACAGTATGTTCTTTTCTACCCGACTGCTTTGAATGAAGTCTAATCTAGTATAGCCATGTTCTACAACAACCTGTTGTCCATCCCCGTCCTGATCGTCTTCACTCTGCTCGTCGAGGACTGGTCCTCCGCCAACCTGGCCCGCAACTTCCCCGAGGCCAACCGCAACGGCATCATCTTCGCTATGATCCTGTCCGGTCTGTCTACCGTCTTCATCTCCTATACCTCCGCCTGGTGTGTGCGCGTGACCTCGTCCACCACCTACTCGATGGTCGGTGCCCTCAACAAGCTGCCCATCGCCGTGTCCGGCCTGGTCTTCTTCGATGCGCCCGTCACCTTCCCCAGTGTGTCGGCTATTTTCGTCGGCTTCGTCAGCGGCATTGTCTATGCAGTGGCCAAGATCAAGCAGAACGCCATGCCCAAGACAGGCATTCTGCCGACCTCCAACCCGCTGGTCAGCGCCAGCAGTCAGAGCATGCGCGATTCTCTGCGGTCTTAGGTCCCCAAAAGAATAGATGAAATGACTTTTGTTTTCGATAGGTCCTGGCTCCTCCAGGACCCGCGCATCATTGTTTCTCTCTGATGCCTTGGGGATCCCCTTCTTGCATGTGTATGATTCATGTTTCATTTGCAGCCTGCCGGTGCTCTTGTGTCGCTACTTCTTTGGTGTTGGTGGCTTTTCTTTTTCATCTTCCCATCTTCCATCTGGGAAGGGCTTGCCATCTTGGTCTGCAGTATGATCTTATAGTAATATTTCTTTCTTTCTGTGTGGAATAGGCATAGCCTGGTCTTTGATTGTTAATTGTAAATAGCTATGCCTTGAATAGATCGTGTTTCAATCTGGTTGTTTTGCAACGTAGTGTAATATTACTTTGTGTTCGTCATCAACACCTTACATTTTCTGTAGAGCAGCCAGAAGCAATAATTCAAATCGCTGGTTCTATGACATCAAGGTGGTCGTGAAATGGACTCCCGCTCCGGATCTTCAATTGACCGTCTCCGATTTTCAAACCTCCATTCACCTCAACTCTATACCTCCACCTCACCCCAACACACTTCCAATCTTTAATCACACCATGCCTCGCAAGAAGCAAAAGGGTCCCCAGCCTCGATCCAATCGACCCGGCCCTCCCAAGCCAGGCCCGTCTGCTCAACCCAAGGCCAAGGGAGCCAAGCAGGATTCTGCACCTGCAAAAGATACACAGAAAAAGGGTCCGGTGCAGGCGAATCAACAACCTATCGTGCCATTCCTACGAGGAGATCGTATTTTGTTAATTGGAGAAGGTGAGTTCTATCTTGTTTTTCCTATTTTTCGCTGTGGTAGTTTCTTTCCTGCATTGAGATGTCGCATATCAAATGCCCATGTTTAAAAAATTATTTGCATTGGCTGTAATTGATTTATCGTGTTCAATCATCACATCGGACCTGCACACCATATACATTTCCTGTCAAGGGACTTGAAATTAACAAACAAATCTAGGTGACTTCTCCTTTGCTCGCTCCCTAGCAAAGCAATACAAATGCCGCAAATTGCTAGCAACCTGCTACGACTCCCAGCAAACTCTTTTCGAGAAATATCCCCAAGCAGAGCAAACCATTCAAGATATTCTGCACTCCAAGCCCAAATCAAAGAGTACAGAAGATTCCGAAACCCAGAAAGAGGACAAAAAGGAATCTCCCGCTCCCAAAGTCCTCTTCTCAATCGATGCCCGCAAACTCGGTTCCCAAGGCGGCGGCGGTAAAGAGGTAACAATTGGCTATCCTCGTCGAGAGCGCAAGATCCCACCATGGAAAGCCCAGACTCAGGCTCAGACTCCCGCACGCCCGCCGAAGCCTAGCGGACCGTGGGACGTGATTTGTTTCAATTTTCCGCATGTGGGTGGCATTTCGACAGATGTAAACCGCCAGGTTAGGTTTAATCAAGAGCTTTTGGTGGCGTTTTTCAAGGCTTGTGGGCCTTTACTTTCTAGTGCCCCGGCGCCGGTTGATGAAGATGATGAGGATTATGAGCGGGATGAGGAGGATGAGGAGGAGGAGGAGGAGGAAGAGGAGGAAGAGGAGGAAGAGGAAGAGGGGGATGCACAGACTTCCGGGAAGGCTACGAGGACTGGACCGGGTCAGATCCTTGTTTCTCTTTTCGAGGCGGAGCCGTATACGCTTTGGAATATCAAGGATTTAGCTCGGCATGCGGGGTTGCAGGTGGTTACTAGTTTCAAATTCCCATGGAGTTCCTACAAGGGGTATTCGCATGCGCGGACTCTTGGAGAGGTGGAGGGGAAGAACGGGGGAAGAGGTGGATGGCGTGGTGAGGATCGTGAAGCGAGGATGTATGTGTTTGAGGCGAAGAAGGAGGCTCCGCGGAGGGGGAAGAAGAAGCGGGCGAGAGATGCGGAGAGTGATAGCGAGTAGCTCTAATATTTTATACCCACGTACGATAATCAAAATTGCCTTGGGATTTCACATTATATACACCTTCTTCATCTCATTCTCGTTGAAGACTTCGCCGGTCGTCGGGTCCTTGACATGGCCGGTCTCGACAGATCCGACATTCTTGCTGATTTCTAGAAGTCGAGATTTGCCATAGACTCGGCCGTTGGGTAGGACGATTGCGTCGCCCTCAACGTAGCTCTTGGAATGGTGCGCGTATGGCATCTTCCGAGCTAACTCGTTGAGCTCTGTAGAGCAAATTGGACACACGGAAGTCGACGTGGACTGGGAGTTGGAGCTAGATGAGGTGTATGCTGAGTGGCAGAGGGGTGTCTTCAGTGCTGACAGCCCCGCTGATAGCGCAATATGTAAGAGTGGCTGTGAGGGCAATGAGAGGAGTTCATGGTGAGTCTGTACAAATAGATCTGAGAGGTACTTCCACCGGTCTGGGGAGAATAGTATCTAAACCATAGGTTAGTCGAACAGATCGTTGTGAGACGATATTGGAACATCTTACCTTGTACTTCTCTGATCTCGAATCCTGGGTAAAGACCAGTAATCCAGCTACCTGATTGACTTCATCTTTCTGGGATTCGGCATTGAGAGTTAGATACTTCCTGGCGTGAGTGATGGCCTCTACTTTCTTGTTAATGTCCTTTGTTCGGACCATCTCGATGTACTGCTGCAGCCGCAGCTCGAATTCAAGATTATGCTACGTAGCCATTAGCAGCCTGAAACCACCGAGTTAGCGAAATTGACAAGACTTACCTGGCTCTTCTTCAATGCGGCTTTGTTCTCTCCGCACCACTGCAACGCCTCCTTAGTCTCCCCCGACGCAAGCTCTCAACAACCCGCTGACATTGGGTAAAGACACCCAGATCCACCAGATCTTCAATCTCCCGATCCTTGGCCAGCTGCTTCGCGCTATCCGAATACCCAGACCGCAACATATGATCCACGAGTAACCGATCTAGCCGCACGCGCGACCATTGATCATACTTGACATCAGCCAAGCTTGGGATCTTATGCAGCGTTTCAAGGTGTTGAATGCGCTTGCGAGAATGGGTCTGGATTTTCTTCTCTTCTTCTTGCAAGCTTTGCATCTTCCGCTTCAGGCCTTGCATGCGAGATATCATTGCATCCAGTGCGGCGAGGGTTTGGTCGGGTGAGTGGGTGTTCGATAGGGAGGCGTTGGCAGCTTCTTTGAGGGCGGGGATGACATATTCTTTTTCTCTTTCTACGGATCGTTGAACTGTTTTGAAATTTCGGCGGGCTAGTTCGTGGGGGAGGCGGAGGAGTGGTTGGTCCTGTGAGCGTGTTAGTCCAGCTCCGGTGATGGGGAGATGAGGTTCGTACGAGGATGAGATGACTCTCTGGATTGAGCTTGATGGAGATTAGCTCAGCTGCCATTTCGACAAAGATCTATCAATAGAAGCCCAGGAAACCGTGTACTGTTGCGTTCTCTAGGTGTGGTTTTGGGGTAAGTGAGAAGTTCCGGCGATGACGGAGAGGGGAATGCGGAGACCGACGGTCACGAGATTGCGACCTTATGATTACGATTTACCAAGGCTACGTACGGCTACTTGATTTCTTTACTTTCAAATGTTACATGGCAATGATTTTCAACAAAGTGTTGTTCGAAGCAACTAGAAAATAAATTCTTCAAACCGACAGATTCCCTTTTGACCCAAGACTCCGGAAAATTCAAAATATGGTACAGGAAACGGACCAACAGGTCTTCCTGAGCATCTTTACTCGCTGTCATCGCTGTCCTCAGTCTTGGACTTCCGGCGCTCCTTCTTCTCCTTCTTCTCCTTCTTCTTCTTCTTGCGCTCGGCCTTCTCCTCGGCGGTCTCGCCGTCGTGCTTGCGCTTCTTCTTGTCATCGGGAGAATCGGCCTCGGCCTTGGACTCCTCCTCAGCGGGGGCGGGGACAACCTCGGGCTTAGGCTCGGGCTGCTCACCATCCTCCAGAGGAGCGTTGTAGTCCTTGTACTCGCTCTTCCACTTGGAGGGGGTGGCCTCGTTGGTGCGGCCGTACTTGTCAAGCTTGCCGGCAGACTTGAGCTTCTTCTTCTCAAGAGCAGTAGGTCCCAATCCCCAGCGGCGGGGGTACAGGTCGCGCTCCATGATGCAACGCTTGACCTTGGCAACGACACCGTGGTCGCAGGTGGAGAGCTCGACGGTGGACATCTGAGCAATACCAATGGCAATAGCCTCACCCTTGGTGGTCATGAGGACAACCTCCTCGTGGACCTCAATGCCAGCCTCTAGAGTGAAAAAATTAGAATCATGTCATAGTATTCAGGGGTAGTAGGATTGACGAACCGAAACGCAGGAGACCGGGAATCATCAGCTTGGCACCGTAGCAGACGGCGTTGACGGCACTGTCCTTGACGACAATACGCTTGTAGGAGGTGAGCAGGCTCTCCAGGGGGCTGATGACCTTGCGCAGGTACGACTCGTCGCGCTGGTTGTCGTAGACCCACTGGGCGTCCATCACATCGTGCAGGGTAACCATGCCCTTGGACTCGTCCATAGCTCCGGAACGCACACGACGCAGCTCCTGCATGTGAGCACCGACACCGAGGAGAAGACCCAGGTGGACACAGAGAGTACGGATATAGGTACCAGCCTCACAGCTGACCCAGAAGACACCGAGGTGGCGCTCGTTGTCGAACTCGTACAGGTTGCTCTCGTGGATGGTACGGATACGGAGCTGGCGCTTGACGGCAGAGATCAGGGGAGGACGCTGGAACAGAGCACCGGTGAGGGTCTCAAGAGCGCGCTTGAACTGAGCCTCGCCACCAGGGATCTTGTCGTGCAGGCGGATGACACAGACATACTCCTTACCAGCACCCTGCTGGGACTTGACCAGACGGGTAGCACGGTCAATGCAGACAATCAGACAGCCAGTGACCTTGGGGTCAAGGGTACCGCTGTGGCCGGTCTTCTCGGATCTATAAAGAATCAATTGGTCAGAATTGACTGGTTCAGGGTGATGGCCTGGCTAGGATGGAATTTACCTGAGGATGCGCTTCATCCAAGCCACAACCTCGTGACTGGAAGGGTTGGAGGGCTTGTCCAGGTTGATAACACCGGAGCTGATGTAGGACTTGAGGTCACGCTTGAGGGGCGAGGCACCAGCAGGAATCGGGGTGAAGTGACCGGTGCGAACAAGCACTGCGCAAATCGCGGTTAGCATTGAGCCGAAGATTAAGATCCTGACAAGAACATACACTTCTCGTAGTTCTTGAGCAAAAGAGGCCAATCCTCAGATGAAACGGTCGGGTTGACCGCCTCGGGCTTGATGGCGTAGTCCATCTCCTGGTTATTGACGGCCATCTTGAGGGTTGTTGGTTGTCGTCGGAGTCTCCAAGAGACCAAAAATTTGTTCGAGGAAATTTTGCGAGTGCGGCAGCTCCAGTGCCCGATCCGGTTTAGCGCCCGCATGAGATCACGTGACCTGTGGCAAGAGACGCTTTTTTCTTTCCGTTTTTACTGGTATTTTACGGGTACCGCATTAGTGACTTTGTTCGTTGTATTAGATGATTTATTTGAGTGTTACTCTGCTCGTTGCAAAGTTCGCAGAGTTCTGCTACCTCATCGAGCATGGGTTGTCATATTTTTTACACAGGGTGGCTGGAAATGCTCGCTTCCAGAACAAATTCCAGAACTAGAAGCACTATCGAGGCAGGAAAAAGTTTCAACGCCATCATGCACCTGCAGGTATCTCCTGCGGATCCTCATCCCGATCCGAGTCCATACGATATCACACGTCTCACTAACCAAGTCTTCGTCCGGAACCTCGAGTGCCCCACGACCCAAGATCCTGTGACGACGTCCAGCCGCGAGCCCCCGAGTCAGACGTATCGGGCTGGGGATCAGCTGGTCGGGAGGGGCGATAGGCTCTACCATAGGTACGGTGTGCCGCATCCGGGGTGTGTCTGAAGATGTAGCGCCGCACGAAACTCGGGGTGAAGATGTAGTTTTTTCCGCCGCCGAAGGTTGGGTAGATGCGGGTAAGGAAGTCGTACAGGTGAGAGGCAAGAATCCCCGTAAATTCGGTCTTGACTGAGCCCCAGCCGTGGCTGACAAGAGTCAACGTGAGCATGGCCCAGGGGAGCCACAACACGGGGATCTGAATGATGAAGAATTTGACCTTCTTGCCTCGGTTATCTTGGGCGTAAGTGTGAGCGAATGCCATGATCAGTGCTGTCAACGGTTAGTGTATGCGCTTCCAGGCGCAAGGTGACTGAGCCTACCGCGAGTGAAAAAGACACTGCCGAGCCAGAGACCTGCAGAAACCTTGGGAGCAGTTAGCATTGGAGGTTGGACAGAAGAGCTACCACGGCAGAGGAATTGGATGGAAAATTGAATGGCATTGGGAATAGATAGATGATGATTTATGTAGAATGTAGGGCACCATAACCACCAGCACGAACTTATAGGAATCGTGACAGTTATCTCAAAGGTAGTCCCACCACGCCCACACCGCACACAGCACCAATTATATTTTGCGAATGAGGTGCTGCATGGGATGCAGGGGTAATCTTCCTCGCTTTCAGGAACCGCTTCAGCTAGTATATGGCTGGGCGGGCAGATAATGCGAGGTGACAAAAACAAAAACGCGAGACAAGAAACAAGGCTCTGCCGGAGCTCCGGGTGCAAGCCACTTACCAGAATGGTGGAAGCTACAAAGATCACGTAGACGAAAAAGTCTCCAGTTTGACTGAACCGAGTCGACCCGATCTCCAGGGCACTGCCGTAGTGGTACACTGTCGGCTTCATTAGCACCGTGGGTCAGACACCGTACCGAGGCACCATACTGAAGTAGAGATCAAAGAGGAAATCGAGGTTTCTTCCGGTTAGTAGAAATGGTGTGACCAGTCGCCAGATCTCCGGAAGCCATTTAAACAGACCGCCCCTCAGAAACGCAACATTATAGAAACTGAGGGTCTCGCTGTAAACGAGGAGAGACTCAACCAGAGTCAATGCAGTGATGGTCCTGAAGAAGACACGTCAGTCAACACTGCACCGGCACCGGGAACGAGACGAAGCGACGCACCGAGACACCGGAGGTGCCTCCCAGAACACATCCATCTTGTGGAAGAAAAGAAAAACCTGGGATGTTAGAAAATGTGGGAATTACACAGCCTGGGAGGAAGAAGAAGGGAAGAGAGGAAAGGAAGCGGGAAGAAATAAATGGTGTGCAACGCTACGGCACCGGTTTATCCGAATTCCGGCGGCTCCAGGACTCTTGGCGCGGCTCTGCTTCCACCCAATTTCACTGCACATAACTACATAATTGCACTTTTTATACCCATTTTATGTTTAATTGTTGTAGCATTGCTATCTATGTATTCACTGTATCTATTTACAAGTCTTCGCAGTTCCCCGAACAGCCAGGCCACCATCAGGACCTTCAATCCATACGTCCCAGGCGCTGCCGTGATTCTTAGGTTTACCACAGACTGTCAATTCCTCCTCCACGAAAAGAGGCGCGAGATTCTTGTAGTCAAATCTGTCCACACGGAGACCTTTACTGTTAAGATTATGCTGTAGCACACTCAGAAGTAGAGTCAGAGTCAACGGGCCATGTACGAGAAGGTTCTTATACCCCTCCTGGTTCTGCGTGTAATCCTGATCCAGATGGATCAAGTGAGCATTGAATGTCAGTGCTGAAAATCGGAACAGTAAAGATTTAGTCGGCAGAATAGAGTGGCGGAAAGTGGCGTCCGAGGGAGCTATCATCGCAAGGCTCGAGTCAGTACTTTCTCCTAATGACTAGTGTACGAATCAATTCGGGGCACACCTTTAACATTTCGACCTGGTTTGCTAAAGTGCCCTCTGTCCATCTGTATCTGCTCCGCGGTCTTGCATCGCATGAATATCAAGTCCCGGTTCTCAATGACCGATGACTGCCCCGCGTCCGCGTCGTTGTCCGTCCATATGCGATTCCAGGTTTGAGCTTCTGGCTCTCCCTCCGGCACCGCCCCAATGCGTCGCTCAATTGTGACAATGACTTTCTCTTCCCCTTCCCGTCCCTTGACAGTCACATTGCGCATGGACTCGATGCAGACTGCCCGACTTCCATCTAGAAGAGGGGCTCCGGCTGGGAATCGGAGATTCCCTCCTGCCCAGAGTCTCCGATTGAAAGGGCTTCCTGGTGTATGAAGCACGTCCGTGCCATCTGGTAATAACTGCGACAAAGTAACCTGAGGAGGGAAGTAGATCAAATGGTGGGCGATTGGTAGCGGGGACGGTGTCGTGACCGAGGGTAGTCTCGTTTGTACATCGCGGCCATCAGGTGATTGTGGTAAAAGGTCGCATAGCGTCAGATTTAGCATGTGCGACGGCTGAGGATATAAGTAGTCGTACATCAATGGGAGCTTGCGCGTAGTCAGCTCATGCTGGAGGCGCTCGGCGAGCGAGGAATGAGCCCGGCATTGCACTCGATCCAGCGAGCGCAAAGGCCGGGCAATTCTCACTTGTATGGACGAAATTCTTCCTCGAACCATCTTGGAGCAAAGACGTGACGCCAAATGGTGAACGAATTGAGGACGGAGTTTGCCTTGTTTGTTGGGGGGGGGGGGGGGGGGGGGAAAGAGCGCACACCGCTCGGGGACGATCTCAATGGCGTCGGGTCTTAGAGATGGTTAATTGTGTTCGAGAACTTTGTACTCCCGAGACTCAGAGTACAATCACGATATGAATATGACACTGGGTCGCCTGAAAGTGGCCTTCCTCGGCCCCCGCGCTTCCTTCTCGCATCAGGTAGGCATGGAATGCTGCAACCCCACAGCTTGACAAGGACCCCGGTTTGCTGACTGCTGTCATAGGCTGCAGCCGAGTCCTTCGGTCGTACTTCTGCCGAGTTGCTTCCTCATATCACCTTCGCCGATGCCTTTTCTGCCCTTCAACAGCAAGAAGTTGACTACGCCGTCATCCCTTGCGAGAACTCCACCAACGGATCTGTTGTTCAGACTCTCGATCTTCTCGCGGACCGCAATGACCTCTATAAAGACGTGAAAGTGTGTGGAGAGTACTATTTAACCGTACATCACTGTCTCTTAGTCCGCAAGGGCTCATATCCATCCGGCTGGGAGGGCTACGACGGATCCATCACCAAATTATATACGCACCCGCAAGCGTGGGGCCAATGCGAGTTGCTGCTGTCGAAATATTTCAAAGGCGTGGAGAGACAAGATGTCTCGTCCACGTCAAAGGGGGCGGAGATTGTCTCGAAGGAGATGGAAGAGCGCAGCGCAGCTATCGCCAGCCGATTTGCGGCAGATTTCCACGGCGTGGATGTGTTAAAGGAGAACATTGAGGATCGAGCAGACAACACTACCCGCTTCTTGATTTTGAGGAACATGCGCGCTGAGCGAGCAGCTCAGCTAGAGCTGGAACAGCCCGCCACTGCTGTCACCACCCACAAGACTCTGATCTCGTTCGCGATCGACCACTCTCTTCCCGGTGCATTGGCTAATGCGCTGCTGATCTTCAAGGCTCACGGTCTGAACCTCACCAGTATTAACACAAGACCAAGTTTGAAACGGGCTTGGCAATACATCTTCTTCGTTGAGTGTGGACGGACGCCATCCGATGAGAACAGAGACGCCGTCATCAAGGCGCTGAATGATCTTCGGCATGTTACCGAGTTCTGCAGGGATTTGGGAACCTGGAAGGATCAGCTTGGAGCCAGAATTTAAATGGATCTTGCAATGATGTGATGAAGATAAAAAGCATGTTCTGCTTTGATACATCCTACTAATATCTTTTCCTACAAGAATACTTCTTGTGAATACATTTCGGGGCCTATTTTTGCATGGCAAACTACTTTTCAATGTTCATGATCTAGCGAGGTGTCGGCAAGGGTATGTTCCAGCCTCGCCCTGCGTATATGAGACCAGATCAAACAAATGGCTCGGAAATAAATGGCAAGCAAAGCGAACCATGTCCGTAGAATTTTCAGAATATAACAAGCAAAGGTAAAACATAATGAGCGAAGAATCAATGAGGGTCATCCAAGGTAAAGCCACAAGGTGGTCACGCAAATCGAATTGCCCCACGCCACCTTAGCCAAAGTATTGACGGGCGGCAATGAGTGACCAGATGTTGCAAAGAATCGCATCCAACCTTTCAAATTGCAATTCACACCTCATGTTCGTCTCAGATACTGAGACCTCAGTGAACATATCACGGAACTTAGAGCTTGGATGACCCTGGGACCAAAATGTTAGACGCAGTTTTATTCATGAGACCTCGCGAAACATACCTCTGAGCAGCGTCACGGGGCTTGGAACAGGCATTTCAACGGATTCCTCTACGGATTCCTGGGTTCCAGTCTCGGAGCCGCCTTCATGATCCACAGGGCGAGCCGTCAGAACACTCGCCGGAGGAGCTTCTGGCCGTTCATCCTCGCTCTCTGCGAGGGCGCTCAACCGTCAATCTGCAACTAATGTTAGGACTCAATTCTAAATATTTACTGGGAATTAAAAAGTCTCACCATCGTAGAACTCGTCGTCGTCGCTATAATCGGCAAGCTGTTCAAAGTTCACCTTGTAACGGAGAATAGCCCCGATACCACCGAAGCCCTTAACGAACTGGTTTCCTTCACCGGACCGGTCAGAAACAAACTCGAGGGTGGCACCGAAGTCCTTGTAGGCCTCAGCTAGCCACTCCAGGAAGGAATTAGAATCGATAACCTCCATCTCGGTACCGGTCTCCTTGTCCATGAACAGCTCACGGTTGCTCTCCTGAAGCTTTGTGGTGTGGACGATCACCTCCGCACCAGTGGAGTCCTTCAGAACCCAGCGAGTAACATCCAGGTTCTCGTACACGATCAGGATATCGGCTGCACCGAGCTCCAGAGCCTTGAGAGTATCCTCAACACCGTAGCAGACTCTGCCAGTGTCCTGGCTAATCTCCTGGAAGTACTGGCCAATCAGCTTCTTCTCCTGGATGAACTTGACACTGCTGAGAGTCTCGGCAGCCAATTCGATGGCCTGGTTGAAACCGTTTTCACCACCGTACGACACATCGACAATCTTGATGATCTTGGCCTGAAGACGGCCGTCGAACAGGTCGGACTGGGCGAGGTCGTTCTTGAAATCGGCGGAACCAGCCAGCACGAGACCAGCAACGTTGACCTTGTCGTTGGTAATATAGTTCTGAACGGCCAATTCGGCGATCTTGCGGACGTAGTTGTGACGCTTTTCCTCACGCAGACGGGAGAAACGCAAGGCGGATTGACCACCACGACCCTGTAGATATTAGATTAGAAATGAATTATAGACAAAAGTTGAAGGACGCGAGAACTTACGTGCTTCTTGGGCAAGTCGACGGAAAGACGCTGAAGAATTTCACGGGTGTTGCCACTCAGGGTACCGAAAAGGGCACCGTTACCGTCCATGATAATGAAACCGAACTTCTGGTCGGACTCCAACAGCTCACTCAGAGACTCGGTGTGGAACTTGTTGTCACAAAGGTAGAGCGAGGTGTTGATAGGCTTGAAGGGCTCGAAATCGATGTTAATCTTGCGCTCCTTGCCCTCCGAGGTGATAATTTCACCACAGTACACAACCAGTCCATTCGGAGGAACCTTGTTATATAGCTTCAAGCGCTGCTGGGTGGAGGTAATGGCGGATAAGACAGAGAGTCGGTTGACACGAGATTTGATGTTAGAGGCGGTACCCTAGGGTTGGTTAGCCGGGCGATTCGAGTTCGGATGCGGCTGGGGAGAACATACGTATTCTTCAGCCAACATCTTGGCCGCGCGAGAAATCTGATCCTTGGGCGCTATCATTGAGAGTCAGTGTCATGCATCCGAGCGACGAGAGGGCGAGCACAAGCGTACGAATGATGAGAGAAATCATGGAGGTTCCATTTCCGCGGGCGGATTCAAGACGCTTGATCAGTTTCTTGACCTTCCAGATCTCAATGTTCTTCTCGGCTTCGCCCGGGGTTTGCTCCTTGGAACTCATATTGGGCGACTCAAAGGTGGTCTGCAGCGAAGGGAGAATGTAGAGGCCTTTGCCTGTCGACGCCTAACCGGAGTCGAAATGGGAGACCCGAAACAAAGACGGGATTCTGTCCTAACACCTATGCGTTAGATTAGTTGGGGAACTTCAAAATCACCCTGAACACAGAGAACGACAAGAAATGGGGCGCACACCTTCCTGATTGACGTAAAGTACGGCAGCAAAAATCCTCAGGCACCGTGGGGTCGAGGGGCTCCGTGGGCTGAGGTAAGCCAGGGCATGCCGTGGAGTTGGTACTTGGTACTAGGTACTTCGACTTGTACGTAACTTGGAGGGACCTACAAGTACCCTCTACATATGGCAGCCACCATCTCTTTTTCCTTTACTTTACTTTTTTTTTTTTTTCCCTTTCGTTCCCCCTCTGCAGAATGTAGCGTCGATTGACGGATTGGCGTAGTAAGACAGAACAAGATTCATGGCACTATCTCTCAGCTTCATTCCCCATCTTAATCACGCCGGGAATATCTGAAAATCTCTCTAGGATAGTCCCCAGATTTACCACGTTAGACAGATAAGACAGACATGGGCATAGAGGTAGCTAGACATGTCACCAGGATATTGGACTGTACTTCAAACACCGGTTTCCCGCAACGCCCTCAACCGAAAAGCAAGGTTGGGCGCTATGACACACGAAATGTGTGAATCCTTGGCCTATGGCTTATCTGCGCCGGGACTATCACCCCACACGGTGAGCTAAAGAGCTTCGGCGATTCAGCGTCTTATCTTTTAAGCTATCTCCAGGCAAATAAAAGGGCCTCTAATCGCGTGTCCCTTCATTTGCGCCGGTTTCTATTCTGCCCTGCTATATCGGCACCGTCAAGACGCGACGCGTGCGGATTCTCTCCGACAACGATGTCGTCCCAGAACGCGGATGAACATCATGAGGGCGACTCTCGACAGTCAACTTTGAGAGGAGGCGCGCCTAGCTCCTGGGACTATGGCCGCTTGAGCGCAGCGCATCTGATCGACGAAGAGGACAGCAGGGGCCGACGAAGGTATCTTTGCCAGACCCACCTCGGACGATGGAAATTTGTGAGAGAGAATTTCTAACCACGCCCATATAGGTCATCCTCTTTCGGCCGTCTTCGACAGGCTGGAGGCCCCAACAGTATCGACAACTTTGCCCGCTCATGGCAGAGAGCTGCTGCCTTCCCTGAAGTATTCCCGCGTCGCTCCTCGTTCGTCGAGGCAGACACCGACGATGAATGCGCCATTGCCACCGGACACGACTACGCAGCCAGGGCCTCTCAATCTCACCGTGACTCCGATCTGGATCCACCTCTACTGCTGTCCGATGAGTCTGGTGGGGAGGAAGAGGACACAACCTACTGGCACGGGTCCCAAAGGTCCAGGAAGGCACTCCCGAGCACCGGGCTCTTGGCGTCGTCCCCGGACAGAAACAACCTCACTTCGTATGGCTCGATATCCTCGCGCGTGAGTGAATCGACTCGCCAGCATGCGATCCAGCTCCATAAAGAATATCTCAGTCGGACTGATGGCGCTGCGGATCCTGATCGAGAGCCCCTCATCCTCAAACATGTTCAACATGAAGATGGCACGGAAGAGGATATCGTTGTTGGGCAATCTACTGTTCCACAGACTGTCTTCAACTCAGTCAATGTACTGATCGGCATTGGGCTGCTGAGTCTTCCATTGGCAATGAAGCATGCCGGTTGGGTACTTGGATTATCGTTTCTGGTGTTTTCTGCGGTGACCACGGGCTATACAGCCAAGATTCTGGCCAAGTGTCTGGACGTGGATCGCTCTCTTGTCTCATACAGTGACATTAGCTATCTGGCATTCGGCCAATATGCTCGTTTCATCACCAGTCTCCTTTTTTGTATGGAATTGCTAGGAGCTTGCGTGGCTCTCGTGGTGCTTTTTGCAGATAGTCTGTACGTTCTTATTCCGGGATTCAATATTCTCCAGTGGAAGATAGTCTGTGGAGTCGTCCTTTTGCCCTTGAGTTTCATGCCTTTGCGCTTTCTCAGTGTCACTAGCATTCTCGGCATCGTCTCGTGCACATCAAGTGAGTTCATCCAGGTTCCCCCATCATTTGAAAAGCGTTACTGATTTTCAAAGTTGTCCTTCTCATTTGCGTCGATGGATTAATTAAGCCAGATGCACCTGGCTCCCTTCGCCAACCTGCCACCACCTTCCTCTTCCCCGAGAACTGGGCTACTCTTCCTCTAAGTTTCGGTCTCATCATGTGTAAGAGATACTCCTACGTGGAAAAAGTTACAGGAACTGACCTCCAATTTCTAGCACCCTGGGGCGGGCATTCTGTGTTCCCCAACGTGTATAAAGACATGAGGCATCCTCATAAATATGAGAAGAGTCTCTGGTCCACATATCTATTTACAGTAAGAAAATTCATCTTCACCGAAGAACATCCAGAACTGACCCACGCGTCAACAGTTTTCTCTTGACTGCTCCATGGCGATCCTCGGCTGGGTCATGTTTGGAGACATGGTTCGCGACGAGATCACGGCCAACGTCCTCGCTATCGACGAGTATCCGCAAGCATTATCCGTCTGTATCATCATCTTCATCTCTATCATTCCGTTGACGAAAGTACCGTTGAAGTAAGTGGAGTTGACCTCTCTCCAAAAGCTTTACTAACAGTGGTATAGCGCTCGGCCCATAGTATCCACATTCGAAGTACTCTGTGGAGTAGCAAAAGGCCGTGAACCTCTCGGGGCACGGGCGGAAAAGATTCAAGAAATGGCGCGTATGGTGATTCGTATCTTCACAATCGCTCTCATTGTCGTATTGGCCATTGTCTTCCCGTCCTTCGACAGGATCATGGCTTTCTTGGGCTCGTTCTTGTGCTTCACCATTTGCATCATTTTCCCGCTTGCCTTCTATCTGAAGATCTTTGGGAAAGAGATCAGTCGAAGAGAGCGTATTCTCGACTGGGTTTTGCTGATCTTTTCTTCGATACTGGCGGCAATTGGGACCGTGTGGGCATTCTTGCCTCGTGAAATGATCTCGGGAACATCTTAGCCATGTACATACATGAACCACTTATGAAATCAGCCCTTGTTGAGGATGATCGCAAAGTTGTTCCTCTTAACGCCGGGGTTGAGCATGTCCTTTTTGAATGTCCTGGGCTTGGAGTTCCCAGTATAATGCCATAATTGATAAATGAGCTTGTTGGTCCGTTTGCTTTCCACTAGGTGAAATCCTAGGCTTGCGAGAATCTCGAGAAGCCTTTCTTCCGTGAGGTAGCGCGAGTTATCGATGCAGGCTACCGGTAAAACAAAGAAGAGGGTTGGTGTGAAAGTGATGGAGCATAGAGGTGTCAGGAATTTGACTAAGCGCTTGAGCATGTCGCCGCGGCCCGTGGCGTCCGGTACATAGTTGAGAACCAAAGACAGACTGATGATATTGAAACGATCTTCATCCGTAGATGGCAGAGGTCGCTCCATGAAGTCCTGCTTGAGAATGCCGGGCTCTTGCGAATTAAGATCGATCCGCGTCACATCCAGCGCTGGGGTCCTTGAGCAGGCATTCTTCGTACTCAGCGCGCCGACTTCAAGGACTCGCAATTTGGAATGAGACGGGTCCCAATGATCTAGCGGTGGCTTGATCCAATCAACCAAGATCTTGCTGGAGTCACCACCGCGGTCCGAGGACTGGCCGAGCTTGCTGGCAATCTGATAACTTTCCAGGCCGCCATTTGCATGGATCTGGGCATCGATGCTGCTGACCCGAGCTTCATCACCAGCCTTTGAAGCCTGTGCCCGTGCCTTAAGCAATTGATGGTGCGAGCGAATGAGAGTACGGGTGGCCTTGGAGGACAGGGCCGCCTGCTTGGACTTGACCGTCGGCGGTCGTCCAGTAGACAGTAGACCGGGCCGTTTAGACCGGCTTTTGGGAGCCATTTGAAAGGTAATGAAGTTTTTTCAGTCTAGACAAAAGAATAGAGAAAATTTCATGCTCTAAATAGCTGATCCGATACGTTTGACGCAAAAAGGACAACAGGAATTGTAATTGTACCTCCCCAGCAAGAAAAAAAGAGACGATGTACTCCAAAAACACGGAATCGAAAAAAAGCGGCCCCACATTCCCCGTGACCTGCGCTTACTCATCTCCCAGATCACCTGACCCACACAGCGCTAGGGTTTTCGCTTAGCGAAGCCACTCTGAATTGTTCGACTCACGACACTGCGACAATCATCACGACAGCGGACGACAGCCATGGCCCCTACTACCAAGCAAGGTACGTTCGGATTGATACGACATTGCTACACTACTTCTTCCCAATTGCAAACGGTGCGAGAAATGTGGTCTGGAGGAAGGAACTACAAATTTCAAAAAATTCATTTTGAAGATGCCGCGCAAAAGAGATCGGAATCATGGGAATATCAGGAAAGGCACAACACTCGGCCTCTCCTCGACGACACTGAAGTTTCTTCTTTCCTCCGGATTTCACATTCGCCCGCACCGACTCGCAATTTCTTGAAGTGGCAAGGCAATTTTTCAAGATTCGCGAAACTAACAAATATTCTCATCTACAGCTAAGGCTGCCGCCAAGGCAGTTGTTAAGGGATCTTCCGTACGTTCTCCCTCAATTTTACGACCGATTCTCGCTCCCGGATCTGGTCAAAATTCTCCATCGCACAATATACTGACAGATTGGGAAATAGCTTCACAAGTCCCGCAAGGTCCGCACTTCGACCACCTTCCACCGCCCCAAGACTCTTCAGCTGTCTCGGTCGCCCAAGTACCCCCGTGTCTCCATCCCCCGTCAGCCCCAGCTCGATGCCCAGAAGATCATTCTCTACCCTCTCAACACCGAGAGCGCCATGAAGAAGATCGAGGAGAACAACACCCTTGTCTTCATCGTTGATGTCAAGGCCAACAAGCGCCAGATCAAGGGTGCTATCAAGAAGCTGTACGATGTTGACACCGTCAAGGTCAACACTCTGGTCCGGTATGCAATATCCCGATCCTTCATCCTACTGCAATCCACTAACTTGACTACTATAGCCCCGACGGCTCCAAGAAGGCCTTTGCCCGCCTCACCCCTGACGTCGATGCTCTTGACATCGCCGCCACTAAGCTGGCTATCGTTTAAAAGGGCAGAAATGGATTTCTTTGGTTTTAGGCGAACGATGTTTTCCACCGTGGTGATTCTCAATACCAGCCAGTTCCTTGGCTGTATGTGCAGCAACGAGGGCTGAATGATACAAAAAAGAAACATTTCTTGACACGATTTAAACCTGTTCATGGACTCTACTCGGGGGTCAGATGGCGTAATATTTGGGTAGTGTAAGCACCTTGCACATGGCCTTGCAGTCGTCTACCGTAGTCAAGATGCGGACTTGCACTCCGATATCGAGTATATCTGGCACACGTGCTCTACAGCTATGGGCGACATTGGTTCACGGCGCCTCTGATACAGACGTTGAACTGTTACATTGTAGTGCAAGTTCTAATTAATCAGCCAACATTGACTCTTAAGCCTAACTACAAGGTCTAGCTACAAGGGAAAGATGTATACAGGAGATCATTGATTTTTGGCTCTAGTGTACAAAGGACTTTAAGTGTCCCATCAATCCCAACCCAGAGAATGCAACATCCAGCTATGAACAGTCTCGTGCCATCCTAGTCACAGCTCTGACGTATCATATCATATAATGACGGCGACTATCGATAACTCCGCGGTCAAGCTATGGTTCTATCCATAGTCTCCGCCATCGCCAATGTAGATCGAGATCGAGATTGAGGTCGTAGATCGAAAGGTAAATTTAGTGGCCGCCGCGGAGTACATCCAGGTGCTTCAGGATGGACATCTGGGTGTCGAACCAGCGTTCAACGCAGTTCTGGGCGCATGCCTCCTCAGCGCGGTCGAGGGTGCCAGAGGTGATGGGCTTGCCGCGGATGCACTTGGTGAAGCAGACATCGTTCAGGGAGTGGACGGCTGATGGATACAGTCAGTATACATCAATTCATTCGAATCTTTGAAGCATAGAGCAGTGCTTCTGTTTGATCACATACCCTGCTGGATGCTGGACTTCTGCGCCTCATTGGTAAGGACGGTGTTAAGCTCCTTCTTATCGGCGTCGCTAAGACTAGAGATATCAACTTGAGTCTGAGGATCCATAGTTGCGGTGTTTCAATGATGGAAAGATAGAAGGGGGAGTCGAGTAGGGCGAAGCTACGTGCAGTTCGACGCAAAATCCAAGGCGGTGGACTCCGGCACAAAAATGACGCGGCGATCATCGCAGTTGTCCCTCGCAAGGTTTCTCTGCAGCGCACCTGAAACCTCGCGAAGTCCTCAAATCACTCGTTTCTACGGTGTTACATCCCGGATTATCCTCTCGCTGTTTCTACTTTCACACCGCACAAGTCCATCATGCCGCCCATTCGCACATCCCGAAATCGCAAACCGCCGCCGGCCGGCTTCGACGATATTGAAGACACCTTGCTCGAGTTCAGCAATAAGATGAAAGATGCTGAGAATGCTTCGGGCGATGGAAAGAAGAAATATGAGGTCCTCTGGCCTATCTTCCAGATTAGCCATCAACGTACGTGTCGTTGTCCCTTTCCCCCACTTGTCTCTCCGCGGGTGGCGCTTTCCTGATCCTGACCCTCTACCTCTAGGTTCACGATACATTTACGACCTCTACTATGAAAAGGAAGCCATTTCCAAGCAGCTTTACGACTGGCTGCTCAAGAATAACTATGCGGACGCCAACTTAATCGCCAAGTGGAAGAAGCAGGGCTACGAAAAGGTATGCTACATCCTTTTTTCTCTTTCTAACGCTGTTTCCTTTCTTGAGTCTATTTTATCTGCCCCGACATCTTGCTGATTTGGGTTTCACTCCCTAGTTGTGCTGTCTTCGCTGCGTCCAAACGAAAGAGACCAATTTCAATTCCACCTGCATCTGCCGCGTGCCCAAAGCCCAACTGAAGGAAGACCAAACCATCCAGTGTGTCAGCTGTGGCTGCCGGGGCTGTTCAAGCAGCGACTAAAAATGCGACTCGAGGTTATGAGTGGTCGATACGGTCAAATGACGAGCAAGGGCTGGTCGGGCGTTCAGGTCATGCATGTGTTCTTTGGTGATTAGTTGGATGATACTCAATCAGATACCCTTTCAAACCAATGTTTAGACAAGTAATAATCTTCATTTTGCTACCTAATCAATAGCGCCTCCGAGTGTGTCCAGCCCTAGGTAAACCCATAAAAGATAGAAATCCCAACACCCGACATCCCAAATCATGAAACCATCGCTTGCTCATGTACATCTTAGCATCGTCATTAAGGTCGTAACCAGGCCATCCGGGCAAAAGAGAGTAAAAGTTAGAACCGGCGCCTCAGCACAGTCCCAAGAAACTCCCGAAAAGAAAGCAACGCCCAATCCTAACCTGGCAACATCCGAGAATTCCCAACTCCGCGACCCAAAAACGCAAAAACAGGAGGCTATAGGGTAACAAACGCAACAAGTGTGTGGGGAAAGATGAAACAGCCAGGACTCAGTGGAGACATATGAGGAAAGCAAATAAAAATAAAAATAAAACGCCAGGGTTAGTAACCCGAGTAGAATCAGCCCAGTGCAGAGGATCAAAGGCATCTAGCCGATCCATAAAACAAAAATCAGACGCTGGGATTTAAGTTTCTAGAATAGAGTAGTGTTGCTGCGGCTGGTCAAGTGAGGCCGAGCGTGAAGTGGCTTGGGCTTCAGGGTGTCGTCTTTGGAGGCACCTCCAATCTTCTGGAAGCCCTGCAAGAGATCAACCCCATCAACTTCGCCGCTATCGTTGCTCTCATCAAATAGATGGAATGAGAAAAAGTCGTCCTGGCTAGTATCGCCAAGTCGACCAATATCAGGGAGTTTGGAGGGTGATTCGGGGAACACAGATGACTTTGACCGACTCAGAGGGGGCATACCCATGCGACTATTCACGTTGACCGATGTGATATCAGCAAGAGCAGTGCTCCCACTATCTGTCCGGGAACGCTTGACAGAGCGCTTTTCAGGCGAGCCATATGCAGTAGATGAAACGTGCTCATCATGCGAGTCCGCAAAGACGTCGAAAGTGGTATGGAAATGGTCCTGAGGTGTATAGGAGGAATCCTGGAGATTGAAGGCAGGGCTCCAGGGCAGATCATCGTCCGCGAGACCCAGGTGCTTAATAGGAGAGTTGACCATCTGCTGGATCTTTCGGCGATGATTACGCAGGTTGGTGTTCGGAGACACAGAGGGCGGTGGCTTTGCTGGCTTCTTGAACTTGATGATCGGTGTCAATGGAGGGGGCAGCATACTGACAAACTCTCCCCGTAGAGGCGAAGAGCCTACCAACGTTCCAGCCTCTTTTCTGTGACCTGGCTGCCCCGGACTGATATCGTGAGATGAGCTGCGTATACGCGCAATCTCTTCCTCGGCACGGCCTCGCTTGATGCGCGGCGGTTCGATATCCAGGTCAGAGGTCAAGATATGCCCAGCCTTATTAGGCCTTAAGGCAGATGATTCCAAAGAGGAGAAATAGCCACTGTCGTTCATAGTAATGGACTTGCGCTTTCGAGGACGCTGAGCGGGAGTTGGGCCAGCCTGAGTGGGAGTGGGGGGTGTTCCCTGGCGCGCAAAGCGAGGAGGAGCAATGGGAGGAGAGGATCGGAGAGCTTGAGGTGGAGGGGAGGATCGGACGGGTGCTGTCTGATGCGATTTCACATGGGCAGTCTCGTCAGGAGCATCTTCTTGCAGAGCAGGATCAGATGCAGGCAAGGTGGCATCAGATGACAGGTCATCGTTGCGAGTGATTTTAGGTGGAGGTGCGTGTCGGGTGGGTGGAGGAGGGACCATCCAGGTCGTGGTGCTTGCGCTTTGCGGCTGGGGAACCAAGTCGCGCTGCGGGACAGCAGGAAGGGGCAAGCTAGACATCGTGGCGCGTCGAACCTGCTTGTCCTTCAAGAACTGCATCTCCATACCGGGTTCGATAGCCCAGTAGTTGCCTTTACCCGGGTCATCCTTGGGGCGTTCCTGCTTAATGAACGCCTTGTTAAGACTCAAATTGTGTCGAATGCTGTTCTGCCAGCCAGGATCGCTGTTCTTGTAGTAAGAAAATGTGTCGGAGATCCACTTGTAGATCTGAGCTAACGTCAACCGTCGATTGGACGCGCGCAAAATGGACATGCCGATCAATGTCGCGTAACTATACGGCGGCTTGGTGCCGTCGTCTTCGATGGATGGCATCTCGTGTGGTTCGGGGAGGTGAGAGATGGGCGTGTCTTCGCGTTTTTGCTTCTTCACAGATCGTTCTTTCAAAGGTGCGGCTTCCATGAGGGTGCGTTTCATCGGAACCTTGGCGTCAAAAGAAGGTTCAGGGAAGTCAGCAAAACTGCCATTGGACGGATCTTCCGGGTTCTTGTTCTCTTTGGATGACTCTGGGTTGACACTGGAAAAGGTGGTGAAGAGGGCCGACTGCGGCATGGAGGACTGGGTGTAGATGGGGAAAGATGGCTTCTTGGTGGGAGAGTCTGTGGTGAACATGGGAGGAGCGGGAGCAGAGATTGGGACGAAACCGAGTTTTCTCCCGGGATGCGAGCCCTGGGCTGACAGGCCTTTCGTCGGCGATGGCCTGTGCACGGTAGGGTGGAATGGGTTCTCAATGGGCTGCAATGGTAGCGGTGAGGGTTGAAGACGGGGCTGCGATTTGATCGCCGGGTGTGCAGATGGGGCCAGGGCCGGGGAATTGTGAGCGCTGAGCGCTGAACGCGTCGATCCCATAGTCTGGAAGGAGGGAGGCAGGCAGTCGCGTCACTAGTCCGCAGTAGGGACCATATGACGCGTCGGAATCACACAGGAAGCCGCGACTTTGTTCCGATGTGCTGCAACGGGGTTCACAAGAGCCGAGCCGACGCTGATAGTGACTGGACTGGGTTGGACGAAAGAATATCCTGTTAGGCCAATTGCAGTCCAGAAAGAGGAGTCTGGTCAGCTAGCCTCAGGCCGTCATGCAGCTGAACTAGTCGAGATGGCGAACGTTGGGCCACAAAAGCGCTAAGAGACGGCTGACACGTCCGATATGACCCAGGTCAAAGTTGGGGATGTCGCCGTGGTGATGATTCCCACGAGATGGCTGCAAGTGGTTTCTTAAAAACTGGAAATTGCCCGATGGATGGCAAGTAGCCAAGTTGGCCAGGTGAACAGATGGACAGATGGACAGATACGAGTGACGAAAGGCTGAAAGGGCCTGGAGCCTGAAGTCTAGCAGAGATAACGGGGGAGTCTGGCGAGGACGAGATCTGACAAGGGAAGGTTCTGGATGTCGCTCCCTTTTTGTCTTTTTTTTGCTTCCTTTCCCCTCCGGAGTAAAGACGATGCAGGTTCCTTTGGAGGTGGGGGAAAGAGGAGAGTAGATGGGCGCAGACGGTGAGGGTGCAGGGCGGGTATTGCCCATTGCCTGTACCCGTCAGGTATGGTATAGACGCGCGCGCGTCACGCGTTCTTTGGTGTGTTATCAGGTAATAATACGGTCAGAGATTACAATACGACGGTTTCCCAGACGTACGAAGGGATTGGCGCTCCTTGCTCGAGGCATTTGTGATGCGCGGATCAGCTCTTAGTTCAGAATAGTGGACTATGGCTGAAGTATGCGCTCCACTTCGTACTTGCATCTACTTCCCGACTAGATCTTAATCTTGCCAATCTATAAATCGTTTTTAGGACTTTCCCTTGCACTCGACTTCCTTAACTCATCATGCACTATAGCGATATAATCATCCGATAATCACCCTTCCATCCCGTTTGTAGGATTGTCCTGTAGTCACTCGATCGACTCCCCTGATCGTCCTGGCTTGCGGTATGCTGATGTAACTCTGAGACAGCGGTTGCGTCTCACCCCTTGTTCATCCCAGCCTCCCATTGGCCTCATGCGCACCTCAACACCCCTCTACTGAGGTTGATCTCGAGGTTAATAGCGTATGTACTGCACGAGACTTTCGATTGTCGGCATATAGTCTATCGTCTAAATCTAGCAGAATCATCCCAATGGATGAATGGATGCCCTTGCATGCTCTGTCAGGAACCCGTTCAAGTACATTGTATGCCACAGAAAGTAGCACGTCCCTCAAATCTTGAAACAGGGACCCTCTTCTCTATACCCAAAAAATGACACAACGCCATGCCCATGCATCGAACAATGAAAAGCATAATGCTCAGTCCCTCTAGCACCCTGTACAGAGCCCCTGGAGGTGGATGCACGCCAACTTTTCTCGAGGAAATGAAAATGAAAGAAAAAGAAAAAGCAAACATATAGAAAATGATGAAAACCGGCCCAAGGGATATCTAAAACGACAATGACGGTTGTTCACAGGACGTCTAGTCCAAGAAAGTGAACATGCTAGTGTGGATAATATTGAGAGCGCGATCCGCATCACGCTCTTCAATGACGCAGGAGATGTTGATTTCACTTGCACCTGCAGGGGGGTAAGGAAGACGTGCTGGTCAGCTTCATCCTTGAAGGGCAGAACGTGAGGGGGTGGAGAGGGTTTAAGATCGACAATCATTGACTCACCTTGCGAAATCATCTCAATGTTCACATGGTTTTCCCCGAGAGTGGTGAACATACGTCCAGCCACACCGATCATATTCTTCATTTGCTTGCCAACCAAGCTGAGGATGGCCATCTCCGGGATAATGTCAACCATTCCGTACTTGCCCAGGTCATTGAGGGCGCCCTTCAAATCATCATCAATGACTTGGTATTCATCCCTTCCATTTCCATTCAACAGGGGCACCTCTGAGTGGAGAGCCATCGACACGTGGACCTCGCTGGTCGAGATCAGATCGATAGAGAGGCGCCACTTGTCCAACACTGAGAAGATACCGGCAAAGAACCCGTGGGACAGCGATCGCTTATTCGAGTGGACGTTAATCACGAGAATCTTGTGCTTGATGGTCACGGCTGTGGGCCGCTTTGGCTTTTGCATAAAGCTGGGGCTGCGAGTGCGGAATAGACGAGGATCGTGGCCAGGTGTGGTCCGTTCGAGCTCAGCAGTAGAGTCGGGGAAGATGATGGTGCCCCGGTTCTTCGGGTTCATGACGTTTTTGATGCGAATGGGGATCTTGGCGCGGATGACCTGTTCCATAGTGAAGGGATGAATCACCTCGGATCCGTAGAAGGTCAATTCAGCGGCTTCGGCGGGCGTGATGGCGTGGAGAAGGCGGGCTGTGGGCACTTTGCGAGGGTCTGCGGTGAAAATTCCATCCACCTCCTTCCAGACCTGGAGCTCTTTTGCATGCGTACCGACAGCAACGAGGGCTGCGCAGAGGTCGGTATAGCCCCGGCCAATCTGATCGAGCAATCCACCGGGGATGGTACCGAAATAGCCGGTCATCACGGGGACTCGATGTCCACACTCCTCCACCTTCTTGCCCAGAGTGGCAGCCAAATTATTGTAGAAATCCTGATCGAGACCCTGCGCACCGATGGGGAAATTGATAATCTCGGACAGGTCCACATACTGTGAGTCTACCCCGTGGTCCTGCAGGAAGGCGGCCATGAGCCGACAGCTCAGCTTCTCACCCGTACTCATAACCTTATCCACACAACGGGCACTAATCTCTCCGAGAGTCTGGGCGGCTTCGAGGACCTTGAGGACCCGTTCGCATTCCCCGTTAATGTCGGCCACCACTTGGTCCTTCAGGTCCGCTGATTTCAACTGTTCCTCGGCGACTTGGACATGCTCCAGGCGAACGGCCTCGACAAATTGTTCATACTGCCGTGACTGGGAGTTCTCGGCGTCCCGGGCTGCCCGCAGTAACCTAGTTGACGAAGCGTTAGGAGATGGGAGATCGAAATCGAGTCTAATGCTTGTATATGACTCACCGATTGGTGGTGCCTTCGGCTTTCGTAGAACTACTTCTGGCGGAGCAGACAACGGCGACTCGATTTTCAACGAGGCTAGGTCTGTGCGAGGTAATTGCTTGTCAGCCCTGTGTAAAATGCCACTCGGTGAAGGTGGAGAGGGGCGAGAACGTACTGAACGACTTGTTCAATAATGTTCAAAGCAAACTTGCCGACGCTGGTGCCGCCAAATTTTTGAACAACCCAGTTGCTATGGACCCCATGGGCCTGGGGATTATCCTGAAGCGACATGGCCAATATTGAACCTGGGGAAATGAGATAGAGGAAGTTCACAACATGCAGATGGAGGGGAAGGAGCGAAAGCGGAGGAGTGGGCCGGCTGCGGCATCCTCATAATTTTTTTCGGGTGAGTCAGTCTCAATCTAATCATCAAATTGAGTTTTTCCGCCTTCCACTCCAGGAACGCGATGTCGGAGATGCCCCGCCAATCACGCCATCGACGGTGCCTGTTTTCATAAGCAGACATGACGTAGACGGTGCCCTTTCTAGTGCCTGAGGCAGGACATTTGTACTCCGTATGATCAACTTTTGAACTTTGGCTCGGGGGGTTTTGTCTTAGTCACTTTATTGGTGGGGTGGATTTGTACGATCTAATCTGCGATTGCCATAAATAGAGTGTTGTGCCTTGCATGTTCAGGAGTGGTTATTATCTAGCCGTCATTTGCTATAGAAGAAGAAAAAGCGTACAGGTCCAAACATTCTCACAATGTAATATTTTCGCTTTCATTGGAGGGATATTCCGAGGCACTTGCTTGAATATGCATTCCAGCGTTGTATTTGGGCCAGGGTTAAATACGTAAGTGCTTTGGAATATCTACTTCGGTCAAATGCCGGGACGTCCCAAGATATATTCTGCCGTAGCCGCCAGAAACAACCTCCTTTGGATACTTAGGTATTCCATGCTTACATATCTCATACAAGATGCCCAGATATCTTCCATATCTATGAAACATGAACCCACAATAGGGCACTCCTATGAATGAAGCAGGCTTTGATTCACCAGATTAATATATATACCATGGTACTACTGTAGGGTGTGTACTTCACCCCAGTGACTTGAGCCAAGGTGGGTCCGCGACCGCACCGAAAGGATCCTTTTCCTCCGACTCTACACATCTTGGAGCAACACTTCAACCTACTTCTTGTATCCTTTCATTCAAAAACTTTACATTGGTGACACGTCAAAACCCAAGTTCCACGTTCCAACAAGATTATATTTTTTTTGCGGATGGCATTCTCGACCATCGTTGCCTAGATCAAATGGCTGACCACGATACCCCAAGCTGCCCATTCTGCCCGTTCTCTGATTCGGATGCTACCTTTGTCTCAGCACACATCGAGTACTGTCATCCCGAGGCTGGTGCCGAGTCAGCCATCCAGCATTTAGACGCCCTCGACGCCCACAGTCCATCGCCCTTATCACCACCTGTCGAGGATGCCACAGACAAGTATGTAGACTGTCCACAAGGCTGTGGAGAGATCGTCACGGCGGCTGAACTATCTAATCATCGGGACTTGCATATCGCAGAAGGAATTGCGCTGGATGACGACAGCGTCGGTGAGGTTCCCTTCTCAGAAGACCTAGTCTCCAGCGATCACGACCTCTCAGACAAGGACGAATCATTAGACCTCACCGGGACACGAAAGAGCGGCAAGCGAGGCAGCGATCGAGTGGTTGCCAAAGCGAGAACCTCAAAATCAGGCCGCGCGAAAAGTCCCTCGAGTATATTGGGCCCAGATGGCGCGAAGAGGCTTGGGGTAAGTGTTATTTTCGAGCTGAAGTTTTTTATGTAGTAATTGCTTACATGCAAAAAAAAACAGCGCTCGGAACTGGGCCCCCATGCACATGAGAAGAAAATGCCCTCGTGGCTGAAAAAAATGCTGGACAAAGGTGGCCGAACCACAAAACAAACCCAGATCACACCGGATGGGAAACTCGCAAGACACACGCGTGTGGAGAATGAAACGGAGCATATCATCCCCGTCATTGCAAAACTCTGCGAGCAGGACAAATCTGTTCAGCGCGCTTTTCTTTGTAGCCCCAAGGTCCGCCATGTCTGCAAAATGCCTCGCGAGGGAGGGTTCTGTGGCTATCGCAATATTCAAATGCTAGTTTCTTACATTACGAAAGCTCAAGCTCCGGGCCATGAGAAATTTCCAAGGGGAGTACCCACTATCCTCGAGATACAGGATTTGATCGAACAAGCCTGGGATATGGGATTCAACAGCACTGGAAGAACCGAAACTGGAGGAATCAAAGGCACTCGAAAGTTTATCGGAACACCCGAGGTGAGCTACTCAGAAAGAGAATTGAATATTTGCTGAGTATCGCACAGGCTCAAGCTCTCTTCATGAGTCTTGGAATCCAGTCAGTTTCTGTCCATCAGACATGGCTTTGTATGCAACTAACTCCTTCTAGATGTGATGCGAGTAGTCTGGCGGAGTCAAAAGATATGCGAGCATGCGACTCTCTCTACATGGGTGTAGCTGCCTATTTTCGATCAGTATGTTCGGTCGATGACACCGAGAAGGTCTTCAAGACCGATCTGCCGCCAATATACTTCCAACACCAGGGTAAAATCCCTAAATTTCCTTATACCCACCCCAAGACTGTATCTAACTCTAGACATAGGACATTCAATGACCATAGTGGGATTTGAGATCCGCGACAACGGCCACGCCAATCTGCTGGTGCTTGATCCGATGTTCAAGACTTCTCCTGGGATCCAGCGTCTTATCGGGTCGTCAGCCAGGTCTGACAACCCGGCTCGTCTACTCAAAGCTTACCGGCGAGGATCTTCGTATCTACAAAAATACAAGATTTTCGAGCTTCTCAAGTAAGTCACAAAAATTCTCAGAATTTTTGGAGGCACTAACGATTGTAGATTGTGCAGAATTGATCCTGTTCCAGCGACTAACTCATGAAGTCGAACAACAGCATGGTAATGAAAATAAGTGAGCATACAAAAAATCAAATGCATCACACTATCAATCAACTCACTAGTTGAGGTAATACTCATTTCGTTCTTAAATGTATTTCTCAAGTTAGGCTTTATCTTATGTGTCTAGGTATTCATATATAAATAATGGGAAGGCAACAGCCACGCCCGTGACACGTCGTTTCTACTGATACGGTATATGTGCTAATCGTGGGCCACACGAGCTAAATAGTCCGTTAACAATTGATAGACAACAATGTAATTATTGGATGGTAGAATACACTTACGCACATGAAGAGAGCATTTGAATCAGGATTCTATCTTCTAATTGGTCGTTTAGCCACTACTTCAAAAGGCTTCTGAGGCAGCTTCTCTATCCACCCATAGATGTCCATATGCATAAGTTTGCTACCATTTAAAATAAAAATTGATGTGCGTCTAATATCTGCTAGTAGAGATATTAATGCTTTTAAGGTGGGTGTCCTCACTTTTGATCAGCCACTACGATAAGATAACCGGGGCAATGTTAGTCCGAGATATTATTTCGTCTGGGGAACCCATCATCTTTCTTTCTTCCCTCAATCCTCACTCACTTGTCTTTCGTTTCCTTGACGCCGTCACGAATGATGAGAACTGCCCCGAATGTGATTGTCACCGGCACCCCCGGAGTGGGCAAGACCGTGCACTGCGAGCAGCTGGCGCAGGATCTCGGGCTCAAGCATCTGTCCGTGAACCAGGTCGCCAAGGACCGTGATTGTTATGAAGAATACGATGAGGAGCGCAAGAGCTGGGTCGTTGATGATGATAAGGTATGTTGCTGGTCCGCGACTTTGGTGTGACATTGTTGCACCATGGGGGTTTTTTTTCTGCCCGCATTGCTTTGGTGGGGTCGAACAGTCTCGAAGTTCTGATTGCCTTGCGCAGAAGCTGACTCGATCTGTGATTTAGCTGCTGGATGCCATCGAGGACGAGGTGCTTCAGGGTGGCTATCTAATTGATTGGCACGCCTGTGACATGTTCCCCAAGTCCTGGATCGATCTCGTCGTTGTTCTCCGCTGTCCCCAGACATCAGTCCTTTACGACCGCCTTTCTTCGAGGTATGGTTTTTTACTCTGTTACATTCGTGCAAATCTAACTAGCGCATTCTTAGGGGCTACCACGAAGAGAAATTACAAGAGAACCTCGACGCCGAGATCTTCGGAGTCCTACTCGAAGAAGCGCGCGAATCGTACGACGAGGAAATCGTGGTGGAGCTGAACAGCGAACAGGACTCCGACGTCGAAGCCAACTGCGCGAGGATTTCACAATGGGTGCAAAGCTGGAAGGAACAGCACGCGGAATAATGGAACCGATCTTTGTCTTTCTCTATGATCTTCTAGATCTATATATACCCAACGTCACCTTTTTACTGTTGTCCCTCGGCCAGCCAGTGTTGGAACTTGACCAGAGCCTTGTACCGATGAGAAATCAGGTTCTGATAGTTTATTAGTACTAGTCTCGACACTGCTGTGAATGAAGAAAAGCGATTTTTTACCTTTGCCTCTTTCTCCATCTCGGCGTAGGTCTCCCCCTCATACTCGAAAATGGGGTCCCAACCTGCAAGGCCCAGGATTAGTAGATGAAGTTGCCTGCAAGGTTCTTTGACACTTACCGAAGTTGGTCGGGCCTCGCGGCCGAACAATGGTTCCCTGAATAGAATTAGATCCGATTCCGCAGTAGTCCTTCCGTGGAGGCTTGACTCACCTCGGTGCGTCCCTGGAACAAAATGGGCTCGGCTCCAGGACCCCGACAGAAGGCAAAGGTGCATACGGCTTCGGCGGTCCGATCTTCGAACCCATCCAGCATCTTGTTCAAGCCCTCATGACCCAGGGACTCCATGAACGATTTACTGATTTGGACTTAGCTGCTGAACAGGGGGCATGGGGGGGACTTCCTTACATGTAGGGTCCGGGCAGGCCCTTGAGAGCATGGAATTCCAACGCAGTATCTTCAGTTAAGGCCGGACCATTGATCTAGATTCAAAATGAGCTTCGACTGACCAGAGCGAGTTCAATTAGACATACAGTCTCAGCAGCGCGACGGGCCTTTTCCTTGGCGATTTCTTCGATCGTGCCTTGAATTTCCGGCACATCCACGGCCTGACTATCCACCTCAATGACGTTGCCAAGAATGGCGCGCACCTCGGTGAGCTTGTTCTTGTTGCCTGTGATGAAATTGACCTTGGTCAGGGTCATGATGGCGGTTTGAGGTGTTGAGGTGTTGGTGGGAGTTGTAAGAGAGTTGAGTTGGCTCCACCGAATTCCCCGCGGGAGGACACCGCTCGACCCGTAAATTGATATCACACTACACTTCTATATTGCGAACTACTCATCGAGCAAATGATCATATGCATCACTGTATTGCAAAACCCGAGATCACTCAGGCATATGGTTGTGGTGAAATTTCACCGGTCGTAATCCGTAGCTCACAGAAAATTCCAACGTCTAATATACAGATCTACTCCTCCAGAACCCCGTTATCGATCTCAAGCTTCTCCTGTTGCGCCATCGCCTGCGCCGACACAATTTCAGCCAATCGCTTCAGACGCGGCGTTTGAAGCCCTGTTGGATAGTCAGTAAGAGGAGTGTGAGGAAGCGGAGGGAAAATATGGTCACGTACAAGATGGAGTGTATGTCTCCAGGGCCGTGATAACCCTGGGCTCGGCGATCTCATAGGGACCGCTGTCTTCCATATCCACCGGAGTCAGCAGGAGAACATCACTCTTTTCTGTAACCCGGGAGGCAACAGCCTTCATGATCTCGCCGTTAATAGGCTGTTCGTAGTCTGCGACGAGGTACTGGTTGAGAAGCTTCTGAATTTGGTTCGGGGAGAGCCTGAACAAGGAATTAGCATATTTTGTACCAGACAAATCGTAAGCCGGCTCGTCTTACATCCAGCAGATATCCTGAATGATCTCAATATCATTCAATGTAGCCTTCTTAAGCTGAAGAAGCTTAGTCGCTTGCTGTAAGGGTGTCAGTGAGACGTAAGACCTCAAAAAAGATAAGTGCGTAAACTATACCATCAGATGCTCCAGCTGTAGCGTCCCCTCCGGCATGTCATGACTCTTACACCACTCCTCGATCCGGGTAATGTTGTAGTTGATCTGGAGACCACGCTTCCACGACAAGAAGTTTCGTCGCATAAGAAGGTCGTTAAACGCCGTCACACCCACTAGCCGCAGAAGCTCAGTAACAGTCTGCGTGATGATGGTGTCCTCGAGGTAAAACGCTTTCATTGCCCGATAGACGCCGTTCAGAAGGCTCAGAAGGTTGTCCATGCTGTAGGCAGGGTTGTTGTTCGAGGGCAAAAGCTTGCCGAGGAAACGGTTGGTTTCGCTGGTAACGAAACCAGGGAGTGATTGCGACTCAATAATAGCCGGGACAATCATCTTGTACAGTTTCTTCTTCAACACCTTCATCCAGGTGTGGTAGATGTTGAACTCCAGGCTCTCCAGGTCATGCTTCACAATTTCCAAAAGACGATCGTACTCGTAGTTATCGGTCTTCTGGGCTTCGTACCAATCCTCAGCCAGGAACACAAACGACAACATTTCGTGCACGTTCGATAGCCAGAAAGCGCCAGGGTTGACAGCGTCATCACCATCATGCTGCATGACTTCCTGTTGGATCGACTGCATGACGTTGGCCAGGAAGCGCTCAGATTCCTTCACGAAACCGTTGTTCCACATCTCGGAGGTGACCAGGTTGATCAAGTAAGCAGGGAATAAGACTTCCTTTTCAGTCGGAGGTGGGGTAGAGCTGGGAAGAGGAATCTTGAGGTTGCGAATAAGGCCCATGGTGACCTCCTCGTTCAAGTCCTCCTCTTCAGACAACAAGTTCTCGAGTTCTGCCTCGACCGAATCCAGACCCGGGGAGATCGCTGCGCCTGAACGAGCCGCACCGGGACCAGGGATAGCCATCGATACTGGGCGCGGGTTGTAAGCCCCACTGAAGCGATCGGTTTCGATCTTCTCTGCACCGGCGCTGCGTCGCTTAGGTTTAGGCTTCTTGGAAGACACCAAGTTTATCAAGCTGCTGGCAGGAGCCGGAGCTGCACCACCATTGGGCAAATCGCCATTGAGACCATTGACTGGCACGGATCGCTTGGCGACCTCCAGCTGTTCCTCTAGTTCCGAGACACGTTGACGAAGAGCAGACTTCTCCTTCTCGTGGTCACCGTCAAGCACCTTCAGGCGCTCTAGCTCCTCGTTGGTAACACGAAGTGCCTCGCGGGAGACTTTCTCCTCCTCCTGGAGACGCTTGATAGTGGCCTGAGCTTCAGCGTGGCTTTGCTGGATCTTGCTCATCTCTTCCTCGACAGCCTCTAGGCGGGCTGCTGTGATACCGGCCTGGTTAGCCTCGGCCTGGAGTTCCTTGGCACGGGCTTCTAAGGTGTTGTGTCTACTCCGCCACGACTTCAGCTGAGTTTCGTAATTCTCGAGCTGAGAGACTAAGGACTTGTTTTCACGCTTCAGTGACTCCAAGTACTGCGTGAGCTCCACGACCTTGTTCTCAAGCTTGTAGGAAATCTGCTTGAGATCACGTGCTTCCTCGCGCAGGGACTTGTAGATCTTTCTAGCCTGCTTACGTCGCCACAGGTTCTGGACAATAACCACTTTGTGGCGGTACTGTCGCCAAGAACGTAATTGACGCCACGAACGGAAAGCCCGTTGAATAACCTTGGCCGCATTGCCATTGATAGAGTCCATGATGTTTCGTCGGCAAAGGAAACCCTTCGTAACGGACTGGAACAGGATGAAGTTTCGCCGAATCTCGTTGTATCGTTTCCTGTCCTTCGAGCCACGCCAGACTCTTTGAATCGTGGTAGCAGCCTTTGTCCGACGGATTTCCTGAGCCTGCTGCCTTGCCAGGAATCCACGGATGAAAGCTTGAGTAGTGAGGATAGATTCACGAGCCTCCAGATAGCGGCGGCGGTAGTACTTGCACCGCAGGTTCTTCTGGATCATAATTGCACACTCGTTCAGTCTCGACGTGCGTAGGTTCTCCAGGAAGGCGAGCATGCCAGCCCGGAAAAAGATCTTGGTAAGACCCAGCTGGTACTTGTCTTGCTTTTGATGACTGGCATCGCCCAATGCCTTGCGAAGAATGGCATGACACATGTCTCGAATTTCCGACGTCCACTGGGAGGAATGACAAAGCATGTAATAGCGAATGGCAAACTCCTCGTAAGTCCAACGAGTGGGATATCCTGCAGTACTGATTCTCACAGTCTCGAGGACACCGCAAGCTCTCAGCTGACTGAGGACCATTGGCCCCTCAAACTTCCAGGCTTCCTTGGCTTCGTTGGGCTTGATGCAACGGATATAATGCACCTCTGTAGAATTGATAGTGCCCATCAGCTCGATCAACGAGGATTTGAAGATTCCTCCAAGCGTGGGCTTCCGGTTGACGGCAACACCAATCCGACGGCCTGGGGCTGCCGCAACCGGTTTGGATGAAACCGCTGCCGAGTCTTTGTCACGCACTGCAGCGGCAGTGTCAAGAATCTCCTTGATGAACGCATTAGATGAGTTACGCAGGACCTCCAGGTGCTCGTCTGGAACAGTGTCGCGATTCTTTTCAATAAAGCCGTCAGACTCGTAAGTGACATCAACAGCATAATGGCAAACGGTAAACGCAGACTTGCCGAAGCGAGGCTTCTTGTAGAACTTCTGCTTATCGGCAGCGAAGTGATGATGAAGCTTAGTGACAAATTGCTCATCAGAGCCCATGGGGAGGCGGGATTCTTCATCCAGTAGCGCCAGGATTCCAAGCTTGGCCTCAATCAAGTCGATACAAGGCTGATTGTCCGAGAAATCAATAAAGGTCCAGTCGATCTCTTCGCGTACATACTCTTCTTGCTCGAGTTTGAAGACGTGCTGGTTAAATTCCTGCTGCAGCTTTTCGTTCGCGTAGTTGATACAGAACTGCTCGAAGGAGTTCTTCGCGAAATGCTCGAAACCGTAGATATCCAGCACACCAATGAAGGTTACAACTCGGCCGAGGACCTCATCAGTGGCCAACCCACGGTTAATCTTGTCCACCAACCAGTCGAAGAGACTCGAGTAGATGAACTTGGCAACCGAGTCTCGGACCACAAGGGCTTGCTGCTGGGTAAGATTGGAGGTAATCTTTTCGCCTCGAGTGATAAGCTGCTTCTTGACGATCCACTTGGCAAACTCGGTGGCATCGATTCCGAGCATCTCACAAGCACGCACAAGCGACGGCTCCGATGACGAGAGGGACGATTCTGTGCGAGTCGCAGTAATCTTTACGTTACCGAGCTGTAGCAAAGCGGCAAGAATACGGAAAATCTCAGTCTGGGCCTGCTGCGACACCCCGATGGTGGCCAGCGATTTCCTGGTTGCATCGAATTCGGCCTTGTCATCAACACCGTCAATAATTGGAGTACCACCTTGGTTGAGATACTCGAAGTCCTCGACCGGCAACAGACCCAGCTCCTGCTTCTCCTCATCAGTAGCACCGGCCACCAGTTGGTAGAAAATGTGGTAGTTGCGCTCCTTGAGGGGTTGGAACACAAGTCTCGAGCGCTCAAGCAAATAAGTCCGGATTTTCGCACCGATAATGTTGGTCTTGTCGTCGAACATGATCTCGATGTATTTGCCAAATCGGGATGAGTTGTCATTTCGGGTTGTTTTGGCGTTACCAAATGCTTCCATGACCGGGTTCGTAGCGAGTATCTGTTCTTCCGTTTCACTGATGGCATCCGCTCGGCTCGTCGTGTATTTTCCAGGTTGATCCGAGGACTCGCGAGTCGCAAAGTACCGCATGATGTATTTGGCGCTCACGGTCTTACCAGCACCTGATTCACCAGAGACCACAATTGTTTGGTTCTTTCCATCGCGAAGCATGTCACTATTTGTGTATCCGTAAGCAGAAAATTCAGCCAGACAAAGCAAAGGACGAAAAGTAGCACTTACGCAAAAGCCTCCTCTGCAATGGCAAACAGATGCGGTGCCTGCGAGGCACGTTGTTTGCCAGCGTAGACCTGCACCATCTGCGGCACATAGAGAGAGTCTACCCGGGCGAAGGGGTTGGTCGCAATCAAGACGATTCCACTGTAAGTATATATCTCTTTCTGGGCGTAGCGGAGCTTTATAGCCTGCAGGACTTCAAAGCCGTCAGTTGAGGGAAAAAGATCGCGGGCTGTTTGCGGGACGAACCAGCAGGTTCATTCAAGTGGGACAGGTTGGTCAGGTCCTCGCTTGCCTCTAACATGGCAGGGTTCATCAATGGCGGCAGATTCGAGTTGTTGTCGACCTGCAACTCGGCCTGCGTGGTCTCCACAGTTTTTGTCTGTTTACATCGCCATCCCGATCAGTATTTGTCCAGAACCTTCCTTGGTCCAGCCCAGCAGTGCTGAGTACAGTGAAACTCACCTCGCCATTCTCCAGCTCAAACACCAGCTGCACCTTCTCTCCATCCACCAGCTTCTCCTTGACCTCGGAGGCCACCCAGCCCTCTGTCGGGTCAGGCTGCCAGGCCCTTGTGCCGACCTCATAGGTATGCGCCATGGGACCGGTGTCCGACAGTAGTGCCGAACGCAATCAATTATTGGAGAGGAAGAAGTGAGGAAGGGAAGCGTCTAAAGAATGCCGGATTGGGGGGTTCGGGGGAATCGGATACAAGGGGGGAAAGGTAGATCAATCACAGTCGCAAACGAGCAGTCCAAAGACAAGGGGTCTCACGGTGACCCCTCATCGGCTCATACTTCGAAAGAAGGGGGAAAAAGAAGGGAAAAGAAGTGAAGGCTGTGAAGGTTGTGAGAAGGGATCCCTTGTAACAGCTGGCCATTTAGCGAGAGAGCCCCTGAGCTTTCGGGAAGCAGTTGGGGTGCCGCGCCACACCCCACAGCCCTGTCACCGCCATCCGCTTCTGCTTCTGCTTCTGCTTCTGCTTATGCTTCTGCTTGTGCCTGTGCCTGTGCCTGTGCCTGTGCTTGTGCTTGTGCTTGTGCTCGTGCTTGTACATATGCATCTATTAATTGGTCCTTCAAACATCGGAGCTTAACGTGATTATAGGTCGCTGTGAGGCTGAACCACCATTGTCTGGATATATCTACCTACTATCTCAGGTGTCATCAAAATACAAAGAGGTATCTACCACCCCCATAAAGAGTTAGTCCGCCAAAGTAGCATAGTCGAGGTTTTACTTAAGATCTCCAGTATGTAACCCTTCGTATATACTATAGGTATCGCTCTATATTCCACAGCTTTTTCCTTTCAAGCACATAGCATAGACTCATCACATTCACGGACTACAATGATGGCGGACTACACCTACTCCCGGATAAGTCAACGATTAAACCAAGGTCGTGTCTATCGCCAGTGCCCTCTCGACAACCCAGGGGCTGGGCGAATTTTTAACACTGATTATGCCGATTGATTGGAAAGTATTAGGTAGACAGGGGGGACATGGAAAAATTTCACGCAGTGCAGGGAGACAAAGGCATCAGTGAGGAAAAGGAAACGTAGCAAAATAACATCAACGAGAATTCCATGAAGCATTGAAGTCTGATGGCCGGGGCGGCTAAACTTTTTTTTCCTTTCTTAGTTTTGCTTGCACTCGGCAGCCTCCTTCTTGGGCTTGGAGGTTCCATCCTGAAAGAGCAGTTAGCTTTGGACCGAGAAAAAAAAGAGCTAAGTTGGAAGTATGCCGTACCTCTTCATCCGAGTCATCCTCAACGTCACGGTCAGATCCTCGCTCGTCATCATCCTCGTCATCATCCTCATCCTCATCCTCCTCATCCTCGTCGTCCTCATCCTCGAACTCGTCGGGGTCCATCTCATCGCCCAGCTCTTCGAACTGGAGAGCCTCGCCGGTGAACCAGTCGATCGCGCGGGGGATCAGCTTCTCCTTAATGTCCTCACCCAATTGGTAGTCCAGCTCCAGGCGCTCTTCAATATCGCTGGCGACGGACTCGTCGTCATCGGTGGGGGGTTGTGGGGGAGAGAAGAAGTTGAAGAAGGATTCGGTAGGCACGCTGATCTTGACAACGCGAGTCTGCTTGGTGTCTAATGATTATCGTTAGTATGGGGTATGCCCTGCGAGATTAAGAGATATGAGAAAGATTCCACATACTCTTGTTGCGCTGCTTCTTGCTCTCGAGGCGGAGGGTCAAGTCCTGGTCGGCCTTCCATTCGATCTTAGAACCATCGGCATGGTCGTAGATGAAGTCACCCCCGTATCCGTTCTCGTCCTTGTAGTAATAGGTCTTGGAAATAGTCTTGTTGGTGAAGAACTCGTTCTCGGAGAACTCGAAGATGAGGCGGAATCCGGGTCGGTCAAGGTACTCCATACGAATGTCGGTGAGGTGCTTGAGGGCCTCCTCATCCCGGTCGGTGATCATCTCAGCCAGAGAGATCTGGTTCTTCATGGCGGACAGCCAGAACTCGGGAATACCGTTTGTGGACTCGCTCTCGTCCTTCTTCTCCTCCTCGGCCTCCTTGGTCTCTTCTTCCTCTTCTTCCTCATCCTCCTTTCCGGCCTCTACCTCGCCCTCGGTCGGCTCGACACCGCCGTTTACGATCGTAGACCGGCGCTGGTACAGCGGAGTGAACTTGGCAAAGTACTTCTTCTCGAGCTCCAGAACCTCCTCTTGGAACTGAGCCTCGAGCTTAGCGTGCTCCTTCTGGATTCCCTTCAGGCCGGCGACGCGGCGGCGGACAACCGGGGGGAGAGATTCGATGTAGCCCGATGACCGACCGACGAGCTGGCCCAGCTTTCCCTGGATCATGGAGACGAGAGCCGGGTTGCGGGCGAAGAGGGAAGCGGCAGCGGCGGTATCCAGGTTCTCTGCAGGATAGCGGTCAGCGACGGGGCGATCGTAAGAAGAGGGGTTGGAAGGCTCAGCAAAATAGAACCATCCCGGAGATTCACATACCTTCCTTGATGCTGGACACACCAGGCTGCTGGGCGTGGGAGGAGATCGGGGCATTGTTAGCCGGCGTGTTTTGCGGGGTCCTTTTTTCAGTCAGTGTTTTTTCCAGCAGTCGAGGAGGAAGAGTCTTACGGAGCGACCGGGAAGTCGGCTTTCTTATTCCTGATGGGCTCAGACATGATGGTAGGGGCGGAGAATGGTGGAAGAGAGGGAAGGAGAGGGTGAAGAAGAGTTTGGAGTTTTTGGGGGAGGAAGATGGTCTGGAAGATGGTGGGATCCTTAGCGCCGGTGGCCGGAGGGGCTTGGCGGGACGCGACTTTTGTGGTTGAGCAGCAAAACTGACTCCCAACATATTCGCCCCCCTTGACCTTTTATATACTCGCTCTCACTTTGTACCGAATATTGATTTTCATTCTGTTCCCTTTTCCTGATCTCGACTTCCTTCGTCAAATTGCCGCTATCTTCCCTCTTTCTTTCCCTTTCTTTCCCTTCCTTTCCCCTATGGTGGATCTCCTGAACCATTCCACGCGGTCGCGAGCCTTTGCCATCCAAGGTTTAAATTTAGAAACATCCCGGATCGCATCCATCTGCATGAAATAGTATCTCGGATATGATTTAGTCGAGTTGACAGACAACGGTCACAATTGTCTTATCGGGTTCTATGTATCTTTTCTGCTGCATTGTAGCCTAGTGATATAGTATATATAACGATCTGTCTATACCGAGCCTTCCCAATTACTTTTTATAGTTATAATAAGAACATCAAAAAGAAAAAAAAAGAGAAAAAAACAAGGATTCAAAGAAATGCTGCGTATCAAGGGTTTCGGGTGGCGTCCGAGAAGTGAAGGAGTTGCTTATTTTCTGGCCTGAGGCTATTCGAGGCTTGAAACTGTGCGATAAGATCACGCGGTGATAAGAAATTGCCATGAAGATCGCCCCTCACAGATCGAGCTTCCCGGCGGTCAGCTTTTTGTCTTTATCGCGTTTTCCCTTCCCTGCTTCTTGGCCCCAGGTGATGCATATCTGGACCCTCGTTCTCGCATAATCAGTTCCCCGAGTCGAAGTGGAGCTTTCAACGCGAACATCCCATTCCTAGACGCGAATCGCAGATCGCAGATCGCAGAATCAATTTACCATGGGTAGCCAGCCGCACTCTCCGCTGGGGACTGGCCCGATGGACCTCTCGATTCCCCGGCCGAGTCTCCGTCGTGACTCCCTGAGAAGCAGGTTGGTTAGCATGTTTCTTATCGTCGAACACAGTGCTGATCGTATTCTAGTATGAGCGTGGTGTCCGACGTCGAGATGGCCCGGAATGAAGTATGTGAACTTGCATTGCCCGCCGGCAGTACGTTGCGACTGATCTTGTATTAGGTTTTCGACGGTCCTATCTCAGAAAGCATTCCTTCAAGCGTCGTCTCCTTCTCTCATCGTCGCAATCGAGCCGGGTCCACCGTCAGTTTCACCTATTTTCAAGATGAGGAAGACTTTGAGGAATGGTCCAACGAAGATGCGGTGGATGTGGATAGCGATATCGACGATGCGTCGGTAACTGAACTCGACGAACCTGATATTGAATCCGCCCGAGCGTCCTTCGTATCCAAAAGAATGTCACACTCGAGAGATTCTACTGAGCGCCCTCTTCTTTCTCGAATTATCTCCTCGAGCTCCTATGGCCGCGATCGAAGGCCTGGTAGTAGACTCAACCAAAAAGTATACATTGCATCGGAAGATTTGACGGCAGTCTTCGCGGGCTTCTCAACCAGCCGGGGTGGATTTGCTCTTTATCTGGCTTTATGCGTCCTGACTGGCGGCTTCGCATACCTTCTCTTTCGCTGGCTCCCTCGATGGCGAGTGAAATTTATTGGGAAGGCGGCTCCGCTCGGAAAATGTGAATGGATTGCGATTGAGGTGAGTATATCACATATGATGTGCTTGGTAGTTGAAGTCGTATCTCACGCGTTGCACAGGATCAATGGAATCATTTCACTGTCCACAAAGTTGGCAGCCAACCATACGAACGCCAGCTTTCTACAGTCTTTGTCGATGCCCCAGGGCACACATACGATGAAGATCGCGACCCAACCATTGTGTCTCTGCGGTTCCTTGACTACCGATACCTACGGTTTTGCTACCACCCCGTTGAAGATAAATTCGCCATGATTAACGGCTGGAAGGATCCTTCCTGGGCCAATGCGAAGGCCATGCGGGCCGGACTTGATGCTGACGAGCGCGACAGTAGAGAACAACTCTTTGGCCAGAACGTTATTGACATCCAGCAGAAGACTGTCCCCCAGTTGCTGGTTGATGAGGTATGCAAGAAGAATAGTTGATTGCATGTCACACATTCTAACCAAGCCTAGGCCTTTCATCCCTTCTACATCTTCCAAGTGGCAAGTCTCGTCCTATGGTCCATGGATGAATATTACTACTATGCGGTTTGTATTTTCCTGATCTCCGCATTTAGTATTGCGGCTACAGTACTGGAGACAAAATCGGTTCGTTCAAGCTCTATTTCGATTAAATTTCCTGCCAGAGATTGACCACCGGATAGACCATGCGTCGGCTAAGAGAAATCTCGTTGTTTGATTGTGACGTTCGTGTTCTCAGGAATGGATTTTGTGAGTTTTACCGGTCTATTATCTTATCTTGTTTGGATGTTTTGGATACTGGCTAACCATTTTTTCTTTAAATAGGGCGCTCGGTTTCTTCCCAAGATTTGGTACCTGGAGATGTATTTGAATTCTCTGATCCATCCTTGAACCAGGTGCCATGTGACTGTATCTTGCTGTCGGGTGATTGTATCGTGAATGAAAGCATGCTCACTGGTCAGTATATTGAGTACCCACCAACTGATCCCACAAGCGACTAAACTCAAGCAGGCGAGTCTGTCCCCGTGTCCAAAGTACCGTTCATAGATGACGCTCTCCACTACCTCGACCTCAGCGCCCCTTCCATCCACCCTGATGTTGCTAAACACTTTTTGTTCAGCGGCACAAAAGTCATTCGGGCTAGGCGACCCCAAAATGTGGACGAGGATGAAGCTGTTGCGCTGGCCATAGTAGTCAGGACCGGGTTTTTGACCACCAAAGGTGCACTGGTTCGTTCAATGCTTTTCCCGAAGCCATCTGGCTTCAAATTCTATCGTGATTCCTTCAGGTATATTGCAGTCATGGGAGTTGTTGCGCTTCTAGGCTTTATCGCCTCGTTTGTCAATTTCGTTCGGCTGGGAGTAAGGTTCCCCTCCCCCCGAGTCGACTTTTCACTCGTACTGACAGCCTTCAGCTTGCATGGCATCTCATTATCGTTCGAGCACTTGATCTGATCACGATCGTCGTCCCACCGGCTCTGCCAGCAACTCTCACCATCGGTACCAATTTTGCATTGTCTCGTCTCAAGAAGCAGAGCATCTTCTGCATCAGCCCACAGAAGTGTGTAAATCCCTACTGAAAGTAATATATGGCCGCTAATTATGCTGTATAACAGAGTGAATGTGGGTGGTAAATTAGACGTTGTCTGTTTTGATAAGACTGGGACTCTCACAGAGGATGGCCTAGATGTTCTCGGTGCACGCACGGTTAGCAGCTGCCAGAGGTCCGTCTTCTTCATCTTTAAAAGAGCCTACTAGTTGTGACTGACTATTATAGATTCTCCGAATTGTTGTCCGAAAAATCATCGGGTCTTCTTCTCCCTCCGTCTTCCGCAGACTCCCCGTTTGATCTTGTGAAACAACGAAAGATTATCTACACCATGGCGACATGTCATTCTCTCCGAGTCGTGGATGGTGAACTGCTAGGAGATCCCCTTGACGTCAAGATGTTCGAATTCACCGGCTGGTCCTACGAAGAAGGAGGCAACCATCCTTCTGAGCAGGCAAGTCCCAAATTCGACACGATCAACCCATCTGTTGCAAAGCCACCTGTAACCCATGTTGGAGAAAGTCAGCAAAATGGTCCCAATGTAAGTTGCTTCTTGCACTGGCCTGAACATCGGCTAATTGTTTTATCTGCAGACTCCCGTTGAACTTGGAGTCCTCCGTAACTTTGAATTTGTTTCACAACTTCGCCGCGCGAGTGTGGTTGTACGGCAGTATAGTGACAAGGGAGTGAGCTGCTTTGTCAAGGGCGCCCCCGAGAGCATCAAGGACATTTGCGTGCCTGGAACTCGTTAGTGTCTTCCCCCTCACGACTCCTTTTCAGTATGCTAAAATCTCTGTGCAGTTCCGTCTGATTACGATGAATTTCTGAACTACTACACCCATAAAGGTTACCGAGTGATTGCATGTGCTACCAAATACGAGCCAAAGTTGAGCTGGATGAAGGTTCAAAAGTTGACGCGCGCCGATGTTGAAAGCGATCTTGAGTTCTTGGGCTTCATCATCTTTGAGAACAAACTGAAGCCTACAACCGCAAGCGTTATTTCAGAGATCAACCAGGCCGGAATCCGCAATGTCATGTGCACGGGTGACAATATCTTGACTGCAATCAGTGTGGCTCGCGAGTGCAAGATGATAAGCTCCGACGAGGCATGCTTCATTCCCCATATGGTGGAAGGTAAAAACTCGCGAACTTAATGAATGCATGGGACCGAAGCTAATCATATGTGAAGCTCCTGGCCTCGTTGCCAAAACCTTTCTTATCTGGGAATGTGTGGATAACCCAGATCTTAGATTGGATCCAAGAACGCTTCTTGTAAGATTGCAATATGTTAGCTTGTCGTGTGCTATCAAACTAAAAAAAAACAGCCTCTCGAGACAGATACGGAATCCGACCCATCTATCCCAGGGAATGCTCTACGTGAGCGGAAGTATTGCGTCGCTGTGACGGGTGACGTATTCCGTTGGATGATTGATTATGGAAACGAGGATGTTTTGAACAAGGTAAGTTGGCATCTTATTTTTCCAGCGCCTCGGTAAGCCTGTTACTTATGAGCTTGTTTTAACCTAGGTCTTGGTCATTGGGAGGGTATTTGCCCGAATGTCGCCGGATGAAAAGCATGAATTAGTCGAAAAACTTCAATCGATTGACTATTGCTGCGGCTTTTGCGGCGACGGTGCCAATGACTGTGGCGCATTGAAAGCTGCGGATGTTGGAATCTCATTATCTGATGCTGAAGCATCCGTTGCTGCACCCTTTACCAGTCGGCTTTTTGAGATATCCTGCGTGCCAAAACTGATCCGGTTTGTCTTCCTTTTACCATGGCTTGCTGGAGTTGATAGATTAACCAATTTTATAGAGAGGGTCGAGCTGCCCTGACGACAAGTTTCTGCTGTTTCAAATTTATGAGTCTCTACTCTGCCATTCAATTCTCCTCGGTCAGCTTTTTGTACACGTCTGGGTCCAACCTCGGTGATTTCCAGGTAAGCAGAGGATAATTGAATTTAAATACATTCGAGAAGATAGCTGACCCAAGTCCACAGTTCCTGTTTATTGACCTAGCCCTCATCATGCCGATCGCCATATTCAGTGAGTAGCGATTCATCTCTTGCCAAGCTAGGCAACCTTGTATCCGACTAACCCTTAAAACAGTGGGCTGGACCGGTCCTAATTCCAAGCTTTCTCGGAAGCGACCTACTGCAGATCTTGTGTCTCGAAAGGTCTTGACGCCTCTGCTAGGACAAATTACGATCGTGGTTCTGTCCCAGCTCGCAATCTTTCAAACCGTCCAGTCTCAACCTTGGTAAGATATCTTTATGATTGATAGCTGCCCTGGATAAGTTACTCATGGTTCATATAGGTTCCAACCTCCCCAGATAGACCTGGAAAAGAGCAACATTGTGAATTCAGAGAACACGGCCCTATTCCTATTCTCCTGCTTCCAGTACACTTTGACTAGCATCGTGCTGAGCGTGGGGCGGCCTTTTCGGCAACCGATGACTTCCAATGGTAAGTAATGAACATACATTCCTTCTACGATTGGTAACCATAGCTAATCAAGTGGCTTCGTCAGTGCCGTTCCTTTGTACCATTATTATCGATCTGTTGATTGCAGGTTTTATGCTCTTCCGACCTTCCGAGTGGGTGGCGGATGTTATGCAGCTCACTTGGATGTCAGATGGCTACCGCATCTGGATCTTGTTGTTCGCATTCGCAGCATTTGCGCTGTCCTGGACAGCTGAGGTTGTTGCCTTTCCACGCCTCGCGCGCTTTTTGGGACATGCTCGGGCTCGTCTTCAACCGAACTTCCATAAGAAGCGCCGCCAGTACAAGGTGCTCCTGGAGGAAATGCGTCTGTAAAGGCTGGTGATTACTGGGATTGGCACTATATTAATACATAGAACTGTTTATAGAAAGAAAATCCCTTTTGCGTACTGTTGCATTGGCAACTATCAGAACTGGTATGATACATTTCTACCGCCCAACCGGCAAGTCTTGCTGCAGGGCGAAAATTGGGAAAATTGAAACAAGACGTGACATGAAAGAGCTCAGAGGCTCCTTTCGGCTCAATTGAGGAAATATTCGAGATTGAGGGGATTCGAGAGTCCACTAGTGATCCCACGGGTGCTTCCAGCCCAGCAGAGCCGGACCATCCTTCTTGGCACGGTACATGAGCTGTGGGAATCAGAGTCAGTTCCAATCCCTTGTGCATGGGTGTGACAGGAGTTTATCGTACGAAGAACCACATGCTGGCGCCCAGGCCGGTGGCAATAAAACGGTAGAGTGGTCGCGCTGGGTGGACGTGGATGGGGTGAGAAGAGGGGCCTGCCATGGCTAAAAGGGAAATGTCAGTATATGCTCATAATTGAAGTAGAAACACTCACTGTCGGTGAGGGTTGCTCGCTTCACGAAGTGGCAGGTTGCTGGAAGCGGGTTCCACGGCGCCCCGAAGTTGTCGACGCTGGCACGTGACCAGTGACGGTGCCTTTTCCCGTACCTTTGCCCTCTTGCGACTCAACCTCGCAGAATCTGGCGGGCCAGGCATCTTTCTCGTTTGCATTCATTTAGACACCTTTGAACTCTTTATTGAGCCTCTGTTCTGACCGCAATTACTTAGGAGACTACCTTGAATGACCGAGACCAGTACCCCGTCAAGGTAGCTTCTCCCGCACCGCGAATGTACCACCACTACCTCTTTCGTTTGATCTACCGTTCACTCCTACTTTGAACCCGCTCTGTGATGCGACCTTCTAAACCGAGCTTTTCTATCTGAATTCAGCGTGACGGATCGAATCTGACGCCATCATACGCCTTGCGCCTTTCAACCCTATGTACATCGATTGAGAATCCACACTCAGATATCAATAAGCTATTCAGCAACAATCTGCGCTACGAACCCTGACTCTCTGTGACCTCTGACCGGCATCGGAGTAATTTTTTGAACAAGATGGCCATCGCATCTCTTGAGAATGATGATAATGGACAACCTCGATTTCCGGGCTGCTCCAATATTCGCGATTTCGCGTTTATCGACAAGCTCGGTGAGGGAACCTTTGGGTCTGTCTGTGTCGGATACAGTGGGCTACTTATTGCTGACTGGTCGATAGTATGGTTTACAAAGCACGGTCTAAGAAAGACAACTCGGTCATGGCCTTGAAGAAGATTCTCATGCACCATGAAAAGGAGGGTGTAGGTATCCATTTTATTCATCTGGTTTTATTCTTTTGAAGCACTGTCGCTAAATAGTCATCGAACAGTTTCCCATCACTGCAATTCGAGAGATTAAGCTCTTGAAGGCACTTTCTCATCCAAATATCTTGCAGCTCAGGGAGATGGCCGTTGAGCGGAGCAAGGGTAAGATTAATCTTTGCGTGTCGACACCATGGCAGCCTTCCTGACATATTATATAGGCGAAGGGCGGAAAAAGCCCAACATGTATATGGTTATGCCATATATGGAGCATGACCTATCGGGACTTCTAGAGAACCCAGATGTCCAGTTTACTGAGCCCCAGATCAAATGCTACTTGATGCAGCTTCTTGAAGGGCTGCGGTACCTGCATGCGGTACGAAAGTTTCGGTCTTTTGTGAAGAACACTCTATCTAATTCCATTATAGAATTGCATTCTGCATCGTGACATGAAGGGTGTGTTGAAACATGAGCATCAACTGATCGAAACATCAGCTAACCGGCTCTGGGGCTAGCTGCCAATCTTCTTATCAGCAATGAGGGAATTCTTCAGATTGCGGACTTTGGACTCGCGCGACCCTTTGATGAACCTCCTCCGCTGCCTGGAAAGGGCGGAGGTGAAGCCAAGAGAGAGTACACCGCGCTTGTTGTCACCAGATGGTACCGACCGCCCGAACTACTTCTTCAACTACGACGATACACAACAGCCATCGATATGTGGGGAGCCGGGTAAGTTGTCGCATCGTTCCCTTCCTCTGTTCATTTCTAATGGCCACAGGTGTGTTTTCGGCGAAATGTTCAAAGGAAAGCCTATTCTTTCGGGTAACACTGATCTCGATCAAGCGAGACTTATCTTCAACCTCGTGGGTACACCCACCGAGGAGAACATGCCTGGGTGGAGTTTGCTACCGAGTCTCGAAGGCGTGAGGGACTGGGGTTCCAAGCGCGGAAACCTAAGGGAGGTCTTCAAAGAGTAAGATACCCTTGATGCCGTGTTAACACTATTTCGAGAGAGGATGTATCAAGCGAGAACCAACGTGATTAACATATCAAATAGGCTAAGCCCAACGGCTATCTCGCTACTGTCTGAACTTCTCCGGCTCGACTGGCGTAAACGGATCAACGCCATTGATGCTTTGAAACACCCTTACTTCACCACACCTCCACTACCTGCGCGCCCTGGCGACATCCCCCGCTTCCAAGACTCCCATGAGTTTGACAAGAAGAAGCCACCACAGCGGCCACCTATGCCCCCTGCACCTGCGGGTGGATCTGCCAATACCGCTTCCAACGGAGGTTGGGCTAGCTCTGGGTCTCGAGGTCCTGATTCCCGCAGTCGTTTCCCGGGTGCGGCCCGTGGAGGTCGGCCGAACGCCCCAGGTCCTGGCAACGGCAACACGCACCGGGGCGGGTCATTTCCGCCTTCCCGAGACAATGGACTTCCTCCGCGGCCTCCTACATCGGCTCGCCCACCATGGGATGGGTCACAGACCGGCAGGTCGGAAGGGAGAGACGACCAACGACGTGATCGACCCAATCAGGGTCGCACAAGTGGGAGATTTACAAACAATGTCGACTCGTATGTTCCTAACTACGGCATCCCTCAAGAGCGTGCGCGCGATTCGGGTGATCAAAACTCCCAATCGAACCCAGAATGGCGCAATTCAAATCGCCGTGACCACCGCCGTGACGCTCCTCGACGACGCAGCCGAAGTCCCAGCTTCCGAGACTCGAGCAGAGGCTGAATTTTCAGTGCATGGATCTGGGTTTGATGCAGCGATTCTCTTTGCTATCAGACCTTCCTGGCGGACTCATGCTCACCCTTGTGCCATGGATTTTGAATTGCCGCTGTGGAAACATATTCCCGTACGCGAACTTACCGCTGTCGAACCCAGATAGTACAATAGTCACATGATCACAATGTTCTAGCTCAATAACTATGCCAAATACAAATTTGCGGTGTCATTTTAGAAATCTTTGCATATATAGCCTTTTTGAGAGACCTCGTTGAAAGGGTCCCATGAATTCGTCAAAACCGAACCTCTTGGGGTCAGGCACGTAAAGTTGATTACAATAGAGCAACCATTGCTCATCTAGTACAGAATGCGGGTCATGATTCGGGCTGGGGAGATGTTAGAATCGACGTGTGTAGCCATTGGGAAAGGATTTTCTCACAAGGAAGACTCTCGAGTCTCTCGTACAGGTCCTTGATGTTCGCGGAGTTCACGTCGCTGATATCAGCCATCAGATAGGCAACCTGGACTAGTTAGCAAGTTCATCCACGCCAAAGATGAGAGAATGAAACCTACATCGCCTCTGCTGTCGGTCATCTGCTTGTCGACATTGTGGTCACCAATAATTTCGTTCACCTTACGCAACACACCGGGAATGTTCTTGTGGATGTAGACAACCTAGAAATGGTCAGTCAGTCTCAGTCTCGCTCTTCCGAATTGGTTCCATCGGAAAATCCCAACTGCAGAATAAAAACTTACACGTGCGTGGTTGGGTTCCTCCATGGTCAGGGAGCGGAGGTTGACTTCAGGCAGGTTGACAGCTCCCAGAGTGGTACCCTCGTTGACGTAGCGAGTCAGAGCCTGAGCAACTTCCACACCAATTGCGCTCTGGGCCTCCTCAGTGCTGCCTCCGATGTGGGGGGTGAGGATCAGGTTTTTGAGGGAACGCAGATCAGCTCCCCATGCGTTGAGGTCATTGTTGAAATAGTCACCGTTACCGGCGGGCTCATTGGGGTACACATCCAGGGCAGCACCAGCAACCTTGCCGCTTCGCATGGCATCAATAAGGGCGGGTATGTCTACCACAGTTCCGCGGCTGGCATTGATCAGGTAGCTTCCGGTCTTCATCTGTTCGAATTGCTTCTGACCGAACATGCCCTTTGTCTCGGCGATCTCGGGAACGTGGCAGGTGACGAAGTCGGCTTCAGACAATAGGGCTTCCAAAGTCTCGACCTGACGGGCCGTACCGAGGGCCATCAGGTTAAGCACATCGTAGAAGATAACCGACATACCCATTGATTCTGCCAACACGGACAATTGGGCGCCGATATGACCATATCCAACAATGCCTAGGATATTCAGTCAGCGATTAGTGAGCCAAGACAGAATATCAAAGTACGTGTGCCTACCCAGTGTCTTGCCACGGATCTCCCAGCATTTGCTGCTCACTTTGTTCCAGGTTCCATTGTGCATTTCGTTTGAGCGGTCACCTAGCTGGCGCGCGAGGACAATAATCTCTCCGATAACCAGCTCTGCAACACTGCGAGAGTTGCTGAAGGGCGAATTGAAGACCGCAATACCATGGTTGGCGGCATACTGGAGGTCGACCTGGTTAGTACCGATGCAGAAGCATCCGATGACGATCAGGTTCTTGGCCTCCTTCAGAACCCGCTCTGAGAGCTTGGTCTTGGAGCGAATACCGATGACGTGAACGTCACTATTTTCACCACATGTCAGCGATGGCCTTATACTTGGTAGGGCAGGATGTCCAACCGGATCTTCTCAATGAGCTGATCTTCGGGGAGCGAAGACTTGAGGAATTCCACTTGGTAGCCCTGCGCAGATAGGATGTCACGGCCGGCCTGGTTCACATTCTCCAGAAGCAGAACCTTAATGTCTTCGGTCGCGAAAGGCTTGAGGTGCTTTGCATTCAGCACCGGGATGATCCGTTGGAGAGCGGAACCGTGACTGGAGGGGGAGTGGAATGAAGCTGTGGGCGAGGTGGAAAAGTACTGAGCCTGTGCGGCCAGATCGTCCTTGCGAGGACGGATATCTTGAGCAGTTGCCATAGCGAAAGGTTTACAGAGGGAAGAGTGAGGAAGCTAACAGACTTGACTCACTAGAGTTCTATGAATCACTGTTCATTATATAAGCTTCACCGAGAATCTCCGGAATCGGACCGCTACTTAAAAACCCGACGGATCCGTCCCGAATCGTCCGTAATGTTATTTGTTTAATATTTGTATTGTATTTCTAATTAAAAACACACACATTGACTCATAAATGGAGTGGGAAGCCTCAGGCATGTCAATTGCGTGATAGAGAGAGATGGAGAAATCTCGGAGGGGCATCGCGGGGTCTTTTTTTTTTCCTTTTCCATTTTTCTTTATCCGCTCCCTAGTCACTTAGTGACACCGGCAAGCCGGTGTGGGGCATTATGATCTACACATACATAAAATCTGGATACGAGATTATACTAGATGCGTACTAGTTATGGCTATGGTTATGGTTATAGTTGGGTATATGTTTTCTGAAGGTGATTGAACTATAGATGAGGTATCGTTTGGATTTCTGCTCCCCGCGTCTAGACCTTGAGATTCTGCATCTTCTTGGTCGCCTCGTCGGCTGCAGCGGGCTTGGCCTTGGCCTTGGCCTTCTGGGAGGTAGAGTCCTTGGGAAGATCCTTGGTATAAGGAAGGAACTCCGGGGCTCCAGGAATGTACTTGCGCAGCACCTCGGGAACTTCGAAGCCCTATGCAACGTAATGAGTCAGTGTATATATGGACAAGAGGGCGGGGCCAAGAACTAACATCTTCCCGCTGGAAGTTCTCCAAAACACAGCAGAGCGTCCGCTCCGTGGCGCAAAGAGTAGCGTTGAGTGCGTGGACATAAGTCTTCTTCAAGTCGGTGGCCTTCTTGGCACCGAAGCGAATATCAAGCGCCCGCGATTGGTAGTCGGTGCAGTTGGAGCACGACACAAGCTCCTTGTACTCCTGCTGGAAGGGGAACCACGCCTCCAAGTCGTACTTTTTGGCAGCGGCATTGTTCAGTGCACCAGAAACAATGGCCACAACCTGGTAAGGGAGTCCCAAAGACTTGTAGAACTCTTCCGAGATAGCGATCATATCCTCGAAAGCTTGCCAAGACTCATCGGGCTTGGTGAGAACGAACTGCTCGATCTGTGTGGTGTTAGATAACATGTTGATAGTCAGAAAAGCGTGATAGTCTGGCCTACTTTCTCGAACTGGTGGACACGGAAGATACCCCAAGCATCCTTGCCGTGTGCGCCAGCCTCCTTACGGTAGCATGTGCTGTATCCGGCGTACCTGTTCCCATCTGATTAGCTTCGCACTCAAAGAACTTGTAGTGAATGTCTCACTTGATGGGCAGGTCCTTCTCCTGCAGCCACTCGCTGTCGTGCAGGGCAGACAGGGGTTGCTCCGAGGTGGCAATGAGGTACTTGTCCGTCGACTTGTCATCACTCTCGGTGACCTTGTACAGCTCCTCGTCGAATTGCTCAAGCTGGGCGGTCTTCGCCATCAAATCCTTGAGCATGAACTGCGGGGGTTGGTTGGGTTTGTAGCCCTTGTTGAAGAGGAACTCAAGACCGTAGTTGATCAGGGCCAAGTTGAGGAAGAGACCGTAGCCGGTCAAGCAATAACCACGGTGGCCGACGATCTTGACACCGCGCTCCGGGTCGTAACCATCCAAGCGAGTCAAGACTTCGTGGTGGGAGAGACAGCCGGGTCGCTCCATGGCAACATTCTCGGGGGCCCATGTTCTGATAATCTGGTTGTCATCCTATATACCGTTAAGTTGCAAGTTAGCATGATGGAAGAAGCCCAGTGGTGCTGGATGGCATTGCTTACCTCGTTGTTGCTCACGGGGACCGACTCGTGGACGTAGTTGCCAATCGGCCGAATTTTGCGGTCACGCTCCAATTCCTTCTGGGCGGCAATGTCTTCGGCCTCCTTCTTGCGCTTCTCGATGTCGGCCTTCTGGTTCACCAGATCACTGGCGTCTTCCTTGGCCTGTTCCCTCGGTGTGAATATGTGCTCGGAATGAAACGCGGATGGTTGAGTACCTTCTTCTTCTTTCCAATCTCCTTCTGAACGGCATTGAGCTCGGACCCGATTTGAGTGGCCGCGTACCGTGCTAATCCCAGTTAAGACAGTCCCTTATGGTCGTTGTATCAAGATAAACATACCTCGGCGGGCTTCTTCATACAGGGCGATCACCTCCTCGACAACTTCTTCGGGGGCAAACCGCCTGCGCTGGCTCTCCTTGATCTTGTTAATATCACCACCGCGCTCGGTGATGAAATCGTTAAGGTCGAGCATATTGTATTAACGAACTCGAGAATTGACAGTGAGTCAGAGCCGGGAACGGCAGTTGTGGAGGGGTAAAATGCAAAAAGTGCGCACAGCGGGGCATTACTTAATCCCGCACGATGTTTCAAGGGGATCCCCCAGTTCGATATCTATACAGCAATGAGACTCATACTCCATCAATTGACGAGTCGAGGCCGGCGAGGCCAATTCATTAATCTATGCACGCTGCAATACCAAAATACAGATCCCCTAGCCCGACCTGAAAAGAAAACCCTGATGAATCATGTTGCCGACCCCATTAATCCACCAAATCCAGAAAACGAGACCATAGAATAAAGAAAAAAAGAATGAAGATGAAGAGGAAGATTTCCCGGATACAAGGATCTTCTCCGACGGAAAATTGAAAAAATTGAACAAGGTCATTGCACACCTGCATAGTGACTAGGTATTCACTCGGATTGTGACTGAGCACAAAGAGATAAAGTCAGCAATGGTACAATGAACTAAAGGCATGGGATTAAATAAGAAATGTCATTTGAACTAATCAAATAGAGCGAAAGGCCGATCTTGATCGAGTGGAAATCAATCTTGTGATCGCGGAGCTTGAAAATACCAGCAATGCATGCTCATGCTTGTTCATATCTCGGAAAGGGGAATGATTATGTAGCTTCACATACCGTAGGTTACAGCTAGTTGTCTCATAGCTAAACGTGGGAAATCACATAACAGCGCACTTGTTGCCGCCGGTGGGTTGAGACGGATTCTGGGACTTCTCAATCTCTCCTATCATCAGATCGAAGGCCCTGGAGACATTGAAATCCAGGAAAGCACTAGCTTCCGTGAATGCACAGTTAACTTCTTCTGCTAATTGCCGGCCCTCATCGAGAGAGACTTGTCGTTGTTCTGGCTTGAGATCGCTCTTGTTGCCGACCACCACCAGTGGCACTTCGTCCGCACCCTATGAGAAAGTCAGCCATTTGAATGGCGTCTAAGGAAATAGAACATGACTTACCAGGTGGTTCAAAATCTTGTCTCGAATAACCCGCACCATTTCGAACGACTGTCGCGAGGTGACCGAATACACAATGACATAGCCATGGATCCCAATGAAGTGCTTCGAGTTCAAGATACTGTATTCATCCTATGGCAAAAGAAGTCAGACGTTTATATATCTCACAAGAGGCAAACGCATACCTGGCCAGCAGTGTCTACAATCTCAGTGGCGTAGTCTTGGCCATTGTACTTGATAATTCGACTGAAAGTATTCTCGATTGTGGGATAGTAGCTTTCCACAAAATGATGCTCGACAAACCGGACGGTAAGAGAGGATTTGCCTTGAATGTTGCGTTAGAACACTGATATGAACGGTTGGAAACAGGATACGGAAAGGTCCCTACCAACGGAGCGACTGCCGACAATCGCGATCTTTCTCTGCTTTGGGGCGGCGGGCATCTTGAAGGGGACAAAGTGAGCACGGCTCGAAGATCAAGTTTAAATCGGTAAAAGATGGAGAATAACGACTGGTGAACTGAAAGGAATCAGTCTAGGATGGAGTGAGGAGTTGTTGCGGTCGGGGTGGCAAAGTTCCATGAAGCATCCGGAGCTCTTCCCTTGCAAACGCTGCAAACGACTACCCGCCGAGGCCTCGGCCGATCTTATTCTATCCTATGATACTCTCACAACTGTATTTCTTCTTCTAAAAATCACTTTCTTGGTGCATGAGATTTCAATTCAAGAAAGGATATCGGTCATTAAATTACTCCAGATAACCCCACCTCCATCGACACCATAGTCACCCGCCAGGAAAACAGAAAACAGAATGGTCATGTTCACCCTCAGAGTGATCATAAATATTCACAAGCACAGTATCAACCATGTTCGATCTGCTGGACCTGACTAACAAGGCTCTGGAGACGAATTATGAAACTACTCGCCTTCCCCTGGGCCTGGGGAGGGTTCAGTTCCTGTTCGATCTTCTGATGGTACTGCAAGAACTCATCAACGGTAGACATAACAATTGCTAGCCCATTAGACTGCATGGGCTTCTTGATTTGCCGTCGGGCCTCCATATCGAGGGATAGCGCCAAAAGGAGCACTGCTAGATACCCCACTGTGACATTGTGATGCACTTCCAAAACGGAGTGAGCCTAAAAGTACCGGTCAGGTTCCATTGCGCAAGTGACTGTGGAGAAGGAGGATTACCTTGGAGGTTGAATCAACGTTGTCTACAAAAAGATGTAACAGTCGATCAAGAAGAGACTTGCCGCCTCGAGCAGCTTCGAGAAACATGGTACGGGATGCTTCACTTTGTTCGGTCAGGTTTATGAGAGCTCCTAATGCCAAGATCACCGTGTTCAGAGGGTTGTTCTCCTGAGCGAGAGAATCCTCGGTCAAGTCACCAAAATTGGTAATCGCAATCTCAGCTAGCTGCCCGACCATCGCAGATGTTGCAAAGCTATCGCACAGCATTGGATCATTGTTGGTCATGTTCAAGATTACCCGTATATAGAGCATCTGTATTTGCTGACCGGTTGTGTCTGAATCGTCCTTCGCGAACAGTAATTCGTGCATATCTTTCAGCAAAGAGAGAATGTCGCGGTGCGCTTGCTGAGGGGGGCCTCCCGATGTAGTATGCATTTCCAGAATAGATAACCCAAGCTGTAGCACTTGGGAATTTCCAGGTGCAGATGCCCTGTAGATATCACCGTTAGGACTCTGAGAAAGTAGAAGATCCACCAGCTGCTTCAGCAATGTTGTAGGAAGCGCACTGGGGCACTCGCCCTTCTCCTGGAAGGCCGACACGGTGATCCTCAGGCAGTTTAACATCAGGAAGCTAGGAGAGAGCTGAATAGAGGAGTCTTCCGGAAACAGTGCCGACTTAATCTGAGAGGCAGTCTGTTGGACCAAGTTTTGAGCAGGTCGAGATAGATGGCTGTTCTGAGCTTGCATCACGATAGAAATATCATCCTGGACGCTGAGTAAAATAGAAGATATATTCAGAAGCTTCGGCCATGCAGCAGTCGCGAGAATGTACGGCAGCGACCTGCCCTGAGAGGCAAGGGCAAAGGCGCAAAGAGCGAGCGTAGCAGGAACAATTTCGAGAGCAGGAGAAAGACAATCCACAAGTCTCTTGTCGAAGCCACAGTCAAGAAACTGTCGGGCTAGTTTTGAATCCAACAGTTTCCCACAAAGTTGGGACAAGGCACTGCTTCGACCCGATACCGAATTGAGTGGATCCTCAATATCCTCAAAGATTGACTCGACGGCTCCCCGATAGCGAACGTTCCCACCAGCCTGGCGCAATTCGTAGATGCTTCGGACAGTTCCGTCATCGTCGTCATTGACATCATCAATCGCGATTAGACGTGCACGGGGTATATGCTCGCTGGATCCGCGCGGTGAAATCAACGGGTCAGGTTGCTCCAGGTCGGTGGGGAGGGCCTGGCCCAGAAGGTCGTCCAAAAACGAACGTTGGCGTGCATATGTAACTTTGGAGCCTCGAAGATGGGGGGAAGCGGGAACAGTAGAATCCTGGCCATAGCCCTGTGGTTGGCTTTCAATTGGAACAGCTGGTGATACAGTGTCAATTGGATGACTTGGGCTGCGGTGAGCAAAGGACGAAGACAGTGGGCTGTCGGGGGGCATCTTGGGTGACTTTTCATCATCCGACTGCCTTGTTGTAGCCAGTGAGTCGATTAGCCTCCTTCGACCGGGAGTGGTGCTTCCAACGGTTGTTCGAGCCACCTTACGGGGACTAGGAGATACAGGATTGCTGGAAATATGTCTTTTTTTTTTTTCAGCAAATCCCGCCGTCTGAGCTTGCCGCGGCAATTCACGATCATCGAGACAAGAAGCTTCAGCTTTTGTGGACTCGATGGCTCTTTCAGTTACGGGGACTGCTGTGAATGTCTGCCGAAGGAGCAGTGAATCCCCTTGCTTTCGCCCGAGTATCTCGCTGTGGTCCCGTACGGCTTTCCTCGTCCGTAGAGAGTCATTTTCACTTAACGAGTCAACCGCATGTTGTTTCACAGTCGAATAGTTGCATTGCCTGTGGTTGGTATCGACTACCGCACTAGTTCGCGATTCGAAGCGGTTCTGGTGCAGAAGGGCATTTTCACCAGGGCCCTGGCGCCTTCGCTGTCGCTGTATGATGCCTTGGTGGCCTTCGTCATCCGATGACGGTAAATCGTAGATGCTATCTTCGGCGGATGCCCGCGGTTCTTCGAGAGCGGAAGCCAGAGAGGCGCCGGGGCGTGTTGGTCGCTTTTCCCAATTCTCGGTGCCTTCCGGCTTGTGGCTCAATGGCCGCGAGGCGCGCAATTTTCCCGCAGGGGCTGTAGTCCCTTTGACCGTCGAAGTGCTCGTGGGTGTGGTTTTGGGAGGCTGATTCCTGGAAGCGCCATAGGTCGCCAGTCTTCGGTTTCGGGGTCGCGAATGATCCATTTTCGTCCTTTGAATTGTGTCGCAAGTGTGTCGCATTCCATTCGAGTCAATGGAGGGCGATATGCGATCATTCAAATGTTTACAAAGACCGGTCCAGTGAGAAAGGCAGTGTCGATGAAGACATACCGAACAACACGGTGAGTTCACGCGGAGGGGAAGTTGAAAGGGGATAGAATCCGCAAGGATTCCAAAAGTTCCGCGCCTGCTTTGTCCCGAGACATCAAAGGTACGGTGAAGGTCCAGGTAATAGAGGGACGGATTGAAGCTCAAGCTTATTCAGCGGTGATGCAACCCTTCAAGTGCGGAGGAGGGCGCGTGCTTCCAGAGTGCGGATAGTACGATAGCACGATAAGCGCGATTTCCATTCTCTTTTCCCCCCACTGTGCACAAACATCTATCCCGTACTGTACTCTGGTCTCATCTCGCCATGGCTGGCAAAGATCCCATCCCATCTCCTGCCCAGGGCGTGGGTCCCATATATCGACCGGATGGCGAGAAACCCACTGCGACGGTCTCCAAAGAGGTCTCTTACGAGAATGTCCATGTCCTCTCCCAGACACCACAGCTGATTGCTCTCTTGACGTAAGATTGTATCTTTATTGAAGCGGTTGACGGATATCTAACTGTAAATCCAGGATGATCCGCGACCAACGGACAACGCGTGCGGACTTCATCTTTTACTCCAACCGAATCATTCGATTGTTGGTAGAGGAGGGACTGAACCACCTTCCGGTAGTGGAACAGTCTGTAACGACCCCGGTCGGAAGGGCGTACTTGGGCGTGAAGTTTGAGGGCAAAATCTGTGGTGTTTCTATCATGAGAGCCGGAGAGGCTATGGAGCAGGGCCTACGAGATTGTTGTCGGTCAGTTCGTATTGGCAAGATCCTGATCCAGCGAGATGAAGAAACTTGCATGCCAAAGCTTTTCTACGATAAGCTGCCCACTGACATTGCTGACCGATGGGTTCTCCTTCTGGACCCCATGTTTGCTACGGGTGAGTTTCGAGCTCTTTCGAGTCCCCAAAATCTTTCGCTGACCTCGCTATCAGGCGGTTCTGCTACACTAGCTGTCGAGGTATTGAAGCAAAGGGGCGTGCCTGAGCACCGGATCCTATTCCTCAATTTGATTGCCAGCCCCTCTGGCGTGGCAGAATTCGCCGAAAGGTTCCCTAAACTTCGGGTCGTGACGGCCTTCATTGACCAGGGACTGGACGACAAAAAGTATTCTATCCTACTCAATCCTGCATTCTTTGAACCGTACTGATACATCCACAGGTACATCATTCCCGGTCTGGGTGATTTTGGTGACCGATACTATACATTGTAGTCTTACTCACAATTCCGGCCACGACGGCCAATCGTCCAAGTCCACTGCTCATGTTTGTTCCAGTCGAGTTTGTAGAAAGATGCGCAGTACCGGTGTAACGTCTTGACTCCATGAGGAAGTCCAATACCTAGTTCCGCCGGTTTCTGAATCACATCAAACCCATCCGAAGGTTCGATGATGAACTCCATCCCGCTGTACAGAGACCGACTAGAAGAAGAGGTAGAACAAATAAGATCGAATTGGTGGATGCGCCGTGTGTATCTGAACCGAGCTCCTCAAATTGGTACAATGCCCATGCGCCATTCGCCTCCCCGCCTCGTAATGTGATCAATAGTCGTCCTCCCCGTAGTTATCACCCTGTCCGACATCTGCCGATGCATCGGACTTGCTGTTCCCGGCTTGGGCACTCACGCTCCCGTCGTACTGGTTGGCTGTATCCTTGGCCACAGCATCGCACGCATCCACCCAGTCCGAGTAAACGTCCACTCCGGCAGAGAGATCTATCAAAAAGTCAGTTATAAGCCGCCGGAGATATAATCAAGACCCTTTTCGACTCACAATTGATACCCGTCTGGAACTTTTGGCCACAGACTTTACAGGAGAGGTCTCCTAGACCCAACTTCTTATCCAGCTTGACCACAACCGAGTTCTCGTGGTTGCAGAAGAGACAAGAGAAAGTAGTCGCAAGGGGCTCCCGCTGCTAAAGGTCAGTACTGTCGAGGGGCGCAACGAGTGGGAAATGATCGCACCTTTCGGGGGCCTTGAGGCTGCCTGCTGGACTTCTTGCGCTTTCCCTGCGAGGCAAATGGGATCAGTCATATTCTTCCGGAGCCTCGGAAGGAAATAAAAATGGAGAGGGACGTACCATGCTCCTGGTTCGATGGACGAGGTCTCAGTAACGAGGAGTGAAAGTGTCGTTGTGAGGGGTTGGCTCGTGCGGAGAATGGGTATCGGAATAATGGGGACTCCGCCCCAGCATCGTCATTCCACAGGACGTACAACAAGACGGTCGTCGGGTTTAGGAATTAGTCACTTTGTTACTATTAGGCTCGAAAGGCTCGTGCCGGGACATTGTGATCATTTTTACGGGGTCTACTGCTCCTAATGAGTAATTAGAGATACATGGGTAGCCGGCAGTGTGTGAAATTCAGAAAACAGGCGATACCATGGATCTCGGAGATGAGAGTACATTCACCGGTGTCCGGTGTAAAAGAAGCAAAGCAAAGAGAACCTCTATCAATAATAAGTCAAAATTCCCTTTGAAGTACTTACGTAGTCAACCAACTTAGTCGAGTTTACGACTGCCTTCCGTCATCATGCCTCAGGCTACAATGTCTCAAAGAGGCGTAGCGTTAACATGGAATTTCGTCTGTGTGTCACGTGGTGCCATTACATCAGCCAGGTAGGGCCCGCACACTTCGCTTAGCCGAGTTTTCTGTGGGTTTTTGATTTCAACCCTCCCAGTCGACCCGAGCGAGAATCTCGAAACCCGAAGCGCCGTGGTGCGATACCTTTGTCTGTCTTCCAACAACACCCAGATAGACCCGACTCGCAATCATGGCTGTTGGAAAGTAAGCGCTATTCTTTGCCCTTGTTCTCTCGTTCTCTCGTTCTCTCGCTTGTTATCTTCGCTCCTCCCCTCGCCCTTGTCTCTGGAAATCAGCATCTCGTCGAACATTCCCGGCTAATACAACTTCGCTTCCAGGAACAAGCGCCTCTCCAAAGGCAAGAAGGGCATCAAGAAGCGCACTGTCGATCCCTTCACCCGCAAGGATGAGTACTCCGTGAAGGTCAGTGTTCCAATGGTTTTTTTTCTTCCGTGCCCTAGACACAATTGCTGACCATTTCACAGGCCCCCTCCACCTTCCAGACCCGCGAGTAGGAACCCCCTCCTTCTGAATCGACCCTTCGATGCTAGTATCGTTGTGTGTGCTAACAATTCCCTCACAGCGTCGGCAAGACTCTGGTCAACCGCACCAGCGGTCTCAAGAACGCCAATGACTCCCTCAAGGGCCGTATCTTCGAGGTCTCCCTCGCTGATCTGCAGAACGACGAGGACCACGCTTTCCGCAAGGTCAAGCTCCGTGTTGATGAGATCCAGGGCAAGAACTGCCTGACCAACTTCCACGGCTTGGACTTCACCACCGACAAGCTGCGCTCCCTGGTCCGCAAGTGGCAGTCTCTCATTGAGGCTAACGTCACCGTGAAGACTACTGATGACTACCTTCTCCGTCTGTTCGCCATCGCCTTCACCAAGAGACGCCCCAACCAGATCAAGAAGACCACCTACGCTCGCTCGTCTCAAATCCGTGCCATCCGCAAGAAGATGACTGAGATCATTCAGCGCGAGGCCGCGACCTGCACCCTGTCTCAGCTCACCCACAAGCTCATCCCCGAGGTCATTGGTCGTGAGATCGAGAAGTCCACTCAGGGCATCTACCCCCTCCAGAATGTACGTCTCTTGTTACCGTCTTCCCACTGCTCTTTAAACCCCTCGAGTATCGCGTATATTAACCCGCTACGTTACAGGTTCACATTCGCAAGGTCAAGCTCCTGAAGTCGCCCAAGTTCGACCTCGGTGCTCTCCTCGCCCTCCACGGCGAGTCTGCCACTGATGACAAGGGCCAGAAGGTTGAGCGTGAGTTCAAGGACACCGTCCTCGAGTCTGTTTAAGGGTATTTCATTTGGAAGTGGTGTCAAATACTGGTCAACCATGGCAGTCGTTGTCTTCTGATATAGGAAAACAAAAAAGTTCATGACATGTATGGCATATCTGCATCGCTGGCGAAGGGCGGTTATTTCTGTAGATGACCGGTGTAGACAGGGCAGCCAAAATACAATGTAGTCTGCAAGTCATGCGCGATCTATCCGTAGCAACCTTCTCGTGCCCGGTTGTATTGCGCGTCCTTGAGGCCTTCGTGCCATAGAATCAATCGAAAAGAGTAAGGCACAACGGATATGCTCCATGATTCGTTGTACGTGGTGCTTCTCTTTTCTTACAGGGTTTGAGTACAATACAGACACAGCGCATGTCTAGGTAGCTACTGTCATGCCATTTTCTCCATCAAAGTGAGATCACTGCATCTCCAGCTAATAAAGGAAGATACCCCAATGGGATGGTGCAGTGATGCCATGTCTGATATTCCAGGGGTTTTGTGTGTGATTGGTACATTTCTTCGGTGGATTCTCTCGCTAATTTCCGGGGTTTTGCTGGCTCACTGTTCTCCATTTGTTATCCCGGGGTTCTCCTTTTACAGCGACACCGTCGGTATCAAAGCGCTCTGCACCTCACTGGGAGCTGATTAATCCCCTTCACTTCTTTCCTATATTATCACGATATTCCAAAAACAAAAAAAAAAAAAAAAAAAAAGCCATGGCTTATTAGTCCTGGCGTACCTAAGACCTTAGTTGGTATTCATTCTAAAAGCGACAAGGAGATGTCTCAAAGGAGAGTACAAGGATTACAATAGTAATGAAAGGTGCCCAACCCTATTCGCATTATCTCATTGGTCCAGCTGCAATAGGCATGACGAAAGGGGATGCAGGATGTAGTCCATATCTCCCTTGCATGTGGATATCCTAGGCGAGACAAATGAATTTCGGATTTCACGGGAGAATACGACAGGTGCTGTTCCTATACAGAGGCTGCCTTGGATACTCAATGCTTCTCTTGTCACCGTCTGGCCGGAATGTGAAGACGCCAATCAACTGGTGTCCTCTTGCCATGGTGGTAAGTGTAAACCAACACCATCTTGGTCGATAGCCTTGCATTTAATGATCCATTTAGAGCCGATGCTTCAAAATGGATCTTCAGATATACTCACGCCTGCAAGACGTAGACCGAATTCCTTGCACATTGTGATGCATAGGACTGACGACTGATACATGGACCTGGATGGGGTGAACCTGACTAGCCCGATTGGGACTAGCGAGCGATTGTTCACTGAGCTCGCAGCGCTCAACACTTAGTTTCTTCCTCAGTTTCGTACCTTTGCTGAATTCCATGTGTTTTCATGCATTTTGGGTTGTAACACAAATGGGGCCTAGAACCAGGCGCAAGTTGGGTGAGGAATTAATTCATACACTAGTATTGAAAGCATATCGGTTATTTCAATAACCTCTAGAAAATAGCCACATGGTGTATGTCTTTAGTTCGCGTCAACCTTTGACAGAACCACCATAGTCTTGTGATCCCCAGTCTACTGAGTCCAATATATCTACCGACCCTCGTCACCTGGGGGCGTTTAGCACCATACGCGCTTCCTCGGAATATATGTAGGAAGACAATCGTGATCATTTCAGTTCATCATTTAGCCTGACGCTGTTTTCTGCAAAGGCTGATAGAGCAATCAGCTAACATATAGTTACTAGTTACTAGTGTCCAGCTGCCAAACCAGTGTATGAAGCCTCGCTCACGCTCAAGTCTACGATGCCGAAATAATGCCTGGATTAGGAAGAAGAGGAAATTAGTCGGTTGCAGAGCCCCACACGGATTAAATGAGAAGTGTGGTTGTGATTAGTGCAGAGCTCTACTGATACTCGATACATACCGTGGGACATCTCGCTAGATCATAGAATACGCTAAAGTTGATTCGGAGACAGTTGACTCGATTGTGATTCATTTTATTTTTTTAGTTGCCTCCCCGGTAGGTATGTTGTTTGGGAGTCCGCAGACCTCTATAATTGTACCTATGTAGTTGTAGTTGTAATTTCGTTCGCGGACATGTCGACTGTAGGGCCGATTAACCGTTACGACACTATGTGTCGGGATAAACATATCACCTAATTGCGCCAACACGCTCTGACTTTAATGCACGTCTTATCCCGCTTCCGGCTACTCCCGTTACATTTTATTTGCATTTTTTAGTTCGCTATACTTAGAAATAAGAGGTTATCTTTACGATATAAATCCAGTATTATAGAGAGTATTTATACCGTCTTCATAATATAAGAGGAAAAATATAATACTTTGATGGTTTTTATTTTATTAACAAGAGTCCAGGGAGTATTTCTCGCATGTGAATGGTCAGAATAAGTAGTACTAGTGTGATAACACGGCTTTATATGGGGATGGAAACGGTCACGTTACCCTACTTTTCCTGCCGCACGGCACCGCCCTTGAGGCGTATTTCTGTCTTTTCGTACACTTAGTAATATATACTTTTCTACCTCTATAATCTTATCTAGCAGTACATCCTTAACTAGCTCACCTACCACGGTCGGCTAGGAATAAAAGTATTATCGTTAGATACACCTCTCTTCCTATAAGATAATCACCTAAAGCGACTACTCGAGATCACTTATATATATATATAATTTTAAAGAATATTTAAGTTTTTCCTACTCCTTTTTAGCTACTATTTATTTGAATATAAAAGTATATCTATAATATTATTAAAGGCCCCTAATTCCTATATCTGAAGATATAGAGTATATAATACCCTTTGTTTACTATTACTAAATAATATCAAAGTATTCTATTATATTTAGGTAACAATTCTTAAAAGAATTTACTAATTTAGTTAATATTAATTGAGTAATTAGCTGATATTTTAGCTGAGAATATCTATCCTAAGAAGCTAAATAATAGTATATAGAGAATAAATATATTTATACCTAAAAGAACCTAATCTAATAGTTAGCGAAAGCCTGTAGCTAAGCTATGTGTCTAAAGACATACTTCTACAATAATTTACTTTATATTCTCTTAGGATAATAATATACACAGAAAGCTATATAATTATTAGTTTTTAGAGTTTCTTAAACCTAAAAGATAATAAGATCGCCTTATGAACTTAAGGACAATTATTCTACAAGTATATAATCTATAATAAATCTATAATAAACTATATATAATTATAAAACTAATATTCTAGAATAAGTCTTAATCTAATACCTATAAATAAATATAAATATAAATTTATATTAGTGTTAGGCTAAGAACTAAGAATAAGATTACCTAACTATTCTATAAAATATTATTTAATTTATCACATCTAAGTAACGAAAAATAGTAATTCACTATATTAACTAAACAAACCTAAATAATATTGAGCTAAGGACCCTTTTATCCTATATAAAAGATCTTTCTATAATTGAGTATTTTAATTATAACTAAAAGGGATATTACTAGTATTATTATCTAGCTCTAAAAAAAATAAGTGATAGCAAGAAAGGCTAATTAAAAACTAATATAAGTGATTACTTATAAAGCCTTCGCTACTTATATCTAGAAACCTTTGTATATATCTACTAGTTTTTCTGATCTTAATTATTTAAATCTAGCTTAGAGGTTATTATACTATTATATAATTGACTATCTGAAATATATTGAACACCTGGTCCAGATAATTCTAATCTTATTAACCCTGAAAATAATGGATCTTAGTAAGAAATGCCTAGAACTAAAAGTTCTAGTTTAGATTAGACTAGCATGAAGTAAAAGGAAGTTTTAGGGTACTAATATATTGAGAACCATAATAAGGTGATCTATATAGAATTACTTAAAGCTCTCTCCCTAAAATAACTAATTATGAGATCAATACTAAAGATTCTTGGCTAATAAAGAATACATATTAATAATTAATATGTATTCTTTATTAGCCAAGGAGCTAAATAAATACGTTAAATAGATTAAGAATTTAATTGAGTATAGACTAATCTATCTTAGATATTGAATAGCCTTTAGGGATTATTAGTAATATTTATAAAGAAATATAATAATTTATAATATATATATATTATAAGTTAGGGCTTTAATAGACTTTTGGTAAAGAATGACTATCTATTATTATAGATCTAAGAGCTTTCAGATATTGTTAAAATGATAAAAATAATATTAAAGATTAACCTTATTTCTAAATACTAATAAAGTAAATACAAATAGCTTACAATGTTATTTAGACTATATAATATACTTATAATCTTATAATGTTATAATTAATTATAAATAATACCCTTTATCTACTTTTAGATAAAAGTGTAGTTTTATATTTTAATAATATCTTAATATTTTCTTATAGCTTAAATGTTTATTACAATGATATTAATTAGGTATTTTTATTACTAGATTTATCTAAATTATCTACTTAACCCGAGAAGTATCAATTTATAATTAAGGAACTTAAGTTCTGTAAATAATTTAGAAATAGATAGGTTTAGCTTGCATTAGAGAAAGTTATCCGCTAATTTTTAGGTTTAGCTACCTATAATTATTATTATTACTTTATTAAAGGATTTACTATGATATATAAAGACTAAAAGAGACTTTAATAAACTTACCGATTTTATTATAACTAGACTGTAAGCTCTGTTAGATTAAAATGAATATATTAGAGTAGACTATTAATGTAGTTTTACTTTAAGTAAATACAAATAATCGCTTTTACTCTATAACTTTTAATAGAAAAAGGCTATAAGGTATATAACTAAATTACCTATAAAAAAGAACTAATAGCTATTAAAGAAGCTCTATATATATCTGTTGGAACTTGGACCAATGCTACATAAGGTGAAGGTATCCTCTTATTCAACATAAGAAGAAGAAGAAGAAGAAGAAAAGAAATGCGAACATGATTTACCCCTCCAAACCGCTTACCCCTCTTTACCCCACCAGATCGATGACATATCCCTCATCACGCCATCAGTTCTATCATATTTCCTTCCCTGATTCTATTCTGTTTATCTGATATAAAGTATGTGACTTTGACCACTTTCTGTCTATAAATACGCGCGAGACACTAAGTAGAAATGACAGACCTTTCACTC